CATGTCGTTTTGCTCCAGGCTTCAGCGAGGTCCATGAGCGGCTTATTGCTGACAATAATTTGAGAGAAACCTTCGAGGCCTGGGAGGCTTGCATTGCTGAAGGTGTGCGCGAGCGCCGGGTACAAGTAGAAGTCCCGGAAAATATCAAAGAATTGCACGCTAAGTCATTAATCAGCGAGCGAGACATTCTACGATACAACGCAGTAGACGGGGAAATAGCACAAGAGAAATGGTTTCAGGGGCATGGTCTCGATTGGTCTATGGCTTTTGGAGATAGCCCGCATGGCCTAGCTGATTTCAAACAAGCAACGGATGAAGAAGACTCAGACAAGAGGGCATCCATCCGTTCCCAGGCTCAAGGTACAGATGCACAGGGCCAGGATGAACATTATTCGCGGAACGCCGAAGGCGAGCCATCAAATCAGGCCAATGCGTCTCAGAATACAGAAGACGAAGCGCAGGATGGCGAGTCCATAGTCACGGACGCAAATTCCCACGCAGGGGATTTCGAAACAAGGGAGGATAGACGCCGCCGGCTCGGCAACAAACAGAATAAACGGACTGAAAAGCGAAAACTTCGGGGATCTATGCAATGGGCACCAGCACGTAACGCAGCCTTCGTTAAACACGAGGCAACATTTGCCCTCAAGAAAATAAAGAACAAGGTCTCCGGCAGCTTGACGGGCAGAGAGCCGGATATCGAAACCGAAATTGGATAAAAGTGCGTGACCCGGTAGCGCACACCTTCTTATATTCTTCCGCATCCACAAGTGTAATTTTATCAATCTCACTGCACGTCCTTGTATAGAGCGACGTTATAGTTGCTCATATATAAGGCTAGTCAACGTTATCGAGGACTCAGTTCTGAGTAACTAACCAACTATAAAATTGAGACGGCACTCGGGTTTTTGAACTCTTCAGGCCGCATACCAAGCCACATCTCAATAAGTAAGGAATGACGAAATATGAGAATGGTGATGGGCCACTGCATGGCAAGAGTTAAAAGGCCCAAGATGCTACCTACTTTTCTCAACGCTCTAGGCTTCTCTCATTCAATGCTTCTCGGGAAAGTGGCCAATGCATCGAATAGCCAAATAACAAATCATACGATAACTTCCAAAAACGACCATCTAAGGGCAGTATTTCTGGGATCCAAATCATTGGGATTTCTTGACCTAGGAGTCATTAAGTTCCATATGCTGCTCGCTGCGATTGTCTCGTGTTGGCAGGAACACGAGAATGCCGATGACGGTTGCAGCAGACGCCGAGCTTATGATCGATCTCTCAATTTCGCTGGTGTGAGGAAGTCCTTTTCTTTTTCAGCATGGTTCCATCGCTTGTGAGTGAACCTTCCCGCTTTCTTTTTATATCGTCGGCTCGCAGGAACTTGACAGCCTATTCAACCCGAGCGTCAGTCAGCATCGTATTAAGCCGTGTCTTCCACGCGACCGCTAACCACTCGTCAACCTGTGTCGATTTCCATTCCCGGGGTTTTGGACACGAATCCCGCTTGTCCTTCAAAAGCCATGGCAACCCCAGTCAGCTTGTTCGCAATACGGCGTGGCAGCCGAACTTAAATAGGGCCGTTGGGATTGATTGCCCTACGGCTCTCTTGGAAATACCGCTGGGTTCTCGTGTTGGAGACGCGTGGAAGTCAACCGATACAACGGGACAATATTTGCGGCCGGGGAGATCGGAATTTGTAGGGGAAACCCAGGCGCTATGCACAGGAATTGCCCTTTCGGGATGTGCTGAGCTCTGAAGGTGCACTTGAAGATATTATTGTTATTCTGTTGCGCGGCTTTTGTTTGCTTTTTGTTGAAACACCCTTGCTCCTTGGTTTAAAATTAGCCCTCGATGTCAACAGCACAACATGGTGCGGGGCTGATGGCTTTCCTTGGGGGGAAGGGGAATACCTGCGGAGTCGGCGGGAACGATTTTTGGAGCGGGACTCCGGGTTAGTAGCATGATTCCATTATTCTGGAGTACAGACGGGGCGGTCGGAAGTAGAATATACGAAGACGGTGGGCTGTTTTTGCATCCCAACCGCGCTGGTGATTAGCCTATTCTCTAGAATCGACAGGTATCTTTCAAAGAATCCTTCCGCTACGAGACCGCATCTATACGGCTCCTACCAGGATATACAGTTAATATGTCTGATGACTCCAATCATCTAAGCATTTGCCTTGTTGGTGCATCGATTGATGCATGCACATGCGATTAGAACCTGAACACGAAACACCTCACCGCCGCGATCGCTCCCAATGCCTTACTTAAGAAATATGATGCGTATTCCGCAAGCGAGAGAAATTTCTCGAACAATCTTTGTTTGCATTTGCATGACTGGGAGACCCCAGGCCCTGCACACGTGGACCTAATTGTTTGATCATCGGGATCCCAAAAGTTGGCGTGGCAAATGTGCCATAGCCATGTATGGATGAGTTGGGCTGACGCATGCAAGACTGTTTCTGCAGTTCTTTTGTATCCAAGGCGAATAAGACCCGCGAGGATGCAGATACGTCCCGCACCCTCCGTCAGTGGTCAGGTCGGGCTGCCGTCGGGGACAGGATGGATTATGAGTGCATGCAGCATGGGAGCGGACTTTGAATGAATGACTATGGAGTACCGCCATCAAACCCATGCAAGGTCTTTGGTGGGTGGCGGAGGCGTAATTTCCCTTCGTGTCATAGAGCATTCAATGCTAGAAGTGCTTGATCCAAAACAGGACAAGACTTGGAGAAACACACAGAACGAGATCCGAGTAGATTGTTGAAGTTAAACTTTGATAGGAAACGGATTTTTAGTGAATGCACTGTCACACTCGAAAGAGAGGTATGCCCTGAGAAAATCCCAATGGAGAACGAAAGGCAAAAGGCCAAGTAAGAAAGACGCCATGACGACCAGTACATGCTCATTTTTCGTGGTATCAACCAGAAAGGCAAAAGGAGCCAACATGCTGGAGGGGGAAAAAAAAAAAAGGTTGCGCCCAAATATAAAAGGGAATCGGTTAAAGAAACCATGGTGAAATATTAAACTGTGTAGATAGATGGCTGTAGATTGCTAGAAGTCTTGTAAATAGAGAGGGGAAAAAGATGGATTAGAAATGTCTCGTGGCATTCATAAACCATAGAATGAAAAAATGCGAAGCTCTTTTTCTAACGCCTACCCATCCCTCTCCCCGGCGACACCGGACTCAGTTTAGGCCTCGATTGAATGGGCACCGGCATGGGGATCACGATATTGACACCTGGGCTCTTCCCACCTTGGATTGCCAGCGAGGCTGACTGCGGGTCTGTCTCTTGTACAGCCGCATTGGACCCATCGTCCCGGCTGGGGAGCACATGACCGTCCTTGATCGGGCCCAGGGTCCATCTCCATTGTCGTTGGCGTTTTCTGCGACGGTTTACGGGTGTCTGCGGAGTTTCGACGTCATCGTCCGGGCGCGGTACCCTGTCGCGAAGCCCTGCGGCACGAATTTGTCTCATGCTGCGGGCGTGTTTTTTGCGCTTGCCCGGCGAGCTAGTACCACCCGTTTCTTTATGAGTGGATGTGCTGTCTTCGTCCGAAGCGCCGGATGATTCTGAGCTGTCCGACGCGGATTCTCCTTCTGAGGAGGATGAGGAAGAAGCGGAAGAGGAGGAGCACGAATAGCCACTTGGGGATGTGAGGTCGGAATGTTTGGCGATAAAACGTACGGTTTTGATTTCCTCGTCGATGGGACACCGGTAGTGCACGCGCTTTTTGGCCGGGAACAGGGCCCGTCGTCCATTGCCAGATCCGTTGACGGAGGTGCCCGAAAGTGATGCCCGCCTTAGCGACGATGGGACTAGGGGAGAGTTGCGCAGGATACCCCGGATGCCCAGAGGGAGCTGGTAGGGGAGCTCATCGTGGCTGTGTCGGCTATAGTTTGCGGGTAGAGCTTCCTGTTTCGATGTTGGCTTCGGATCCTTTGTGCAAGGCTCCGCTCGTAGTGTTGGGGCCGGCGAGGGTGTATGTCGATATGCGTCGTAGGCGTTTCTAAAGGTGTTTTTGACCGTGGGAGATGGAGAGCAGCTAGCGGAGTGGTTCAGCGACAGCCCCGTCGTGGAGTTTCCAAATGTAACTGGCAGACACGACGTCTGGAGCGACAGCTTGGGTCGCTTTTGTACCCCGTTGGTGTTGAGGATCGGTGAGGGAGGTATTGAAGGGGGAGCGACGGCCAGCATTGTGTTAGTAGTCGTCGAACTCTGAGGCTGTTTCTGTGTGACGGTGTTTGGAGGTGTATTCGCAGCAGACAGGGAGGCGTTGTCGGAGGAATTTGGATCGGAGTTATGTAGATGAGGATGCTGGCTCTTCATCGAAACAGCAATCATCTTGAAAAGAGAAGACACCCAGCCGGCTAGGGAGTTTAAGACTCCGCATCCAAGCTCAGCGTCAGCGACCGAGAACGGCTGAGGCATATGAACTGCATGTATGGAAACAAAACATCGTAGTTAAATATAGAGATGATTGACGTATCCATAGTGGCGGGCAATTAGGAGCGGCAAATCTACTGCAAAGGAAGCATTGTTGGTATGTATAAATATTCTGGAACAGGCAGTGCGTTTTTATTTGAACATATTTTGTCTCAGCGGAAGGTCAAAGTTTAAGAAACCTAGCTAATAAAGTATGGTCCTGTTTGAAAGACGGAGGGAACTCTGCAAGTGATAGGTATGTATAAATTGCTGCACCGGGATTCGAAGGGACAAGGCTAGGATGGGGGGGGTCGAAGCATTGCTCAACATTAAGAATTCTTTTTTATTTTTTAGATGCTCCCAAGTTGGGTGACGCTGGCCGTCGCAATAACCTCCATCCACGATGATGATATCGAGATAAAAATAGCTGGGAAGAAGAGCAGAAGAAGAAAAAATAAAATAAAACAAAAGACCCAAAATCGAGAGGGGGGGTTTATTTTAGCGGCACGCCGTGCTGTGGAGTTGGGAAGACTTTAAACCGTCAAATCATCGAGAAGGGTTCCCGGCCTATCCAGTGTTATTGGCAATGGCAATCTTAAACTGGGGCCCCTGTGAGCTTGTGGTTGGTGCAATTTGACCGGCGAACGAGTCGTTGTTGGGTCGACTTTCACCGCTTACCCCAATGCCGAAGCGCTTACTCCGTAGTTAGTGAAGAGCACAAAAGTCACAAATACTCAAGAAGGAATATTTTTAGTGTACGGAGTAGCGTGTGTTCTTTGGAGGGAGAAAAATCCACTCTGTTACGGAGTGCTGGGTCCTTCATCCGGCCGCTTTTTGTCATTCGTCGACTTGCCCTCGGCAGAGATACCTTTACATGCTCTTGTGGAGGAGGGCAGGGAGCCAACCCTTCTGCGAAATCGGAAGTACGTTGAGTCAGATTGGGTGTTGGAGAGGTCGAGTCGAACCTTTCGACTCTTTGGCGCCGTTTGCCTCGTAACCCGTATTCTGATGACCGCTCCTCACGACGAGGCGGCCCATACTCTGGCCCCTGTCCAGAGACGGCTAGGGAAGCCTGAATTGTGCATTGGTCTGCCAACGAGCAAATCAACGAAGAGCGCCAGAAACGCAGTTGACAGGAATCAGTTGAGGAAATGTCCGAAAGTGGCTACCAATTCCGCTATTCCGGAGAATACGGAGTCGCCCGTCCGGAGTACTCAGTACAAGGTGCGGCGGCCTGTGGGAGATGGGCTGTTGATCAACACATGCAACGGAGTGGACACTCTGGACTGCCATGCTGCAGGGTGATCCTCGTACTCTTCGGAATACTAAGACTTTGTCTACCCACGCTGCCAGTGATGTCGCCCGTGAGGGGCAGGGAAGAAAGACTTGGCGCGAAGAATGGCAGTGGTACGTAATGATTTTTTAGCTTGTGAAAAGTGACCAACGTCTTCAGGGCCATCCACATCTTTGCCACGAACCAAAAGGGCGCTGAAGAGGCCAGCGTAGAGAATAGTCGCCTTCATGTTCGTCGTCTGTCTCTTGTGGGCTCGATCGTGTCAGAAAAAGCGCGTCTTCTAAAAATAAACAGCCAATCGGCTGACTAAAAGCTGCTGGCGCTTGCACCATCCCCAACTTAGACTAGCCCGTCCGCATTTGGTTAGCGAGGTACAGATGGATGTCCACTTTTGCCCCCAGACTACTCCGTACTCCGTACATACAGGTCAAGAAATGTTACTCCGCAGATACCGACTGCTGTGAGACCAGAGGCTGGAGCTCGGCTTGCTTGGGGGGGAGCTGATTTTCTCCAGAATCACGAAATGTTTCCAAATACACTCTTCCTGTCAAAAGACACCAGGCCCAAAGCCCATCGATGACAACAATCGCGAAGAATGAAAAGACGAGACTTCCCCCAAACACGAGGCTATGATACGTCCATGCATTCTTTGCACTCAGGTTCGCCACTTGGCAGACGATTGCCCAGGGGAGCACGTAAAGAATGTTCGAAGCCAGAGACTCAGGTACCAACGGGGCCTGGTGGCAAGGAGAATTGCAGCTAGCTGTGTCGAGACTGCATAAAACAAGTAGCACCTACGGAGTACACTAAATCAGTCAGAATGCTGGGCAGGAGCAGGAAGGCAGAAAAAAAGAAAAAAAAAAAAAAAAAAAAGGAAAAGAAAGAAAAAGAAAAAGAAAAAAAAGCCCCGTACCAATCAATTGTTCGCCCCATGTGAGCTGTGATCTCCGATACGGCTCGGGATCCGCTCAAGTAGTACGCAAATGGCCGGCAGCCGAATAATCCGAGAAGTACTCCGTATGCAGAGCGGAATCTCGACTAACAAGGCTATCACCACAGATGCAAGCGCTGGCCGTACGATTTCTAAGCTGCTGTCAATAGCACTGTACCCGGGAAACAATGGCATGCACGTTACTGAGTAAGTCCTCCTGGGAGCATTTGGTTCGGCGGCTCTCAACCCCAATCGTCTTCCTCCATTTTCCCCAAGCGTGGCTGGTGAAGGTGAGGGAGGTTGCCTCCAACGCTTGGACAGGCACCATCACGTCCCCAACGGTTCGTGTTGAACACCCCCATGCAGTCGCGTAGTCAGAGCCCTTTGACACGATACCACTCACGAGCCACAGATACAAAGTATTCCGGATTGTTGATTCAAGAAACGTCGCAATACCCGGCGGCAGCAGGACTGACAGCGCCCGAATACTGGAACTCATCCAAGCTCTGAGCCGAACATAATCACCTTGTTGAGCCCAGGTGGAATATACGAAATAAGTGACCCCTGACATTGCAGAAACCATATCGCATGTAAGGCGAATGCTCGCCTGCAGGTTGACTGTTGGGGTATGACCACCGACATGGAATTTTGAAATAATAAGAAAATCAAGAAGAATGTTAACGATGAACTTTGTAGAGCTGATTATCAGAGGAACGTCGGGCTTATCCAACGCTCGTGTAGCGTTTGAAACAGCAATCTCGATCGCCGAGCTCAAAGCAGAGAACCCGCTGATTCGAACATAGGATACACTGCCATCACGAACAGGGGCAGGAACAAATGCTGACGCGAATTGACTGGCAGCTGAAGCAAAGATAATACTTATAATTAGACCAAAAATTGTCTGAAAGATGATGAGTGTGCGTGCTAGCTGGGGGCGAGATCCCAGTGACCGAGATGCTTTGTCCCCGATAATCACCCAGGCTGCTCGTGGAAGCCCTTCATTGATGACCTCTCCCACCACACCTATGTATGTGTATACATCAGTGGTGACGACCATCGAAGAGTCGATCTTTGCGATCCACAATTTGGACAAGGTTCCATGCAGTGCAGGGAGAATAAACGCGGCGACATTAGAAAGGAGAGCTCCTGTGTAACTGGGTTTGTGAGCAGAATAACCCTGAAAAGCTGACAAGCTCCTTAGCTACCTGCTCCGTGACCACCAGTGACCGGTGCCTATTTCCTGCCACATAGCTAACTGCATGCTTGGGTGCGTTTTGCGGGGAATTTTGCTGATAGAAATGTCTTTCTTGAAGAGCAAGGCAACATGAGAGTAGATATCATTCCATAAGTACTTCTATTTGAAGGGTTCTTATATCAGAATAGAAAGATATCAGGCTTGTGATTTTTTGTTTTCAACATCTCTTGCAGCCACTGGATAAAAGAACCACAGCCTCTTCCCATTTGTTGGAACAAGTGATTGAACCAGACTTCGCTTAAATTGAGCCATTCCAAAATATCTTCATAATGGGCCGGCCCGCTGAAGCCCAGTGCCACGGTTCGCGGCTCCCCGCAAGCAGCTGGTTTCTGTGACCAACCCTTCACCTGACAGCCACTGATGAATCTCCTATATTATACTCCGTAGAGGTTGGTAGGTAGTCGGAACCAAGGGACAAAGAAAGAGCTTGGGCCTGTAACCCAAAAAAACACATATATTCCGGTCAACGTACAGAGTACTGGGTACCTCAAATATTTGCTATCTACCCTTGTTGCCAATCAAGAACTGGAACTCGAAAGCTCTTTTACAGCGCTACTCCATACAGTTCAGCAATCAGAGCTTCAAAAGTCGGGACGCGTTCTCGAAAACTTGCAATGATAGTTCGAAACCAGCTATGACGCTCTGAATATTTGACGCCCCCCACCTTTGACCTTGACCTTGCCAGTGGGCAGGCATGTACTGAGTACTCCGTACCCTGTACCAGTACTACATAGTACACGGTTGCACCACGACAAGGCTAGTAGAATGCTTGGTGTTGAGCTTGGCGATGTGCCAAGACTTCACTGCGTGTGACACTGCCTCTTCCCCTGCCGGCTTCACCTCGCGATCCATCCATTCACAAATCACCCCCAACCACCTCTCTTGCGGACGGAGGGGCAACTGTGCATTGAGAATCAATCACGCCTGGACCAACATTCTATCCCGACTCTTCCCGTCTCCATGTGCAACCAGAGATCCAGCGCTATCGCCACACACTCGGTATCCGTGCACCAGTTGGCTTCCGATTCTCCTGCGCAATGAACAATTGTGCGTGGAATCCCCAGTAATTTTTACTCGGAGGGAGAGGATAGGAACGAAAAGAGACATGACGTCGCTGCTTCGCAAGCAAGCAGCTTTGCGCAGGGATGATAGTAGGATCATAATTCATTTTGTTAGCATCCCCATTACTCCCCTTCCTCCCCTCCCCCTCCCCGCTTCAATTGACTCGACGACCTTGTTGCGCACAATTCTTATCACCTCCTATATTCTGGTGGTATCCCTTCTCGGGAGAACGCTGTTGCAAATCAGGAGGTAGTCTTCGAGATGGCCCACCTTCCCTTTACACCCATCGTCTTATGCAGGGAACAACAGGCATTGATCTCGCCTGAGCTTTTCATCTGCACCCCATGGCAATCGTAAGACAACTTCGAATGAATGTCTGACTGACAAGGTTGTTGGCTCCCAATCCATGTCAACTGGATTGGGAATCTGTTTCCGCCTTCTGCGCGATAGGACTATGATTGTTTCTATGCCTCGGTTTTCGAAACCGAAAACCCTGCTTTGAAGTCTCTTCCGGTTGCTGTGCAGCAGAAGCAAATCGTTGTGACCTGTAACTATGAGGCTCGACGACGTGGCTTGCGGAAGCTGCAGCTCATAAAAGACGCAAAGAGAACTTGCCCTGACGTGGTCATCGTGCTTGGCGAGGATCTTACCAAGTTTCGCGACGCGTCAAAGGAGCTGCACTCCTTCTTGAAGAAATACATATGGGGAGACCGCGTGGAGAAATTGGGGTTTGATGAGGTTAGTGTTTCCAGCCCTACGCATAGCAGATCACTCTGCCACAGACGCAATGCCAGTCGCTACGACCGTAGATTCACTTACAAGTGAGGGACTGCAGGTATTTCTTGATGTGACATCAATGATAGATCATAATGCCCAATTTTTGAATCGAAATGACCTTCGCAATTCCTTCTTTCAGCTCGACAAAAACGATCCCACAGTGGGCTTCAGTTTCGATGCTGGTGCTTTTTGCGGTCCTACCTGGCCCCCCAACGCGTGTTCCACCAGGGGAGAGGAAACAGACCCGGAGATGTTTTCCTCACTTGGAATGAGGTTGATACTTGGTTCCCATCTAGCCAACTATCTTCGATTCCAGCTGGAGGAGCATACAGGCTACACTGCCACAGTCGGCATCTCCACATCAAAGCTACTAGCCAAGCTGGTTGGAAATGCAAACAAACCAAAGAATCAAACAACGCTTATACCTCCCTATTCAGCGGGGACTGATGGCCAACAAGGAAATATCGATAGGTTTCTTTGCCAACATGAGGTTGGCGAGATTCCTGGCATCGGATTCAAGATGGCTAATCGAATCAGAGCCCATATACTTGGCCGACAGCCTAGTACTGAACTTTATCAAAGTTTAACTGATACGGATCGGGTTACAGTTGGCGCTGTCCGCTCATTTCCCAACATGGGACCGTTAAAGTTGGATAAGATCCTGCGTGGTGGTGGCTGGCCGAACTTTGTGGGCACCAAGGTTTGGTGCCTACTTAACGGCATCGATCCCACGGACGTGGCGGCTGGGAAGGTTATCCCGTCTCAGATTAGCATTGAAGATTCATACAGACAAGTGGACAGCATACAAGCTGTGCGAAAGGAATTACGTACACTGGCCTGTAATCTCCTTCGTCGTATGCATGCTGATCTGACTCAAGATGCCGAAGACGAGGAAGATATCATGACCGGTACTGCTGACGAAGATGGCAGGGAGGCCCTAGCCAAAGGAAAAAAAAGATGGCTAGCTTTCCCGAAAACACTACGCATCTCAACACGCTCACGTCTCCCGCCATTGCCGGATGGAACCCATCCGTTCAACAGCAGGAGAATATCTAGGTCATGTCCAATACCCCAATTTGTCTTCTCCTTTCACGAGAGTATTGAAGCACTGGCAGAACGTCTTATTGAAGAGACTCTCATCCCCCTGTTTCGGCGACTGCATCCGGACAAATCCGCGTACAAACTCAGCCTTATCAATATTGCTGCGACAAACATGATTGAATGTGCCGGCTCGGAAAAGAGTAGTATGGGCCAAGACATTGGCAAGATGTTTCAAAATCGCACACGCGTTCCGGCACATTCTCTTTCCTTAAACCCGACCAGTAAGGACGCAGAATATATTGATGACAGGCTAGATACAATTGACATGGGCGATAGTACTGACTCAGTCAACCCACGCAACGACATTCATGATGGTAAAGAACAACACAGCTCCAAAACGAGCACGACTAAGGAGATCATGGATAATTGGGACGAGGAAGAAGTTCACGGATGGGCAAGCGATGACGAGATTTCCGCGGACAAAGACTCAGCCGCTCCTTGTCACGAGTGCCAACTATGCGGTTCTCTCATACCCTCGTTTGCGGCCCAAGCGCACGCTACATACCACTCAGTGCGGAGTACAGAAGTTGGCTGCGGCCAACAACCCTAAGATTGTTTGATTCGATCGGTACATCCTTGATATAAACGGGGATGTGGAATCGAAATTCTCGGCTAGGTTGAAAGGCATTGGGTGTCATTTGCTCAATCATATTTTGAGAGGGAAGCTTTTCGTGTTCAACTTACTCCGTATTGTGCTCCGTATCAGTGATTCTCAACGACTTTGGGAGCCTTGTTCTCTAAGGGCCAAAAAAAAAAAAAAAAAAAAAAAAAAAAAAAAAAAAAAGAAGAAGAAAGAGGCCAATAAAAACGTTGAATTATCCAGGCTCGCAAATGCTACTGTTGAGAAAGACAGTTACATTAATGTCGACTTATTTAAATACCCACAACTATAGTGTGCAAGCCTGTTGCGGAAAACTGATGCATTCTGAGCGCGCGAGTTTGCTTGGATAAGACGAGCGATGGAACGAAACAGACATTTGTTTCCTTGGTGAGCAAGGTCTACGGTAATCTATCACGTTACAATACTCCGAGAATTGAAAACCAAGGTACATAGGACATTGTCGATCACAGCATGTGGAATTACTCCTCAGTGCCTAGATGAACTTCTGCGAGTAATCGGATCGACACTTGTCTCAGCAACTAATGTGGAGATCAAAAAACCGCTGGGCAGCCAAAGAGTGTTGCATCAAGCTTATAAAAGTGCACTTGTGGGAATGTTTAAGTGTTCATTATGCTGAGACTGGCTTGGACGTTAAGGGGGCTTGAAATTATTGTCGCACAGTAAGCCGAATATTGACAAACTGTAATGAGGGGGGTTATCGAGGGAATAATGCCTTCAGCGGAGATACCGTAGCGATGCCCGCTGGACGGCCATCCCGTGAATGAGTATCTGAGGGATTTGCGCCGGAAACAATGTTTACATCCTTTCATACAGCGGTCAAGTGCACACCAGTGGGTAGCCTAATATAGTCTGTACTGACCCCCTATGGATCCGAACTGGGAACTTTGTCTCACAAAACTGGGTTGTGTGGCATCTTGCGAGCAACAGCGTCGAAGGAAAAAAATTAGAATCGAAACTCGACGGAGCAGAGCGAAATTAAACACTTGGAAGAGTAAGTCCTTCAAATATCTTTGACACGCCCCGTGTGTCATGGTTTGGAAAAGCGTCTTTTCATGCTTGACCATGCGCGTAGTTTGGGGAGGAAGAGAGAAAAAAAAAAGAGAGAGAGGGAGAGAGAGATTTCTACAAAATCCAGCTCATGGTTAACGCTGTTGACCGAGACCTGGTTCAGCTAAGCCAAAATTCGCAATAAAATGCTCCTTTGTTGGACCTTTGTGTGGTAAGCGGTTCGGGGTTTTCTCAAGAGGTTCCAACTCTGGCACGCGCAGGAGGCTCATTTGGGCGCTGGGGGGTCAGAGTTTGTGTCATCATTATGCGCTGGGCTGTCGGCGATGTCTCTCCGAGTTTGGGATTGACGCAGTTTAGCTGCGTCAGGATTCCAACCGGGACGAGAGCTCTCTTGGTGCGATGCCATCAGGAGGGAGGGTGGTATATCCGAAGCTCACCCAAGGCAGGTCAACGCGCTCACAGATCAACAGCGAGAGAAGAGAGACTCAGAGACTCGGCTGTTAGTCTGTTGTTATCTCGAGTGCATATCTGCGCCACAATCCGCTCCGTCATCATCCGCTTTCGCGGGGGGTTGTTCTGCCCTACCGACCACGATCCACGCTCCAACCTGGACGCCAAACAGGGCGTGTGGCCAATCTGATTAGGAATCCCCGGCGCCAAGTGTATCACTTACGACACCCACCAGCCTCACAACCGACGCATTTCCTTGACGTTGGAAAAAAAAAGGAAAAGGTTCAAGGCGAGCCGCTCACTCCCCTGGCTCATAAAACAAACGAGAAAGGAAGGACAACCGTTCCCCCAGGCACTCTCCTTGTCGATCGTATTCGACCGTCGCAAGAGGAACACTCCAAAGCAGCGAACATCATACATACATCCGCTGCTGGCCTGTCGTGTGCACAACGTGAACAAAAGTGCCCCAGCCCGGCGTCCCCACCAATCCGCTCCACCCGCGCTGGGTCCTTTAGCCGCAACGCCCGCCGACCGGGGCTGCAGACTTGGCTTGTCGCCGTATCTCTACTAACTATTTCCTCCTCCCCCCCCCGAAAATAACTTCTCTCCTTCGTTTAGTTTTTCCTTCATTCTCTATTTTTATTTATCTTTTTTTTTTTTATTTTTATTATTGTTATTTTTTTTGTTCGCGTTGTTAGTTACTATCCTCCTTCTTCAGTTCGCCTGAGATTCCTTTGGTGCCGTCAAGAATTCCAGGAGATCCAGCCAGTTAGTTCATATTTCTTGACGCACACCGGGAACAGGCGCACAGCCTTTCCGTCCTCCCCCCCTCGAGTCACCACCGCTGCGTGGGAATCATCCATCCCCTCCGCTATGAGACTCCCAAGTTGTCTGGTTCCCGTCGTGACCAGTCTCTTATCGCTCCTGTCGCAAAATGTTCTCGGTATGTAAAGCCTTTTTCGTGTCTTGCATCGCTATCTGGCTTTGTCTTGCTAACTATACCCACCCGTTTGTTATCAGCACACGCTCAAAGAGACAGAATCAACTACATCTCACTCGTTGAGGACCCGGTGATCAATACTCCATCACGACGAGTACACGCATTGTCAAGTTTCGATCTTATATTTTCACTTCATCAGAAGAACCAGCGCATAAAGCTGAGCCTGGAACCAAATCATGACCTTCTCGGGTTCCAGCCCGAGGTACACTACGCTGACAACGACGGACAACTCCAGCAAATACAGTCCATTAATAGGTATGACCATAAAGTCTTCAAGGGATGGGCTTCGGTCGAGTCTGAGAGTGGTTGGGAACGATCCGGGTGGGCACGCATCGTTGTCTATGACGATGGCCCATTCCCCTTATTCGAAGGCACCTTTACAATAATGCACGACCACCATCATGTCTTGCTGCGATCTAGTTACATGCAGACAAGGCAGCCGTCGGATCCCGCCTTGGAAGATACGACTCGGGATTATATGATCGTCTTCCGTGATTCCGACGTCGGTCGGGATATACATGCGAATCTCAAGCGTGGCTCACCGATAGAACGTTCGTGTGGCTCAGACAGTTTGAGCTTTAATACCGACCCTGACCACCCTATGTTTCGCCCGGTGGAGCGACGCGACCAGAGCTCCTGGGCCGCGATGCCACTCGATCTCATGATGGGCATCAGCAAAAGGCAAGGAGACATCTCTGGTGGGAATCCTGGGGGTCCAATAAACCTCCGGGAAACGATTGGAAGCACTGCTGGTTGCCCGAGAACGAAAAAAGTCGCTTTAATTGGCGTCGCCGCCGATTGCGAGTATACAAAGTCTTTCAATTCTTCGGTCCAGGCCGCTCAACGCAACATTGTCAACGTGGTAAACAGTGCGTCTCAGATCTACGAGGAAGCATTCAACATCACCCTCGGGCTCAGAAAGGTCCAAGTTCTTCCCGGAGAATGCCCCGCGACTCCACCGGCCTCCGCCCCTTGGAACGCTGCTTGTGGCACAAGACAGAATTCAGGACCCGATATCTCTCGGAGATTGAATCTCTTTTCCGCTTGGAGAGGTGAGCAGAACGATGATAATGCGTTTTGGATGTTGATGACAACTTGTAATTCCGGCCCTGAGGTTGGCTTGGCCTGGCTGGGTCAAGTGTGCATCAACACTGCCAGCCGGCAGTCAGACCGTGACGGTGGGCCCACGCAATCAGTGAGTAGCACCGGAGTTGTCGTGCGAACTCCACAGGAATGGCAAGTGTTTGCTCATGAAGCAGGCCATATCTTTGGTGCTGTTCACGATTGTGACTCTGAACTTTGCGCATCGCAGGCCAATGTTGCCAGGGCTCGTTGCTGTCCTCTAACGGCCGATAGCTGCGATGCAGATGGCCGGTTCATCATGAATCCAACCTCAGGAAGGGGTATTACTGATTTTTCTCCCTGCACAATCGGCCAGATTTGTACTGCAATGGGTCGAAACATCGTTCGGACCAGCTGCTTCACAAATAACCGAAACGTGGTAACATACGCCGGGAGTGAGTGTGGTAATGGTATTGTCGAAGAAGGTGAAGACTGTGACTGCGGCGGCGAGGAAATGTGTGCCAACAACCGATGCTGTGACCCTAGGACTTGCAAATTCCGCGATGGTGCAGTCTGCGACGACTCAAACGAGGAGTGCTGCAGGAATTGCCAATTTGCTTCGTCAGACACCGTTTGTCGACCTAGCGCCGGTCCTTGTGACCCTGAGGAGAAATGTACCGGGAGAACCGCTCTGTGCCCAAAAGATAGTTACAAGAAAGATGGTGATAGATGTGGAAATGGGCTTGCCTGTGCTAGTGGGCAATGTACCAGCAGAGACATGCAATGTAGAGTCATGATGGGTGGCAGGCTCGGCGGAAACGACACAGAATCGTGCGATTTTTCGAGCTGTTCCCTAAGCTGCCGCTCCAGATCATCAAGCCCCGACGTTTGTATAATTGGAATGCAGTACTTCCTGGATGGCACCCCTTGTGTTGCCGGTGGAGTGTGCAAAAATGTAAGTTCGGACCTTTCGGTTTCATATAATTTCCTCTATCCCGCTCGACCTTTTCTGATAGCTTACGATTGTTCTAGGGCTCCTGTACCGGAAGCTCCTTTGGCAAGGAAATTCGGTCCTGGATTGATAGGAACAAGAACCTTGTTATCGGTCTCTCTGCTGGTCTCGGCGGTCTCCTAGTTCTCGCCATTTTCGGCTGCATTTTCCGTCGCTGCCGAAGACCTAGACCAAAGAACCGGAAGATGGCACCCATGAAAGTGAGAAGCGTACCAGATATGTGGACAAGCTCAGTACCGCCTGATCAGTACACTCGCGGCCCTCCACCAGGCCCACCACAGAATATACCGCCGGTATATCCACCACCAGCATATTCGCAAACCTATGGACGTGGTGACATGCCTTCACCTCGATATGCATAATTTTCTCTCCTAAGCCATGTTACGATTGTATGAAAATGTTCCTTTTTTTTTTTTTTCGCTTCATTTCATTTTGACTTTTGGACCGGGTAACAGTCAGCATCAACATCCACAGTACATTTCTTCGTTTTAAGCACCTCATTCTCAGTTACATTTATGGCATGTACTTTCCTCATTCCACACCCCAACATAATCGTTGTTCGAACGATGCAGATACTATGATCTTGCATATATGCGACTCTACATATCCCATGCTTATCTTTTACTTCTTCTGCTCTTGTGCCAAGTGGAAAAAGGGAAATTCTTTTACACTAAACACCTGGGGCCCCTTTTTTGCATTTTTCTAAGTTCTTTTTTGCCCATCACACTAGCAGATACAATGTTGGATTGGGTTGCTTTGTTCTAAGCATCAGGGTCTGGACCAAGTTTGGTTAACATTTCACTATTGTTTTTGTCATCATTTTTGCATGGGAATTGGGACGCTTTTCCTTTTCCTTTTTTTTTGGTGTGAATATTTTTAGAGGTATACTCGCCTCTACATTTCGTCCTGCTGGCTGTGGGGATCGGGTCCTCTCAAGAGTTTGGAATTTGTCGATAACCTTTGTGCAGGGAAGCAGATATGTGAGATATTCACCCTGTATATATTGTTTGGTATACACATATTTATCTCAAGTCCAGTACTGTTTAACTGGCATTGTTGTATTGTTGTGGAAAAAGGCAAGATGAGGATCAGATACATACATGGCCAGTTGGGATATGATACCCCTTAAACTAACATACATGGCCGTACTCGTATGTATATATGTACGCACAGTACATACATACATGCCTTTTACGTATTGAGCGACCGTGTCCACCGGGTGGGCAAAATAGCAATACTTCCATCGATGTTGAACTTTCGACTCCCAGCGCGTTGGGCAAACGCCGACCAGCCTATGGGCTCAAGAGCAGTTTCAACATAATGCGCCATATTCTCGCACTCCAGTGATATTATACCTAACCAACCGCCCTTGCAGCACATTCCATCGTTCCCAAGGTAGCCTGCATACCACTAACCTTGGTGTATCCGCTCAGCAGGTATCGGAATAGCCTTGTCAAACAACGCATCGTTTCAAGCCGGTCCTGTCTCGGACACAAATTGTACCCATGCGTAAATTTGAGCTCAAAAGCTCATCACTTAAAAGATCCTTTTAAGGATGAGGTGGCTACCGAAAAAGCCCTCGAGCAACATGAAGATTCAAGAAACCACAGATAAGGAAAGATTGTACAGGTTCTGATGTGGTTCATGGAAAACAGTCCGGCTGACATTGAGAATTTTATCTCACGAGTTCTGTACACAAGGACAAGGCTTGATTCACGCGATAAACTAACCGTATTTCAGCTCTCGGAGGACGAATGGCTGCAACAAGCCTAATGTTGAGAGTGAGTAATCATGCATCGTCCGATTTCTCACGCATGTCAGTTGGAGCAAAACAGGAGAAAAAAGGGGGGAAGAAGCACAATAACATAAAAGCATCCCTCTAAATCTCCAACATTTCCAGGAATAAACATGTCTTTAAGAAAACTCGCTAAATATAATAAAAACAAAGGAAATCCTTCAAAACGCCTGAGACAAAAAAAAAATGGCACGCCAGCCGCTCCGCCTCTCTCGAATCATCTTGATACCTCGTGATCCACTTGAAGGATCACTGCAGACAAATACCCACAAATCCTTCCCTTGTCACCCCGCCCACGCCTTCTAGATCAAACTCCTCAATCATCGCCCTCAATTCCTCCTCTTCAAGCCCCGTCTCTCCCAGCTCCCTGGCCACTCTCCTCAAATCCTCCAGATCGATATATCCTTTCCCGCCTTCATCAAAAAGCTCGAAAGCGCGGAGTATTTCTTCACGCGGATCTCGTTCGAGGATCTTGCGAGCTGTGATGGTCTGGAAGGAGGAGAGTGGCATGAGCAGGGAAGATGGGTGAGGTGGAGGTTGTTGTGAAGGCTGGGGCTGGCGGGACGATTGCTGGGATTGATTGGGCTGATTTGTGCCGCCGGGGGCGGCGGTGGGTCGTGGGACGCCGTAGGTTGTGAGGAGGGAGATGAGGTCGGGTTTGGAAAGGGTGAAGCCCAAGGCGCGCAGGGCGACGCGGAGTTCGTGGTAGTCCAGGTGGCGGTCGCGGTCGAGATCAAAGAGAGTGAACTGTTTTTTATTAAAATTGAGGGTTAGGCTCAGTATTGCGGAAAAGAATAGATCGTGGTGGGTTCCTACAGCTTCGTTGATTTCTTCTCTCTGCTCCTCTGATAGGTCGCTTAGAGGATTGTTGTTCCCTCCGCTGGCAGCACCGCTCAGCCCTCCCGTCGGATTCCCTTGATGTGACTGCAAACCATGTTGCTGTGCGCCGTGCCCTTGTACCATCACTGATCCATGCGTCGACGCCTTTCCCAGACCCATAGCTGGGCCGCCACCAGAACCTTCACCGCCGTAATCACCGGCTCTATCTCTTCGTGATAATGCTGCTGAGGACCCAAAAGGTAGAGGGGTTGGATTTAACCCCGAACGATCAGGGAGTTTGCCGGCTGCATAGGAGGAGCGGGGTGGGAACGAGGGGTGAGTGGAGGAAGATGCCATTCCTTCACTCGATGTTTACTTGTTTTCGCCTGGCTTGATAAGACCGAGCAGCGAAAGCGGTGGGAGCTGTGGTTTCCGAAAGGTATATTATGAGCACATTCGTCTGTTCAGTTCGATTTTCGAATAATAAACAATAGGTTCAGTGTGCAATTGAGCGGGAGAATCTGTGTTATTGTTCTGTGCAGTCCAGCCTGCGCCGAACTTGAAGCTGTTTTGGACGAACGCGACGTGATGGCTGACTCAGCGGTTTCTGGTTCTGGGCTCAGTGCAACATATGAACTCAGAGTAAGGCCGGGCTCCATTTGACTGACATATCGACGCATGAAAGTGATAAACATTCTTTTTGTTTCCCGCCAATATGGGTGGTCGGCGTGCTTTCAAAAGAAAAGTGGCCCGGGATAGACCACGAGGATATGAAGACGGCTGGAATTAGCTATGTATTGTTGGCACCTGGAAGATACTTAATGGAAAGCCAGGGCATTGGCTTGGTACCATTGTCAACTCTAGTATAGACCATTGGTGTCCGCTTTCCTTAACTAAAGTCTGGGGGTGGTGGCGCAAGTAATGCTGTGATATATGCTAGGTGCTTTTCGTCATTATAAATATTGCCCTCTAAAGGGTGGACGTCTTCGAACAAGGATCTCCGCTCAATCGATTCCCACAGCTGCCGTGCATGTCAGACTAAGCCGTCTAAAATTTTTCAATATAGCCTGGCATCACTTATGTTCGAGAGGGGAGATTTGACTAATTCGGGGAAATGGAGGCAAAAACCGAAGGCCAGATCCAATAAAGCCAACACATTCATATATCAAAGGCTAGGATATCACGCAAGAAGCTAGGTCAAATCATACTGCTTTTTACTCGTCGCTGATTTCTGGACGGCCACAGAGGCTGCATTCCCTCATGCAAATTAATCGTCACATTTCAAGCCATCATACATTCAGAATGCAATTTCGAAGGAAAAAAAAAATTGGCCACATCCCCTATTCCTTTCCAGCGCGCCCTCCCCGCGGGGATGAATATCAAACCCAACAGACATACTAAAATACACTGGTGAATCAATGCAAATCGCCTGCACACTCCACACAAGTCATCAAAACCCGTTTAACGCCGGCAAGCTCAATCATACCGATCAGGAATGAAAGGATAGAGAAAAGGAGGAAAAGGATGCAAGACTGATTTTGGAAGAAAAAGGCTGAGGTTTTATCGGAATCACGCCCGAATAGGGGGCTTGACCGACTGCGGAATGCTAGACTTTTATTAATGCGTCGCGCACTGCGAAAATAAGTAATCGATGGGTTAAGAATAAAGAAATTGACGTTGAAGCAGGTACATCTTGTCGTTTCGCACTATTCACACCGATTAGGGAACTCCTGGCGGCTTGGGATCGGAAGGAGACTGCTGCTGATATGGCTGCTGTTGTTGCTGCTGTTGTTGAGCCATTGCCGCATACCACATTGCAACGTAATTCTCGTAGCCGCCGTACATTGCGTAAGGATCGGCGCTATCGCCTCCCGCCGCCGGAGCCGACGCTTGAGAGGGCTGTGATGACTTGGCCTGATCCTGAGGGTAACTCCGGAGTTGGGGCTGCGAATATCGCTCACTATATCCATCATCGCGTCTAGCTTGGGATCGTGATTTCTTGACAATTCAAGTTAGATGCGGCTGACAAGGGCTCAAGTTGAAAAGTCTGACTTACAAAAGTATCGACCTTCTCCAAGATGCTCTTCTTCATCTGTTCAATGGCTTGCTTGGACCCTATCATTACAACTTCTCTGTCAACCTCCCGGCCAACAGCCGGTAGTATATTGACTTTGCAACCAGTAATATTCTGCAGTTCTTTAATGGTATCGCCGCCTAATAGGACAATGTTAACAAGGGAGAGTATCAACCAGTGCGTGTCAGATAATACCTTTTCCAATGATCATTCCAACAGATTCTTTGGGGATGAAAATGCTGTCATCGCCTCGCTCAGGGGCTGGAGCTCCTGTATCTCTTTCAGGCGCATATCCTCGTGGCTCGCGTTGTGGTGGGGCACCGCCCTGTCGTGAGTCGGTTTCCACTACTTCTAATATAAGATCCTTCGCCCGTTGAATGGCCCTTGGGGCTCCGTTCAAATTGACTGGCCGAAGACCATTAAGGCTTTTATCTTCAGGCGCAATAATCACGTGGCATCCACTGCGATCCTGAAGATCCTTTATCGTCTCACCGCCGCGGCCAATGATCAGACCTACAGTCCGATCGGGGACCATCATCTGCGTTGAGGAGTTCTCATCTTCTCCATACCCAGGTTGCCTCCCAGGTGGTTCGTGCGGGCCGCGAGACGCAAAGCGATCTGCAGAAGCCATTGCACCTCGCGCAGCATTATTCTCGCTGATCATACGAAATATTTCCGCCTTCGCATCGCTCCGCGCGGCTCTAGTTCCGGAAATCCTGCAAGGTCTGATATTAACATTTGATTCGGGGCTATCCAAAAACTGTATCCGCGTTCCGGTGTCGGACTCAATTCTTCGAAGATTATCTCCTTGTCGACCAATGATCAATCCGACAAGCTTTGAATCTATATTTATCGTTTCGGTACTGTCATCCATCCCACCCCCCCTTCTACTGGGAGGCGACCTATCACTTGCGCCCCGATGAGGTCTGCTTGGCTGGGCGGGATACGCGTCCGTTGCCCGGCCCGCAGGACGAGGAGAAAAGGATCGCTCTCTGACGTAAGCGCGATCATTCCCACGCCTATCTCCGCGACGTTCATCACGGTAAGGATTGTAGTTGTCTCGGAAAACATCGCGCGTAGCGCGTGGCGGTGTTCTCGAAGGCGAGCGCGAGCGATGATACGATCGGGAGTCACGTCGAGGGTCCGCGCCTCTTTGATCTGAATAGACAGGAATAAGGACAAGTAAGCTATGGGGTGGAGTGGGATGCCGAAAGGGTAAATACCGTGATTTGAACCGTACGCAATGCCTTTCTCCGCTGCGATACCGCGAGCTTTGGCAATCGCATCTGCGATGCTGACGGATCCAGTGTTGACCGGTTTGACACCGCTAATATCGACACTTCCGGTGCTATCAGGAGGCGGAAGGGAGAAGCCCGTTTGGTTTACGAGCGGTGCTGAGCTCGGATTCGAGCCTGCGAACGTGGCCGGGGCAGCTAAACCGCCAGGCTGCGCGGCAGCTAATTCAAACAATGCGCATTAGTACCAGACCTAAAGGGAATTGAACTGGATTGCGTATCCGGTATCTGCATATGTACTCACCTAGGGCTGCTAGGATCTGAGATATGTTCTGTTGGTCGGCCATGGTATGGTCTCGTTCTTTTTCTGTGGTGCAGATAAAAAATACAAACTCTGGGAAACTGGGGGAGGCTTTGGAGCACGGGGGCTTGGAGCGACCGTAAAAATCCACAACAGAATTAACTACGGATTGGTACAAACGTGCATCGCAGGGCGCTCCATTCCAGGGAAAGTAGGGCAACTTGCACAAGGTATGGAGGAGCTGGGCATCTGTCTGAATGGCCCGGATCCTGTTGTTTTGTGAGTGACCGCCGGCTTGCAGATTTTCGAGGCGCCAGAAACAACCCCTGCTCAAAAGGGTTTAGCGGCGTCATATCATCAGTTCCCCGCAAAACTGCTTGTCGCGATTGTTGCAGCGATGAGGGAGAAAAAGAAATAAAAATAAAAATAAAAAGAGAAATAGAAATAGAAATAGAAATAATAATATTCACACCCAGTTGAGCACCAAGTGAATTATTAACTAAATATCTATGTGGGCTCATGGATTGGCTATTGACAGGAGGCAGCAACCAACTCAAAAGGCTACAAAGCCCTGCTGCTGGGATATTGACTTGTTGACTACGCAGCCGGTCAACAACGTGGATGTATGGAATCCGATGAGATCAACTAACTCGCTCAGTCACTGAGAAGCAAAGGTGGTACTTCCTCCAGACTAATCATTCACAGTCAATGCTAGATACATGAACAATGCTCAAAGGCTTTATCACAAAGCACCTCTTATCACAATGTGTATCCCTTGTTGAAAAGAATCTAAACATTGCACAATTTATCGAACAATGTACTTCTGCAATCCTCGCAATCGCTTCTTGGCCTCTTCCAGATCCTCATCCGGCTTGCAAATCGAGAATCGGATCCAGTCTTCTCCAATGTGCGCATTGGCATCTGTGTAGAATTCCGTGGGTGGGATGGTCCCCACGCCAACCTCCATTGCTAGGAACCAGAACAATTTAAAGTCCCGGGGCCGGCTTTCAATGTGTGGTGGGAACGAATAATCCTCTGGGATTTTCACAGAAGCCATGTTCGCCAGCACAAAGTATCCGCCGTCTGGGTCCGTATACTGTATTCAGTATTCCATTAGAACAGGCACGGACATGTGCTGAGGGGTAATAGCGAGCCTGAGGAGCAAAGGAAAGTATCAAGCAGCCTTACCGGAATGTTCAATTCATCAAAAACTTCACAGAATCTCTCTATCTTCCCACGCATTTCTTGCCTGCTTTGGTCCCAGAAGCCAACCTTGTCCGCCTCCTCAAACCCAATGGCGGCTGCTGCTTGGAGGGGAGCAACGCTGCTGTAACAGATTCGCGTATGTGCAGCGGCGACGTATTTAATGAGGTGCTCGGGTCCAATGAGATACCCTACACGCCAGCCAGTCGCGTAGAAATTTTTGCCCGCAGAGCCCACAGTGAGGGTGCGCTCGGCAACTTGGGGTGAAAGAGTTGCGATGCGGGTAAACGGCACGTAGTAGAGCCGGTCGTACACCTCATCAGAGACAATAATTGTGTTGTACTTGATGCAAAGGGCGGCAATCCTCTCGAGTTCTTCGCGAGACAGGACCTTACCGACTGGATTATGTCTTGGCATCTAGTGTCAGTATGGAGGAACCCGCAATCCGTGCTATTTACCTGGACTTACGGTGTATTCAAGACCTGAGGTAGACGATGGTCAGCTGCGATTCAGCAAGAATAGTCGCTGTGATGAAGAAACTCACTATCATCCTAGTTTTCTCGTTGAAAGTCTTTTCGAGCTCATCGAAATCGATGGACCATTCGGATGCCTTTGTTTTCCTCTTTGAGCCATCTTTCGGTGGATGTAAGGGCACGTATCTAATAGTACCCCCTGGCATTTCAATGTTGCTAATATATCTATGCAACTCGTTAGCAAACGATTTCCATAGTAGCACCTCCATGAGGGCTACGGGTCACATACTGGTCGAAAAACGGTTCGAAGATGATGACTTCATCACCCGGTTCCACAAAACCCATAAACGCGCTGAGCATGCCTAAGATTCAAATGAATCCATGTTCGTGTATTCTCGTGGTAAACGAGTGCCATTACCTTCGTTTGCTCCGCTGGTAATCACCACTTCGCTCTCTGGATCAATCCTTTTCCCAAAGAAGGGAGAGTAAGCGGTGGCAATGGCCTGCTTCAACCGTGGGTTTCCCTGTCGCAAGTTCAACATGCCTGTGGAATTAGAGAGGATGAATGCTTAGGAACGTACTTTTGTTGGCGCATATTGGTTCGATACCACTTTGTCAAGCTCATTTTTCGCAGCATTAAGGATAAATTCAGGGGGATTATAGCCACTAGCCGATTGGAAATAATGAGTCGTTGACACTGCATCCAACAGACAGCAGGCAATCCAGGCTTACAAGAAACCTTGTCCCATGTTCACGACAGGTTGAACAGGGGACGCATTGGCGGCTTCGCGGGCAATTGACCTGCATGACACCAGATCAGAATTCTAATCACTGGTAACAAGTAGTTGGGTCCTTGATGGGGCTTCACCAAACATCTTTCCGCTGACCAGCAACCCTTTTTGCAGGGCGGAAAGGATCGGAGGTCGCTGGTGTGGAAGACATTTTTCTGACCGAGCTGGAGAAATGGTACGCCGGACTTAGCGGGGAGAATGCGCGAGAAGGACTTATGACGAGCCCACGGTCTGGCAAGAGGTGTTTCGAAGAGATCGGGGGGAGTCTGTGAGAGATGCGCATGGGGAAGGAGAGCAAGTCAAAAAGGCGCTGTGACTGATGATCGTGTGGGCGGGCCGGCAACTCACTGACTAGTTATTGGTTTGTTCTAGCAACCCTCCCCGTCGCTTCAATTGTCGTGCGCGGATGTCGCAATATTCGCCAAGCCCTTTCCCCGGGAACAAACGCCAGACAAGCATGCACGATGCCTCAACGCCGACGCCCCCCAAGAGACAAATGCCGATTTTCGGAGTTTGAGCCACCACTTGCCGAAGCCCCGCAGCCACACCCTCTGATTGGGTGGCTTCGCAGTGGGGCTGGAGACGCGTTATGCGCGTTTATGCGCGTTTGGCTTTTCTCCGTGCAACTCTAATTCCGGACCGGCAAAGCTTTTGTTGAGAAGCAGACGACCTCCCTGCTTCGACCGCTCAAGCATGGCCTTGTCACTCCCAACACAGGCAGCCACTATGTCCTTCGAATGCCCGATTTGTGGAAAACCGGTGAGGCAGAGCAAGATCAATAGCCACATCGACTCGAACTGCAAAGACTTTGTGGAGGTGGACGGGAATGACTCGTCCTCACAACCCCCAGCCCCTTTTTCGGATTTCTTCCAGCCCTTGTCGAACAAGTCAAGCTCGAAATCGATACCGAAACCAAACAGCACCAGAATCTCCAGCCAGCCCTTACCCGGTGGAAAGAGAACTCTACCTGCTGAAGAACGTGGCGCACCTCGATCCTCTGCCCATGACGACGCCAAACCTGTAATCCCCGCCGGCGACCTGCCTGAACATGTCGTCAAAAGACCGAGAGTGTCAAATGCCCTCGAGAAGGCGGCCCCGCTCGCGGAGCGTATGCGACCACGAACGCTGGATGAGGTTTGTGGGCAGGAACTAGTGGGTCAGAATGGGGTGCTCCGCGGCCTCATAGAAGCGGACCGGGTGCCGAGCATGATACTTTGGGGCGGAGCAGGGACGGGCAAAACAACCATTGCACGGGTGATAGCAACCATGGTGGGGAGCCGCTTCGTGGAAATCAACAGCACCAGCTCGGGAGTGGCAGAATGCAAGAAGATTTTCGCAGAGGCGAGGAATGAACTGAGGTTGGCGGGGAGGAAAACAATAATTTTCTGTGATGAGATCCATCGCTTCTCCAAATCCCAACAGGATGTGTTTCTTGGTCCAGTAGAAAGTGGTCAAGTGACTCTCATCGGTGCTACCACCGAAAACCCGTCTTTCAAAGTTCAAAACGCTCTACTGTCACGCTGCCGCACATTCACCTTGTCGAAATTAACCGACGATGATATCATTTCTATTCTGAACCGTGCCCTAGAGCTTGAGGGTCCGAACTACTCGCCAACGAACCTAGTTGATGAAGAGCTCATCAGATACCTGGCTGCCTTTGCTGACGGTGATGCTCGGACGTCACTCAACTTGTTAGAGTTGGCGATGGATCTATCTAAGAGACCCGGGATGACTAAAGACGAGCTTAAAAAAGGCCTTACCCGTACCCTTGTCTATGACCGTGCTGGAGATCAGCACTATGACACCATATCTGCTTTCCATAAATCGATTCGGGGAAGTGACCCCGATGCGGCTCTATACTACTTGGCTCGGATGATCCAGTCGGGAGAGGACCCATTGTACATAGCACGGCGCCTGATTGTTGTGGCTTCTGAAGACGTTGGACTTGCCGATAACTCAATGCTGCCCCTCGCCGTCGCTGCATACACCGCAGTGGAAAAGATAGGCCTCCCAGAAGCTCGAATAAACCTCGCACACGCTACAGTAGCACTATCTCTATCACAAAAGAGCACGAGGGCTTACAGAGCATTAGGCAACGCGTTTGTCGCCTTACAGGAACCCGGAATCGCCGGGCTTCCAATTCCGATTCACCTGCGGAATGCGCCCACGAAACTCATGAAGGGCCTGGGGTATGGCCAAGAGTACAAATACAACCCTGACTACGCAGGTGGGAAAGTCGCCCAAACCTATTTACCGGACAAATTACAAGGTCGTCACTTTCTTGAAGATCACGACCTCGGAACTCGCGTTGACCCCGATCTACATAAATCGTGAGGAGCAGAATATATGCGATGACGTCAATCTTAAGGCTGAGATACAACCATTCACTGCGCCGTCATGGCATGACGTGACGGGCGCACTAGTTATAGCCCTGGTGAGCCCGCGTGCATCCCGTCTTTAGTGTATAATGGCCTGGGAAATCGAAACATGCCCTAAAATTCTGTTGCTTATAGAGCTGAAGCCTTGTATGATGACGATGATGATGATTGATAACGTCTCCCAACATGTCTCAAAAGTGATGGCATACATGGTCAGCTGCACATGGATTGTGAGCATCGCCAAGCACATCTAGTTGGATATGGCGACTCTCTTTCAATCTCTCAATCTCTTCATCTGCTCGGTACCCGCTGCAATGACGTCGAATGAGCCCCAGCCCCTGTGACGTCACTTCCGCTGTCACCAAAACACGTGATTTCACGTTGGTTATTCTGCCACCGCTTTCGTCGCGTTGGTTCGTTGTGCCAAGGGCCCCTGGAGAGAGTCTGTGCACGCCATTCCTCATTCGCGGCGGCCGCCTTCATTGCCGCCAATAATGCGCGGGCACGAAGCAACAAGTACTGCCGGCGGCGACTGGCAGCAGAGATCGTCGCTGGTGAGATTCGAGTGAGCAGTTGCTTTGAGCTTCATGCTTTAAATCTTCTTGGTCTTCCTCTTTTCCTGTTTTCATCGAAGTCAAGTCTTACAACAGAAGCATGTTGGAGCAAGCGCAGACTGCGGAGTACTCCGTAGTTGACTAGGTAGCTTATTTTGAAGCCTACACCGTGGCCGACAGGATTCTCCTGCCGATCGGTCTCTGCTGCCCTCCCACGAGCCATGGAGCATTATCTGAACCTGAGGTCCTACGATCAGGATCCATCCCCGACCCAACACCTATCGGTAGATCCCGATGACTCTAATATTCAGGTAAGCCATGGGGAACTGCAAACCTTCCGGGTTCAACATTTCTGAGCCACTGACAATTGATTCCCAAGAATACCCTGGCCACATCTCTCTCTCAAACCTCTGCAGAAGAGTCAACATTTCGAATAGATGCGATATCGATACCGGCTCGCAACACTCCATTCTTTCCCCTGCTACATGATTTTGAGGAAAACCGAGGGGATCAAAACCAATATGCTCACATTGCCGATGGCACAAAAGCGGTCACCAATGCTGGCGTCCATGGTGTCGTTGTTCATCCGGAATATATATCTACCCAGGTGTTGCCAAGCTCTCCAATTATTCATCCCCTTGGCATCCCCAAAATCCCCCATGTCGTCTCTCGCAGCCCATCCCCAATGTTGACCCGCTTTCCCCAGAAGTTGCCCCAAGAAATTGGTGACGATTTTTCATTGGACAATGCCACAGGATCACATGCACAACAACTTCCACCACCCCCAGTCGATTACGGGGATTCGGACGTATTTCAAGCTAGCCAGCCGGCCACATGCTCTCGACAATTGGCGCCAAAATTTGCCAGTAGAATAGCCAATCATGCTCCCATGGTCCTGGGTAAACAGTCCTCACGCGCTAAAGTTCGGGAATATACTTTCGTGAGCGAAGATCCGTCGAGAAAGTTACCTACCATAGCTTTGAGAGCTCGAAACATCAATTTCGACAATGACTATTCACGCAGATTGTGGGAAGAGGAGCGGCTGCACAAAGAAGCTATGAAGAAAGCTGGAGGATCATGTATATGGTGTAACCAAATGAAGAAACGCTGTGACCCTAGCAAGCGTTGTTCCCCTTGCAGGAGACGCGGTTGGCCCTGTTTCCGCAGCTATGACCAGATTTGGCTTTACGTAGCCCCTCTTTACACCTTCGGAAAGATCAAGCCGTCCGAGCGTGATCGATCGAAGGTTCTTGAGGCTGCAAAGTTGAAGACCTTTGAAAAAGCCTACGAGCTCTGCCGCAAGCTACATTCCAAGCTACAATCTCCCATCCCCCAAGGAAATGCCATCTTGCAGTGTCGCTGGCGCTACCCTAACCCCTCTGGATTGGTTGTTCTGGATTCATCGCTATTACTTGACCCACTAGAGGAATATCAGCTTCCGGAGGATGACAAAGAAACCTTGATCAGGACCGTCCTCAGTATCGTTCCGGAGCCTAAGCTCTTCAAAGAGAATAATACCTCAGAGAGCCCTACTATCCTCGGTATTTCGATGAAGATGCTGGGTCTAGCTGCCTTCATTATCAGTACCGCTCGGGGCCAGCCCTTTGCACGACAGACCGATATCCCCCATAGCCAAATTGTACTCCTATATCTCCTTACCTATCTGGTTCAGATCCTTGTCCAGTTGTCCGACGATTTCTCCTTGGAATTATTTCGGCTCTTCCGCCAGAAGAGGAATAGGAAACCTGTGCTCGATGACGCATTCCTAGCTACTGGCCTCTATTATCGTGTTTTGTCTGCATTACATTATTTCGCACCTGGCCCCGATTCGATGATAGAAGTCATACTGTTCGGCGTAAAGAAGCAGCTTGGTCCTGTAATATCTCTAATCGAAACTTTATTGCGTTCCGATTTTCTTGCGACTAATTATATCCAAGGATATCTTGGGTTGGCGTCGTCTGCTAAGGAGAAAAACTTTTGGATGTACTTTGATCGGCGTGTACCCCCACTCCCTATTCTGGACGACATGCAAATTTCATTGTATTTTTATGACAAGACTTCGTTTCCGGTCCCTACGGCGTTACACCGAAATTTCCAACCTTTCAGCTTTCCATATCTGTCTACGATTTCTGAGTTGATGTCATCTGAATATAACGAGATCTCTGATTTCCAGACGGCCGAGAATCGCCCAATGCCTGGACCGGATGTTGTGTCTTTCACAACCCGACCACAGAACGATCAATTTATCACTCATGCCACTGCTCTTGGAATATGGGCGGAGCCTGTCTTGTTTGACGACAACGTAACAGGAGAACAAAAAGACATTATTCTACATGGCCTCGATGCGGAAGGCATTTATAGTCAATCTTCGGATAGCCGGAACCCCATGCAGACTGAGTCGATCCCATTGGAAAAGGTTGGATCCAACGCCCAGGATGAGGGGGAGGCACCGACGACCTATTCTCCGGATCCCTTTTTTGATTACCAGAAGTATTTTGACCACGACGGAGGGACAAGCGGCCCGGAGTAACGAAACCAACCTAATCTCTTATCTTGAGATCACTCCGGCAGACTGCTCATGTCTACTGGACTACAAGGCCAACTGTTACTTTTGCTTGTTGATGTAAAAATTCGATGTTTAATTTATGCAGTTTCACATGGTATTTCTCTTTTAAGCATGACATACTAGATATCTGCATTTACTCCTCCTTTCTGGGACCCCTCTGAGCTCTCTACTTTCTCTAGCACAGTTTGGTCACCCCTTCGGGCCGAGCGCAGACCTGCATTTTCGAGAGAGGTGGGAGTTTTCCTGGAGCTTTTAAGGTTACGCACCAGTTCTCTTCGAAAAGAGATGTTATGATTTATGCTCTAGACGGAGTGCTTTCTGTCTCATGCCTATACACTGATAGAATATCTTGGGGACGTTCCCATCTTAACTTCTCTAGGCTACTTAATTTAATTCTAGCTTCATCGTCGAATCCTTCCGGGCTTCCAAGTCCAACCCGGCGTTTCCAAAAAGGTACGTCTCTTCAAGGTAGAGCTACAGCCTCCTCCTCCTCCAGGCCGTGTTGGAGACCTATTCTACCCAAAGAGGATCACTAGAAATGGACCACTTGCGGCCATACACATCCCGACCTTTAAACATAGCCAAAGAAAGATACCATGCTACTATGCTGGACACTGGCGAAAATACTTCCAGATCAACCAGAAAGCCCATCTGAGACGCGGGAATTTCCCTCTAAAAGGGCACCCGCCTCCTGGTCTGCGTGTCTGATTAACCGTCAAGTTGGTTACATACTCGGTGCATCCGTGTTTTTGAAAAGCAATGAAGGGACGGACGGACTGGGCAGGTGGAGCTCCCCTCGGAATATCTTCATCCCGGATACGCTAGTCCAGACACGGCCAAGCCTTGTCCGTGAAGAGGCTTAGCGTTGAATTCTCGGCTGATCCCTACAGAAACGGGCTCTGATTGGCTACCGGGGCGTGTTTCATGTTTTGCAACTCTTCATCGCGACAAGCTCCAGCATACGGTGAAGCAATGAAAACCTCCTCCGGCGGCTATCTGCAAAGCTGCCCTTCGGAACTGGAATCCTGAAGGAAAGCAATGGATTCACCGTCTCCAATTCGCCATGTCTTCAAATGATCCACCATTTCCCCTGTGAAAAGCTTCTTAGCCTGTCATGCTTAAAGTGCATGGTATTCGAATGATTGGCCACCAGCCTGCACTGAGCTGGAGGAATGCTATTCCTGGAGTGGCTAACCGCCCAGCCAAGCTTTGAGCTTTTTCTCAGGACCAGTGGCTGCTGTCCGAGCTCTCAGATACTCGGGTTCTCCAGACACAGGGTGTAAACCGAGTATCTCCTAGAATATCCCACGCTTGCTTATTTGTCTTTCTGTTTATACTAGTATCGGGATAAACTTCAGCTGTGGAGCGGGCAGCAATGGGATGTACCTTGTTCCCGCTGTTTTTGTCGTTGGCAGCTGATACAACATCGGATCCCGTGAAGAATCGGGGAGACCGGGCGCTATGGCATGGAGTCACTGTCCTTGGACTCTACAATAAAGAGACCGGCTCTCGCCTTCAGTATTGAATTCAAAATATAATTTCATTCTTCTTCCTATTGTCTCCATTATCTTCCCTTCCTGGATGAAGGATTTTCTTTTTTTTTTTACTTCATTTGTCAACCTTCATTTAATGGCATTTCCTTTCAATAGAGCTTAATAACACCTGATTGACCTGAATAGCCATCTTCTTGCCGGCACTATAGATACTTTCCCTTCCAATTCCTCAACTGTCCTTATTCTCTCTGCCTTTCTTTTCCACTTTTTCTATGCTTGTTTGACACAAGTTGCAATTGTTACATCTTCTGCCACCATCATAGACAGTTGGCAACCCATACTTAAGCCTTTTCTACCGAGAGATCATTCCTTGCTCTACCACATGCGCTGGCCGTAGCCATTCTAGACAACTCAATTATCATGCAGTTCTCACGCTTTATTCCTCGCTCGTCTCCTGGCCTGCCTCCATATGGCGCCCACGATCCTCCCATGATGCAGAACCCCGCGCCGACTACAGCTCCCCCGGGGGCAATCACGCCTTATCTCGGGTTCAAAGCCCGACTGTCGCAAATATGGATCAACAAGTGGACTATATTATTGCTTCTTGTCCTCGCTCGAGTTCTGATCGCTGTCACTGGATTGAATGACAACATGGCATCCGCAAAACGTGAAGCCCTCTCTGCCTGTACCAGCGTCGAATCGATGGGAAGCGCGATGGCATCGATGCCGCATTATATGTCCAAGGGAGTTAACGAACTTACTGCGTCTGGTGTTGAGAGAGCAGTCAATGGACTTATGTCCATGTTGCTTTTGACCGTTACGGGAGTGGAAGAGGTGGTTGTTTTCTTTGTTAACGTATTGACGCAAACATATCTCTGTCTTATTACGCTTGCAGTTTCCGGCAGTCTGCATGTCGCCCTGAAAGTTGTTGAGGACGCTGCTGATTTTCTCAACAAGACTTTGGCAGACGTGACCGAGGGTATCGAAAAGGGAGTCGATGGTTTCGAAGATAAGATTAATGACTTCCTTAAGGGCATCAACAGTATTACCAGTGCGTTTGGCGGGGAGAAAGACCCCCCAAAGCTCGATATTGGCGGAGATCTTGATAAGTTGAAAGAAATTCGTTTGCCTTCCTCCTTGGATGAAGGTCTCAAGAAGATCAACGATTCGATCCCGACATTCGATGAAGTTAATAAATTCGCAAACGATGCTATTCGATATCCTTTTAAAGAGGTTAAAAAATTAATCAACCAGTCACTGGAAGAATATAAGTTTGACCGCTCAGTATTTCCTGTTCCGCAAAAAGAGAAACTGAGTTTCTGCGGCGACAACGATGGAATCAACTCTTTCTTCGGCAAAATCGGGTCCATTATCTCAACAGCAAAGAAAATCTTTATTGCTGTCTTGATTGCCGGTGCTGTCGCTGCGTGCGTCCCGATGGCCCTCTTGGAAATTCGAAGATGGCGTCATATGAAAGAACGGGCGTCACTTGTGCAAAAGAATGACCACGATCCTATGGATGTGGTATACATTGTTTCTAGGCCATATACCTCTACTGCTGGGTTGAAGATCGCCAGTTGGTTCAAGCCGGGCCGGAGACAAGTACTCGTTCGTTGGATTGTTGCCTATGCGACAACAACTCCAGCTCTGTTTTTACTCGCACTCGGGATCGCAGGACTGTTTTCCTGTGCTTGCCAGGCTATTCTCCTTCATGCTGTCAAGAAAGAGGTCCCTGGGTTAACAAACGAGGTCAGCCAGTTTGCCGACAAGGTAGTCATGAGCCTCAACAATGCCTCTGAGCAATGGGCAATCAGTACCAACCGTGTTATCGCCGATACAAATGACGACATCAACCAGAAAGTGTTTGGCTGGGTAAATACCTCTACCACTTCCATCAACGACACCTTAAATGTCTTCGTTGATAAAACTAGTGATGTCCTCAACGACACATTTGGAGGGACGATCCTACATGGCCCAATAAAAGATGTCCTATACTGCCTCATCGGTCTCAAGATTCAAGGTATACAAAAAGCACTAACATGGGTCTATGACCACGCCCATGTTGACTTCCCTAACATGCCAAACGATACATTCTCTCTCGGAGCCGTCGAGTCCATCGCGAACGACAACAAATCAGATCCCGAAAGCTTCCTCGCAAGCCCGGGCGACAAAACGGCCGACGCAATCACCCACGTTGTCGTTCGTGTCACCGAAGCCATTGAAAACGCAATTCGCACCGAGGCTTTGATATCCACTTTCCTAATCGCCCTTTGGTTTGCGATTCTCCTCATCGCCGTCCTGCGTGCTCTCACTCTCGCTTTTCGCCGGGACAAACCCCGTGGTGAAGGCGGAATCGATGCAACATACCACCCACCTGCACCACGCGCCGCGCATGCCGTAGGGTCTATGGAGATGTCAGATTTCTACAATGTTCCTCTTACAGGAGTCCCAAATGCGAACGGTGACGGCGGCTTAGCGCCTAAATATAGCACGACTCCACACGTTCGTGGAGGATCTCGTGGCTCTGATACGGATGAGGAGGAGTACCAAGCGCAGAAATTGGGGTATGCAGGGCAAAGAGACTACGAAGCTGCGTTGAATAGAGAAATGTGCAGGGAGAGTAGTTGCGGGCAAGTTATGTATGGGAGTGAGAAGCGGTAGCTGGAGATTCCTGATAATTGGTGAATAGACAACAAAGTTAATACTGAGCCTTACGGTATATTCACTCCATTTTCCGTCCCCTTATGTACTTTATTGTTTCATACCCCTTTCGTCTTGCATCATTTTGCTATTTTGCTACTTGGCTTGCATTCATTGTCGGAGATTTGGGGATTGCATGGTGTCATATAGTTGTCGGTACATAGATGCATAGCAGCGGCGCTGTGGTACAAAATCATAATTCTTACCATAAGGAACGATCTGCTTTAATTTACAAGATAATCTAGACCTCCTTGTGTTTATCGTAGCCTGTAGTTTTGGATTCCGAAACCTGTGTGCAAAAAAACCGCCTTGGATTAAAGGCAAATGTTGCGTTTATGCTGGATCTTCAAATGCTAACAAACTGAAGGCATAACTATGCAATTGTAGTCACCCCCCTGAAGGAGATGGAAAATGCTCACTTACCTCCGTCTCGCTACCTGAGCTCCCGAAAGAAGCACCGGCATTGGTTGGAGAATTGCATATTCTCGATAACTCCATATCCCTATTTCCAGGTCCCGAAAACGTCTCGGACCCAGGTATAAGACTCGACAATGACCTCCTCAACTTAGTGATATTCATGTCATACTCGAACCTTCTCAGTTCTTCCTCACTGCGAGACGTCCGACGCCCGAACACGGTCTCCCTGGGACGCGCACACGGTTCCCCATCAAAACGTGGAAGCAATATGCCATCCCTGCCGCCTTCATAGGGGCTAGGAGGGAGTGTCGAGGTTTTATCCTTCGTAAGAGAGGCCAAAGACCAGAATCGGGGGAAAAAGCGGGAGATAAGAGTTTTTAGAGCTGGGGCGCACGCTGCCCAAATTGCAATGTTAATTTCTATGGCTCCAAAGGTGTAGATCGCAGCATGGTAGACTTCAAGGCTCTCGGGAATCCAAAAACGTGATAGTACTACCAAACGGGCGATGCCAATGATTGTTGATCTGCGAATTATGATAAAAGATATCGTATTAGCTGAAATTCCGAAATGTCGAACATGGAATTTGAGGCGCAGGCCGACTCACATTGCACCCATACCCAAAATAACGACCACAATGAACTTTTGTTTTTTGGGCATGTTCATTCCTTTGACGATAGCACCAGGGATATACAAAGTCCAGCAATCAAGCAATATATTCATGATTGATACGGTAATAAACAACGCAGCGCGGCTGATGCAACGGGGTGGGGAGCTCCCAGGGTCAATACTTATCGGAAAATTGTACCCGTAAGCGACAGAAGAACCGCACTGGAACAGATCCGCAAATAACGTGGAAACCATCAACGCCGTGCTAATGGAGAGGAGGATCCAAAGCTGTAATCGTACCGACTTCCGTAGCTGTTCGAGTCGAAGAATGAAGACGATGATGGATGCTCTGATGAAGAAAAGGCCGACGTAGTATGCCACTTGGAGTGCTACATTGTATTTTTGGGCTTTGTTCAGATGCTGGGAAGTCATCAAAGGTATATCGTAAAAGTGATAGCCGAGCCCGATGGCTTTGATGACTGGTCCAATTAAGTCAATTAGTGCCGGTTTCTTGTAGACAGACCAATGTAATATCGTTGCTAAAAAGAAAGGCTCCAATCCAGGCATACATAGAGAATAAAAAACGCTTTCCGTGATTGCTAACCCCTGCCGGACTCATTAGAAGGTTTAACGCCCACGTTTTCGAGCGCTCTGGCATACTAAAGCAATGAGAATAAGGACGTCATCTGCAAAGCGACTCGCAGTTAGCGGGGATACTCGGGTCAGATCTATATAGATGCATAATATACACTGGTTGCTCACGTACCCCAACCAAAAGCCTTTGCTAAAGCTCGCGACAGCATTCGCACGGCCACAATCCCAATACTGATGCTCGGAAACACAATAAGGATCGTCAGCGCCGTGGGCTGCAGCGAATCAGCCATTCTTCTTTGACAGCAGTTCTGATGACTGCCGTGCAGTTGCTAGTCACCGAAAGTCCCATCGCATTCTGCAGGAAGAGTTCTGAAAGGAGTGTCAGGGAGTCAGAGTATGAAAAAGCTGCCAAAACAGCTCTGACAAACGGTCTTAGAACGCGATCGCAGTCCGCATAAGTAGGTGGGTTTAGGGGGAATGTATTCAGACACCGAAAAAAAGAAAAAAAAAGAAAGAAAAAGAAAGAAAAATCAAAGATGGCACGCCGGTAATTCCGCTCCTCGTTAGAAAGGCTAATCAACAGCAACAGATTAACTCTTGCCACGCCGCGCCCGACAGCCTGGTTCGCCATGATAAAGCTGACCATGGCTTTTCCGTATTTTCCATGGAACCACGGTTTAGTTTAAAAGCCTGTCTGAAGACCAAGCAACAAGTCCCAAGCTTCTGCAGGTGAGAGTTCAGTTCACCACGAAAGAAGTTTTCTCAAATAGCGGCTCCTACCTTCCAATTGGTATTACCACCCCTCAGCAGCTGGAGATGTGAAGGCGTGAAGTTGGATGAGACCCGATGGAGTGTCGGCCAGCACGACGCCAAGCAGGGCTTTGCTAAACTGGCCTCTGAATGGCTGGCCAACTTTCCGGGCCAAATATGCCTTGATTTCGACAGACTACGGGAGAATCACGGCAAAAGCACGGCGCAACAAAATACGGACGATCATCAACTCTCGCTCTCTCTCTGTGTGTGTGGAACATGTGGTTGAAGAATATAGCAAAAACGTGGCGAACCCAGCCCCTAGATAACGACAAAGAACCCATCTCCCCGATCTTCTACTCTCCCTCTCTCCACAAGTGGATCACAGCAGCTGATCCGTATCCTCTCCGGCGTCGCCGGACTCCATAAGCTCAAAACATCATCCACACCCCACTGCTTCCTAGCGGCTCTCAGGGCGTCTCTGATTGCAAAGAACACAGCACTTCCCATGAACAGAGGCGGTTCGCCAACACCCCGAGAGCGCTGGATTGTGCGCAAGGTTTTCCACTCGACGTCCTTTAGCAGGCTCACGTTAAAAATCTGGGGGATATCGCGGAATCCGGGGATCTTATATGCGCCGGGTCCCCTAGTGAAGAGGTGTCCGGAGGCACGGTGCCAAAGGCTCTCTTCTGTTGTGAACAACCCTTGGCCTTGGATGAAGGCGCCCTCGATCTGCCCATAATCAATGGCTGGATTGATGCTGTGTCCGACGTCCATTTTTATATCGGCTCGAAGAGGCGTCCAGTCGCCAGTCAGAGTATCGATCTGGACTTCCGCAGCGGTCACTCCTTGAGTGAAATAGTAGAACATCTGCCCGGTGTTCTCGCCCCACTTATACCCTATATCTGGAGTTTTGTAAAATCCATTTGCCGACAAGTTTACACGGTCATGGTATGCCGCATCTGCCAGCTCCGTCATCGACGCGTTCGGCATTTTTTCTCTATAAGGCTGGAGGCGGTCATTGAGCTGTTGGCACGCGTTGAAAACCGCATAGCCGTTAAGATCCGAACTGGCTGAAGCAGCTGTGGGCGAAGTATTTGCCACGGTATTAGTGGCTGTCTCAGATATATGGACGTCTGACTGAGGAACTTTGAGTGCCTCCGCCGCTATCATTACAATCTTGGTATGGAGACCCTGGCCCATCTCTGTTCCACCATGTGCAACCAAGACACTGCCATCTCGATAGATATGCACCAGTGCCCCTGCTTGGTTTAGAAAAGTTACTGTAAACGAGATACCAAATTTTGTCGGAATGATTGCCAGGCCCCTCTTGGACCATTTGTGAGCCTTGTTATATTCTGTGACCGCCTTGCGGCGAGCCGCATAGTCCGACTCGTCCAAAACCTGCTGATACATCAGAGGAACATGCCAATCTCTCAATTCCTGATTGAAATGTGTCTTTTCGTTGGGTTTGTACATGTTTATCTGGCGAATCTCCTCTGCAGGAATATCCAAATGATCGGCGATCTCGGAAATGAAAGATTCCGCAAAGAACATGCCTTGAGGTCCCCCAAAGCCCCTAAATGCTGTGTTAGACATGGTGTTCGTGCGACATAAATAGCCCCGAACATGGACGTTTGAGATATTATAGACGCCATCTATATGCGACAACGCTCTTTCGACAACAGCCGTGGAAAGATCGCGGGAATAGCCAACATTGGCATAGACGTCTGCATCCAAGGCTAACAGCTTCCCTTCCTTCGTCACGCCAACTTTCCAGTGGCATAGGAAAGGGTGACGCTGCCCAGTGGTAATCATGTCTTCATCCCGATTAAGCATGCAACGGACAGGCCTCTTTGATTTTTTAGCGGCTACTGCACATATACATGCCAACTGAACCGATCGCGACTCTTTACCGCCGAAACCTCCGCCAAGGCGTTTTACTCGAGACACGATTTTATTGGCCGCGACGCCCGTTACATTTGCAACATCCTTTTGACTAAAATATACCATTAGGACAAGCAACGAATCTTGTTGCCGCAGGGACAGCTTACGTTTCTGTAGGGTTTTGAGTGCTGCTCCAAATCTCCATCTCCCCGTCCTCTGGCTTTGGGATAGCAACGCAAGCCTGCGTTTCCAGGTAGAAATGCTCTTGGCCACCCATTCTGGATGTGCCACTGAACACATGATCGGCTTTTGCAAAAGCGCCTTCGGGATCTCCATTCCTTATATATGGTTTATAATCGTAGAATGAATCCTTCTCAATGGCTTGCTCAATGCTCAAAATCGCAGGTAGCTCTTCATATTCAATCCTAACCGCTCTAGATCCCGCCTCGGCCGCTCTTGGGGAAGTTGCAAGTATCATGCCGATCGGCTGTCCGGCCGTGAGTACTTCATCGACCGCAAAGAATACTTCGTCGGCTGGCGGCTGACCCCACCAGTTGGCTCCTGGGTTCGGCAGATCTCTATGATCCACATACTCCACTACCCCAGGAATATCCAAAGCCCGGTCAAAATCAATATTCAGGATCTTGGCCCGTGCCTTCCCTGAAAGAACAAGGCAGCCAAAAAGTTCATTCTTCTGTGTCGGAATATCGTCTGTGTACTGGGCCGTCCCAGTTGCGTGCTTCAGCGCCGAGACATGCGGAGTCTCTTTTCCCAAAATACCTTGCTCGTAAGCCGCTGCTGCACCATGATCCTTCTGGCCCATGGAAATTGCTCTCTCAATCTCTGGTACAGAATCGGCATCGCTGAAAGCCTGTGGATGCTGCAGGTTCGACAAGATGTCATGGTAAAACCGATAAAAGAATCCAAAGGCAAGACTTTTGCGGTACGTCGGCATTCCCCCTGGAACAGACGATGGAAGAGTAAAGTCTCTTTCAAGACAATCTATCACTCCTTCGAGAGTGGCAGGATCAGTCCATTGTTTGCCAACCAAAAACTTTTCAGCCTTCGGAGCTGGCATGGTCAGTGGCCCCATGCCTCCATAAATCAAGTTGGCACTAGTTACGACGTTGGAATCGTCCAGAGATACCCGCAGCGCTGCGTTGACGATAGCAATATCGTCGTCTTTTCGTTTAGCCTGTTTGTAAGCCCTGAGAAATTCCCCCTTTGCCTGACTCGCAGGAATTCGCAATCCAGTCACAACCGCATTGGAGTCTAAGGCCGTGGACCTGTATCCTTTGAAAAAATTACACATGGGTATCTCACTCTTCTCGTCTAGAGACTCTGCAATCAAAGTCGTTCTCGTGGCCACGAAGACAGGGTTCAAATCGGAGATAGGAGAAGCAGTGGCTATATTACCAGCGGGAGAGGCCACATTTCGGATTTGCCGTCCAGCAAAATAACGAATTTGTTTCTTGATCGCAGTAAAAGGTTGCCCTCTGAGTGGCCCAAACTTTTTCACCGCTTCATCACAGATATCTTCAAGATCCGTCAACGAAACGTTTCCTCCCAGCTCAAGGCAATTATCTTTAAAGGAATACTGTTTCAGTTCCGGTATATCACCCACGTACACTGAATCGGCATACTCCATAGCTTTAAATTTTATTTCAATCTGAGTTTCTGTACTTCCTCCGATGATTTTGGCATCAGGGTATATATTCTTGATTTCTAGCAGCTGACGGAGGGTCACAGGTCGATACCAGCGCTTCTTCTTATTTCCGAATGCCAGAGGGAGTAGTTTGTGATTGTGAAGGGCGGGTGGAAAGATCAGTTGCGTGCCCGGGGAATAAGGAATGAATTCGGGCGCTTTGAATGTCTGCTTCACTGTAGAAAGAGTGCTGTCATCCTTTTCGGGTTTGCTGCAGCCTTTAGAACCCCGTTCCATGCAACAGCCACCTCCTCCGCTTGATTGACAACATTTTGGTGCGGAAAAAGACTGAGCAGCATCTAATATTGAACGGTATCCGGTGCACCGACAGAGGTTTCCGTCAAATGCCTCTTCAACATCGTGTTCGGAGGGACTTGGATTGTTGCGGAGAAGGGCATATAGACTCTATAGTCGGTTTGTTCAGCGACCAGGCTTTGAATAGGATGATGCTTTGCCCGAGAAAGGAGAGTGCATACCATAACAATTCCAGGCGTACAGAAGCCACATTGACTTCCATTTCCCACCGCTATTCTTTGTTGGACGGGGTGGGGATTCTTAACGTCGCCGATACCCTCGACAGTAATAACATGCTTGCCGTCGACACTGACCAACGGAGCTAGGCAGGCATTCACAGAAGCATGATATATTCTCTTCGTTGTCGGATTCCGGTACGAAACGACCTTGAAAATGAGACATCATCGTTAGAAAAGCTCGTTTGTCCACTCGTACCCCCGCCTGATAATACCGTTCCTTACCACGGTGCAAGCTCCACAACCGCCTTCTGCGCATCCCAGCTTGGTCCCTGTCAACCCTATTCCTCGAAGATACTCCAGCAGCGTCGCCTCCGGATCTACAGAGTCCAGCGTGACTTTGGTGCCATTCAGGTAGAATCGAAGCGTATCATCGTACTTCTCTGTAACTGCAGCAAGGGCAGCCCGAGCCTCTCGGGCCAGTTCTTGCTCGGATAGCTGTCCAGCCAGTGCCATGTCTGCCGGTAAGTATGGGCGCCCCTTTGCCTCCTCTTGTAGCAAAAAAGGAGGGGGAGGATATCAAGGTGGGAAATCCGTCGTTCTAAATAGTTATCGCGCGAGAGGCCATGGAGTTGTGCCAGGAACTTTGCCGATGAAGTAATCGTCGAAACAGAGGAGGCCAGCCCCCGTTAGTTAATTGGGTGAAAATGGAGTGCCTTGTGATGTCGCTCCGGGACACTCCCCACGAAGAGCCCCGCCGCCCTGTCGTTTTAGGCTTTTGATAAGCATCCTGAAACTGTGGAGCTGCGGGGATCGCCACCCTCCGAGGAGCGAACGCATTTCGGAGTAACGCTTAAAATATGAAGACCCCACTTGGTGGAACAAAATACATACAGAGTACATGCTCCGTACGGAGTATAGCCCAAAGAAATTCTATAAGTTTGGTGGGACATCTAGTTATCCACTGTACTCCGTACATAATCCTATACATATATATGGCTTGTTACATCCGTGGATGTTTTAAAAAAAAAAAAAAAAAAAAAAAAAAAAAAATTACCAAACGAAATTGTATCCATCATTCGTTCGCTCGTAAGCGTTCAAAAAGCCAATAGGCGGCGCTCCCAAGGACTGTATTATCGAGCCTTGATCAAAATCGCGGCCTGTCGCGTTGGTAACTCGCCATTACATGGCATTCAACATGACCTTGATAATGTATGGTGAACAAGGGAAGCCAGATTTCCCTTAAGAGCCCGCAAAGCCCTTCTCTTCCTCCTCCCACTTCTTCCGCTCGACAACGCTTCTAGCTCTGAGGATAAAATGTCAGCACTGTCCTACACACAGCGAAACATGATCTCAAATTACCTATAAGCCCGCACAAATCTCCAAACTTCAGTATCGGCAAGATTCCAGGCTTCGGTGACAGACTTGATATGAATATTCTTCGGGTCGTTTCTCAGCAAATTTCGAGCCTTCTCGATTAACTCATTCTCCCTGCTCAACTTCCCATTCCTATGCGTGTTCTTATCCTCTTTTGGCTGATCCTGTTTGGCCTTCTCTCCGGAGGATACATTCTTCTCTTTCGTTCTTTCTAGTCGAGTCTTTCGAGGAATTACAAAGCCAAAGTGCCAGTCCAATTCGTCTAGGACACTCGTAGGTAGGCTTTCTTCTTCATTCTTTGCTGGGAGCATTTCGACAGTGAACCACAGGCCACGGGACACCCCATGATCTCCGGCAACAACATCTTTGAACGGGACCACTCGGGAGGTCGCGTCCCGTTCTAAGCCGAGAAACTGCTTGGTCGAAGCAATCAGCCAAGGGTCTCGCTCAGTCTCACGGCGAATATACGCCGCTGTGATATTATCATCGCCTTTTCTTAAAGTAGAAAGAGTGTAAGGATGTGGAATAATTCCAATCGTGAATAATGCCGAACTGTTTTTATACCCATCAGGCTGGGCAATTTTCATTCGCCCAGCATCGGTGCACAGCTGGCATTTGGGGTTGTTCGGCGGGCAGGATGGGGGCATCTGCAGTGGCATGCACTCTGCAAGAAGGGTTGCAAGTCGAACACCAGGTCCGACGAGAGCTGTAGTGTAGTCAGGAAATGGTTTGAGCACCGAAATTCCGGAGCTGAAAGCACTTTGAAAGCTAATTTGTAGATGAGAATTGATCATATCCAAAAGCGCAAGCCGCCCTTCCGTTGTCGATTTCTCGAACTTCTCGGCAACCGACGGGTACTTTGACGTGATGGCAGTTGAATCATAGTAGGCAATGGCGGTGGTGTTCTCCGCTCTAAATGTGTCTTCATTAACAAGCTCAATCACAGATTTTGCCTCATTCAGTTTTGGGTTCCTCGAAGCATCTTTGATAGCCTTGTTAATGTGAGCTTTTTCCCCGGAGAATAACGCTGAGGCAAGGCCGTTGATGCGAGTTATCTTCTCAGGCATCGAGCCTCGCCGTAGGTACGAAATGAAATCGTCGTCATAATGGGCCATGGGGAAACATTGCCAATCAGCAAATACGCCGGTTCCCATATTTTCCCATGCCAGCCACGCCATGAACTCTACTCTAAGACCGTCGTCCAGACCCGCTGCATGAAAAGATTTATATAAGGGATTTTTCATGGCATCCTGGGGTCCGAGGACCATGGGACGGAAACCCTGGGCAAACCATGCTCTCCTCCATGCAAGAAGCAATTTTCTGTCAGCCTCCGCGAGCGCCTTATCCTTCTTCGACACGGCGTCGTAATAGGTATACACGGGCAGACGGAGTCGAAGCGGAGGGAGTACGGATCTATCTTCATCCAAGGTGATAGAGGACGAAAACGGATTGAGCCACTGCCAATGGCTATACCATTTCGAGCCTCCACCGGTGCTGTTCTTTTGTTCTGGGGGCTTGTGCGCAGCGGGCGGAAGAAGGTTGAATCTGAAGTCGTCAAGCTTTGGTAGCTTCGGCCTTGGTATATACTCTGCGAGAGAGCCAGCCTTGTCTTCCAGATTGGCCGTCAGTTTCGCGGGCTCTGGCGTGGTGGAGAGGATCAAGAGAAGTATTGCAAAGAATACTATGACGGTAAACAGGCCCGAACTCCGGTAGGAAATCATCTTGAAGGACTGTGGTCGTAGCACGGTAGCAATCAGATTAAACGAATGGAAGGGCCGAGAACTGGCTCAGTGCGTAACGACAAGGGAGGTATCATCGCGTGAGAACCTGGGCAGAAGAGAATGTCATCGACCTTGCAGCCAACCTTTAACCACAATCCGGCCGGCCATTTTTTTTTTCGAGCGTGCCGTCGTCATTTGCCCTCGCCCGGATGGATCCTGCGCAAGCTCCTGAAGCTGGCACTGTGCGCTAGGCCAAAGAGGGCTAGGCGTAAATGTACCCTGATCGCCGGATAAATTCATATTCCGGCAGCAACCACCTGATGGAGGACTTGTATGCTTGTCATTCGCTAAGCTACCTAAAGGGGAATCTGGCTAATCTATGTGGGTCACGTGAGCGAGGTGCTAGTTGGATTACCTAACACCCCCCCATGCAATGAGCTCCAGCAGTGAGCAAGAGCCACAAAGATCCAAAGCTTCCAAATCTCTCAAATCTGCAATAAAAATTAATTACAAAATCCAGATTTATTTCTTCTTTAGGCTTAGCTCTGTTTGCTGTAATATGGTATTTTTGCTGGCTTTACTGATAAACCTCCATATTTTCCTGTATTAATCCATTACCCCTATTGTGCTCACAAATTGAGTGTAGGGATCCATTGCAAGAGTCTTTGTGAGCCTGTCAGCTTTATTTGCATTGCTTCCAATGTACTTGATTAAGATTTTGTCCTTTTGCATCCAGTCTCTTAGCATATGGTGCTGAATCTCAATATGGTGTGCTCTTCATGTTATAGCTTCAGCTTTGGCTAAGTCAATGGCTCTCTTGTTGTCAACACTTAATTTTGAGCTTCTTAGCCTTGCTGAGCCTTCACTAATTATCCTGGCATCTATCAACAGGTTGTTGATCCAAACCAGTTCACAAGTGGCTTCACTAGCTGTCAAATACTCTGCTTTGGTTGTAGATTTTGAGACAGATGTCTGGTGCTGTAATCTCCATGATATTGGAGCTCTATTCATGATAATAATATAGCTGCTGGTGAATTTGTATGCAGGGTTGGCTTCAGCTCAGTCAGAATCTGAACTGGCTACTGGTTTCAAGCCTTCAGAATTCATATTCCTTTTGAAGACTATTTCTTTTGATTTTGTGCTCTTGAGATAGTGTAGGATCTGCTTGAATGCTATCCAGCTCTCCCTATTGGGCCTGCTGTTAAATCTTGCCAGATAATTGACTGTGAATGCAATATCTGGCCTTGTACATGTAACTAGGAACTGTAGAGAGCCCAGGCCTTTCCTGTAATTTGTAGGTGTAGCCTGCTTGTCAACTCTATCTTTAAGGGTCTGATCTGGTGTGAATTTGATGCTTATTCCTTTCTTCATTGGTGTTTTGAAAGGTTTGCAGTCTTTCATTCTATATTTGGTCAGTAAATTCTTGATATACTGTTCCTGGTTCACAAAAAGGTCTCCATTTGGCTGCTTTTGAATCCACATGTCTAGATAATGGCTCTGTTCTGTAATCTTCTTGATTTTGAAGCATTCCTGAAGCTTCTTGATGAGCCATTCTGTTTTAGCTTTGTTGGGTCTTATTATATAGCAGTTGTTGACATGTAGGGTTAGGTAGATTTGCTTTCTCTTGTGGTAGAGTAGGCCTGTGTTGTATGGAGAGATCTAGAATTCTAGAGATTTCAGATAATCAGTAGCTGCTTGATACTAAAGTCTAGCAGCTTGCTTTAATCTGTAGAGTTCCTGGTGTAAGAGTCCTACTAGATTACTCTGTCTGTGCTTGAATCCAGTGGGTAGTTGAATGTATATATGTTTGTCCTCTGGAAGAGTTCCATTTAGAAAGGCTGTCATGAAGTCAAAGACTCTGATCTTCCAGTTCTTGGCTGTTGAGATAGCAAAGAAGGCTCTTGTTGTAGATTTACTGACAACTGCTGTATAGGTCTTCTTGTAGTGAATATCTTCTTGCTGTTTGAATCTGTGTATGACCCAATGGGCTTTGAATTATACTGTGCCACCTGTGTTGTTGAGCTTTCTATTGAATACTCATTTGTCAGAGAGGATCTGCATTTTGGGTTCCTTCTTGACTAGAATTCAGGTGTCTTTCTCTTGTAGTTTGGAGACTTTAACATCTAGAGCCTCCTTTCAATAAAGTCACTCTTTGGAGTGTTTGGCTTTGGTGATGGATTTTGATATATCTGTACACATGCTGAGCACTGGAAGCTCAGCTCCACTTGCCTCTTCTTCTTCTGTTGCATCTGAGAGGATTTCTTGCTCTTTGCCCAGGTATGTGAGCTCTAAAGCCTCTAATTTGCTGTCTGCAAGCTTCTTTATGATTTCTGGCTTCTTCTTTGCAAGATAAGCTAGTAACTTGTGTTGCCAGCTGTTCAATGAATCTATGTAATTGTACTTCTCTGGGAGTTCAATGTATTTGGCTTTGGTTAGTGAATTTGTAGGGATTTGATCCAATTTCTTGTTAAATATAACATCTTGCAAGATCATTATACTGTTTGTTTCTGGGTCCCAAAGCCTGTAGGTGTGCATGTCATGATATTCTACAAATTTGATCTTCTTGAATCTAGATTGGAGCTTTGAGAATTCATTCAAAATCTTCATGTAGGTGTCACATTCTCATCTATGGACCCATCTGCAATGGGGTTGGTGATCTGTCCAGACTTTAAAGAGTGTCAACAGCTTCATGTTCTTGCATCTGTATAGAGGCACTGAGGTAGATGATAGATTTACCATCATGGAGACTGTGGCAAGAGCTTTATCCTATAACTTATTGAGTAGTTCTGAGTCTATAAGTATGCTTCTTGTTTGCTTGCAAAGAAGTTGTATTTCTTGTTCACTCATTCCATCTTGTTAAGATGTATATGGGCATGTAATCTTCTGTTGTATACTCTTGCTTCTGTAGAATTCAGCCAGTTGTTGGCTTGTCAATTTGGGAGCTCCATCAGACAGTATAGTGCCAATCTTTTGTTTGGTAGACACTTTGATCATGTTAATTTAGTTCTTTAGAGTTTCTGGAGCTTCTACCTGCTTCTTCAGGAGGTAGATTCACCTGTATTGTGTGGCATTATCTGTTATAAGTAGGAAATACTTCACTCTGCTGTAGCTTGGAGAATTAGAGTCTGTAGATAGAGTATGGCCACCATCTGCAATATCAATAAAAATTTTAGCTCCAGGCTTTGTAGAGTGTGTTCTAGGTTTGAATGGATTGTAAGCTTGCTTAGCTTTAGCACAGATTTTACAGAATTCTAGCTTCTTTACTCTCTTTATTCATATTGCCATTCTTGGATCTCTAGCTAGAATAGCTATATTGTGGGTGTTGAGATGCCCCCAGTGTTTGTGCCAATTGGCCATTGTATTCTCCTTGATTTCTGGTGTCTTTGCCAGGTGATTTGGTGCCAAAAGCACATCATCTCTATCTTTATTCTCTAGAGTTGCTGTTATATAGCAGGGCTCTAGAAGTTTTGTAGGTACTGGAAACACATATGCCAGTAAATTATGTATTCTAGGTGTTTGTAGAACTAGAATATCATTCTTGTTAAGTATGGCTTTGAAGCTCTGTATTTTATCTGCTGATTCTAGTAGGAAGATGTGTTCTCTGTTAACATAAAGCTGTTCTACTGTAAAGCTGTCTTGTATAAGCTTTCTAAAGCTTATGAGGTTAATCTGGAGGTCAGGCATGATTCTAACCCCTCTAATGCTTAATTCTCCATTGTCAGTTTGGATACTGGCCATGCCAAATTCTCTGGTGACTGATTTTGAACTGTTTGCCATAAGCAGTTGTGTTGCATGGCTCTTTGGGTCCATTTGAACTAGATCTGTACATGAGATTGTGTGGGATCTGGCTCCAGAGTCAAGAATCCATTTGTCTGTGGATTTATGCACTTCTTTTATAGAGAAGGCTGCTTTGTGAACTGAATGGATCTTGTCTGTTGCAACTGTAGCTGTTTTCTTGTCTTTGTCTTTAGAGTCTTCTTTAGACTTGTTAGGCTTTGAATTCTTGTTAGATTTGCAAAATTTAGCCAAATGGCCAGGTTTACCACAAATATAGCAGTTCCAGTTCTGCAGTGAGCTCTTCTCTGGATTGGATTTGGAGTTTGTATTCTTATAAGATTTTTGAGGATCTGAGCTTGTTACATTTGTATTTGGCTTTGTAGATCTGTCTTTCTTCAGGTCTTTCTTGAGAATTTAGTAGAGAATATCCTTCAGTAGGCCTTTCAAATTCTTCTCTGGTAGATTTGTTCTGCTCTGGCATGCCATATCAAATTGATTCTGTATGAACTCTCTCTATTGGGATGTAATATTCATCTTCAAGATATCATGTAGGGTGTGGTCCAGTTGTTTGAACTCTAATCTCTCAAATTCTTTACAGATTGCTAGAAATCTCTCTATATAATTTCTTTCTGAGCCAGCAGACTGTAGTGTCATTCTCACTAACTTCATAAGTAGGCTTTCCTGCTGTATCTCAGATCTCTCTTGAAAGGCTGTTCTTACAGCTTTCCAGAGTTTGTAAGCACTAAGACTATCTGATTTCTTGAAGTGTTCTCTGGCTTGTGCAGATATTGTACTGTTGATTAGGCTGTGTAGCCATTTATTCTGAACATTCCAGTATTGTGAAATTTTTGAGTTCTCTGGCTGTAGTGAGGTCTCTTGTCTTTCCAGGATAATCTTCTTGGTATTCACTTGATGAGCTATCTTTAGGATGGCTTTACTCCATGCTAGATAGTTGCTGGCCCCAGCCAGAGTTATAGGCTTCTTTACCATTTTCAAGATCTTCATGAATTGATTGATTGCTCTGCCAGTTTGTGTATTCATGTCTATAAGATTGCTGACAAATTCTTCTAGTTTGTTCTCAGAGTCTATTTCTTGGTCTCCTTCTTCTTGTTAAGCTTCTTGCTCTGGATTTTCCTGCACTGTTGCAGGTGTGTTTGCTTGACCTGATAAGAGGCTTATTTACTGTGCCAGCTGTTGTACTGTCTTCTGTTGTCTTTATATTATCTTCTGTTAATTCAGCATCATTCTGTGTAATATTTGGAGTTCACTCTCCTCCCTAGGCTCCTGCTTGTTCTTTGGTGGGCTGTCTCTGAGTCTACTCAACCATCTAAGCTTGGTTTAGGGTGTAGGGAGGTTTGTTGGAGCTTTCTGATTGGGAGTTTGGTGCTCTAGTTTGTCTGTATGGTTCACCATGGCTTTAGTGTTGCCAGGTGCTTGATTTGCTTGCTAGATGTGTTTAGCAGGCATTTCACTCACTCTCTGATTGTGTGCCAGAAAGCTACAGGGTTCAACTTGCTCTTCAGCTCAGTGCTAGAAAGCTACAGGGGTTTGCACATATAGGAGGTGTCTATCTTGATGTATGCTCTCTTTAGTACTTGTAAAACCTCATTATCCACAAGAATAACTGTTCAGGGTGTTGATTGTAAGCTTCAATAACCAATTGAGCTGTAAATCAATCTTATACACTTGCTCTTCAGTGCAAAGGGCTATAACCTGATGGAGGACTTGTATGCTTGTCATTCGCTAAGCTACCTAAAGGGGAATCTGGCTAATCTATGTGGGTCACGTGAGCGAGGTGCTAGTTGGATTACCTAACACCACCTAACCAAACCTCTCCAGGGATCAGGTAACCTTTGTTGTTTGGCGCGGCCCGCTGTTTGTCGGCAAGACGGAGCATCATATATTGATATCACCATATTGATATCACCCCCTCTCCAGGTTGCTACTTCGAAAATCTCCCAGCGCTGACAGTGGGAAAACTGATTCACGCTCCTCCGTAAGGCAAGCCAATATCGTCGCAAGTGTGTTATCGTTCTACGAAGCCGCTCCAATGAAAGAAACGTCTGTTTCTCCCCGCCGACGGGCGTTGTTTGCTCATTGGGTGAGGTGACAAAGCCCAAGACATAAAATCATAGTTATTCAAAAGCAGATGAACAAGCATATAGGACCACTCCGTACGCTATCAGAGCTGACGGCGACTGTGCTGTATTTATGCTCCCTACGCATGCTGTCTCAAATAATAGAAGTGGTAATTACGGGGCGGTCTGTATTCTCATTGATCTAACTCTACTGCGTCTGAGTCGTAGGGGGTTAACTGCAGTGGGAGTACGGAGTAAATAAAAATAAAAATAGAATAATAGTGGTAATAATAATTTAATATATCGACGCCCGGGCTGTCCACCAATAAACGGCAGGAGTTACGAAGGTTGCTGCAGCTCTTCCAACCACAGTTCCCGGCGACTCTTCTGCAGACTCGCGGGGCCTTGTCATTCGGCTTGTACCCCTGTCAAACAAAAAGGGGAGCGAGCCTGAACCCGGCTTGCTAAAATCCTCCGCCTTACGGAGTACTAAAGACAGCGGATCATCCGTACCAGCCACTGCGAATGGATGGCTCGAGAGCTACAATTTTACACACTTTCTTGCAAACGTTTGCCGTCCACATTCATTCACATTCGCTCTCTCCCTCTCTTTTCTGCGAAACTCAACTTCTAGACCGGAATGGATGATAGGATATGTCGCTCCACAGATTTGCGATAGCCTTGTTAGTGGTCGCCTCGAACAAAGAGAGAGCGGAGCTTCCGGGGGGTTAGTTAGTAGTGGATGAGCCTTGCTGTTGCGATGCTGCATATCCATCCCTAATGTATGTACATACATATAGTTAGCCAAATGGAAAGCGAAGCTTCTCCATACTTCAAGATATGAGGTGGTGAAGCGGTGAACCTTTTGCAGCGGGCGGTTGGGTTGGCCTTGATTTGCGGTGAAAACAGACTTCCGATCCCGGAGAGAGAGCTCCGCTTAGATAAGCACAAAAAAGTGGCCGCGGGAAATTTATCGGATTTCTACCCCTCCGCAGGTGAGTCACTGCTGCTGGAACTCACATCCAACAGGAAGCACTCCTCATTGCCTGTGTATGACCTATCGCCATGGGTGCTGAGGGGGCTTCCGTGCAAGACCGCCTCACTAGGTGGGCTCAGAGACTCAAGAATTTGACCGTATCGCCGCTCACGCAAGACTACCCGGAGACGACCCCGTCCGGCCCCGATGTTTCAAAGCGCGCAATTGAAGCTTTCGAGTCGTTGAAGCTCTCTTCCGAAGTCCAGGCAGCTATCAGCAAGCTCTCCGGGCCCGGTGATTCCGGTTTCCTCGTTTTTCTCACCGCATTCGTGGTCCTCGTGAGCCGGTTAACCGGAGATGAAGATATTGCGCTGGGAACAAGTTCCGAGAGTGACGGGCGCTCGTTTGTGTTACGTGTGCCTATTTCGCAGAATGAATCGTTTGCGAAGCTATATTCCAGAGTTTCAGAGGCGTTTGCCCAAGGCGTTTCTGACATTGTCCCCCTAAGAACGTTGAGAACTTATATCCAGAAGGAGAACAAGTCAGAACGCACGCCAATTTTATTCCGTTTTGCCGCATATGAAGCTCCTGCGAAGTCACAAGAGTATCCTGCCAATACGTTTGATACCACCGATCTTGTCCTTAACGTTGCTCCCGGAAGCCCGTCGGATGATGGAGAATTGGAACTCGGAGGTTACTATAATCAGCGTCTATTCTCCAGCGCTAGAATATCCACCATTCTGACCCAGCTCGCTCAATTGATTCGCAACGCGTCGAACAACCCGGACGAAGCTATTGGCAGGGTCGAATTTCTCACCGAAAGCCAGAGGCAGATGCTTCCAGATCCAACCAAAGATTTACATTGGTCTGAATTCCGTGGGGCAATTCAAGATATATTTGCTAGAAATGCAGAAAAACATCCGGATAAACTGTGCGTTGTCGAAACGAAGTCCCACAGCTCTCCGCATCGGGAGTTTACTTATAGGCAAATCCATGAGGCGTCTAATATCCTTGGTCACCACCTGCTCCAATCAGGGATACAAAGAGGTGAGGTCGTTATGGTGTATGCGCACCGCGGCGTCGATCTTGTCGTTGCTATCATGGGTATTCTAAAGGCCGGAGCGACATTCTCGGTGATCGACCCTGCGTATCCTCCAGATAGACAAGTCATCTACCTAGACGTTGCCAGACCTCGAGCTCTGATCAACATTGAAAAGGCCACACAGGATGCCGGTGAATTAACAGAGAAGGTCCGCAGCTTCATCGATGGCAACTTGGAACTTCGAACGGAGATCCCGGCTCTGGCACTGCGGGATGATGGATCCTTGCAAGGGGGATTGATCAACGGAAATGATGTATTGCAACCTCAGGTAGCCTTAAAGGCCAAACCGGTCGGCGTGGTAGTTGGGCCAGATTCCACACCTACTCTTTCTTTTACATCTGGTTCAGAAGGTCGACCAAAAGGTGTGCGTGGAAGGCATTTTTCGCTTGCCTACTATTTCCCTTGGATGTCGAAGACTTTCAAACTCTCTGAGAACGACCGCTTTACACTTTTGAGCGGTATCGCCCATGATCCAGTACAACGAGACATTTTCACCCCTCTTTTCCTAGGAGCTATGCTCCTTGTTCCTTCTAGGGAAGATATTCAAAACGAAAAATTAGCAGAATGGATGCGCGAGTACAAGGCCACTGTTACTCATCTGACACCAGCTATGGGTCAGATCCTTGTCGGAGGTGCTACTGCTCAGTTCCCATCTTTACACCACGCATTTTTCGTTGGTGACATCCTGATCAAGAGAGATTGTATGTCGCTCCAGGCCCTCGCCCCAAATGTCAATATTGTGAACATGTATGGTACCACTGAGACTCAACGTGCTGTGAGTTATTTTGAAATCCCATCGTATGCGAGCCAGGAGTCATATCTTGATATGATGAAGGACGTCATTCCAGCTGGCAAAGGCATGGTTGATGTCCAATTGCTGGTGGTGAATCGTTTCGACCGAACTAAACTTTGCGCGGTGGGTGAAGTGGGCGAAATCTACGTGAGAGCCGGTGGCCTTGCTGAAGGGTATCTTGGAGCACCTGAGTTGAACGAGAAGAAATTTTTGTCCAACTGGTTTATAGATCCACAGGTGTGGAAAGACCTTGATCAGGAACAACAAAAGGGGGCAGCCAATGAGCCTTGGCGAGAATTCTACGTTGGACCCAGAGATCGTCTCTATCGAAGTGGTGATCTCGGAAGATATACTCCTACCGGCGAAGTCGAATGCTCTGGCCGAGCCGATGACCAGGTGAAGATCCGAGGTTTTCGAATTGAGCTTGGAGAAATTGATACGCATCTTTCAAGACATCCATTAGTCCGAGAGAATGTGACGCTTGTACGAAGAGACAAGTTTGAAGAGCCAACCCTAGTGAGCTACATCGTTCCACAGATGAGCAAATGGGCTTCGTGGCTGGAGGCAAGGGGCTTGAAAGATGATGACTCGGCTGAAGGAATGGTCGGAATGTTAAGGCGATTCCGGCCGCTGCGGGAAGATGCAAGAGAATACCTTAGAGGCAAACTCCCCAGCTATGCCGTACCCACAGTTATTATTCCACTCAAGCGCATGCCTCTTAATCCCAACGGCAAAGTCGATAAGCCTGCCCTGCCATTCCCAGATACTGCCGAGTTGAGCGCCGCCGCACCGCGACGTAGATCGTCTGTCCTACAGAAGCTGTCTGAAACAGAGCTGGCTCTGGCACAAATCTGGGCTAAACTCATTCCAAACATCTCAGCAAGGATGATTGGGCCAAACGACTCATTCTTTGATCTTGGTGGCCACAGTATTCTTGCACAGCAAATGTTTTTTGAGCTGAGGCGAAAGTGGAGAAACATTGATCTCAGTATGAGTGCTATTTTCCGGAGCCCTACCCTCAGATCTTTTGGTAATGAGATTGCCCGTCTACAAGACATTGAATCATTTACCAGCCACGACCAACTTGGCGACTCAGAAACCCGGACGTCTGCCCAGGTCGATTCCGCAAATGAGTATGCCGAAGATGCGAAGAAGCTTGTGGACTCTCTTCCAAAGCAGTTTCCCTCGTCAGCAGAGCCTGTTTTGCGTGATAACTGTACCGTTTTCTTAACTGGTGCGACTGGTTTCCTTGGTGCATTTGTTCTCAGGGAACTTCTTTCCAGGGCTAATCCATCTGTTAACGTCGTTGCTCTTGTTCGAGCCAAGTCACCAGAGGCAGCGCTTGAACGCGTCCGGTCAACTTGTCAGGCATATGGTTCTTGGTCTGAAGAATGGGTCAATAGACTCCAATGTGTCCAAGGAAACCTTGGCGATGAAAAGTTCGGCTTTTCCGACGACCTTTGGAAGGACCTTACCAACCGAGTGGACGTTGTGATTCACAACGGGGCGCTTGTTCACTGGGTGTATCCCTATGCCAACTTGAGGGGTCCCAATGTGCTTGGTACCATTGATTCTTTGAAACTTTGTGCTGAAGGCAAAGCCAAACAATACGGTTTCGTTAGTTCTACAAGTGTGTTGGACACGAACTACTTTGTTGATGAATCAGAACGCATTGTCGATGCAGGCGGAGCTGGAATTAGCGAGTCCGATAACCTCGCTGGCAGTAGCACCGGATTGGGTACTGGATATGGTCAAAGCAAATGGGTTGGAGAATACCTTGTAAGGGAAGCTGGTCGACGAGGACTGAAGGGTGCCATTATCCGACCTGGTTATGTTACTGGCGATTCAGAAACTGGAAGTAAGTGAAATTTGATTCTGCCCTTGGGGAGGCAATTGCTTATCCAATTTGTTATAGCCACGAATACCGATGACTTCCTGGTACGGATGATTAAAGGCTGCATCCAGCTCTCTGCCAGGCCTAATATCAACAACACGGTTAACATGGTGCCAGTCGACCATGTTGCAAGGGTTGTTGTAGCTTCAGCATTTTCCCCTCCACACTCCGAACTATCCGTTGCGCACGTCACCAGTCATCCTCGTCTCCGATTCAACCAGTTTTTAGGTGCGATACAGACATACGGTTACGATGTGCCACAGGTTGATTATGTGCCATGGGCAAGTTCCTTGGAACGTTACGTTAATGATGGCGACCGCAACACAATTGCTCAACATGCCCTGTAGGTCCATCAACTTTTCCCCGTTTACTAGCCTTTTCTAACAAAACATCACAGAATGCCTCTCTATCACTTCGTAACAGCTGATCTCCCATCTAATACGAGAGCACCCGAACTCGATGATGCCAATGCCGCTGCTGCGCTCCGTGCCGATGCCAAGTGGTCCGGAAAGGACCTGTCGGGCGGAAGCGGTGTGACGGAAGAGCTTATCGGACTTTATCTCGCATATCTCGTGGAGATTGGTTTCTTGCCTGCTCCCACAAAAACCAATGCCAAGCCTCTCCCCAAGGGCAATATCTCAAAAGCGCAGAAGGCTGCTCTCGGTGCCGTTGGAGGCCGTGGTGGACTCGCTTAAGTCGCCGAGCGCTGTTCAGTAATCCCGCAACATTATTCGCAAGTCTGTCTAAAGATATCTCAAAAATGGGTATAAATTGAAAAAGTCATGATTCTTTGGTTCTAATCACCCAAAATACCTAAACATTTTAATGAATGCATACATGCAATGATGAGTCGTCGAGCGAGAGCACATTTCGGTATATATATTTAGGTTGTTTGGGGAATTTCCATACAAGATTTCGGATAGAAAAATGGCCAAAGGGGTATATAAGTTATATGTAGATGTGGCTCTACTAGTCTAGAATCGGCACAAGTTTCTGTCATCGAAACATGTTTTCAACTCCTTTTAGAACCTCATCAACAGCCCAACGAAGCAATTCCTCCATGAGGCATTCTCCGTTCCCCGGTGCAACGAGGACACCCATATCATCCCTCAGATTCTTCCCTTCACCGACGAGTCTCTTCAGATCCTCCACATCCTCACCCAGTTGTGTAGATTCAGGAAGTAATAGCCATGCATGGTCCCTAATGTACCGTGGCCAAACAATATCATCCACATATCCTGGCGGATCCGTCCAGAAATTAGTTTCCAGGGGAGTATAAGTATTGACATCTCTCTTTTCTTCTTGTTCCAGCTGCTGCTTATCAGCTTGTCTCTGAGATGATGGCTTTGGTGTTGGCGCGGGGCCAATGGTTACATAGCCGGTCCGACTCTCTCGTCTTTTCTTGACAAGAGTGTAAGTAGCTGGTAGAAAAAACGGTATATCAATTGTGTCGTGGATCTTGCGAAGCGGATGGGTGCGGTCGTGGGGAGGTGCGTAGAGCAAGAAGCCATCAATTAAGGCGAGAGAGATGAAGCTAGATGTGTCCCTAGCATATTTCCTGTCCGAACCCGCAGTGCTTCTTTTGCGTTGTTCCTCGAGAGCAAGATCACGCAGGCGTTGGGCAACTTGTTCTCTGAACAAGCGCACGGTCTCCCCGCTAACTCCCGAGTCTGTGGCATCGTTCAGGTCTTCCTTGCTTTTGATACCAGCGGGTAAATGGCCATGATCGCGGATATATGCTAACGTCGCCTCGAACTGCGAGATATCGAGGGCATCGATAGTGTCCCAGTCCTGGACAAGCTTGCCGGAGGACGTTGTGACCACAGGGATCCTATTTCGGGGCGAATATTAGCAAGCATAGAAGTAAAGCTTGGACGTGGTGAAGATTCGATAAAGTAATTAACTGTCTTAATAGCACTTACTGGTCATCCGGCTTGTAGAAGTCATCTTGATGGAGAACAAACGGCCTTGTCGTCGCTGTTACATCTCCATTACCCTCTGTTGATGGCGGGGTAAACACGGTCCGCAACAGTCGCGCGAGCGTGGTTTTACCGCTTGATGAAGGGCCCGATAGGCCTACAAGGAGCGTTTTCTGGCACTGTAATTCCATTGATGTCTACTGACTTGTCGTCGACGGCATGACTTGCTTGTCTACGAGAGACTACGAAGGCTAGTTTGATATCCTTTGAAATGGGGGAACCAATGTCGAAGTTCTCACTCAGCTTAGCAATCCTGGAGCTCTACGTACGGAGAAATTATTCCGTAGATACAAATAAACAGTCTTTCCTGAAACAATTTATACAGTGTTCAAGAAACTGCGTCAGCATAGGTCCTGTATTCTCCAATGACGGTTTCGTGTTTTGCACTTTTCTCTTCTATTCTTTCATCCACTTTATCTCTTCTCCATGGCACAAAACCCAACCAACATCCCGAAAGGTTCTCAATTGAGGAGTGACGAGCTTGCATTGGGGGTCCAATACCGGCCAATTCGTGAAATAAACCGCTTTCCAAGGGTTGAAGGCTTTGCAACCTCAACCGATTGACTGGATATTGCCAACGGCTTGATTCAATTAGCTGGAGCACTGAGAAAGAAGGAAGCAGAGACTATAGGCTGGTCTGGTGCCAAAAAAGGATCCTCCAGTGAATTGTTTGGTCCCGAGGTTGCATGAACGGTACTAAACACTCCCGGAATATCCGATATATCGAGTACCGGAGATGAAGATTCGCCATTAGAACTGACCGCATTTTCGTTATTACCTGCGTTCGAATAGGTTAGATGTGACGTGGCTCTTCGTTTGCGAGGGCCTGGTGTTCTAGGCGCCATCATAACAATGCCATCATCAGTCACCACTTCTTCAGTTGTGGTTATTTGCCGTTTGTTACCTCTCCCAGAGCCAGGAGTCACGTCTGAGTCTAAGAAAGGCATGGGTTCCGAGACTTTATTCTTTCCCTTCGCTGGGGTCCGGCGACGAGGGGATGGCTGTATTAATGGGCGTGGGGGCTTCTTGTCATTGAAATTGTCCGGAATTGGCATTTTATGTCGGTCGAAGAAACCAGGCTTATTCTTCATATACGCGGACTCGCTATCTTTCTCGTCTTCTGAAACTGGGATAAAACCTTCCTCTTTTATAATAGAGCTCATCGTGCGGTCATCCAACAGGTCTTTTTCGGCATGCAGCATCTCAATATTCGTCATTTGCTTCCTTCGTCGTAGCATTTTATCTTCAAGAGTACCTTTCAAAACTAGTGTTTCCACGTAAACTGGTTTCATCTGGGATATACGATGGGCTCGCTTAATGGCTTGGCTTTCGATATTTGGGTCCCATATCGGGTTGATAATAAAGATGCGAGAAGCACTCGCCAGATGTAATCCATGGGAAGCCTGACGGACGTCCATTAGCAGAACACGCACGCATTCGCTATTATTGAACAGCGCGAGGTACTCGGCTTTCAATTTCGGTTTAAGGGTGCTGGCGTAAATTCGGAACTCCACGCCCAGCATTTCAAGGCCTTCTGCAACCCAGAAAGCATTGTTATTATTTTCGTAGAAAATAATTATCTTTTCCTCCTTTTGAAGCTCGAAGACACGGTCTAACAGGTAGCTCAGTTTTGCAGACGTCGTAGCAACAACTTGAGCTTTTGCAAGCGGTGATTCGGCGGGGAGGGTCTTGAACCTGGAAAATTTCTGTGCCTTCGGGAGCTTTTCCGGCCTTGGTCGGTGAATGAGGTAATCGTTTGTTTTGGCATTGCTTGCGGCAGATTCTGCCTGAGGTTTGGTAGGGGATCCTCTCTGAGATTTTAAATCAGTGGGGTTATCTAGTCTCCGTCGCATCTCTCGCTTTGTTTTTATTCCTGCCCCAGCTATACCCTCAGCCGGATCCTCAGCGCAGAGGCGCGCTGTAATAAATCTCTGCGCATCCCTTGCCTGAGAGATACCTAACAACAGTGGCTCCTGGTGTTCCTCCGAATCATCAAGGGACCACATAGGCCGTGCGTATTCGGGGAAGTTTCGGATGAATACGCCAAGTTCATCAAATTGACTAAAGGCATTCCAGGAAGGACAGGAAATCGTTTTTTCTGCAATATGAATCCCTTCACAAAGGAGATCCAAATCGGATCTGGTCATTCTATCAACGTTCGCGGCTAGATATTTCCTGGCGACGTCAAGGGTCACCTCAACGTCTTTCTTGTCGAAACCAGTCCACCAAAAGCCTGCATATCTCAGATTGTTGATCAGAGTGGCGAGATGCTTTCTGTTTCTCGGGTGGAACATATAGTCCCTATCAGTACGCTCGGATGTAATGGCATTGACAACCAGATGGAAAATAAACATGTTGAGGGACAGTTTATCATGGAGAGTGGGCTCCAAGTACACAACCTTGTTACTGAGGTTTGGTAAAACCAGATCTTTGTTGATATCTTCAGTACGGTGCCGCACAACAATTGACTGGAGGGTTGATCGAAGCGACGTCGCCATCGTCCGTTTGCCATCCACGCCTTTTGGCGTCATGTACTTTGACCAATTCGCTCGGTCTTGGGCACGCGAGTTGGCCCAAGGCTTCAGACGGAGGAAATCAATTACAATTCGTTTTAATCTATCCAGATTTTTCAATTCTTCGTCAATGATGCCACTCGCATCCTTCCTAGATTTCAGGATACCCGCAGCTCGTTCGTCGTCCTTCATGGCCATTTCGGGGAGGGTTTCTTGCGATGCAAGGCTGACCTCCACACCATACATCCCATCCGAAGGAGTTCCAGAGACCACCCACCGACGTTCGACATGTAGCATTTCTAGAAAATGGATGGCATTTGATTTTCCACCACTACTAGCGAAGTTATGGCCTTCATCAACGATAATTCGAAGCCAATGGAGTTCTTTTAGAGGTGAATCGTATATTGCCCAGTGGTGCTCAAAACCGGCCTTCTCCTTTTCAAACCGAGATCTCGCAAAGAGAACAATGTCGTATTGAAGAAGCTCATCAGCTGGGGGTAATCGATCAGACACGTCCCTCAAAACCAAGACTTTCAATCCCTCAGTGTGCTTTTCGATTTCATGGAGCCAATGGTCAACCAGATTCGGTGGAACTATGACTAGAGTCCCAGATGCAAGTCGCAAATAACTGGATTTAATTCCCATGCGATTGCTGGACTTCGGAGCCTGGATGACCGTATATGAGCCTTGACTATGCTCGCAAGCACGAGTACAGTTTACGTAGTGCATGCCCAAGTCATTCAAATGCTCAAAGTAGGATTTCCATGGCACTGAAAAACGCCCCACTGCAGATGCAGTCATTTCAAACAGAGAGCCAGTTTTCGCTCTCACAGGGTGCAATTCTTGTAGATGGGTGGAGGGTATTCGCGGAAAATAACCTTTCGTCGCAAGGATAACAGCTAGACATATTAGCGTTTTCCCGTAACCCATAGTTTCTGCAAGAACCCCTATTATTGTGGCAAGTTCAGTTAGTGAAAGCAACATTATCCGCAGCTGAAAAAGTCTCACCTCCACATGGCCCGGAATAAAGACGTTGATCACGAGTAATTGCGCCTTCTTCCCGATCATAGTAATACGTTCGCCCAGTGGGCCCTTTGAAAGCTTGCAACCTTGGGTCAGGGTATTCTCCAGGCTCGGACTCTTTCTGGATCATGAATGCGACAGAGCGACGTTGGTATGGATACAGAGGAGTCTTGAGACCTCGTATCCCCACATTCTTACCAGCATCGCTATCAGAGTTCCCTTTGAGAGCCGATGCCATGGCCAACCGCGCCCAAAAGTCGGGTACAGAATCAACGTTCGGATTTGGTGACTCGAGCGTATTGAAGATGTAGAATAATGATTCATCCTCGGTCTTTGAATTAACTGAATGCTCCGCTAAGGGGTCAAAATTGCCAGTCCATGCCTCAGGAGAGGTATCCAATCTCGACATGACAACCCTCAATGAGCGACGGAAGGCTGCACTAGAACGCTGAATAATTGATCTTCCAACATCCTCTGGTAAGACATATATACGGATAGCCTTCCACCCAGGATAGTTTTCGTCCTCATAAATGGAAGTCCGAACCCATCCAGCCTGTAGCAATTTGTTGACTTCTGCCAGCAAAAAGTCTGTGTCTTTGGAGCGGGTCACCGAAGAAGGATCGAAGACCTTCAGGATTCCAACAGGAATAAAATTGTCTAAATTGTTAAGCAGCAGCTCTTTCTTTGTTGGAGGTCTCGAAGGGGGAGGAGGACACGAGGATTTTGAAGACGGAGTCGAGATTGCAGACTTAGGGGCGCTTGAAAATGCCGAAGCTAAATGAACCGGTGGTGAAGAATCATCACTAGGATCATCCGGTTTTTCATTCTTAGGACTTTCAGCAATTGCGAATTGAAGCTGCGTCAGAAGAGAGGGCGGCTCTCATATCAGCAAAAGTAGTTGCAATTGTGTCACAGACAACCAACCTCGGAAAATTCAGCGCCGTGTGGTTCATCTGCCAGGTTCTGGCCAACGGCGCCATCGAGAGAAAACTCCATCGCTGACCGTAAAGCACTGCGTTGCTATTTGCTGTTCACACAGTCAACCGCAAGTGAAACTAGCATTGAGGGGAGGAGGAATAGGTTGCTGGGGAGAATTGAGAAAGCAGAGTTCAATCTCCAGGAAGACAAATGGAAGCATCGTCCATGCTAGTGTTATGTGTTATTATTGTTGTCGTTGCAGCGCATACCGACATCCCTCCGCTACCTTGTGTTGAAGAGCTGGAGAGAGAGGCTCCGTCGAGCTCCCGGTTCCACGAGTGAACTGGTCAACTAGCTAGTTAACTATGTACGCACCCGCCACCTACGTACACTTGGCGTTAACTAGTTACTTAACTAGTTAACTAGTTAACTACCTTAGTTAGTTACATAATACCTGCTAACTCCGACTGACACGCCAAACCGCGAGAAAAATCCTCGACAAAAGAGCAGAAGTGTTGAAAATTTCATTGTTCTAGGATATGACTCATCTCTGCAGGTTCTCTTGTCCGTTTACTGCAGAGTACCTAGTGTGTTGTAGCCTGGCCTACTGTTATGTCTAGTCGTTCAGTTGGCGGTTGAGGCCCGGAAGTCGAGCTCCTTTTGCCCCCTTACGATATTCTGAGCAGCAGCAGTAACAGCAGTAGCAGGAGGAGGAGGCATTCCGATATACATCTGACTATGTGGTGCTCGCACCGTTGAATATTTCATCTCCCCTACTCCCCATGAGATACAAATATACCCCGTGAGATGGGATCAATTTGGTGAAGGAGCCTATCGCAGTAGCTTTCCCGAGGGAAAACTTATCCCAATCCAATTCTAAGTGCAAAAGATGATAAGAAATTCCCATTAGACCACGATGAGTGTATGTATGTATATACAATATATTCTCTAGCGAAAAAAAATGATTTCTTGCCTATCTACGTGCCCTGTCTTGGCCCCGTTCTGGACTGTAACATAGGCTTATCCAGCTTTGCTTATTTTCGCGTCCAACCATACGTAGGCCTGCGAATGTCATCCCGTCACCAACAGTTTAGTCCATGTTTTCTCGTCTCTTCCTCCATTTTCTAGCATATTTACACTGCACGATTAGTCCGGCCACCGCAACAATCTGTACCACAACACAGATCGTGAATGCCACCCCGGCTCCAACGCCATTTACCATCGGGATCACAAAGCTTGCACCCCCCGCCGAGAACAAGCATCTGGCGAGGTTCAAGCTCGCGGTAGCGGCGGCGCTCTGGTCGGGAAAGAGGTCGACCAAATACGTCGTGACGATTGCTTGTATAGACACAGCTGTCCAACCCGTGATGAAAGTGGAAACAATAGGAGCCGCGATGTGGACATTTTCCGGAAATTGGACTGTCCAGCCAAAGAGTAGAATCGACATACATTGCAATAACAAGAAAATATAAATGCGACGGAGACGGGCATCCTCTAGCGGAAAATCGTCGTTTTCCCGGATTACCCTGGGTCGAGTGCTTCCCGGTTCCGTCAGTCCGTGATGGCTTGTATATTTGGCCTGAACATGACGGTAGTCGATGTCCAAAATCTTACCGGTAATCACCGTGCCAATTATACCGCCTGTACCATTTGCAATGAACGTCAAGCCGATATGAAACTCAGATAGACCATATAGCTCCCCGAAGAGAGTGGACATGGCGGTAATACTCATTTGCCAGACGGCGAAGTAGATGGCAAGAAACACAATTATTGGAGCTGCATCTTTTCTGATGAGGATTCGAAATGGCCCGAGAACTTGAACGCGTTTTGTGGTGGTCAACTGTTGATGCGCTTCTTTCGGGTTCCAAGTCACTCTGGTGAGCCGTTGGTAGATATTGAGCGGGTATCGGGCGAACCAATTCGATGGGGTGCAACCTCCATTCGCAACAATGGACCTGAGCGTTTCAGGAAGCAGAAGCATGGTCAGTAGGAATAAAGCAGTGCTGTAGATGGTAAGGAACCAGAATATAGCTCTCCACCCGAGAGCTCCAGCAAGAGCTCCCCCTATCACTGGACCCACTGCAATAGGAACCAACAATCCTGCCTGGAAGAATCCCATGTAGCCTCCGCGGTCAGCGCGTGTGGTGATATCGCCTACCACGCCGGAGCCAATGGCGATCGTGCTCGCACTGCCTGCGCTCTGCAGACACCTCAAAATGATTAGGGTAGCATAGTTCTTGGCCTTCGCAAGACCAACACACGCACCGATTGCTACAATCAGGGTGCAGGCGTATGCCGTCCGACGGCCCTTAACATCAGATATTGGACCCCAGAGGCTGGGTGATATGCCTTGAAACAACAGATACGAGGTAATCGTGAGGTTGATAAGCTCGATAGAAACATTGAAATCGTGAGCGATTGCCAGAAGGGCTGGAAAGTAAATGTTTGATGCTATCGCGGAGACTTGAAATCCTTTAGCCAGATGCCTTATCTACCACTAAACGATGCCCTGCACTCACAGGTTGCGGCAGCTGAGACTATGAGAACAATCAACACTTTTTGTGTTTTATCAAAAATGCTGTAAGGTTCCGGGCTGCCAGGGAATGGAGTTAAGCTGGTGGTAGTTGGTTTGTTGCCGCTGTCTTCCGACATGGTTTCTTGGAATGAACCTGGTGAGTTAAGGCTCAGCATACACTCACCTGAAGCCTACGAGGTTTCAAAATCACCTTAGGCGTTTCGCTGGAATTCGGAAGGGCTATCAAGATGGATGCCTCCACTCGGCGTCCATAGAGTCAATTCAGGGTACGAAGTGTGATCGTCAAGTGGATTCCAGGATCCCTTCGCTTGTATCGGGTCTGTGCATTTTAGCTGCCTGTCTTGAAGTGTCTCCCATCGGAACTCATAACTCCGATTTCGCCACTCTGTGCCTGTAATCTCTCTAACAAGCATACTGGCTTGTTTAGACTCGCCACGGCCCATGACTCACGGGAGAACACCGAGACGACTCCGCACTCGGGGAGGACCTCCGAAGTCAAATAATTTCAAGCTTCAAAATGAAGACAGAAAATCCAAGGGTTCACAATATCCGGCTATCCAGCGCGACTCCTACATCTCTTGTTTACAAATTCACACCCACTCACAGATTTCACAGTACTTCGTAGGTCACATAGTATTTGTCAGCAGCAAATCGTGGGCCCCAGACTCTCCATTGTTGCCACGACGTAGTTCGTTCTCACTCGCGGCCCGATTCCCTATTAACCAGAGTAGCCAGTTAAACTCCTACAGTACCAGCCATGAAGCTTGTTTCGAATGACGTCAGCTTTCTCAACCGCTCGACTCGGCTGGTAGGCCCTAGGATCGATATCCCTATGATCACTGTTAACTCTGCAATAGTGATTGAGAATCTACTCATATATCCGCGTGTAGCTATGCAGGTCAACCTCAGAGAAAGCCATGACCAGGTGCCGTTTACTAATATTTTAGGTGGACATCGTCTGCCTGGTCTGTCTAGGTATTATTTCAAACCGGGCACCTCAGATCAGGGGAAGACAAAGAGAGAAACAAACTGCGAAAAGGTCAAGGCCCAGAGGCGTTCTGAAGAGCTATGAGAAGCATGTGAAACCTTCGATGATAACATTGCTCTTTTGCTGACTTTCCCGTATGCACTTTTTTGGGCTCTGTTATAACCGCCTGAATCACCCGTAGAGGGGGCATAATCCAACAGACGCTCCGCAAGCGAGCAGAAGGAACAATTCGATCCGTTACTCTGCTCCGAGACCTTCGCACCCTGACTATTATATTGCCCTTCCGTTATTTTCAACGGACCATTGGTGGCACTGCGCCGATTGATAAGCTGCTAGCGCCGAGTCTCCATCCCCCTTAAAATAAAGGACAAAAGCGCGTATGTATAGCGAGTATCCGAAACAGCGCATCAATGAGTTATGACACTCCGAGAGTATACTCGGCTGGATCCCGACTTTTTACTAACAACATTCCAATATGCATGGCTGTAACGAATTCAGGCCACATATCCCTAGGTTCCATATGAGGTCCAAAAGCGAAAAGTTATATCTCAATCATCAAGACGATTTCTCCAGTCTGTGCGGACAGGACATGGACAATACGTGTGTCCTGCTCCCGACGGGGTCAAGAGGCGAAGGTTTCGCTCGCCTGGGCAGCATCAAGCAAGCCGTATATTCTCCATGATGCGCGCCTATCATTGTCGAGGAATGCCCAGGAGAGCAAGAAGAATGAGGCCGCAGCAGGCTACGAGCAGAGAAAATCCCCAGGCTTGCCCATTCGTATCTAAGTCTCTCGCGAATGCCCAGCGCTCCGTTTGAAGGATCAAAGACTGGGCCAAATCACAAAACTGGGAGGCGGGAGGAATGCCCGGACTGACTGCTTGCGCCAAGGCCCCGCGGCCCCCGATGTCTTGGCCGAGCCCAACAGCCACCGGGCTGTGACGGACGGAAGTTGGAGGTCGCAGTGCTGCATCCTTCGCACTCGCCAGGGACCAGCCGGTGTTCTCAGTTCTGAGTTGGTCAATCTTAATAACTACCGCTGTGAGGCTCTGGGGAATCCGAGGACACGCCACATGCTTCGAGCAGTATCCTCTTCCACACACGGACGGGGGAATTCTGGGAACGCAGGACCGCTTCCCTCGAAACCAGTCACACGCGGTATTGACGGGGCGATCTTCGGCCTGTATCAAGTCTGTTTATCGGGGCTGTTTGTCTGTCTGGCTGACGGCTTTGTCACTGGCTAGCCCTGCCTCTGCGTTTTCTTGTGCAAATTCGATACCCTTCAGCTTGGGACGCGGAAAATCAACAGGGCCAGGGACCCCTCCAGGATAGCGCTCGCATGCAACCTTGTTGCGCTCAGCCCGTCAGAACCGTTCATGCCGATCTCGTAACCAGGACTGCCCAGCACCACGGGTGGATCTGCAATGTAAAAGTACCGCACTGCCATCCAATAGCCTGCGATTCGACAATGGATTGGGGTCCTCCGCAGCAGGCAGTGCTAACAGGGAGGCTGGTATATACCCGAGCATTGCACATGGTGTACTCCGTAGTCTTCCCTGCAACAATTTTTTTTCCCCTACTCATGGACGGAGTCCTCGCCGACAGTTTATGACTGACAATTCACTAGGGGCAATGTCTTGAGAAACTTCCTAATTTTTTTTTCACTATTCACCATGGGTAGTTTCTTGCCCCTCCTCCTCAATCTGTTTGTGGCTGCTGGCGGAGTACTCGGATTCAATCCAGAGAGGAACAGATTCCTTAATCCAGCACCAGGCGGACGAAACCCCGTCTGGTTGATTGGAGAACAACAGGTAATCTCGTGGAAAACGGAATTCACAGTCTACAACATATCGATTTGGCACCAATATCCCACCAATGATGGAGCAACTTTTGGCAGCGTTTTGTACTGTGCGTATCTTTCTAGCTCACTGGATGTGGTTCTGCAGGACTGACAAACGGAAAAGCGGCCTCGAGTAGGGATGCACCGACGAACTTCACCTGGACCGTGCAGACCTACGATTTCGACTTGAGCTTCTCAAATGTGTTCTTCTTCTGGTTCAATCGAGGCGCTCCCAAACACTTTATCTCGCACTACTTCAATATAACCACAGATGAGTCTATCACATCAACAAGGTCAATTTCTACCACGTCGGACCAGACCGGTATCTCTATTACTGTACCTTCTACTACAACACCCAGTCCATCGGATGCGACTATAGAACCGCAAGCGGCAGAAGGGCTAAATTCAAATGCAAAGGTTGGATTAGGCGTCGGAGTGGGCATCGGTGTCCCGATAATATTACTTCTTGCCTTCGTTGCATTCGGTAGATACTTCAGAAGACCCAAACCTTCATACCATGAATCATTTCAACCGCATATGCGAGAGGTCCCGCGGCGACCACAGCAGGAGGTAGCAGAACTAGCATCCAAGCACAATGCAAACGAGAGCGACAACTTTGTTGAGCTAGATGGATCTGCGACGCAGGAGATGCAAGATACTCACTACAAGTGATTCGATGTTCTTGTGAGCTACCCTTTTGTTAGAAGCGCAAGAAAAAGTAAAAAGCTTTAGGGGTGTTCTTTGAGATATAGGGTGTTTTGTGGCGCACTTATCATGGACCGCCCTGCTGAATAGATGAGCTCTCAGGGCTTGAACATTGTGATACCTTATGGTAATTAATTATTCACAAGAATAGATGGGGGGATGTAACTACAGAGTACAGTATAAAGTTACATGATATTTAAATGAAAACTAGCTTTCCATCTACACTACAAAAGTAAATCAGTGAAAATCAAGACGAAAAAAAATTGCTCCAAATATCAGCCAGGCAATGGGACTGTTAGATAGCCGAGATATCGCTTCATCTCTTGTTCTGGCTTCCCTGACAATTTGGCCACTAATCACATCAGCTGGAGGCGCTAGTTCAGCGTGCACAGTGTCATCGCTTGCGGAATAAGTTAATAACACAAATTGCGTTGGAGTGGCATTTCATCAGCTTAGTCCCGAGTTAACTAGTTAATTGACCAACAAACTAGTCACTACATGGTTAGCGGCTAATTGGTCCATATGAAGGCAGGGGCTTCATACCTTATGAGCAGTCTCCGACAGGTAACTCCCAAAGGCGCATGAGAGGTAAACAGCAGTTACAGGCACAAAACCTCCCCAGGTACTCCGTACACCTCCAGGAATGTGTTTGGCTCAGATTCGAAACCGACACTCTCTTATCCCAACGGGTCTTGTGGGGAAGAACGACGGTGACACGATGCTATCCTTTATCGACGTATTCGACCCGGCTAGATACTATCCGGTTTGCCTGTCTCTTGTCGATGCTCTGGATAATATATCAATGCTGCGCTTGTGTATGACGTGTCGGACTATGCGATCCCTTTACGAATGTGTTCATGCCAGACAATGGGATATTAACCGGCCCTTAGCCCGTTTCGTCGAGGATCCCTATCGTCTCCGTCAGCTGATGAAGCGCGCGAACGCTATCATTTCGGGCCACTTAGCTCTACAATTCTTCTATGGGGAGTACTTCCCCGAAACCGGCATGGATATCTTCGCGCCATATTCCGCCTATATGGTTGATTTGGTCCAGTATTTTGTGGAGATTGAAGGATATTCCGCAGAATCATCCTGCCCTGCAACCTGGTGCTGTCCTGATACTTTCTGCAGCGGCTGTTCCTCAAACAAGTTTAAAATGAAGACGTTTACACAGGGAGACCGAGTAATACGACTTGCCTTTATTCGAACCTGGACAAATCCAGTCAAGTTCATCCTAGCATCCTTCTATGGGAGCGCTGTTATGAACTTCATCACATACTCCAAAGCTTACAGTGTTTTCCCTAAGGCGACCTTCGTCAAGCGGCAAATGTGTATCCTTAAAAGGTGCGGAGACTTGGAAGAAAGAGCGTTGCTCAAATACGAAGGAAGGGGTTTCACCGCGGTTCCTATGGAGATATGGAAACGGAAACCAGCCTCTGAGCTCCGAGAGTTTGTATGCGCTCGAAAGATTGGAGATCGTCACACATGGACAATAGATCTAGACAACCCGTGGGAACATCCGGATGCTAATCGATTCGAATGTACGCGCTTCTCAGCAACGTTCAATTTGGAGCATGCAATGACAGTACTCGACGACGTGTCCCCGAAGCAGGATCACATGTCTCTGTTAAAGGCACACGCCCGTCCATCTCCGCTCCTGTTTCTGTCCGGCTCCGCTAACAGCATTGAAGACAGGAGTCATCTATGACGATCCCCGCCGATTTTATATGACAGAGCAGTATAAAGAGCACGAAGAGCGCAAAGAGCGTGAATAGGCACACCTCGGGAGCAGTTTTAAGTCAACCAGAAACTTCCGGATTGCCTTTCGACGTTTTCCGGCGTGGACGGAGTTGGTATCCATCTATGCGCATATCCACGCCTTCGGGAATATTCGCCTCTAGTCAATCTACATTTCTTTCTCAGCCGACGGTATTTCTTTTTGAAAGTGGTCGAAAATCGGATTTAGACGACACTCATATTCACCAACCGAACTCGGCAGTGCAATTTCGATAGAGCTACGGTTTCAGCGCATTCAACTACGAGGCCGACTCGCGCACAGTACACTCAAGCACAGTTTCATATTAATCGAGCCAAGCAAGCCAGAATGGGATTGTGCGAGCGACCTCGTCCCAGAACCACTACATCTCCCACCTGGTTCGTTTAGCAGCGACACAAGAATCGCGAGCTCCTAAACTACGCATGCGGCAAATATATCATATCGTCCATATATGACGGAGAGTGTAGATTCGCAAACCGCGTATCGTAATAATGGTAGAGGTCACACCGCGCCCTGTGAAGCCGATGTCCAAATTCCACCCAGCAACAAACGGAGCAAACAGCATCCCGGAAACCCTCCACGCCAATTAACTAGACCAAACACTTGGTACGTTCCATAACGAGCTCGTTCAGTTAAAGTGATTGACGCGACACGACGCGCCCTCATCCTTGCGTCGGTAGCGGGCTGATCCGAGGCGAAATCACAAATCCCCAAAATTCAAACCGCCGCACGGAGGCCCACGACATATCCTCCATTTATCTCCATCAACAAACGGAATACGGAGTAACTGCTCTGTACTCCGTACATCATGCGACGAATGCGAGTCCCACAGAGACACTGGGCGCGTTTTGCAAATCATTCTTGCCATCGACCACCAACGGCTTCCATCTAGATCCACAGCTGTGCCTTGGCGAGTATGAGACCCCGATGTGCCGGTGGGAGGAAGGCAGATCAGAAGGTGCTGTGCCATGTTCTAGCATATTCGATTCCATGGCTGGATCAACAGGGGTCGATATTCGTTTTGGTGGGGTCTCTGCTTGACCTGACTGGCTGGAGTTGCAGCATGTGTTGGTTCTCAGCCGCAGACGCTTGAATCCCTAACCCGATGGGAATGCTCATGCTTGAATAAGGCTTGAGACGATCCGCGAAAACGCGGAGAGGTCTTTGACTTCCATGTCCTTTTCACTTCGTACGGAAGACATGATGCTGTTAAATCATGTATCTCTTTCTCGAACCTTTTGACAAGTCAACGACATGGCCCACTTTACGTCGTTGCACTTCCATCACCATCACGAAGCATCCAAGTGGATTCTCTTTGCCCTAGCAAGGGTCTAGTCTTCTAATCCGATCTTATATCTCGTTTAAGTCCTGCTGTCTCGACACCTAAGTCACCCAAGTCCATAATCTTACCGAATAAGGGAAATGAAGCTCGGCTGGCTCGGGTGGCAGCGTCCGACCAGCTAGCATTCATGCCTTTGGTCATTTGAACACCATTCCTTATTCCAAACACATGTTACGCCTGAGAGCGTTCCAACCTAGAGGGCTTGACCGGTCAAACTACTATCTAGGACCTTGGTCATGACTTTTCTATCCCTATCCCTTGGTTGTTTTATGGGAGCCACTGGTGTCAGGCAGCGTATGAACACTCTGCAATAACATACCGAGGGTCATGTTCACGGTGGAGCTTCTGATGGCATCGTTGTTTTCTGCTCATATGTTTGTACGCCCTTTGGAATCCGAGAAAATATCTCAAATGTGCTGCAGCAGTGCGAACATTTGTATTGGAGCAGATGCCATAAATGTAAAGGATTCCTTTGCCGATATCCAACCATCCCAGTGTTAGATATATCTGGCTAGCCTAGATTACCCCAGAGCAGAAAGACGTACTCCCATGTGCAACGTGACATCGAACATATGGTCCGAGATTACCACAAGGTCCAGGCTCAGGACAAACTCTCATTCATGTCACCTTGGGAATATCCATATTTATCACATCAGCGTTTGTGTAAGTTAGGATCAGGGTCAGATATTCCCTCGTGCCCTCGTGGAATACGAACACCACAACACTGTTTCCCTCCTCTTTATCAGTCATGCGTGCTGGATAATAATCCTGATGTCTATTTGTGATACTATCCTTCCCGTATTTTGTTATCCGACTCTCGGAAAAAGGCTCTAGATTACTTGGGCTCTCTTTAGAATATCCTTAAAAGGCATATGTACGGCAATGCGTGTTTTCATCCAACCTGCCTCTCAACAAATGCGACGAAAGAAAGGACAAGTTACCAGATCACAAGATTTCCAGTGGCGATCGGGACTCATACGCCTAGCCTTCTCGGTACGATCCTTATAGTGATGGATGTGGCGACGAGTTGAGCCGCAGAGCTGTCCAAAGGGTATAAAATGGAGCACACGACTCGAGTTTATGGGTACCAAAAGCCTCCCTTGCACGATCAAATAAGCCCACAATCAGCGAACAATTTGATTTTTCGTTTCAAATCCGCCTCCAAAGGAAACCATGAAGCCCTCTTATATCCTGTCCCTGCTTGGTCTACAAGTTGCCAGCGTTATGGCCATTCCCGTCGAGAGCGACGCTCTTAGTATTCCCTGCTTCCTATTGAAACTAGTGTCCGGATGGGACGTGGCTGCATGAAACTCATGATGAGTGTCACTTGGAAAAGGCACCGAACAAAACGAGGTTCTGCAGGAGGATAACAATATTCTTGCTCAGCTCTCCAACCAAGCACGTAAGCTGGCCAAGCTATGTTCGGTCTCTCCCTTTCTCCCTTGTGTACTAACTCGCCTCGGCGATGGATTAGGTTGCATCCCATGCAGGGGCAGGTGCCGTGGCTATTGCTGCCCACCAGGCACTCCCTACTGCGTTTGGGCTCGTGGCCGCTGCTGGTGTCCGCGCCGCTAAACAGGTTCGACCTCGCGGCATTGCATGGCTCTGCAGTATGACATGACCGCTGCGATCACACAGCGTTCTCGGATTAGTTCCTGCAGCGAGTAAGCTTTAAGGTCTCGAAAGGCATACAAACGTGTGTGTAGTATGTTGTTTTGGTGAAGGGAAAGGAAGGGAAGGTTCATGGTTTTGGCATGCTCGCAGGATTAACCTGCGACGGGCTTGTTACGGACAACTCGGTCGCGGCAAGGCGTGCCTTTGTGGGTTCTTCGATATTGCGACTTTTCTCTTGGGCTTATTTATATCTCCTCTGCTCCGTACACTCCTTTTTATTTCGGCACTTGCAGCTATCTTTTGAAACCCCGCCCCCCTGACAACCAATTATACATGTTATTTTGGAATATACTTCTCTATGTACTCCGCACTCCGTAGTCAATTAACTAACTGCTATATCAAACCTCCATTATGCTTTATGATCTCATATACAGGATGTTAGGCGTTGGCAGATGCGTGTACTCCGTAGGCTGTTGTAACGGAAGATCTTTCGTAGTACGGAGTACGGAGTACTTGGCTGCATATACTCCGACGATCACAGACGATCTTCAAATCTTCCTAGGCGGCTAGCCAATTAACTACAGACTCGGTAGTTACTCCGTACGGAGTACGCAGTGGTCAAACTTGTTAAACTGGAAGCTTGTCTCTTTGCACGTTTTGAAGGCGTTGTCGATGTCGTTCCCGACTGAGGAAATTTGCGTATAGGACGGGGCGCTTGAAGGAAAGGAATTCAAAAATAGATTTCTGGAGTGTTCAAAAAAATAAAAAAAAAAGGCCCAAGCCGGGAGTCGAACCCGGGACCTCTCGCATTTCCCCCAAGGAAGGCTTCGGGTTTGAATAGCTTCGATATCATTGTGGAATCGGAACTTTGCCCTAAGCGAGAATTATACCACTAAACCACCTGGGCTGTTTTCAATAAAAATGGCTGACCTCAGTGGCGCTGATCGGGAGAAGTCGAGGAGCTCGAGCCCGCCCACAGGGACGCAAGAAAGAACCAAACGACCCAGTCACCATTTGAAAATGGGAATCTACAGAGTACAACGGATACAACATGCCCGAAGCAACTCCACAGGCGATAGCCGAACAATTTTAGCCAAATCATCAAAAGTCAATTCCTGGAATTGTTTACTATTTAACATTAGCAATTATTTGATCGTTATTTAGCTAGTTATATAGGTTTGGGCCAAACATAGCACCATCCCAGATGGCCTGCCCGGCTTGAGCCGATACGCTCGCGAGAGAGAACGCAAGACACAAAAAACACGAAAAAAAAGTTCCAACGCCAAAGATAGAGTACATGCCACGCTTATGGAAATACTAATGTTGAAAGAAAGACACTTGCAGATATGAATTCTGTCTCCTCATCTCCTCAAGAACTCATCCACCTCAAATCCAATCCTTCTAAGCGCCTTCTCCTCAATCGAGTTCGCAGACTCAGCAAGGCGTCTTACTGCCAGTGTTCGAGCATCGTCCAGGCGGTTCTCCACAGGATTCCCTTCTCCAAACTTGATCAACTCTTCATGCTCGCAGTCTTGTACGTACACTGTGACATCAGGACCGACACAGCCCCGCCAAAGGGACGCCATCCACTGCCAGTGATCAATCGGAGCGTACGAGTCATTGATGGGTGTTGCGCATGCGTGCGCATCGGCGGTGCTGAGCTGGTATCGGGGGACCAGAGCTATCCGAAAAGCCGAGTCTGGCGAAATGGGAACTGCACCGTCCAAATCCTGTGTTGCCATGTTCGGGCGAGGTGCAAGCGATTTTGGAGACAGTTCAGCTGAAAGCTTGCCATGTTCAAGCTGATTTATTCCCACTGCACGAGAGTCATTGATGAAATGCATGATCTCTTCGGAGATTTTGTGCCACGCTGATATGGTTTCCAAGTATTGCACCGTGGCATCACGCATGTCCTCAGCCATGCTTGGGGACTTTGACGAGTCCAGATTTGGTCCATCAAAGACGCGAACAATCTGTCCATCTTTGGACGAAAGCACGCTCTGTAAGTATCGCACAACGCACCGGACGGACTCCGAGGCCTGGCCCTCGACTGCAATCACAGCGCCGTGCCTCTCCCGTGCGGGTCTTGTTGTTGTGAAAGGGGGTGAGATTTTCGATAACATTTTGATTTTATTGACGAATGGAATCGTCATGACCATGGCCTCAACTTCATTTTGGCGATTCCGCTGAGAAGCAGATAGTGTCTGCAATGGTGGCAAAGTTAGGCTTGCGTCGTGATCAGGTTCTGAGTAGCTTCTCATTCCGTACGGTCGCTGGGGCTCCATCACATAGGGATTCCTCTGCTGCAGCAAGTCTGGTCGCGAAAACGACATGCTCCGCGAAGAATACCCATTCCCCGGATCCAAGTCCCGCCGGGGAGGGAAGAATTCGCAGCGCCGGCGTTTAGTTCCCGGGGAGAGTCGGGCGTTGTCGTCATGGTATTGCGGTTGAAACGCGCTTCCCCATTCGAAAATAGAATTCGATTGGATTGGGCTCGCCGATCTGGCTTCTTTTCTTACAAAACGACTATTGACACTGCTATCCGTTTTCTGGCTGGCCTGTGGCTGGACGGAAGAGTCGTCCTGAGTCTGCAAAGGCGGGCCAAAAGAAGCTGTAGGAGTCGATGGAGGGTTCATAACTCTCCCACCACACCTACTGCAGACAGATGCACCAGTAGGGTTGTTGCTAATTCCCGAACTGGTGTTGCCAGCGCTGCTTCCCTTTCGTCCATAACGTCGCGGTTGATATCGATAATCGGGATACTGCTGCTGGTGCCTTGCTTTTTCCTCCTAGCATCTTGTTAGAAATATTATTTCAAGCTAAGCACTCTGCGAAAAGTCAAGATGACTCACTTCCGCAAGATTTTTCCATTCTTGTTTGGATTCGTTCGGGAGAGTTCTCCATTTTTCGCCAATTATTTTGGAAATATCAGGGTTCGCAAGACCCGGATTTTGGGCAACAACAGCAGATTGAAAATGTTGTCTGAACAAGATGAAAGCTGGTTGTTGGACCATATGATTAGTATAGATGTTTGGATTCTTTCATTCTGTCCCAAAGCACATAATTATCCTCGTTCACGCACAGAACAGAGAGAAATTGAACTTAAAAAAAGAAAAGAAAAGAAAAGAAAAGGACCTACACACCATTCCTGGGACGTGGTATCTTTGGATCTGGCTGGCAAAGACAGAATTGCACGTTAGAGTCTTTTGAGGAGGTAGACTTTGTCGAGCCTGCAGACGTTGCACGCTCCTCTCGAGCGAGGTGGCAGCTGGCAACGGTCGGAACTCGTTTTCGGCTCAACGGCAAAGACAGGACTGGGCCGCCTTCTGTAACGTGTGCTTGCTTGGAGCTCATACCCAGCTCAAGCGCCGGAGTTCGCGCAGTCGCTGGGGCAGCAAAGTTCATTTCCAATTGGACTGACGGTTGATAAACAGGCTTGTTGAATGTGCTCCCATTCAAACTATCTGCCATGATTTTATGATCCAGCAACGTGTTGGCTGGTAGATCCCGTCCGGTAAAATCATAGCAAAGGCCAAGCGGCCGGGGCAACACTCGATCGTAAGACATGAAAAATTAATGATAGGCCAATTGCAAGTGGCAGGCTTTCGAACAAGTTGTAGGTATCCTCCTCCCTCTTCCCGTGTGCCTTGGTCCTAAACCATCGTGACTTTTCAAGATGTTTATTATTGTTCTGGGAATGATCTTATTTTAAACCATGACCTGAGATTCTTTGTTTCCTCAATTTGCACACTTATAAAAACTATCATATTGCAAACAATTGCAGTCATCCGATGCACTTCTGCCTTGACAGCTGTTGTGATGGTTAAGCTGACTCTTGTCTGAAACAAAAAAAGAAAATAAAAAGATCCTCTTACCTCTGGGCTGGGGAACTATTGTCTTTGGGTCCTTTGTCTGGCGCAGCGCCTGAATGCGGCGAGATGCACCATCACCTTCTTTTATGTGAGACATCCAATCACCGAATAGCTGCAACAATGCGATGATTAAATCTGTCCTTGCTTTGGCGTACCGCGACTACAAACAGGAATTGATTTACATGTCCAGCTCTGAGCCAAACGTAACCTCTGACCAACGTATCAATAACAGGAGTATTTCGGGATCGTCGCACAGCAGGCAAGATGCAGAATCCCTCCACTTGACTTTCCAGAACCTCTTCTCACATAGCTGGTGTCGGATAATTAAGCCGGCTGGGACTTGGCTTCCACGCTTTTTTCACTGCAGTCGTGTGCACTCGGCCCTCTCCTGTCACCATATCCTCATGATCGGCCCCCTTTCAACAATTCTCCGGTCCAATCGTATACCAAACAGGTCCAGCCTTGCAGCGGCGACATGGGAAGCAGGTAGGAAATTCCGGGACGCCATGCCCGGAGTGGCGCAATCGGGGAGCTGCTGCGATAACGTCTTAGCATCCTTGCCTATTGATTCAAGACAAGGACCGTCGACCCGTAAGGGGTAGACCTCAGCCAACTATCCTCCAACATCCAAAAGTTATCGGTTGCAAAATGGTCCACTGTGGGCGGCGACTGTTTCTCCCACTCCTATTCCAGGATTCAGATCTCACTTCAACCACAGTTCTTTGATGGCGTTGAAAACTTCTGCTGCCAATAACTGCTGGGCCGCTGGCCCGAGATGCAGTGAATCCCTGAACCGGATTTCTATTTAGCATCTGATGCAGGGAGAAAAAGCAAAAAAAAAAAAAAAAAAAAAAAAAAAAAAAAAGCGTGCTGCTAGGGATTGCAACGTACCAGAACAAAAACTTTTCCGGGTCACTGCATGTCTTCCGTTTCAACCGAGACTTCGCTGGGCCGACGCAAGGCTCGTTGACATTCTCCCACGCGATACCATTTTTACCAAAGTCTTCTCCCTCAATCAACCCGCCAACCCACAGCTGTCTTTCTCGAACTTGGTCAATGAGAAACGAGTTTGTGTCGAGCAAAAAAATCGAGCCGGTTTTCCATTGTTCAGCCCGGCTTCGTACTTCGTTGTGCCAGTGGTCAGTCAAGTTAACGGCATCCTTTTGAAGAACCCCTTGCCTCGTCTTAAATGCAGGTAGGAATGTCACATCCACGGGCAGTGAAAGTATTATCTTAGTGTGTTTGCGCGACCAGATCTCTGCGAGTTCATCCAAATACGCAAACATTTTCTCCACAATTCGTTGGACGGATTCCCTAGCCGTGTCTAGGTCTTCTGCGGCAAGTTGCCAGAGATCCCAAGTCCCGAAGGACACAACAAAGATGGTGTTTTGTTTTAGTCTTGAGGTTGCTTTTCCTAGGACACCGCGAGCGGCGTCCTCTTCTTTATTCAACCATCCAGACATCTGATCATTAAGGTCTGCCGCTGTTTCCCCTCCCGTGTTGTTGAGTTCGCTGTTGTCGATGATCGCACCGAATGAAGGATCGGGAGAATCCGTTGTGACTTCCAGCGTACATTGGAACTGTTGCAGGAAGCCGTCAGCTTTTCGTTTTCTTACGATTCCCTGGGACACTTGTATTTTTCTTTTCTTTTTTTTTTTGGTTTACCTGGGCGCAGAGCATTTCCGGCCACACCTGTGTTTGAAGTGGCCTGTATATGGTGCCGTCATCGCTCCATGAATCCCCAAAGACTACCAGTCTATACGAAACTGGACTGTCGAAGTAACCGTTCCTCAGGGTTTCCACAGAAAAGACGCCTAGGTACCATGAGAAATATAAAATTCCCACTACGGCTAAGCCGATGAGGATATGAAGTCTTGACGAAAACCGCATTTCAATTCTCTTCCTTTTGCAATGCTGGCTATGAGACGGAACTCTCGCAAAGGGCAACAATATCAGGCTAAACGCTTAAAAAGTAGGAAATTCAAACTGAGGCAACATGCAGAGAAGACGAACGGCTACAGAAATTCTCAGCCTACAGAGGACGCGAGTTTCAACAGGGATAATATAGGACAAGCATACGGAGGAGAAACGGATGGTATTTTGTCGGCTCCGGCGCATCCCAATCCCATGCGCCGAGTGGGCGATATCCGCGATATTATGTACATAAATTGATATCGCTGCTCAGTCTCTATATAAAATATAACTCAATACTGGTTGGCCTGCCCCGTAACACCCGCTGAAGAGGATTCTGCAAAACTAATAGCCAAGACCATACTGGTGAACTTTACGCCACGATACTCCGTAGTTTGTGGAGCTCAGCCATCGAAAGGAAATTCTGGTGTCCGCGATTCGTCCTCCAGATGCGGATCGGCGCACTGGACCTTGATCATAAAGGCCGTTAGATGAATTGATACGTGGAAGATCTGTGTGGCTGAAGGGCGTAGGGGGTTGAAACGCTTCGCCCATCAACTGCCAGGGGCTACGACGAAAAGCATATTTAACCCTTACTCTGGACCCGTGAGAGGGGGCACTTTTTCAAAAGTTTGACAGCAAAGAGAGTCGAGAATGTGGCTTTTATCAGCGGGGATTTGCACGGCTGGTTGGGTTGGTAAATTCCGGTGAACCTTTTTTTATCCGTGGTCTCGTGTTTATTGGGTGCCGGGCCACCCGAACAAGCAAAAGTCCGCGTGCTTGGAGTGGCTGTTGGTTAGTTTAGGGCTGGTGGGCCGAGTGTGGTCGGAGTTCGATATATGTATTTGAAAGAACAGAATGCCGGTATCTCCAGGAATTCCAGAGAGGGCCGGGTTTCATATGGTTGAGGAGAATTTCATGCGCGCTGGTTTTGTAAATCATGTGCTTTTCTTCTTCGAGGATTGCCTCCTGCTCCGGACATCAATTTCTCTCGGCGCATGTTACAAAGTGTCGTTGATCATCAGTCGTCAACAACTTGTAAGATCTTGGGAATTGTACGTAAGTCCTCCGTATTTGACCGGGATTAGGCAGGGGTCTCCGTATCATTTAGTTACGTCCTGCGTACGGAGAGTATGAAGGAACAATTTACTGGACAGGATCGTTTTGGAGGTTGCTCGCTTGTAGTTGGATACAGAGTGCATAGTGTAGCAGAATTCCGCCCACATAGTGTTCGCTAGTGAATGGGGCGGGACAGCTCATTGTCCGAAGTTCAAGCAGGGGCATTGTTTAAACTTGACATAGCTCGTGTATGGAAGAACGATGTGAATACTGCATTTGTCACCGCTACTGGTGATAGTCAGATGTAGCATTCATCTCACCATAGCATCGGGGCTGGGCAACGACGGGATGATTGGTGACACTTCGCTTGGTTATCAGGACAGCAGTCAGAAATCAAAATCTTTACATGAAGGTCACTCAAGCAAAAGTAACGGTAGCAATTCCTGATGTCGCCTAGCACATGATCAAGCCCATTCTGGAAACAATGGCATTTCGCATCCCTCACAATGCGCGCCACTCCATAGTCTGCAGAGAATGCGAGGTTGATGCGAGCATCACGAATGTCATTCAAAATAGAGAATAAGCTCATTCATGTTTTCAGACAACCTTAAAACCTCTGACTCTTCGGTGTCACGGTCAAGATACTCCAGAAAGTTCCACGATGCCCAGCGTTCAATTGCCTTTTCGGCATAGCGGAGTCTTTGATGTAGTATCTGACCAAATCATCATTGGGCGCCACGATAGAGCTTGGGCAGTCGTGCTTTTGACGATGTGCCATTGAATCGCACTATTGGAGAGCGCGGGCAAAGGAACCCATTCTCTGATGGTTTCACAGAGCGCGGCGTAGGAGCGGTGAGCGACGTTTGTGACGCGCTCAGCGAAGAGGGACTAGGCCCAGGGCGAGGTCGCGTAACGGTACATGCTGACGTACTCTTGAAGCCAGAGGCACGTTAGTCGCTGGCTGTGCGGTGTCGAAAGGAGACGGCGAGGGCGAAGGGCGTTGGCACCGTGTCGTTCGACGCAGAGAATCAGCGAGAAGACGAGTTTTGCGGAAGAGCACAATCAGCCTGCCTCTGATTGGCCAGAAATATATGTAGGGCTGCTTATATCATCAAATTCCAGTTCGGGTTTAGGCTCGCTTAGTCACCACCCACAGAATGGGGGAATTTCGCTAAGAAATATCCACAAACGCAGATTTGAAGTTGTCCGTGAGACGACGTCGACGACCTACCAACCAACGCCCATCGACAATTTGCGTGTGCCTCCGTCTTGACCGCGGATTCCTGTCAAGATGAAGCTCAACATTGCCTACCCGGCCAATGGGTCGCAGAAATTGATCGAGATTGACGATGAGCGCAAGCTCCGACCCTTCATGGAGAAGCGCATGGGAACTGAAGTGAGCACCGGCCCAACGCAGCTGTTTTCGACGGAGGACAAAGGACGTTTTGGATGAAAGGATGTTTTTGTGCTGATTGCGAATTTTTTTCGCGGTGGTGGTTTAGGTTCCTGGCGACTCTCTCGGTGATGAATTCAAGGGTTATTTGTTCAAGATCACTGGTGGAAACGATAAGCAAGGTATGGGATCTTTTACAGTCAGCTGGATATAACGGTCGCTGGCTATATTGAGTCCGGGATCTATTGCTGACAAAATCACAGGTTTCCCCATGAAGCAGGGTGGTATGTACCGAGATCAGGCCTCGCCTTCGATATTCCGCAAACACTCACCTGTACTGGCTAGTTCTTCTGCCCAACCGTACCAGACTCCTCCTCAGCACCGGCCACAGGTATTTTGCAACTTTCGATGTCATAAAAATGCGCCTAGCACATTCAAAACTGACATTTGACGATAGCTGCTACCGACCCCGCCGAACTGGTGAGCGCAAGCGCAAGAGCGTTCGTGGAGGTACGACATACAACGATCCCCGTTCGATATACTGTTCTTAAGCCCAGCATTTGACATGAAAATTGTTTAGCTATCACTGGTTATGACCTTGCTGTTATGGCTCTTACCGTCGTCAAGCAGGGTGAGGGTGATATCCCCGGACTCACAGATGTCGTGAACCCCAAGAGACTCGGTCCCAAGCGTGCTTCTAAGATCCGCAAGTTCTTCGGTTTGGACAAGAAGGATGATGTCAGAAAATTCGTTATCCGCCGAACTGTCACACCCACCAAGGAGGGAAAGAAGGAATACACCAAGGCCCCTAAGATCCAGCGTCTCGTCACCCCCCAACGTCTCCAGCGCAAGCGTCAGCGAATTGCCCTCAAGCGCCGCCGGGCTGAGTCTGCCAAGGAGCAAGCGTGAGTAGCTTTTATCTAAAGTGCACGTTGACTGTGCTAATATTTGTTTCTCCAATTAGCAACGAATATGCCAAGCTTTTGGCCGCCCGCGTCCACGAGGAGAAGGCCAAGCGCGAGGAACTCCGCAAGCGCCGAGCATCTTCCATGAGAAAGTAAATGGTGTTGCTTGGCGGTTAATGTCGGGGAGGAAGCTCAGGTGCGAACGGGATAAAGGAAACGGGGTGTTGTGTGCAACTATTATGAGCCTCGGATTAAAGAGAAATACCATGTTCTTTTCTCTTGTCTTTTTCTTCGAGCAACGAATACAGAGTCTTTGGGTCATGGGAGTTTTATTATCTTTGCTACAAAAATTCATTTGCCAAATGACAAGTCTGTTCCAATACCTCCGCCCGCCTCCACAGGGAGATGCGAATTGAACCCCGTTGTTCTTAATGCGCCCTGATTCCATTCTTGCCTTGCGATAATCCGCGAGGTGGATGAATGCCATCAAGAAGCTTCAAGATAATGTCGGGCGTCATGCAAGCAACTTTAACCCGCCCATCATTGCATAATACCTCAACCAACCCAACCCAAAACATATGTTTCCAATTTATCATATATAGATATTGAGATGAAAATTTGTCAGACCTTCTCACTACATGTAGCTAGATGCAATCCGTTATCTACGTGTCAGGAGTGAGCTGTGTTAAGCTTCTCACGCCCATAACTTGCATGAAGGACACCGACAACCCCAATAGTTGGTATGTTGGAGACAGACATGCCAGTGTCGCTGATTCTGAGGACTAGCTTGAGGGGCTGAAAGCATCACTTCTCCACATGATAGACGTATGTAATATATGTGCATCCTCCCTACATATGAAGCACCTATTCCATCAAAAAAGACGTAGTGTAAAGTTGACAAGACACACAAAACCATGCTTGCTTGGATTTCTTGGACCTTCCCAGGTTGAAATAAAGGAAGGGTCTTTTTTGGATAGAATAGCAATGATATAGATAACTAGATGATGTTTTCTATTCTTTGTTGTGGAATAGGAATCATAGAAAGGAAAACCATCCGTGAATAACAAAGTGCTGAACACAGAACACTCATTTAAATATATTTACAAAGCTATGGAGGTGGTCTGAACTCAACAGCCTGTGCTTTTGTATGCATAATATTACCCCACGCTCATTCTCACATGACATTGACCATACAGGCAGCAATCTCGGTAAAGAAACGCTCGCGAGGAACGAGTCAACAGGACTTGAAACATCTATTTTCATCACACTGCAAATCACACACCATTCATGCATTATCATTAGGACACCGCATGCGAAAACAGGAAGCTAACTGACTCCCCGTTATGCGTTCGTCGACATGCCTCCGCCAACACAGGACTGATGTCGATAGTCTCGATCTTATCACAGAGTAACTTCTTTTCCTCATGCGGCACTGTATTCGTAACGACAATACGACTCAATCGCCCGGTATTCAGCGTCTCAATGGCCTTCCCACTAAGAATGCCGTGTGTCACAATAGCGAGGACTTCCTTCGCACCGTTGTCGATGAGGGTGCTAGCAGCTTTGACCAGTGTACCGCAAGTATCGGCCATGTCATCAACAATAATAGCAATCTTATCCTTAACGCTGCCTACAAGAACCATGCGAGAGACCTCATTTGGCCGTGGTCGTTCCTTATGAATAAGAGCGAACTGGAGATCAAGCCGATCTGCAATGGCAGTGGCACGTTTGGCACCACCAGCATCTGGACTGACGATAACGCAGTTGGATACATCAAGGTTCTGACGAATCCATCGCAACATGCTTGGCTCAGCGTAGAGGTTGTCCACAGGCACATTGAAAAATCCTTGAATCTGACTGGCATGGAGATCCATGGTGATAACGTGATTGCACCCAGCAGTCTGGAGCATATTGGCCATGAGTTTGGCTGTGATGGGTGCGCGACTCTTATCCTTTTTGTCTTGGCGAGCATAGGGGAAGTTGGGAATGACAGCAGTGATGCGTCTCGCAGAAGCAGTTTTGCAAGCGTTTATCATAATAAGGAGTTCCATAAGGCCGTCATTGATATCATTAGGTCGTGTCGATTGTAAAATAAAAACTACAGCCGTCTATTAGCAACCGTCGGCTCCTTTTTCGGCTTTCTGGAGGAAATGGCAGAGGTATCCAGTGATATTATGCCGAAAAGAATAATCTCTGATACAACAGAATGCGTAGCAGAGGTCATAATAAGCACGAGGGAGACAAGAGAAAAGTACCATCTTCATCTCTCACACTTTCTCCAATAGTGACGCTGGTCTCCTGGTTTGAATACTGCGAAACCATGACCCGCGTCAACTCGATCCCAAGCCTGGAAGATAATATTAGCATCTTGCCACTAGACATCGACTCTTCATAGGCTTGGAAGAAGTAGATAAAGCTTTTCAGAAAGTGCACCGTAAATTGAGGCGCCCACTGTTGAAGAACATAATTCCATGATAAAACTATGGAGATATTCCCGACGCAAAAGCATAAGAGAAAGAAGATGGACCAAGGAAAAAGACATCTAGAGTCGACTAGACAACCCGGATAGAAAAGCAAGCCAACATTGGGTATACGGTAAAATAAAAATTTAATAAAGCAACGGAATAGGGATATCCTCATACCTATCGGCAACCAGCTGCGCTAGCTCCGGGTGACTGTTTCCAGTCAATAGCTTGATAGAATTCGTAGCCATACTTTCTGGTCCAGCGTGTTCCGTTCAAGAGGACTTTGGGCGTCTTCACGGGGCTAGTTCTCTCTGCACAGGAAGATATGCTCCCACGAGGCAGATGCGACTACTCCGACGAGCCGGTCCGCGAAAGTGCGAAAGATTTACGACAGAATTAACGGTCTGCGCATGGCGATGCGAAGCGAGTCGTCGAACGGCTTTTGCTCTGCGGGACCGTCAATTTTTATGGCGCTAGGCCGAGTTTGGAAGCGGACCCGACAATCAGATAAGATTCTATCACGTGGCAAACCTTCGCCTGCGCAGACTGGGAAATGGGGAGGATGGAAGTGAGATGAGATACAAGGACAGAATAGAGGCTGCTTTTGAGTCTAGAACTATTACGGACACTGCATTGCAGAAGCTGCGAAGGCAATGTTGCTTGCTAAATAACCCAGCTGACCTGCACTTCAACTGTTTTCTCAACAAACAACACGCCGCCAGAGCTCAAAGTCACAGCGTAACAAGCACTGTGGAAAAGAGAAAAAAAAGGAGCATAAATACAGATTTTCCCAATCCTTCCAGCAAATTAAAAAAAAAGAAAAAGAAAATCAAAGACCATGCCATTCTGAGAGTACATAGATCGTGAACTTGACAGCGCCACCAGATGCAAAGGGAATAGAGTAGGTAATGCAGCCCAGGAATCAAACCGTAAATCACGAACCGGTAAAGGAATACAATCACTCTAGTTTATGCGAACCCGAAATACTCGCTGCCGGCAGTCATTGCTGTGTAGAGACGTTGTCTGAGAGTTTCGTAGCTTTCATACTCCGGTAGATCAAGCTCTGTTATACATATTAGCCGAAGGAACTATATAAAAATGGCCACGGAAAACTTACGGTTGAAACAAGTATGCGAGCTGGGTAGTCTATCTTTGTTACCATAGTCACGATGGATGTTGAACTTGCTAAATCCATTCATGCCCTCAAGCTCCCGGAAACCGTTGAGCGGAACTTTGCTAGTTCCAGTAACAAACTGAAGCAACTTGGCACGCTCTTCCTTGTCGAATGAGCGAACAGCACGCCAGAACCACTGGATCTGTGGAGACGACGCAGAGTAGTTGTGGTAGTCGGTATTGTTCTTCCAATCGTCGACATCAATTTCGGGTAGGCCGGAAATCAGCAACTCCAGTTCTTGTTCATTGAAAATGGAGATAAGGTCGGCGGGGATAATATCATGGAAGCCCTTTAAGAAATTGTCTAGTTGCTCTTTAACAGATCCAACCAACCGGTGCTCGACAACAAGCTGAACATATTCCTCTTTGTTTTCTTGAGTGACTGGAATGTTGCGTCCGTTCTCAACCAAGTCAATAACCTGCTTTTCGCCGAAAGCTTCGACCTCAACCGAAAAGTTCTCGGTGAGAATGTCGGTGATATCGTTCTCTAACATCCAGAGTAGAGACTTGTAATAATCCAAATCAAGGGTTTCCATGTCCTTGATAGACACCGATTTCCCAAGAATACGCTTGTATACGGCGCGGCTAAAATGGCAGTCTAGGACTCGACCTTCGTAGATGGCTTTGCCAATAATGCGCCCGATAAACTTGAAGAACATCAAGTGTTCCTGGTTGACCCCACTGAGCCGGTTAGGGTGGAATGTCGTGCGGTCAGACGCAACGGGGATAAAAAGAGCGTAGTTGGGATTGAACATTCCACGAGCGAGGACTTGGAACCACTCTCTCGTCACGCCTCCAGCGTCAACGCCCTCTTCGCCGTGGAAACGGACGCTAAGTTTACCGTACTTCATCTCGTCTGCTGTTTTGAAGTATAACGATTTGAAGGAATCAAGGAAAACCTGGTCTCTGCGAACAGATAGTTGCAGCGGCGGATGAGGATGTCGAGCCTCAGCCCCACGAGAATGAATACGACGGTTGAAGTAATTGCGCTTGTTGTCAAACTCTAGTACTTTCGGGTTCTTAACGAGGAGTGAAAACGTACCACTCATGAGTCGAGGGTTTTGGCGAACAAGCTCGTTGAGAATCTTTCGATGTTCCTCAGTGAATGTGAAGAACAGCCCCTCCATTCCAGCATCCGGCGGAGGGCTTGCAATGGAGAATTCTCGTCCGTGTCTGGAGAGTGGGAGATCCCTGAGAGTCGTGTTCTTGCAGACAACCATTAACGACTCGATGAGCGGGAGTAACGTGGTGGCCACATTCAGCATGCTCTCTTTTTGACGAATAGTGGTGAGACATTCACTCAATTTGTTCCAGAGAGGCCCAAAGGTAGCACTTTCATAGAGGTTCTTCAAAACATTTTCCTTCTCGGGGCACTCGGGATCGGAACCCTTATCTTTATCACCTCTGGCTGGATCAAATAAGTAATCGAGGGCAGTAAGGACCCGGAGGAGCTTAGCCTGATCTGAACTTGACGGCGAGAACTTTGACAAAGCCATGCCTTGGACATCAGTTCCGCTCTTAGCTTGGGTAATGTGCGGCAAGAGCTCATTCAGATCCGACAGAATGGATTCGCTTAGTGTCTGCGCTTGCTGTACTAACTCCCTGCCAATGACCTCCTTGGCCCCGGGGACAGATGACAGATTGTTGATAGTTGACAATGTTTCTCTAAATATTTTTCCGTTGCACTCTCGAGCAGCAAGTATATGAACCACGAGCTGCAAGTTATGTTCTGGTACGACTGGGGGCTCAATGACACGCTGTTTCTTTTGTTTTGAATCCGGTTGACCTTCATTGGAAGAGCCCTGGCCAGGTTCTTCAGGCTTCTGTTCAGTGGCAACTGGTCCGGGGTCAGGCATTGCAGTATCAACCGTTTCATCTGCAGCCTCTGCTTTCTCTTTCTCCTTGGCAGCTGCGGCTTCCTTCGCTTTAGCTTCTTCTTCTTGTCTCTCCTTTTCTTTCTTGAGGAGAATAGACAATGGCTGCGTAATACTGCTCAATAACCCAGAGAGCTGCTCCATGCAATTAGGACTGTCGAGGATTGCCTTACGGTCGAGTAAGGATAACAAGGAGTTCAATGCGAATTTATTTGCCTTATTCTCCTTAAACTTACCCTTGCGGAATGACTTGAACTTAAGGGCTGTATGCGAGTCGTGTTCGGTGAGGAAGAACCAGGCAATATGAGGATTATATTGTGTAAGGAACGACAATGCACCAAGACACTGTTGGATCACAACCAATGGAGTAACATCACCATTGCCAGGTGTAGGCAATGGGATGGTGCGTTTAGGTTGGGGAGTCTTTTGTGTCGTCGGTGTTTTCGCTCTGAGAGACAAATGAGCAAAACTGCGTTCAACAGCTGAGATATCGGCGCTGCCATCCTGCAAAATGAGGAGCAATAGACTTAAAACCTCTGTCCTATTCTGTCGATTCTGGCAGACGTTGTGGAGTATATCATTGAGATGATGCCGTGCATTTCCTTGTAATGGCATGAACATAAGTCGTAAAAGAGTGGCAACACCGGCTTTGTCAAGCATCTGCACAATTTGACGTCGCTGCGGCTTCTTGGCACTTTCATCCTGTTGCGACGCCTCGGCTCTGGACTGCGAGTCCATTCTACCAATATCGAATTGTGCTAAGCGTCGACCGGTAAGGGCGCGAGCTTCGCTAACGAACTCAGGACCGAGAGCGGCTAGGACCTCTTCGGGCTGGTCGGCCAACACGGTTTGCCGAAGAGACGGGTTTAGCGTAGCAAGGAAGCTTGCCGGATCCATATCCTCAGCATGTGGTGTTCCATTAGCAGCAGCTTGTCTACGGGCAGCGTCTCGTTCACGACGACGGCGATCAGCGGCTTCTTGCTGCAAGAGCTCTTCACGAATTTCCGGAGGCAACGCTTCTAAAAATTCAGGGTTAATTTCACTGGGTTCTTCGCCCGCTGCAGCAGCATGAGATCTCTGTTCTGCTAGCTGTTGCATGATAACCTCTTCACGGAACTCCTCAGGGATAGCTTCAAGGAACTCGGGATCGATATCCATGCCGGTGATATCAAGCTGGCGACCTCGAATAGTGGTATGCACACGAGGGGTAGGTTCAGATGGGCCTGCAGCAGATGCTTCAGCTTCCGGCTGCTGCGCTTCTTGACTTAGCTCTGTTGGCTGAACATCGTCCATGGGTTCACCCCCAGCTGCCTGGCGAGCACTCTCCGCTGCACGCTCTGCCTCTTGTTGTCTCAAAGCTTCTTCCTCTTCCTCCTTTCGTTTGCGTTCCTTTTCAGCTTCCTCCTTCGCGATACGTTCCTGACGTTCGTTTTCTTTCCGTTCTTCCTCTCGTCTCTTCATTTCCTCCTCGAGCTGCTTTTTCAGACGTTTACTTTCTTCAATAGCAGGAGGGACGAGGAGCTTGTGAATAGAGTTTAGAACCCGCAGAGCTTTGTCAACATAGCTATTCCCAAATAGGATACGAGCTTCCTCTTGCCAGCGAGTGGTTGTAGTAGAGATATTGAATGTTACTGCCTGACTAGGATCGTCGCGAGGGCGTGTGCTCACACTAGGCCGGCCTAAGCCAAGCATATCTTGAAGGCGGGAGGGAAGAGAAGCGTCACGCTCGATGTGAAGGTGGAACCCGTCTGGTCGAGTAACGACACCGAAACCAGGGCCTCCCTGTCCAATAACCTGTAGGATTGCGTTCATAAAACTAACAGGACTATCGACGGACAAAAATCTGCCCTGGCTAGCCGGATCGATTGCATGTACCCACTCGCTGAAAGCTTCGGTGCTAGGTGGCTGGTCTGCTGCTCGATCATTGCGACGCAGTAGTGGGTTGGTCCCATCGTCGTTCCGAGGAGCCGCCATTGTTGTTCGGTGAGCCCGGAAACTAGGAATGTGGGTACCTCCATGGCGGCCACCAAAGCCACCGGCGAAAATGTTCCACGGTGTTCGTTGCGTCCGTGTATGGGCAAGCTCATCAACCCATGCCCAAGGTGAGTTCATGTCCGCATCCTCATCTGAGTAAGAATTAGCAAAGATGATACTGAAAGGGGCAAGCGAATCGCCACTAACCGTCAAATCCATGATAGCCATGTTCGTCGTAGTCGTCGACATCTTCCTCTAATTCGTCTATCTCTTCGTCCTCGTCTGCAATAACAGTTAGCAACCGAGCCCTCTCAATGTTAGAACTGCACGCACCCTCATCTTCATTCATGTCGTCGTCGTCCAACATGTCATCATGTAAATTAGCTCTAAGCCCAATATCGTCTTCGATCCGCTCGACGGTTGCGCCGCCACCCTCAAGGACACGGAGTAGTTCATCAAAATGAGGTGGCCCGCCATGACGATCTCCTTGGGCGATATCTTCCAGGTCATCCTCTAGTTGGTCCATGATTTCGGCATCTGCTTCATCATCGGTCATTTCTTCACTCTCCCACTCGTCATCATCACCGTGAAGGCTGTCATTATCATGATCCCCAGTAATCTCCCCGGCCATTATTTCGTTATCTAAATCCGACTCATCTTCGCTGTCGTCTTCATCGTCATCTTCATCGTCGTCCTCGTCATCCTCATCTTCATCGCTCTCGATAAGGACTTCAATATCCATGGGGGTATCGCCCGGCAAGCCTTCGATCGGACCGCGTCCGTCAAGGTCCTCGTCTTCGCTGACCACTTCGCCATCATTTTCTGGCATATCTTCTTCATAGTCCATTTCTTCGTCATACTCATCGTCGTACATTTCGTCCTCGTCTTCTTCCTCCTCAGAGGGCGTCTCTTCCTCGTGGTCTGGTTCAAACATTCCAAGAGTTGAATGACGGAATAAATCTGGAGTCTCTTCTCTATCATCATCGATATCTGACACGGAAGTTGCAGAAGAGATCTCGTCTTCATCGGCTACACCCGGGGCACCGACGCCAGCAATACTAGCAGCTTCGCTGAGCAACACTGCAGTCTGCGTAAGCTTATTCAGCGGGCGAAGAATGTACTTGACAGCTCTCTTAGACGATGGAAAGTTTAAGTCTATATCGGCAACCGAAGAAGTGAATGCAGACATAAAGTTCTTCTCGAACATCATCTTCGCAATATAGCGAGTGGATGAAGGATAATGCGCAGAGCCGTCCGTATTTGTTGCTCCACTCAACATCTTGTCAAAAAGGTCGGCTAGGCACATAAGCCGGGCATATTTGACGTCAAGCGGCTCTTGAGACGAATTGGCTTCCTTGTAACACTTTAGAGCATGCTCGAGAACGAATTTTCGCACAAACATCAAATCTGTTTCCTCTTCTTCATCCATAGTAGGACGTCGCTTTGATCCACCAAATTCACCAGTCTTGGAACACAGGGCGACAATAACCCGCATGGCCCAATGCGACGTATTTACTCTCTTCTTGAACGATATGGATTCGTCGTGTTCTAAAGTCCCGACGGGAATAAGGAAGTAAAGTAAATAATTGAGGATACCAGAGCGCGGTTTGGAAGGCGTAGTGGCAAGAGGATCGGCCTTGCGCGAGAAATTAATGAATTCAACTTTGGTGCGGTTGTACGAGGAGAGAAGTTCCGTCAGACATTGAAGCAGGAAGCATCGATAGATATAGATGGGATGGTCTTCGGATTTGAACTGCGGTTTCTCTGACTTCTTAGGGATCGGTTCTCGTGGCGGGGGAGTTGAGCAGGCTGAAGATACGTCTGCAGTAATCATCTCCACATCCTCCGATTGATATCCGGTGTTTTCTGAGGTGCTTGTGACTTCTTTGTCATCAACATCTCGGTAGGAGAGCAATTCAGAAAGCAGGTAGTGAATCACGCCATCCGGATGCTCCACGACTGGAGGCTTCAGTTCGACCTTTTGCTTGCCTTTGGTATCGCCATGCTCTCCACGTTCCGTTTCTCGGCTTGGTCCTTCAGATGTCTCTGCCTTGTTTGGCTCCTTGGACTCCTCACCGGGTGCAATGCCAGGTTGCAGTGGCTCCTTGTCACTCCTTTCAACCTTCAAAGTGAGGACTTGCTGTCTTTGTTGAGGATCGTATCTTTGCAACTTCAGTTTTTCATTGGTAGCCTCGACGAAAATCTTTGGAGATCTCAGCGCTAATTGATAGAATTGTCGAATATAACCGGTCGTGTCCGTTTGACGAGGAGATCTAGCATCAAAGCTTGCCACGATCTCATTTTTCATGATTTGCCGAATTGTGTCATCATCTTCAATGATGTGACGCAGAATTAGCATAAAGCTGCTCTGCAATCTATCATTTGAGGAGTCGGCAAGTTGCTTGATCATGACAAACAACCGCTGCAGGTTTTTCTTTTCTCCTAAGCGCACAGCAATATCTCGATGTCGGGTTAAAATGACAAAGATTCGACAAACAGATAAAGCCAAAGTCTCATCTTTTCCAATTCTAGGAAGAATTTCCACAACAGCATCGAAGAGCTGTACTTTGGCTTCAATTTCAATAATTGGCTCCTGCAGCTCGGCTGGGGAGTCTGAAACATTATCCGAATTTGGGGATGTCCACGTAATTTGGTCCGGTTGCTCGTCGTCAGACAGAATTCTCTCTAATATCAAGAGGACCTGGGCAATCCACGGGCAAGATTCACCGGTGGACTTGTCTGACTGGGGTTTAGGAATGGTGATGAACCCAAGAAGGAGAGAAAAGTTTTCTCTCAGGTGCTCTAATGTAGCATCATACACGCTCTTTTCTTGAAGGACCAAGGCAAGCAAATTAGCATAGGCCGCTATCTTTTTGCCTCCTGACTGGAAATTCTCATCCATCTGCAGTGATATTAAAGAATGTATCAACGTTTCCCCGATTTCTTTGCGGAACGTAGCTCCATCCCGGAGTTTAGCGGCAGAGTTAATCAGGTCAGCGAGTTCGAAAGTGACGTCGTGATGCAGATTGAGAACTTCGAGACATCTTTCGATCAAATTGGTGCGGACCTTGTCACGCTCCTCATCCAAATCCTCAACGGTGACTACGTCTCGCCGCTTTGGGGTGGACGTTCTTCTCGTAGTTTGCAATGCTGTCGTATTGGCAGTGCTTTGATTCAATGAGGTGGCTTCCGTATTAGCACTGTCACTAGCCCGTGCTGCAGAAGGGAATGCATCAAGGGGTGCAGCCTGGATTTCGTCGAGCAAAGCCTCGATGTGGCCTTCGAAAGCCTGGCTGAATGGGGTGGCCGTGGCGGACCCATCAGAACGCTGAGCTTGATTTGGTGCAGGAGTACCGAATAGACTCTCGGTCGGAGGGGTGTTGCTGACTCTCGAGGTCGGCTCAATATCAGAGGAGGGCACTGGGAGTCTCGGTGGAGGTCTGAGCCCTTTATGGGCTGAACAATACTCCTCTGCAGAAGATGAAGAATTATTGCAACGATACAATGCTTCTTTTGCAAGGTTCTCATCATACCCTTTCTCCGTTAAAGAACTAAGGCGGTCTCTATGGAAAAAGAATGTTCTCGGAGTGGGTGAGCCAGCCAAGGGGGGAACATCGCCACGGTGGTGCGCTCCGCTTTCATATTCTCCTTCTAATACTGACCGAAGAATCTCAATCAACGCCTTCACCATCGAACTGGACGCATCTTCGATAAAGTCGGATTCCCACATTCGTTGAACCAAAGGCAAGGCTTCCATTCTCAGCTCTACCAAAAATTGAGACGGCACGAAGGCATCAGGGCGATCCCTGTGCTGTTCAGCTGCCATAGCTTGTGTCTGGCTAGAATCGATAATATATCGCGCCGACGTCGTCTCAGAGAAGAAGGTCAAGATAAGTTTGATACAGCCACAAGCTGCGGCCAACCGGGACGCCAATTCGGGGGAAGAATTCCCTCTAGCCTGGAGAGACAGGGTCTTGATTTCATCCAAGAAAAGATCAGCCAAGTCACTCAACGTCCGTATACCTCCTATCTTCTTAAAGGCGTTGAGAACGATAGTGAGACAATGTGAGTGGGGGCGATCGCTCGCTATTTCTATCATTAGTTACTATCTTGAACACAAAAAGTCTCTCAGGGAAATCTTACTCTCAAATAATAATTGGGAAAATGCCGATAAAATAACAATTAGATAGGAGAAACGATCTTTAGGATTTGAATCGCAAGCTTGCTGTAATTGATCCACGACCATTAAGGCCAAGGCCTCGGCAACTTTGGTAGCCCTCTGTCGCTGATAGGTATCCATGCGCCGCTTACTCGTAAGACCATGGCCCAAAACGTGATGAAATCCTGTGACGGATAAAGGCAAGGTGCTAGTCAAGTAGCGGAGGACGTCAGTATTCCGGAGTGCTGCCCAATTTATGGAACTATCAGTGGCTTTTGATGCTTCATCAAGAGCAGAGGAATCCGTATTAATTCCAGTAGGTGCCGATTGTATTGTAGGATGAACAATATTTGTGTCTGCAAGGCCAAAACCGCTTGATCTGGGCAAACTTTTCCATTCGGGCGGCTCATTTTTTTGCAATAATATCTCCTCCCACACACAAGCCGCCTGCAAACTACCCAAGCTTTGAACGAGCTTGGCATACTTATCCGCTAGATTAACTTGGACAAAAGGAGAAACTTGTTGACTGGGTCGAACAGGGTACAAATGTGGTCCGTACATTTCGCGCAGAACATCTGTCAGTGTCACAACTGCAACAAGATGTTTCACGAAATATGTGCCTTTCAGCTTCACATCGTGGACATCCGGTTCGCTCGTCGGAGTCGAGCAAGTAACAGGGGTGAAGAAGCCATGCGTGTGCCACGTTTCAAAGAAAGGCCCCAGTCTATCAAGCACCTTTTGAGTTCGCTTGACCACCGAAGGCACGACAAGATGAGGCTTCGTCTCAGCCATTACCTTGATAACCTGCGACAAGTAGCGACTTGCTTCAGTAGTGTGGAATGTATGTGGCACACTTGGTAGGGTTGCCAAATCGAGAACGTATTCCACACCACCGAATTCAATGAAATTAGAGCACATGTTTTGATTCTCAAAAAATCCTGCCAGAAATCTCACGGTAGTGAAAAGATAGTCAGCGACATCGAGACCATCGGGGTCGGCAGCATTGTCCAAAATCCATTTAGCGACATCTGGAGAACCAAAAACATCCGAATATTGTCGTGGAGGCAGGCCGTTTATAGAAACTCCTCCATCAGTCAGGCTAGGAACGGGAGACTTTTGTAGTAACTCGAAGTCTTCAGTGAATGATGCGCCAGGCTCAGTAACAGCAGACGCTGGCCCACCGAGGATAGACATGTTCCGCTTGTCATCTTGAGTCCATAACTTCGCTCCTAATCCATGCTGCCAAGCTTTGGAAGACACGAGAATTCGGATGCGAGCAACCAGACGAACAATCGCGCTTGTTACCGCCTTCTTTAAACGGGGATGATGCCTAATAAGCTCGTCGAACGAATTGCCCAAAGCCCGTAGTAAATTTGAATCGTGTCTCATGCACTTCACATGCTCAGGGCTTTCAAAAATGTCGAAGAAGCGCTCTAGAGCATCTGAAGATCCAAAAAGTTCCAGGCCAGTTGAATTCAAGCAAATCGCCCCGAACGCCACTGGAATACATACAATAGCCTCTGAAGAAGGTAAAATGCCATCAGATCCTTTATGCTGGGGTGAAGCGAGGATCTGGGCCACAAGGGATTTGGGGTCCGTATCAGGATTAGAGGGAATGAACAAATTCGGCAACTTATCGTTTTCTGTGCCGCTAGGAGCAGTTTCAATCGGTCCCGCCATTACCGCCTCTAACAACGATTTGCTCAACCCAGCTTCCGCGATAACCGCGTAACTGGTTGGTTCGTTATGGATGAAGTTGCTCATGACGTTCACAACGCCGCTCCACACATGAGAACCGAATACCACAGCATTCTCAAGAACCAGACGAAGTCCTTCAAGCAATGGAGGAGAATCGATTAGGTTTCGTAATAACCGTTCAAATCCACCGGTATTGTGTTGCATAACATGGTTCACAAACTTGAGAAGCCATCGCAAAGATTGCTGGTGGAAGTATGGTATTTGGTAGTCAGTGTACGCATTCTTATGTTCATCCGGAATCCCTTTCCCTTCCTTAACGAGCTCGAAAGCGGATTTAGATTCCCAGGAAATGAGGCCGGACAGAGCATCAAACCCACGGGCTGAAGCTAAGGTGGCTAAAGCGTCCCGGACTGGGTGAACGTAAGTATCGAGAAACTCCATCACACGTGGGTAGACCCTTCGAGCCTTCTCAGTTCGAAGATTGAGCACATCAACCAGCATTGGTATCAAGCCTGCCGAAACAAGGGTCTCAGGCGTCCTCGCACCGGAATTAGGGAGCGTACGGAGCAGGGAAAACAGAGATTCTCGCCAATCATCATTATCGAAACTATCATCATCATCGGGAGTGCCAAGATCGGCAACCGTCTTTCGAATGATAAACATCAAGATTCCGTGGTTCACATTAACATTAAGTGCAGTACAAACATCCGCTGCCTTAGACTTATGTCTCGCAAGTGCGTCAAGACAAGCAAGCGCAAAAGTCTGGTTGGGAATAGAAGCACTGATATCACCCGCTACGCCGAGGTGCACGAACTCAGCAAGTTGATAAGCAAGTTGAAGCCGCTTTGGCTCGTCCGAGTCTTGTAAGAGAATCTTTTGCTGAAATACAGCTTCCGGGTATACGTATGCGAGGTTCGTGAGTGCAAGGACCCTGATAGCAAGTATCTGCTGCCTTGTCTCAAAGGATTTGGCGAGTGCGTAGGCGGTACGCACCCGGTTCAATAGCTCGTATTTGGACTCCTTTGGGACCTTTGTAGCATATTCATTCACAACCTCTTCTATGCCACGAGACAGTATCTCAGAGTTTGGTATTTCTAATACAGTCATTCCTCGCGCAGCCTCATCGGACTTGACGGCCGGAGATGGGGTAACAACGGATGGTGAGTCGTCAAGGGAGGAGTCACGACCAGGCCGGGAGCCGGGGTGCACAGAATGTCGACGAACGGGAGTAGGCGTCGTGGGAACCTGGGCGGTATGGCTGTGGCTTATCACTGGTGCAGACGGTTCTTTGCTAGGCTCCACATCTCGAGGGTAATATGACACGCGAACGTTGCCCCAGTCTTCCCAATCATTTGTGCCAGCCCCATTGTCAAGGAGAATATCAGTTTCAACTTTCTTGGTTGTATCTGTGCTGGTTAAACTGATCAGATTATTCGCATTGCAATTACCAGGGGACGTCGAAAGAGGTTTTGCTTTCTCTTTTCCCTTCCCGGTGACGTGGGCATCGTTAGGCTTCGCCAATAACGGTGGACGAGGAAACGGCGCTGCAAGCTTCTGGACGCGTTCAAGTTCGATATTGTAATGTGTTGCTAAGAGCGACTGATGGAAATGCGAACTATTTGTCGCTCGATGCCTGGAGTAGTACCGTTGAGCAAGGCATACGCCAAGGCGCAGAGTACACTGAAGCAAAGAAAGCGAAGATGTATTGAGCAAGGCGTTCAACCGCTCACTACTATTAAACAAGCTTCGATTTCCGCATTTCTCCAGAAGGAGCCGGGAAAAATCTAATATCGACTCCACCAGCTCTCTGTCGCCCTCACGGCCAAAGCCAAACGCATCCAGTTTCGTTTGACATTCTTCTCCTTTTAACGATGCATTACCAGCAAGCAACTCATCAACCAGGAACAGCCGACCAAAAGGCTTCGTCTGTGGGCCAAGGTCAAGGTCGTATTTACTGATAAGCCGAGCCAGGATGTCATCAAACCGATTCAGGATGGGGATCCAGTTGTAAAGATCGCCTCTTGGGAACGGCCATCTGCGCGGGAATTGGGACAGGAGTGATGGAAGTTCTGGAACCGGAATTTCAGCAGCCGATTCGGCGAAGCGCCGCAAGGCCACGGACTGTCAAGGAACGGAAAGGTTAGAACGATGGGTCACCCTTCATCGAAAGGAGGTGCGAGATTTGAAAGGGGGTGCTCACCTTTGTAGGCTCATGCTTGGGGCCCGGCACCTTGTCAATTCTCCCCATGATGCAGGCAAGCCTTACTGGCCACCATGTGAAAAGGCTGGATTACAGGTGTAGCTCTTCCGACAACGCTGATGGGTTCGCCACAAGTTGTGATGTCAGCGAGGACAAGCTCTCGTTCTCGATATTGTAGAATTCAAGAGACCGATATTCGCGAGGCCAAGGAGATTGTCAACTCACTGAACTATTCGGATCTCTAATGGTTGCGAGAAAAATGAGGGATGAGAATAAAAATGTGATTTGATGGGAGAGGGGTGATGTAGCTCGGATGATGTTGCAAGGCGTTGGCTGCAACTGAGGGCTGTGTGGAAAAAGTACAAGAAAGATTTAGGGCACGAGTGCAGATCGTGGCCCTTGATATCTTCAATGTCGATTCCAAATTCCCTGCGTTCCGTGTCTAATTAAAGCAACGATGGAGGGAATGTTGGGAGCTTGTCGGTTCTGTAAGAAAAGTGTTGGAGACTCGCAACTAAGATCTTAGCAAAAGCATGGAGGGTAGGTTCGCCCGCCCAACTGACTGGTGAAGTTTCCCACGAGTGCGAGGTGTTCTCCCCTCCAATCAGCGTTTGCCGTCGCCAGTTAGCTCGCCCGGAGCGGATTATCTGTTCGGCCCCTCTCCTCTTTGCTCTCGTATTTGGATCAACATCGTCGAGCAGCGCTGACATGGAACTCTCCCTGGCCATTGCTTTTCATCCATCGTAGAAAACAGGCTTTTAACTGATTTAATAAGCGTTGCTATTGATTCGAATTCGTGATATTATTATTATTCTCCTACAGATACAAGTACCTTACTTAGGAATATACTACATCATGATACATACGGAGCACAAACAATACCACATATCAGTCCTTAAAACAAGCCCCACAACTTGGAACACTCTAATAACAGGACAGGAAGTCAAAGATTTTAAGGAAACTTCATACGATCAGTCGCTTTCACACTTTTCTGACTCACTGTGGAAGAGGCGGCAGCTCCCCGTCCCACAGCACCTTCATCGTAGCCGGGAAAGGAGAAACCTCGCTCTCATCTTCCGACATGTAAAGCGGGATTCCGCCTGGTCCAGGAATGCTATGCAGCTGTCCCTGGGGTCCGGGTGCCCGGCGCAGGTTGTCAAGTCTCCCCACAACCTTAAGCATGGTTGTAAGGCCTATTTGAACCATGCCCTTGCCCAAACACTCATGAGGACCGACGCCAAGGTGAATGTACGAATCTAGATCGCGAGTGAGGTCAACCTCATCGGGCTCAGGGAAAACCTCGGGATCTTTGCATGCAGACATCTGTTGTCCCTGTTAGCCATTTTTACTACCCATCTCCCGGGGGAGTTCTGGAGAAGCTCACCAAGTTGCAAATGATTCGTTGTCCGGCATGCAAATTTACCTCTTTGCCGTGATCTTGAACCTTGCAATCTTTGGAAACATCGCGATACAGAGCTACAGTGGATCGTATCCGAGCTCCCTCCAAAAAGCTGTCCAGTTGTTAGCACATAAACATAGCAAGCCCATGGCGAACAATAACTTACTATCTCAGGAGAAGATCATCAGCCTCCTTGGTATTCAAGCCAGCCAGTCGACGAATTTCCGGCCAGTGTCTTGATCCTTGCTCGGAGAGGTAGAAATCAAGGCACTGAGAAAACAGTTGGGCTTGATTTGCCACCATGCCTCCAGCGGTGGGAAGGATATGTGTCCAGACAAGCTCATCAATAGGCATCTGTGTTGCTAGCAAGCGCCGTATCATATGAACCCCATAATTTGCGAGAGCTTCGTTTCCGTGCAGTTTGTCAATAATACTCCCAATAAAGCCAGTCTTCGAGATAGCTTGAACATTCAACATTACAAGCTCTCCGAGTTTCTGAGATTCGCTTCGAGAGCGCTCTCGGAGCTTGAAACTTTGCGTTGGGTCGACGTCGTAAAATATGTAATTCAAAATCAGGGCCATACTTCTGTAAAGCTCTGTGTCTGTGAAAACTCCATGTGGCAGCCCTTCTGTCTTAAGCGGAAGCAGAAAGATGTTCGAACTAAAGTGAATTGCGGCCAGATTGGCAACATCACGAACGATATCAACCTGACTAACTCCAGAAATTCGATGTGACTTTGAATGAAGCAGTTCTAGGGTTATTCGTTCGTAGAAAGCCCTAACCTGCCCGCACCAGTCCTCTATGTATAACGCTTTTTTCATCATTTGGCGTGAGTCCTCGTGCACCTGCTCATCTCCAGACAGCATAAAGTCAGCACCGTACGGAATAGAATTTCGCGCCATTATATGCTTGACTTTTTCGCCCCAAGTGATCTTGAAATCTTCCTTATTGTGCAGTATCGCGTTGCAGGCGCCATGAGAAAGGATCACAGTTGGATGCGGCACAGCACCAGGCCTTTCCCAAGAGTACTTTTCAGCCAAGCCCAAGTCGCTTAGTATCTTCTTGTTCTCAGAGGGTATAACAAATGGGAAATGGGCGTAAACCGAATCGGGCTTGAAATGTCGGGGAAAGGCGCGGAGGATAAGCTTGTGGAATATGTGGCCATTGTTAACCGTCATATCGTAGTTTGCTTCGTTATATCCCCAGTTTGTAAGATTCTGTGGGGTATAGTCAACAGTATAAAATCGATCGCCTCTCACTAGCGCCACCGCATCGGAGAGGACTGTGCGGGATATGGTATAGCTGGCACATAGACCGCTTCCGGGAACTATACGGGGTTTTCCTTCCTCGACGACAATGCCAGGGTACAACTCGACATTGTCGGGATGACCATAAAAGTGCCTCAATTGTTCCACAACCTCGGGATCTGAGTTGATATCTTCAAACGAGGTATGAGGGGCGAGGTTGAAATACTTCCGGAACTCATTGAGGCTCGACAGGTTCCACGAGCGAGCCTGGAGAATGCCCAATATCTCCACAGATCGCAAAACTTTGGGCACATGTCTCGCTCCAAAAGAGCCGGCGCAATCTTCAATGCTCTCCGTGAGGATTTTAACCAGGTCGTTGTCATCATACGACCCGTTTGACTGCCGCTCAAGATTTGCAAACGGCCGTAACATAGGGTCATCAGGAATAGAACTCTGTAGTTTCCTGATTTTCCCCAGGAATTCTGGCATACCAATAGTGTCTAGGTCTTTTCCATCCAAAGCTTTCTCGAAGATTTCCTGCATCCAACGATCATCTCTATCAGAAAGGCAAGAGTGCCATCGGTAAACCAGGTTGAATTCCGCAGCCACCATGTTTCCACCGGCCTCCTGAACAGGTTTGTGGCTCAAAAGTTCTTTCACATCCGAACGAGGGTCGAGGCTCCAGTCACTATCTGTCTGATTGATATTGAGAATGTTCCTAACATAGTCTTTCAGGATAATGTTTATGTAAAGGCCGCAGGTGATTAGGCGTCCAGTTTGGAAGAGATCGTTGTCGTACTTTGCACAGGCATCTGCATCACTCTCATCGGGTTTTCGGAACCGGTTATTTTCATTAATCGCTGCGAGATTTTGGACAACATAGTTGTGGAAACGATTGAACATAATAAGCAGAACACCAACACCAGGAGGGAACCCGAAAACACGCCTTTCAGAAAAGCAGTCCGGCCGGAGCTTCCCATCTTTAAACGTTCTAACTTGATTTTGCTCTTCCTGGTTGCAGCCGTACAGCGGCGATAAGTCCAGGTATGAAGACGTCATGTTGCGAGAACTATCCGTTGGGTCCGTTCGGAAAAGGTCTACTTACTTGTTAGGTCGAATATTCTCATTTCGACAGAGCTGGGAAACATACCATGAATGATAAGAGCTGCAAGATAAAAGAGCACACTCGATAATTTGTTTGGGTGCTCTTTGAACTGTTGTCTTGCGAGAAGGCCGTCGAACAGGAGACCTGGATCTGGGCGCGAGGCTGGCTGTATCGATTTCGGCTGCACACTCCTTGCATAATTGGATCCCGCCTTTCCAATTTGAGGCCAATAGATATTCTGTCCAGTTTTGCATTAGCACAGCAGTACGCACAATCACCGCCGGTCCGAATAAACATACATTATATGAGCCATCCGCCTGTCGATAAATAACATCGCGACCTAAATACCTACATCAATGTCAGCTGGCGGCCTTCAAAGTTCTTATCATCAGAAAACTTACGAGACCGGTGGGTGACTCAGGTCATTCCAAAGCTGAGCCAGCAGAGTATTTGTGATAGTAGTACGGTTGTGGGATGTACTGGGTAGCGACGAAGCCAGCTATAACGGAGTTTAGAATTGTGCCCGACAGTAGTCCATCCTCCTAACGTACCTGTATGACTCTTTCCATAATATAACGCTTGTCCTCGACAGGCGCACCACTGGCGGTATTCTTAATAAGCTCCAGGACCGTCCCGACATCCTTGACATCCAAACTCCCAAGGTCCTGCAGCAGCCCACCCGTAGGCCCCTGTGACGGCGAGTGGTGTCCCGAATCAGGAGTTATCGGCCAGAGGGAGCCGTTGGCAATCCCGCCGAAATGGGGGAAATACTTCGCGAGGTCGTCAAGCACACCTCGGCGGGATGATGAATCCAGCACCATTTTCCGTTCAGAAGGCTGGGATTATAACTTGAGCAATTATTCGACACACGCTGAATACGACACTCGCAAAGGATAACTGGTTATACAAGACTATTGTAGACGATTAAGCTGGAGAAAAACCGGGGATTGGCCGGACACAACAGAGCAGAAACACAAAACAGAAGAGATGCCCACGGACAGATATCTCCTCTTTAAATAGTTAAACGATTAGACGGAACCATGAGGCTCCGCATGAACGATCCCGCCCACCCAACTGCACACGCTTCTCCCACCCGGTGCCAAAGGAAAAAGGGCATAATGAAGGTGAGGGCCGTGGCATTTCGTATTCGATGGGCTGAGCCTGACATGGGTTGCAACCCCAAAAAGAGAAATGCGCCGTGTTCTTCATTCGGGGTCTCCGAAGCCGACCCTGATTCAAGGCCAATGCTAGTGGGAGTCAAGGCTTCCAGACCCCACTGCATGTTGACCAGCCGTGTCATATTGATGCGGGAGCGTCTGGGGAGCCAGAAAATGGGTCACCAGCTCCGCTGCAGAGTTCACCAGTCCGCGCCGCTTGGCACGGAGCTGATGCAGGGACAGCCAATTGGGATTGTGGACTGAGTGCGCTCAGCCCTACGCGTGCGGAGCGCGGCTGCTTGTGCGCAAGGTAGGTCAGCCTATCGCAATCCATGGTTATCGGTCTGGTTGACAAGGTTCTCAGCCTGCTGTGAAAGTAATAATAGAAACTGATTGACTGTGGACCTTGGGGTAACAGCTCTATGATTCATGACATTCGGCGTCATTCAATTTAGTTAACTAGTCAGTTGGCCAACTGCAAGTTACTACGTTGCGAGGTTGCTTCCTAGCATTAAGTCTAAGCTTTTGATTCGCCCTCCATGAACCATGTTTATGCTAGACACCATCATCCAGCGGCATGATGTAAATCTGAAAATCCCAACGATGAGAATAGACTAACCCCGAGGATAATCATTATTCACTGCCCGTGCCTACTCCAGCCATTGTATGCTGTCGTTCTAAATCCTCTTGAGGTTATTCCGTGCTCTATATGGAAGAATTTTCTTGTGCTGTCCCCTTGGGCTGAATCGCCGTACGTCTTTGCATGTTTATGCTGTCATTGCTCCTTCGAGCTGGCTAGCTAAGGGGTGTTCTAGTCTTGTATCTTGCTTGTACAAAGTGGAAGCCATATCCATCCAGATCCCAAGGTAGGACACCAGCGCGACAATAAGCAAAAGAACAAAGGAGGTGGCAAGTCACGGCAAACAAGACAATATTTGTCCTTGTACCGGCGTTAGGTTCATAATGGTCTATAACTTGGGATTTGAAGTCATAAAATTGGACCAACAGTCCAGGCGGTTGATAGGTGGATCTCGCCATGGGCACGCCGTACCAAATTTTGGGCGGAAGAAGATCCTGTTTATGCTGGAAAAGTGGCAGAGCGCCTTGTGATCGTCGGTTGAGCACCAGGCTACCGTAGCCCCTTCTCGAAGCCTCGTCCGAAATAGTCTCATTTTATATCCCGATTGGCACAATTCTCGCGCGCTGTTGGGATATGATCATGCGCGCTTCTGTATCCTCTATAATCAACGAAAAAAAAAAAAAAAAAAAAAAAAAAAAAAAAAAAAAAAGGGATGATGCTATGATAACAAGCACAAGATGGAGGCATTACCAGAACAGCTGCTGCAATATGCAGTCGCGTTCGAATATAAGTCGAACAGAAAGTTCATGAACCCTGGGACCCTTAGCTGTTCATAAGCCAATCTGCAGCACGTGGAAGATGCCGCACATACTTGTTGGAGCACCTTTTGTATGTTACCGGTCGTTATATCCTCGTTTAGCTATGTAGTCCATACTATCCGTACTGCAATTTGTCTTGCTCTTACGAAACGCAAACCTCCGCAGATCAATCTGGTACAATCTTCTCGCATTTCTACCTGTTAAAGCTCTATTAGCTCATGGTGCGAATGTATAAATATCGTTCCTCTAGCAAAAAAGACCTTACCTGGCACTTAATCTAAACCTCCTTTTTGCAGAAAAAGGAGATATGGGCCAAACAAACCTCTCAGGGTTCAGACATCTCTCATAAACAGTATATATACAACCCGAAAGGCAGCCTGGCTTACAGAGAGCTCGCATCGGGTCCTCAGAGCATGGAAAAAAGGAAAAGGGAGCAGCCAAGCCACCAAGTCTTATGCGTTCCCTCATGGCCAGCGCTCGAGTAAGATAATGAGGCGAAGTCAAAGTGAAACCAATACTTTGGGTGGTTAAAACCAGTGTGAAAGAGACAAATGCTCCCAGCGCCCCGTCTGGGAGACCGCAAGCATCAGCCTGCTGGGACCGTAAAGAAGTTAATTATTCCTCTAAGGAGGGGAATACTGCCACATTTCTTAGTTTAATGACTGGAGGCCGTGAGAGGAGCATTGTTGTAGGGTCGAGGTTAAAATACCTATAGATTTGTTGAGTTTGAACTCCCATGTTATTGTTGGGTTGACGATTTTAAGCTTCTTCGGCGGTCTCCCAAGACTCGAATGCCACCACGCTCGTCCTCCAAGCGTCATCGAGCCGACCATAAATTTTTGTCGGTTCAAATCAGAAACACATCTTTACAACACGTGTTCGGAGCTTGCAATTTCCTAAGAGCTAATATCACCGCTATAAGCTTGCCTGGACGGTTGAACGGCCACAATGGCGTCTCAAGAAATTACGCTTGAAATAAAACCCAGAGGTAGGACCACTCTTCTCGGGAAGCTCGGAGTGAGGAACTAACAATTGGATTCTCCAAAGGGAAACCAATTCGAAAGCTCCCCAAAAGCATCTCAATCGGCAGGGATGCAACCGCAGTTAGCCTCTATGCTTCCATCGCCCAGCAAGCCCAATTCTCCATCCATCGTTTGAGGATCACCAAGGCCAGTGATGGAACGTTGGTCAAGAATAACAAGGACATCACAATTGAATCGACGGGTCTTCGCAACCAGAGCGTGATATATGTTAAAGATCTTGGTATGTCATACTCTCAGATAACCGCCTAGAACCCCCGTTTGGCCATGTTTAGAAGGTCGATCATAGCTAACATCCAGGTGTTTTCTTGATAAAATAGGCCCCCAGGCAGCATGGCGTACAGTGTATTTCATCGAGTACCTTGGACCTTTAATCATGCACCCTCTGCTCCTCTACGTTATTCGTCCATACGTTTACCGGAGCCCCAGCTCTCTACCCCCGCCCTCGGATCTCCAGCGCCTCACTTGTCTCCTGTTAGTCCTGCACTTCGTCAAACGCGAAATCGAAACCCTGTTCGTTCATCGATTCAGCCTGGCCACCATGCCAGCAAGCTACATTGTCCGTAACAGTGCACACTACTGGATTCTTGGTGGGGCCAACCTCGCGTACTGGGTTTTCTCCCCAAGCTCACCCACCGCAAGGTCCGAAGCGAACCCCATCCTGCTCTACGCTGGTCTCACGCTCTTCACTTTTGGTCAATTGGCGAACTTCAACGCTCATCTGACACTTCGCAATCTCCGAAAGGAGGGTGATACCACGAGAAGGATTCCTACTGGGTTTGGTTTTAATCTTGTCACCTGCCCGAATTACTTGTTCGAGGTTATTGCGTGGCTTGGTATTTACCTTGTCAGTTCCATGAGCTGGAGTATACTGCTTTTCATCGTTGTTGGTTCGGCTACCATGATGCGGTGGGCTGGCCAGAAGGAGCGCAGATACAGACGAGAATTCGGTGACAAGTACAAGAGAAAGAGATATGTCATGTTCCCAGGCATTTGGTAGTTCAGGGTGTACACAAATGAATCCTGGATACTCCTTGGAGAGCGGTGGTGTTAAAGTAGATGTGGTCCAATGTCTCCCAGCTTGAACGGTAGTGTGTTGTGTGACATTTTTAGGTTCCAATGGGTGTGTCTGTTGGTAGTCCAGACATTAAAAATAGATCTAGCAGTTGGAAGCTCAATACAGACCTAATTTTCTCGGAAAACTTGTCTTATCTACTATGCATTGTCGCCGACCCCGGTTCCCCTGAATACCTCAATAAATCAGCCCATGGACTTGGTTGGGGAGGAATCAAGTATGCAAACAAGGTCTCCATTGTACAATAATAGTGTAAAATTAAAGGATAATTCTGATATGCCCCGGCCAAAAAAACGAAATCAAAAGAGCAATCAGATGATAGACGGCAAAAAGGCAGCCCCGCTGAGTAAAAAAAATAAAAATGTTCATATCATGTCAGAGACATCAATTCCAGTGGCTCTTCGTCATTTATCATTGCCTGTCTTCTTCGCCCATTCTTGAAAATATGGCTCCATTTCTTGCTCGCAATTCCGTTGTCCACCCGCTTCGCAGCCCTTGAATCGAATGAGAAAATCGCCTTCGCGATACTTGCCGCTGGCAGCTGCTTTCGATGATTGTGGACTATAAGAGTTTAATATTCGCTGTGGGACGAGGGCAAGCCTGGCGAGCATGGTCGGGTGCCATTGTACAATGTGGTCCTAGAATCATGTGTGTTAGAATCATACTGGAAGAACCATGCATGGGATTGGACCTGATGGCGTACAAGAGCATGGGTTTCGGCTTTGGCAAAGTTATAGCGCCGGTATAATGGGTCAAACCAAGCGTCGAGGAAGAATTTCGCCCATTCCCCCTGTCTGATAACGAAGCTACCGGGGCATAAGTTCTCCGCATCTTGAGTAATAACTAAATCGACATCCTTTCCGGATAAGTGGCTGAAGGTTTTTATCACGCTGTCTGGCGGCACAACGGGGATGTCTTTGAGCATAAGGGACTCGAGCTGCTTGGGATCGAGAACGTGTGAGGTTATAGGTATCGTGGGATCCATGATAAGTGAATGAGGCGAGAGGTGGAAGAAGTAGGTGCTTCCGGGATATAATGTCATCGCATGCCGGACGGCCGGAACACTTGCCCAGCTTCGAGGGGCATTGTTAAGGACGGAGACGTATTCCGATGTACTTGCGAAGAAGTTGATGTACCCTTATCCAATCTGTTAGCCGTTGCACTAGCATTGAACTGCAATCCGCTCTGAAGAGACGCTAGATTCCGGAGAATAATACCATGTCGTTTCACATAGTCCTCCCGATTCTGCTTGATCCGCTGGATGTACTTATCACTTAAACTTTGCTCGTCCAGAACCGTGACCAGCACCACTTTTGGCCCACTAGCAACCGTCGTCGTCGAAGAATCACCGGAGGAAAAAATATGGGAAATAAAGAAGAAAACAGAAATGATTATGAACCCCAGAACAGCAACGGATTTGAGTTGTCGACGCCGTAGGGCTGAGGATGGTGAAGGTCGAGCATACAGGGGAGGATTTGAGCTCTTCCGCGGAGGTAAAGCGAACTGCATGGTCGTGGTGAATGTGATCCGAAAGAGTTGCCCCTTTCTACTCTCCCATCGATGCGAGCGCCGCACTATCTGCAAGGAGACAAGAGCTATCGAAGGCTCCTGGATGCATTGATGAATGGCATCTGGATTGCTGGTCAACCGATTTTTGTCTCAGACCTCGTGCTGGAGATGAACCTTGGCGAATTGGCCTAGCCCCGTTGCCCTTCCCACCAATCAATGATACGAAGAGGAGTCGCTGGCAATCTTACGCCGTGGATCCTACTTTTGTATGATGCGTCGAAATTGCAATCGGATGCATATCCAAAACAAGTAGCAAATAGCATTTATTGCATTCCATATTTACAATACTCCGGATGCGCACAGAGACCTTCTTGGTACGGAGTGCTCCATGCTCCGCAGCCAGCTGTACCACTAGACAAGGATTCCACAGAATCTCGTCAGAATCAGTGCCCAGCATCAGACATGGAGGCATTGTCTAATATAACAAAGCATACCGCATAGTTGTCATTCCTATGCCTTGTCTATTAAAAAAAAAAAAACCTTGCTCAGGCAGCGGAAAAGAAATGCCAAAATCCCATGCCAAACATAACTTGAGAATACATGAAATCTAATATACATAACGATCGGACACGATCCGGGTGGAGCATCGGCTTCGAAAGGCCCAGTAAATCCCTCCTCCCAAAGCCACCAGAATGCTTCGGCGGATTTCCCCATACACCCGAAGCTTCTTACAATCGTTTGAATGTTTTTTTTTTCTTTGTTTTTTCTATTCCCCCGGAATGGAGCAATCCTCTCAAGCGGTATTGAGATTTGGAGCCGGGGCAGTCTCGGATGGGGTGTCGGCAGCGACTGTCACTTTGATCTCCGCCGGAGGCTGTTCGGCGTCTTCAGCGGCCGCCTGAACCTGCTGTTCCATCGTGTGCCGGGCGAGATATTCCTTGAACGTCGCTGGCTTCTCCAAGCCCAACTCTTTCCTTTCTTCTTCGAATCGCTTCCTCATGGCTTTCGACGTCATAACTTTCCATCGCAAGCCCCAGCCAAATACGCCCAGTTCCTTTATTCTCGAGGGCTTGTCGCTGAGAAGGTACTGATCCAATCCGCCCTCTTTCTTAATTGTTCTTAGCACTCGATGCTGCACTTTAAGATCCAGCCACTTCTCTAAGGCCTCGCTGTAGAGCTTCTCCTTGCGGATATTTGGTTTCCAGATTCTCCTCGTCTTCCCTTCATTTCTGCCCTTGGATATCTTATTCCCAAATTGAATGGTTGCGCCTCCGTAAAGACCGCTATCGGCCTGTTTAAAAGTGTATCTTGGTCCGTATGGGTAAGGAGGAATATAATCTGGAAGCGTCCTGGTTCTTTGAGAGGGCAGGGTCGTGGAGAAGTTTCGTCTTGATGCGAGAGAGAGATTGTGGAAAGCGGAGGAGAGGGAGGAGAGGGACGCCGCCGGCCTAGCTGAACCGGCCAGCATTGGAGCGATTGATTTCCGGAGACTGGGTAAAAGTTCGCAATTGAGTAAAAAAAGAAAAAAAAATTAGAAAAAACTTCGAGCTTTTCTTTGTAACAGAGGCTGGATTGGTCGAGGTGCAACCGTTTCCGACTAACTGCCCGTCGCCGTGCTGAAGATCAAAAGATCGGATGGTTTTGCACTAGAGCTCCCAATCGGGACTAGCGGCTAAATTCATGCGAGTTTCCACGTCAGCCAATCAGCTGCCGGCCGCAAAAAGTAAACCGGCCGCTGGATCGCTTTGAGCCCGGAAAGAAACAGCAGATCTACTGAGCTTGCGGCCGCCTGAGCCTGACCTTCAGACTTTGTTTTGCAAGGCAACGAATACGGCGATAACGAATTTTATTTATCATACCCACAAGGTTTATAATTAAAATCCGTAACTCTGGGCCCGCCAGTCCAGAATACGGGTTAGCAGGAGCTCAAGATGGTTCAGATCAGCGAGGTGAAGGGCAATTCGCGGGAGAACAGAACAGCAGCACATACGCACATCAAAGGGCTGGGTCTACGATCAGATGGCGCAGCTGAACATATCAGCAGTGGTTTTGTCGGCCAGGCCGCTGCCAGAGAAGTGGGTTCGACCCTTTCGTGGAGCCACAGAATTGCTACTGACGGACCTGCTTATAGGCATGTGGAGTTGTCGTCGACCTGATAAAGTCAAAGAAGATGGCTGGACGCGCAGTGTTACTTGCCGGAGGACCAGGAACTGGAAAAACAGCTTTAGCTCTCGCCATTTCGCAAGAGTTGGGAACAAAAGTACCCTTCTGTCCGATCGTTGGCAGCGAGGTCTTCTCAGCAGAGGTCAAGAAGACAGAAGCTCTTATGGAGAATTTTCGCCGGGCCATTGGTGCGTATGCCAATTAGATACGCTGTCGTATGGTTCTGACATTCGATAGGTTTGCGTGTTCGTGAGACAAAGGAGGTTTACGAAGGGGAGGTGACGGAGCTCACTCCAGAAGAGGCTGAAAACCCATTAGGTGGCTACGGGCGGACGATAAGTCATTTAATCATCGGACTCAAGTCAGCTCGAGGCACCAAGAAATTACGACTGGACCCAAGCATATACGAAGCTATTCAAAAGGAGAAGGTTGCGGTCGGAGACGTCATCTACATTGAAGCCAACACTGGGGCCTGCAAACGCGTTGGGCGATCAGATGCGTACGCAACAGAGTTCGACCTGGAAGCAGAAGAATACGTTCCCGTTCCAAAGGGCGAAGTCCACAAGAAGAAAGAAATCGTACAAGATGTTACACTCCATGATCTTGACGTCGCCAACGCAAGACCACAAGGCGGTCAGGATATAATGAGTATGATGGGCCAACTTATGAAACAAAAGAAGACCGAAATCACGGATAAACTACGGCAAGAGATCAACAAAGTCGTTAACCGCTATATTGATCAAGGCGTCGCCGAGCTAGTCCCCGGCGTTCTTTTCATTGATGAAGTATGTTTATTTCATCATTCTCCCTCAAACAGTTTCCCTTGATAAATCAATCGCCTAACATTCACCCCTCCAACAGGTCCACATGCTCGACATCGAATGCTTCACGTACCTCAACCGCGCCCTCGAATCCACTATCTCCCCCATCGTCATCCTCGCCTCCAACCGCGGCAACACCGTCGTGCGAGGAACCGGCGACATCGTCGCAGCCCACGGCATCCCTCCAGACCTCCTTGCCCGCCTCCTCATCGTCCCAACCCACCCTTATAGCCCCGAAGAAATCAAAACCATCGTGCGCCTCCGTGCAAAGACGGAAGGCTTGCAGATTACCGACGCGGCCCTGGAGAAAGTCGCCACACACGGTGCGAAGGTTAGCCTCCGGTATGCGCTCCAGCTACTCACTCCTGCGAGTATACTGGCACGGGTGAACGGTCGGCCTGGTGGGATCGAAGAGGCGGATATCGCAGAGTGTGAAGATCTATTTATTGATGCAAAAAGGAGTGCGGATATTGTTTCAAAGGAAACAGGGGGCTTTATTTCTTGATCCCATTCATATGTATTTGGAGCATTATTAAGTGTTTATTCGATACTATTGTGCCGTATACTGATCATGAATACCGAGATCATAATATATTGCTTGAGAAGGTTCTAAGATCGGGTAGATGTAAAGAGGCTAATCTACACAATAAGACCATAGCAAGGAAAATAACAGAGAGGTCAAAGGCACTTGAGACCCTGATTTGGTTGGAATCTTTAGCTTTCGAGTAGTTTAAGAGCATCTATGAGTCCGAGGACTTTACACGGCGTACGCTACTCATGGTTCTCAGCGGGAAGTAATATATACATGCTGCCTAATAACCAATACTACCCCTACTATGTAAATATATCCTCCAGCTTAATGAATATACCAATAAGGATATCGTAGTTTAAAGAGACAGTACCGATCAAAAAGATGGCGCAGCCTGACTACCAACGCCAACAGTATTGAGCCGCGATCCAACAGGCCACCCCCGACCCCGATAAAGTCCTAAGCAATACGTAGTACGTGTTGAGATGGTCGCTAATATTCCCGGGACTGCTCCACATAGCGGATGGGGAGCCTCCGAATAACCGCGTCGTGTGTTCGAATGGCAATGAGCGAACATGCCACAATCAGCCAGTCAATCATCCATAAAATCGACCTGATTGAGTAGTCCCAGAAGTTTAATTGGCGAGGTGGCTTATAATCTATGGCAGAATCATTCACTGTGAACGGCAGTTTGGCGTCGAGGTATCTAGTCACAAGCTGGAAAGCACTCCGAACTCCATCCTCATGCAGCCCATATCCTGTCCAGGAGCCGCAGAAAAGTAAGTGTCGGTCCTCGACATTTTGAATTTCGTGAAGTTTTTCACGTGCGTTGAGCGCTTTGGCATTGAGTAGTGGGCGTCGGTACTCCCATCGAGCCACTATTTTGGCCGGGTTAGGATGAACTATCGGGTTAAGTGTGATGTATAAAGCACTTTCACGACAGTTATAAGCATCAAATGAATTTAAACGATAGCTCACAGAGAATGCATTGAAATTCCCGGGCGGAAATGCCGAACTGTCGGCCCAATTAATATACGCTGAGGTGTTTCCGGTTGATATAAACTAGAGATAAGCGCAACAGTACATTAGCCGTTTGAACTGGGGGTTATCTAAGAAACAAAAAGAGGCTTTTACGAAATGGCTGCAAATTTTAAGAGAAAAGAGAACTTACTCTTGAATCTGAATGTAGCCAGGCTTCAATTTTAGTCGTCTCAAATGCGCTTAAAATAGCCTGCTCCTTTTGAGTTGCCCCGGAAGATAAAAGACGGAGAGCCTCCTCGGCGGAAACGGCAAATATAACATAGTCATAGAGCACAGGTACAGGTTCTCCTAAGGTTGAGACACGTAGCTTGGGGCAGCCGTTCCGGAGGACAACCTCAACCGTGGTTACTTTGCTGCGAAGATGGATTGCCTTAGTTTTGCTGCGTAGAACAATACGCTTTCTAACTTTTGCTTCAGTTCTGGCGCTTGGTTCGACGATATATACTTCTGGAGACAACGCCATAATACCAGAACTCCACAGGAAGCCGACGAACTGTTTGACCGAAAGATCGCGCAAATCTTTCTCAGATTGAACATTCCACACAATTTGGGCCATAGGCACCAGATAATTCTTGATGAAGATCCTTGAGTAACGCTTCTCGTCCAAATATTGACCGATTGTCCGCCTAGTAGGGCATCCGCTCTCAACAACGATCTGAATATCATTTTGAACTGCTTCCCTGCTTCTCAGGAGGTCCAGAGAAAAATAATGGAATCTCCAAATGTCGAAATACAATTTCCAGGTATCCAACGTCAGCCAATCGCGGACCCGAGAAGTTGCCACTTTGAGAAATGAAAAGCCCATATCGAACTGTTTGCCGTTCTCTCTTTTTGCAACTGAAAAGCTGAACGGGGTGCTGATGTAAGGTATCTTCAATCTGCCAAAAAATTCTTGGAGGTGTGCTAGTCTGCGTTAGCTCTAGCTGGCAAAGTGCACAACTAGATCTTACTCACAGGAAGTGCCTGGGAAGAAATTAATGAAGCTCTTATTGATGTGCACATCATTTGGCTGGGTCCCAGCAGCAATTGGTCTTGTTAGAGTGCCGAGGTCATTGGTCATCTCGAAAAGCTCAACAACGTGATGAGTCTTCTGCAAAGCCCAATAGGCTGCAAGACCAGAAATGCCACCACCGATGATAGCAATCCGTTTTCGGGGTGTCTCTGGTACCTTATCGAGTTCAATGGGATCATCAGTCATCGGGGAGTCAGGGTCAGGAACCGACTCGATCTGCGATACCCGAGGGGATTTGGTGTTGAAACGATCAAGGTAATCCTCGAGCGGTGAGGTATAGCGGGGAGTGCCCCCGCGGTGACTTGAAGCATCTGTGCTCTGAGCCATCCTTGAAGAGATTGGTATAAACGAAAACGAATGCGGAATCTAGCGATAGACTGAAGTCGTATTATAAGATATAAATTTACATGAATATTAATATAGCATATGCCAGTGCCTGATACAGGGGACGGATAGATGCAACGATGATTTATTCGGGTATATGATGAGAAGAAGAGTGTGTAGAGAGATACCTATATACTCATCGCCGAGTATACACCTTCCTAGGGCTCAGCGGACAGACAAAGGAAAGAAAGACAAGCTGAAGGGCGACTGCTCTTCAGCGATGCAGAGGAGGAGCGGATCGCGTCTTCCATCATGTTTAGGACGGCAGATAAACGCTTCGCTGATGAAGCGTGTTTTCGCCATTGCACTGAGTTTCCCTGTGGGGTTTGTTTTCTTCAGCACCCGACATGTCAACGAGTCAAGAGAAGGATCAGATGCGGTCAAAATTACTAGTGGTAATATATTACAGATTTAGTACGAAATTTGACTTCGGCGGAGAGACGGAGAACGGACCAGCATCCATCCATGACACCGCAGCGAGAGACAAGGCATCCACGCTTCACCTAGTTCACGTCGTTCAACGTTGCATACCACACACCATTATCGCTTCCATCAACAATATATGAGGTCGTTGTGACCAAAGATTCGATCCCTCCTTTTGGTTGTATCCTCATCTCACCAGATCCTGTCCTCGCGGGTTGAAAACGTATCGCCCTCATCTCCGTCCCCGCGGCTTCCACAACATCCAGGCATACTTCAAGTTAGCACCCGATATCAACTTTCTCGACTCTATCTTTCAATATCTACACGATGTCGAACCCGTTAGACACAGATGCTGGCTCTGAATTATTTAGCAGCTATGAAGCTGAGCTGAAACTCGTCCAGGCGGACCTCAACCAGAAACTCGACCAGATCGCTGAGGCTGTAGGAGAAGAAAGGAAGTCGGCCATAAGACAGGCCGAAAGAGCGCTAGATGAGGCCAATGAATTGGTGAGGATATTCAACCCTCACCCCGGTATCCCTAAACAATCGCTAACTTAAGCCGTCTTGGCTCTATAGCTCGACCAGATGCGCATAGAGAAGGAGAACATCCCGTCCACAACCCGTTCAAAAGTCAACGCACGGTTCCGGAACTTCTTGAGCGACATCGACGAAGTAAAAAGAAAGTTAAAGTCCCTCTCCGATGATCGTAAAGCCCTCTTCGGTGATAGATATAGAGATGAACCTAACAGTGTCAATGATCAACACCTTGAGCAAAGACAGCAACTCCTAGAAGGGACAGAGCGTTTGGGTCGGAGTTCAGCTCGTCTGCAGGAGAGCCAGAGGATAGCACTGGAGACGGAAGACATTGGTCGAAGTACACTAGCGGACCTTCATATTCAGCGCGAGACGATCGAGCATACGAGGGCTGGATTGTTAGAAAGTGAGGGATATGTCGATCGAAGTGTGAAGACGTTGAGGGGGATGGCACGTAGGTAGTACTACCCTCTACACTATTCCCATCTATGCGGATGCGGATGCTGATTTTCTGACAGGATGGCTACGAATCGGATAATTACTATTGCAATTATCACCGTTCTCATTCTTCTTATCGTTGCGGTTGTCTACAGCAAGTTTCATTGAATGACTCGAATAGGTAATATACGGCGTTTTAGGTGATGTTTGATATCCTTTTTTACAGCCAGCATCACAACCCTTGTATGATTTATTGCTTTGCATTTTTGGCTTCCGGCAATCAAAATGATTGCCTGCATGTTGCTTTTTATAAGATCGCTTTTTGTATAAACCAGCCGGGGTATCATATGTATAGTCACATCTAATAACGCCTCCAAATAACATGCCAATCCTAACATCCCACACTCCAGCGCCGATGTATACAATGCCAAAAAAAAACATGTCAACTAATTCATCCACCTCACCGCGCCAAAGCCAAAGTTAACCAGTAAGCCCACAAACACAGCCAGTCCTTTTCGCCAACTCCACACCCCTTCCTCCCTCAGCAACCATATCCCGCATCCGATCGGCCAGAAGAAGCCCATCACCGATCCCCATAGCATATCATCCAGAACGCCAGACACGTCGCTGCTCACATTGCCAAATGCATCTCCGCCCGTCAAGTCACCGCCAGCCCCGCCGCCTGGCAAAGCGTCGTTGGAACCTTCGTCCATCCAACGATCTTCAAGGCGACGGAGCTCCTCCCCGACAGGCATAGTATCAGGTGTGTGTGAGAGGGACTGGAGAGCAAGGAACTGGGAACGGAGAGCGGAGACCTCGGCGACAGTGAAGCCAGCGGAAAGCAGGCGATCGAACCCGCGCGGGGCAGGAGTAGTCGTAGAGGCACCTGTCGCATGGGACGGATCGTGTATGTGGTCTTGGGGAAAGGCGGGAGCGCCAGAAAGGTGGGAGGCTGGAAGGTCAGGTTCACCGGGTATCGTAGACAATACGTGGGACTGCCGAGCCTCTTTTACCAGCTCCTCGTCAGAGAGAACGATGTCACCGATTGAACAGTGGATGTATAGTATCCTCTTCGTGGCGTGAGACGGAATATCGAGTCTTTGCGTGTCATGGGCACCTCGGATCGGCCGTTTGCCCTTGACATCCCCGGGCTCCAGCTCAGACTTCAGGCTCACACCCAATCCCACCCCATCTTCAAATGCTTTTCCCGCGTGGATCAGGCGTAATCTCCTCTTCGCTAAATCGCCAGGTAGCTTCTTCCGAATCAGCTGTTTTAAACCGGCTGTAGTTGTCGATGAGGGATCGGGTACTTCCAGGCGGAGATCTGGGATAGAAGCAGAAAAACGGATTGTTACAAGAAGATCTGTTTGTGCAGCAAAGGTTTGAAAGCTGTTTGTATCTTCCATTGTGAACTACATTGAAGTGGTTAGTGTGCTTGTAGTTATAATATATTTCATTTCGTCATCCTCCGTGCAAGGTACTTCTGTACAGTTGGAGTCCGGAACTCCGCCGTGGTCGCTATCCGAGTCATGTGATATCTGTTGGGGCGAACGCAAGGACCTCGGGAGGAAAAATACTAGGAATGAAAGTGAGACTCAGGAGTTGTGAATTCAGGTTGTTCAATTATTATTATTCCAAAATTCGGAGTCTAGCCTGGATCAATTATATTCATCTGAAAAGCGTGGCTCTTCTATTGACAAAAGGTCATCAGCTGCCTCCTCAAAGCAAATTGCTTTGGGCCTCTCATCGACACACGAGTGTAAGTCGACATGTATATATTTAAAAACCACAAACAACGAAGAGTCGGGTATTCCGTTAGATAGAATGCGGAAGATAGTCTTGCTTGAAAATGCCATATAAACAGTAGCAGCAACAGATACAAAGTCTTTCCAGAAAATAAGACCGTCCTAAAACGCCAGTGTAAAAGCCGTAACATTGCAAAAGCGGTCATCATACCATGAATGATTCGCCACAGCCGCATTCATCCTCTGTCAGATGCAAAATTAGTATATTATCCCGTCTCAAGTATATGGCATAGAGAACCTACTTATGTTGGGGTTCTTGAACACAAAACGGCTTGCCAGCTTATCCTCCTGCCAGTCCATCTCGCTGCCAATTATGCTGAACAAGGCTTTGCTGTCGATCAGCACTTTAATGCCGTCTTGTTCCACCACTTCATCAAAAGGCGCCGGTTTCTCAACGAATTCCAAATGATATGCCAAGCCGGAGCAACCCCGATTCTTCACACCCACCCGGATCATCTTGGGATCTGGCTGAGACAGCAGATTGCGTATTTGCTCTACAGCCGCTGGTGTGAGAGTCATCGCAGCTTTTCGCGGTCGTAATTTACTCCGACGCGGCTTCTTCGTGGCTTCCGCGGATGATGGTGGGGTTCCAGGCGTCGCGGGAGTCTGGGTAGGAAGTGGGTGGGATTTGTGCGCGTCGCTTTCTGGGAGGCTATAACGCTTGAAGCGGTCGGGACCCTTTGTGTAGGGGAGATCTGATGGCAGTTCGGCACCGCCTATACCTGGAATGGCCTTTGAGATAGAATGGTCTGAAGCCTCAAGGTTTCGTGGAGGAAATGGCTCGGGCAGGGTTTGCGGTCTGTAGGCTGTTGCAGTTTGCAGTTCGCGCTTCGATGACTGGTAGGACTGCCGGCAGGACGAGAAGGCCCTAGTTGTCTGCGAACATGCTCGGCGACTGGCGTCTCGATAGATCAGCCTCATGGATGATGTCACTGAGTTGTGAAAGAGGGACATGATGGCTGAGAGACAGGAAACTGAAGTCCTAACAATGGGGGTTCATAAGCAAGAGAGAGCTGTCTAGGAAAGATCAATTGGTGGATGTTGGGGAGGTGAAGATGAAAAAGTGCCGCACGACAGTTGGTCATTTCTTGTTTGCAGCTTCATCACAACCTTTAAACTCTGGCCAGCAGTTGAGCAAATTCACGGAAACATCGCGGCAAAAAGTGGCGCCGACAAGAAGCCCCATGACAGCCAATCAGACACCACATGTTTCTATTCACCTGGCGGGAGTGGTGTGGCTGGTCCCTACGGCTGCTGATTAAGCGGTGCCGAGGCCTGCGGAATCAAATAGTTCTCCGTGTCAGAGGCTACAGAGTATTGGTCCCGCTTCCCTCTGTCGTCACCGGGCAGAGACAGCGCCGACCTTACAGATCTTGCCGCATACCAAAGGTGGTGTTGCGGACTTTAGCCGGAAAACCATCGAGGCCTGCTGTTGTACTCGGAGAATATCTCCTTGCTTCTCCTGGCTTCCGCTTTCTTTCAGGAACAAATAGTCAGCTCACCAGTTATGGCTGGCTTCCGACAATAACCATCTCCCTTAAGCCTATCATCTCCTACTTCCCCAAGCTTCTCACTAACAATACCTTGTGGCCCCGCACAGTTAAGAGTACCTGCTAAGAGCCACGCCGTATTTTATCTGATTTGCTCGGCATGCAAAAGTAGCGATCGCATGGAAGCAGCCTCCTATTGGCTCAACTTGACGCCTGCCGCTTAGATGACGTAAGCCGCGGTTGTTGAGGTCTGTTTGCAGTGTTCGCTCCAGAGATTGGTGAGGCAGTGATGCTCGTTGTGTGAGAGACAGGAATGCTGGAGGGTGCGAGGACAGCTTGACATCTATTTCATATTTTCGAGTCTTGAGACGATGTAATCATATCATCTGTATAATTCATCTCTTCATCCTGAATCATGGAGTCGTCCCCTTTGACACAACAGACCCGTCCAGAAGCCTTCCAGCCCAAAATAGTCCAGCTCTATGAAAACTTACTTTTTGTACGTCTCCGAAGACCCTTCAAATTTCCGCCCTATGACTATGGTTGGTCATTCATATTTATATGTTCTCTAATGTCCTGGTTAGAATCCCGACTATGTGGAACCTACGGAGGGATTTTGGCGGGAGTTCTTACTTCTCCCGCCCGACAGGCCGTCCCTTGCTGAAATGCTCAACCGGATAGGTCCTGATGATATGCTGCACATTCAGGTATGCTTCGACTCAACTACTCTCCTACCGCCTCATCTGGCTCCCATGTAAGCTTGTTTCCTGACTCCCCTAGGCCCAAACCCAGCGCCTCTTTGCCCGTGCTATACGAGAGTCGGCTTCTGGGAGGGCCCCAGTGAATTCCCACGCTCTTGAGGTACGTAGCCACCTACCTCCTTTCAGTATCTACTCGATTAATTTGTTTCCCTGGCAGACTTTATCCACCTTCCTTGGTGGTGTTTTGTCGAAGAAATACACCAATCCAAGTGCAGATATCATCACCATCCTTGCAGGTTTACATGAAGTAGACCAGGTATTCTCAGAATTTGTTTCCGTCTTAGACGGCATTATACGGAATGGAACAAACTGTATGCATCGTTCGCGTCTCTTAACCTGTACCGCAAAGGTGATGCTTACATTTGGTAGTGGATCTACGGTCCAAAGCTGTGGATTCCGCGATTGCAATAACGAGTGGCGCTTATAAAACCGGCCTTATTTCCTACTTTATGCATCGAGATTTATTTCCATCTCTAATGAAAGTTTGTTTTTCTTCACATCGGCTCAGTATACATGAAGGCTGACGATTCTCCAGCTTGTACATGATTCCGATACCCCCATGCAGATTTTCAAGCCTTTTTTGTTATTGGGACTCCTTGCGAATTACAACAAGTTCGAGTTCCAAAACCCCTATCAACTGCGACTCGATGATTTTGTCAACGAAGCAACGATTTCGAAGATCGTCCGGGGCGTTGGCAACACTTGCTCCATTCTAAGGAACTCTTATGTTGCAGTTCAAGATGATCTTCCCGAGGGCTGGACTTGGAGCGGTACGCTGGCGTTCTTCGGACTTGGTGTGCTTGCTGGAAGGTCCAAAACCCAGCCGCTCACCACCGAGGAGATTAAAGAGCGGTTTGCAGAGCTGTGAGTGAAGTTTCTTTTTATCATGATCGAAAGTACTAGAACGCTGATGACCCTCAGTCCTTCATTTGAAGCAGCAGTATTGCTTTCAATGTACGAGTTTATCAATGCAAATAAGCTGTTCTCCCATTCCCTCGTTTTGTCAACGCCGGAGAAGCGCTCCGAAGAGTCGCCGTTCTCTAGCTTCTTGTCTTTAACCTCGTATATGCTTCAACACGCCTACAGATCTGTGCGAGTGGCCCTCTACTCCGAAGCAAATTTGCTGTCTCTGCAAATTCTTGTGGAGGATCCTGTTCTGTGCAAGCAGATATGCAGCGATGAAAACAAGAGATCTGTGAGACTCTGCCGGCAGCGAACGCCCCATCTGCCATTGGTAAATGGGGATAGGGTCTTAGCCACTGTCATTTTTGACATAATGATCGACACTATCACTCATAATCTTCGCAAAAGTCTTGATGTCTTCCTTTACAGGTGGGTGCCGTTTAATCTTCATGAAAGTCTCTCTCCTAACCGATCACTACTAGCCATGTGATGTCCATCATCCTCCGCCTCTTAACGTATGTTTCAGCGAACAAAACCCGCTTACAATACCACTGGTCCGAACTATGGCGCAGTCTACTGACCCTGGTTCGTTTCCTCACCACTTACGCCACCGATTTGTCTTCCGACCCAAACATTCATCTTCTCACGACAGATTTAATTAACCTCCTTGCATTTTGCATATCTGCTGGCGATACCTTTCTCCCCGACCCGGCCTCTTACGACGATCTCTTCTACAAATTAGTCGAAGCGGGCCCTATCCTCAGCCGTTTCCGCGAAGTGTATAAAACTACGTTTTCAGCGCCATCAAAAGCCCCCAACGGCAAACTTGATCACAAAAGTAGCCAATATGACTCAAGCAAATCGCTAGCTCTTCTCCTTAGAGTCTCAACTCATTTCCATTCCCTGTTATTCCTCCCCGAAAAGCAGAAAGAAGATACCACGACCGAATCTACGGTTCCGACCACTCACAGCAACAAAAAGAAAAACCTCAGTCCTCGCGAGGTTCACAGCATCATCAAAGAAGGCTACGCGACTCTCAGTATTGAGCCACAGGAAGGGTTGAGTAATTGGGAAAAGTGGCGCGAAGCTGACTGGAAGCCCCGTCTCAAGCGGATCGGGCGTACAGCGGTTGACGATTCGCGGACTCTTGTGGCGACTCGTGGGGAAGGCATGCAGAGTCAATTGCCGGTACCTGGCGGTAAAAGTATTGGGGCTGGTGGAGAGAAATGATGCTTCATGCTAGGACCGTCTTCTCACTCGCATCGATTGTGGATGGGCTCCCCTTTTCTAGCTCGTTCTATTCAATTTGTCTAAAGCAAGTTTATCTTTGCACAATATCCCATTTCATCAAGGATCTGTATCCTGAGTTCAATAAAAGATATGATATGTCCACAGCCACTGTAACTTTCCCTGATAATTAGTAGCAATTTGACACATCCAACACGATAATTCGTCCTGTCCATGGAGCCCCAAAATACGACCTGCGATGCAGAGAAAGAACGCCAAGATAAAGCACCCAATATATCCACCATGAGAGACCGAGCAACTCCATACGCCATATAGAGTTATTCGGAGGAGTATGTCAAAATTAAGGCCTTAAATCCCAGTAACAACAGTTGCTGTCCATCAGAAAACCGTGAAGACGCATTATTCAGACTCTTCAGCCTCTTCGTCCTCGTCTTCTTCGTCCTCGTCACCTTCCTCTTCCTCCTCGTCCTCTTCCTCATCATCTTCCTCTCCCTCTTCATCTGCTTCATCATCGGCTTCCTCCCAATTTCTACCACCTCTCTGGCTCCTCGCCATTCTACTCATTCCAGCGGGGTCTTGCTCAGCAATCCTGTCGCTGAACAACCTAGCAGTTGCCGTGCCAACATGGTCATCGTTCTGTCGGTGTCTATCCTCAACTTCTTCGACGTAATCGCGATCAAGGGGTTCATAATTCTCCGTGAAGAGGTCATCGGCATGTTTGCTAAGCCACTGCATGAATATCACTAGTTCTCTACGAAGGCGATTTGTAGCTTGCGGGCTGAGATTGGTTTGAGCAAGTAGCTCCGGTAGAAGAGCTGAAAATTCATGTTAGAAATGCTGTCTGGGAAATTTGCGAATGACAGAGCAATCGAAATAAAGAGCAAAGGAAATAAGTAACTTACAAAGCATCCTTGTCAAATGCTCCACTCCGTACACGTCGGCTGGCCCTTTCCCCTCGTACCCTGCCGCATTTGATTCCCATTTTTTCCGCTCTGTGGCATACTGTCGTCTCTCTAGCGCATATAGTAAAATTCTCCCAAGTGTCTTGTCAAAATACTTCTTTAGTCCATCCACTACTTCTTGAAGCACATCCTGCTCAGCTTGACTGTTTCTCGTGCTGCTATTCTTTTCTTCTTCCAGATACCGATCAAGTACCATGTTAACCGGTGACTTTGCTGGGAGTGGCACAACACTCTTATCTTTTGTGACAAATTCCCAGTCATCCACCAGGTACTCTTTGAGTCTTTCTGGCATAAGCATCCGTATAGTCGGCCTTGAGTCAAAATCTTCTTCCTGTAACCCCTAACGCATAAGCAAAATTTTCAATATGGAGAATGTTGTGAAGCAAGTTGCATAGATAAGAACAACATACCGCTTCAATCTCCGTCTCTCTACCCCGTTTTCTCGATGGTCGCTCATCATTGGATCGGCTAGATGCTAAATCAGCTGTTTTTTTCTTTCCCGACTTCGTACGGCTCCGCATAGCGGCCTCAGCTTGACGTCGGAGAGTTGAAGCAAGCTCTTTATTCTCCTCGGTATATTTACGAAGGCGGTCTTGGGAAACCCAATCATCCCATCTATGGTAAAAATGAAGTTAGCTATGCGCCCAAAAAAAGGCTATATATGCGACGATAGCTTCATATCAAAGCCTTATTCTAAGTTGCAATCATGCAAACCATATATCCTCAACGCGTGTGTTGAAAGGTCTGCGCTGAATGCTCCTTGAGTAGGGAAAGGAGATCTAAACTCGAAGAAAATCTGCAGCGAGACGGGGAGAATGTTACAAGGCCAACGTACGTGTGCTTCCAGCCTTTATAATGGACCCGATACTCATATAGGCTGTTTTTATCCTCTGGGCTCTCTAGCCTAGAGTCAAGGATCTTTGCATCGTAAAGGATATCATGATGGAAGCACAACACAACCTCGTCCTTCTGATACATCTGTTTTTGTGGAGGCATGGTGAGAATTGGAATAACCTTTCTCCTATGATCTTAATATTTGGGTGCTCAAGGCCAAGTCGATATAATCAAGAGAGCCAGTAGACGGTTGGGGGTAACAGTGTGGGTATTGGCAGCAGCGTAGAACCCGGAGACCTCCGATAAAAATCGAGCTAAGGCTCCCCCAGAAAGGTTAGAATAGCAACAGTCCACTCTGTATGAGTTGGGCAAATTTGAATATTTTCGGATAAAAGCTCTCAAGTAATGTCGCAGCCACCGAAGCAGGCTGGCCCAAAGTGGCGATGATGAAAACTTTGCAGTAAGGATAAAGCCCCTACAATGCGACTAATATTGAATAAAATTAAAATCAAAGATAACAAAAAGGATAAGACGCCCTGCAGATTAATATCGGCTTCTCAGCAGTCGTCGCGCAGGCTGGGTTCGACGCGACAAAATTGGCGTTGCGCAGTAGTATTGCTTGATGTAATTAATACAGCAAATATCACATGATCTACTGCAACGTACACTTATTTTTAGAATGTAACTTGGTACTGTATTGTAACACATCGCCAACGTCAATTCACTTCCTCTCCAGGCTGTACGGACTAGATACACACGAGACACAATATTAATTTCGGCTTAAATGAGCTGCTGGGGACGCCATATGTATCTGCTACGCTACATGCTCCACCAGTAACTGTCAGGCCTATTGAGCTCGTGGATTTTCTTTGCTATGGCTCCATCTGAGGAATCGATTCTCTCTAACTTTCTCATTTCGCCATCACCACTCCCTAGGATCATATCTCTTGAGAAATTTACGGAGCTGTTCCCAAAGAAACTAAGGTCTCATCCCCAGATCAGGACTCTCTATCGCGAGCTACAGCATGTCCGGGCTCAGGATATTGCCTTGGTCAAAGAAAATATTGAGAGAGAGGTCAAGAACGGAGAAAAACAAAAAGAAGAGCTCCGACAATCTTATGCTCAAAGAGGCGTATCCAATCTAGATGCACGCGATAAAATGGAAATAGACATGGACATTCAATTATTCGGCCAGCCTTCCACCACTGCTCCGGAAGACGCCCATACCCTTGACACCATTTTACCGGAAATGCAACGTGCCATATCTGCCGTGGAAAAGGAAATCGAAGCCACGGAGAAAGAGTGCTCTTCTATTCTAGCAGGCATTACTACGACAGTTGAAGAGCTCAGCGATCTGCGCTACGGGAAGCTCAACAACCTTCCTGGTGCGGATATTACCATCGCGGAAGACGTAGTAAAAGGATTGAATAGCCTTGAGGACATCTGCAATTCGTCTATGAAATGATCGATGAACGTACGTAACCTGGTTTCTGAGTTATATAACACATTAGAACCTCCACTGATTACTATCCATAGAATAAAGCTCCAGGTATTCTTGTGGGCGGGGATACTTCAACGTCCACCTGGATCTGTTCCCCGTGTTTCGATCACATCGACTCCGTATAGACGGAGGCATTCCCAAAGGCAACCCGCGCCCCAGAAGATGGTCTCTGGCCATCCCTGGAACAATAAATTAAGTGATTAACTCTATCACGTCCTCATGCCCCGCCTACTCATCAGCCTTGTTCGACCTGTCTTGAACTTTAAAATCGCTCAAACGCCCTCGATTTGGCTTCGCTTTCCAAAATAAGGAGAAGAAACTGCTATGAGTCAAGCAGCAATATGAGTGAAGCACCGACGAATTCCATAGCAAGCAGTTCATCCAGGCCCGGTTCTTTGTCTTCCTCGTTGTCCACTGTTGTTCGCCGTCCCACTTCATCGAAAAGATATTGTGGTAACGGCTTTCGCTGCTTCCAATTTACGGTAACGTTGCCAGGGTCTCTTGGCAACGGAAGAAATCGTCTATACCCTGATTTGCTACGGTCGTCCCCTTCGTGTTTGTATTCTTCGTATGAAGGCCATGGTGCCAAGCGACGGCCCGGGAAGGACTCCAAGGATTGTCTCCATATAGTTTCGCGAGCTAGAACCAAAGCCCGGCGGTCCTCGATCTCTTTTACCCCCAAAACTGGATGTATCGTTATCTCCTGGCGATCATCTCTTCCACTTATTCTTGCAATTTTCCTTGCGACTTTTCGAAGTTGGTCCTCCTTTATCGCGACTCGGTGCTCCAGCCAGTCGGCAAATGTTTTGGGAATGAACGGAGAGCGAGGGGATATGCGCATGATGGAGTCGCGGATCTTTGTCCATGTCTCCAGCTCCTTGGTCTGAGGTGATACCCATGTCTTGGAAGCGGAATACGACATACTCGTCTGAGGCAGGCCTAATGGAAAAGAAAAATTGCTAAAGCTGTGTGTTCTCTTCAGCGCTCCCAGGAAATGATAAAAAGTCTGCTCGATACCTCAGTTGCCATTCTTATGCCTACCGCTCATGAGCTTTGAGCGCATTAAAAAATTGCTGCAGGGGAGAACTTACCTCAATTTGTGTTCGACCTATGTTGCTTCAGTATACTTGCTGGACAATTTTGAATTTTTCATTGATGCTGTGTGGTTGCCGAGCCTCTAGAGAATGATCATCTACCAAACAGCAGTATGTTCCCTGGTGTGTTTGGAGCAACTTTTTGCTTGAAGGGTTGGCACAGCACTGCGTAATGAACTAGACCTAAACACAAGGAAAGGAAAGGAATGATGGAGAGAAATGAAGGTCATTGCTGCCCAGCTAGATTATTTCCCTGAATACAGTGATTATCTCTGTGTTATGAAGTAATGGAAGATCCCAAGAAAACAGTGACAATAAACCACAGAACCTATTATGACCTCCTCTTTGACCTGATACCCAAGGAGCGATGGGGCCTAGGTTAGTAGGGATGGTTTCTAAGAAGACTAAAGACCTTCCCGCTCTCTTACAGCGCTGAGGTTCGGGTTGCTAAGATGTTGGGATATTTCCTGTTTGTTGCTCTTTGGCACAATGGCAAAGGCTAAAAGGATCACATAGGGGCTATAATAATGGAATTTAGTCTGTAGGCCGTAAGGGAATCTTAAGGGAGCTGATACTGCTCTGTTCTGGCGGCCGCCTCCAGCTAGCGAATTGTAAAGTTACAGTCTCCGGGCTTGGCCCCTCCGCTCCTCTTCAAATTTCCGCCCCGCTCGCCTTTTCTTTCTTCCACTCTCCCTCTCCTCACAACCGCGACAAACGAACTGGTTGTCGCTCTGGTAAAAATGCCTACTATTCCTATTCATTTAAAGTGCCAGACCCGGCTCAATGAGGACATCGCAAACCCGCTTCCTACCTTGCTAAACACACCCTCTGGGCTGGCAATCCTCGAACTCCAAGGAACAATTAACTTGCCTTCCAATGAGCCGCACTACAACGATGAACAAACAGACTTGCAGTCAGAATCCCATGCTCAAACCCCAATTGGCCGCCTCGTGTTTCCAGATTATGATGCTTCAAACCCTCCAAGCAATGGTTCGTGGATGAAACGCGTCCATCTTTACGTCGGCCGGCATCAGCGTCTCACAGGAGAGGTCAAAAAACTCCCTAAGCCATTGGCCATCATACGACGGCGCCAAAGCAAGGATTCAAGTGGAGCAGGACATATTATGAGGTCGGCCGCCAGAGACACTTCTGCGCACCCCGACGGAAACCCTAGCGTGGAGGAGCTGGAAATTGCGGAGATTATTAGGTACAGGCTACTCTTCTCGGCGAGACCCGAACCGGTTAGTTAGTGATGTGTTGCGTGGCGACGACGGCGGCATTCCTGGAAACGACTTTCACCATCGATATCGCCACTCCTATTCGCACTTTTTTCGCGGGCCAGCAGTTCGATCAACCAAAGTTTGCGCCAACCATGCCGGGATAAACGATGGGGCGGACGGTCGTGTTATGAATTTCGGGCCCCGGCCCTGGTCTCTGAAAGGCTCACGGGATAAGATGCCAAAGAGTTGATGGCGCAGACCCGCGACTTGGCTTGCAGATTTGAGCAAGACGTGGAATCTGGACTGGAATACGGAGTACCATTCCCTGTTGCAAAGGTCTTAGCCGCCCTTCACCTGCAACACCTGGGGGAAGCCACCTTCTGATGGTCTTTGTGAATGGTAGACGACAAGTACCTCGGAGCTGCGAGGCCAGCGTCCTCGCACTTCACCTCACTACGGTAGTTCTTTCTTCGGCCGCCCCAGCCTAATGATCCGCGATTTCCATTAGTCTCCGGATGTGAGCTTAGCATAACAAGCAGGCCCATACGTTCTTCGTCGTTACGCCTCTGCTATTGGTACAGTTGCATGTGGCGGTCAAATATCAATAGTCACTGGACCAGGGCCCCTAGGCTTTCTTTGCCCGTATCTCGCTGCGTGAAGCGCGTATTTCTGTACACCAATATTCCCCATCGGGCTGAGATCCGCTCGCCCCGTATCAATCGGTCCTGCTGCAGCAGCGGGTGATCCGCCATTGAGGTAACTTCCCGGGTTTTCGCGCGAAGCTCAGCCAGGGGATTACAAAGAGGGATTCTCCATCTAGTTAGTGACGATCAGAGGAGGCAAAACTAGCTAGTCATTGTCTAGTTATTTCGAATCTCACAGTTCAATTTAAACTGATTGACACCTAGATCAAAACACTCCCACCCCTTCCTCAGTACAAATAACTCTTTTGAGGGAAATTTTTCTGCTTGTGCATAAGTAAAAGCTACTCACTTGTTCTTTTTTGTCACCTCACCCTTTTCTTCTTCTGCTAGTTAAGCTCATCTTGGCATTTTCTAGTCAAGACAGGGCGCGGTGTATTTTAAAAGCTTCATTCAGGTTTCTCTTTGACTATACTAAAGTGCTTCTCCTACAGAATGCCTGGACTAGAAGGGTTGAAGCCCGAAATCGCATTGAGATTCGGACCTGGTTATGTTGGCTTCGACCACGTTACGTGGTACGTTGGAAATGCAAAACAAACCGCCTCCTACTACATTTCTCGTATGAATTTTACCCAGATCGCCTACAAGGGACCCGAAAATGGCTCTCCTTATATTGCTTCATACGTTGTTGAAAACGGGGATGCACGATTCGTTTTTATTGCCCCTATCTGTGGGCCTACGGATGAGAGCGTTCCGGAATCTGAGAAGATTCTGTTGAGAGAGATACATGAACATCTCACTAAACATGGCGATGGTGTCAAGGATATTGCTTTTAGGGTCACCACAGATGTCAAGGAAATCTGGGACAAGGCTGTGAAGCACGGTGCCCGTCCGGTGGCTGATCCTACCATTGTCCAATCTGAGTCTCCATTCAGTGGTGAGATCCAGATGGCCACTATCGGTGCATATGGAGATACGACCCATACATTCATCAATCGAGAAACATACAACGGTCCATTCCTCCCTGGGTATACGATTGTAAACGAAAGGGACCTGATCAATAACCATCTACCTGCAGTCAACTTCATTGATATCGACCATTGCGTTGGTAATCAACCATGGAATGGAGTGGATAAAGCTGTCAAATTGTAAGTCGTCCTGGATCCCTTATATGCTCACACACTTCGGAGCGTTTTAAATTTTACAGCACAAGATAACATGTGAACAGTTATGAGGAGTGCCTTGATTTCCACCGGTATTGGTCAGTAGATGATAATTTAATGTGCTCTGACTATTCCGCAATGCGCTCGATTGTTATCGCATCCCCAGATGAAGTGATCAAGATGCCACTCAATGAACCTGCTGTGGGCAAAAAGAGGTCTCAGATTGAAGAGTGCGACTCTACCCCCTATTATAGTTGCTACTTTCCGCCACATCCATGTTTCATACTAACCTATTGAAGATTTGTCGATTACTACAACGGAGCAGGTGTTCAGCATATTGCTTTCCGAACCGACGATATCATCACTGCAGTCACGAACCTTCGCGAACGAGGAATGCAGTTCCTCTCAGTACCTACCACCTACTACACTGAAATCAGAGAGAAATTGGATCAATCCAACCTGGTACTCAACGAAAGTGTCGAGCTTCTTCAAAAGCTAAACATTCTTATCGATTTCGATGAGGGGGGTTACCTTTTGCAGATCTTTGCGAAACATGTCCTCGATCGCCCGACTGTATTTATTGAAATCATCCAGCGCAATAATTTTGACGGCTTTGGTGCTGGTAACTTCAAGGCCTTGTTTCAGGCCTTTGAGCGCGAACAAGCACTGAGAGGAAATCTATGATTGACGTATGGTCTTGAGCTGACTTTTTTCCCTTGGTCTCATTTCGGGTTTCATCTAGGTTATTGGCGGAATGAATTGGAAGACATGGTGTTTGGGAAAAGGATACTGTGATGAAGGAACGATCAGCTATATCTCCGCTCAACACCACTTAAAAACATCACCATGATCGTAAGCACACCGGGAATGGACAGACTTTTATGAAAGATAAACAAAATAATCCAGTTAACTGAAGTTTTACACTGTTTAACATATGCCAGGAATTAGACTACTTAAACAACCCAGGGTACATCCTATCTCAATCTAAGACGGAGGCTGCCAGAGAGAAAGGGTGAAATAGCTATTGCCGTTCATTTCTATCGTAGGACAAGCACACAAAAGAAGTATAACGACATGGGAGTTTAGTATCAGCAGTAATGTATTATAGTAGCAGCAGGGAAAGTATTGTTGAAACATGCAACGCTAAACCGTGTACATGATAAAAAAAAGCTGATTTAAAAAGACAATGGTATGGAAACATATGTTGGACTCAATGTAGGTATGCATACTCTGTACATGTCCTTTGGGGTAGTCTTTGCCCAGTCGGCAGTTTCTAATGGGACAGCATGCTCCTCAAGAGCAGGCATCACCTGTGTTCAAACCTCCGAAACACAGCGCAGCCAAGAAGCATAACATGTACACAAAACGTGATCGAGCGGCAGGAGTCGGGGATTTGTCTAACCATCCAAGGCCTTTCGCAAATCACTCCACTTCTGCTTGAGCGTTTCATGGTTTTCCGAGATCTGCATTGATTGACTATCAGCATCAAAAATTGCTATTGGAAAAAAAAAAAAAAAAAAAAAAAAAAAAAAAGGGGGTGGGGGGGTTTTGGTTTCTCAGGATAAAAGCAGGATATATATGACGGTATTTACCTCTGCCCATTTCATCTTTGCCTCCACCAGATCCTTTTCCATCTCCGCCATCTGCTCCTCCATTGCCCTATTTTCGTTCTGGACTTCGATATTCCGTTTCATAATGCGGTCCATTTCTGTTCTTAACTTCTCTTCTAGCTCAGCTGGCTGACGATCGACTACCACTTTGAGCTCGGCAACTTCGACTTTGAGACCCTCGTTCGAATCCTTTAGCTCTTCATTTTCAACCTTAATGCGTACCAGCTCCGATGCAATCTGGACATGTTCTTTGTCCGACTTCTCTGCATGCTCTTCAAGTGATCGGATCCGCGCTGCCTGCGTGGCTATGGTGTGTTTGTACCCTTCTATCTCAGCAGCTAACTCCTTTTCTGCGCGAGTCTTCTCTTCCCATTCGGAATTATATGTCTGGATCATCTCAGGTGTAAGATTAATCGCGCATGCATCCTCAACCATGATATCTGCTCGATAGATTTCCTTGTCGCTTGCCCCAGAACTTCCAAAGAAACCAGACTCAAGAATGGAGCTGGCAGACGGCTGTTTGTCGATGTATACGTCAAATAGCTTTTCCTTTAGGAAGCTTGTTAGCGAAGTCATATCGCTCATCCCGAGTAACGCATCGACGTTACGGCGCATGATCGCAACAGCGAAACGAAGGATTGCACTCTCAAGACCTTGCTCGAATATCAGGTCATAAATACGGAGTACAAGCTGCAATGGGAAGCGATACGCGAATAGTGTAAGGAACCACTGTGTCGCATAAAGCTGGGGGCTAACGCCACGACGACGGAGGTGGCAAGTCAATGCGGGCTCCAAGTCTTCCAGCAGGCGTTCGAACTGGTAAAGATGGCGGTGAAGACCGGGCATATCGTGAATGAACATATTTCGTAGTCCGTATTTGTTCATAAGCTTCACTAAAAGTGCAAAAGCCTCCCCATCGTCCATCTGGATTTCCAAGTCAGTAGGTATTGAATCGTCAACTCCCTTGTCGGCACTTACATTAAACAATAAAGGCATCACTATGAAATTCATTCCCTGGGCGTAGCCAACTCCACCGTCGTACAAAGCGTAAGCTTTACAAACATTAAATAGCGCTTCTTGGTTTCGTTGTGACATGAAATACTTCGAGTAGCTGGTTCGAGAGCCCAGGTCCCGCCTGATAGCCTTCTCCAGCTTAACAAGAGCAGCAGCATCTTCCTTTGCCTTTTTCTTTCGTGTCTCCTCCAACTCAGCTTGTGCTTTGGTCATGGCCTCTGTTTCTTTCTCGGATATCGATGGCGCTGGAAACTGTGTAGAATTATCCGAATGAAGTGAGGAGCGTGATGATGGCGACGAGCCTTTCTCCTTTGGCCCTCCATTTGTTTGGCCGTTCAGAGAAGCGGGAGATGGCGTGCCCCAATGTTTTACGCGTTCTTTATCGGTACCCCGTGTGCAAAGTTCTCTATACACATCCTCAAGATCGGGGTTCCTACTATCGGCAAGAACCTGCCAAATAACACCTCGAATAGTCTGGGGAATCCCTCGTCTAATAGCCAAATTCAACTCTTCCGCACTGGTTCCACTGAACGCTTCCAGGCCCTGGTTTACGACCTGCTGCCATAGTTCCCAGTTTACAGGTGCTGCGGCATCCGTAGCAGAGGCTGAGATCCCGGCAACCGTTCCAGGAGCAAGGTTTGGATTTATCGTTGACGGTAGAGGAGACGGCAAAGGAGAAGGTTGGGGCGAGGTAGTATCCAGGTCGGGCACACTTGGAGGTGTACTTAGCATACCAGAACCCTTTTCTTCTTGGCCATCTGCGAGTGCGACCTGATCATCTCCGCTGCCCTCTTCACGCATTCTGAGAAGCTTAAATTGGTCCTTCAGGCTGTTCCGCAACTGCTTCCGTGAATCTGTACTCCCTGCATCTCCATCGCTACCATCGAAGCGCGCCAGCATGTCAGGGTTGCTCAAAGTCGTGGAGACCGATGCACCGGTATTTCTCCGGTTACTTGTCGCTGTTTTGTTTTCTTTCTGGGCATTTTGCCCTCTGGAGAGCCAGGCAAACGGGCTGGTGAGTTTTCTACTTGGAGCGGAGGGTGGTGGTTGCGACGGTGGAGGAGCATTTCTATTTACAGGCGGAGGACCCCAGGGGACTGAAGGGAGTGTAGCGGAGAGACCTTGAAGCCGTGAGCCGTGCTTAGATTCTCTTGTGGGTAGGGGAGGAGGAGCATCGGCAACGGGGCTGGAGTGAGAAGTGGGTGGACTCGTAGCCTCGTCGTCCTTGGAGCTCGTAAGGACGATATCGTCTAACGAAGAGGTAGACAACCGGTGTGTGGTGAGGAGAGGAGATTTGGGCTGTTTTGGTTTCTTCGACGTGCGATCTTCCGGGGGCGAGGCTGGCGAATCCTGGAGCGGTTCTTCGTCTGGATCTGGAGAATCTGCGGCAGAGAATGTGCTGGCTTTTGGAGTAGGCAATGATCCGTTTGAAGGCCGTCGATCTGTTAGAGACCGGGTAGTGCTGATAGGAGTCGAGATGTCGGCAGCATCCTGTGCGTCACGAGCGTCCTCGAAGGCGTCCTGGTGACAAGCAGAGTTAGCAAACGAGTTAGTTATAGCGCTATCAGAGTTCCGGATTGCTCACGGCTTCATAATCTGTAGTCTCCGCGCTGGATACCATCGCGAGCAGTGAGAATGTAATGCGTCGAGGCGCCTCCGATTCCGTTTGCGGCAAGCCAGGTACGTCAGATTGCAGTGAAGCAGATGAACTCGTCCATGCGGCGGGTCACCCAAAAGGCGGAGTGAAGACAAGAAGGAGAATTGGTGATGGCCAAGGGTCTAGAGGACAGGGATCCGGGGCGGTTCGATAACTCGGTGAAGGATGGGGCAGAGAGAAGACAATTATCCAACCGTTACGTGGGATTTTAAGCTCCGGGAAGGACGATGTTTGGGGGAGTGACCATAAATAACACAAACGGGGTCCCAAGCGTCTAGAGATCTCTAGTTGGGTCTACGGGATGCATTGCAAGTCCCTGCGTTTTTCATTCTTGAATGTGAGGCCTGCATAAATACACATTGTTTCTTCAACGTCTGAAAGGCGGGACAAAATTTATCAACGGGAAACGGTTGATCGTCTGCGTGCGTCCCCTGCTCGACTAGCTCCTGAGACACGCCGAGCAGGCCTCGCCCGACGGCCCGCCACCACAGTATCAGAATCAACCCGGCGCTTTGCGACTCCTCCCACTGAGCCATCTATGATTTGCTTGTTCACAAGTCCCATCAAGAGAGCGCTAGTGTAGGAAAGGCATACGTAGTACGGAATAGTATGTATGTACAGTACCCCCACGGTTAAATATGGAGGCCCTCAAGTCATCAGCGATCTCTCCAAATCCTCCCAGCGACCTCTCCTCAGCGGATCAAGGCGTTTCAAGTTCGAGAGCCAATCAGAGATGTCCCGCTTCACCCGAGCCGAGACCGCGCCCTGAATGTTCAAGACAATCAACGTGCATTCTAGAAGCGCTTGGTAGATCCATTTACAGTCTTCCTCCTCGTCAAGTAACTCAGTAATCGCGTCGATTTCCCCGTTGAGATACTCGAGACGCGTCTCATCGCTCATGTTGGGAGCCATACCTTTGGGGGCCGTGGCCCGGTCCAAAGTGCACATCAGATTCTGGTGGTAAAACCACAAAGATTGGTCATACGGGTCGATTAGAGCACGGTGTATCAGTTTGAGCTCTTCCTGGGTGTTAGCATGCTACGCTTCTTCAGCGAACTCGACGAGGCTTTTTACCGTTATCCAGCATCTTTCTCCTTTCAGCATCATCAGCCGAGCGTTCGTCCAACATCTTTAATATCAACTTTGACCGGTTATGCCAGGCAGAAAAGTTGGACAAGTTTGCCCCAATCATTTTTGTGGTGTAGTTTAACTCGTCTTCGGTCAAACGATTCTCTTTTACCTCTACACTTGGATCTCCTGCCTCTGAGCCCATGGACTCCAGGACGTCCACGATCTCGCGGCGATAACCCCAGCCATGGAAATTCCTCCCGTCCAGACTCAGCATCTTCCCCACCAGCGCGAGCTCTTCCTGCCAAAACCTCAGTGCTTGAGGCAGTGGTAGCCGCCCCACGGTTTGCTTCAGGGCCCACAGGCGATGGTTCCAGATCCAATAGCACTTGGGGAACTGCCTCAGAAGAGGCACCAGGAACGTCAATTCTTCCTGGATCAGTTGGCCGATACTCTCTGCATGATGGGCAGGGCCGGTAGCACTGATGTTGTCAAGCTGAGACTGTAGAATCAGACGGCGATAATTCCATATTGAATAGTATTCCGCATTTTCGGTCAGTAGCTCAGAAGTCTTCTTCAGCGCATCTTCAGTATAGTCATGCTCGGTCTTCTATTGTGTTTTACCCCTAGTTATTAACAGGCAAGATTCCAAGGCACGGGGTGTGTTTCATGGACGCCACCTTTGTCCTGACAAGATGGTCCAAGTCTCTATATTTTTGGATTTTCTGGCGTTCTCTCTTCCTGGCTTCCTCCGTCCTGTCATGAAGAGGAGCAGCATTTCGAGGGACTCCGTGCTGACCGAAGTTAGCATGGGCATCGTCTAATGCCGGGTTTCCTTAAATACACACACTGGTCATACTGGCAGTTGCAGGTGCCGTTCAACGACTAGGCATATGTCTACTTTCCACTACGCCGCTGAAACCCAGTTGATCAACTGGTTGGGTGATCAACTGGTTGGGTAACCAACCGCTTTTTGCTCAGGACACAGATTCCCGCTGGCCGCCTGGTTACATAAGCAGCCTAAGGCGGCAAGAATAAGCTTACTAATCAGGGGAATGTTTTCTAACTAATCTATGTCCTGAAGCAGAAGCAACGACCAGCTCTTTCTGCAACTTCGATATCGGGAAGGCAGACACACCCACTCCGTAGTTACCACAAGGGGAAATGCGCGATGGAGGGCAGCACGTGCCTTCGCTCTTCTCCGCCTGCCCATCGCCGTCTCCACCTTCACCTTCACCTTCATCTTTCATTCTCTCTCTCTTTTTTTTTTTTTCTCGCCATGAAGACTGCAAATATGGACTTCAGGACAGCTCCCTTAGGGATGATGATAACTGTTGTCCTAGTCCGGGGGCACTAGGTGTCCTCTTTTACATTGCTTGCTTTTGTTGTGTCTGTCTATTTGTTGATCTGTCGCGGCTGGCCCCATTCCTTCCGAGGCAGTCTGCATACCTTGAACATGAGTTTCAGGAGATGTCGTTCAACAGGAGACTTAAGATCTTCTAATGGCGATGGCTTCTTGGCTCCTCTCTTTCCTTTCTATCACGATATCTCAGGTTTCCCCGACTGGCATAAATCTCCGGAAAAGGCCCCCTCGAGTGCTTCACATTCGCCTTCTCCTCGCTCTGCTCTAGACTCTAACGACAGGCGACTCCCCTGCCCATCACCGAAAACTAACAAGGATCCAGGTGTTTTATGCGATGAACAGGATGCTTGCAAACCCTTGTCGAAGAAGATCGGGGTCTTCATCCCTAGTCCAGACCAAGCTTCCCCCAGAAAGGATCCCTCATACTTTGATAGGAGATGCAAGGATGGAAGCCCTGTCCTAGAGAGTCGTAGCCTCGTGAACTCCCCAGACCGTTTTCTTCCATCAAGAGAACTGCACTTCCCGCCAGAAACGCAGTTTCGCGTGAGCAAGAATCATGACTTACTCACACCCCACGAAAAGGCCCACCGGCGGCGAGATCCAAACGCAGACCCGTTTTTCATCCCAACAGCTTCCAGGATTGTGAACAATCCGAGGCGATTTAATCCAATAGACATCGGGCTTATTCCCCATTATCGACCACGCCATGTTCATGAGATGGGATTTACTGACTTGCCCGCGGCTATCGACAATGGTTCGGCAGAGCAGCCACGACAGGTTAGTGTAGGTGCTGTATGGCATGTTGGCGGCACTTCGCCGGCACTAAGTGACCCCACAACTGAAGCCCCTGACGATATCGGCTACCACCGTGGGTCAGGGACAGTGGCACCTAGGTACTCCGCGAAGTTCGATCGAAAGGAAACCGATGCGGAGCAGCATCGCATTCACGAAGCCCGCATTGCATTAGCTCTAGACCTTGACCCTGCTTCCAGAATCCTTGGGTTCGCTATTCCAGGAACCCCACCAGATACCCCATCCAGCCTTTCATCCCCAGGTCGTGTTCGCCCTCCACTTACTTGGAAGGACAGTGTATGGACAAAAGATTTTGGCTGTACCCCAAGTAAGAACATTCGTCCCATTTTTTTTTTTGAATGTACAGCGCGCAAAAATGAATTTTTCTGTATTGCGTTTAGATATCGTCGGGTTCTCTACAAGCAGTCAACTAACCCACATATAGCGTCGCCCAAAAATATGGCGAAAGGGAACGAGCGACTCGTTTCGACCGTTCCGTTCCGGGTGTTGGATGCTCCGTTTTTGCGTGATGATTTTTACTCCACGACCCTGGCTTACTGTCACAAAATTAAAGTTCTTGCCGTTGGCCTTTCGTCACGGGTTTATCTTTGGTCTGAGCAGGACGGTGTCAGAAATCCACCGTTGCAACAAGTCTCTAGGGACAATGTTGTGACCTCTCTTTCCTTTTCCTCGGAAAAGGGGGGGTGGAGTATTCTTGCCGTAGGGCGGCGTCACGGGGAGCTTTCTCTATGGAGTACCTTCGATGCAGAGGTCCGATTCGAGGCACGTTTTCCAGCTGGAGTAGCCTGTGTTTCTTTTAAAGATACTCCAAGCATCGGCCCATCTGAATGGTCTTCACGAATATCAGCAAGCATTGAACATTTAGCTGTGGGAGACGATGCAGGTAACCTTTGGTATTATGCCTTGGAATGGACTACACCTAGGTTAAGAAAGCGGCGTAATTGGAACGGAAGTATGACACTTATTGCTAGGATAGCCTCACATACACAGCAAATATGCGGACTCTCTTGGTCCCCGGATGGGAAGTACTTCGCAACCGGGGGCAATGATAACGTTTGCCTTTTATTTGAGACGGCAAGCATTCTTGCTGGCAATACACAATCTGAGCAGTCATGTTCAAACACGTCCATGGCGATCCGTACGCGTCCTCCGAAGCAACGACACATGCATCAAGTTTTGCCTCTGCATCACCAGAATTATAGTACTGTGTCCTTGTTGTCTGACCCTACCTCTCGGGATGCAGAGAGCGTCGGCTCTGAGGACCTCTTATCTGAGTTATCCCAGGCCGAGACAGTCATACATCCACGCCGGGAAAAGCATAGATTGAGGCATTATGCTGCGGTCAAGGCCATCTCTTTCGCGCCTTGGGAGCCAACACTGCTTGCTACCGGCGGCGGAGCTGACGATCAATGCATACGCTTTTGGCACGCCCCTACAGGCGCATTGCTTGCTTCTCTCAATGTGTACGCACAGGTTACTAGCTTAATCTGGAGTAGGACACGACGCGAAATAGCAGCAACTTTCGGATACGCCAAACCTCGTCATCCTTACCGGATTGCCGTCTTTGCCTGGCCAAGCTGCGAGCAGGTTCTCGCTATACCATGGGCAGACGTTGATGACATGGAAGGATATGATGACAACACCCCTGGACGTGCGCTTTGGGCGATTAGCTATCCTGGGGGACCCAATCAAATGCCGGTTTATGCATCCGGCAGGTCGCAAGTTACTAGTGAAGCTTCTGACGACGGAACACCTGGTCATTTACCTTCGCATATAAGGAGACAATCACCGCACAGGGGCGGAAGGGATCCATCGTCCAGTTCACAAATAGCTAATGTAAGGTATACCGAGGGGCGCATTTGGTCCACTAGAACTGAACGAGAAGGCTGTATCGTCATCGCATGTAGCGATGAAAGCATCAGGTTCCAAGAAGTTTGGGGAGGTGAGCCTAGGGGCCTTGGAGGAGGTAGTGGCGTATTGGGAGGAAGCCAGATACTCGAGAGTTTGCATGGACTTGATACGTCTGTGGACTCGAAGGAGATCATTCGATGATTTTGGCCGAAATTTGATCAGTTGAGCGGAAGCTGTTCTCTCTGTTCTATCAACCTGGAATAGTGCATCGGCTTGCAAAAAGGGATTAGATATATTTATCAACACATGCGGCGTAGTATTTCTATACAATCTATTTTAGTTAGCCGGTTACCCGGTCGACTTGCTGTAACTTTTGCAGTAATGGACACTCGAACAACACCACTTCAACCCATAATGCCTTATAGAGTGCCCTGCTATTAACCGCCCAGAGATTTGGAAGTTGAAGTGTAAATTCATCCGGTGTATCTCCGCCATGTGTATATTGCAAAAGCCATAGAGAAGTTGGTAAATACAGTAGAGTACATCCAAGTATTCAAAGCACAAGATGCTCTTTAACTCTTTGAGACTTCACTCACGACTAGAGAGTTGATAGTCAATAAAAGATGCTGAATGCCAAAGATGATATTTTTTGCCCAATTGAAAAAGGAAAATTGCGCATTAAAACACAGACAAAATCGGAATAACTTCCCAGAGGTGGAAAGGGGACAGTTCGGCATAGGGGAAAAAAAAGAATACAGAAACAAATCAACAATCTGTCTATCATCTTTCCTCTTTATCCTCTGGTTTTACCCTTTTTTATTTTAGATTTTTTTGTAGAAGCCGGGGGGTCGACCAATATCTCAGACTCCTCATCAGAATCGGCAATGAAATCGGCCATGCTACCCAGATCTTCGTCCTCCTCCTCATCCTCGTCTTCATCATCTTCCTCTTCGCTGGCGCCTTCTCCATCCTCAGACTCCACAGCCTCGTCGTCAAAGAGCTCATCGTCCTCCTCGTCTCCTTCATCCTCCCCGGATTCCGATACAGCACCATTAACCACCATGGGCATATCTTCGCCATCTTCCTCATCGCCGGTAATATCCCCCATATCAACATCGCGGGTTTGTCGCGCACCCGCATCCTCGATGGCAAGACGTTCATCATCTTCAGTCTCCACCTCATCCTCCTGTCCTTCAACGTAAATCACGTCGTCCTCATCACTCTCAAAGCGTCCCTCCCGATTCTGGTTCAGACTGCGTCTCAATCCTAGCTGGGCGTCAAGCATGTCTAGTTTCCCCTTGAGAAGAAGCAAGGACGAAAGGCTCGACGATCGCTGGTCCATGACTTTGAATAGAGAGGTCATTTGTTTGAGGATCTCTGGCTTTCCTGCTATTGAACCACCATGCGCGACGCATGTCCATTGTACCCAGACAAGTAGGTGTCCATAGCGTCCCGGCCTCGAAGCAAGACGTTCAGCAAGTTTCTGGAGGAGGGTTGCGGCGAGGGAGGAATCGAGGCGTTGGATGGTGGCGCGGACAATGTTCACATCTGTCGTGTGAAAGCAGGATTCGAGGAGGTTGTGATCGTTTGTTTTAAGAGATTGAGAGAGAACAGTAGCGAGGGAGAGGCCTGAGGGCAATTGTTGAAGAGACTTGGGTTGTCTGGTACTGACTAGCGCTCCTACTTCGGCCTCGTCGAGTTCTGCGGCCACGTCGATATGTTTGGCGGAATTGGCGCGTAGGAGCTCGCCAAACGATGGTCCTCCCTCTTCCTCTTCCTCTTCCTCTTCCTCTTCCTCTTCTTCAGCGTCAACGTCAGCCATATCAACGTCATTGTCCTCTGCTTTTGCTAGGCTATGCGAAGATGGGATCTCGTTTGCCTTTTCTTGCTCTACGTCTGAAGCTTCTTCTTCGTCATTGCTTAATCCTGAAGCATCTTCTTCCACACCATCCCGCATAATTCCCTCTGCGACGCCACCTTGTTCGACGACAGTATGTGATTCATCTACATGGCTTTTACCCATGTTCTTCGCGCCATTCATCATAGCTGAGCCAACCATCGACGCGGACTTGCCACGCGCGATTTCACTTTCACCCTGGAGTATCAACTCTTTCGTCTCCTCGTCCCGCCAACGTATCCTATCAAATACAACATTTGCACCTGCTTCGGCCCATGCGACAACAAGGTCAGATCCGTCGAAGGAAACAGCGACGACGGGAACAACCGTTCTCGAAGCGTCCGGTCTAACGATCTTGACGGTAGCATCTGATCGCCGTGTCACAGCCTTTAAACGAGACTTCAGACTGGCGGTTGCGTTGACGGATTGTGCGTCCTCTTGATGGAAGGGGTTTGAAAACAATTCAATCGCCCCATCCCGGGTCACGGCCGCAAGCAACTGCCTCTGAAAAATGGCGGATCGTGAACCCTCATCATGTTTCTTGCTTCGGGAATCTGAGCTTGCCGGATAAAATGCTACGGATTCAACCTCCTTCTTGGTCACCAGAGAGCCGAGCAACTTTCTCTTTTGAGTGTCGAATAGGTTCATGTAGCGGTCAGAGTCGACAGCGAGGAATTGTCCGGATAGGGACTCCAAATTAGTCGATGATGATATTAGTGTGTGCACGGTATTTCGCATAGCGCTAAATGATGGTCCAGAATCTTGGCCCTCCTTCTCGAGATCTATTAGGTATGGTGTTTGTGAAGCACAGAGGACGGGAGGATTGCTAGGAACCGGTGGTGCCAAAGTTCCGACGGACGACGAAGGTAAGGAAATCACTCTTGTATAATATTAGAAAGAAAAAAAGAAAATACGAAGGACGAAGAGGGAGGAACTCGTAATGGAGGCGCATTTCATACCTTATAGCATTTCCAGTCTGTAGATTCCACTGTACAAGCTTCGCATCGCCTCCGATGCTCCAACCTTCCAGACCAGGCTTCTGGACGGTGAACCGGAAATCTCGGATTCCCCTTTCATGTCCACCGGTAAGCGTGGCCACGATTTTACCCTCTGCAGGAGAATACATTCGAATCTCCGACGTATTCGTGCCAAATGCGACGACGGCATCGCCGGGCTCAGAGGCATCGACGACAGCATTGACCCCCGAGCTCCGCTTGCGCTTCTTCTTCAGATGCTGATCTCTGTCCGCATCGCCATGGTAGCCCCACTCCAAAGAGGTGATAACCTCCTTCGGATTCACAGCATGTTCACAGCGTAACCGGCCGGAATTAACGTCGTGAACCCGCAGATGCTGAGCGTCCAAACCCTGGATGACAGAGGCGAAAAGGGCCAATTGGTACTCTGAGGGAGAAAAAGAGGAGCGAATAACAGATGATTTGTTCACAGTGATCTGGGTCCCCGAAGATGCTGCCGCGGCCGCGGAGATCTTCGATACTGGCCCGCGCGAGCGTTTTTTGGTCGGCATGTTTGGAGGAATTTTAAGAGGGAGCCGGATTAGAGGAGAAAGGGGGGGAAGTGCACGTGTGTTTGGGCCTTCAGGTGCAAGGCCGCAATGATTCAAAAGGTTGCTGCGACAGCCGCCATAACACGGGCAGAAAGCTCCTCTTCTTCTTCCTTTGCCTGCTTGGTTGATTCGGTGTGTGAAAAAAATGTTGATATCCATTATACACTTGTCCGATTTCGGACTAGCGTGCAGGACTGGGAGGTGCGGAGTTTCTTTCCGTGAACGGAAATTAGTGGACCGATCGGAGATACCATTTTCAGCCTCCGACGCCAAGGAGCTCCAGAAGTACTTCTCGGCGCCAGCTTTGTGCCGCACCACCTCTCGCTCAGTCAAATATTACCGGCATATGCAGTCGACATATCAATCACTCGATCACGCAATCATACAGGTTGGCTCTTTGACATTATGGTTGAAATATATGCGATGCCTTGTGTGCTGTTTAAATGGTCAATACGGAGCACATAGGTACTGACGCGCTTTTCAAAGACGCCTCAAAAAAATGTTCATAGTTCCTGGCGACGCGTCGTTTTGATATCACGTGGCCAGCGATGGAGCTGTTTTGGTTGCAGGGTGTCAGGGAAGTGGTTGGAAGATGTCAATGATATTAGGCTGCAAAGGTGCGATCTTTTTGCTGGCTGCGGTTACGTGCAGCTGGCGCCGTCCAATGGAGCACTTCGAACCATATGTTGGAGATTTCCCCATCGTACGCGGACAGGATCACGAATCTTTCGCAACGGCGATATAGATGCTCGACCGACTTCCGTGACATCTTCAACACCGATGGTACGGAAGTATTTTCATATTAGGTGTTAGCGCGGTCCGCCTGTAATTATTAAGTAATTAACCGGTCACTGAGATTTCGACGATACGGCGGCGGGCAGCTGGTCCGTGTGGCTAAGAGAACCAGGCGCGCTGTTTTTTTACCCGAAATTTCGTTACCGGGCGCCTCCTTACTAGGACCCAAAGCCACAAGATGGCGCTAAGTGGGGCACTGCTTCCGTCATTTTAACCAATGATCGCGTGAATGATCTCAGAGGGCCCCGCATATAGCCAATCAGCGGCGAAGAATTCTAAGTTACCAGGATCATCGATTTTAGCGTCGTCATCCGAGGCTAGTGGCAGGAGTCTGTCATGATTCCCTTGAAAGATCAAAAGCCCGACCATACTTAAGGATTCTAGCACCCCCCTTCGAATTATCTCTGTTTTCTCCTCCTCGCGTTGCCTCTTTCTCGTCTCGTGCCTTCTATCCACGCACCTCACTCCCTCCACCCACCAACCACAGCCCAGATCAACCGCCCTATACCCAACGGTACGTCTTATTTCCCGTTGATGCTTGACGTTACTTCCACGAACAGAGCAGATTCGTCCGTTCTTAAATTATTACTCCGTTCTTCCAACACAAATTATTCCCCATTTTGTATCAAGTAACACACTCCTCGTACTCTTGTGTATATGTGTCTCCTGCCAGCCCCATCTTATATCGTGTGATCCAACCCGATATATCTCTTCCCCAAAAGAATATGCCCCTTGGATTTCTAATATGACTGGCATCTGATGGTCATCTTGTTCCCCGCTGCCTTCCCGTTTCCTGCTTCTTCTTTTTGCGATTGATGCTATTGGTACTTGTTCTCCGAGAGCGGAAGTCTTGGTATCGCGGTTTTCTGCTATCCTGTCCATCCAATCAGCGCCTCTCGCTGCCCAGTGCCGTTAGACTTCCGCTCCTCACTCCACGTGACTTCCTCTGCTTACTCATGTTCTTGGCAATATAAAATGGCAGCTTTGGCTTTGCGATCGCTCCTACACTTCTTTTTCTCTACTCTTTTTTATCTTCATCCTTTTGCCTCAAGGCCACACCTTGTGATTTAATCACCAACTCAACAATCAACTTTTTTCCGTCCGTTTTCATTTTGTTGTTCCTGATACCCGCATCTATCGCGCGCAGTTTTTGCATTGATCTGTCCAACCCAGATCTAATTTTCGCGTCTGCTAGGGCTCATCGCGTCCAACCACAATTGTTGGAGGATATCTTTCTCCCTTCCCTTCACCAGCCTTGCCAGTAACTGCCGCCTGGAGGCATTGCTTCTCCTTGTTTGCGACGCGTCGCACAGCTCTCGTCCAAGCCAGTCCGGCCCTTATCAACCCTTATCGACCCTTATCGCATCCCGGATAAGACCTAACCGTCTTATCTCCACGTGATCATTGTTTTCCAAATATGGTAACTCCGCCTCCAGAAGCCACGGCGCTGGAGGACAAAGTCAAACTCCTCCCGGTCGCCGACCCTGCCGTCGCTGCAACCACCACGGGGTAAGTGAGCTGCCCATATCGCGAAGTGCGCTTGGTCTGAGTTATGCTAACGGCAGATGCGCACAGCAACGCACAGCTGCCTTCCAGGCCACTTGACAAGATGGATGAAGCCGCTGGCAGGGTAGACAGAAGCCTATCGCCACTTGCGAACGGCACCTCATTGCCGAATGGCACGAAGGAAGCTTTAAACGGCCTCACCTCCCCCTCAACTGAAAAAGAACCCAAACCGGCTGCCGAGACTACATCATCCAATTCATTTCTTACACGGGCCAATGAAGTAGAAACTTCGTCCTCTCTTCCAAAGGCGGACACCCTCGATGAGGAAAAGAAGACAAAACCCACAGAAAGCGAGGCCAATTTGCGAAACGAACTATCTGCCCCAGACACAGCTACAGAGGTGGTGACCTCTCTCGTACCTCAAGGGGAACAAGTAATGCCTCAAGTAGAAAAGGCTGAGGATAAGCCGCTCTCTCAGCCGATCTCTCCGCCTGCGACGGCGCCCGTGGTCGAACCAAATGAAACCCAATCCTCCGCACCTGCTCCTACTCTTTCCACCAGTCAAGACCAGACCATGGCAGAGGCTCCACCTTTGTCGCCGACAAAGATGTCGCGGGAACGGGAAGAGGATGAGGCAGATGAACCAGCAGCTAAACGCACCAAGACCGATGCTATCACCCCTCCCCAAGCTGAGTTTAAGGTCCCCGACCTACCACCACCAGCCTCCACCGCCATCACACCCTTACAAAATAAGTTTTTTATCCGCACTCTTGCAGCCTTGAAGAGAACGCACGATGCGCGATTCTTCAGAGTGCCTGTTGACCCAGTCAAGCTTAACATTCCTAATTACCCAACTATCATCAAGGAACCCATGGATTTACACACTATGGAGGACAAGATCAAGAGCGGAGCTTACAAGACGGTTGACCAGATTACCGCGGACTTCAAATTGATGATTGACAACTGCATCACGTTCAACGGCCCGGAACACGTGGTGACTGTTGAAGGTATGCGGCTCAGAGATAACTGGGAACGTCATCTTACCAAACTTCCGAGTCCAAGCGAGGTAGAACCTACCGCCGCCGAAAAGAAGGCCAAAAAGGCGAGTACAGCTCCAACCAAGACACAACCAGCACGACGAGAATCCCAAGCAAAAGCAGCAGCACCCAAAGTTGCCAACGCCACCTCGCCAACTACTTTCGCTCTCGGTCCCGAAGGTCTTCCCCTAATCCGCCGTGACTCTAACACGGTTGATGGCCGTCCGAAACGATCCATCCATCCTCCTAAGAACCGAGATCTTCCCTATAGCACAAAACCAAAGAAGAAGAAATTCCATTGGGAGCTCAAGTTCTGTGAGGAAGTTATCGATGAGTTACATAAGCCTAAGCATTATAACTTTGCCGCCCCTTTTTACCAGCCCGTCGACCCCGTTGCGCTGAATATTCCCACGTATCACAATATTATCAAGAAACCAATGGACCTCTCGACCATCAGGACAAAACTCCAAACCGGGCAGTATGAGAATTCTAAGGAAATGGAGAACGATGTTCGGCTTATGTTCAAGAACTGCTACAAGTTTAACATACCTGGGGACCCAACTTACAATGCTGGTAAAAAACTTGAGGAGATTTTTGACTACAAGTGGGGTCAGAAAGCCCGTTGGCTCGAGACACACGATCCTGCATCCGCTCACCAAAGTGACAGTTCAGACAACGAGAGCAGTGAGGGCGAGGAGAGCAATGACGATGAACAACATGAAAAACTACAGATCCTACAAAAACAGATTGCAGAGATGTCCAAGCAAGTCGAAGCGATCCGTCAAAAGAAGAAGAAAACTCCTCCAGGACCTTCAAAGAAAGCCAGCAAGGCCAAGCCCGGTAAAAAGGATAACAAAAAAGGCGCACCATCGCGAAAGGATAAGAAGGGTGGATCCAAGTCGACCAAATCATCAGAAAAGCAACGCTGGATTACCTATCGTGAGAAACAAATCATATCCCATGGTATCAGCACTCTTCCCGAGAACAAGGTACAGGACGCACTGCACATCATCCAATCCAATGTGCCTTCGCTTAAGGTAACCTGAGCCTTGCCCCTTTTTCTGTTTTAATTATTTCGCGTCATGCTGATGCCGGTCTAGGGAACTGATCAAGCTGAGGTCGAACTCGACATTGACGAACTCCCGAATAACGTGCTAGTACTATTGTTGAACTTCGTCAAGAAGCATGCTCCGCAATCCTTCGAATTTGACGAACCGGCGCCAGAGCCCCTTCCAACTGCCGTCCCCGCAAAGCCTAAGAAAAACAAGCCTATGAATGCCCATGAGCAGGAGGCGCAAATAGGCCGCCTCGCTGGTACACTTTCGAAATTCCAGGGTGGCGCCCAGTCTTCTGACCCAAGTATGATTTTCCTCTTTATTATATTCTCATGTAGCAGTAATAGCTAATGCCGATTTAGTTCATTCTGAAGCCGCTCGTGAAAGCAGTGACGATGATGACTCTGAAGAGAGCGAGGAAGAGTAAATGATCATCCGCTCTCCCAAAAAAATTAAAAATAAAAATAAAAATAAAAAAACACAGCACGATAATGCCTTTATGCACCTTTTACACTGCCACAATCGCTGTGCTCCATCAACGGTTTCAACTTTCCACTACATGATCCACACCTTTTTCTATCCACAGCGTTAGTGGACCATTACAACTGGCAAATGGTCCTGCTGTTTCGATAATACCAAGTTGCCTCCTCTTGCCGTCCGTTGGATGCATCTTCGCCTGCGTTATTCCCTTGCACTGTGTAATTTACATCTTGAATGCTACGATACAAGCGAGTTTATGTGTTTTTCTTTCTATTTTCTTCCCTTTTATCCTTAGGTATCCGAAAACATCCCTTTTCGAAAGTTACGAAGTACATGTGCGGCCAGGCTTAGGGATTTACATTTCTCGGGTGCTGATCCGTGACCGCTATTACGTGTCATTTGGTCCGTTTGATCAGTTTATTATGGACAAAACGGAGGTCTTATTCTAGGGTGTGTCGGAAAAGGGAGATGTACGAGGCTGTATGATAGGATAATGATATTGGTGCTCACTTGACTATTTGTTCCCGTTCTCTGTACTTCGTATACCGTAAATCAGTAGTTAATGGTGGTCCTTGGGCAGAAATAACCCAGGAGTGCCTTAAATCCCGAAGGGTGGCTTGGCCCAAGCATGGATTGCAACCAAGCTTCCCCCTGATCACAATTTACCCAGGCAGTTTCTCGTCGCCATGCTCCCGCAGTGTGATCCCGCGATCCTTAATGATAACCCACGTTTCCAAGCACTTCATCAGCATTTAACAACTTCAATTCTAAAGCCAGATGGATCGACGCGCGAGTTGGATGGGGATCCGTCGCGGAGAGAGGTGCAAGTTGTCAGTATCCCCGCACAGAGCTTCGTTTGGCCGATATCTCGACAGTGTCGTTACTCCTATAAACAGCAGAATTCTGACTTCATCACACTAGTATAGGAGCTTAAGGAACTCCAGATCCGCGCTGCGAAGAGATGCATCTTGAAAAGGCTTGTGTGCCAGTTACCGTATGATTTGAAGAATGGCCTACCCGATGAAGTACGACACTGACTTCTGCTGTTACTGTTATTTTCTTGAATACGGCATACTTACTATTATGGACAATAGCTACGGGACCTAGTCGCCATCATTGCGCTTTATCTCGATCATCCTACGTCGAATACCAATTCAAGCCGAAGCACTAACGACAACGCAGACAGCGTCGACGACACCCTCTCCCTTCTTGGACCAGACTTAAACGCCTTCAGGTCACACCTCCCCAGCCTTCTTCCCGCAATCCGCAACAAGCTCGACTCAGAGCTAAGCCATCTAAAGAGTCTGGCGGACGCTACATCGCCAAATCATGCTACTAAAAAACCGGACCAATCCCGCATTCCACAGCAGACTCGCTCTAATGACAGTCGGCTTCGCCCTCTGTCGTTGAAGCCTACTATGTCATATTCCTCGTCCGCCTCCATCGCAAAATACTCTCTTTCAGCACAGCTGTTCAAGCGACAACAAGCACTCCGGACGTTACAGTCCGTGGACCTGCCGGCTGCGCAGAGACAGTTAGCAGTTACGGGTGCAGAGGTCCTTTCTGCGCATACTCGTGTGATGGAGCGGATGATACAGGTGCTTGAGAGGACGAAGCACGGATCGTTGGCGAGAGCAGGGAAAGCGAGAGCGGAATACCTAGCAGCTGTGGCAGAGGGGTTGGACGGGAAGGTCAGGTATGTGCTTCTCCTGGGTCAAGCGGGCTTCAGTCCGTTTCTGCTTTTTTTATCTTTTGTTTAGTATCGGGCGGTCACTGATAGGCACTTTATGCCCTTTTTAGGATCATGCAGCAAGATATTCTCTCGAGTATATACACGCCCGAAACGCTCAGCGCGTTGCAGAGCTATCGCAGATATCTCCATGATACCCGTGTCCAGTTGGAAGAACGGGAAAAGAAGGCCTTGCAGGAGTTGGAGACTTATGAAGTTGCTAATAACTCCTCGAGAGCCGGCGGTGATTCACGAGGGACCCGGGCGGGAGCTTTGGGCGATATCCCGAAGAGATATGGATCCTTGATTCGGGAGGTGGAAGCTGTGCGGATGGAGATTAGACGACTTGGTGGGAACATGTAGGTATCAATATAACGGCCGAACAATTGAACCTTGCCTATCCCTTCGCCAGTGAGGACCAGCAAAGGTGTTTACCGCATGAAATCGGCTCGGCGAACAGCTTGGCCTGTTCACACCGCCTTCGGAGACCGTGGCAAAAAAGGCTTGGCATCAAAAGGTTGATGAGAACTTTAATCTTTTGCCATTGCGCTTCATCTCGAGGTGACGGAGACATGAACTAGGAATCACACCAGCCTGTTCACATCAGAGTCCATTTCTATTGTAACAGTTCCAAGATTTGGCGAGCAGCCGCGGTCAGTCCTCTCGCTTCACCCCCATCGGCGACCCATCAAAAGAAACCCTTCAACCCCACCACACCCCCGCCGGTGCTGCCTTGACATATTTATCAATCCACCTTCCGCTCTCGAATACGTCTCTCCCTCTATAAACCACCAAACATGGCAGACAGCCTATCCATCTACGACGAGATAGAGATCGAAGACATGACCTTCGACCCTGCCCTGCAAATCTATCACTACCCGTGCCCGTGTGGCGATAGGTTCGAGATCGGAATTGCAGATTTGAGGGATGGAGAGGAAATTGCAATCTGTCCAAGCTGCAGTCTGATGATCAAGGTTATTTTTGACGTGGTATGTATAATCAACCTTGGCAACATTTGAAACATATGTATAGGCTAATCGAGGTGGATACTGTATAGGACGACCTACCCAAGGATGGAGATGGCGGTGCTGGATTGGCGACCGTGGCGGTTCAGGCGTGAACGGGATAGGTTCTGGTTCTTTATGGATAACCCACCAGCGATATTGGTCCCGAGCATTAATTGTGTTTCTGGTAACCTGAAACACGTGCCAACTCTCCCGTTTGCGGAAGACTACACCCGATGACGGGCCACTACCAGCATCATCATAATGGCTACTGTGCTTGATCTTCGCTAGTTATGGCGAACATCATTCGCTTCCGATGATAGCATCACCACAGGTGTAAGCAAAGGTGACAGCCACCGGCTCCATTACGGCTCGACTTCGTCAGTGTGGATGGACTTGCAATGTGGACGAGGAAGAAGCAAAAGCATCGATGGAGGCTTAGCACGCTAAGAATGTTGATACAGAGTATATCGTTCGAATAATGCATTTAGCTCGGTTTTTATATTTGATGTTGTGGGGGATATTTTTAACCTGCTGCAGCTTCGGCGCTTCTGAAACCGAACATATTCAAAATAAAAATACATGAATGCTTGGTGAGCGGCGTGACCCGGTAAAGCCGTTTTGTAATCCTCTCAAGGAAGCCTCCTGAAGGTAGGTATGTCAACACCTAAGCCTTGCTTTTCTCGTAGAGATCGTAATCCAGTTCCAGGCCAAGTTCTTTATTCAGTAAAGTCGTCAGATTCGAGCCATCCCGAAGATAGATCCACTGTCCGCCAATGTTTTCTCTTGTCCCTTCCTTCTCGGTCATTGAGTCACCTTGCACAACCCAGTCGTAGCGCTTGGGGCCGGAGATGGGGGAGCTCAGCCATATTTGCTTGTTGGGGGGCTGTTTATTCAGGACATATGTTCCGATCCCAGGAACGGTGACGTTGAGCACGCCGGCCTACAGCACAGGAATAAATCAGCAAATATCATTTTCAATCTTACTCCTTCGATTGTTAATTTGCATGGGATCATTTAAACATCGCCAGCAAGTTGCAGTGAAGAGGACCGACGTACACTGTACTCCGCCTCTGTTTCCGATCCTTGTTCCTGTGCCTCTTCTAGCTCCGTGAGCAGTACATTGAAATAATGCTCTGAGTATTCATGGTATTTCGCATCCGATAATGGCGAAGGTTCCACGACATGGGGCGACACTCCGCCGAGATTGTTAGGTTCGGGGCTCGGGGGCGCGGGGTCCGATGAACCAGGCGTGATGCCCTTGTGGAATTTAGGTGCATAGTGAAAAGCACGGGCGAAGGGTGTTTGGGGCGCACGGGATGAAGGTGCTCTTGATATTGCGCGGTTGAGTGATGGGATTGCTGCCGGAGATACTACTGCTGGGGTGTGCACAGCATGGGTTGTGGATGAGAAGAGAGAGCTCAGAGCTCGAGATGAGTTTCGGGATAGCATTGTGAAGGTGTGAATTAAGCAGGCTCAATTGTACTAGGTCCTTGGTTTTGACATGCAACAGAAGTGTGAAGAGACCCAATGCTGGAGCTCGACCTCAAGAAACGGATACGAAGAAGTTGGAAAGTCGTGAGGGAAGCTCCAACTTGTTGTGGGCCTCAAACCAGGAGCTTGCTGCCAACCCACATTTGTTCCACCAACATCGGCGTCATCACCATGTAAAAGTGAATAACCAACACACTTCATCTTGTTGGCATTTACCTTGAGATTCAGACTCCCTGCAGTGCGTGTCTCTTCAGATATATATTGTTTTATTCTTACATGGCCTTGATTGCCCTACCTGAACAGCATATTCAATCACCATCCCACCGACAAGAGCGTTGCGCCTCATAGGTACATGAATGTACTTAGATTGAGCCGTTGTGAGAAGAGAACAGTGTTGGCATTTTGGCCCCCCATAGTTATCCTGCCAGGCCTCTTCTGGGCCTAAGGCTACGAAGTCTTGACTATATATGATCAAATCATTCTGCTATATACCTGGCAGAAGCACCAGATCATCCCCCCAGATCAGCTACAAAGCACCAAATCGCTACTTCTCTCTCGCCATGGGGAATAAGAATCATAAAGGCCGCCACGGCCGGGGCAATATGGGTGGAAATAAAAAGCCTCCACTGACACATTTCCTCTGCCTGCCCCTTGTCAACCAATCCTCTGCTACCCAGCTCGTTAATTCCCTAGCGGATTTTAAATCGAAAATTCCACTTATTTTTCCGCCAGCAGCTGCAAGAGCAGAAGCAGCAGGGCATGCTGTGCGCATACCATTGGTCCCCGATGATGCTATGAGGCCCCTGGGGACCTTGCATCTGACGCTAGGTGTGATGAGTCTCACAACGGAGGAAAGACTACAGCAAGCTCTAGATTTTCTGCAATCCTTGGACCTCAATGCAATGCTAAAGGAGGCGGGGACTCAGGCGGAGTCGACATCTGATGAGCAGTTATGCGAAGCTCCAGCCGATGAGAGCTTGGAGCCTCTTACTATTACGCTAACTTCGCTATATGCACTGCCGAAACCTCGCTCTGCAACAATACTACATGCCCATCCCTTAGATCCGACGTCACGTCTCTACCCTTTCTGTGTCAACTTGCGAAACAAGTTCATTGAAGCGGGGCTTATGCACTGTGAAATGATTAAAGATCCGAAAGGCAAAGGGAGAGCTCAGGGAGAGGAGAATACACCTCAGTCTACCAGCGTATCGAGGCCGACAGTTGAGCACAGTGATAGTGATAGCGATGGTGGTGTGGACCTACCCGTCATTCGCAACGCAAAATCTACTGCTTTGGGCCAAGAAGGGCTGGTGCCCAGACCACTCCTGCTACATGCTACGATATCAAACACCATATATGCAAAAAGCCGACGGACCTTCTCAAATGACAAGAGAAAGAAGAGGGAGGCCTATAAGTTTGATGCAACGGAATTAATTGCCATGTTTGGGGACAATGCTAGTCCGCATAGCCAAGGTCAAAACAAGAGTCAAAGCAGGTCTCAGCCTCTTCCAAGCCGAGCTATCCCGCGATCGATGCCACAAGAGACTCAAGAAACTGAAACCTGTGAAGAAAATCATGGCGAAAAACAACTGCAAGCTCAGAGAAATGCTGCGAGAGAGCCATATATCTGGGCGAAGGACATCTTGCTCGATCGCATATGCATCTGTGAAATGGGTGCTAAGCCCGTGCCACATGATGAGTCAAAGGAAGGCCCTGCCTTGGTTGAAGAGTACACTGTTGTTGGAGAAAAGAGGTTTTGACATGATAAAAGAATACTTTGTTAACCCGTCCTCTAATGAGTTCTTACAAAAGCAAATATAACGCTAGCTACTAGGCTTCCCGATAGCTACTCCTTAGTGTAATGTGGATTATCCTAACTCGGATGGCTTAGATACAATACATATACCAAAGTGGAATTTGGCATATTAATCTTCCATGCACTGGACTATATATGTTTCCTGTATTGTGAAAACTCATACAGTTGACCACATATATGCATCGGGAATGCCTGCGATATAGTGCTCCCGCTGGCCCAAATAATCCAACAAACTCCAGTCATCTCCAATGGACTAAAAAAAAAAAAAAAGGAAAAAAAAAAGACACTATTACCACACATAAAAAGAGTTAGACCCATGCTCCAACCCCACTGTTAGATATTTACACATTATTGATAACTTATGTGAATTCACATCATCTCACTCTTCCCATGATGGTCTCCGCTCCACGCTCAACTGATAACTCTGCAGCCTTCGCCTTCACAGCGCTCACCATCGATCTCTCAAAGTCATCTCTAGATCTCAGCACCGCCTCCACCCATGACAGGTTTAAATCCCAATACTCCCTCTTAAACCCTTCGTACACGTTCACAACCTCGCCTTTCTCTGCCTCAAGCAGCCTAACTAACCAATCAACTAATCTCCACCGATCCTTAATCGTGCTGGCAAAGCTCTCCGGATACTGCTGGAAGAAGGCAAATAGAGTAAGAATATCGTCCTTGAATTTTTCCGTAAAGGGGTCTTGCCGGCGGAACTTTGCGCCACGGTTACGGATGCAGAGGAGATAATGCACGAGCAGCTCGTCGGAGAGTTCTTCGATTAAAATGTCACGGAGAGAAGGGTGGATCATGGATAGATAGTCTGTCATGTAGTCTTCAAAGGTAGATATCATCCGTTTCATGGCAAATTCGCCATACCATTTTTGCGTGAAGAAGTCGGGAAGGGTAGTACGGAAATCAACGGAGAATATTAGATCGATGAACAAGGTAATGCAGTGGGTACTGAGATCAACGTAGCCATCTCGAAGAACATTGAGCTCTGTGTCTGCACGTGTGATGAGGTACTTTTCGGTAACCAGCGGCTCGAAGTCTCGCCTGAAGCGTGTGAGGTAGCCGACTTGTCCCGACGCATCGTTGTCATCAATGCACGCAATTTGATCGTTTGCAACAGCAATGAGCCAGTCTTGCAGTTGCTGGAAGCCTTTGTTATCTGGAGGAGCATCTGCACCTTTATATTTGGCGCATTCTTCATCGAGCATCGTTTGCCAAGCAGTCTGGCGGGACTTTAAGGCGCGGAACATTGCATCCACGACACCTTCCGCAACATCGGTTCTCTGCGAGGCACCAGCAGCAAGGAGCTGCTCGTGGAGCATACGCCACAGGTCTCCGAGAGTCTTGATGCGGAAATGGCCATCCGGGTTTGTGTCCAGGGCTTCGATATCCCTTTCAGAAAAGGATTTCTTGTCCACAGCAAACATTCGTTCTATCCATTCGTCCAAGGCTTTTATAATTAGATTTCGCCAATCACGGACTAGTTCTCCTTCACGGTCGTCAATCACATGGGGGGTGAGGTCAGCTTGGGCCCAACCAAGTTTCGCCATTTTAGTATAGTACTTATCGCTCCAGTGGATGATCGCCAGCATATTCGCAGCAGGAAGTTGGTCATCATCAACGAATTGGATCAACCAGTCATGCATCATCTGGTGGTAGATATCCGTATAAGTCTTATAAATTTTCCATTTCTTAGGCATGAGGGGCTGCATTCCTTCTCTGACGGTAAAGAGATCGTTGAAGAACCATTTGAAGCCCTTCTCCAGTTTATCGGGGTCATCGAGGAAGCCCTCCTTTGTAGCTTCAAACTGTCCTTGAGCATAGAGTTCAATGGCCTTTAGGAAATTCTGCTTATATCCTCTGACCGTCTTTGGACCGATATTCATGGACTTGAAACGGGTCGCAAGGTACTGATGATCCTTTTGCGCGTCCTGCAATGCCTGGACCTTGGCATCATTCTTTTCCTCACTGAGGATGACTACGGCAAGCCTGACCACCATACTCCGGTTGTCTGATTGAACCAGCGGAATAAGATTCATACACGCAGTCCCCAGATGGTCATCGAACCACTCGATAACAGAATCGAGGCCTTGAAACCATTCAACAAGCGTGGCCTCGCTGCTCCTATCCTGGGACTTGGAGATTTGATCCATAGCTTCATCCCGAAAATCTCGCAGCCGTGTGATTGCCATATGTGCATTAAGCAGGTTTGGTTGATTTTCTAAATCTTCATCGTCTTCTCGCAGCATCCTTTCCACCTCAGCCAAGTCATTATGAAAGCTCTCTAAGCCTTGCTTCATCATCATTGTCGCCTCGAAATTCCGATGTATTCGCGCCAGCTTGTCGATCTGCGCAAAGTCACCCACTGCAGCCTGCGACTCAGCGCACAGCGTATCGATCCCGCGCAGCTCATTTTTCGTGCTCAGAATCAGCTTTTTGCCCTCTGTAAGCTGGTTTATACTCCGCTGCACCGTTTCCAGTTGGTCTCTCAGTCCATCCCGAAGCTGCGCATCTACAGCAGCTTTTTTTCTCGTATATTCTGCTTTCAGCGCGGGGATCTTATCCAGATCTTCCGCGTGACGAAGCAAATCCTCCAATCGAGGCAGCGCCAGGCCGCCATCTTCCTTACTCTCACTAGCCATGGCTTTGTAGGCCTGGGATACCATTGGTGGGGCGGGGGCTGTTATCGTCGGATGAGGAGAGGAGCTGAAGATCCGATCGAAGAGGGACGCATTGGTCGAGGAAGCGACGGTATCCAGAGAAGAAACGAGAGAGACGCTCTCAGAATTCTCCACTAGTTTAGGTAGCGGTTCACAGAATTGGGCGGTGGGCGCTGGCGCATCGGGAGTATGGTCTTCAACAATGGTCTGAATATCGCCCGAAGAAGCGATTTGGATGTGCGCCGTCAATGGATCAGGCTTCTCGATGGGCGGTCCGAACCTCAAACGTGCCCGGGGGCGTATAGACTTGGACAGGTAGCGAGTTAAAGAGAATTTCGAGGGAGAAGCTGGCTCCGCCGACGTAGCCTGGGAGCTCTCTGCGGCTGAATCAGTCTCAATGATACGTGCGTCTGGCTCGGGGGCATTCGATTCCTCGGGCTGACCTGGAGGTGTCGATTCCAGGAGATGATGGCAGTCGGTACCACCCGAAACCGTGACTCCGTTCTTGGCCTCGGGTGACACTGGCGGCCTGTCCTTCTCCCGCCTACTGAGCGACCTGCGAAGCTTTCCAGGGGCACCCCGAAAGGACCGCTTCTTGCCCTCGATCGCGCGTTTCTTAACGTAATCGCCGCCGCCGCCGCCGCCGCTGCTGGACTTGCGGATTTGCACCTCGAACGCTGCTCGCCGTTGCGCCACAGACGGCAGTGCGCCGGGGAGGAGGCTCCTCCGCTGGGGCTTGGCGACATTAGTCATCGTGGTGTGGCTTGACCGGGCCTGTGAGGCTGGTCGGTGGAGAAACAGATTTTCCGGTTGATGGTTGAACCTTTTCAATTTTGCGTCTCGGTTTCTGGACGTCAATCGACGAGCAGAGACGAACGAAAAAAGAGTGGTCGATGAAGGGATGCGAATCCGTCGGGAAAGAGAATTGAGTGTGTTTTTCGGGTGCGAATAGACAGTCGGCCTGCAAATTACAATAACAACTTCCCACCTTAAGGAGTCCGTCGATCCACGTCACACCGTGCGGCACATCCAACGGGGAAGATTGCCTTGGCTGGAAGAGAAAGCAAGCCCTGCAGACACGGGGCGAATCAGCTCGACGCAGACAAAAGAAGAAAAGGGCTCGTTTGCCGAAACAATAAGAAAGAACCAGATTGTTGGGTTTTCCTTCTTTGGGTCTGAAATAAGCACCATTCCGCCTTCATCCCAGCAATCGTCGCTGGTTGGATCAGAACAGCCCCCAGAGCAACAATTCGGACCCTTTTCTCTTTGAAACCAGAAGAGAACTGAAGCAAGAGAGTGCAGGAGAGTGAGAGAAGAGAGAGACATCGTGCCCAAAGGGAACTTTCCTGGCGTGACCAAACAAAAGGGGACTCCGTGCGACGCGTGCACACACTCACCAACCTTCCTTGACAATAACACCAAGAAACAAACAATTCGCCGAAATACAAAGGAACCAAAGCAACACAAAGCCCAACCTTCCATCTCTCCTGTCCCCCCAAAACTCAGCTGGGACAACCAAAAAAATAAAATAAATAAATAAATTAAAAAAAGAAAAGAAAAGGAAACGCCAGGAGAAAGGGTGCTGAAACGTCACATCTCCCATCCTAAAAAGCACTCACAAAAATAAATAAATAAATAAAAAAAAAAAAAAAAAAATTATTCAATTTAAAATTAAAAAGACACACCCGAAAACAATGACTTTCTTTCGCATCACCCTCATCCGCTCCGCCATCGGTCTCCCACGCCGTACCCACGGCGTCCTCAAAGCCCTCGGCCTCAAGAAGCGCATGGCCACCGTCTTCCACCCGGTATCCCAGGACGTCGCCGGTCAGATCATGAAGGTCAAGGAGCTCGTCGCAGTGCAGGAAGTCGACAAGCCGCTCACGCAGGAGGAGCTGCACTGGTCGCGCAAACCCGATCCGGGGTACTATATCGAGAAGAGGGCGGCGGAGGCGTTCAGAGAGAAGAGGGATGTGTAAGGAGGGGGGAGAGAAAAAAAGGGGAAATGGTTAGCCCTTCCTTCCTTCCTTCCGCGCGCAGCAGGGCTGGATGGCACGATGAGGAATGCAGCGATGGATTTTTTTGGGGGGTGGGGATATACCTGTTTTACGATGGTGGGAATATCGAAGAGACGGCGGGCGACCCTGTTAGAGAGAGGAGGCCCGATTTGGGCAGCCGATAATCCCACGGTACTCGTGTTGGAGAATAGCATAGATGCTCGGGGGTTTGCGGTCATGGTCCTTCGAACCGTAAGTGCTTCAAATGCCAACCAGATTTTGATAGAAGAGGGAGCAGCAAGGATCGATTGTCTTACCGCTTATATCTTGACCTCAGCAAGTCGCCACAGGTTCTGTTGTACTCTTACTGTATATTAGAAGCTATATCGCGATGAGCGTGCTGAAGTTGCTTTTTTTTTTTTAAAAAAATTTATTTCATGTATCATAAATTTTGTGTCTCAGGCCTTGTACAATTCTACCTCCCAAAGGAGTGTATTCTCAGAATTCTTTGTCAACACCATCTTTAGGAAACCGTGAGCTAAAAGAGAGTACACAAAAAGACAAACAAAGCCAAAGGTTAAAGCAGAATATGAATATTCGAATTACCTAGTAAACTGCCTATGTAGGTGGTAAACAACGCCTGTGACCATGCATCCATGCATCTGGCCAACCCTTCTAACACAATTCCCAATTATCTTCGCCCTTTTTAACGCCAATGACCTTGATTCCCCTAGAACAAACAATACAATTCGTCCAACTATGAGAGATACAGCGTATCAAGGAACCCTTCAGCGAGACGGCTGACAATACTTTTGTCCGGGATGCTACCCGCAACACCGTAGAGGGCAGAGGTATCACCACGCTCCTTCTCCACCTTCTGTCCCAAGCGCTTGCGCTCATCGGCCTTCGCACGTTCAATCTCGACAACTTCGGTCAGATCAGCGGTGAGGTGATCGACGGCATTCGCTGTTGGAACGGTGAAGGCGACATGCATGGCAGCAGGGTTTTGGAGAGCATTGAGATGCCACCCCTTGGCTGACATTGCATCAGCAATATCGTAGATATCGATCTCCGCGGTGGTGGTTGCAAAGGCGACGACGCTCACCATCGGCTCACCAATTACTTTAAGATCGCGAGAAAGGACGGGGTCCTCACGAATGGACGTTTCAAATTTCTTCGCCGCGCTGACAATTTGGTGGCAGCTGTCCTTGTAGCCCGATTCACCAATGGCCATCAAACTACTCCAGCAGCCGGCGATCAAGGCTCCGGGGCGGGAACCAGCAATCGAAGGGGAGGCGTAAACACCACCAGACCACTCTGGGAGGATGAAATATTGGTAGCTTCGCAGAACACGATCGCGATACAAGACCACGGAGTTCCCCTTTGGAGCGAAGCCATACTTGTGAGTGTCAACGCTAATGCTTGTGACGCCTGGAAGACGGAAGTCAAAACCTCCCTGTTCTTCATACGGTGAAGGGAAGCCGGATTTTTTCAAGAATGCAATAACGAACGATCCAAGGCAACAATCAACATGCAAAGGGAGCTTGTACGAGACTGCGAGGCGGGACAATGCAGGGATGTCGTCGACGATTCCGTGAGGGAAGTTGGGCGCGGATCCGACCAAGAGGATAGTGTTGGGATTGATCAAACGGCGAACAGATGGGATATGCACTGTATAGTTGGGAGCAGGGCAGGGCACGGAATGAAGCTTGATGCCAAAGTACTGCGCCGCTTTATTGAACGCCGCATGGGCAGTGATCGGAACGATCCTGACAAGGAAGACGTGTTAGCTCTTGTTTAGTTTTACATTGGATATCCCCGTGCGACTAACATTTCTGGATCAGTGACACCACGCTCGGTATACGCCTTTTGGCGAGCTGACAAGCAGGCCATAAGGATGGACTCTGTTCCACCGCTTGTGGTCACACCAGCACCGCCTTCAGGGGCATTGAACAATTCAAGAACCTACAAAATCAATCAGTCAGTCATCTCAATTGATTTTCACAGTTTCCAAAAAAAAAAGAAAAAAAAAAAAAAAAAAAAAAAAAAGGGAAAAGAGGAAAAAGCAGAAAGATGAAGCTCACCATCGCGACAACTTCAGCCTCCATCTTCCTCACGCCCGGGAAAACGTCGGGATGGATTGGGTTCGCGACGGCAAATTGTCCCCAGGCGTCTGTCTGGAGCTTCAACAGGTCTTCACCACCATGGTAGACAGCGCCGCTGACGCGACCTTCCTCCCACATGGTGTGCTCCATGCCGGCCAACCTATCCAGCTCGGCGTGGACCTGCTCGGCGGACCATCCCTGCGCCGGAAGCTTGTTGTACTTGACGATGCCGGGACCTTGAGGGGCGAGTTTTGACTCTAGCTTGGAGATGGCGGAGGAGACCTGCTTGTCGACCTGGCCGCGGACGCCGGGGGCGCGCAAGAAGAGCGAGTAGAGCGTCAGGTGGGCTTTGTGGTAGATGTTGCAGATGGTGCCGATGAAGCCCTGGCCGCGAATGGTATAAAAGGATCTGCGGCTCAACCGGAGAAGGAAGACGATGAACACGAGGTTGCGGACGCTACGAAGGAGAGAGAGAGGTTAATTGGCTCAGACTCATTCCTGGCAAGAGACCACGGGCAACGTACAGGTCCAGATTTGACAGGCTGAACAGGGCATCCGATGATGCCCGCGTGGCCGCCATGACCTTGTGCAGGGTCATCGGGATGTAAGGATGCGTCATGCCGGAGTTATCAGACAAGCAGTAGTAGGATGGTAGCACTAGGGATGTAAACTCATAAGGTTAAGAAGAAAAAGAAAAGAAAAAAGCAAAAAAGAAAAAAAAAAATAACGTTAAAAGCCGGGTAGGATGAATTGTGAGAGGGTGGATGTTGTGCAGCAGTGTAGGATGATGGAATGGTTGGGAAACCGGTGATAGTTATAACCGTCGCAGGGTGACTTGGGGGGAAAGCCAAAAGGGGACCGCCGCTACTTAGTTACTTCCTTCTTCCTCTTCTTACCTCTTCTATTTTATTTTATTTTTTTATTTTTTTGTTTGCTTTTATTTTATTTTATTTTTTTTGGTGATGCAACCGCGTGGGGCAAGTGCGCGGAAAACTAGTTAACTAAGGGTCGAAACGCCCCTTCCGGGTGGCCAGAACTTACGTACTACTAAAATATCTTCCCAGCAAAAAGGAAGTGGCAACAATACTAAAAACTACATTAACCATGTTTATTTTGTATGTTGCTCCATAACTAACTACTCCGTACAGCACCCTAAGAGTTCTCAATATTAAATTTAGTATTTATAACCTGACATTCCAGCTGTCAACACAGCGCGCGTGGAGACAAGTTAAGTTAAAATGAACAGACAGACAAACACTCCTTTCTGGCAGCTGCAGCTCTGCGCGCCAACCCCCGGCCCTGTTCGGCAACTCTAACTGACTCAGCGTCGGCATGTGAACTTGTCAGTCCGGCCTTTTTTGGAGGTCGAGCGATGTTTTCCTTCTACTCCGTACATACAAGACAATCCCTTCTACAGAGAACTACTATCACCACAGTGAATTGACCGTCATCGAACTACCTTCGAGCAGAAGCTGAACATCCCCTTGCTCCCCCTCCTGAAATAACAGAATTAACAACTGCTTGGTTGGCTGTTTGCTGAAATAACAGAATTAACAACTGCTTTGGTTGGCTGTTTGCTGGCATAACAGAATTAACAACTGCTTGGTTGGTTGGTTGGGTGTTTGTCTCAACTTTTGAACTGTAAACCGGGCGATATCGAAGCTCCATCGCGTCGTATTCGGATTGCGGGGGTGGGTTGTCTCGCATTCGGGTTCGCTGGGTGGAGGGCGGAGAACGACGATCCGGCGCTTCTTCACTTGTTGTCATTTTTCTGTGCTAGGATGGCCTTGTAGCTATGTAGCCAGGATATTTTTTTTCTTTTTCTTTTCTTTTCTTTTCTCCTTTTTTTTTTTTTTTTTTTTCGGGTAAGGAAATGGAACGAAAAAATATATATATATAAAAAGGATGATAAGATAAAGAAACATGATCGCTTGCATGGAAGTACATATGGCCTTAAAAGTACATCAGGAAATTCGTTTTCAGCCAAAAAGGGAAAAAAAAAGGCAGGAAAAGTAGTACGTCAAGTTTATGTCACGGTCATTAGAGTGGGAAGCGCGCTTTAGGGAAAAACCGCCTGTTTCATCTGCTTCCCCACAAACTAATCCCCCCCAGTTTTTTTAGCCGGTCACCTTGTAGATGGATTCCGCGAGTCGCTTGACGTTGCCGGTTGTGATCCCCGCAACGGAGATGCGGCCGTCCTTGGTGGCGTACACGGAGTGCTGGAGACGAGCGGAGAGTCGTCAGCAAAGTCTCATCCCGTGATGGGCTTGGATATTTACGGGGTAGTAGGGGGGGAAACAGTCCTTACCTCCTTGGCCAACTTCTCCATCTGCTCAGGCTTGAGTCCGGTGTAGGCAAACATGCCAATCTGCAAACGGGGTGAGCGTTAAGCACGGCAAATCAAACCGATTCTCTGGCGTGGAAAAACTAACCTGGCTGGTGATATGGCTCCAGTCATGCTTGCTTCCCAGCTCTTCCAGGTGCTTCTTGAGAAGGGCACGCATCTCGATGATACGGTCGGCCATGCCCTTGACCTCCCCGAGCCACTGCTGGTTCAGGGTCGGGTCGTTCAGGATGGTCGATGCGATGCGGGCGCCATGGATGGGCGGATTGGAGTACATGGGGCGAACGAGAATCTTGATCTGCGAATCCACGCGCTGCTTCTCTTCCGCCGATTCGCAGACGACGGAGAATGCACCAACACGCTCACCGTAGAGACCCTTAACAGGAAAAAGCTTGTATCAGCAAAGAAGCAACGAGAATAGCACAGCCTTGACTTATGCGACATAAGAACTTACCATGTTCTTTGCGAAACTCTGGGCGAGGACAACAGGCTGGCCCTGGCTCACAAAGTGCCGCAGGGCAAAGGCATCACGGTTGATATCTCCACTGGCGAATCCCTGGTAGGCCATGTCGAAGAAGGCAAAATGTCCCTTCTGCTTCATGACCTCGGAGATCTGGAGCCATTGTTCCTGGGTAGGGTCGATGCCGGTGGGATTGTGCGCACACGCGTGGAGCAGGATGATGCTCTGCGCAGGAGCGGCCTTGAGGTCGGCGATCAGGCCCTCGAAGTCAAGTCCGATCGTGTCCTTGTTGTAGTATCTGTACTTCTCGACCTCGAGGCCGGAGTCCTTGAAGACGGCGGCGTGGTTGGCCCAGCTCGGGTTGGGGATGTAGACCGTCTTTGCGTGAGGGTAGAAGCGCTCCAGGAAGGCCGCGGCTATTCTCAGCGCGCCGGTGCCGGAGATGGACTGTGTGATGGCGATGCTGCCCTCCTTGACGGCAGCGCTGTCGGCGCCGAAAGCGAGCTCGGCAGCGGCCTTGGTGAAAGAAGGAACGCCAGTGATTCCCGCGTATTCCTTGTCGAGCTTGGAGTTTACCACTTTGGTTTCGGCGGCTCTGACGGAAGGGAGGACGTAGGGTTTGCCTTGGTCGTCGCCTATCGTGGCCGCAGTCAGCAAAGACCGACTTCGAAAGTTTCATCTGAAAAAGAGAGAGAGAGAGAGAGAGAGAGAGAGAGAGAGAGAGAAAAACAATAATGGTAATAATAACAGGTCGCTTGCAGGCGAGGAGGGACATACGGTAAGCTCCAACGCCGAGGTTGATCTTCTCCTTGAAGGAATCAGCCTTGAAGGCCTCAGTGATCCCCAAGATGGCATCCTGTTTGAAAACTCGAGCTGTCAGCAATTCTGCACGACCATCGATCGGTTCTTCAGGGATTGCGGCAGACTATCGTACAGGAGGACCCTGAGGGACATTGGCCCAAGTGCAGGCTTGCCGGTACGCCAGGACGCGAACGCCGGCTTCCTTCGTGGCAGCTGAGCGGCTGGCAATTCTCAAGGTGGTGAGCATTGTGAACAAGCCGATGACCAATCTACGACGACAAGGGCAAAAATTTTTTCTTGGAGGGGTGGGCTGTGTGGAATTGGGCGAGGAGAGGAGAGGAGAGGAGAAGAGAGGAAGAAGGTGGGCAAAGCTATGACTGTTTTTCCTTTTTTTTTCTCACTTGTGAACACAAAATAATCTTAAAGTGTCCTGATCAAAAAAGTTTTGCGGAGAGTGTCGGACTTCCAGGGATCCGCGGGCTTTCGGTCTGTGGCGCGGTCCCCCAGCTAATGTATGTAGTGTGTTCCTTTGTCGAGCTTCACCCCGTAATTTTGCTAAAAACCACCCGCTTTTATCAGTCGTCCAGACAGCCCGCCTGTGCGGCGCGAAAGCTCCCTTCGCTGGGCGACTTTCTCCAGATTTTCGGCCTTCAAGGACTACGCTAGCAAGCCCGTAAACCACCGAAGCGTCACTCGCCGAGTCATACCGACCTTGGCGGCGGTGGAGCTGGCCCATACATAGCTCGGAGCTGCTGATCCACGGCGACAGCCAGATCGCTGGATGGGACATGATGCCGAGGCACAGGAGACCAGGGCTCAAGCTGCAGAAAGGGCCGGGAGATGCGCATCCGGGAAAGGATCGGGTTCACCCACTCCCCAGCCATGTCGCGGCAAAACAGTCAACGAAGCTATTTACATACTCTCATAATACTCCGCACTCCGTAGTTCTCTATTAAAATAAAAAAAAAAAAAAAAAAAGGGAAAAAAAGAAAAGAAAAGAAATCAAATCGTCTTGCCGACCGCCATTTCATGGGAACTCAAATACGTGTGAATACGATGCACAATGTAACTATCCCTGGAATACCCCCCTTTTCATATTCGCTTCCCGTCAACCACCGTACATCACCAGAGAAAAGCTGCGTGTGACAGACCATGATGAGCAAGTGCTTAGCGTACTGCCCGCACAGTAAACCGTTGTTTCTGTACACATCGTCACCGAATCGTCATCATTGGTTTGTTTGACGACGGAAGCAACCAACCCTGAAACTAAAACGCAATGTCTCATTCTCGACTCTGCTTCCTATGCGACCTTGATAAAGGCCCCAAATCCCGCAGATGCATGCCTCATATCCCCTGAAATAACCCACCAAAGCGTCGATGAAAGAAGCACCAAGGTACCGACCACAACAGGCAGAATCCGCTCCAAGGCCCTTCCTCCCCGAGCCACCACCTTCTTCCCTGGAGACCTGGTCAGCCGTGTAGAACTATCTTCATTCCATCCCAACTTCCCTGCTTTCCCCTCGAACGGCACATAATTGAGCTTGGGCGCTCCGCTGAAGAGCCTGGAGGCATCCCTGGCCAGGCAATCCAATCCGATGACCGGCGTTATCCATCGTTGCGTTATATAATTCCACCATCCATCGTACGCCTGTAGACGTGTCATCTTTGCCCCGAACTCGACAATCCCCTTTACACGATCAAGACGAGAATCCTGATAGTGCTGCAGCGCATCGCGGATTTCAACATCAGAGGGCTCTTTGTTTGGGTGCGCGTGGACAAGGCCATGAATTGCGTTTGCAATGCTCACGACGCTTTCCATGGCCGTACAGCCTCCTAGGGCCGAGTTAGGAGTTATCTGAAGTGGGATAACCCAGTTAGCAATGTGGAGTTCTCTTTCTTCCTTTTTTTTTTTTTTTTTTTTTTTCTCCCCAAAAACAAGGTAAACAAGGGAGTAAATCGACAAGGGAAAAAGGCAAAAGTTCTTTTTACCTTGTGGATGGCATCCCCTGCTAGGACTATGCGGCCAAAGAACCAGTGCTTGAGGACACCTTCTTCCAGCGATATAAGCTGGCCTTTAGTACGCGAGCGCCAGAGTTCTCCAAACAAAACAGTCTCGGTAACAGGACAGTCGGCGAGCTTGCTAGCCAAGGCTTCCATCTCTTCTTCGGTGTATTTCCCGCGATTAGGCCAACGGTATCGTTTGGCCTCTGGCAGTTTGCAGTGTGCTATGTACGTGATGAAAGTCGGCTGGCACAAAAGGAGAAAGGAAAACCCGTTACCTGAGGTAATTTCCATGTCGTGTTTACTGAGGCCGGGCACCGGAGGGCACATTGCGATGAGCGCATTGTAGGTGGTAGCCATGGCTAAGGAAGGGAACATGTCAGATGTGGCCCATCTTTATTTATTGAAAGGGCCAAATTTTCTCTTACAGCGCTTTTCTGCGGCTGAGATAGAGCCTGGTATGGCTCTGTTGGCTTTATCCCACATGAGCTCTCGTACCTTGCTGTGGACACCATCGGCTCCGACAACGAGATTGCCCACATGCTCCGTTCCGTCCGCGAGCAATACCTTCACTATTCCAGTTTCTTCGATGATGTTCTCGACTCGGCACCTTTCAAGGACCTTCGATTTGTCACGAAGCTGGTTGTAGAGGGTTCTCAGAAACACCCTCCTATCCAAGGTACAAGTGCTGTAACCGGAACTACACATCTTAGCCACCTAGATAGCTAGCGGTGGTCAATAGGCGGACATACTATTGTTGTATTACTTCGAAGAAACGATTTTCTGCGTATACTTTGCCGGTAGACGTGCGACAGGAACATCCTTTCATGGTGGAGCACTGGGATAAAACAGCATCTAAGCAACCAAGCTGGTCAAGAATTCTACAGCCATGGGGCTGCATAGTAATTGTCGTGCCAAAAGGTGGTGCCACTATGCCCTTGTCTAGGACAACATAGTCGATATTGGCCTTCTCTAGGCAATGAGCCAGTGTCAAGCCAGCAACTCCAGCCCCGACAACGATGACCTTGAAGGGAGTCTCCGATATGGGATGGTCAACGGAAGGGTGTCGCATTGCGAATCAGTTTTGGTGGTCGAATTTTATAAGGGGTAAAGAAGTAGTAGATAGCAAAGCAATGCTATGAGTGACAAAAAAGAATATATATATCAAGAAGATATATCTACCCGCAATCTGGGCTAAACAGCCCAGCCCGTTTGTTCCTCCACCATCCTACATATATGTAGCGGTCAAACAATGAAAGCAACCACCGCAGATGTACTGTACATATGCAGACATGCCACTGATGACCAGTGCCATGTAACACAGCTGGAAGGAAAGTTGTTCAAGAACAGCAATGGAAATATAATAAAGCTAGAATTAGATATCTGAGGTAAGCATGACAAGCGGCCCAGTATGGAGCTCAGAATGGATCAAAGTGAGTGGTCGTCCGTCTCGTTCAATTGTACCTATGATGCAACGGGGAGATGGTGCAAATTTTTGCTTTTCGCGTACAGAGCATATAAAGCCCGGTGAAGATATCTTCTTTTTTTTTTATTTTTATTTTTATTTTTTTTTTTGGCTTTGTTTGAAGAACTCTGTACGAAATACATACCAGTGGCCCTGCATTTTGGCAATCCAACCAGAAGTTAGATTTATGCTGTCCAGCTGCGTCGTGAAACTGGAATCTCATCAACACAATTAATATGTAAAGGATACCATCTGCCGATCCAAGGGAAAGTTGGCAAATAGTGGCGATGCTGCAGTATGAAGTATCCCACAATGGGTTGGTTCATTGTCTCGCTGTCATTGTGACTGGCAGAGTCCATAGTCCGTGGGCAGGGAATGATGATGTTGGGCGGATCAGCACAGTTGAGCCCTGCCAAGATAACGCCTTGCCGTATATGGTTAGCTAGTTACGAGTTAGTTATCTGATAACCTCTGTTTACATAATCAGGCATCTGGTGTGGCGATTGGGCTGCTGGCGTTGTGATTGTTCGAGATCCAGCGGAGCGCGACTCTCATTCTGTGCTTATTGTTGTTATCCTGGTGAATGGAGGAATAACTGGAGTGAAAGCTAAACTTATGAAGGATGGTGCCTATCTGCCTTCCCTTCTCTTGAGCTCTTCCTTGCCGGAATCAAGGAATGTGCGTTCCCAACTATCGGCGGCCACTGCAGGAAGTAATGCCTTTGATATCCGTTGACCAGACTTCTCTTCCTCCTTGATCACACATATTACCTCCTCCGAAATGTCAACACCCGACCTCCACCACTGCTTCTTACGCCCACCTATCATCCAGATTCTCCGTGCCGCTGGCTTTCATTCTGCCCGGCCCGCTGTCATCGACACCTTGACCGACATAGCTGGACGATATTTGCTCCTCCTCGCCTCATCGACCGTTGATCATACGCTCAACAGTCACTCCGAAGATCCCGTCCCCACACTTGACGATGTGCTCATGGCATTTAATGATGTTGGCGCCTTGAGGCCACAGAAAACCCGACTCGAAGAAGTGCATGAAGGAAAGGAAGATATGAGGGGTTTGGAGTCGTTTTTGACTTGGTTCAGCGGGCCCGCAAATACAGAAATTAGACGGATAGCTGGGTTTATCCCCAGCGAGGGAGATGTGGTGGATGTGGAAAGCATGGGAAAGGAAGACTATCTTACAGGTTAGCGTTTGAAATCCCCGCTGCCAGCCAAAACTTTTCCTTTTTCTTTTTCTTTTTTTCTTTCTTTCTTTCTTTTTTTCCCCCTTCTTTCTTGCGTGTTTTCATTTCTAAACCGGTGCTGACTTTATTGTTTACTTTTAGCGCTTAAGAAAAAGCATAGCAAGACCGGAGAAGAATCTCGATTTCAGGGAACCGTTCTTGGGAAAGATGCAGATGACCGGCCGATCGTTATTGAAGGTGGAGTCGAATCTATAAAGGCGTGGGGCAAACAGATCAGGTCGAGAGAACAAACCGTGGAGCCGGCATCTACGGAGGTGAGCAGCATTTCAAAAAGCATGTCGCCGCCGGAGGGAATGGAGATATGAGCAAGGTGGTGGTGGTTGGAGGGGCGGCTTTACGGGGGCGGCTGTGGGCTCTGGCAGCCAGCTCAACCTTTCTTTTGCCTAGCCATATGATAGCTATCTACCACAATAAATGTGATCAAATCAGTAATAAAAATTTGAGATAGAGATTAGTTCTTTTGCTAACCCGCAGTTCTCTTGCGTCTAACGGTCATTTGCACCCATCGGGGGCCAGTACTACCTCGCTGTGACATCACCGACCTGGAACATCGTTATGTTTCGCTGGCGCAGCCTCTCTCCGGGGTCAAACCGTGACATTGTGCCTATTCACCCCTTACAATGGGAAAAGATCCCTTCAAGTCTTAATTTTAGTCTTTGTATAGTTGTATAGGGCAATTTCCCCCCCATTCCTAGCGATGGTGTTCTCGTTCTCTCTCCCCACCACTTCCCACCTCTCCTTTCAGTCGTACCTCATCTCCCCCACCCACCCGTCGCTCCCTTCTTGCGCCTCAACAGCCCGTCACGCCCTCCGCGTCGCGTTAAAGAAACACAAGGCCACTTTACCCTCGCAACGTGCAGCACACCTACCGCACATCCTCAAGGCATTGAATGAATACATCCCCTACTTATTCGCGCTCTCGCGGGGTCTAAGCTCCAACCCCGCTTCCGGCTCCGGCGCTGAGAATGAAGATGTCGACGTTGTCCTACGAGCTGAAATCGAGGTGGAATGGCGTGCGACTCTAAGTTCGCCGGCGTCGTCGCTACATGTTCTACACCGTGGAGGCCGAGATCGCCGAATAAAAGGATGCGGGTTGGATTTCGAAGTCGCTTTCGTCCTGACGACTCTAGGCTATGTTCTCTCCCTGCTGGCGCGGACAAAGATCCTCAAGACGCTTTATGCAAACACGACGCCGACAGTGGAACAAAAGACTGCCGCCGCGCAAGGTGCGATGAAGAACCTAATTGCGGTGAGCAGCGTCCATACATTCCTCGCTTCTTCAGGCTTGAACAGCGCCGAGGTAGGCAACGGCCAAGTACCGGATTTGGATCCGTCGACGCAGTCGGCTTTATCTTCCCTGGCCATGGCCGAGGCTACTCTGCTCGCCGTCGTGAAGGATGACGCCTATCTATCGACGTGTATTCAGGCGCGGAATAAGCACGACACGGAGTGGATGATCAAGGCTCCGGATATACCGAAAGTGCGGACACTCCTGTTCGCTCGGCTCTGTATCCGGGCGGCGGAATATGCGGAGCAGGCTGCTGCGAGCGCTGGCGCGGTGAAAAGTTGTGGGTCAACTTCGCCCGAGTCAGTGCGTGCGGACAGGAGGAAGCTAGATGAAGATCTCATCAACTACATGCGTGTCCTGGGGCGAGTGGCAAGGGCTAAGGCATGTCGATTTTTTGGGATTGACGCTGAAATGACTGGTAAAGTCGGAGAAGGAATTGCTTGGTTAAGGGCTGGCAAGTCAGCATTGGGGATCAAGGGGTCCCTGGAAGGTGATGAGGAAGTATCCGGGTCAAAAGGTAAGGGAAGAATTGGATTTTCACGGCTGAAAACACAGTGGAGTGAAAGGAGAGAGGAGAGGAAACTAGAAGAGACTACGTCGACCAAAAAGGGCGAGCCACTCGGAGAACTTGATTGGGGGGATGATGCCGGTAAGGAAGAGGAAGAAAGGGTCCTCGAAATGTTGGAAACTAAATGGACCAGAATGAACAACACTGTATGGCCTTGACCGTAGAATTGCTTTAACCTTGGGATCACCTGGCGCTAACGATGATAGATTAATACGCAAGCAATCCCGTCATCCGCATCATATTTATCGAACTTACCTTCCGGGAGGGATATCCATCCGCCTCCCGGTCCATACATACCTCCTCTATTGGATTCTGAACATCTCGCGCACATGCGTGCTCCCCCGGAAAGCCCTGAGCCGGTAGACATTGCTGAAAGTAGTGAGGAAGAAGGCGACATTGCATCCTCCAGGAGAAGTGGTGGATACTTTTAGATGTGTCCTTTCCGACTTTGATTCTAATATTGGCTACGAATGTGTACCGAGAGGTGCCAGCATTGAATGTTAGCTTTCCGAGCACCGATCCTAAATGATTACAAAAGATGTCAGAGAAATGGCAAGCACGATATGGCAACATTTCGAGGCATGAATTGAGATTCGGCTATGAAAAGCAAGTACGCCCAAGAACCAGTAAAATCTTATATACACATAATATCGCGCGGATATTCAATCCCGAATCATTGCCAACTTCTATGCAAGTGAATCTCACCCCATCAATGCACCACACGACACCAGTAGAGCGCAAGAATCGTGGTCGAAGACGATTCCTATGCCGTCATAGATCGAAAAAAAAAAAAAAAGAAAAGAAAAGTAATGTAATGTCCGCTCGTACATCCAGCTAGCCTCTGAACTGTTATAGGAACCGCAAGTCGCAGACAAAGTGGGTAAATCCATCTCTATTCATCGATGCTTGTGAGAATTTCTTTTTTCCGCCTCTAGTAGAAATACACAGACGCAGCCCCCGTTCACATAAAACCCACAGCAGCAGATAATCACGAGGACTTGTCTCCCTCTTTCGAAAAGTAGTTCTTCTCCTCGAACAAGTAGCCCTTGATCTTGCGTTCGTCGATCAATTCGAAATATTTATCTGTTGATATAAAGAAAAAAAGAAGTTATTTAGCTTGGGAGCTCACATTCCAAACAAATTTGGGCATTTTTACCTCTCAATTTGCCGCATTTCTCCAGATGGTTCACGCCTTCTCTCCGATAACACTTGCCCAGTTCTTCACCGACTAGTCTGGCCATCATGCTGCGCACCCACTGTTCACGGATAATGGCATCACGGGCGTTGTGAACGGCCTCTGTGTCTTCGAAGTTCACGCCATCGTAGGTCGGTGGCACCGTGGGCTTTTTGGCGAGGAAGGCGGCGGACTCGGGTGTGGGCATTGTTGCGGAATGTGGTTTTATTCGGACTGGGGTATGGAGGGCCAGTAGAGACAGGCTAGAGACTGAGATGTGACCGGGTTTCAGAAGCCAATTGCGGCGGAGGAGGTTTCAATTGCTCTCGTCTTCGCCGTTGGTGAGGTAATGAGTGAAGTTCAGCCAGCGCGGCGGGTTGGCGAGATCGTTCGCTGATTGGTTACGACTCACACTTGCCTCTTATTGGTGAATTGTGGAAAAGTATGTTATCACGTGATATAAATGATTGATGAATAATCATTATTTACATAATCAGTGATTTTATGATCACGTGACATCACCGGGGATCGGCAACACGAGTACATATGAAGGCAGGCGGACTGGGTGGATAGTTAGGTGGCGATGTCACTATGTAGTCTCTCCCGAACGAAGGTTGTATCCAGTTCTCCATCCGGACTTCATAGTGGGAGGAGAATATGAGCATGGTCTTGAAAATTCCACGAGGTCGCTCGTAAAAGCGATCAGATTTGAGTGGCAGGGTTTCTCAGCGAATGGGACGCATGTCTTGGACCTGGATGACTGCCCACGGAACGCTGATAGGTGAGGTTCTGGGTTCAAATAAGCGCAGTCTTGGACAGCCAAATTTCCCGGCAAAATGCTGCTGCCAAGCATTTTCTCGATCATTTTGTTGAGTCTTAGGATCGCTTAAAATCTGCCAGCCCATCTTTGAAGCGAAAACTATCCTCGAACGTTTTACACCTGGAGCCATGGTGACCCGCTGTCATCCAGCGAGCCAGTGCGTTGGGAGTGCGAATTGGCATTCCAACCACCGAAGAGGGGGGTTCTTCCGTATGTCCTTGTACTCTGTACGACTGTGCCTTTCGCTTGCTTCCCGATCGCCGGTCCATGGTTCTGAGCAAAGAGGGTTGCTATTTCTGGAACGTCGAGCTTACTATCGTATCTCTCCCCACTTTTCGCTACAAGGGATGCCACTTCTTTGGCAGGGAGAAAAGAGCAAATTTATTTTGCTGGGTACTCCGTAAATGTCACAGATTTGTGTAGGCTTTCCTGGGGCATTGGTGAGGCAGTGGCGGCAGTCAGAGATCGGAAGATCGCCTTGCTGGGCCGCACTGGAGCTGGCTGGCATTGTGCGCAGAATTCAAACGTTAGTCGGGTTTGGTAGGCCGCGCAAAGTGCTGAAGATCACCGCCCAATGATGGGTCCAAAGAAGGGCAGGTTGCGTACTCGATCCGCTCGACGGGGCAAATCGATGATAAGGACTCCCTTTTCTTTTTGCAAGACAATACCAGGAGGATTGCTTCGCTCCTGAAACATGAAATAAGCAGAACCGGTTGTTGCACAGACGCAAGAACAAAATTTAACTCCGGTTTAGATCTGGGCTTTCTGGGCCGCGTCTGTTCGGTGGAGGTCGAGATTAGGTTCCCCCCAAGACCCTGAAAAGCTGGCCAGCAAGAGCCATGATTGCTTTTTTGGCGCATCATCATCACCCATAGATTCTGCCCAGTATTTTTCCGGCTTGGTAACGATGTCCGTACACACCTGACGGCAAGGCGGATCATGCCGTCTTCCGTCGTAACAGCCATACTTGAAAAAGGGAAAAAAAAAAGTAAAATTATAAATAAGAAAACAATAAAATGATTGACAGTTCTCCCCTTGGTCTCTTTCAACACGCTGTTGCTGTGGCTTGAGGGCCTTCGCACGACCAAGCAGTAAACGCTCCTTTTTTGGCTCGACTCGACTTCATGGACACCTGTTTATTGGCTGGGCAGCACGCTAACGACACGCCGCCCCCGGGCCTTAAATTAATAGCAACAAGCCAATAATTGAGGAAATTATCTTTCAACAAACTGGAGGTCAAAAAAAAATATTTCCCCCTTCTTCTCGGCCATTTTTTGTTTCTTCCCTTCCCGTCTTAGACAGACAGTGAACTCGACGTCGCTAGCGAGGAACACCTGTCTTCTGAGCCTTGTCCGCCTGTTTCGTGGTGACATCCCACCGTCGTCTCTCGTTTTTGAGTCCCATTCCGATCCAAGTCGACCCATACTAGCCCTTATTGTACGTAGGTGGCATTGCGTCCGCAAATTAACTACCTCAGAAGTTGGACGAACAGTGTTTTTCTTTTTTGCGTGCCTTTCTGCTTTAGGGAGGATACACAGCAGCGGCGGCGGAAGCGGAACAGAAGTGAAAAAGAAAAACGAATTTACGCAAGACCAAAAAAAAATAAAATAAAATAAAAATAAAAAAAGGAAAAAAAAAGGGACACAGAGCCACATAAACGGTTGGAAGCGTACACCCAGGGCTGACCACGTGCTTTTGACGTTCGTCGAACATAACATCAAACGCCCGTTGACTCTGCTTGTCTTCCATCCGGGCTCATCCTCCTTCTCGCGGTGAATCCCACACCGTGGAGTGAGTGACTGTTGGGGAGGGAGAGAAGGCTTGATGCTACGAGGGCTTTCGAGGGCTAAAAGAGGTCCTGAAGAGCTGTTCACCCACTAAAATTTCCGACGGATCTCCTGTCAATCCCTGTTAAAGGTCGTGGCTAGATTGGATTCTCTCGCTTTTACCCTCGCTTTTCCGCTCGCTTTTCCGCGTGCTCCTTCACCGTGGCTACTACATCCTCCGCAGACCACAGAACCCCGGGTTCGCACCACCGGCGTCGCTCCTCAACTCTCTTTTCTCCTCTGAACCTCCATCCGTCCGGTGCTGGTGACCACGCAACCAGCCCCGGCTCCTCTTCCACTCATTCTTTCCTTTCCGCTATCCCGGGCACCCCGTCTGCGACCGGGCCTTCGCCCATGTCGCTGTCGCGATCGCCTTCGCCGAGGCCTGATGGAGGATGGTCCAGCCCCGGTCTGACGACTGGTACGGGAGGTAGCGGCACTTCCACACCACGAAAGGGCTATTCAGATCTACAATCAGGCGGCGGGCTGTATATGAAGGGAATTGGCGCCGCCGGACCCGGCGGAGTATCGTGGGCGGCAGCCAAGGCCAAGAGCGACCAGGTCAGAGGCTATCCGTCCTTCTCAACTCGAAACAATGGCTTCTTTTCTAGACAACGCCGGAAAATATCTGCTAGCTTACCCAGGTTCCGGATGAATTCGGCCTATGGAGAGAAAGAAAAGCTGGGCCGCGGACGATGGAGCCCGAATGGCGGACCGTTGTTGAGTCGCTTAAAAACACTGCTAGGAAATTTGCTACGACGGAAACGAGTACAACTGTTATTGCTCTTGATATTAATGTTTGTTTTCTGGCTCGTTTTTTCTCAACGTAAGTGACATCTTTCCTCGAAACAGACGCTCGAACGGGCCCTGACCAAAAGCCACTGTAGCCATTTATGAAGCGTACCGAAGGTCCTCCCTGGGTGGAGGTAAGAAGATCGTTCTCATTGTCGCATCAAATCTCGGAGGAGGAGTAATGGAATGGAAAGGCGCACGCGAATGGGCCATTGAGCGAGATAGTTTACGAAATAAGAGGCGATACGTAAAGCGATGGGGCTATGACCTGGAGATCGTCAACATGGTAACCAAAAAGCGATACGCGCACGAATGGCGTGAAAGTTGGGAGAAAGTCGACACGATCCGCTCAGCTTTAAGAAAATACCCGAAAGCCGAATGGTACAATGCCTCCCAAACCCTCGCTATCCCTCACTCTGCTAACGGTTTCTTCAAAGGTTCTGGTGGCTAGATCTTCATACCTTTATTATGGAGCCTTCCTTGTCGGTTGAGAATCACATCCTTAAAAATCTCGGCAAAAAGACGTACCGCAATATCAACACGTATAACCCCCTCAACATCACCCATCCGCCCTCCCTATTCTACCTCGATCCACTTTCTCTTTCCGTCGAGGGCGATGGCAAAGAGTCTTCCATCAATATGCTTGTACCGCAAGACTGCTCGGGCTTCAACCTTGGGTCCTTCATGGTGCGACGCAGCGCCTGGACAGATCGTCTGCTCGACATCTGGTGGGATCCTGTCCTCTACGAACAGAAGCACATGGAGTGGGAGCATAAGGAGCAGGACAGCCTAGAACACCTATACACCCATCAACCGTGGATCAGGCCTCATGTTGCGTTCGTACCGCAGCGACGAATGAATTCCTTCCCTCCAGGTGCCTGTGGCGACGGGACCAACCTGGGTATTCACTACCAGGAAAAGAATCGCGATTTCTTGGTGAACATGGCGGGCTGTGAATGGGGAAGAGATTGCTGGAGCGAGATGTATCACTACCGGCAGCTTAGTAACCGCTTGAACCGAAATCCGTGGGAGAAGTTCAAGGACGGGATCTCAGAACGATGGAAAAAGACATTTGGAAAGAAGAAGGAGGAGAAAAAGAAAACGTAATGAAAGCAAACAAATAATGACATTCCCTTTCTTTAATCTTGTGGCGGCATTTCAATATTCATGGTTGTCCCTTGGGGGTCTTTTATTATCTTTTTACCTTCTGGGTTGAACTTTTTTCTTTTTGCCTTTTTTTTTTATTTTTTTTTTCGCGTTCGCTGATTTAACAGGGGCCTGGCTGTTTCAAACTGATCCTTCCTTGGATTCATATATTCCTTGACTTATTTTTGGCTCTTTTTCCTCCTTTTTCCTTTTCTATTTGGTATGACATTTTGGACCATCGGTTTACCTGTGCCACTTCACCGTCCTTTTGGCTGCTATTTGGATGCCATGCTTTCCGGCGTTGATAACATTGTATCTCATATGCATACACAGGGTGTACATATATCGGGTTTTCTTATTACCGCTGGAATACGGAGGGCACCTATACGGAATATTAGACAAGCCTACGTGATCGTTTGACACCCATTTCTTGACCTGAATATCTCGTCGCTGTCCTCCAGGTTTCCTCCAGTTTGTTATTTTAATGCTGTTGGCACCGTTTCCGAGCGGAAGCTGCGCACAAGACGGGCCCGTTTTCCTTAGGGGCAATAAGCCCCTAGAGCCCGTGCGCGTGTACCAGGTATCTATCATGTCTGGCTGTTCGACTTTTGTCCGATGTACGGGGACCCAGAGTAGTTTTCGCGCTGTCCATCCCCATTACAGTCGCGACTTCACGCGAGCTTTTCGATGCTAGCTAGTTGCTGGCATGTCGTGTAGCACGGCATTGTAGTAGGAATTAGTCGATAGTATGGAGTAAACTTGATCGGATAAAAGACGGGTATCGTCATCGGCGCTGATTTTTCTTTGGCAGACGGCGCGATCTCCCGCAATTCCTTGGCCTCCTATTGAACGTGGTTCATGGAATTAAAACATGGTCACCAATCTTCCTTCTGCCATCTCCCTCCCAACCAATGGCTGGGCCTGTTGAGCGTGCTAGATGCTGCTGTATATTAGCTCACAGTATAATTCATGTGCCTTCTGGGATAATTGGGCTCAGGACCGACTCGGTGCAAAAATGCAACAAGAGCGCCTTGGGGATGCGCCATCTGGCGTCCTCCACCAATGACGATACCGCTGCCCTTGAAAAACTTGGCTTCCTGGGCAAATCTCGAGGCAAAAGAATAAGCTCTTCGCTTCTCTTTTATTCGGTTATCGACGGTTCGATAAATGACGTGCTCGTTTTTCTCTTTTGTTCGACACACGGCGGAGGACTCGAGAGCGTTCTTTAACGTCTGGTTGCGTGACGACCGTTGACAGCTGGGATGCAAACCAGCCAGACGACACTCAAGGGCCACTTGATTCCTTGAAGTGCAGATGGCATGCTTCTCGGAATCCACGGAGATCCTCCGCTAGAGAAATCTTGCCCCAGTTGATCCTTTAAGACTCCGACTTCTCCAACGCGTTATTTCTCTTGGAACTTTCATCGGTGGGATGAAACGTCGTATCTCACCAGCTGTCCCTTGCCAAGCATCCTGGCACAGGGTTCTCCCCGGCTGCCTCTCAGCGAGTTTGTTCTCCAGAGAACGGAGATTCAAGTGCATAGAAAGGCGCTTGAGCCTAGTGACCAATCAATTGGTGTTACTTTTCCTACAATTTGGTTTCCGCCCGGTGCCCCGATGAGTTTCCCGCCCGCCAACGGTTGATCATTTGCTTATGGCTGTCCAACCGTTTCTCGGCACAGCATCAGTCATGACTCCTCTCCAATCGAGCCGCGAAGTTCATATTCTTACCCGATTTTCTATTTTCTTCGGCTTGGAAGCCCGGAGACCCCGTCCCGGGGACTCGTGGACATCGCGGAGCCGATATGCCTTTAGGAGAGATCTTAGGAGATCCTACTCCTGGACTGAGCTCTCAAAGATCTTTGCCAAATGACCCATCGGATATATTATGTTCTATCAATATCCAATGATCCACAATCACGTTCTTTGGGTTTGGACCCTCTTCCCAAGCGATGCCGACACGGTTCTCCCCTGCTCGCTTGGGCTGCTGGGTTCCGCTGGTTGAACTCTTGGAGGATATGGGTTGCAACGAGAACCGAAATCCCCTGTCGACGAGCTTTTTGTGGGGCTGGTAATATCCATTCTTCAAGAAACGCTCCTTCGCGAGCCGCAGCTAATAGTATATAGAGCCCCGGGTTCCCCCCAGGCTTGTCCCGTGAAAAAGGCTTATCCGGCTGTCGACTCTCCCCATCTTTCCCCGTGCAGCGAAGACAAGTACGATTGCTTGAGACCGGCATACGTCGCTGTTCTTGCTGTCAAGATGACGGATGAAAAGCAGGTCTCTACAGAGTGAGTGTTGGCGAGTCGATATTGTTTACGCTGTGTGGACTATGTAGCGCTGATTATTCTCTACCATCGTTATCCAGGCCGGTGCCTCAACCCACAATCGAGAGTGAAAAGACAGAGGTGGTCGTTCACAGGGACTCTGACGTGGATGACCCAAAGTGGGCTACACCTGACGGAGAAGAGCCCACCGAGATCGAAAAGGCTACGTTGAGACATATTAGCGACAAGCTTTCAATATCTATTTGGTTGGTTGCTATCGTTGAGTTTTGCGAACGATTCACATACTATGGCTTGAGTGCCCTGCTTCAGAATTACATCCAGAGACCTTTGGATGGCAGTGAGGGTCGAGGCGCTCTCGGTTCGTGTTCTTCTAATTCACTTGATTCTTCAGGGACTAATACGTTACAGGTCTGGGCCATAGAGGAGCCACTGCACTGAGTACATTTTTCCAATTTTGGTGCTACGGTGAGTATTTTCTATTTATACGAACGATCCTATAGGCATCAACTAACTACAGCACAGTCACTCCGCTCTTCGGTGCTATTATCGCTGATCAATATCTCGGAAAATACAAGGCGATTGTTGTGTTCTGCTTCACCTATGCGGCTGGCTTGATAGTTTTGTTTATGACCTCTCTGCCATTCGCTCTGAGAAATGGAGCTGGTCTTCCTGGATTCATTGTCGCCGTCATCATCATCGGAATTGGAACCGGAGGTATCAAATCAAACGTCTCGCCTCTTATTGCCGACCAATACACTCGGAGAAGAATGGCTGTCACAACCACCAAAGAAGGTGAACGGGTGATTATCGACCCGGCAGTCACCATTCAGCGTATCTACATGATCTTTTACGCTTGTATTAACGTCGGATGTCTTGCTATGCTTGCTACGCCATTCTTGGAGAGAGATGTCGGCTTCTGGTCCGCATATCTTATGTGTACAATCGTCTTCTTTATTGGAACTCTAGTTTTGATCCTCGGTCGGAAGCGGTATATCGTCAAGCCACCGCACGGTACAATCATTACCGATGCCTTCAAGGCAATCTGGATGATGATCAAAGCCCGAAATATGGATGCTCCAAAGCCCAGCTACCAGGCTGACTTGGCAAACGGTGGTACCAATGTCACTTGGGATGACCATTTTATCGAGGAGGTAAAGCGTGCGCTCGTTGCCTGCAAAGTGTTTACATTCTTCCCCATTTTCTGGGTTATCTATGGCCAGTTTTCATCGAACTTCGTCAGTCAAGGTACGTTAATCACGTATATTTATTTATTCATTTTTTATTTTGTTTCTGCAGTTCTTGTCCCGATTTATATACTTAACATTATTTGCTGATGTTGATATTCTTTAGCTGGTCAAATGGCTGGTCACGGTATTCCTAACAACCTTATGCAAAACTTTGACCCGATCTCCATCATCATCGCCATCCCACTGCTTGATCGTGTTGTCTATCCCTTCCTCCGCAAACGTCACATCGAGTTCCAACCAATTACTCGTATCACAGTTGGCTTCCTCGTCGCTTCACTTGCGATGATGTACGCTGCTATTGTCCAACATATGATCTACTCCGCTCCTCCTTGCTACGAATATCCTCTCTGTGAATTATCCAAGATCGACGGAGTCAAACAAGGCAACGATGTCCACATCGCTATCCAGGCACCGGCTTATATATTCATTGGTCTTGCCGAGGTCTTCCTCAGCGTGACTGGCCTTGAATATGCGTACATGAAGGCCCCCGAGAGACTAAAGAGTTTCGTCTCTGGCTTGTTCCTGCTCACCAACGCCTTTGGCTCTGCTATTGGTTTGGCACTTACCCCAGTGGCATATGACCCAGTCATTATCTGGATGTTTGTTGGGTTGTGCGGTGCCTCTGTCACTACCGCAGGTATCTTCTGGTACTTGTTCCATGGACTGAACAAGCAGGAAGATAAGATGAACTCTTTGGATAAGAACTACACCGGAGAGGATAGCTCATGATTGTGATGAGGTGGTAATGAATAAGTTTGGGAAAAGGGTTTAATTTTATTTTTGATTTCGAACTGGCAAGATGACTATTTTACCGTAATTATTTTTTGATGAAAGAGACGGATACCCCAGCTGTTGACACTTGAACAATGAGCTCTTGAATTGAGAATATACTCTCCACTGTGTTTTTACACATTGTGTGTCTCCCATCTCATTGATGTTGGACACATTGTCTCACTCAATATCAAGAGCTTTTTGTATTAAAATATTAAAGTAACTGGGCATGTAGTCGTCCGACCATGGGTGTGCTACGCAATTTGATTGTACATACAATCAAAGCTTTCACATTCATTACCACTTTATAGGGGTCAATATTTTCGCAGCGGCGAAGATAGCTTTTGTGGTCTTATCAACCCATTCCTGCGCAAGTTCTTGATTGCCGCCGAATTGGAGGGCCTCTGTAACCCCAGGGAATGTAGTTGGGGCATAGCTGTTAACGTTAGCCTGGGACTCACTCGTAGAGGGGGCAAAAGAAAGGAGAGTGGGGAAACGTACCCAGTGTCCAAGCCTGGAGCAAAAATTACATGTTTATAGAATTCTCTATTGGGCAAACCGCCTTGACCTACAAAGGCCCGCTCAAAGTCCCTCTGTTTATGGTTGACCATGTTCAGCAGACGCTTGTCGTTTGTCAACCTTGCCACTTTCTTTGCGGCCGTCAAGAGCCTCGCTGCCTTGCTGAATGCTTTGATGGAAAATTCAAGTTTCGATAGTTTAAGTTTGACATTTGATTCTTTTGCAAGGGCCTTCAGGTTGTCAAGATAAATGTTCATCTGCTTGGGATAGTTGGTGATGTCAAAGGGGACGACTTTGTCGCTGGCCAAATGATACGCCATCAGGCCCAAAAACTGACCCACTGCAAGGTGAGTCTTGAATCCGGGGTCGCCAAAGTTGACCATCCAGTGGTACGAATCAAAGTTCGAATGATAGTGATATATGGCATCGCTTGGACCACCGAAGGCACCGATGTCAGCCTACACAGGCGACCTGTCAGGAATTGAACGCACACATAAGGGATCTCGCTGTCAACTTACGGATGCAATGCCATTGTGAACGAAAGCAGTATAATCAGAGCCGCTTCCAAGGACGCCAATTTCTCCATTGACTACTTTCCAAACATCATACAAGCTTGTGCCCTGGGAACCTTTGAGGGAGTAAGGAACTTTCTTCATCGAGTCCATTCCTAGCTCGTGCAGCTGAGGAGTGGCATCAAACGATGGAAGTGGGCCAGATGTCGCAATATCGACATTAAGGTAGGCCACAGTGGTGGCTTTCAGCCAAGGAAGCTGTTCGCAGCGGGTTAGTACTCGCTGACGCTTAGAATGGTAGGATAGGAACAAATTACTCACATATTCTTCAACCCATTCCACAGAACCAAGGAGTCCATACTCCTCAGCATCCCAAGAACACAGCACGCTATATTATATTAGTAGGAGAAATCTTCGGCGAGGGTCGAAGTCAGTACTTACATTGTTCGCTTAGGTTTCCATCCGATTTTTTGCAGTTCACCAAAGGCTTTTGCGAGTTCAATCATAACTGCCGATCCGGAGTTGGGATCCGCAGCGCCTCCCACAATCCATGCATCGCGATGGTTGCCAATGACGACAACCTCACCGGGGCTCGTTCCGTTGATAATCCCGACGGCATTCCAGATAGGAGTGATGGCGTCGCTCATGACGTTCTTCAGTGAGAGCTTGGTTCCCGGAGCGGGTCCGGTTGAGTAGGTAACATTGAGACCACCGACCCATTTGGGACGGCCGACCTCTTCTCCAGAGACACCATGGCCGTCGAGGGCGGCAAGAATTGGAACAGCCTCTAACCATGAAATTGGAAGCGACGGAATTTTGGGCACAACACTGCTCTTGTCTTGACGAGGAGAATCGGGCTTTGACGGATAGCCTGGTGTAGTGGGATCTCCAGGGTAAGTGGACAGGAATTGAACAGAACCTCGTTGCACAGATGTAGGGTTCCGAGCTGGGCCGTGGGGATAGGCTGCATATCCGTTTGCCTCAGTCACGTTTCCATCGTCACCGGGATCTGTGAAAATGACACAGCCAATCATCCCATAGTCTTGGGCATTTTTAACCTTAAGACCTCTTTAAAAATCAGATCAGCATGATGCTTTAGTAGAAAGATGGCCCTGTTAGACAAGGATCAGCAGGATGACTTACCTAAAGGGGCCACCATAACGGGCAATGGCAATTTTACCCTCAAGTTCAACTCCCAGTTCCACTAGACGTTCAAAGTCAACCTGTTGCCCACGGCCAACGTATACGTATTCTGCTGTTACTTCTCCACTGGCAGAGTAGCCGTGGAATGTTGGAATGCGATTCGGATAACTCAAAGTATCGTCTTCTGGCAGCACTGCTTCCTCTAAGCTTGCCTTCCACTCGGTGCCGTTTGCCAGTGAAAGTGACAGGGAATGTGACTCTGGGTAGTTAAGGTAGACAGTGTACGGCACCACCGAGGATTCCAAGCCGTATTCAGCCCACTTGTCCGCGGTCCATTGGGCCATGGTGCGGTTCTTGCCCGCCAAATGAGCTCCATGAGTATAGTAGTGGGACCAACCGCTTATGGAAGCGCTGTCAAAGCTGTTAAGCAAGATAGACTCGTGCGTCGTCAGGCGAGGAGGATGGTGCGGTCGGCCGCGTTTCGTTAGATACGGATGATTTAGATCAAAATCTCTTCGCTGGATGTGGTCCTTCCCACATCCTTCCACCGTAAATGGCAATGAAAGAGCGAGTAGTGAAAGTGTCTTGACATACATGCTGGGCTATGGTTGAACCATTGACACTCCGCTGGAAAGCAATTTTGAGAAGACCAGCAAGCTGGACGGGGCGACCGGTTCAATTTATACGACCTCCTCCATTGCAGATCCAAGACCAGCGGAAGCCATGGCAAATGACAAACGAGCCACGGCGAATTCAGACAGCTGAGCATGACTGATGTCAGCCCAAGTGGCATCGTGCCGCCTGGCATGAAAACCGCGTTCGTCTCCCAATTCCGGGTAGTATTGCAAAGCAATCATCCGGCCACTTCCCCGCATCTCGTTTTCCAGAAAGAATGGAAGACCAGAAGAGAAGTCCCTTGACCAATGTTATTCTAGATTATCTGCTGCTTGGTGGGCCGAGTTCTGCACCGGTGAGAACGAGCTTCCTCTTTAACTTTGGACAAGGCGACGGCGATGCAACGCTGCTCCATGTTCAACACGGCGCCGGGTCTCCCCCATGTCGATCACAACCTCAAACCAGTTAGCCACTGCCCCATGGGGTCAGGGAATCCTGGCACAAGAGGTGTACAGCACAAAACTCCGGAGTAAGCTCCATCACTGTTGTCCACGCGGTGCGGTTTGCTGGGATTCCGAGGTTGAGGTCGCCGCCTGCAAACCGAGAGGTGCTCCGGAAATTATTTGGCGATGTCACCGCAAGAGCTAGTTAGTTACTCTATGAAATTAGTTAAATTGCAACTTGGGTTGGCAGACGCTGCAGCCAACCCCGCAATTCCAGTTTGATATGCCTTTGTGACTTGCTTCAAGTGCGGACGGCTTCTTCCTCTGACCTAGCAAGGCACTTTCTTTCGTCTAACTGCTCGACTTCCACAGGGCCTTCGTAATAAGGAAAGGATCCTCAAAGCTACCTTAATTTGGGCAAGTTGAGGAGTACGTCGATCAGGAGCTGTGTTTTGTTTTGCAGTTAAGGTCGTTCCAAGAAGCTCGCTGCCTCACGGTCTTGGCCAGCGGCACGGAAATCGAGCCTCTGCCGTGCCTAAACAGAGCGCCCGCACGCCAAGGCCTCTCCCCAACCCCAAGCCTAATATCAAGCCTAAGGGGAACCGGCCAGAGCCCAATTGGCCCTTAATTGGGGCCTGGGCATCACGGCTCGATGCTCGTCACGCAGTATGGTAAATGCTACTTCTTCACCCGCGGGAATTGTAATGTGTCCATACTCCATACTCTAGTGCATACATTTAGGTAACCCTCAAAATATCGCCTCTAGGTAATTACAAGGTATGAAATTGCCTTTTCTAATAAAGATAACCCCCCCAATCGAACGTTTGATTGGCATCCGTTGAGTATTTACCAGAGGGCATGCTTAAACAACAGTATCTCTTCTCGTGCTTGACAACAATATCACCAAAAGGGAAGCTGAACAAACCAAGAAGCGGGAGGGAAGAAGAAGAAAAGGAACAAAAACAAGTACCGAAAAAGCTCAAAAAGGTATCAAACTAATATTCCAAGATGGGAATAGGAAATTCACCTAGTAAACGTGGAGAGGTAACGCAGAGCGGTACATCAAAAATGATTTTCAAAAAAGGGGGGTGTAGATAGAGACAGGAATCTAAGCCGGCGTGGAGTATTCAAAGCTAAATGCTCAATCAAATCTTCTCGTGGCGATTAAAAATCACTCTCCGTGTATCCTCCAGTGACGGTGGATACGGTCACAGCTCTCGAAGAGGCATCACCTCTAATTTTCTTCGTCCGCTCGATCATGAAGGTATCTTCGTCCGCTGGCCGGGTTTGGGCGCTGTTCCCATGAAAAAACTCACAACGGTACCGCAGAAACTCATCTCGACTACGATAGATTGTGATGACATCGCCAGTATACACCTTTCCAAAAAGATAGGCATCCCCATCTGGGGTTTCACTCTGCAACTCCACATCGTTGATCCAGATACGCTTGCTCGTCTTGGTGGATACGATTGTAACAACATCTGACATCTGAGTCCAGTCTTCACCTGCGCCAATACGTGACTCAATCGCAGGTGCCCAGAATGTCAATTCCAATGCGTACGTTGGGATACGCGTATCCATCGGGTCGGGGTATCGAATGGTGTTACCGGCACCACGGCCCCAAGACGTCATGCGAGAGTTGAGGAAAATGGTTTGATCGGTAATGGAGCCCAGGACGGGCGTCAATTTGCCTAGAACGGTGGGAGGTTTTGCGAAATTGTTTTTATTCTGGCCTTTCTCTTCCATGTCCTTGGTAATTAACTGGGAGTGATGCTCTATGCCATGCGAGATATGTGACCCATGACTTATGTCAAGCCCTAACGACGAACGGATTTCCTTTCCTGTGCGCTCATCAATCGTACAAGCGAGATCTATCCAGGAGGCATCATTGAATTCTCCAATCTGCTTAACTGATCCATTTCGGATGGATGATTCACGTAAAGAGCGAGCTCCTTTGTTGTTATTGGTACCTCGGTTCGGAATTGGTTGGCTGGGCGAGAGAATGGGATGTACGCGACTGTGCCTGCCTACCTGTTCCTCTTCATCGTCCGAACCATTTTCCATGTCAGCATCATCTCCATCTCCAGGTCCATTCGCTCCATTAGATGACATTTCGTTCTTTTCTTCCTCTAGGGGTGCATTGTCACTATTGGGAGAAGTAGATATACCGTCGGAGCCCATGTTCAGGTTACCCACGAGGGATTCGGCACCCATTAGACTCGACGCTGAGCCTCCAAATCTAGATGCCATCTCCGAGAGTAAATAGTTGGACGGGGTTGTAGTGTGTAGACTATGTCCATGAGAACTTGACTTACCGTTGGATGACGGATAGTCACTTCTCGACACGCTACCAAACTCCCGTTGAAATTGGGGACCATCCATGGGAATCGGGGTATCGGGGTCTAGTGCTCCGGTGTTTCGCAATACAGAGGGGGTTACTTCGCCGAAGAGGCGTCGGCCTGTTGGTGTAGATTCTAGGTGAACACTGGAGCCAAAATCGTAACTGGAGATGTTTGGGAGCGACGGATATGGAATCCTTGCGGGAAGAAGAGGAGTCGCGTGATGGCTTCCATCTTGTTCTTCTGTCACTCTCGGTCTTTTAATGTTAATAGGTTCTGAAGACGGTGGGTCTTCAACTTCACTTTCTTCTTCGAAAGGATCGTGCGTCACGTCATTTAAATCAATGCCCGAAGCGTCCAGCCGTTCGTATTCGCTTGACTCTGGCTCACTGACTTCTACTATAGCTTTCAAGTCGGAGTTGACTTCTTCTTCGTCCGCTTCGTCTATATCCATGTAATCGAATTCATCTGGGACATCAACAAGCCACGGATGTTTGAAACATGCTGATTCCTTGGGTCTAGCTTTCGGATCACGGTTAAGGAGTTTCGAAATGAAGTCTATTCCTTCTTCTGATACCCCTTCTCTCCTCAACCCGTTGAAATCCGCATCGGTTGTCATAATGTTCCGTAGCATTTGGGCGCCTCTATCATCTCCCCGTCCCATATATGGAGGAACACCGCAGAGTATATGAAACAAAACGGCACCAAACGACCACATATCAACCGATTGGTCATATGGTGATGTCTTGGGTAGCCTGTTGAAGGGTAAGTAATATTCTGAACAAGGCCCAGAGGAGACTTACGGGTCGCCAAGTCGTCGTCGCTTTCGGGCTTCCTTTCGCTTATAATCCTCATATTCCGGATACACTTCGGGGGCACAATACAGCAGGGTGCCACAGAAGGTCTTCATAAACGTTTCTTCTTGAACGACTTTGGATAGGCCAAAGTCAGACAGCTTAACCCTCAGTGGGTCAATCGAGGAGATAAGGATGTTATCTGGCTTGATATCACGGTGCGTTATTTTCCTGCTGTGGAGATATTGCAATGCGTGTAAAACTTGTCGGGCGATGGTTTTGACCATTTGCTCGGGAAGTTTACCCATCTGAGAAAGATAAGAGGACAGCTCGCCTCCTCCGACATACTCCATGATAATGTAGATCCAGCGATTTTCATGATCATGGTAATCATGAAATCGAACGATATTTGGCTTCAAATGTTATTAGTTTGCCAAATCCGGAGAAATATGGAAACTGGAGTCTTACATGCTCGAGATCTCTCATGATCCTCATTTCGCTATCAACTTTCTGATCCAAAACATTGTTCTTCATCAAGCGGCGCTTATCAAGTTCTTTGCAGGCAAAGAGTGCACCATCGTTCTTGGTGGCTAATTTGTACACAGTAGCAAACGCACCTTTGCCTATTTGTCCGGTGACATTGTACTTTGAGCCGCCATTCCAACGCATGCCATGGGAATTGCAAATTTGCTGGGGTATAATGAAATCGTGTACATCTCGACGCTGGTCGCCTTCGGGTTTCTTCGTGGCTTGGCGGATCCTATTCAGGTATTGAACCAAGTTCTGGTTGTATTGAGCCTGGAACTCATCACGAGAAGGAATGCGAACGATGAACTTGATCCCGCAAGATGTTTCGTTGCCGATGACTTGAATTATCGACCCGTGTACGAGCATTTGCGTTGTTGGAGCTCCCCCTTTTCTGTCCCTTCGAATTTGTGCATCGTCGACAATTGTACCATTGGTGGAGATGTCCTCAAGCATCAGAATACCATCGGGTTTAAGGTAGATCCGAAAGTGAGTGTTGGATATTTTCTTCTCACTGTCATCCGGTGAGAGAACAATGTCACAACGCGACGTGTTTCGCCCAAAATAGAAACCCGAGCTCAAATTTTTTACTTCCGAGGAGAACCTCAGAGCTATATCACGGTTTGGTTCGACGGAAAAGGTGTCACCGGTATCGTACTCGAGGCCATCGTCCTGCTGCAGAATATGTTGCGAAGAACGCTTGGCAGTGGCGGCCACGGCAGTGTGGGCAGCGATAGAGCCGGGATGTAGAATGCATATGATGTCTGCGATATCTTGTTGGTCAAGCCCTGAGTTATTGAGACCCCTGCGTCTAGGATCTGTGTATGGTTGCGTGGAAGGCTGAGTCGCGTCATCCATGGTTAAGAAGATGGGCCGGAAAGACAGAGACTGCTTTCAAGAATGTAACAAGGGTATCAACCTTCAGAAATGGGCCCGAGTTGGCAAACAGACTGCTCGATCATGCGATACGTTCGCATAGAAAGTCTTGGATCTTGTCGAAATAGATGGGAAATGAGATGTTTTATACATATATTTCACTTCCTTTGGGGCCTGATATGGATAGTAATTTAAGCAATCTGGTCTTAATAAAGATGAAAATGATGATCTGATTTCAAGAATAAACTGCAGATAGAGCATTTCACAAGGACACTCAGACCTGCAATGTAGAGAAATATCTGAATAAGTAAGAGAAGCGGGAGAGAGGTCGCCGGGGCACCTGCAGTTGCTGAAGCAATCCAGAACTGGGGCAAAGATGCGACGAGAACAGTTGTGGTACCAAACACTGAGCCTAGGAGTCTAGACTGCAGACACTGAAGGGAAAAGGTAAAAAAGGTCATCACATATGATATGCCGAAGAAGGGGAAAAAAAAAAAAAAAAAAAAAAAAAAAAGGAAAAAGAGAGAAGGCTGGACCTCGAGAATTTATACTTATGAGACAGCTATGACTAACCTTTTTAAGCAGCTGACAGTCTGCAGAGATCCCTGGACGAAGCCTCGCCAAATACAAGCAGGGTGCCGACGACCGTTGCACTCAACTGGGATCTCCGACGGGAAAATCGAGAATTGAAACAGTGTGACTCGAGAGGGCAGACCAAAAATTGGGATTCTTGTTAGGCGTATTCCTGGCTCAAAGCCAGGCGAACACTCAATCTGCTGCACAGTGGCTCCCACGCCTCACTGCAGATTATCCCATCCCACCCCAAAACACGTCCTTCGTCGATTCTAGATATAGTGAACACTCGATTTTATGTAGCGTCTGGGGGTAGTGTGCCCTAGTAGATCACACACAAACTGGTCGCCTTACCAGGCAGGGAGTCACGGGCGTAGGCGTATTGGGGTGGGAGGAGAAACCACTGCTGGGATCCAGAAGTCGAAGACGAGGGGAAACACAATGGTTCAAGGCTTTTCTCGGCTAGAAGGAGTCAGTAGAATGTTTAGTGTCTCAATTGGTGCGTTATCGGCACGAGAAACAAGGAGAGAGCACTCAAGGATGTCGATGAGAAGGCAGCCTTACTGTCGCCCAGGAACAACGCGTTTCGCCACTCACTGTCTAGCTAACGGCTGAGAAAATTGTAAGAAGCTACGAAAGTATCGTCGCATGGCAGGATATCAGCAATTGTCCTGCTGCGTGTCCCGGATGGAGTTTTAGACGCCAAACACCAAGGGCCCTTGACAAAAGCTGCCGTCCAAACAAACAGCGGCGAGTTGCGGACCGCAGAAAGTTAACCGCAGTTCCTCGCAGCCTCGCAGCGTGGTTGGCCCGTGCATTGCTTAGCGCTGCCGCTATGCCGTTCCGGGGCCTAGCGCCCCTATGCCATCCCCCAAACCAGCACCCGCCGGCCTCTCGCCGCAGGGACTGCGACGGCGACACGCCCGCTGGTCCGGTCCCGCCTGGAGGCTGGAGAGCTCTTTGTTCAGTCTACGGGGTGCGTGTGGGCATATCCAATTATGTCCAGTTATTACTAGCTACGGAGAAGGGAGTATGGAGTCTGGTGTTTGGCCGCGGAAATTGCTTCATCGTTGGCCATATCGCTTCTGCGTATTGTCACCCGTGGCGCTGGAACCAACCTCCGTCTGTGTCAAAGCTGCATTCATCACCCGGTCCAGCTTTTCAATCGCAGCGTCGCTGATTTCTGTGGCAACCGTCAGAAAAAGGTCGCCAACAGCTCAGCCACGTCGTGATGGGGACAACCTACGATAGTGCACCACCAGCCGATTTCCCATCAGCTGCAAACCTTCTCTCTGGCCCAGCTCCTCCCACGCGTTGCATGGGACTTCACTAGCAGCCAGATCAAGCCATACCATATTCGTCTCTGTTGGGCTTACAAGTTTACCTCCTTTGCGAACCCACATATCAGCAATTCGTTTCGCATTTGTATGGCTGGCTCGGAGCTTGCCGCCCTCACCGCACGGGCCACTGCCAAATGTTTCTTCGACAGCGACTCGCGCGGCTGCCGCGATAATACCGGACTGTCGGGTCCCACCACCAATAGATTTTCGGAATTGACGAGCCTTTTTAATGAACTCGTCTGACCCGGCGAGAATACTGCCAATCGGCGCTCCAAGGCCCTTCGAGAAGCATAGGCTCACGCTGTCAAATAGGTTAGCGTAGCTAGGCAAATTGCCCGCCCCAGCAGCAACTGCCTCCCATAACCTGGCACCATCAAGGTGCACTTTCAAGCCGTGGCTACGGGCCCACTCGCAGATTCTCTCTGTTTCAGGTAGTGGCATTATCATGCCATCCAATGTATTCTCCAGGCTTATAACGCGAGTGGGACATCCGCGGAAATCGTCATCCAAAACAGCGTGTTTTTGGATGTCTTCAAGCACAAGATACCTTCCATTTTTCGGCACAATGCCCTTTAGATGCGCACCAGTCCACGTCGTCACTCCGCCCGCTTCGTAATGGATGATGTGCGCCCGGTGGTCGCAGAGCACCCCGTATGGGGGCTGGGTGAGATGCGTTCTAAGGGCAACCTGGTTTCCCATTGTTCCAGACATCACCAGTAGAGCGTCTTCCTTGCCGGTAAGCTTAGCTATATATTCCTGCAAAGAGTTTGTAGTGCGATCTTCCATGAAGTCATCATCAAAAAGGGATGTGTTAGCAATGCCCTCCAGCATTGAAAGTGTCGGCGTTGTCACCACATCGCCTGTATAGCCATTAGTAAAGACCGTCAATTGTGTCGACTGAGCCCATCGAACCAGCTTCGATGGACCGAGTAAATACATATGAATCTGTGGGGCTCACTTCGAAAATCGAATGCAGCATTGCCGGGAGATTGCCACGAAATCCCCGACCGCAAACATGAGTCCAGCCGGGTCTGAGATATGCTGAATGGTCGCCTACACAAGCTAGGTCGTATAGAAGACCTTGGGATATGTAAACCGAGGTGGGAGATCGACTTCGGGAATCGCCGCGCCGTGATTAACCCATTTCGCATGTTTAGGGGCTTTGGTTTCAAGAACTACTATCAAATGAATAGCGTGAAACAAGACAAGCAAGGCCACGAGCGTATTTTTAGGACGAAGTAGCAGTGAAGACGACTCCGATTCGCAATGTAGAAACGAAACAGAGGGAAACCGGAGGACTGGCTCTGGAGCGTTGTCGGATCATAAATCATCCGCGCAGTAAGTAGTGTCCGGCACCCCTGTGGCAGTGGACCCATCTCGGATCCCGATATCAATCTTTCATGAAGCACTGGGAAATCCTACTTGTTTGATACAATAATCGTTAATTGTTGGCGGGAAGGGTGTAGCGGTCATGACTCCTCAGAGTATGTACCATCTGACCATCGAGAATTAGTTACGCAGATAGATGTTTACGGAGCAATAACTAAGTAGTCAAGTTGACCCGCAGGCACACGGAATTTGTTCTAACTAACCACATAAAACTAGGCCAAATACAAGCTGTAAATGTACCAACAACCGTCTACTCGTAGGACTCCAAATCCATTGAATATCTGTGCGTAGGTAAAAAGATAGGTCAAAAAGGAAATGTCTAATACTCTGCGCTTTCAATCCACAGGCACAGCTCCTCAAACGTGGAAAGTAGCCATCAAACCGGTCCAAAGTACTCCGTTCCTCAAAGAGCGCGCGAATCCATCACTTCCACTCTCTGAACTGCCGTCCGTGACAAGATACCCTGCGCAGTACCATGTGGCCGGCAAGATGGATGAGAAGAACTTCTCTCTTCGCCATGACTTGGTGTGAAGCGCGGGAGACTTTCTGTTTCGAGCTTCACCCTAAACGGGATTGTGTCTCTGCATACTGGCTGCAGTGACTTCCCCGTGTTGTCGGTGCCGGGGATGCTGCGAAGCATGAAGCAAAGCGGCCGCACAATCATGGCTCTGTTTCTCCGCGCACGACTATCCGTTGTTTTGCCATGCGCATTTCGAAGACAGCCGCAACTACCACGAAGAAAGTGAAGAAGATGATCTGCACAAATAGGCCACTGACAATGATCTTCTCTCCCATAAGTGCGCTGTTTTCATCTTTGACCATGATTCCGGCGCCTATTTCTCGTCAGCCTGTCATTGTTTTTATCGCTGTCCTGGTTAACACGGATATAGGCTAGCCTAGCTCCATTGGAAAGCCCTGCAGGAGCAGCATTAGGGAAATTGACAGGAGCCGTGGGGCTTGCTGCACAAGGATCACTGTTGTTGCCGCGGGACCTCGTTCTGAACGTGGACCGGTGGGGACCGGTTTCCTGATTTCATTCATATAATAATGAGCTCCTTGTGGGTGGTGCTCATTAGGCTCAGTAACCGTGCTAGGGCCACGATCCCCGTGCGTTTCGGAGGACGTCCTCCTGGATATTTTTTTGACTTTGGTCCACGACGCTTCGGTGATTTTGGATCTGTACGTAGCCTTTGGGGGCCATTGACGCGTGAAGGTTGGAATCCACGCTTTTCTGCGGCTTGTTTCTTCCGCCTTTGAAAAGCAAAGCCTGCCCCCCCCGCGGTCCTTAGCATCTGACGGGGTGCCGGCTTGAAACCAGCGTGGAACTGGCTGGCTGCTTTCTCTATTCTCAGCACCAATGTTCCCCCTCACTTTTATGGCTAAGTCCAGGACCCGCAAGATTATTGTGCTTTTTCGGCCAATGTGGCGTGCGAAGCGGAAGCGGCCAGACCTGACTCTTCGACGGCTTCAGCAGCATCATTATTACTCATCCCCGCGGTGCGGGCATTAGACCTGAGCGGACGTTCCCCAAAGTTGATGGGCCCGTGGTTGATTGGGCAGAACCCCAGTGGAAGAAACCTGGGTCACAGAGCCGGAAGGCGGAGTGCGGCAGGCGATGGCCTTCGCATTCCTGCTTCCAACTGCTCCTCCAGCTCCTTGACCCTCAAATACAGAGCGGCATTCTCGCTCGTAACCTTGGAAACGTCTGTATTTTTACTGAAGCTCTTTCAAAGTAATAGCAACCAATTCGAGGGAACCTGACAAGCCTGAGCTTGCGGTAGCATTTTGAAAGGATGTTGCGGAAACCCGTTTGACCTAATTTTATGGCTCCGGAACGGTCTGGAAGAGGGTTGTAGAAACACCCATGTCTGGGTAGCTGCGTTAGGTAGTCTTGTTTCAAGATTACTTGGAGCCCGGGCGGATATGACCGAGGACTGCGCAATGCTATTCCTAGATTTTCGCCTAGAGAGTCCACGAACTCTCAATCCTTCACCGCTACCCATTCCTCGTCAAATAATGCAGATTATGATACGGAGTACACATCGCTCAATTGCATTCTCGACAATGTCCAAATATAGCTGTATTTGCCGGGGTTGCCGTTAACAACGAAAAGATAGGGGCCAATCACGAGCCGGACTTACCCCGGGCTATCGTCTCCGGGATGTCGAAAGCTAAGATCATCGTCACAGCGGGAGCAGTAGATCTTTTCGTCGTCATACTGAAGTTCGTACAACACAAAAATTGTTATGGGTCTTCCTGCGTTTAAGAAAGGGGAAATCCACCTTCATGCGCCGAAAGAAGCTGAAACCACAGATGACACAGTGGCTTGTGGTAGCATCAAACCGGATCGTATAATTTTGGAGGATCACTTGCATATATGAGCTCCACAGCTTTGGTTGGAGGCACTGGTGTCATCGGCATTATGAAATAAGTTGGTCACCTTTGCTCTCCGAGGTACTGGTTCCAGCCGAGAGCCTCTTGGGATAGAATACCACGATGTATCCCGTAAAGTTCTACCCAAGACTGCTAGCATTAGACTGCCCATTAAATGCCGTCAGCGATGGGATGTGAGAGTGTAAATGGAGACTACGGCCCCGCGTGTACAATCGAAATTTCCAGGTAGAGCCTCTGCCCCATGGTGCTGGAAGTGCCCAAAATATCGATGTTGTCGGAGCGGACTTTGAAAACAAAAAAGAAAAGAAAACAAGGCTATTTTTACGGAATAGTTACACCGATAGATGAACCGTTGCTTGTGTGGAGTCGGCTTAAGTTGCACCCGGCTATGGCTGCTATTAACTCCAATCCCCTACAGAGTACTCCGGACCAGCATGCTCACTACTTTACAGTCATAAAACCACACCCTTCCCGGGCTTTTACTAGTGCTTTCTTCAACGCCTGCTCTTCCGTATCTGTCCACTTCACGCTCAGTTCATGCCATGGCTTTCGGCTGCGAAATTCCTCCATGTAAGTCCTGTGCATGGCCTGTAGACGAACAACGTCTCGCGGGTCCCCGGTGCCGGAATAGACAATAAAGAGCGTACACGGAGGCAATCCATCGTATATGCGCTTGATATGTGCTACTAATTTTGCAACAGCGGGAGCAAGAAACTCGGGATCATCCGCTGCAGACGATGGCTTGACAGCCACAGGAGCTGAGTCGTCCGTGTTCGACGTTCCAGGAACTCGATTGCACCAGCCTCGCATGACCTCCAGTTCTCGTAATCTTGCCCAGGTGAAGTCGACACCACCTCCAGGAACGAGGTGGCCATCCTCGTCTCCATTGACAGCCCTATCCACCGCAACCACCACTTCGTCATCGTTTCGACAGCCCAAAGCAACTGTAGCATGGGCTCCAAACCCACGTTCGGGGTTTCCCCAGTCGACTACGGCACCCGTTCTCCCTTCGCCTGGGGCTGCCTGGCCGACTCGACTATCTCTCGAAGCCCTAGAGAGCCGTCGGAAAATACTTTCGTTGAAGGAGTCACCTGCTCCCCACCGCTCGCCCTTTTCGCATTTCTGTTTGACAAGGTCAAGAACCGCTTTAGCATCCTCAATGGAATCGTGGCCCAATTGGCCCTTTTGGATCTCTCGGCTGAGATATTTCTGGGCTAGCCACTTGAGGCTCGATTTCAATGGTGGTCCTCGAGGATGCGGATAGATTATTGCCGTGTCGATAATATAGGGGTGCGTTAACTTCAAGGCAGTCAGGTCAGAGTTTAACGAATGGCCGACTAGTATCGTACGTGGGTGCAGTATGTCTAGCAACTTTTTCTGAACATCGGAAAGTGTTGTCGTAACTGGGTCTAACTTCTCCTTTGTCATTCCGGAATATTGTGTCAGATAATCAATCACGGGTCGCTGGGGCTTGACAAGTTCGTCTAAGACAACTTCCCCGTCCCACCCGACCAGACTTATTCGTGCCAGCTCAGAAACGCCGCCTTCGGTGATACACATCTCACAATCAAGAGCCAGCACCTGCCGACCAGCGGTAAGACTACCCCCTTGTATGTCCTTTTCAGGAACGATTCCTTCGGTAAAGTGGGTCACGGTAGTATCAACCCAACCGTGTTCTGGGGTCTGCCCTGCCTTTACCCGGATGTCTGTGTTGGCTTGCTTTTCTTCAGCAACATCAAACATAGCCGGATGCAGGGCATAGTCTCCCTCTTTTAAATCGCTAACAGTTGCAATGAAGCTAGTGATGGGTGTTCGCTGGGAAACCCAAGACGATTCGCCACGGTGCGGTTTGGGGCCTGAGGCGCGTCCGCTTTCCTTTGATTTCGGAAGGGATGACATGAGAATCGCCTGAAGCGGAGAGTGGAGTTTGTTGTATTTTGTATCTCCAGGGGATTTCACTGGCCAAACGTGGGGGAACATGTCAGCTAGGGGCTGTAACGGCTCCGGAAGCTGCTCCCGAGACAGAGCTTTTGGGTTTGAACGAGGTGAATCTTTGGTCGGAGATAGTCCCTTTTTCCATCGTTCAAATTCGCTAAGCCCTTCTCCTTCGGCAGTAGAGCCATTCGCCGTTGATGCAACGGTAGGCTCCTTGATCAGTGGTATCGAGCCATCAAACATCCCAGGCTCCAGGCCAGGAACCATAACCACAACAACCTTTTTGACATGGCCGGAATGCTTCACTGATATCCATTGCGGAGCAACTCCGTCCGCAAAACAATAAAGCACTAGTCCCTGTAAATCCGATATCTTGATCGGATTTTGCATTTGGCCTTCGGCGTAGGTGAGACTTGGGTACTTAGTTTTCTCTTTGCCTGCTCTCTTTTTCTTCTTGGCTTTATGATCAACCACCTCCCAGTCGGCGGATATATCGCCTTCGGCAGTTCCATTGCTATCTACCTGTCCAGAAGATGGCTGAGCAGCAGTAGCAATAGGAGAAGGAGGAGGCTCGCGAAGGAGAGATAGAGTATGACCTATCCCAAAACCTTTGCTGGACATAGACTCAGAGCTTGGTTCTGAACCCCGAGATAATTCTCCATGCTTACGCTTTTTGCCCATTGTTCTTTTAACGCCGTGTCTGGCTCAGAGCAGATGATGGGGTTGAATATAGCGGTTGAAATCCTGTCTGAAGAAAGCCAGGGTATTCCGTATAAGGGGAAGAAACAATGCTGAAGGGATTTTCCGGGGGGTTCTGGATGATTCCAACAAATAGGTACTCTATAGCATTCCGGCACAAAGACCAAATTAACATAACCCAGATTTGAGTGCGCTGGCTGGCAAGAGGAGCAACCGCCTCGCAACGATAATGCGGCGTGCGGAAATGGAAGACTCGAGCGCGTTGGCAAAACTCGGCTCGTGTTGCTGGGCTCTTATTGGTCAACTGAAAACGTCATGGTTGACCGGTCTTGGCGCCAAGTGTTATTGGGAAAATAGTTATTCCATTCCGATTCCTCCAGCCAGGGGAAACTTCTTCACCAACTAAGCACTACATTTGTATTGGGAATTTTGTATAACCAATAGTTAAGTTATCTAACATTTTAGATCCCAAAGTTTTGCTCGCTACATTCGCCCATCCATTTCTGCCTCACTGAACGCCATCCCATATGGTTATGACTTGAAAACTTCAGAGAACAAGCTTTCACCATTACCAGCAAAGCAGACTATCCTGGGTATACATCACCAAATGCTAAAAGATGAGCCGCACTCCTTATCCTGCATTTCTCTATTTAAACGACACGGCCCTTGACTTGCTTGAAGTCTTTGACCTTGATGTCTCTCCAGACGGCTGTTGAGACAACTGCCAAGCTCAAGATAGCCGTAGCGGCAATAAGCATGTATTTTTGGGCATCGCCGTAGGCTCTGTTGATGGCGTTCCTAGTTGGACTGCCCACAGGGTATGATGACTGGATCGCCACGTCGCCGTAGATTGCCGTGAGATTACCCTGTGATTCCGGCGGAAGATATTCGGCAAGCTTCTTCGGGAAGACTCCAGTCCAAACGGCGGTGGCAATCGTGCTCCCAACAGCACCCCCGATATGAGAAAACATGCCCTCGATGGCAAGCACGACTGCGACAAATTGATGAGAAGTCGCTGCCATGACGGCCATTTGTTCGCAGATAACAAGTGTACCACCGGCAAATGCGATAAAAATCTGACACATGACGATGTAGCCGACGTTGACATCTGGTTGACGGAACCTGATCATCAAGCCCACCCCAAGGATTGTGAAAGGAACGCCGAACCACACGGCCAGCCATTTGAAACGACCGCTCCAACGGATCAAGATACCGACAACTATGGCCCAGAGGCAGGAGCCTATGCTGTAAATGTTGCGGATATAGCTTGCGTGTGTGACGCTAAGGTTGTTAACAACCAATAGAAACGAGAAGAAAAAGCTATTCCAGATGTAGAAGCTGACGAAGAGAACGCCCGCGAGAATGCACGCTCCGAGAACAGTGCGATCCGTCAGAAGGTCGAACGGGATAAAGGTGACAGGCGCGAAAAGCTTCTCGTATAAGGCGAATGCAATAACGAGGAGACCACCGAATATAATGAGACAAAGCACCAGCGGTGATTTCCAGCCATCGGCCTGGTAGGAATAAAGACTGAATGGAAGGAGGAACATCGCCAGACCGCTGGTGATAAGGAGTAAACCAATAATATCGAACTCGAAGAAGTAGTATTTGAGGGATTCCATTGTGGTGCGGTTGCTTTCCCTCTTCGGTAGTAGTCCGACTTTTTTTGCTTTATTATAATTGTACATAAATAGTCCGAAGAGAAGCGAGCAGACGACTGGGACCACGATGGCAAAGGTGCCGAACCCCCATCGAAACCCAGTGTGCTTTAAGAAGCTCTCTGCCATTGGCCCGCTAGCCCAGGTCGTGACAATGTAGGGAGAGGACGAAAACGCAAACATCAGAGCTCGATTTTTCAGGGCCGATGTATCAGCGATGAAGATAGAAATGGTATACGACACTCCATTATACCTAGTAGCATGCTTTTAGCTGGAGCACTTGGCCGTCAGGGAAATAAAAGTACCTACCCAACCCAATAGAAAACTTGAGCAGCGGCAAATGTTTGGACATTGTTGCAGCCCGCCATCATGATAAGTCCCATGGTCATCATAATCACCATAAGTCCAAAACCTTGGGGGCGACCCCAGATATCAAGGATCTTTGCCAGAGGCAATTTGAAAAGTCCACCAATGAGACTTGCCATAATGTCCGTGGCAGCAGTCAACGAATGCCTCTGGAAGTTACTGGTTACGAACGGCGTTAATGCGAACGACATTCCTGACTGCAGCGAATCTAGAAATGCGATCACCCAAATTCTTCCCGGGATATTAGTGACCAGGAATGATAATGATACTTTGAGCTGATTAACTTACAATATGTAGGCCGCAATTAGGTGGTATGTGCTCCAGACAGTTGTCATAGCTTGCATATCCTGCACACCGGTTTGGGCATCTTTCGAGATGTCCTCGCTGTCGCTGTGCGAGGTAGCATCATCTTTACCAGCCTCTGCATCGGTAGGCTTCGTATCGGCCTTTTCAGCCACAGGGACTTCAGGCTTCGTGTGCGAAAGGAGAGACCTCATGCTGGCAAATGCATAAGACTCTCGAAATGAATGCAAAAATCTTTCCCTTTGGAGACGAAGGAGCGGGAATACAGAGACTTTGAAACCGCTTGAGTTTGCCTTTCGCACAAGCCCGAGCGTGATGATGAGGATAGGGACAGAGCAAGCTTTCTTGTGGGAAGTAGCTAAGGTTAACTTAAATAGCAAGGCGACATGCAGCTCATCCTTGCTTTGATGCCATCAACCCCCAATGCCGGTAAGTTTATTCCGCGTGTCGTCTCGGTTTGTGGTCATTGGAGCTGGACACCGAGCCCACATTACCAAATATATTTTAGAAACCGCTGCACGGAGTATAGACAGCTATTAGCTCATCTATCCCTTCCCTTGGCATCATCATTTTTTAGTCCTTCTTCAAGGTCTTTTACTTTGTATTGGCTACTGAAAAATTTGTGCGCCAAAAATCCCGCTCGAGAACGGAGAGCCAAATGGGGGGAAGGCTACCGTAGCTGCTCAGTCATGCAAAGCATTTCCGATAGTATCCCCATGCTTGCCGGTTGGTCAAGGGCCCTTCCGGTGTAGAGGAAAAACAAATCTTTTCCTCTGGCTTTGTGGCTGCAAGGTGATGGCTTTGTTCATAGACCATGACTCAAAATAGAGTTGCTAGCTTGCTTGTTTCCCGCCATGCCAAACTGTCGTGGCAGTGGCTCTCCAAATCCCGAATGTTGCTTTCAAAGGTGTCAAACAAAAACAACAAGCTCATCCTGAACTTTGGGTGCGTTCTCAATGGGCTTGGCGTCGATTTGGGTGGGTCTCAGTTGTATTTTGATTAGTGTTTTACAACCTTAGTACATACCGTAAATTCCGTACGTGTCATACTCCGTACACAAGCGCGTTTTGTCATGCCTCGGTTACGTATCCGTATCCGTAATTCGGCTTTTCGGTCGCTTCAGGCACGCTAGAGGGAGCCACGGGCCAGAGCATTCAGGCTCAGGAACAAGCCCGATAAGGCCGTATGCGAAAGGAATGACATCCTACCTAGGTAGGGTGAAGATTACCTAGGCATTCGACGGCGTCTTGTGCAACACTCCGTCCACCGCTAAATTTTGCAGCCTCCGCCTCTGTGGACATGTATTCTAGGCTGGACCCGTGGCAAATTCCCATAAAGCCGTAGCGAAGTTCGGGGCAAAGAAAAAAAATTTCAAGAGTAAAAGATCACTTTCCACCCGTCTCTCTCCCTCAAATCAGAGCGGACTTCAAACATGACCTTCACTTCGAAAGCCGCCGAGCTTCCGCTCGTAAGACTACCAGAACCGTATCGAACAAAATATGAAATCTGGCAGAGTCCATCTCGTTCGAACGGGCGGATATTCCAACTTCGACTGTCAAGCGAGCAGGATAGCAGCACAAGCCAACCCCCAGAACCGCTTCACAATGATACACTCCTCTTCAGCGAGCTAATATCAAGCCCCCAATCCCGCCTACCATCCGCGTCCGATAACACTGACTGGGCTCGTGCCTGCAGATGTTTGGTGTCCTTCATTACGTGGGACGGAGAGACTGCTCCCACCGTGGGCCAAATTTGGATCATAGTATACGCGATTCTGTCAGTATGGCCTGCCGAGGAGTATTTCCGATTAAGTCTTTCGGGTGCGCAAAACGATCAGCTGCGGGAGGAAATATCTGCCACAGGCCTTGGAAGACGTTTTCCAGAACGTGCCGGATCGGAGAAAGTTGAGGATGTGATCATATCGAGGGCAGCTTTCTGGCAAGGAGCTGCATCGCCATTCGGAAACCGTCCTGCCTGGGTGGCACAACGACAAGGAACGGATAGTTCCAGGTTCCAGGCCACAGATTATCCAGCTTTCCCGCTACAGTACACCATTACGACGGAGTTCTCTAACCGTCCCGTACATGTGCAGCATCCCGTTCGGCCAGCAAAACCTGCCCGCGGAGCAACCATATACAGTCGCTATATCCCACATTTGGACGAGTTTTTCTCCATGGTGCATCTTGACTACCAGGATGAAACCCACCTCGCTCTATTCCATAAGTGGCAAAACGATCCAAGGGTTGCAGTAAATTGGAACGAAACTGGAACATTGGAGGAGCACCGAGAATATCTGCGAAAAATCGACCTAGATCCTCATCAGATGGCGGTCCTCGCTAAGTTTGATGATAACTATTTTGCTTACTTTGAAATATACTGGGCCAAGGTAAATGCTGACCCCACTCTGTTGCGCTTTTTGAGAGGGTGAAAGACTCTAGACCACTTTCCGAATATCACTGACACCCGGGGTTCGCAGGAGGACCACATGGGAACGTATTACCCTGCTCTTGACTGGGATCGGGGTCGCCATTCGTTAGTAGGGGACGCAAAGTTTCGAGGTCCTCATCGGGCGATGGCTTGGTGGACAAGCCTGATCCATTACATATTCCTCGATGAGCCGCGAACGACATGCGTCGTGGGAGAGCCTAAGGCCACGAATGAGCCAGTGTTGGGATACGATGCTGCTCATGGATTCCATATCTATAAGTGGGGTGATCTGCCGCACAAGAGGTCAGCAATGGTTAGGTGTGAACGCATACGGTTCTTCGAAATCGTCAATTTTGGAAGTGTAACAAGCAGCGGAACTGCAAAGTCCACCAAGCCCAAGCTGTAGTACTAGTAGTAAATAGATTGGATGGTTGAAGAATGTGTTGATGTTTTGGTCTCTGGTGCGAAGTCCGACAAAAAAAAGGAGAGTTAACTATATGTAGTTAGAGTAACTGAACTAGTTAGCCAAGGTCGTCGCTCTCTTTGGGTTCATCATTGCAGATCATCGAGGTGGTGCTGACTAAGTTCATCACGAGACATGCTCACTTCGCCTGAGGTCGAGCATCAGGGGCAGTGAAACATCAACAACAATACAATCTGAGAAGACTCCGCGAAATCATTATATTGTTCAAAAGGAATGTTCTGCGCCTCTAGTCTATCTGTGCTACCAAAGTCTTTCCCAAGTCCCTCAATACTTGCTTCTGAATTTTACCACTTCCCGTCAGCGGCATCAAGGGAGGAAGACAGGGATCGTGCCCAAATACAAAGACATGCCTAGGAGCCTTATGTCTTCCAAGGGTTTGCCTCGTCCAGTTCCTTACTTCTTCGGCTGATGGGGGAGAACTGCCTTCCTCGAGAGACAAGAACGCTCCAACAACTTCGCCATAATGGCTATCCGGCATTCCCACTACCGCAGCCCGCGAGATCGCTGGGTGAGCCGCAAGCCGCTCCTCGATCTCCAAGGGATATATATTTTCGCCGCCCCGAATTATAATGTCTTTGAAGCGTCCTGTGATGGTGCAGTACCCTTCACTGTCAAAGACGGCCTCATCCCCTGTCCTTAGCCACACTCTCCCATCCTCGTCGCGAATCAGGGATTCTGCGGTTTTACTAGGGTTGTTCCAATATCCTCTGAACAATTGATAGCCCGCCATGCAAAGCTCTCCTCGTTCACCAATTCGAACGGTTTTGCCCGTCTGCGGATTAATAATCTTTGCGCTTGCATGTGGCATCACCTTACCAACTGTAGTCAAACGTCGATCGATTGAATCGCTGGTGATCGCGTTAAAACACGTCGGAGAAGCTTCGGTTAGGCCGTAGCTGCTGGTAAACTCCGTCATATTAAGCTCATCTATTAACCGCCGCATCAATGGCCGGGGTACCGGTGCGCCTGCAATTATCCCAGTTCTCAGGAATGTGCAATCAAATCCCTCAGGCCGTGGATGTGATAAGATCGACTCAAACATCGTGGGAACTCCATGGAGTCCAGTGCATTTCTCGTCAGAAATCGCTCTTAAAACAGCTTCTGGATCAAAGGTCTCTCCTGGATATACAATCTTGGCCCCGTGAGTTATACAGGCAAGGAGTCCGAGCACTAGGCCGAAACAATGGAATAAGGGCGGTGGACAACACAGGACATCTGACTGCGTGAAGTCCATACGATCTCCAATAAATCGAGAGTTATTAACCAGGTTACTACCGATAAATTAGGTGATTGCTCTAGCTCATAAACGATCAATGGGTTCATACTAATGAGATAACATAGCTGCTTTCGGATTTCCCGTGGAGCCACTTGTGAACTGAAGATTGCAAACGTCTGACGGCGAAAGTTCCTCTTGCCGGCGCTGAACGGCATTCATTGGGACAGATCGACCTGCATATTTCACGTCGTCATATATTTCAAAATCTCGATATCGGCCCCGTATCATTATTGTTTGCTGAAGCTCGGGAAGGTCGTTTGAACGCCCAAGTGGTGTTTTCAGGTTGCTCAGTGCATCGAGGAGGCTATGTCGCCCGATTCGCGGTACAATAAACAGTAATTTGCATCCTTTTCCCTCATTAGCACTCCTGCTGCTTGCGACGAGCTGATCTCTATAACATACCGACATGCTTGAGCGCATACATCAATTCTGGGCAGGTATAGGTGTTATTGATAACAACCAGAATCGCCCCCACCCGGGCCGCCGCAAAAAACAAAGAAACGTATTGTTCGCAATTGCCGGCCATCACACCGATGCGATCTCCACGTTTGATTCCCTTGGCTAGCAGTCCACGCGCAAGCTGGTTGCTCTCATCTTCTAAATGTCCGTACGTCCACCTAGCACCCGTCCAAGGGCAGACAAGACATTCGGAATCCCGGTATCGCAGGCATTGGAAGGACAACAGCTCGCCGAGTGTCATATCCCATAGAAGGGTATCAATTGGGCCATGAACGATAGACAGTTTGTGCGCATCTGTCTGGTCCGATGGTGCTTGGATATGGTCTAATGTCTGCTGCAGCCGTAGCAGTGGTGTCTGATATGATGTTGATGTTAGTGCTGTCGTCATTTTCGATATGCTCCTAGTTGCTGTGTTACAGTCACTTGTCTAGGACCCTCTTGAGATTATGTGTGCTTTACTCCGTACATGAGTACGAGTTAAACACGCTTACTCGGCTCTTCCGGTGATATATGCCCACCAATCTTACGATTTTAGCACATAAATGCGCGATAGAGTCGGACATGGAAGCGCCAAGGCAGCTACGGGTTTAATCTTTTAACTTTTCTAGGTTCGCTTATTCGAGCTGAGGGCAGGTTTGGTGCTTTAGTCAGTCGACCGAGCAATTGCCCCGGCTAACGGAAAACGTAAATTTGGAGAAAATCTGCGTTTCTCGTGTGGTGTTGTTTAATGTCTTCCAATCCGGCGAGTATTCGGGGCCCGGATCCCGGTTTCGGACCTACGTTCTTCTCAACTGATATGAACTCGGTTTGAATTTCCAATGTCCCACACGCCCTATGAAATCATCCTTACATTCTCGGCCGCACGCTTTGGAGCTCTGCAAACAAAACGTGGCCGCTGGTTGAGATTCTTCTATCGCAAGCATATTCCACTCCTGTTAATACAGCAGCGACAAGACACGGTTACATCTCGGGCCTTGGTACCCCAGCAAGGAAACGTGTTCTGGAACGGGGACGAAGAGCCACATTGTTTTTATGGACAAAATGTTCTGTATTTTTCCGAACCCCACTTGGGGGTTGTATATCTTTTTTTTTCTCTTTTTTTTTTTTTTTTTTTTTGTTTTTGCCCCTTTTCCACTCAGAAGTCCAATCTTCGGTGGGTCTGTTAATTTTTTATCAGATTGACCTTTTGGGTTTGCGACTTTGGGTTGTGACCGTGACAATAGCTTATCTGATCCTGACGGACGCGTGTTTTTAAGTTATCAGATCCGCGCGTATTTTAGTACCAGCGTATATTACCTCGCGTAATATTACTTCACCGTTTTGCTTACAATACATACGATATCCGCAAGTGGACCTCACCTTTTCGCCGGGAATCACAAGATTCCTCAGGAACCTTCCAGCCCGACATGCGATGTTTCAGTGAATTTTGCACCCCGCAGTTTACGAGACTGAGCTAAAATTTCTTTGCCTTTTTGCCTTGTTTTACATTGCTTTTGCGGGATAGACATGGAGCATTTGTCCAGCCTGCCATACTCCCAGTTATCGTGGTGGAGTGATGTACGGAACAGGTTTTCCGCTCCAGTTCAGAGAGACATGGAGCTAGTTATCCCTGTGGCAATGATCGGGAAAGATCCGCACCAGCAACAACACAGACCAAAACCATGGATCCTTCTCCTAGAAACAAGCCCGCGGAACCTTTGGACGGCCCAATGGACCGCTTCGCCGAAAGCACTAAGGACCGCAGGAGCAGAGGGATTGTCTGCAATTTCTCTGCGCAATATCGAATCGTTACTCCACCCACCAGCCTGTTTTGAGGGTTGATTTGTAATCGCGCGGTGTGCAATCTGACGCGGTCTGCCTTCTTGAGACGTCAATCTCCGCGATATGCACAACCCTCTGTGTCGTGGGATGCCGCCATATAGTTGCATGGATGTGAAAATGAAAAACTGCTAGATAAACTCTCAGTGAGACAGTATATACAGGAATCCGACCAAAAAATTGACATCCTACCTATCTCGCGGATTGGTTAGACATTGCTTTTTCCATCCCATCTTCCGATCAAACCTCTCTATAAGCCGCCAAGCTAAAAATCCGATTTGGACCAAAAATAAATAAATTTTTATTTTCCACCTGTTCCCTACTGTCTTCCGTAACCTGTTCCCCCTGCGGAGAAACTACCTTCAATATTGCCTCTGCAAGCCGCTACAGCTGACCTGGCTAAGGGATCCTTGTACTAGAAAATCCGGCCAATGCCGTGATTAACAGAGTGGGCTCACTGCTTGGACCTGGCCACTTCCCCGGAGACATGTTACAAATTTAACCCGAACCGTGCCGCACATCTACTTGGGCAGTAGTACTTCAGGGTTGTAAAATCACAACTCGGCTAATTGTCTGTGGCCTACTCAATTCTCAATTTTCCCTTGTTTTCAGCGCATCAATTGACTTCCTCTTGTCCCTTTTTGTGACCATCCTCCATGGAGACCACCCTGAAAACCAATACTCCTATCCGCCACTCTCCGTCTCCTTCTCACGAAGGAGGAAGCATGTCTACCGGCTCTGGGAGCAGCGAGCCGTATGACATAATCTCGGTCGGGTTTGGCGCATCTGCGCTCGCCATTGCCATTGCAATGCGCGATCGGGGTGTGCAAGCGAAGGTGCTCTTCTTGGAGCGGCAATCGGAGTTTGGATGGCACACGGGCATGCTCCTCCCTGGGACCAAGATGCAAATCTCCTTTTTGAAGGATCTGGCAACATTGCGAAATCCGCGGTCTCATTTCACATTTCTCAACTATCTACACACGAAAGGCAGGTTGGTCCACTTCACCAATCTCTCGACCCATACGCCCTTCCGCGAAGAGTTTAATGATTATATGAAATGGTGTGCTTCGCACTTTGCCGATTGGGTGCAGTATGACCAGGAGGTTATGGGTGTAACGGCCGTCAGTTCGCAGCCCGGCTGGCCTGCCGAGCTATTCAGGATCGTTGTCGGCGACCGACGCTCTGGAGAAGTGAGAGAGCTTTACACAAAGCATGTCGTGGTAGCTACTGGTGGCGAACCTGCAATTCCTCAGTTCCTTCCACAAGAATGCCTCTATAATACTGTCATCCATTCATCGGGTTACCTTAATTCTATTACTGAACTCTTGAAACACGAGGCCGCTGAGTATCGCGTTGCGGTTGTTGGTGGAGGACAAAGTGCGGCAGAAATATGCGAAGACCTTTCATCAAGATATCCAAGGTCTAAAATCAGTCTAATTGCCAGAGGCGCATCCTTGCGGCCCAGCGACGACAGCCCCTTGTGAGTCATCTCTTTCTACTTCCTTGATACGGAGCCAGCCCAGGATCTAATTTCTCGCTCAATACCTACTAGTGTCAACGAAATTTTTGACCCTGAGAGCGTCGATACCTTCTATTCTCTTTCGTCCTCTCAACGTAAACAACAGCTTCAAGAAAATAAAGCTACGAACTACAGTGTTATTAGACTACCATTATTGGAGACCTTGTACGAGAAATTGTACCGCCAAAAGCTCCAGAATCCGGATCAGTCCACATGGCCTTTCCGCCTGATAACAAACCGAGAACTCTGTGGTGTCAAACAAGTTATTTCCGACGCCGGAAGAAGTCAAGTCGAACTCCAGTTCAAGAACACTATGACGGGACAAAGTGAGACCCTCGACAAGTATGACTTAGTCATCCTTGCTACCGGATACAAACGCAACCCTTTTACGACTGTTTTGAAGCAACTGGAGCCAATCTTGGAGACCGGACCTGCCGGGGAACAATTCTGCGTAGATCGAAAATATCGGTTGGCTTTCCTCCCTGGTAAAGTACGACGTGATGCTGGAATATGGCTTCAAGGATGCTGCGAAAGCACCCACGGAGTAAGTTCATTCTTCAATGGGTGGTTTCTGGTTCTATTGCTAACGATCCGGTCTTTAGTTAAGCGACAGCCTTCTCTCTATCCTGTCCGTCCGTAGTTCTGAACTTCTTGACGCCATACTCTCGAGCAGCAAGAGGTCAGAACAATTTGCAAAGTTATAATTTTTCTTTCTTTCTTGAGCGAGTCACTGTATCCTATGGGAAAAAGTTAATGCGGGTGCGGGGACAATTTTCTGGTCTCGTTTCAAATGTTTCGGATTTCGAGATTGTTCTCCAACAGTTCACTAGTTGTTTGCGTGCTTGAAGCCTCTTGCTTTTCTCCAGTTAAACATGGTTCGATTTCTCTTCGAAAATACAAAGCTCAAAAGTACTGTATCATTCCTCACTGCTATTTTGATCTTTGTTCTCCTTATCAGAGAGCTGCCCGGCTGCGTGGAGCAAAAACCTGCTGTCGCCCCACTGCTGCCCGTCATCATCCGTGCAACGATCTGATAAGACAAGTCTCGGCCACTCGACGTTTATTTCCAGAATACTCCGTACAAGCGTTGCATACGCCGTCACTTAGGTGTAGTAATTACAATACGCGAATTAGTCATCTGATCGTGTTTGGTAACTAACTCCCCAATTTCCTGATCTGATAACCTAAAATCAACCGACAAAAGTTTATTGGATCTGATATAACCTTTGTGGGCTCGCGGGATTGGAGGGACGCACGCTCTTGTTATCGCCAAGGATGGTTCGAAACACCCGATGGAACATTTTGAGGCGCTAAAGATTTTTTTTTTCTCTTTCCGAACTCGGGCCCATGGTTATCCCCTGGGGTGGTTGATCTGATAAGCCCTGAGTGGGGCTGTCACAAAATGGCTCGTTATTGCGAAGCGGTTGGAGCAACTCGATCACGGCAAGGGTGAGGATGATCTCTGGCGAAGATTGCCGTCGAAATGCCGGCTTCAGCTAAAATTACCGGGAAGTCTGATTGCGCCCTGTGGAGTTGGGAGACTGTGCTTCGCATCAGTAGTTAACTATTCGACACATCAGGCCTTTGAGTAACCGATGGCACCTCTCTTTTCCTTCCTAAAGAGACTCCTAGCCGAGGTGGCTCGTCTCTTCTCCCAATATTCCAAACGCTTCTTGCTCTCGATGATGCACACCAGCGCAAGGAGTCCCATTGCTTCCAGCAGGACGCCATACAGGGTCCTTGTTGCTGGAGGATCGTATGCTGGTCTGTCAGCAACGCTGAATTTATTAGACCTATGTCATGGGAATCCTACTCGTTTCTCTGCCGCTCGGTCTCCAGAGGTAGCAACCTCTTCAAACGAAAGGCTTCCAGTGCAGATCACCATAGTGGATGAAAGAGATGGTTATTGTGAGTGGCTAAGGTCTTGCTAGATTTCATAGCAGCTAACCTCAAGTTCAGATCACCTTATTGGAGCACCGCTTGTGTTTGCTTCACAAGATTATGCTCTAAAAGCGTGGAAGAAATTTCAGGATATCCCCGCCCTCCAAACACCCGAAGTGAAATGCGTCCAAGGTCGCGTCATCGCCGTCGATCCCGAAAGCAAAACAGCTACGGTTCTAGAAGCTGCGACAAATAACGAAGTTGAAGAGAAATACGATTACTTCGTTGCAGCAACTGGACTCTCCAGAAGCTGGCCCAGCGCGCCACAGTCATTGACTAGAGAGGAATATCTGTTAGAGACGAGGAAACATATCAAACTCCTTGAAAACGCTCGGGAGAAGATTGTCATTATCGGCGGAGGTTAGGGTTCCTGAACCGGCTTTATGTCTATTTATAACTAACACGTAGCTATTAGGTGCCGTTGGGGTTGAAATGGCTGCTGAACTCAAACTTGCACAGCCTGATAAGTGCGTTACCTTAATCCATTCCAGGCCGAAACTCCTCTCCTCAGAGCCGCTTCCAGACGATTACCGCGACAATGTCTTCTCGCTCCTCCAGGAATCCGGCGTCGAGACGATAATGAATTCGCGAGTCCTGGAAATTGCACCAGAGATGAGAAGCGGCTTTGCTCCGAGCACCACGCTTAAGCTTGAGGATGGTAGAACCATCAAAGCTAGCCATGTTGTCAGCGCAATTTCAAGATACAGACCGACCTCCTCTTATTTGCCTAGCGAAGCTGTAAATGAGGATGGCTATGTCAAGATAACTCCAAGGTATAGAATGACAGTCTACCTTCAACACGTAAGCTAATGAGGAGGACAGACTGAACCTGGCCACAAACATTGCCAATGCCAAATACCACTTTGCGGCCGGCGATATTGCTCTGTGGTCCGGAATTAAAAGAGCAGGTGCCGCAATGCATCAAGGACATTATGCTGCCATAAATATATACCAGCAAATATGTAGTGATCTCTTTGCCAAAACGCCGAAATTTGTTGAACTTGATCAAGCGCCACCAGTGATTTGTATCGCGATCGGAAAGCAAGCGGCTTCTTGGAGTGAAGAGGACGGCACCCTTTCCGGAACGGACGTATTGAACCTTTATTTCAATGATGACTTGGGATATAATAGTATGTCGCCTTATATCCGGTTCTGAAGATCATTTATGTTTGCTGACATTGATCCCTTAGTTTGCTGGAATTACATGAAGCTAGGAGAACCCCCGATCACCGAATGATTACTCTTTGAGACTGTTATTTTCAATGGCGTTAGTTAGGGCATGGAACGCAAAACGGACTTTATCAAATTCGATCGAGTGGAAATAACGCGGTATTTAGGTGTAACTGGAGCATAACCTTGAGATTAAATGCAATATATTGGTAATTCCCGTTAGAAGGTCGAAATGTTAGCGATGATAGAAACGATAGGTCTATTAACGTGCACCCTTATTCCCAAAAAAAAAAAAAAAAGCCGAAATCAAATCTAGTCTATTTTGCTGATAGCTTTGCCCCATCCACTGCCTGATGCAAAGCATTTACTCTGTAACTCTCACTTTTATCCATCAACTCACGATGCGTTCCCCTATCGACGCATCTCCCATCCTCAATCAAAAATATAACGTTCGCCTTTTGTATTGTATTTAGTCGATGGGCAATAGCAATGACGGTAATTCCCTGTGCTGCTTTTTCTAGCCCATTCTGCAATAACCTTTCGGACTCTGCGTCCAAAGCACTCGTCGACTCGTCAAGCAATAGAAGCCGTGGCTTTCGAACCAGCGCACGAGCAATAGCCAAGCGCTGTTTCTGTCCACCGGACAACTGGCTGCCATTCGGACCACAGTACGTACCATATCCTTCCGGCAGCTTGATAATAGTATCGTGTATATTCGCAATCTTACATGCTTCCTCAATCTCGGCATCGCTCGGTTCGTGCCCAGGTCTGGCACCTAGAGCAACATTGAACCGAATACTGCCGTCGAAAAGCACATTGTCTTGAGAAACAAGTGCAATATTGTTTCTGAATTCGACCCCTTCGTATTTAGAGATATCCTTATTATCGATTTGGATAACACCGGAACTTGGCGTGTACATCCGCTCCACCAGCGATATTATGGTTGACTTCCCAGCACCGCTTGGGCCAACCAAAGCGGCAAATTGTCCCGGTTGTATGCTTAAGTCTAAGCCTTGGAGTACCTGGACATCTGGCCGAGCAGGGTAAGAAAATGTGACCTGCTTGAATGCCACACTTATCCCGCCTCTATTGGTATCCAAATTTTTCTCTACCGTTAGAGAAGGAGCTTCAATGTCCCTCCTATTTCTACGGTTCTTCGAGAGTTTGCTGTTTGAACCGAGATCCAGGAGGTTCAATATTCTGTTTATCGCCGTGAATGCTCGCGAAACATCAGGGGCGAGGGTAAACATTTGACCCCAAAGCTGGGCACTGACAAGCAAGGCCACAAGAACGATAAAAAACTGCGCTTGCGAATAATCCCCTGATATAACCCGCCTCGCACCCCACCAGTAAGCCAAAGCGTAAAGAAAGTTGCTCAACCCGTACGAGATTGCTAGCCATAAACTCGCGTAAGCGCTATGCTTTGTGACAGCCTTTGTTGGAGCTTGCAATGAGCGGCGATACGTATTAAATATTTCTTGTTCGAGAGAAAATGACGACACTGTTTTGATTGAATTAACAGCTTCGATTGTAATAGCAATTGATTTTGCGAAGGCTTCCGCATGGTGCTGTTCAAATCGAGCAATTTGGATAACTCTCATGGCACCCGCACCAAGCATCAGTGGAACAACAGCCAGGAAGACCAAGGCAATCTTCCACGCAATAATATGCGTCAAAATAACTGCTGTCAGAAAATTGACAAGCACGGAGACGAGATTTCCAACCAAGGATCCGGTGAGTCCTGAAAGTGCATTTCCATCTTTCGTAATAAGCGTGAGTAACCGAGACGGCGTTCTCCCGTTTGATTCATGCCACTGGAGATCCTGTTCCAGGAGCGCACGAAACGAGAGTACTCTGATTTTGTAGACAATTTTTTCTGCAACGAGCCCGAAAAGAGACCAGCTGGCAAAATTTGCGAAGAATTCGATAATAGCCAGCACAAAGAACATCAAGCCATAGAAATTTCCCGCCCATCTTATTCTGCTTTCTCCCTTGCATGGACTCAAATCTCCTATAGTATGTCCGAAAACTGCAGCACAGGCAGAGTAAGTCCCACCAACGATGATTGCCGCAACAAATGCCAGAAAGAGTACGAGAATATATGGTCGAAAAAAGCCCCATAGCACGCTGCATGTTGCACTGAAAGGTCTTTCGGCCCCCAATCCAGCGTCCTCTTCGTCCGTAGCGGGCTCAACAGGATGCGTTTTCTCTGCTATGGCGTAATCCTTGTTCAACTGCTCATCTGCCGTGAACGTATACTCATTTGACAGCTTCTCTGGTATGTCTTCGAGAGTGACATCGGTGACCAATGAATTACTTGATTGACCGTCCTCTTCAACGTGTACATTCAGATTTTGAAGTCGAATCAAGTCGGCATATGAGCCTTCTTGGGCTAGCAATTCAGTATGCGTACCCTGTTCAACAATCTGGCCGTTCCTCATTACGATAATATTGTCTGCATTCCTTATAGTTGAAAGGCGATGGGCAATAGTTACCAGAGTTCTCCCAACTGCCGCTTTTTCCAAGGCAGCTTGAACTCTTTGTTCACTTGCCGAGTCCAACGATGCGGTAGCTTCATCCAGGATTAAAATCTTAGGATCTTTGATCAGAGCTCGTGCAAGAGAAATCCTTTGCTTTTGGCCTCCGCTGACTAGGCTGCCACTAGAGCCCACAAGGGTACCAAATCCATACTTGAGGCGCGAAACAAATGTGCTAACATCAGCTATAGTCGCCGCGTTTTTTACCAGCTGCACTATTTCGAGTACTTCTGGGCCATGGGATTCTGCGGCTCGATCTAAATCCTGACCTTCCCGGATAGCTGCAGCGACTTCGGAAAGTTTCGCGCCCTGTAGGGTTTGCCTTAGGTGAGAATGGGCCGGCGAGTTAATTAGGCCCAAGGCAATATTTTCAAAAATAGAGCGTTCCAGGAGACAGGGCTCCTGCTGTACAAGACTGACGTAGCTCCTCAAAAATTGCACACCGATATCCTTTATATCGTGTCCGTCGATCATTATACAGCCGTCATCTGGATCATAGAACCGCATCATCAAGCTTGCGACGGTCGACTTGCCGCTCCCCGATAGGCCCACTATTGCGGTTTGCTTGCCTTCCGGGCAATTAAAAGAGACGTTCTGCAGCACCGGTTTATCTGGCCGCGAACCATAAGTGAAAGAGACGTTCTGTAGCTGAATGTGTCCAACGACGTTCGGAATGCCTTGGTTAATGTTTTCGTTTGCCCCGTTAATTTTTGGCTTCCTATCAATATCTTTCTCCAGCTGTTGAAAAGCCACACTCGCAGAATCAAAAAATTGGAAAAATGGCGCCATCGTGCTAAGGATCAAAGATGCTAAGGGAAATGAAGTCAGTAACCAAATGCAATAGTGCTGTCGAATCAGACACACCATCTACTAAAATAACAATGACCGTATATGTAGATCCAACGGTGGCCCCCGTGCCACCGGAAGCCACTGAATCCGCAATCTTTTTGGACCCCAACCAGTACGCAAGTGCATTTGCAGAATATGCAATAAAAAAAAGCAATCCCGCCTGAATCGCTGCAGCAATAGCCTTTTTTATTCCCGCTATTTTCGCTCTCCCGAGAGAGTTTGAAAATTTCGATTCCAGGCGAGTATTTGCCGTCAATGCGTGTACGACCATAATATTCGATAAGGCTTCTAAAGCGACAGATGTTGACGAAGCCACGTTCTCAGTAATTCGACCGGTGTATTTTTGAACAAAGTAGCTACCGACGAGGGACATGAGCATAAACGCCGGCAGGAGGGAGACGAGTGCCCCTCCGAGTTGAGCATCTTTCGTGAAAGCGACAACATATCCAGTCACGAAAAAAGAGATGCTGTTTAAAACAAGTCCCACTTTCTCAGAGGTTCCATTTTGAATGGTCGCGATATCTCCATTGAGACGAGAAGATACTGCACCAGCGGGCAAGTCGTCGAAGAAGGCGACATCCTGATTCAGGAGGGCCTTGAAGTACTTTTGGCGAATTCTTTGCGCAAGTCTTTCGCCTGTCAGACTCCAACAAACGATGGAAATATATGCCAAAATTAAGTAGGCAATTCCAATATAGACAACTTTCAGCACTTGTTCGTTCACGGCAGACTGATAAGAAGAAGGACTTGTGAATCCTGCGTTGCAAGTCGCAGAGTTAAGGTCATCAACCACCTGGCCAAAGAGTACAGCCAGCAGCGGAAACGAAACCCCAGACGCAATGGCAGCTATTACACCGCCAAGTAGAAGCAGTATATCATAGAAAGTAGGATCCGCGTATACAAAAAGCCTTAGATATGATGTAAACGTTCGCGTACGGCTCTATACATGTTTGTTAGCACTCGCACCGAGATCAACCCTACTGTGGCGTCTATACCTTTGGAGCTTTTGAAGAATTGTCACTCGACTCTCCATTAGTGGCAGTCATGATCAAAGCGAGGTGTCTTCGATACCACTTTGGATGATGATCAGGCGATATTCGTCACTGAATATCAAATGCTCATCTTTCATACCATAGCCAAGTCAATCATCCATTTTGAGAGCTGTTGAGCAGGTCGAATACGAGCCTTTCATCGCAAAAAAAAGCTCACTACGAAGTACATTCAAGGACAAAGGCCTAGCTTCTACCACTTGAATCATATAAGCTTGGCAACGATCCGCTCCCCGGCGTTGGGTCGTGACCGCTAAGGAAGGTGTATGGTATGGTATGGTATGGTATGTGTTATCTGTACAGCCCGTGACAATTACAGTATCGAAATACAGGCCGCGTATGGAATGTATTGTACTGCGCTAAACCGGTAAAGAGGGCCATAATCTTATCAGATTATCGCCAAGCCAAGCCATTGTGTCAATTGCTTGCCGGTCCGGGTTTAGCCGTGTAAATTTTGTCCCTGCATATCAAACTCAATTTGCCACTCTAGCGATCAGATAAGATAAATCCCGCGTGGCGCTCCGGGATTGTCCGTGGAGGAAGGATTAAAGTTATCTGATCCGTCCCATGTTCGCCGGTGGAGTCGTCCACTTTGACAACACGAGCACGCACGCTTTCCGGGCTTCGCGTTTTGTTCGGAGCAGAGTTGAAAACAATGGAGCTTTCATTCCCCACTCTATTAGGGCGGAACTGGACCTTTTTTTTTTCCAAGTCCGAGATCCTGCAGAATTGGGCGCCAGTCGCATATGGCCTGGTGGCCGGTTCCGGGATCCTAAGATAGGCCCCAAGGTCTCGATGAACTTTGCCCTGACTGCCACCATTTGGGACAAATTTGCGGCCGATATAGTTAAGTCATGCGATGAGCGGGAACAGGTGCTTAGCAACCATGCAAGAGACAAGGGAGCAACAGCTGCGCCTTATGACTTAGGAATTTCCGTGCGACAATACAAACTTTGCATTGTTAAGCCAATGCCCAAAAAATTATCTTTCATAGCTATCTTTATCTTCTTCTATCACAACCATCAGAATGAATACCCCGAATTCTCAAAACGGACGTGCAGAGAACGGTGTAAACGGTCAAGAAGGGCCCCTTGTCTTTAGGGAACCTGCGTTTGCCCTTAAGTCCAACGAAGAGTTGGCAGAATCCCTGCTGCTCGGTTGGATACTTCTTCTATATCGAGGTAGCAACTCGAGCGAAGACGCCAGTTTCTCATGCGAATATGGATCACGAGGAGACGATGCCCCAAAAGAGGGCGTCTCGGGACTTATAACAGATGTGATTTTGGAAGAAGTAGAACAAGTATCCTTGCTCCTCGAGAGAGTGCGGAATATACTACGGAGATGTCGAATATCCAATACGGACCCCGGAAAATGGAAAATCTTCTCTGCCGTATTATCCAATTCCGCTGCGTTAACAGAAGATTCAAGGAGAGAAGTGCCTAACGTATGCAATTTTCTGAGAACCCTTTATATGGAGCTCGGGCTGATTTATTAGGAACCGTTTTGCATTGAAGCCCAAATCTCAAGGGAAGAGCTCTCCATAAACAAAATACAAACTCCCGCTCTTAAATCCCCCTCCATGGTCAACATCTCCGTGCAGGCGTTCGTGGAAATTTTAGATTCGATTTTGTCCGACACCAACCAAACGATTGCACAGGCGATCCGAGTTACGAACAACGAACTCGATAAGATCTGGGAATGGAATGAGACAGTTCCTCCTACGATCGATACTTGCATCCACGACATCTTCATTGAAAATGCATCTCGACATCCTGAACGCCCAGCCGTCGTTTCTTGGGATGGTGGGCTATCCTATCGTGAAGTTGACGAATTCTCAACTCAACTCGCTATGCAACTGATCGACAGCAATGTCAAGATTGGCGAACCGATTATGCTCTGTTTCGAAAAGTGTATGTGGACGGTTGTTGCTGTACTCGCGGTGATGAAATCAGGTGGCACCTTGGTGCTTACTGACCCAAGTCAACCGGAGGCGCGCCTGCAAACTATAGCGACAGAAGTAAACGTACGACTGATTTTGACGTCAGAGACGCAAGCAAAACTAGGAGCCAGGATATCTTCGACAGCCTCCATAGTAAGTGTTGGGCCTAGCATTTTCCAGAGTCGCACCCAAGAAGTCTCCAAATCCACCTTGCCGAAAGTCCCTGGATCGTCAGCGCTGTACATAATCTTCACGTCAGGAAGTACAGGCAAACCCAAGGGTGTGGTCATCTCCCACACAAATTACACCAGTGGTGCAATACCTCGAGCAGCAGCAGTCGGCTATAACGCCACCTCTCGGGTTCTTGACTTCCCTTCGTATGCATTTGACGTTAGTATCGACTGCATGCTTTGCACCCTGGCGAATGGCGGTTGCATCTGTGTTCCATCAGAAGACCAACGAGTCAATGACCTTGGCGGCGCTATAAGAGACATGAACGTAAACATGGCGCACATGACTCCGTCAGTGGCCCGTGTCTTAGACTCGGACATTCTAGAGTCATTGGATGTTCTTGGTCTCGGGGGGGAAGCTGTGTCAGCTAGAGATGCTGCGGTATTTGGTCATAAAACCAAGGTCATCATTGCATACGGGCCTTCCGAATGCACTGTAGGCTGCACTATCAACAATGATGTTGGTACGGACCGAACGTATACTACTATCGGCAAGGGAGTTGGATGTGCCACATGGATAGTGGACCCGGCCGATCATGACCGTTTGACGCCTGTCGGAGCAGTGGGAGAGCTTTTAGTCGAAGGCCCAATCGTTGGAAAAGGCTATCTTAACAATCTCGCCAATACGTCTACAGTATTCATAGAAAACCCTCCGTGGCTTGTTTCCGGAAATGGTAACGTGCCAGGGAGGCAGGGAAGGCTTTATAAAACAGGCGACCTAGTTAAATATGACCCAGATGGGTCTGGGTCAATTTTTTTCGTGGGGCGAGCAGATCAGCAGGTGAAGCTGAGAGGTCAGCGAGTGGAGCTAGGGGAAATCGAATATCACTTGCGAACGAAATTACCCCCGGGCACAATGTCCGCTGTCGAAGTTATCACACCCGGAGGGAACAAAGAGAGCGCCACTTTGGTAGCTTTCATCGCAGAGCAGAATACAGAAAGCGCTGAGAGTATAGACAGTCAGGCTGTCTCGTTTTCTCCTGGACTATTGCAGGTTCTAGCTGATATTCAAAGTGAACTCGGTGTCGTGCTCCCACGATACATGATTCCGGCGGCGTATATCCCCTTGAAAGAAATACCGCTACTGGTTTCATGCAAGACAGATCGGAAGCAGTTGAGAGCTATCGGGGCGGCTATGTCACGCAGAGACCTTGCAAAGCTCAAAATAACTGCCGTCGAAAAGCACGAAGTCCGGACGGATATGGAACGCCGGCTGCATGGCCTGTGGACCCAAGTACTTGGGGACGGAACTGAAATAAACACCAACGACAACTTTTTCGATGCAGGAGGTGATTCTCTCAAAGCCATGAAGCTCGTCGCGGCGGCCCGACAACAAAAGCTAAAGCTCACGGTAGCCGAAATTTTTGGGCATCCAACACTCCAAGATATGGCTTTGGTGGTAAAACAAATCGACACAGATATACACATCGATATCCCCCCATTCTCCCTTCTGCCGAGCACATGGGCAGGACTGGATCCCCGCACGGACGTAGGAAATCTCTGCAGTATTGAAGCTTCGGCTATTGAAGACATATATCCATGTACGCCTCTGCAAGAAGGGCTTATGGCCCTTTCTGCAAAGATTAGCGAGGCATATGTTGCCCAGAGGGTTGTTGAACTTTCGGACTGGGACACTGCCGTCAAACTCAAAGCCGCGTTTGACACTACTATCGCCGATTGTCCAATTTTGCGTACTCGAATCGTCCAAGTTCCACGCCATGGCCTGATGCAGGTAATAATCAAGGAAAATATCACATGGCACTCGAGCAACAGTCTGGAACAGTATCTTCAAGAAGATCGTGAAACCCCGATGGGGTTAGGCACAGCTCTGTCCCGTTTTGCGCTCATTGAGGATCAAACGACGTGTAAAGTACACATCGTACTCACGATCCATCACGCACTATACGATGGATGGTCAATGCCATTAGTTGTTGAACGTGTCAATGGAGCATATAACGGTATAAAAATGGAAAGGCCCACTCCTTTTAGGTCTTTCATTAAGTACCTCAATGACATGGATCGCGCCGCTTCTGAGAGCTACTGGACGGAACAGTTACAGGGAGCAAGTAGCTTGCAGTTTCCAGTTCTTCCCGAGCCAGGATACCAGCCTCAAGCCGAATCTTTGCTAGAGCATTATATCCCGCTCACAAAAAGATCAGCATCGAGTACAAGTATTGCAACGGCGATTCGAGGCGCATGGGCCCTCCTAGCATCTGAATACACTATGACTGATGACGTAGTCTTCGGTGAAACTTTGACCGGGCGAAACGCTCCAATAGAAGGGATCGAGCAGATCGAGGGGCCTATGATCACCACAGTGCCTATACGCATTCACGTTGACAAAATGAAGAGCGTGTCAGACTACCTAAAGGAGATCCACAACGAAGGCATATCGCGCATCCCTCATGAGCATCTAGGCCTGCAGCATATTCGACGACTAAACTCAGACGCCCGTGAGGCTTGTGAGTTAAGGACCGGTCTGGTTATACACCCAACAACGGAGGCGGATGACATTAATGGTCATGAAGCAAATCCTGCGGATGGATTTGTTCCCGCCGGAGACATCGAAGCCGCGAGCGAAGCCTTAAAATTTAACTCATACTCTTTGATGTTAGTATGCTCACTTGACCCGCGAGGAATTTTAGTTATGGCAAGTTTCGATTCGAAAACGGTTGATGTGCCTCAGATGAATAGGGTTTTAAGACAATTAGGCCATATAGTCCAGCAATTTTGTGAACAGCCAAACAGCAAAGTTGCAGATGCGTTATCTTCGGCAGAAGAAGACGCTCTCGAGTCGCTGCGTCTCAGCAGGCTAGGGCCTAGCAGCTTGGATGAAAAGATAAACACAATGCCCGGGCACGAACTTTCAGGTGCCGTCGCAACATGGATCGTCAATCCTGCAATTCCAGACCATGTGCTCCCGGTCGGTGCCGCGGGTGAACTATTAGTCGAGGGCCCGTTCGAATCATCCCTGCCAGCTGTTGATACTCCCCTGTGGCTCATCGGAAAAGATACCAATAATGGTAGCTCCAAAAGACAAATTTATACGACCAACAAACTTGCGAAATATCGAAGTGATGGGACTATAATATTCCTTAGCCGTGTTAACTCTCAGAAGCCAGTCGACAAGGTGAAGCGAACCCCAGTTGCGCGAAGGCATTCTGGGGGGATGACAGCGAAGGAGCAAAAGCTTGTGCATCTCTGGGGCCGCGTGCTCGGGATGGATGAAAGCGAGATTGATATCAAGGATAGCTTTTTCGAATTAGGCGGGGATTCTATCGGCGCGATGAAATTAGTTTCGGAGGCAAGAATGGAAGGCTTCAAACTCACCGTCGCCGAAGTGTTCAAACACAAATACCTCAACGAGTTGGCCGAGGTGCTTGTAGAATTCCAGCCCCCAAAAGCGCCAACCGTTAATGGCAACACGGAATTCTCATTGCTTGATACTCGAGACGTCAAAGCGTTTGTTTCCGAGGAAATTCGGCCCAGCCTTGCGGACCAGTCCTGGAAAATATTGGACGTCTTGCCGGCCCGTCCCCTCCAAACGATTGCAGTGAAAGGAACTGTCCAATTGCCCCGGTATTCCGCGCGGTACGAACTTTTCTACTTCAATAATCATGTTGATGAGGCCCGTCTGTTCGAGAGTTGTCAGGAATTAGTGACAAGAAATGAGATTCTCCGAACGGTCTTTACGAAAGTTGATGGGCGGTATTACGGGATAGTTCTGGAGCAGGTGCGAGTCCCGATAGAAGTGCACGAGATCGAGAGAGATATTGAAACCTATGCCCACAATCTCTGCCATCTCGATGTTGAGACAACCATGCCACTAGGCTCTTCATTTGTGAAATTCCTATTCGTGAGGTGCACCGATGGTCGAGGTTGCTTAATTCTGCGGATTTCGCATGCACAATACGACGAGATATGCCTCCCTGTACTTCTTCGGCAGTTGTCTGCTCTGTACGAGCGCAAAGTTGTGCCCAAGGCGCTTCCGTTTTCCTCATATGTACAGCACGTTGTCAAGGAAAACATCCTACAAAGCATCCAATACTGGAGAGAGTTATTAAAGGGGTCTTCACTAACAGTGCTGCGCCCTGAAACACCGCTGGAATCCAAGATCCCAGCCGCCGTCTATAAGACGTTTGACATATCAGCTCGGCCTAAGGATATCACAGTGGCCACCATTCCCACGGCTGCCTGGGCGCTCTGCCTGGCCAAACGCCTCTCCCTTCGAGATGTAACATTTGGGGAGGTCGTCAGTGGGCGTAACATTGATTTTCCAAATAGCGATATAGTGATGGGTCCGTGCTGGCAGTATATTCCCGTGAGGGTCAAATTCGAGGACAAGTGGACTGGACGAGACTTGCTTGACTTTGTACAACATCAACATATCGCGAGTACCCGGTTTGAAGGTATTGGGTTGACGGAAATTGTCGAGAAATGTACGGTCTGGCCTGAGACTGTGGACTGGTTCGACTCTGTGGTACATCAGGACGTTGAGCATGTTGAGAGCTTGGGATTTTTGTCTGCAACGAGCCGGATGGAAACCATATACCCTCATGCGGAGCCATTGCGAGAGTGGAAGATTCAGGCTTTCTTGAAAGATAACAAGCTGAGTATTGAGATTGTGACTTTTGAGTCTTGGTTGGAGTGTGCGAGGTCATTGTTAGACGACATCGAGAAGGTCATGGGACTATTGCTAGAGGAGCCGCTCTCGCGTCTTTTCAACAACTAATTTCCCCTTTATAGATAGAAATAATTATCGTTTGTATCAATTTTTCATAAGACATTCCAATTGAATTGAAGTTGACTCTTTGATCGAGAAAGCGTGTAGAGAAATTTCATCATTCGTTTGGTGGCTGCATTTGTGACGGGATGACGTCCTATTTCGGCTGTTCTCATAGGCTGGCTGAGCTGCCAACTCACCAACCCGCGACAGCCGGACGTTCATCGATCTTCTCACCATTCACCTCAGACCTGGCATTCAGTGAGAGGCCTACAGAGACAGGTAACTGGTTTGTTTCCAGCGGTTTTCCCCAGCAGCCGAAATGGGAGCTCGAACAAGTGATCAGAGCTGCAGCACCCCATCACAGTCCTGTTTTATGGGCTGACCGATTACAGGCATCACTGGCCATTGGATGGGTCTTTTGGGTTATTGGGACCGCGAGACGAAGGAAACAGTATCTTGTTCTTGTCCAGTTAAGCTCTCATTGTCAGCAAACTGATCTCCCACAGACACTGTGATGGAATCCACCCTTTTAACTTTCATTCTCCCCTCCTTGGCCGAAAACTGAGGATGGAGTTATGAAAAAGCAAATTATCAAGCCCGCGGAGGCAAAAGTCGTCTACGCATCTGGATCGTCCTCGCAAAGAGAAATGCCTCACAGATCTCAAGCGAGGCAGGGAATCCTAGTGTAGTAATATCAGTCCAAGAACATTATTTTGTTCATTATTTTGTCTGTGCTTATTGTGCACTCTTCAATGATAACTACATAATGAACCTGTCAGGGTGGAAAATACAATCGATGCTGAGTGACAGAGTACAAAAAGAGCTGAAACCTTGTTGACAATCCTGTCATTAAGCACACATTATCCGATTTCGATAATAGTTCTGAAGAAATAGCCGACAGCCTAACTCCTTCAAGCCGCAAATCGTCACTCAATTGCTCATAAAATGATTGCAAGTTAGTGCCATGACTTCCGAGCCTTTCCAGCCGTGTCTCCATCTTGTGAAGAAAGAGAGCAATGGCAAAGTTCCGACTTCGCACAATATTTTCCCATTGAACAGGCAGATCACCAAAATGTTTTCCAAAATAGTGTTAGTAAGGAGGGGGTGAAATGCTTCAGCTCAAAACAAGATCCCTGCACACACACCATGAATATCCAAGCGCGTGCATAATCTCAGATTTGATTCCTGAAAAGTGAGATGAGCCAGATGTCTCTGGGATTTGAAACAGCCCTCTCTAAGCGACTCCCTGGCAACCTCCGTACCCCGAGTGTCTCGCGAGAGGTTAGTCGTCCATGGGCATGAATTGAGCGAATGTTGCGCAGTCGCATCTTTTCTTTTTCCCAGCCTTGCAGATGTCAATTTTCCAGGGAATCTCCGTGACTGAAAATGCTCTCCCCCAGGCCCCAGCAGTCAGCAAAGTTTGTCTACTCCAGATTTCGGCTGTTGTGGAAACCTGGGGACCATCGTTCGCTGGTCAGCTTCCCGTCGTTCGGCCAAAACTGCGCTAACTAACGAATGAGGATGCCCCATCAGCGTTGGTGCCCCCACGGAGAAGATTTTGGGACTTTTCTAGCTGCAGCAATTGGTCGTACTATCTCTATGAGATTACGGTGAAACTTCATTCGCTCGTTGAAAGTCTTATCCAAGCGAATCAGGAATTCGATCACGAGACGATATCCTATCACTGAGACGGAAATACTTCTTTGTCCACCGTTTCTTTAGGGAGATCGACGTTGGTTAGCTTGGGTTACTTTGAGTAGAAACCGCCGACTCATCGAGTAACCAGCGCCCAAATGCGGGTGTGCCGAGACACGAGGCCTTGCGGCATGTCATCCTGGCAGCAAACCTTCGATGCGCCTCTTCTGGATGCCTTCGAGTGCGGAGGTGATGCGCTTTCATCATTGAGCATTGATCGTCCTTCCTCTTTCACTATGGTCGCGTCCTAATTAAGTTAGCGAGCCCATCGAAGTGGCCCGACGTGACCGCTGTGGCCTTCGTTTCCATTCGGTATAACCCTGGTTAACCTCACCCCTAATCATGCAACTGGTGCTAGTTGGAGGTCTGGGCATTTGACCTTTGAAATGGACTAAAATCTATCGAGACCGCCGCACTTGTGATGATGCACTTTTTCCTTCCCCCTACTCAACAGCAGCTATGCATGGCAAAGGCTTCAGACATGTCCTTTCATAGCGTATAACTTCTGCTGCTTGGGATAACTAACGAAGAAACTTCTTCATTAGTCCCATAACTTGCATTTTCTTGCCGGAAACCCGGGCCCTCTCTGTTATGTATCCAGAGGGCAGATAATCTCACATCAATCGAGGAACCTTATTTGAACATTCAACTAGCTATCCTTTACCACCTCTTGCTAAATTCTGCCCTGTTCTAATAACCAAACTTCTTTTGGGCTATCGAACTCCAAATCACGGCCGATGTTCACCTTTGCACCATGACATATCTGCAGAGAGTGAAGGACTGGATCTCTTACGACGCGTTTCCGCTCGCACTTAGGCAACGTCGAAAGGGATCCGAAAAGATAGGATTGGCGCCTTCAGGAGAGGATGATTCCCATGTAGAGGCGAATCGTAAATTGCATTTATATCATCGTGTCCATCGATGGGATCCAAACCTTGAAGACGAATACCTCGATGAAGTGAAAGATGCGGCGAATAGCTACGATGGAAGTCCTACGAACAAGCGGATGGTCCGACGTGTTCTAGAAAACTCGCCATATCCAGAGGTTTGTCCTTCCACTTTTCCCGACCTGATATATGGAGACGGTTCGCCAACGCGATTTTGATATTGATCCAGGTTCGGGCCGCCGTGCGAAACACTGACGAAGATCTCCCCGTGGATACTATCCGCGCATGGACAATTGGTCTCTTTCTTACAACAGTTGGAGCTGGGCTCAATTCTCTATTTTCGCTCCGCGCGCCTTCTATCGTAGTCAGCTCCATGGTGGCACTGCTTCTCGCCCATCCACTCGGCTTAGGATGGACGAAAGTGATGCCGAATAAAAAGATTAAGATTTTTGGATCCGAATGGGATCTTAATCCTGGGCCGTTCAATCTTAAAGAACACGCTTTGATTGTAATCATGGCGAATGCATCGATCGGAAATGGGGTCGCGTACTTCACTGACACGGTTCAAGTACAAATCGCATTCTACAATGCGGATTTTGGTATGAAATATTTTTCTCTGAATTCACTTCGTTGGCTAACCCTAGTGTGAATCCATTCAGGCTGGTTATGGAATATATGTCTTGCAATCAGCACCCAGATGGTTGGATTCGGCATTGCGGGTCTCCTTCGCCGCATTCTCGTCGAACCAGGTAGGTTGAATACCTTGAAATCCATTTCGCCAGTCCGTCCAACAGTATCGTACCCTATTTATTCTGGCTTGACGAATACATTTTTATAGGCATTGAGTATAGCTAACTTACAGCCTCAGGATCTATGATATGGCCGCAAACCCTTGTCACCACATCCTTTCTTTATACTCTACATGACGATACTCCGCCGAATCCAGCTACAACAAACGGCTGGCAAATTTCCCGATACCGATATTTCCTGTATATCTTTACAGGCGCTTTCGTGTGGTACTGGTTTCCCGGGTTTATTGCACCGTTTTTAAGTGTATTTGCCTTTGCCACATGGATCAAACCGAACGATCCCCTTGTAAATCAGCTATTTGGAGGCTGGACTGGAATTTCACTCTTTCCTATTACTTTTGACTGGAGTCAAATTGCAGGTAAGTCAAAAAAGAAAAAAAGAGAAAAGAGAAAAGAAAAGAAAAGAACGAAAGGAAAAAATAAGAAAATTGAGTGGGTTGCTGAATCGAATCTGACTCGCAATGCAGGATACGTTGGAAGTCCACTGATTCCACCATGGCACGCAATCGGGAATACGTTGATTGGAACAACTGTCACCTACCTCATCGTCGCTCCCATCATCCACTACACCAACTATTGGTATGGGCGGCATATACCCATACATGACTCTAGCATATATGATAACAGGGGCCACCTCTATAATGTTTCCATGGTTTTATCCGCGAATAACACTTTTGACGTGCAAAAATACAAGGTGAGCCATTCTTTCATTGCGAGATCTCGTCTATCTAACTGGCTTTTCAGGAATATTCGCCAATTTTCCTCCCAACAACAATGGCTCTTACATACGGGCTGCACTTTGCTGCGATTGCCGCGTTGATCGTGCACACAGCTCTTTTCCATGGACAGCAAATCTGGATCAGGGCTAGGGATGCCCGTGGAGATTTGGATGATGTTCATACTCGAATGATGCGGAAATACGAACAGGTTCCAACCTGGTGGTACCTGGCGCTTCTCGGCGGCTGTCTCGCTCTGTGCTTCATAACTTGCCTCGCTTGGCCTACACACTTACCCTGGTGGGCCCTTATGATTGCTCTCCTGATTGCAATCATTTGGACGGTACCCATTGGCATCGTGCAAGGCTCAACTAACATTCAAATCGGATTAAACGTCTTTACGGAGTATATCATCGGATACATGCTCCCCGGCCGGCCGCTTGGGATGATGCTTTTTAAAACCTATGGATACATCACCATGGCACAGGCCCTCTCCTTTATTCAGGATTTAAAGATCGGACATTATCTCAAAATCAGGCCTCGCTCACTCTTCTGGGCACAGGTTATTGCAACTTTTTGGTCCTGCTTTGTCCAACTCGCCGTTATAATTTGGGGTTTGGGTAACATTGAGGGTGTTTGCGAACGAGACCAGCCTAACCGGTTCATATGCCCTGGCGGCAGAGTGTTCTTTGCGTCATCGGTCTTGTGGGGTTTAATTGGACCAGCACGAATATTCTCTGGCGAGGCAATGTATGCTGGTCTCCAGTATTTCTGGGTAGCGGGTGCACTTGCTCCTATATTTTTCTACATCCTTGCCCGAATGTTCCCGCGATCCAAAGTAAGATTCGTCAACACGCCCATTTTATTTGGCGGCACTCTCATGCTCCCACCGGCCACGCCTTTAAACTATGTGAGTACTGAACTTAATGTGCTGGTTTTCATGTAACCGTCGCTAACCGAGCCTGAAATAGCTTGCATGGGGTATTGTTGGCTTCGGATTTCAGAAATACATCCGCTATCGGTTCACAGGATGGTGGATGCGATTCAATTATATCACGTCCGCTGCGCTTGATACCGGTCTGGCAATCTGTACCATTGTCATTATAACGACCCTTCAGTTGCCAAACATCAGCTTTCCGAGCTGGTGGGGGAACACAGCTGCACTGAAGACAATGGATCAAATGGGGACAGCAATCATCGACCCAGTGCCACCAGGCGAGACTTTTGGCCCACGGTCTTGGTAGTCCCCAAAGAGCTTATTCCTTTGCATTGAAGGGCGTTGTGGAGCCATGTCCGCCACACGAGCAGGCGCGTTATTAGTGTAATGACCTCTTCCGATATCTCTCCCAGTTATGATCATGTTCAATTTATACATATACCTTTCAAGCAGTCTCAGCGACTTTCCATAACCAATAACTATTTAATGACTCCGAGACTTATCCATATAAGCTGTGGCGATGACCGGAATAATTATCACCCGAAAATTATCAGATCCCCGTCGCGCTGCTTCAACCGGTTAGTCATCGAATCAGATAACGCAATTCCGCCCGCAAAAGATTCCATCGCTGAGCCGCCATCCCGCCGACATTCAAACCAGCATCAATCTCCCCATCTTCCCCGTAGGTGGCTGAGAGACGCAATACCCCAGCGGGTTTTCTTTCTTTTTTCTTTTTTTAAGCTGCTCGTAATCTCGCAGACACTCAGCCGGAACCTTTACTACCATCCAACTTCTCTTTCCACCCGCGGCAATCGAACCGCAGCCATGTCCACCCTTCACGAAATCACTTCCGAAGCGGACTTTACGACGCAGCTCTCTTCCCTCCCATCCACATCTCTAGCTGTCCTCTCATTTCACACTCCCTGGGCTGCGCCATGCACGCAAATGCGCAACGTACTGTCCACCCTCGCCTCCACCTACCCCGCCACTACCCCTCCATCCATTCACTTCTTGAGCATCAACGCCGAAGACCTCCCCGACATCTCAGAGCAATACGACGTATCCGCTGTGCCATACCTAGTTCTCCTTCGAGACAACAAGATTGTTGAGACTGTGTCCGGCTCCGATCCAGTCAGGGTCCGGGAGGCGATTGAGAAACATGTGGGGCAAGACGGGCAGACAGATCGACCTTCCATTCCGCCACCTCTGGTCGCAGTACCGAGAGCGACAGCGGCGCAGGATACATCCGACGACGCTACTGCTTCAGACGCGCAGTTAGAGCCTCCCGTGCCCACGAAAGAAGAGCTCTTTGCGCGCCTTTCAGAGCTTGTAAAAGCCGCCCCGGTTATGTTATTCATGAAAGGGACTCCCAGCGCCCCACAGTGTGGATTCAGTAGGCAGATTGTGAGCATTCTGCGCGAGAACGGGGTGAAATATGGATTCTTTAATATTCTGGCGGATGAGGACGTTCGGCAGGGGTTGAAAGAGTTTGCGGACTGGCCGACTTTCCCGCAGCTCTGGGTCAAGGGGGAGCTGGTTGGCGGATTGGACATTGTGAGTTGGCCATCAGTTGTTATGCTTGTTCCTCTTTCCTGGGATTTTCAGTATGCTAACTGAGAATGTTATACAGGTGAAAGAAGAGATCTCCGCGAACCCTGATTTTTTCTGCGACTATTCGGTCTCTAAACCTACAAGCGCGCCCTCAGCTTGAAACTTGGACACCATCAATATTCCGACCCTTTGTTGTTTTCGCCCCGGCTTCCGTACTCCAAATGACCCTCCTGTGAAATGATATGAATTGTCCTGTTCAATATTGTGTGCATACCACTTAGCTTTGGCCAATCCGTGCATTAATCTGCACTGTTAGGTGCTTCTTAGATGTTTAACTGTTCTTCAGCTTCTGTTAATGTTAAAATTAAAAAAATGAAAACTGGATTTGGACATATAATCTTGATCGAGTGCTCGAAAAGAAAGTGCACAAAATCAGTATAAAGTGGCAATTATTATACGAAACAGCTTCTGTAAGCTCATCGAACCAATTATATGCCTGTAGTTTATAAGAAGGGAATATGTTTCCGTGTACAGGGCAGAACCCTATTTCTCCAGCAAATATGGAGTACAAGGGATCCTAAAACCAAAAAAGGAAACGGTGCAAGGGTTGATTGGGAATCAAGGAATGTCTTGCCCGTATAAAGTCTATACAACTTAATTTGTGGCAAAAAATAGGCCCCAAGCTTGTCAGACCAAACCAAGCAAATTTCTTCATAGCCTGGCTAATGACAGGAGAGGTGATTTTCCAAATCTAATAAATATAAGGGCCAAGTGCCAACTGCATCTTTGCCCACAACTCAGCCGTTAAATCCCAAAATCTTTTGTATAGTTATGATTCTGGGCGAATTCATTGTATCGAAGAGGTAACTATTCCTTCCTGGCTCCGCGACTTTGCGTCGCGCTGATCTTCCCTTCTCTATCCCCCAAAACCGCCAGCATCGTAATTTTATGTTCATCCCCAGTTGCGTAGATACTATTTTATGTTGATTGCTGGTTGCACACCCTGGTCTGACGTGGCGACATCCCACTCTTGAAGGTTTTTGGCACGAAAGATATCAAACTTTGACAGCAGAGCATCCTCATCCACGTATGCACCACGTAGCCAGCGAGAACGCTTCCGGCCATCACTCTGTGACAAATCAAATGCCCTTCGGGCATGAGCCACACGTCTATTTGCAAAAATAACACATTCTCCTGGCCGCAACTTCAATTCAAACATGCCTTCTGGATCTTGCAGGAGGTCTGAGAACTTGCGTAAGGATTCGGCCAGTTGTTGCATTGGGTAATCAGCCGGTGTGAAGTGCGGAGCCTGGAAGGGCGGTGAATAATTCACATACTCTAAATCTCCGGATTTATCCAGCTGGATCGTCGGGCGGCTATATTCGTAACTTTGGCCGTCATTAAAGTAGCCGTAGTGAAGCGCAACATCAGACAGCGTCTTTCTATCGTCTTCCGATAAACGTTGTGCCGCACGGAAAGTATCTACAAACATGGACTCTCCGCCAGGAAGGGAATTGTTCATGCAATGCAGCAATTGATAAGCAGGGGGATCGGCCATGTACAGAAGATCCATATGAAATCCAAGGAATTTATTTGTGTAGGCTACGTTTTTGGCTTCTGGTACACTGCGAACGTCCCAGGTGAGGCCGTAAAACGAATTGCGTAACGGTCCCATCCTCGTCGCAATCTGAGACACGCTCTCGGTTGATTCAGGAACGTTTTTGACGAAGGCCAGGCCATATCTGTACAAACTGCGCATGACTAACCCGAACTTCACGTCATCGTTCATATATTCATCAAAGGAGATCCAGTGTTGATTTTTCTCAAAGGTTGCCTTGTCCCACACAATTTTTGTCGGTCCACCGCGGTAGTGACGCGCAGGTCGAGGGGTATTTAAATTCCGGAGTTGTCTTGTGGTGTACGTCGAAACGTGCTCTTCTTCGGGGTTAGCGAGACTGCCCGTCCACGTTACGGTCACCTTGTCGCCCTCCATCCTTAAATCTTTTGGTTTCACATCCGGGGAAAGGTCCGACGTCAAGAAGTTGCGTTGCTTAGTGGATGGGTCGACGCATTGGGAGCAGGTACATGCATCTCGTAAACGCATGCAATTGAATTGGAGCCAGGAGCCATCGGCTTGAATGAACAAACGGCTGTACTTGGCCAGGCTTCCTTCACCAGCCTGCGCTTCCATATACTTGAACGTAGGAGGAACAGAGCGTCCATTAGGTAACGAAGTACTCTCGTTCACGGTAGAGTAGGGACGAAAAGAAAGCGTTCCTCTGCCGGGGGAGAAAATCGGCCCGCATCTCCTGGAAGATAGCGTTTGAAGAAGGCGGAAGGCCTGAAAATGCGGCGACATTGCGACGACGAATGCAGGAAAGGCGTGCCTGTCATCGACTGTTGGAGTCTCGAGTCTCGTCGCAGCCCCTCATTGCAACTTTTCACACTCACAAGCAGCCCCTCGCTGAATGCCGAGGCAAATATGGGAGCTAAGCCTCTTTGGGATTAGTTGGCTACTTATGTACAAATATGAGGTTGCGGCGACGTCACACCCGTCATAACCTGGGCCATCGTGCCAATCTCGCTCTTGCGGAGAGCCAAGATGCAAGAGTTTCATCGCGGGAATCCGGGAGCAGATAAACTCGTCGAAGCGAAAACTGCTGTGTTATTAGGTATAAGTTACAAGTGCATACATTCTTTCGAGGCGAGAGGAACTTCAATGACATCGCCCCGAAGGGATACATCAATGTTGCTTTTCGTGTTGGCGTCGCTGAGATCGGGGCACGCATCGCGCCGGGTATTAGAGCAGCTCTATCTGTATTCCTGGAAGTCAGTCTGCAAGCTGTTGTTAGGTGATTGCACGTCGCCAAGCTCGACCCTTACAGCAAGCGCACAGAAACAAGGCCAAATAACCAAGTAGCGGAGACAAGAGAGTGAGGGCGGCTGATATCCGCCTTCAACGACCTACCTGTCAAAGTTTATGGAAAATCCTATGCGAAACATCAAACGTAATTGGTAACCAGCCACTAGCCTCGAAAGCAGCGCATTACGAAATGGGGTCATCGCTGCCGTCTAGTTTGTGGCGCCAGCAGGGCCTGGGGAGAAGCAGAGTATATTCTATAGCCACACGGCTACGACAATCGGCTGCTCTCTGTGTGGTTCTGCCGTGGCGATGAGCAAAGGAGAATCGCACTACTGACCAAGTCCAACTTCAAGCATGGCAATGGGCAGACTTCAATTCTGGGCGCAGTGAACTTGCTTGTAGGCCTCGGGAATAATAACTTGGGACTGGAATCCCCCGGGAAGTGGAACACCTAGGTCTAAAATTCATTTGAGTAGAAGGCCAATGACGGTTGAATGCGATTGTCAAAGCATCCTTTGGGGGGAGGGGGGGGAATCTTGCGATGCTCCAGCGATGAAACAGCCACGGTCGTCTCTGATTGGAGTTCCATTGATTGAACACATCCCGTTATGCATTTATACCTTCCGCCGTCAGACCTTTTAATTAACTTTGAAAGCCACTCAAGCTAGGGATTTTTGCGGGGATTCCCATCCCGCACTTTGGTATGCCCTACTCCCAAGTCCTTGGGAATGGTGGCAAAGGTTAAAGATTTTTCAGGGGCAAAATCCTAAGGTTGCTCCAATCGCCCGTTGCTGAGTCAAAGTGACGCACGTCCATTCGACCGGGGGAAAAAGTCAAATCTTCCAATGTCGGCAGAAAGCTGATTGATGGGAAATCCTGTTTTGCAAGCCAGGGCGAAAATATGCTCAAGAAAATATCACGGGATATCATGAATGCAGAGATCGGGAGGAATCGGTGGGTCTGGTATTCTGGGGTTGGACTCCACTCCTGGGCTGATCAGCTTCGGTGAGACCGTAGGGGTGAGATAGGGACAAGTTCCTCATCAGTCGCATGTTGTTTCCCAGGGATGCTGCCCGAACTTTTGTTTTGCCTTTACTTTAAACCAGTCTGAAAACAAGGAAATAACCAGGATCCTTTGGACTGAATTTGCACCGCCTGTCCTTCAAAGTTTTTCCAGAAATGTTCTGGTTGCTGCCAGCCTGCGGTTATTTTCATGTTTGCTTGGTTTGCGCGAGGCGTTTGTTGCTGTTTGCGCTGTTTGCGATGCCCAACATGTTCTGTGATTGGTGGATACGGGCGGCACAGGTTCTTGGCGCGTGTCCCGGCAGGATGGATCCCGGTGGAGCTTCGCCAGCGAGTCGGAACCGGTATCGGTGCCGATTTGCCATTTCGGTCTCGTGCCCCATTTAAGAGTGGACTTCATCCCCAGCCAGGCCAGACAGACGGGACATCAAGCAGCTCAGTTTGCTGTCATTAAGAGCTCACAGTTCAACATATACCAAGTTTTATCTCGGTCGATTGTAGCAAATTTTTTCGAGAAGGGAAAGGCCGCTTTACTGACCCTGTAGGTCTCCTTGTCATTGGCCCAGACGTAAAGCGCTAATGTCGGTAGGATAGCACGCGTTTTGTGCCATCGGACGGCAATGGGCTCCTTAGAACTCCTTCCCTTAGAGCTTCTCATCATCATCGCAAAGGAGCTCTCTCTGAATGATATAGCCAACCTCCTCAGAACCTCCAGAAGGCTTTCGCTGCTCCTAAAGGATGAGTTCTACCGCGAAGCAGTCCTCAGGGACAAAGAAATGTATCACGGCCAGCCTGTGTCGCTGATTCAAGCCGCTTGCTTTGACCAACTGGCTTCTTTTGAAGCTTTGCTATACCTGACAAATGATATCAATCCCCCAATTATCAAGCTAGATCAATACCCGGTGTACGATTCCAGAGCGCCGCATCGGGTAATGGCTCCTAAGGGCGTCAGGAATATCACGATTCTTCAAGCGGTGTGTTCTCTTGGAAACGAGAGGATGGTCAAGCTTGTTCTCGACAACGATGTCGACACCGAGGTGCAAAATGACCGGGGGTTTACCGCGCTCCACCAATCTGTCCTCCTAAATCAGACGTCCATCATAAAATTTCTTATCGATGGCGGCGCTGACGTTCGAGCATTGCACGGCAGCTGCAATACCCCCTTGTCCTATGCTTTCCAGTATGGGTTTCTGGAAGCGGCAAAAATGCTCCTCAAGGCGGGCGGAGGAAATATAACGCTTCCTCCCGGTCCCAACAACCCTCTTTCTCATGCTGTCACGTACGGACGGCTGCAGATCGTAAAAGAGCTTCTCGCAGCGTCTTCGTCCTATTTCCCAGAGCCGTGTCTCACAGCAGCTCTTCCAGGCGCCGCTAAAACGGGCAATGTCGATTTAGTTCAGTACCTCCTTGATGCAGGCGCTAAAGCCACCCCAGACGCCTTGGGCGAAGCTTGTGGAATAAACAATTTGGCGATGATACGATTACTTATTGACGCTGGGGTGGACGTTAGAGGCCGTCTGCAGGATGGCACCACTGCCCTCTATAGCGTTCGGAGCATGGGTGCGGCTAAAACGCTCTTGAACGAGGCACCCAACCTTGCAACTATCGTCGCAGCCGGCGGGCCGGCTGTAGACCGAGTGTACGGATTATGCGATGCCGAGAAGAACCCGGAGATAATACCTCTTATATTGCTGTTGCTGGAAGTCGGTCCGCAAGAGCAAGTTTTCGGCGACACCCTTCTTCGTCAGCGTGCTATTCACTACGCCGCCCAGCACGGCCATGAACCTGTACTAAGGGCGATTCTGAAGAAGCAAAGATGGCAAGTATTCACACGGAGTGACACTGGCCGCACAGCCCTGCACTATGCTACCTCATCTTCATCTAATTCGAAATTAACTTGCGTGCGGCTACTCGTCGAGGCCGGCGTCGACATTTTCGCTGTAGATCTACAGGGCAATACCGCCTTGCAGGGCACATTCCACAAGGAGCGTCATCCACTAGACGTGGCAGTGACCCAATACCTCGTGGATGCCGGAGCTGATGTATGCCATACAGCGGAGAACGGGGGAACAGCTCTTCTAGATGCCCTCCGCAACCAGGATCCCGAATCGGCGTTGGTTCTCATCGAAGCGGACTCCGATGTCTCGGCTGAGGATGAAAAAGGGAGGCGACCGTTACACCACGCGGCAAAAAGAGGATATTTCCCGGTTGCAAGAGAGCTGATCCGACGCGGAGCAGAGATCTCTCCCTGCAACCGTAAACAAAACACACCATTGCATGTGGCGATCTATCGAGGTTGGAGAAAATACAAGGAGCAAGAAGAGTACGTGAAGATGGTTGAACTGGCGATTATCCGCAGGCATAAGTCGCTGGATCTGGACTTCGATTCGGATTCCGAGACCCTACGCGGGAACGGTCATCTGGCTGTGATCCAGCTACTCTGCTCTCTGGGTGCAGACCTCCACGTCAGAGCCTCCAAGCTCGACCTCACACCACTCGATCTTGTCAGGATGCAGAGGTATTACTGGGAGGAATTTTCACCAAAAGGTCGGTGTGTGGACGGGGAAGAGACAGCGTTGGATCTATGGTGGAAACTCGGCACATATATCCACTGGCAAAACAGATTTATCTTAAGACGATGAAATAGACGCGTCAGGAGAGGTGGGAGGCTCCTCTGCTTGGGTGGCCGCTGATAATTTCCCCCCCTTAAGTTCGGATCGATCGGGGGCCGCCTTAAGAGGACGTGCATCGAAAATTGCAAAACCAATCAATTCATTTGCACTGTAATAATAGAGCCTTAGCTATAGAAACAGAGTAAATTCTATCGCCAACTGATTCAATAAATGCCGTGGTTGAAGGATTAACGAGGTGGAACAGGGATGGTTATTACATCATCCTTGCTCTCAACAAAATTTGGTGATTTTCGCAAATTATTTCGCCAAACAACAACCAAGCCTTGCGAGAATGCCGCCTGCTCTCTAATTCCTTTCTTTCATTCTCTCCAGTCTTCACTCCTTTCCTTTACATATACACATGTCCAGGTATAAGGACTTGAGATATTCTGGCTGATCAATAATTGTTTTTGGGCTTTTGTTTTATTTCTTGCATTCAGCCTGCGCTCAACCACCACAACGATCTGTCCAGATCAGATCCCTCTGCTTCATTAATGAATGTCGGCGGGTGGCGAGCATCTCAAAGATGAAGTGCGATTCCTCCAATTTATAGGAATAATGTCCAAAAACACAGCTAACTGTTGTTCAACAGGGTCAACGGTACCAGGTTGTCGCCGCCGGCGCAATCGCGGGAATGGTCTCGCGGTAAGAACAACATCATTTCCCTCCTTGAAGACACACACACATATATATATTTATATATATATATAAAAGAGGAAACTATCGTTTCTAACTATTTCGATGCGCTTAGATTCTGCGTCGCTCCTCTCGATGTCGTGAAAATCCGACTCCAGTTACAAATACACTCCCTCTCCGACCCTCTCTCCCACAAAAACATCCGCGGCCCCGTGTACAAAGGCACCATATCGACCCTAAAAGCCATATTCCGAGAAGAAGGCATCACAGTGCGTCCACCAACCTCCGATAAAACGAAGGACACAGGAAACAACCCCAAAAAAATCTCATGGCTAACATCTCCCAGGGCCTCTGGAAAGGCAACATCCCCGCCGAACTCCTCTACATCTTCTACGGCGCCATCCAATTCACGACCTACCGCACCGTCACGCAATCCCTGCACACACTTCCACCCCCATACCGCCTGCCCCAACCCGCCGAATCATTTGTCTCTGGCGCCACCGCCGGCGGCATCGGCACCTTCACAACCTACCCCTTCGACCTTCTCCGCACCCGCTTCGCCGCCCAGGGCAACGACAAGATCTACCCGTCCCTTCTCACCGCCATCCGCAGCATCCACGCGCACGAAGGCTCGCGCGGCTTCTTCCGCGGCGTCAGCGCCGCCGTCGCCCAGATCGTCCCCTACATGGGCCTCTTCTTCGCCACGTACGAGAGCGTGCGCGTGCCCATCTCCTCGCTCCATCTGCCCTTCGGCTCCGGCGACGCCACCGCGGGTGTGATCGCCAGCGTCATCGCGAAGACAGGAGTGTTCCCCCTCGATCTCGTCCGGAAGCGCCTGCAGGTCCAGGGCCCGACGCGCTCGAGGTACATACATCAGAATATCCCTGAGTACAACGGGGTGTTGAGCACGATGAAGATGGTCCTGCGTGATGGCGGTGTGAGGGGCCTATATCGCGGGTTGACGGTGAGTTTGATAAAAGCCGCCCCCGCAAGCGCCGTGACGATGTGGACGTACGAGAGGGTCTTAAAAATATTGAAGGAGATAAACCAGGAAGCTATACAGTAGTGGTCCGATATGTTGTACAGCCGTTATTTCCTGTATAAATTCCGGACGAATATTTATTTCTACGTAATAGACTTTATGATATGGGGGGAAACTCCGTATATAGACAAGAATGCTACGGGTAGCCATGCTGTTGACACAATTGACCGGTAAATTTTTGGGTAACATCTTTCGCAACTTCAGTAGCATACTCACCTGGAACAAATGGCCAATTGTAATTTGTAAATTTATTCTCTCCTGCATAAATCGACGAACCGCAGAGTATTAAAATTACGTACGGATTGCTTTTTCATCAAGGTGAAATTATCAAATGTTTGTACTGGATATCAACTTTATCGTCTCTGACAAAGCAAAAAATCAAAGTATTCTGCAGTAAAAAGGCGGGCTCCCAAACAAGAGACGGACAAAGTGGGTTATCATGATCATGCTTAGTACTCAACGCCATCGTCAACCTCAGCCTCCAAGCTGTCGCTGGCGACTTCCTCGTAGTCCTTCTCCAAGGCAGCAAGGTCTTCACGGGCCTCAGAGAATTCACCTTCTTCCATACCCTCACCAACGTACCAATGAACGAAAGCACGCTTGGAGTACATGAGGTCGAACTTGTGGTCAAGACGGCTCCAGGCTTCAGCGATAGCAGTTGTGTTGGAAAGCATGCTGACGGAGCGGTCAACAGGGGCGAGCTCGCCTCCGGGAACGCGCATTGGTTTCTGGAAGTTGATGCCAAGCTTGAATCCAGTTGGGCACCATTCAACCAAGTTGAACGATGTCTTGGCCTTGAGTGAAGCAATAGCAGCATTGCAGTCACGGGGCACGACATCACCACGGTAGAGGAGGGCAACAGCCATGTACTTTCCATTGCGGGGATCGCAGACGACCATTTGGTTGTTGGGCTCGAAGCCTAGAGGGAAAGTGGGAGTTAGCAATCAGACCAAAGAGGCTGGGGGAACAAGAGGGAGGGTCATCTACATTGGAAGGTCAAGTCATGAACCTTGAAACTCTCGTGAGAGCTGCGGTTGCTGGAGACAACTGGAGCATAGCTGATCAGAGGGTAGTGAATACGAGGATATGGCACCAAGTTGGTTTGGAATTCATTCAAATCGACGTTCAAAGCACCATCGAAACGCAAGCTAGAGGTGATGGAGCTGACAACCTGGGCGATGAGACGGTTAAGGTGCTCGTAACCGGGGCGAGGAATGTCTAGGTTGCGGTGGCAGATATCGTAGACGGCCTCGTTGTCGACAAGGAAGGTGCAGTCAGAGTTTTCGATTGTGCTGTGCGTAGAGAGGACGGCATTGTATGGCTCAACGACGGCAGTGGAGAGACGAGGAGCCGGGTAGACAGCAAATTCAAGCTTGGACTTCTTGCCATAGTCGGTGGAAAGGCGCTCCAAAAGCAGAGCACCGAAACCAGAACCGGTACCACCGCCAAAGGAGTGGAAGATCAAGAAACCTTGAAGGGACGAGCAGTTATCTATTATCCGGAGCGAACGATCAGCAAGCTGTCCAGGAGATAACATTCCGAAAAAGAAAGAGAAAAGCAAAACAAGGGGGTGTTCGTTACCGGCAACGCGACGAATGCGATCGATGACGCTCTCAACCAGTTCCTTTCCAATTGTGTAGTGGCCACGAGCATCTAATACCCGAATTAGCCCATTTTCCTTATCTCCACGCCAGAACAGGGCCATTGGAGCGTACAGTTGTTAGCAGCATCCTCCTTTCCACTGATCAACATCTCAGGGTGGAAGAGCTGTCGGTATTGGCCAGTGCGGATCTCATCGATGGGCTAAGACGACGATAAGTTATTCTTTATTCCTTCAATCGAAAGCATTTCAAAAAAAAGAAAAAAAAAGGAAAAAAGAAACATTTTTGCGGGTGACGCACAGATGGATCCAGGTCGACGAAGATAGATCGTGGGACATATTTACCGCTTCCGGTCTCAGTGAAGAAGGTCCCGAAGGAGCCGGCTTCGCCAATGTCGCTGGCCTCAGGGTCAGGGCGACCATCAGCCTTCAATCCATGTTCGAGCAGGTACCTAAAAGCAACCAAAGCGAAAAAAAAAAGAAAATTATTAGCGAGACATGGTCAGCCAATGGGTCGAGAGACGCAGAGGAGGATGTTGGGGCGAAAGAGCGGTGAAAGGGGTGGGATAGGTTCAACGGACAATTCCCAAGCACTGTTACCGAGCTGGGTACCAGCCTGGCCGATATGAATATGGCAGACCTAAATAAGAAGAAAAAAAAAATTAAAAGAAATGGTTAGCATTGGGGATACTGGCAAGGTTTGTGTGGATTCCCTTTTTTTTGGGGGGGGAGGGAGGGGAGGGAGGGAGGGGGAGAAGCATAGCAGAGCACGGTCGCATCAGGGATGGGGGTGCAGAAGAACATCGAAGCCGGACTCACCTCGCCTCTCATGGTGTGATGAATTGGATCGCGTTGACAGGGAGGCAGAAAGCGTGGGCGACGGGACGAGCAGCGAAAGAGAGAAACAGAGATCGAGAGAGAGATGATCGAGAGAAAGACACGAGACTGGGCGGTGGAGAGCGAACTGCGGGAAGCGGCGAGGGGAAGGAGAGGAAAGAGGGAGAAGAAGAAAGAGGCCAGGAGCGAGCGAGCGAGAGGGAGAGAGGGAGAGAGCGAGAGAGGGTTTCAGGAAGGAAATGTTGTTGTTTTGGCGCTGGAACCGTGCTCTTTCCCTCGACGTGTGCGTGCTAATGCCCGATCAGGAATGGTGTCAACACAACCCCCGTAAACAAGGATCCCCCCCGCCAATCAGCATCCGCCGCCGTCCAACTAGCTCCTTCCCCCCTTTTTTTTACTCCCACTCTTTTTTTCTTGCTACCAAAACAAGCAAAAAAGGCTTTCACAAACTGGCTGGCGATCGCGCCTTCTGCTCGAGGGAAGTTCGACGCTGTCTTTTCCGACTTGAGCGCTGGGAAGGCCCGCATTGTTGACAAACTTCCCCTTACGGCCTGCAGCACGCTTCTAACCCTCGCAGCCACGCCGTTTCCCGAAAGGGGATATATATATATATATGGCTCGAGTGCCCCAATACAGAAAAGGTTTCCCCTCCAACGCCAACACCCCCCGAGCTCCCTGGAAAGTCGATCCAGCGTCCACTCGAAGAGCGAACTGTGTTCAGGGCCACCTCTCATACCCCGGGGCAAACATCAGGCATTCTACGGGAGTTCGATCGGGTATAGCAACAACGCCAGGTGCGTCCGAGACTGCGATACGGGAGTACATCTCACGTTCATATTTCGTGCCATCGAAGGATCATATAGGTGATGCCATCTTGGAATTACATCGGCGCAGCAATCCGACATTTTTACCGGGCGGCCTCCTTTTTGTGTTTTACTGTAGTACGTCCATCCCAGATGGAGGTGACTTTTTTTTCTTCTCCCCAGTTGTCAACCGGACGACTGTCAAAATACATCAAACATATAACATTTCCCTTGACAAAAAACGAGCTTTCGGTGACCGGTAAGTTCGTTCCGGCGACGGCCAAAGAGAATCCCCGTGATGAGCAATGGGACGAGTCATCCTCCGGGGACATTGTAGCACGCCTACCCTCGTAGAGAACGCTGTGAAGATTATTCTATGAATAACCCTTGGATACCAAATGTATCGGGGACAAAAAGCTTTCTTTTCAATTTTTTTTTTTTTTTTTTTTTTTTTTTTTTTTCGGTGTATATAATTAGAAGCGCCCCCGTCCCATCTGCCTGAAAGCCAATGGCCCAGCAGAGTGCATGTTATGGGAGGGAGTTACAGAGATCCTGCGGTGAACTCAAGATGCTGGCAGACAGACAGCACTATCCACCACCCCAACAGGTCTCAGAGGACAGTGGAACATTCTGCCCAGCCAGGAGAGAGACGAGAGCCTTTCATTCGCCGATGCCGCTGTGAGACGGATCGTGCTGTGCACCGCGAGCATGGGAAAAAAAATCCCCTGGATGAACCAGCATCTTCTTCTTCCATTGGTCCCAGCATTTCCTTCCCTCGAGAACTGCCCACCACCCGGCGTGACGAACAAGCCGTTAAGTCCCAAGCCTGAAAGATCTATGTATCGCAACTGGGGAGGCCGTGTGTTCGTGGCGATAGGCGATCTTCATACCTGCAGTCTGTGTATGATCAGCTGCACGTGTTTTGGTTTTGGTTTTTTTATTTTTTTTTTTTTTTTTTCTCTCCCCAAAGTCCACCTCCTCCAACGAGATGGGACAGGGGTTGGAAGATCTCTTGGCAAGGGCTCGGTAGGTCAAAGAAGAGTGTGTTCTGCAACGTGTCGGAGCGAATAGAACGAGACCTTCCCGACGCATTGACCAATCGTTAAAAAAAAAAAGTTGCATGTGGATGCAGCGTCAATGCAAATTATGCCGTGGCATTTGACAAGTCGAGATTGCAGTCGCTGGTCGGATTCCCAAGACCGATTCGGAGAAAACAACCAGAACCTTACCTTGGTCCGGCGGAGAAAGAGAAGGAGGAAATTGAAACGGCCCCGCCCGACTCGTCGAAGGCCGCGAGATGAGATTGAGAGCTGACGATTGCCCGCTGTGGCACCCGTTTCACTCCTTGATGCTCCGCCCAAGCCGCCTCCCAGACAGGTTTTTGTAGCCTTTTTTTTTACATATATGTTTCTTTCTTAACGCGACGCGCGGTGATCCAGACCCGCACGCCTCCACCGCGTCTCCACCCAAAGCGCGAAATCCCTCGTGCCAAGACACGCCAAGACACGCCGTTATGCTTATTTAAGCCACCACACCCGTGCCGGACCGGGCAGGAACCTGTTTCGCCCGCCATAGAAGCTTCTCTCCTTGTTCGAAGTGCGCTTCTTCATCCTTGTCGTCCTTCTTCTCTTCCTCTCATCCTTTTCTTTTCTTTTTTTTTTTTTCCTCTCATCTTCTTCTTTTGGTTTTCTTCTTTTTCATACTCTTCATTCCAATCTTCTCTCTCTCTCTCTTTTATCCTTGTTGTAAATAAGTTTCAATTCAGATCCTGCTCTTCCTGTCCGTACTTTTTCAGTCTCTACCGTTTCAAAACCTTCGTTTCCCATCGTCTGGTTCCGCCACTAATATTCGAACCACTTCTGGTTGAGCAGCGCTCCATCTCACAACTAATCGTTCTTCATCTCCCGTGCAGCTGGTCATTCACTCAAATCATCGTGCTCGTGCTTCTATTCCTCTTGGTGGACCCTGTCAGATCGACGATCAGTCGGTTACATACATCATAACGGCCCCGCGGATCTTCAACACCACTTTGACACACTTCGGGGCCTTTTTTTTTTTTTTTTTTGGTGAACCATTCAACGGGCATTGATTCAGAAAGAACCTATGAAAGTGGGATCTGAGCCCACACAGCTATAGTAGAACAGAGAAGTTAATCATGTCAACACCGGTCTACGAAGGCCCTGAGCCCAGCTACGGGGCCGATCACAGGCGTCTCGAACATGGCCGATCATCGACCGACGAGACGATAGTCGGCGAGAAAAAAGCAAGCGGGGACAATGGTCGCCTTGGAGTCGATCCGTCCCTCAACCCTCACGATCCTGGGCTCCGTTCCCCGTCCCAGACACGGGAGGAGGCCCATCGCCTGGACGATGATCTCGCGGTGCTGCAGGCGGAGCGACAGGTCTCCAGGACCGAAGGTGAGGCCGAAAGGGCAGGACGCGCTTCGTCGGTTCGCAGGTCCCGGTCACGCCGGACGGAGCCGGTGGACGAGTTTGATGCCGCCACCAATCCCCTCCACGAGCAGAGTGCCGTCTTCAAACCCCCGGAGAACCCTACCACCAGTTTCGCCCGGTTCGTGAAGAAGGTCCACAACTCCAGCTTTTTGGTCCGTTACTTTACCTACATCACCCCGCTGGTCCTGATCCTCCTGATTCCGCTGCTGGTCGGCGCCCTCGCCTTCCCGGACGCTGATGTGGGAGGTGTGAGCCTCATGTGGTTCGCCGTATGGCTAGAGATCTTCTGGCTCACCCTGTGGGCCGGACGAATCGTGGCGAAATGCATCCCCGTCCCCGTCGGCATTGTGGCCGGCGTGTTCACTAACAACGCGAAGAAGTGGAGGGACCTCGCGAAGCAATTGGAGTTTCCGGCGACCCTGTTTTTCTGGTGGCTTGCCGTGGAAATCTCCTTTCTTCCCACGATGAAAAACCACCACATCGATGGAAACAAGGCAACCAAGCACTGGGAACTCGTCGTCAACAAAATCATCATTTCTATTTTCGTCGGAACGACGCTCAATTTCATCGAGAAGATCATCATCCAGCTAATTGCCATCAGCTTCCATCTCAGGACGTATGCGGATCGAATCGAGCTCAACAAGTTCCAGATCGGCAGCTTGACTAAGCTTTACGATTTCTCCAAGAAGAAGATCACCATGGAAGACCGCGACTTCGAAGAGCGGCCCAAGGATGGGCGAAGCTCTGGCACTCGAACTCCCATGATGTACGCCGATAGAGCCACAAGGGTCGCCAGGGAGGCGCTCCACAAGGTTGGCGATGTCGCTGGCGCTGTTGCCGGTGATTTTACCGGAAGGAAAGTCAACAAGAGCAACCATCCCTACCAGGTTGTTCTCGCTCTGCTAAACACCACCAGCGGCAGCCAAGTCCTTGCCCGCAGACTGTACCGTACTTTTGTTCGAGAGGGGTTTCAAACTGTTTTCTCAGGCGACTTGAAAGCGGCTTTTGAGAATGACGACGAAGCCGATGCGGCCTTCAACATGTTCGACAAAGACATGAACGGGGATATCTCGATGGAGGAACTGGAGGCTGTCTGCGTCGAGATCGGCAGGGAACGAAAGTCGATCACGGCGTCGTTAAAAGATCTCGACTCCGTCGTGTCCAAGCTGGATGACGTTTTCGTTTTCATCGTGGTGATCATTACGATTCTAGTGTTTCTATCTCTCATCTCGACCTCTGCTGCGGGTGTGCTCGCCTCGGCTGGGTCCACACTCCTCGCGCTCTCCTGGCTCTTCTCTGCTACCGCGCAGGAATTCCTCCAAAGCATCATCTTTGTCTTCGTGAAACATCCCTTTGATGTTGGTGACCGCGTCTCGATCTACGGCAACACCGGAGCCAATTTGACGGGAGACGATTATTTTGTTAAGGAAATTGCCCTACTCTACACCGAGTTCAAGAAGATGGAAGGTCACGTCGTCCAGGCTCCTAACAGCTACCTCAACACGCTGTTCATCCTCAACCAGCGCCGCAGCGGTGGGCTTGCCGAGGCCGTCCCAATCATCATAAAATTCGGCACCACTCTCCAACAAATCGACGCTCTCCGTCAACGCCTCCTCGAGTTTGTCCTTTCCGAGAAAAGGGAATATCAGAGCAAAGTCTTGACCGAGTTGAGACAGGTAACGGAGAATTACTCTATCACGCTCAATGTGGTCTTCTTTTACAAGTCCAACTGGCAAAATGAACTTCTCCGTCTGCAACGCCGAAACAAATTCATCTGCAATCTGATGATCTCCCTGCAAGAAGTGGGCATTGAAGGCCCACGCATGAATTTGGTCGGTTATACAACGGATCTACCTTATCATGTCGCGCAAGGTGGATCAGCGCAGCCCACTCCTACTGGAGACGAGTCATCCAACTCGCCGCCACCGCCACCAGCCGCGGATCCCCAGCAGCTCGCCGAAGCTCGTGATGCCCTAGGTGAGCTTGGCGGTGGATATTCCACCGGCGTTCATCCCCGCCCATCTATCCTCCGTCGTCCCGGTGCGTCGACACGCGGTCGTGGCGATTCGATAAACAAGCATGTCGATTTTTCTTTAGGCATGTCTGAGCTGAGCTCTGCCGACATGATGTCGGACGTGTACGCCGACCGCGAACGGAATCGCGTAGACGATATCATCCGTTCTGCTAACCGCGAGAGTGCCGAACGACGCATCCAAGAGCAGCAGGAACGTGAGTCCCTAGAGCGTAGTAGGTCTCAGCAATACCGCCCCTCGATAGATTCCCATCGCTCTGGTATGGGAAGCACAACGTCTTCGGTCCACAGGAACCGCTTCTTTGGCCGGCTTGGAGGTCGAGCGGGCCCACATCAGCATTCGACGCGAGGATTCCAGGGTGACGATGACATGATGGAGCAAGGCCAGTACGCTGGTTTACCGACCAACCCGGAAGAATCTTTGGCCAAGATGGATCCTCGGACGGGCAACGTCTCGTCTCGGGCTGTGCATGATGACGAGTTGGGCCGGCAGAGGACCGGGAGTGACGCTGAGCTAATGCAAGCGAGGAGTTCGGACCGGGTGAGCGAAGAGTATGAAATGGGTAGACTTGGTGGCAGGCCGTGAACGCTAAGGCCCGCGCCCTTCCTAACACTTCATCCTCCTCCTTTTTGGGAATGCAGTTCATATACTCCTATTTTTTTCGGGGTCCTCTTTGGAATTTTGAACGCGCTCTGTGGCATAGGATTTTTTTTTTTCCTTTTTCTTCCTTTTTTTTTTTTTTTTTTTTGGTCCTGTGATCTCTCTTCCTTTGCAGGCTCACAAAATTCTTCACATTGCACATATCTATTTGGACTTGGTTGGGTTTTTACATTTTGGATTTTCTTCTTGGCTTTTTTTTTTTTCCCCCTACCATTCGCCGTGTATCTCAGGCATAGGGCTGCTGTTTTATACCCCCCATATTGACCTTCTGAAAAGGTGTCATTTTTCTTTAACTGTTGGTACTGCATCTCAAACTCCATCTCGGGCTACATGGCAGCACCGAAAAAAGAAAACCCCCGCACCTGCGTGCACCAAAAAGGCATTTATTTAATTTCACTTTTATTCAATTTGTTTTCTGGAAATTAGCTTTCCGTGCAGTTAAATACATTACTTCAAATGCTGGATGAAATATTTTCTCGGACTCCATTGTCCAAAAAAAACGTACATTGGTTGGGTTCCGTGCCTGCGAGCGCCCGGAGATCCTTTTCAGCATGGCAGTTCCAGGGAATTGATTCTTTGGGATTTGCGAACTCCGTCCGTCCACCACGTTCAAAGAAGCTCATGATGCGCAGCGGCATGGCGTCCACCAGGGCTGGTCGTTTTCGAGATACATATGCATGCGAGCATGACATGTGGACGTGTATGCAAGTATGTATATGTATTCCTCCTAGCGCCTTGGCATGTCGGATTCGCGTGGAGGAAAAGGTGTGTATGTAATCTATGCGTCACGGCACTGTATTGTGCTGGAATAGTGCATTAACAGAGATACAACATCCGGAGTACATAGACGGAGCAAAACCGTTTCCCTTCCCCGTACGGGAGTATACGGAGTGCGCCGGAAGGGGAGGAAGCGAGAACGAAACAAGGCAGCAGGCAGGCTGACGATGCTGTGTTGGTCTTCTTCTTCTTCTTTGGGCTACTGGAGCACGTTTACGTGGCGGACACCCGATGATTCGTCACAAAAACGAGCCAAAAATCCTTTCTAGTTATGTTACATATTCCATCCGAAAAGTTGGCGGAGTTTGTGTTGGAGGTAGAAGTATGTACGTATAAACTCACACACCCATGGCACAGGGGCATTGTGTAAAATTCCCCTTGGCAACGCTGTGCGGGGGGAACACTTCTCCCGAGATCTGATATATATTTTATCAACCTTTGCGAAATAAGTAGAGAATCGAAAGGGGAGGGGGGAAGAAACAGCTGGTGGTAAAAATAGCCGCCCCAACTTGTCGCACAGTGGAACAATACAGGAAAAGAAAGGAGGACAGCAGGCGAACTCTAAATAAGCATAATTTTTATCTGGGGGGGAAGTAAAATTACAGCGCCTTCCAGAACGGCCCGGCCGGAAAAGAAAATGTGCACCGAAGCAGCAGCAGCAGCAGCGAGCACGAGGATGCCACGTGAGGGCGGTTGCCGCTAGTAACGTTACCTGAACCAGGCGCAGCGGAATGACCGCGATCCGGCTTCCGTTGCCAGTCGGCCAATCATAGGGTGATACAGTATTATGTAAGACACCTCCGTCGTATGTAACTATGTACGGAGCGAGTCACGTACTCCGTACCCCGTACTCAATAACTCTTTTCGTAACATCGGTACGGAGTACATTTTGTGCTGCTCCCATACATACTGTACGGCCGCCTGCCCAGCGCAAGGGGCACCGCCGCGGCGAGCTGTCACAAGGCGCGAAAAGGGGCCTGGAAGGTCCCCGGAACCGGGCCCCCAAACGAACCCTAAAAGCCCACCGTTACCGACGGCCGGCTCTCCACACCCCCCCGGTGTCAGATTCAGTTCAGCACCGGAAGCTGCGTCGCTGCCGGCTCCGAAGTGGGTAACTTTGTCGCAAGTCCCAAGATGTATCTCTGTCCGTCATATTTTTGTTTTTTATTTTTTTTTTCTTCGCTCAGCCCCAGGGACGGAGAGAGATTCAGCTTACTCTGTCCCGTCTCTTTTCTCTCTTTTCTCTCTTGTTTCCTTTTGAACTCTTTTTCTCTTTCCATCCGTTCCGTCCGCCGGGTTCTGCAACTTTTCCTCTCTCGTGCCTCTCCTTTTTTTTTTTTTTTTTTTTTTTCCTTTTCGTTTTTCCCTTTTCGGGGATATTGCCATATATAGAGAGAAATACGTACCTAATTTTTCTTTGCTTCTTTGATTCGACGGCATTTGAAGTCTAGAGTAGATCAGTTTCTTTCTCTCTCATTCTCTCTCTCTCTCTCTCTCACTCACAAACACACACACAGTCTTCCCCGTCTTGGGGTATTTCCAATAAGTCCTGTGTTGAATTCCCTCTGTATTCGCCGTGACGTGGGAAGAGGGTTGTTTATAGACATTCAATTCTTCCCTTTCGTCGTGCAGACATATGGGATATCTCGAAAGGACAAAAAGAAAAGAAAAGAAAACGGCAAATAGAAAAAGAAGCAACCCTGACCGCTAGGAGTCCCAATTCCTAGCCCAAACATGGCCAACGCGCCACCGCCCTTCGGCGTCTCTGCGCTGGCAGCGGACACCGGCGCAAACTTTCAGGACACCGTCTCCTCCCAGACAGAAGTCAATGGCTCGGAATTCCAGGCAAAAGCATATGGAGACGAGACAAAGCCCAGCACGGCAAGTTCTGTCACCGCGGGGAAGATCTCAGAGCTGGACGACGGCGACACTGGGATAACCAAGGACCAGGAGCACGAGATCGTCGACCTGGCCCGCCGGGTCTCCCGCCTTTCGAGACGGAGCAGCGTCTACGACCACGACAACGTTGTCAATCCCTTCCTGGACGCCGAGGCTAACCCGGAGCTGAATCCCGGCGACAAGCAGTTCAAGCCCCGCAAGTGGCTCAAGACCATTCTGCAGATCCAGTCCAGGGATCCGGAGAGGTTCCCCAAGCGCACCGCCGGTGTGTCCTTTAGGAATATGAACGTCTATGGATATGGAACCGCGGCGGATTACCAGGCCGACGTTGGGAATACTCCTCTCAAGGCCGTCGGCGGTATCAAGCAGCTCTTGGGCCTTGGCAAGAAGGTCCGCATTGACATCCTCCGAAACTTTGAGGGTCTGGTCAAGAGTGGTGAAATGCTCGTGGTGTTGGGGCGCCCCGGCAGGTAAGCTTTTTTTTTTTCCTTTCGCCTGCTCCCAAAAACCTTGTGTTTATATAAAATATAATATCCCCCTTGTGTTCTTGATGGGCTGATTGGGTTTGCTAGTGGCTGCTCCACGTTCCTCAAAACCCTCGCAGGGGAGACCCACGGTTTATATCTAGATGAAGGAAATGACATCCAGTATCAGGGTGTCTCCTGGAACCAAATGCACAAAAACTTCCGGGGTGAGGTGATATACCAGGCTGAAACTGAAACCCATTTCCCCCAGATGACCGCAGGTGACACATTGTATTTCGCTGCGCGGGCCCGTGCACCCGTCAACCGCTTGCCGGGAGTTACACGGCAGCAGTACGCAGAGCACATGCGTGATGTTGTGATGTCCATGCTCAGTCTGTCCCACACGATGAACACCAAGGTCGGAAACGAGTATATTCGAGGTGTCTCGGGTGGTGAGAGAAAGCGTATCAGTATCGCAGAGACAACACTGAGCGGGAGTCCCCTGCAGTGCTGGGACAACAGTACCCGTGGTCTCGACAGCTCCACCGCGCTCGAATTCGTCAAGTCGCTGCGTCTATCAACACAGTATTCCGGTACCACCGCCATCGTGGCCATTTACCAGGCCGGTCAGGCTATCTATGATGTAAGTTTCTGTGCCTTTGGTGGCCGGGGCCGGACGTTGAGTTGTATGTATGTACGTGGTTTCGGCTAACTTGGAAGTAGATATTCGATAAAGCTATTGTTCTCTATGAAGGTCGCCAGATCTACTTTGGCAATGCTGTCCGTGCCAAACATTACTTCATCGAGATGGGGTTCGAATGTCCAGATCGCCAGACCACCGCCGACTTCCTTACATCAATCACCAATCCTGCAGAGCGTCGCATTCGCCCTGGTTTTCAGAATAGAGTCCCTCAGACGCCGGACGAGTTCGCTGAGCGCTGGAGGAAGAGCCCCGAACGCCAGGCACTGTTGGCCGAGATTGAGGAATACAATGCTGAATTCCCCCTCGATGGCGCACAGTTGGAGAAGTTTCAACAGTCCAGGCAGGCAGAGAAGTCCAAGGCCGTTCGCAAATCGTCACCTTATACGTTGTCGTTCTGGCAACAGGTCCAGCTCTGTATCTGGAGAGGATTCGTTCGTCTCAAGGGCGACATGTCCATGACGCTGACCAGTGTCATCGGAAACATCGTCCTGTCTCTGATCATTTCAAGCGTTTTTTACAACCAGCCAGATAACACCAGTTCGTTCTTCGGTCGCGGTTCTCTGCTTTTCTTCGCCATTCTCATGAACGGCTTTGCGAGCTCGTTGGAGATCTTGACCCTCTGGCATCAGCGCCCCATCGTCGAGAAGCACGACAAGTACGCCCTCTACCATCCATCAGCCGAAGCTATCAGTTCGATGATCGTGGATCTTCCTTCCAAGGCAATTGTGGCAATCGTGTTCAACCTAATCCTGTACTTTATGGTCAACCTGCGCAGGACGCCTGGTCACTTCTTTGTCTTCTTCCTGTTCTCCATCTCAACAACGCTGACCATGTCCAACATCTTCCGCACCATCGGAGCCATTTCTAGAACTCTTGCACAGGCCTTGGTTCCATCTTCGATTTTCATGCTGGCGTTGGTCATCTATACCGGCTTTACGATCCCCGTTCGAGATATGCGTCCGTGGTTCAAGTGGATTAGCTATCTCAACCCAATCCAGTATGCGTTCGAATCGCTGATGATCAACGAGTTTCACGATCGCCGATTTCCCTGCGCGATGTTCGTACCCATGGGTCCTTCATACGCGAATGCTACGGGAGATTCGATCATCTGTGGTGCTACGGGTGCCCGGCCGGGCGAGGATTTTGTGGACGGCGATACGTTCTTGAATATCACTTATGGTTACTATGCATCTCATCTCTGGAGAAATCTGGGTATCATCTTTGCATTCTTCTTTTTCTTCTTGGTTACTTACATTGGTGCGACCGAGCTCATCAAGGCCAAACCGTCGAAAGGAGAGATTCTCGTGTTCCCGAGAGGCAAGGTGCCATCGTATCTGAAGAGTAAGAAGAATTCCGATGACCCTGAATCCGCTGAAACCGTGAACCAGAAGCAGAAACTCGAGTCTACCGGACATGACCAGGTCGGTGCGATCGTGAAGCAGACATCCATTTTCCACTGGCAGGACGTCTGTTATGATATCAAGATTAAAAACCAGCCGCGCAGGATTCTGAACAACATTGATGGATGGGTCAAGCCTGGCACTCTGACTGCTCTCATGGGCGTCTCGGGTGCGGGGAAGACGACGCTGCTTGACGTCTTGGCGGATCGTGTCACCATGGGCGTAGTCACTGGCGAGATGCTAGTCGATGGGCGCATCCGCGACGACTCGTTCCAGCGGAAAACAGGCTACGTCCAGCAGCAGGATCTTCATCTGGAGATCAGCACTGTTCGTGAGGCCTTGGTTTTCTCTGCTCTGCTTCGACAGCCCGCGACCACTCCTCGTGCGGAAAAGATTGCCTATGTTGAAGAAGTCATCAAGATGCTTGGTATGGAAGAATACGCTGATGCTGTTGTCGGCGTGTTGGGCGAAGGGTTGAACGTTGAACAACGCAAACGTTTGACTATTGGTGTCGAGATCGCTGCGAAACCGGATCTGCTCTTGTTCTTTGACGAGCCCACCTCCGGCCTCGACAGTCAAACGGCTTGGTCTATCTGTACATTGATGCGCAAGCTCGCGGACCACGGACAAGCTATCCTGTGCACTATCCACCAGCCGTCAGCGATGCTGATGCAGGAATTCGATCGATTGCTCTTCCTAGCTGCTGGCGGCAAAACCGTCTACTTCGGCGAGCTCGGCAAGAACATGAGCACTCTGATCGATTATTTCGAAAACCACGGATCTCCCAAGTGTCCTCCTAATGCCAATCCGGCTGAATGGATGTTGGAGGTCATTGGTGCTGCACCCGGATCTCACACCGATAAGGACTGGTCTCAAGTTTGGAATAACAGCCCTGAGCGCGCCGAGGTCCGTCGCCAGTTGGCGGAGATGAAAGCAGAATTGTCCGAGAAACCTCAGGCTCCTCGCTCGGCTGGATATGGTGAATTTGCAATGCCGTTTTGGCAGCAGTATCTCGTTGTTCAGCATCGGATGTTCCAGCAGTACTGGCGCAGTCCGGAGTATATCTACTCGAAGCTTTGTCTGTGCATTGTCCCGGTATGTAGGCTGAGTGCTGCTCCCCCTTCTCTCTCTATCTCTCTCTCTCTCTCTCTGTGTGTGTATGTGTATTGGCATGCTCTCTAACTTTGGTGCAGACGCTCTTCATCGGCTTTACTTTTTACAAGGAACCCACCAGTCTCCAGGGCTTGCAGAATCAAATGTTCGCCATCTTCATGTTCTTGATTCTCTTCCCCAACCTTGTCCAGCAAATGATGCCGTACTTTGTCACCCAACGATCTCTGTATGAAGTGCGCGAACGACCGTCAAAGGCATATTCATGGAAAGCTTTTATGCTTTCGAGTGTCTTGGTTGAACTTCCCTGGAATACTTTGATGGCTGTTCCTGCATTTTTCTGTTGGTACTATCCGATCGGCTTCCACCGCAATGCCATTGCGTCGGATGCAGTAACCGAGCGTAGTGGGACTATGTTCCTGCTCGTATGGATCTTCCTCATGTTCAGCTCTACATTTAGCTCTATGATCATCGCGGGTGTTGAGCTTGCGGAGACCGGTGGAAACCTGGCCCAACTGCTCTTCTCTCTAACCTTGATCTTCTGCGGGTAAGCTCTTCTAATCTCCCTATAATTATGACCACAGCGACAGATCCCTAACAAGGAGAAAAAAATCTAAACAGTGTCCTGGCGACTCCACAAGCAATGCCCCGGTTCTGGATCTTCATGTACCGCCTTTCGCCCTTCACGTACTACGTCTCGGCCGTGCTATCCACCGGTGTCGCGAACACGAATGTCAACTGCTCTGCGCGCGAATTTCTTCGACTCATCCCACCCGCTGGCCAGACGTGTGGCCAGTATCTCCATGACTACATGCTGCTAGCGGGTGGTGCCCTTCTGAATCCGGAGTCTACCTCTGCATGCGATTTCTGTCCCGTGAAAGACACAAACACATTCCTAGAACAGGTCAATATCAGATATTCTGAGCGGTGGAGGAATATTGGCATTTTGTTCGTGTACATCTTCGTCAATGTGATCGGGGCCATCGGCTTTTACTGGCTGCTGCGAGTACCAAAGACAGGATTGTTCAAGAAGAAGGCGAAGAAAGACTAAGGGACAGAAGAAAATAAACATAAAAACCTAGGAGCAAAGGGAAACGCGGGAGGGTCAGGCCTGTCTCTCCTGATTCTGCCTGCCCCCTTTCTTTTTGTGTTTTGGCTCCTTTTCCGTCACAGCCAACCATATTAATCTCAATGGTGCATTATTGTGTGAATACTTATTGTTTTCCTTTTGTTATATATATATTTTTTTTTGACATGTTAATTATTGCGTCCCTTTTAGCAGGGGGCTCACATATTTTGGAATAAGCACATAGACTATACTATCCCCATTTTGCCCTTGTTCTTGTGTTTGATTCCCGCAGTATAGTTCCATGCGTTAATTTGTCCCGTGTACGGAGAACTCCGCATCAAAGCCTTTGTCAGAATATGTCAACAAGAGTAATTTGAAAGGGGAAAAAAAAAAAGAAAAAAAAAGAAAAGAAAAGGAAAAGTTTAACTCTTGATTCTTCCCAACATTCCCTCAGGGGTCCACGTGGCATGAGAATCCTTTCTTTTCTTTTCCTTCTAGTCTGGACTCATGTTGATTTGCCGTCGCACAACATGGATAGGAATCCTAGGACAGCAAATGGCCCCAAAAAAAAGAAAAAAGAAAAAAAAAAAAAAAAAGAAAAGAAAAGAAAAGAAAAAGAGCACCGGTGGAACGGCTTGTCTTCAGTTGCTTTTCTTTTGGGAGGGTCTGTCATTTTTCGTCCTGAATGACAGGAAGCAAATTGGCGATAGCGTGCCGTTTTGCATCAGGTACCCTGTACGGAGTACTCTGGAGTTCTCTAAGTAAGGGCTCGCACTTCCTGTCACTAAAAAGGGGACCGCAGGCGTGGATCCGTTCACGGAGTCGCCGATTGCAAAAAGTTTAAAATTAAATTTATAGCTTGCAAATGTTAATATTCAGTAGTGAGGAGTCCCAGGTCCCGACGGAGGCCAATTTTGAATTTTTCTGTCTCCCCTCTTTTCTTTTTTTGGCGCTTCGTACGGAGTACTGAAAACGGAGTCGTTCGTCATGCGTCCAGGAAGACAAGTGGAAGGGATCGTCCGTCTTTGGGCTTCATTCCGGCTTTGGTGTTTAACTTAATTGTGGTTTTGGCGACTCAGGTGGAGGGGGGAGCGACGATCTCGACTCACCACCTGTTCGCGTGCCCTGCCATAGGGATGAACGAAGGTTCAAAGCCTGGGTCCTTTTCTGCGACGACTCGCGACGGATTGGGTCCCAACGACGATTTGATTTCTGTGGAGTAATACTTCGTTGCTCCGTATGGAGGACTTTGCACCCTGAATCCCAGACCGTACTATGTTGGTCCTGCATGGGTAGCGTGCCTGAATGAATGTCTGAGTGTTTGCGATCGCCCAGGTTGGGATTTTGGGTTTCGAGTGGGAGGAAGCCAAGTCAGCTCCAACGGGAATTTGAGTGATACATGAGCTGCGTCCAAAATCACTGGAGGTATTGGAGAGTTGGGGACCTGGGAAATCTCAAGGATGATTCAGGGGGGGTTTGAGATAACGCATGTCTGTTTGAATCAGCGACAGCCCTTTTTTTTTTTCGCAAGGCTTTCGGAAGTTTCAATGTGCTCTTTGCCTGTTTTATCTGTGGTGTGTTGATTCAATTTTTGTTTCGTTACGGAGTACTCCGTACTCTGCAGTGAGATGTTCGCCAGCCATGTGTATGTCTGGGAGGATGGAAACCCCTATCTGTCACAAGCAATCCATTTTCCATTCAGAACATGAATTCTGCGGGACTTCTCATCTGTTGGTAGTTAACTCATGTCCAGCTACTCCTTTCTTTCTTTCTTTCTTCTCCTTTTTTTTTTTTTTTTTTTGGTAGTCGCTTTCTACTCCGTACTCATGTCCCGGTCATTCGAGCCGATGCCTGCAGATTTGCATTCAGTGTCAGCTTCCAATCACCTGGTTCGGCGGGAGTATCGGGAAATGGAAAAAAAAAAAAAAAAAATTCAGGAACTAAATTAGAACTTGGAGAGCCAAGGGTTTGTTTTGCGCACAGGCTGTGAGTTTTGAAACTTGCCATGGGGGCCATCGGAGCTTGGCCAGGGATGCTTTAACGTATCCTCGAAGCGCAGCAAGGTGAGAGTCATCCACACACGGGCCTCTCAAACGGGAGAATATTGAGGCTGCGAAGTTCACGGACAAGCGTCCCCGATGCTTCCTGTGACAGGATGCATGATGGACGGTTCGCCTTCGAAACGGGGATGCTATGAATCACGTTTTCGGGCGAAGACGCCGATATCTCCAAGCCAGTTCTCCCGTACCCCGTAACGAGCCATTCTTCGGCCTGCGGAATGAGAGGGTGGAGGAGAACTCAAAAAAAAGGCGGCGAGGTGTGATGGGTGATAAAACCCCCCAAGCAGCTAATATCAGCATCACTTTGAAACAACTCTCACGTTTTGTGCTGCATCCGCAACACAGCCTTTCTTCATCTCATGTTTCCACCAGAATTACATCATGATCACGAACAAAGACAACCCCCCAGATGCCTTATTTTTAGCTCGAATCGAATGACGCAGGATTATTTCTGATTCGTTCAGCGGAAGTATGGCCGGTCGAAGCCATCCCGGTGAAGTAGCCATCCCAAGCGTAGGAAAAGAGAGCGATTGGCCCAAGGACGAACTTTGAGTGTCGCCCCCCGCGAGAGCACCCAACGCACAGATGGGTTTTTCGGTAGTTCCAATGTTGGCAGGCATCTGCAACTTTGGAGCATGCTGCCTGTCTGCCTTTCACCCCAAACAAGGCCCTTGCATTGTGTGGTTGAGCTCTGTGGTTTACCATGTCTTTGCCAGATCCTGCATCAAAAAAAAAAAAAAAAAAAATCTACATGTCGGGCGCAAGCCACTTTCAACCTACGGGCTTCCACAGAACAAGTAACAATAACCCCAGTGCAGAGATGTCCGGGTGAGTTTGCCCATGTGCAAGTGGAAAGTTGAAACGTTGCAGGATATGCCACCAGTCGACCTCTTCTCATTCGCCAGGGCGTTGGCTTTTTTCTTCTCACCACCACCCAAGTTAACTCTCTTAGCCACAGTATACCGACAAGCTTCCCCAGGTTAGAAGGGTTTGTTGGCACACACACTCTCTCTCTCTCTGATTCTTCATGCCTCGACTCAAATTTGAGAAAAGCCGCCCTGTCGTGACCCAGCGGCATTCAAACTTAAGCTTCAAGGTTGGGAAGAGTTAACTTAGTTAACCAAAAGCCAAAACTTTCGCTGAGCCCGCTCCCGAAAGTCATTGCACCGCCCAGGCTGCCCGCGAGGATCGGCTGGAGGCGCGTCTGTAGACGTTATGCCGTTGCTGGGTGGGGCGGTGCTGTCCGCTGCCTTCTTCCGCCCCATTTTCTTGCTCTTGTACGCCGTACTCCGTACTCCAGAGCAAAAGTTGAATCTGTTGCTGTTCATGTCACAGCGCTTTGGGGGAATGCCTTGTGTGCCTTGGTGCGCGTGCGGAGGAACTTTTTGGATGCAAGAAAGGTTACAGAATCAGGCCCCCAGGGTTATGGTTATGGAGAGGCAGCTTCGAATATTTTTTGCGTGTTTCTGCATGTTTCTGTGTGTTTGGGTGTGCTTGAGATGCGAAACTCTCCCCAGGCGTGGTGGTACGCCTTTTCCCTTAAAAAAAAAAAAGGAACTATTGAAGCCTAATCCAAGACCAGAGACGATCATCATTACAATCGTCAACTTGTAACCACCTCCATATGCATGTCAGGCCTTCCGCCCTACTGCCTGTTGCTTGATTGACTGCAATTCTTTTGTGCAAAGCCTTTTTTTTTTTCCCCTCCCTCTTGGGGGGCAGCGAACATGCCACTCAAACCTTCACCATGTTGTTTGTAACTCGATATCTTTTTTTATCGGTCGTGCTTTGTAGTCACACAAGACCCAAGGATTAGTTAGTCGTCGGCCCACGATACTTCATGGATGGGAGATTGGTTCCTTTTTTCTTTTTTCGTTGCTCTGTACCCTTTCATTCAAGGTCCCTCTCGAAGCGAGAGATCCTGACTTGCAATCACAACGGAGACATGAGCCCATTGGTATATGCAACTTATGTACGGAGTAAACCAGCCCACTAGGTTTTGACTGACAAGGACAAGGGGGCTGTTCCGACCAGTGAGATTGTTGGAATGCCAATTGGGGGGGAAAAGCGCTGCGGCAGGTTCGCCTTTACCTGCACGAAAGTCACCGCACCGTATCTCGACCATCATTTTTCCGGCGACATGGTACCTTCTCGGTACGAACCACCCATGTGCAGGGTGATCATCCCAATCTCCAGGCTTCTTAGGCGGCGGGAGGACGCAGACTGGTGGTTGCCACCCTCTTCCGCTGTCAAATGTGGTTCCCTCGAGTGGACGATCCCCTGGCACAACCGAGGGCCAATGGGAATCGAGTGGACATCGGATGCTCCATCGCTCTTTGGCTGCTGTGGTTGTCGCCACGCTGGCTGCATGACCCCGGGGTGGGCAGAATTTGGCAGAACAAGGTCGTCCCAGATCACCGTGCTTTGAAACCTCTAAGCCCTTGCCCCTTGGCATTTGGATTCCAGCCTGCTCAGAAGAGGCAGCCATTGTGTCTGTGCATCTGCAGAGGCCGATGCGAGCTCATCGTTATCACCCTGGCACTCGCTGTTGCCGCTGCGCCGTGCGCTTGACCGACAAAACAATGCTACGAAACAGAGGGCGATCATCGAACAGCGCTCCAAAAAATATCACTTCTATCTTATTGGTCTGCCGTCTCCACCAACGACGACGAGAAATTTAGCGACGGGCCCGAAGCCAAAAAAGGCCCATTAGTTTGAGTGGTGCGCTGCTCGTATCTAAATAAAGGGCAACCAAATCTGGTGCGTTCCTGTCCGCAACGAAGGTTGAGGGCGGACTGCAAGGGGTGGTGCACTGCACTGTTCTCCCATCTCGTGACAGTCAAAAAAGGAAAAAAGAAAAAAGAAAAAAAAGAATAGGTGAATACTGGTGTTTCGCTGATTTGCTTTTTGCACCCTGGCCCGTCCTGCATCATTGGCCCCTTTCGAGCCCAGAGTTGCGTATGGGAGCAGGGATGACGCTGCCGCGATGTCCCCTGTGAGCCCTGCACAGGAATATTTCCCGGGCTTGAGGGACGTGAGGCTCTGCTCGATGGCTCTCCAATCATCATCTGCCCTCTTCTCTCCCTCTCTTCTCTTTTCTTTTTTTCGCAAGGAGTATCATCGTCGAGACGAGAAGAAGGGGGCGAACGCCTCCACATCCAATCCCATGCTCGGACTTTGCAAACCGCAGATTTCATTTCATCACGGATACTGCAGGCTTACCCGTATCAGGAAAAACGTATGCTGTCTTCCCCCCAGTGGGCCGTTGACCCGTGTATTGGGTCAGGCAATATGTATGGCCTTTTTTTGCTTTTTTCTGCCTCCATAACAAAGCATTTATTACGGAGTACCGAGTCCATACTCATCGGCACGGGTGACCGCGCCTCCTTCACTATGTACCCCGGTGGATCGATCGCTCAATGCTTGCTTGCATTACTCGTGGAGAGCTTCCACCCGTTTCGTTTCTAGATATAAGTATATATTACTTTCTGATCGCCGTCAAAGAGGGACCCATCCTCTCTCTTCTTGTATTTCATTTTGTTGTCTATCATACTTGAGCGCCCATTTAACTCAAGATTAATTGTTGAACTCACGCTTTCCTTCTTTTGAGCATACGTTGTCCACGATTCCCTATGCTCCCGTTGCTTCGCCGCACGGCATTAACATAGCTTGCCGTCCAGTGACTGCGCCATCGACCGCCCGGTTGTCTGCCTTGCAGTACTTAATCGCCCTTCAGAAAGATCCCACTAATTCGCCCGGTGCAAGATGAATTCCCTGGCGTATTCACTCTTTAGTGACCTGCCGCAGGTTCCTGTCCCTGAACAGCAACATTTTGACGAATTCGACCTCGCCATCATGAGTCCGGAAGACATCCTGACCGACTCGACAGATTATCTTTGCGGAGCCGGAGCATCAGACCTAGCAAGCACTGCGGATCTGACAAGACCTGCAAGAGTGGAGCAGCGCATATCAAGCTTGGAGAAATTCATCACAGACAGCCACTCGTACCCTTCACTTGACACCGACCTACACGGCGCTCATTACCTTCCCATGGGGAATACTACGCCGCCGCTGCCCTCTCAAACTCGCACCATCAGATACGCATCTCCTTCCGGTTCACAGGGAGGAGACGGATCAGCTACGGGTTCACTGATGAGCGACCATTCGTGGATGAGAGCCCCAAACCACCCACACAGCGCAGCTCCGTCACCCTTGCTCGACAGTCTTCAGTTCAACAACCTTCTCAGTCCCGCTTCGTTTATTCACCCTATGGAGGAGTCATACTGCAGCAGTGAATATTCCGTCAACCCCAACCACTTGCAGCACTATCCGGATCTGAATCAGCAGATCAACAGCCCAGTTCCGGAAGACGCTCCCATCGCGTCCTTTGATGAGCCTATGCACTACGAGCATAGTCAGACACAGTACATGCCCCCGTACCTAGGCCATGATACTCATTTCGCGTATGGCAGTCCGCAATTCGAAGCACAGCAGGATATCGACCCTTTCCTAGACCAGCCCCCCGAAGTGAAGGAGCCGAACGAGGTGGTCGTCGAGCCGCCACGAAAGCGAATAAGACGTGCAGAACCACAGGATTCCCATCCAACGCTTCGCAGAGAAGCTCGTCGGGAGTCTTCGAGGAGAAAGAATAATCAAGTCACAAATCATTCCAAACTCGGACAGTCCTCTGCCAGGCGTGGTACGAAGCATGGAGGAAAACACCTTGCCAGCAAACCCCCATCCTCCGCGTCCCGAAAGAAAGCCGGGCGTCAGTACCCTTGTGTGTTCGCACCATACGGTTGCAAGGTTTCTTTTGTCTCAAAGAACGAATGGAAGCGACATGTCGTGAGCCAGCACCTGCAACTCGGCTTCTACCGCTGCGATGTCGACAACTGCAAAGTCTTATCATCCACCAAGAACTCATCCGAGTCCATCGCATTACCGGACTCTACCTCTTTCAATCCATGCTCGGTTAACACCGCGACGCGACCCCCGAAGCGCTTCAACCGCAAGGACCTTTTCATCCAGCACCTACGCCGCATGCACGCCCCCGGCCGTGTCCCCGGCTCCACAACCTCCTCTAGCAAGCCTGTCGCGCCTCGGCCCAGCAAGCACACCAGCGACGCTTTTGAGGCCTCTCTGAAGGCGGTCTGCCGACGCTGCTGGGTCCAGCAACGCACGAGTCCACAATACAGTCAGTGCACGTATTGCTCTGCGGAGTTCAAGGGGGCTGGGTGCTGGGAGGCCAGGATGGAGCATGTGAGCAAGCATTGTGAGAACGGACATGCCGAGATTAGAGAAGATATTGGATTGAGGGAATGGGCGGAGAGAGAGGGGATTATGTGGATGGCGCAGGACGGACAGTGGGAGTTGGCGACGGGAGAGAAAGGTGGGCAGAGAGGCGGTGGTATGGGCACAATGGTGTTTTTCCAGAACTGAGCCCCCAAAAAAAAAAGAAAGAAAGAAAGAAAGAAAGAAAGAAAAGAAAAAAAAGGAAAAAGAATGATCGCGATACCCCTCTGAGTTCACTGTTGGTCGGCTTTCTATCTCGCTTCAAATTTTGTATTCCCGTTTTGCCCATTCTTCCTCCATTATAATTTTTCGTTTTCCATTATGCAACATTCAAGCATTTTGTTTTCCTCTTCTTAAACAACTATTGAAAATATCTATCACCTAATCCTGTCTATTTTCTTTGCTCTTATCCCAAGATAATACGGAGTATATGTCCTGCATATATCGTTCATGACATCCCATATACCACTGATCGAGAAGATTATGACCTTCCAAATTGTGTTGTTCGTTCTCTTTCATGAAAACTTTTCTAATTTAACACAACAGGCAAAATACAAGCACTATCATCTACATACATCGGATTTTTCCCCAAACAAGTTCAAGTCAGGCTAAAACATTGCCCCAATCTCATCTGCCGGCCTTACATCCCGCGGAGGGTCCGGGGATGCTAGATAGAGTCATCCTAGCTGTCTGCAAGTAGCGAGGTACCCATCTTCGCGGACCCTTGTCTCCAGGGTAGGTCCCCCGCAAGGAGAACTAGGCGCAAGGCGAACAAAAAGAGATGCGGCTCATATGCTCCGCGCCTCGATTGAATCAACACAATTCGTGCAGGCTAGTCGCCATCGGAACAGGCCAAGCCGGGAGGCGCACAGCGTCAAGCCCCCCCGCCGACGAGGCTCATCACCAACAAACCCCCCGGCCATTTGCTATGGCACAAAATAGGGAAGGACGACGATAACGTCCAAGGCAGACACATCCGTAACAATACTTGCACATGTGGCAAGCAGTCAAGACGTGCGGACAGCCGCGCTTCTGGCTTTGGCTTCGCCTCGTATTTCGATTTTGACCCTGACCGCTGGGCAATCTCTCATCCAAATCATAACGATATGAAGCCCGAGAGAATCCCGGACGAGCCGCGCGATCACCTCTCCGGCTACAACGGGGTAGGAGTATCCCTATTCCGGACTTGAGGAGTATTGCTAGACGATGGATTTCGTCGCAGGATAAGGAAACAATCCGTCTGATTTCAATTTACGTACGAGGTTAAGCGTCCATGGCTGGTCCCCTCGCATCCCCAAGACTGACAGACATCAGCATGATGCCGTATCCATCCAAAGCTCCCCGAACAGAAAAGAGCTCAGTCGCCTCGACAGTAATTGGCGAGCGCTTTTGAATCGAAACCAGCCTGAACAAAATCCACTTGCGTTTGTTCCTGCGAAAAGGAGGTTCGAATTCGGGACCATACTTTTGAACAGACATTTCGAATGAGCGGCCAAGTCAGGAACTGGGGGAAGGTCATTAGAGTAAAAAAGAGGGAAAAGGTGAGAGCTCAAACTCGATATGTACCTATCTTAAGAACAACTATCGAAGCCATTTACAACCTAGCAAGCAATAACCAAGCATGGGAGTATCAACATGAACGACATAGCAAGAATGTTATCTATGCAGGGTGGCTGTATGATCCTCGCAAAAGTAATAAACAAGACTGGCTGGAAGGAGATCAGAGGCATCAAATACGGGAGACAAGGAAATGTGCAGCGTGATTATAACATAAAAACATAAACATACGGCAGATGCCAGCTGATAAGGGAAGGGGATAAAGCAAAGTGGGAAAAATGATATGTTCAAGAATTTTTTTGCCCTTATTTTTATTTTCGGAGCTGGTTTTTGTTTTAGTTATTCGCAGCAAGAGATTTCCCACTTTGCGACTCGGGAAGAGGAGCGCTTAGAAGCAGCAATCAAGGCATTCAACACAACATTCGCAGGTCTCTTCACATAGGAAACAGCAGCAGAGTGTTGCGAGACTGTAATCGCCAAGTGTTAGGTAAATATTTTTTCCAATGGATCTGGTCAGAGATTTGGCGTGAAATATGCTTACCAGGCATAGAGGCATCCACGATCTTTCTTCTCCTGCACGATAACAGTTTGCGGGGGTGGTGGCTGCTGGGGATATTGCATCTGTCAGGTGCCAGCAATCAGCACTGTGGTTAAAGTTTCTTTGTTTCATCTTCTTGGGGCATGAAGGGACAGTACCTGAGGAGGAGGTCCCTGAGGAGGATAGCCCTGTGGTGGTGGATAGCCCTGAGGTGGGTACCTATGGGAGAGCAAGGGTGTCAGTAAAAGGGATCTTGGTTAACAGCTACAGTGACTGGACTTACCCTTGAGGAGGAGGCTGCTGGTAGTAGGACTGGCTTGCCATTGTGCGAGGACAGAGTGGAAAACGGGAGATAGAGAATGAGAGACGGATGTTATCTATGTCCCATGAACAGTTAGAGACAGATGGAGAGGTTCGAAGTATAAAGAGGCAACTCACAATGAAACTGGGCTTGGTGACGATTATGAGGACGAGGTCCAAAGATGGGGAGAGAAAGAGGAGAAGGGAAGGGAAAGCAAAGTCGTCTGGGGATGGGCAGATGTGTTTCTGCGTGGTCTGGTTCTTCATTACTTGCCTTTTTGCGCTTGAAAGCTTGTAATATGCTAAATATACTTGGTACGGGCCATACATACACGTATTGCGTCTAGCTGTCGGTATGTCATTTACAGCAGGGAATACGGAGCGCATGCCAAACGCTCGTTCTGTGTATCTCTCTCTCTCTCTCTCTCTCTGTGCCCCCAATGCACGTTGGCTGATAATTCACCTCATACACGGCCCGTAAACTCTCCTCAAGGCCATGACAATGGACCCTGATTACAATTTCCCAACACTTTTGATTTCATGCAACCAGACACACCTCTGGAGCTCGTCCACACACACATAAACACACATGCATTCCGACATTGCGGACTTTTTGAAGAGTTCCAGCTCCGTCTTGATCTCAGCAGGCGATCCAATCGAGGGTGTCTTAGCATTGGTGGAGAAGATGACGCTGAGAGTCCATTGTGGAGAATGCTAAGGAAGTCTGAGCCTAGCCTGCCACCAGCCATAACTGACGACCAGCCACAGCTATCAAGCCCCCAGACTAACAACGCCTGAACTACCTAATTTTTGACACGCAAAAAGACAAAAGGGAGCGGCACATTGCGGAGAGAACCACTGTGAACGATTTTTGCAGTTCTGGAAACTCAAGGGCTTGGATGAGATGGTCTTGGAAACACAATACTCTCCGTACATACGGAGTACATCAATACCGGTATTACCGAATCTTCCGTCCCAAGATTGTTGCTTTCGGGCGCGGAGGAGCAATACAGCCAATCCATACGATAGTCAACAGCCACACGGCCTGTGATTGGACAGTGGCTCCCTGAGACCCACGTCTAGATTGCGTTGGCCCGACAAGGGAGACCCACATTGCCATCGAATTGATTGGCTCTGATTTAGACATTGTGGCTGCTAATGCCTGTCGTCAACTCACACTAGCCACATCATCGTCCTTGGCCAATTGTCTGTTACCCTGGAGTGGGCCTCTGCGTACTCCAATCCTCGGCGGCTTGACGGTGTGGTGTTATCCGCCCTCCTGCTTCTGTCACACACGCCCCGGAACTCCATCCGGATTCAGCCAGCTGGACCGTGTGTTGAGAGCGGTCTTGAGCAAGAGTGAGTGATACTCTCTGTGCTACATGGCTATGCACGGAGTACCGTCAACATAATGATGGTCTTTGTTTTTGACTGGGACCTGGGGGATCAATTTCTCGTCCAGGCTTTGAATATACGGAACACAGAGTACTCCGTAGTGTGAGGAGATTGGGATGAGAACAATCTAAAGAGGTTTGTGCACCCATGCAACCGATCACGGGATGATGCCTCCACCTCCATCAATAGCCTGTACGACTTTGCTGCTTGGTGCTCACCAGCGTTACAGTAAGATAGGTTCCTCTTCAGCGCTCTCAATCTCACCTCTCCCTGCCCCTCTAAGCTGATATTTCACCGGATGCAACCTTTTACACACACAAAACAACCCCCCCAACAGGAATTTTTGGTCCAATCTCCCGGTCAGACTTCGCCAAGGCAGCGCCAGAATGCTTGGTAGTTATTGGCTTTCTGACAGATTGCACTGGTGGCAGTAGCCTTATCATAGGGCAGGGAATGCCGCGTAATGCCTATGTAGTCAGCCGTCATGTATTTTTTAGTTACCATTCCGGTACCTGACCGATTTCGCTTGTCCGGAGCAAGTCACGTAACGCGTATCGTCATGTGGGTATTCAGTACGTCTGGACGCTGACATTTTAACCCGCAGGCACATCCTCCCTTTCAGCTTTTCTCGAGACGAGGGCTGCCCCTGGCTGGCGCATAGCTCATTACCGGCGGCGATGCCACTTTTCCTCAATAGCGTCTAGGTGTGATGGAGCGCTCTGCTTGCGTCGGGGTTCCAGTTTCAGGATCGTGGTTCACTTCCCATTTAAGGCTCCTTGACGGGTCGGGGCTCACTAGGCTATTGTTGGCTATAGCATCTTACCGCTGGCTGCCCGTGCGTTTCAGCATGTGAGATCGTGGCACGACAGCCTGGGTTGTCGACGGTCGAGAATGGCTCCCTTTCGCTCTCCCCAGTGACTCCTGGCGCTTGGCCTCGCACGAAAAAAGGCCTCGGAGACGCTTTATCACGTGATATAGTTATATTACTCATCAAGCAATGGGCCCCGCGTCGCTCATGGCCATCGACGCGGGGTTGATGACTTCGAAAGCAGCCCTCTGGAAGACGCTCAGCAACCCGCCGTTCTTGTTCTTTTTCTATTGAGCTTCTCCCGTGTGGTTATATACTCACTTTGGTTTGTATACGTCAGCCGAGCCGATTGCGAATTGACTTCGCAATCTTCTTAGCCCGAATCGAAGAGCCTGGTTGTCCTTTGTCCACCCGCACGGCCAGACAGAGCGCGTCGAAAACCCCAGAGCATAAAAAACAAGGCTAGTTGACTCCCACTGCTCCTTTGTTTCTATATTACTGTCACAACGATGGCGCCTCCAGCAATTATTGCACCCTCCATCCTCTCTGCCGACTTCGCCAATCTTGGTGCGGAATGCTCGAATCTCATGAAGGCGGATAGCGATTGGATCCATGTCGACATTATGGATGGTCATTTTGTGCCCAATATAACCTTTGGTGCCCCGGTGGTGTCGAATATTCGGGCCCATGTGCAGAAACCAGCGAGCATCGGTGGAAAGGGGACGTTTGACTGCCATATGATGATTGCAGAGGTAGGTCAGCTCAGCGACCACATCTTGCCGGAGTTGTTGGGAAAGAAAAGCAAGGGCCGTAAACTGTTTTGCGCGAGGCATTATCGATCCCACTGTTCGTTTGGCCAATGGATTTGCCAACTGAACCCCCTCCCCCTTTTTGGTTTTGTGTTTCCTTTGGGTTAATTAGGGAAAGCGTTGAATGATAAGCCTATACTTTCGTGCAGTCTGCTTACTTGCCTTTTTTTTTTTTCTTCGTTTAATTGGCCTAGAATGGAGAAGCTAACCGTTTCTCCTAACCTGGACCCTGCAACTCTCCGTTCTGCGCACATTGGTCGTCTTCTCCCAACACCACAAGCCGATCCATGACGCGGAGCGGGTGTTGTTTGTAAAGGGTCCACAGGTAGCAAACCTTACCTCGACTAAAATAGCCTCAAAAATGGGTAAAAGAATTTAAACAAGCTGGCTGCGATCTTTATTGTTTCCATTGGGAGGCGGCGATGACTTCCACTGCTGCGAAGGATCCAACTGATAAAGAGACCACGGCGAGAACCAGCCCGAAGGAACTGATCCGGTATATCCACGAGACGGGCATGCAAGCGGGAATTGCACTCAAGCCGGCGACTTCGGTGGACGTCCTGTGGGATATCTTGGAGAATCCCGTGGAGATCGAGAGGCCGGATGTAAGTGGTCTTTCCCTCCCCTCCCCCTGCACGGAGGATTGTGTTCTGTGCAAAACTCTTTGACTAACGCTTAGTGTCTTTAGATGGTCCTGATAATGACAGTCAACCCGGGCTTTGGCGGACAGAAATTCATGGCTTCTGAACTCCCCAAGGTCGCGGCCCTGAGAAAGAAATATCCGGACATGAACATTGAGGTCGATGGAGGTTTGGGCGTGGGAACCATCGACCAAGCTGCTGACGCTGGCGCCAACGTGATCGTAGCTGGATCGGCGGTCTTTGGAGCCAAGGATCCTGCAGAGGTTATTGCAAAGCTTCGAGAGGCCGTGGAGAAGAGGAGAAGCGCATGAACATGGGTGGATATTTGATGTGCGTTCCGAAGCAGTGTATAACATAGCCTTATAGAAAAGATATATACTCCGTAGATAGTTTTTCTTTTTCTTTTTCTTTTTCTTTTTTTTTTTTTTTTCCTTTTTGCTTTTTTTCCCCCCTCCCGACTCGCTTTATGGTTTATGAGAACGAGTTGTTTCTTCAGGCAGGGAGAAAAAAAGGATACCGATATATGATGGTCATGATGTGCATTCCAGCAATGCCAGTGTTATCATTTGATATTCATTATTAATTAGAGGAATAATACGGAGTACGCATGTGCACATAATAGTTTGAGGAATATGTCCATGGTGCACATACAACATACTTCCATTCCACACTTCCCTTTTTTTTAACTGCGTGCTGTCACGAGGGCCTACTTGTTGTCAACATTGCTTGCCTCTTTCTCGCCACTATCTGTGTCTTTGGCATCCTGTTTCTCTTTCTCCTCTGCATCATCCTGAAGCGGGGAAGGAGAGGGCCCTCCCTCCTCCCTCTTCTCTTCAGACTTCAATGTTGGCTGTGATCCCTCTTCTGGCTTTAAACCTTCTGCTTCCGTTTTGACAGCTGGCTTCTCCTCACCTGTAGTAGTAGTAGTAGTAGTAGAAGTAGTCATCTCCGCCGCTGCCTGTTCCGCGCCTTGTGTAGACGATGGTGACACCGCATTCAACTTGGTGCGCGTGTTTTCCTTTGCCTTTGCGGCGGCTTCTTCGCTTGCCTGCTTGAGAGCCAGCGTCAGGCGCTCTGCCTGCTTCGACTGGGCCGAGGGTGTGCGCGAAGGGGTTCCCACAATCTGGATATGTGGAGAGGATGAGGTGGTGGACGGTGGAAAGAGTGTTGCTGATGGTGGTTTATTGGAGGGGGTGTTTGTGCTGGAGGGAACTGGTGAGATGTCCGCCGCCGCGAGCGCCGCTGAGGTTGGATCCCCTCGAAGTTGGTCCTTGAGTTCGCCGTATTCGTTCCATTCCTCGATTTGCACGATGTCCTGTTCGTTTTGACCAAGTTTAGCATACTGCCCAAATGGGACGCATTCATGTATCCCGGATGGCTTGTTTCATCAAGGTGGGTTCGTCTCCTGCAGGTACGAAGGGGGAGGGGAGGAGGGGGTTGATACTGACACCAACAATGTTCCCGTACCTCACTAGCCCGGGTAATTTCCTTCCCTTTGACCGGCGTCCCCACAACATTCGGGCTTTGTCATCTGTGGCGACATCGATGGCTCGAAAGCCGATCTTGTTGGCTTTCAGGATAGTTTCTAATCTTGAAGTAGCGGTGATGATATGTGAGGAACCAGCTGTGAGGGAGGTGAAGAGGTAGAGGGTGGGGTCGTCAAAGGAATATGAAGGAGTTTGGTCCGGCATAACTTGATGAATTTGAGGCTTGCTCGGCCTCAGCGATAGGTATCTCAGTTTCGATCTCGTGTGTTTCGTCGTGGACGACGTACGATGCAAGCTGTTTTGGAGCTCCGCATTTCGCAATCGATGACTAAGCAATAGAGACCAGCTAGTTATTACGTCATTGGTCGGTCCCTGGAGGCTCGGAGCGGTGAAGGGAAGCAGATTTGGAGGTTGGGCAAAAGTAAGTCTACGGCAAGGTGCTCTGGGACCGAGCTTTCTCTTCTGCGACTGCTCATGGACATAACCAGGAGGGTGATGAGGGATTGGGAAATACGTGTCTCTGAATATTCTGGGCTGTCCGCCCAGCTGTACGTTCGTACGAAGCGGGGCATATGATATTGGATGAGTGTATGAAATTCACGCCAACAATGGCACCAAAAAGATGGGTTGGGGTCTCCATGCGAAGTATGTATTTGATTTCAAAATACAGAGTAGCCAGCGGCGCATTGCTGGCTCGAAAGGTCACGAGAGGGCCGGAAGTGGCACGGTCCGCTGGCGACCACGCTGATCTTGAGTTCAAGCCGGTGCGGAAGCGGTTGATGTGTCCACCACTTCGGTTCGAGACTCAGCATGGTTTATAAGATTATCCGCGCGGGAGTGCCTCTGTGTGGGCTTGCATCTGCACATTCGTGGTGCAACAATTGTTGGAGGCAAGATGATGACGAATGACGGGTAGGAGATGGACCTGGCAACCTGGTTTGGGTATTCCATGGTTTCGGGAGAAAGTTCCTGCACTCAGCAAGGACATTTAATTTGAGCTTTTTGACCCGAAGAATGGCCCACCTTTGGGCAGACAAGAGACGATCGGATGGCAAGTGTTCTTTTAGCCGTTTACCACTTGGGAGATCATTTGCCTCCTCCTCTTGAAGTCTCATTGTCCAGTCCTCCGTATCGCCCAATTAAAAGGATGTTCACATTCAGCACATCCTTTCCAAATTCTGTGCCGCGGTGGTCGTGTGAAGAGGCCAAGACGGAAGATATGTGCCAGCAATGGACAATCGAGATTCCTGAAACGGTCACAAAGCACATGCAGGCGCCCCTGCATTGGATGAAGGAGTTGGACGGACAGAGAGTAGCATGCATCTCGTGGTTCTGCTCCAGACGACTCCATTCCCCCACAAATAGCGTCCGAAGATACCGCTGCGCCAGTCACCCTCCCGTCTGGGACCTCGGCGTTGGCATGATAATCACGTGAGTTGATTATTCATACGGCCACACACCGCTGCTCACGCGGCCGATGCGACGGGAAGCCGGAATTATTCTCCCTGTTTTCAACCAGGGGAGAGGGTGTTGCGGAGTGCCGGGCCCATTGGAGCAACGTGGCATCACTGAAAGGCAGTGTTATCTCAGGTGCATGAGAGAATAAGCCCCTCATTGGGGCTGGTCGACGCTGCATGCATGAATACGAGAATAAAGTGCCTTTTGGCTTTCCTGGAGAACCGAGACTCGACTGAAGTCTCATCAGAGGCTCACAGAGGGGCCATCAAGAATTCGTTGGAGGAGGGAAAGGAAAAACAAAAAGCCAGTGGCCTCGTACATTCATCCATCCTGAGTGAGAGCGGAATTTCTGGAGTGGGTGAGATGAATGTGTGAGCCTTGGACGAGAGATTCCCTTCGTTTTTGCCGAGATGCACCGCCGAGACCACGCCCAAGTCCAAGCCCAACGACGCTGGTTTTTCGTCGCAGGGTGATCTGATCTTACTGGCGGCCGGCTGCAGGTGTCCACACGACTTGCGGCCACGTCCTGCAGCCAAGCGCTCGCCCAGCGCCCGATTTCGCTGGAGGCTCGCTCTGTGAGGCTGCCTCACTTTGAGGCGCGCGGCGATTGGCGAGCGGCGTGCAGCTGCTACGGCCGTCGACTGCGACCAGCTCCGCGGCCAACCTCCAGCTGCACAGCCTTTCTCGTCACCCGAGCCTGTGCCGTCGGACGGCCTTTCTTCTGCCCGCTGTTGGCCGTGGGCTCAGGACGGCCTTTGGCCTGGTGGTCTGTGATCTGTCTTCCCGCTCATCGAGAACGGGATCAGACCTGGCACACCCTGATGGTGTATTTCTTCGGCTTCTAATTCGTCTCATCGACAAGGTCTCCTGGCAGAAAAAGCATCCGTGTGGTTCGTTGAGTGGTCTCCGCGATTGGTTGGATACCAGGCGGAGAATCCTCTTCACCTGTCCGACTCATCCTGGACCTCCTGGCCCGTTTGGCGTTTCAAACCCGGCCGTGGGTTCGCAACTCGGCGGCCATGTTGGTGGTCAGCAGTGCCCATCTGAAATTCCCTGTCGGGTTAGTCTTGTCCTCCCGCGTTGTGCGTCTTTCAATAAAGCCCTCAACTCCCACTTCTCTCTCTCCCCTTTTTCTCTCTCTCTCTCTCTCTCTCTTCCCCCCATCACTGAACTTATCGCTCAACTTATCACACTGCACGAATCATTGAGATTTTAAAATTACCACTCATACCTTCTCATATTTTATATATATATATATATATTTTATTGTTCTCATTCAAGCTCCTGTATGAGCACGTCCCCATTTTACCTTCAACATCACTGTTCTGTATGCCTCAGATTACCTTAAGGTAAATCGGACTCCGACTGTGACTACAACTCGACCGGACCTGAGACCAACAACTGGAGCATCTATTTTGGTTTTATCTTCCCTTGAAGACAGCTTCAACATGGCTCTCAACGTCAATTCCGACCAGCTACTATCATCGGCCAGAGATCTTTTTTGGACACAACATTCGAATCTCTCGGAATCGAAGAGACAGCAACTCTGGACCCAGCAACTCAGCCACTTCATCTGTGGACCGACTGCCTCCGCCGCCGCCAGCGGCTCCAGACTCAGCACACAGGATGGAAGCGGTGGGCCTCGCTTTTTGGGAAAACGGACTGGGGATGACGTTCCTCGCACTTTGCCTCCTGGATCTCCCCCAACGAAACGACGAGCTACCGTAGGTTTCCACCTTTCCACGTCCTTGGTTATAGCTCCCTTCGAGCTGTCTTCGTTCCCACTCCTCTTTACCCCCTTTGGGAGATTAACTGTGGCTGTAGACCCCGGAGCCTTACTCCGTGACCCGACCGTCCTCTAGCTCTTCATCTTCTGTTCGCTCTCAGCTTGCTCGACAGTCATCAACACGGTCTCGGACAGGGAACTCATCTCGGAAGACTGGCACAGCATCCGGCTCTCGCAAATCTTGGAACCAACAAGTGTCAGCTGTTCCCTCGCAGTCGACGGAGGGATTGGCCTTTTTCCCAGCCCAAGCGGCACCTTCTCCCCTCCAGCAGTCCCAGACTGTCTCAACGGACTTCTCGCAAAGCGGTTTGGACGGTTTCGCTGCTCCCACCCACGGCGGCCAGGCTTCTGGATCGTCCAGTAGCCCCATCGAGATCGACATGGATCACACCATCCCGGCGGACGCATTGGTTCTCGACTCGCAAGATCAAGGTCAGTTGACCGTGGGGACGGAGTCACTTCAGATGACTCGGAGTCTGACATCAGACTCGCTGTGTGGAGGAATGGATATGATCAGGTTCGACTCGAACAGATCATTTCTCGAAAATCTGGATTTTCCAGATGCTCAGTTGTCAGCAAGTTTCAATGCGCAGTCATTTGGTCATTACAATGACGCCAGTTATTGCCTCAACTCTTCTTCTTCTCCTATTTCCCAGTTTCATTCTCGTAACATGCATCATGTTCAGTTTTCTCAGTCACTGCCTGAATCCGGGTCTGACTTCTTTCGTCATGCTGTTTCTCCTTTGAATCGTTGTGCTTCTTCTGCTTCTTGCTCTTCTTCTTCTTCACCTTCATCCACCGAGATGAAGCATTCTCTATCGAGTCAAAGTGCAAACTCGGTAGCCTCAAGCGAGACTCGGGCTCGGCGGAGGACTCGAGAGCAAATTGTGCAAGGCACACAGAAGATCGCACCAAAGCCTGCGAAGATGCAGCCAAATAATGTTCTGGAGCATAAAATGATCATCGCGTCAGAAGACGGCACTTCTCGAGAAGTTGCGGCCATCCCCAAGGCGTCTGTCCAGCGGCCTTCACGACCGAAGACCTACTGTAAATACTGCAATGAACAGCCTGACGGCTTTCACGGCGAGCATGAGCTGAGAAGACACGTTGAACGTGTACATGCCGTCGTGCGGAGGGTCTGGGTGTGTGTTGACATCTCCCCAGACAAGAAGTTCCTTGCCAACTGCAAGGCGTGCCGCAACGGCAAGCGATATGGCGCCAACTATAACGCAGCAGCTCACCTTCGACGCACGCACTTCAACCCCTGCCAACGCGGGCGCGGTGGAAGAGGCAAGGACAGCGAGAAGCGTGGTGGGAAAGGAGGCGGCACCACGCCCTCGATGGATGTGCTCAAGCACTGGATGGAGCAGCGCGAGGAGATCGTGGTGGACAACGCACGGATCCTCCTCGACAACGACATCACCTCGGAGGAGGCCGAACTTCTCGGCCGGCGAAGGATATCCGACACCTCGAGCCTCGACCCCAGCGACGGCCAAGGGCCCGATTCGCCGGCCGTCCAGACCACCTTCGACTCGCACACCTCCTCGCCGGTCGAAGAGCCCAACGACGTGACGCAAGAGCTCGCGTTCGAGTTTGAGGAGTTCACCAACTCGCCACTCGAGTGGGACGAGAGCACGGGAGGTGGCTATCAAGGGTTTGCCAACGCAGCTTTGAATCCTTTCGATTCATCGTCCTACTTTGATCATGCATCATTCATGCAGGCCCAGCCGATGAGCGCTGAGGTTGGATCTTATGTTCCAGTTATGCTGTAGAATCGTCTACGATCTACGCTGTACCATTTCTGCCTTGATATTTATCGTTTTGACCCTTTTCCCCCCCTCTCCGTTTTGTTTCTTTTATTCTTCTTTTTTTTTTTTTTTTTTTGTGTTTCTTCCTATTCTTTTTTCTATTTCTTCGTCTTGTCTAGGTTCGGGTGGAGATTTTCGCGAATCTCCACCTGCGTTCTTCGCCTTTTAACAGAGGAGCTCGATTCACCCTCACGGTGGCATTGTGTTCCCTCTGTTGAAAGGCTGCTGGTCTTCAGTTTTTTTCTATTCGTGCTTGTAGTTTTTTCTTTTTCCTTTTCTTTTCTTTTTTTTTTAATGTTGAACGTTTGTCTAACGATTGTATGCTGTTTGAGCTATGTGATTATATTTTCGTTGCCGTTGATCTGCTGCTTTCGTCTGGTTCGCTTTCTCTCGCCAGCCACGGACGACTCTTTCACCCGCCCATCCTTCACGATAGGGAATGAGAGCGGATCGTGGCTGGATGTTGTCTGCTTCGTTTTTGTGGCCTTGTTTTTTCTTTTTTCTTTTCTGTTCTTTTTGGTTGACCGTTCTAATGATCTGTGGCGACAGGCTCTCTGCCGCCATGTGTGATTCGCTTTTTTCTCTTTTGACCTTTTTTTTTTTTTTTTTGATGTTACATATGCTATATAATCTGTATTCCATGACCGAATGATCACGATGTGCCGATGACATACAATTTCCCTCTCTCTCTCGCTCTCTCTCGCGCTCTCTCTCTGCCGGATGTAACGTCGGTGAGCTAAGCGTCGGCCGGCCAACCGTGACATCCCGTGCGGGCGTGCGTGGATTGGCCGGCTAAGACGTTTTTCCCGCCAGCAGGAGCAGCCCACAATTTGCCCAATCAGGCCGGTGGGCTTTCCGCTCTCGGAAGGCGAGGGGGTTGCACTTGCACGATGGGAGTACAGGAGCACATACTCCGTACAGAAGTTACAGAAGATTGGGAAGCAGCAGCCCAAAAGGAAAACCCCACACACTTACCATAAATAGCACCCTTTTTGGGCCTGGCGCCTACCGGATTGGGTAGTCTCATTGGCTTCTGCAGCATGGGAGTGTGGGGCAGCACTGTCCAATGACGATGCGTTTCTTCTAAGCGCCGTCGGCGCCAGGTTCTCTCATTGGCCGTAGTGGGTCCTCCCGTGCGTTGGTGCCCGCCTGACGAACCGGTGCTCCGCCAATCAGCGTCGTGCAGATGGGCCGGTGGGGTCACCTGTCAGACCAGCCAGCATCGGCGGCGGTTGGAGGTTCACCTTTCATATTTCACTCTTTTCGTCTCTCATCTTCTCTCATCTCTCTCTCTCTCTCTCTTTCTCTCTTTTTTTATTCTTCCATCTTCTCCTTCACTTCACTTTCTCGCGAGCCTGTTGATCAGGTTTGACGTCTTTGTCTTCTTCCTTGCTTCTTTTGCTTTACTCGAACTAATTTTAATACTTAATATACCTTATAATCAACGACGAGAGCTGGTTTTTCTCTCTCTCTCTCAAACATTGGCGCCGTTTCTCTCTACAGAGCTGGTTCATCTGCTGCTGCAACGTGAGGATAATCTTTTCTTCAACCATGGCGCTGACATTCAATTCTTCAACACGGCCTTCGCTTTCTCGGCAGGTTCGAGCCGAAGGATCGCTTAATACTATAATGGAAGATTCGCAGGAGGCCCGAGGCAACTATATCGGACGCAGCTTGCATAGAATCATCACGGATGGCCAGAGCCACCAGCGCTACGACAGCTCCTCCAGGGCCAAGGCTAAGATACATCCTCGTGGCGCTGGTGCCCATGGATCCTCTCCGCTGGCACAGCACGGAGATGGGAATCGCTTCTCGATCTCCTCCTCGAGGAGGGCTTCCTGTTCAACGGACTGTCGGGCACGGCACCGGGACCATTTCGACGACCTGTATGACGCAACGGATGAATCGGACCGTGAAAGCTGTCCCTCCTTGTCGAGCCAGGCTGAAACGGGGTCAAACAGCTCGTTCACGGTCTCTGATGCAAGCAGCATCTCCAAGGATAGCCGTCGACGGACGTTCCCTACGCTGTACATTCCATCGTCCAAGGTCGGTGCCAAATCCTCACCTCTTCCTCCTACTCCGCCGCCCAAGATCCCCGTTTCTCCTCTAGCCCTCGCCAAGCTGCCTCAAAACGTCCCTAAGATCGCTGCTCCGCCATCTCTGGCTGGAAGTGCCAGCGAGGTGTCCGATAGACCCTCAACGTTCAGTACCCCGCAAACTCCTGATCTGGCTGATGTACCTGATGTCAATTGGGACGAACAGAGGTTACGAGTGCGTGGCAATCTGGAGTCTGGACACCCTTCCCGATCCGCGAGCGCTTCAGCCAGCCCACGGCTTGATGTCCAGCTGGACGCACCTGAAGACTGGAGTGCTTTCCTTGGGAACTTCCCGCGTATTCCAGCCCATGCCGTCGAGGATGGTTCGTCTTCGGTGTGTGAGTCGGATGCCGCGCCGTCCGTGGAAAGCAACAGAGGATTGCAGCTTCCTGTTGCCGCGCTGGCTGCCCTCCAACGCTTCGAGGTGAATTCAGACCGTTTTCAAAGCAGACCGCCCTCAGAAGTGGGAGAAGCGAAAGAAATGCACGAGCTGCTATCTCACATGCGTAACAAGGATCCTGGCGATCCCTTGTCTGCGTCGGCCTATTCGGGATCCTCGTTCACCTCGTTGAGTGTGCCCTCACCCGGTGGTTTCTTTGCCTCCCTCAAGGGACAAGCCCGGAAAACATGGTGTTTTTCAAGTGCAAACACGCCCACCTCGGCTATGGCTGAGAAATTTTACGACTTGCCGTGGGATCCGCAAGGAAATACAATCGTCGAGCAAGTTGTCGAATGCCCGGATGATGGCACGGAAGGCCCTCCCACTGCGAAAGCACTGGTATCAGGCCCACCAACTGCAAGAAAGATCCCAGCGGAATTTGCCGAAGAAGCGCAACGCGAAGGAGTTCGTGACGGGCCCGACAACAACAACAACGAAAACAACGACAATGATTATGATGCGACCTACGCGAAAGCTTTAAAAGCTCATTCTATGTCCAACCTTGATCGCACTACCCTTTGGCTGGCTACTCAATCGGCATATCTAACAGGAATCGAGGACAAACGCCTTAATGGCGCCGTTCAAGGATCGCTAGGAAGTGCGGCAAGTGGGAAAGTGGGTGAAACCAAGCCAACTGCCGATCATATAGATTCGACTAAATATTCGGAACGCTCTACAAAAGTGCTTTCGGAGCCCCCGAGCAAACCTTTGCCAACAAAAGAACCCACGTTTTATCTCGGTTTTAAGCATGTTCAGCAAACATCACAGAACGCTGATGCTTTCCTCCATAGCAACTTCCGGTTTGAAGCCATGCAGGCTGCCCGTCTAAGTATGCCTGCGAAACATGTTGATCATGTTGCGGGCAAATATGAATTGAACAACCCGGTTCGCCCTCCGTACCGAGGGCCCTTCGCCCAGGCACCACGTAATTCCAAACTTCCATCAGTTCTTCAGGAGCAAGTCATGTTTTCAAATGTTGAGAAGGAGCAGGATGCCTTGGTACAACTTCGCGCTTCAGCCTGGGCTATCGAGGCACTGAAGTTTCTCAACGGTGGTCCCCTGGTACCTAGCCCGGCGGCAAAGCGAATGGCAGAAGCTGCTCCACCGGGTCAGCCGAGAACTCCTGGAAAGCGTCGAGTTAAAGCTCTTGACCTTGGAGGTCAGTCGGCATGCGAGTGGGGATGGCATCTTGCGAACGAATATCCCAACGTCGAGGTCTTCACCGCCGTGACAAAGGATCAAGCAGTGAGTCCAGTGGAGGCACCTCCTAATTACCAACATATATCTGTTCCTTGCCTCTGGAAACTTCCGTTCAAGGATAACCAATTCGACCTCATTTCGGCCCGGTCCCTGCACATGTTATTAAAATCTTCTCGGCCGGTCGGCGCGCGCGATGATGAAGTCGACATGTGCCTGAAAGAATGTCTCCGCTGCTTGAAACCGGGTGGATACCTCGAGTTCTTCCTGATGGACTCTGAAATCGTTCGTGCCGGTACATATGGGTCTGCAACATCCGTCGAGTTCGGATTCAACCTCAAGACCCGCGGTTACGATCCTGCGCCGACAAAGGCGTTCTTGTCGAGGCTCCGCAAGGCAAATTTCGGAGACCTCAAACGGGCTTGGCTGTTCCTGCCCATGGGAGCGCCGTATAATGAACATGCTCAGGTCCCTGGGATAAGGACACCATCCTCACCGGATACTGCTGAGCTAATGGGAAGTACTGCGGACATCGCCAGTACTACCGGCCTGTTTGGCGGCTGGATGTGGGAGCAGTGGATGTTGAAATTGCAGGTGGAGATGGGCCGCGATAATCATAAGTTGCTTGATGAGACGGCTGCGGTTATTGATGAGGGGAGGAAGTGCGGTGCTGGGTGGAGATGCTTGAGTGGATGGGCTATGAAGCCTAAGAAAAAGCAGACATCGTAGACTCTTGATCCTTTTCCTTTGTTGAGTTTTCTTGTCCTATGATCTGATTTAAGCAAAGATAATATGTTTGAAAGTCCATCATGCTGCCTTTGGCGATGCCTCGTGTACGTTAATAATGCCCACTGTAAGCTAGGCTTAGATTGTTGTGTCTTTTCTGGCTTTAACTTAGAGTCCCACTTGACTATCGAAGGCATTCTCTGCTGTAAATTCCACCAACAACAACGAAAAAAAAAAAAGCGCACGAAGGAAAGGAGCTGCGAGATCTGCAAATGTCTACTCTGTAAGGAGAGATATATCTGTCATGGAAGGCACTGTATCTTCTTAAATTCGCACAACAAACCTCTACCCTATCTACGTAGTCCACCAATGTCTGGTTGCTTGCCTCTATCTTAATACGTATCTGGTAGATTGCTTGGTAGAACCGAAAGAAAGTTGGATGGAGGATGCCAGTTACACCTGGCTGGAGTGCTGGAGGCTGGGGGGGATGGCAGGCAGCTTTCGGGCCGACAAATTTCCGTCCGCGCATTGTTGGAAGCTCTCCCGAATATCAACTCCAGCTTTCACTCAAGTTGCTGGGCGCGACGTTCACATAACTGTTGAGATTCCGGTGGAAACTACGTGTCGCTTACTCGTTATTCTCTCCTCCTTCCCTCCATTCCTTCTCCTCCTCTCCCGCGGTACCTGGGCGTTTGAGAGAGCGCACACCGGCAAAACATCAGTCACCATGCTCTTTTTCAGGTTAAGACTTTGTCCTTCCTTCACCTCCCCTCAACAGCGAACTCATTGAGCAGACAGCTGACATATCGAGGTTGTAATACAGCTTCTTCAAAACCCTCACGAACCATACCGTTATCATCGAGCTCAAGAATGATATCCGCATCCGCGGCATCCTCAAGAGTGTCGATCAGTACTTGAACATCAAGCTCGATGATATTGAGGTCATTGACCTGGACAAATACCCTCATCTTTCTAGCGTGAAAAATATCTTTATACGCGGCAGTGTGGTGAGATATATCGTCCTGCCGCAGGAGGCTGTGGACAGAGGACTGCTGGAAGATGCAACTAGGAGAGGTGCGTTTTTACAAAAACACCTTTTTGGTACCTGACGATGCGGAACTCGGGAGACTGATGGTTCACCTTTTTGTTCGTGATGTTTAGAGGCTGCAAGTCAGGCGAATAAAGCGAGATGATCGTTTCGATTTCACGATTGCATATATTTTTTTTTTCGTTGTTTTTTTTCTTTTTTTTCTTTAAGTGGAATATGGCGCAAAAGCTTCCCTCACCGGAGGTTGAAGTTATGCCCAAAAGGAACGAAATGACGTTATCGCGAAACGAATTACAGAAGCACACACCGTCGATCTCAGAGTTGAAAGTTCGGAGCGCTTCACAGATGAGAATACAGACGTGCTTGCGTGCGTCTATGCTAATGACATGTTACAGCATGAGGAGATGTTTCGCTGGCATAGTGACCGCCGGTACCACAGATCCATTGGCATAAAATATATACATACGTCCACACATACGTAGCCGTGGGGCTTGGAGTGATGGCATTAAAATTTCAAAAGGATTACTGCCATATCGATAGCTTATTTCTAAACCGGCCAAGTCATATTAAAACCTACATAGTAACAATGCGAACTTCGGAATCCTCCGTCACTGCGTTGCCGGGTCTCCAAACCCATCCGTTGCTGAGCGGGAAGCAATTAAAACCACGTGACCTCGTGACTGCCCGCGGCGTGTTTTGTTGTGTCTCTTCATCGGAAGGCGATCCATTCTTCGACGTGACGGAGATGGATTCTCTCTGCAAAAACAGGCATGTTCCATTAGCATTTCAACTCGTATAGTCTCCAAGAAGAAATGGTACCGGCACCCCGTTCCCACAACGATTTGTATTTTACCGCTCCCTCCCTCCAGAAGAAAGCGTGCCAGCCATGCCACCCTCCGCCTCACCGTTTTTCCGTCCGAACAAACCACCTGCTCGCCAGTCGATCAGGATCGGCTCCACAAAACCTTCCGTCAGGCGAAATACCAGTATTCTTCAGTTCTTCAACAAAGCGGAAACGCCGCCTAAGCCGGTTTCATCACAGAACCGGATCACGCAGTACATCTCGCAGCGACGGAGTAGCACCTCTCGACCATTGTCGCTCAACGATTCTGTGAATACAGAAGTGGAAGAGTTTGAGAGTCTGTTTGTTGAGGACGTTAGGGCAAGGGACAATAACGGTGCTACGACGGACACGCAGGCGTTTTCTGACAGGGAAAGATCAGCGTCTCCGGATGGTTTCTGGGCAGGCACCGGAGCTGCGGATAACGCTATCTTATATGGCGCTGGAGAGGATAGGTACCATGAAAACGGTAAAGCTGTCAAGAAGCGCAAAGTGGGGTATGACGGCTTCGAATTGGATCCCGGTGAAGTGAATGGTACTATAGATCAGGACACAACCGTCCCGCAAGGAGACGCTACCTCGAAGGATTCTGCAGGCGCTACTCCAGCGGGAAAACTTAGGTTTACGGGACCTTTTTTGATTGACTCAGATAGCGAGAGTGAACCCGGATTTCTCGGCCAATCTTCAAGACAGTCAGAAACCGAAAATCAACCAGACTTAGAAGTCGGATATCGCTTCTCAGCTGGAAAGGAGTCCATGAAAGTCAGTGAACCACGTCAAAGTGAGGAGGTCTCCGAGGATTCCGATGAAGACAGCAGGGGAATGGGTTCGGAATGCAGTGGCACCGAGGAGCCAAGTGAATTTACTGAATTAGCGGAGGCCAATGCTTTCGGCCCTATTGAAGAATGTCCCGATGACGAAGAGGTGGCGGTTTGCCCAATATGTCAAACTGGTCTCCGGGGTTTAACGGATTCTGTAAGTTTCATTTCATATGCTCCTGTGACGACAATAACGAGACTCATTTATGTTTGAAGGAGGCTTCCTTACACGTCAACCAATGCCTCGATGGGGACTCTGCCCCTCTGCCAAGGACGATGAAGAGTGAAGTGACTAAGAAAGTGTCAAAGGCATCTCTATCAAGAGCAGAGCTCAAGGTTACGTCACGTCCTGGGCAGAGAAGCCCGTTTACGGTGAACTCGACGGTCACAACGTCGTCTTCCGCTTTCTCGAAGATCATGTCTGGCAACGCAGAGGATGCAGCATGGGCTGCAGCAGCCGCCAATGAAGTAGCTTCCAGGGGCAAACAGGCTTACGAAAGGACATGTCCTTTTTACAAGATCCTCCCAGGATTCTCGATTTGCGTGGATGCTTTCCGTTATGGCGCTGTCGAGGGTTGCAATGCATACTTTCTCAGCCATTTTCATAGTGATCATTACATTGGGCTGAATTCGAATTGGTCTCACGGCCCTATTTATTGCAGTAAGGTCACCGGAAACCTTGTCCGCCAGCAGTTGAAAGTCAACCCAAAATTCATTGTTGATCTTGAATTTGAAAAGCCCTTCGAGGTCCCTGAGACGGGTGGGGTAAGGGTTACGATGATCCCTGCGAATCATTGTCCGGGTAGCTCTCTTTTTTTATTTGAGAGGGTTTTTGGGCAAGGGAAAGCTCGGAGATTTCAACGTGTCCTCCACTGTGGTGATTTCAGAGCCTCTCCCGCCCATATCCAGCACCCATTGATAAGGCCTGATGCCGTGGACCCGGTGACAGGGCAACCTAAGCAGCAACGCATCGATGTTTGCTACTTAGATACCACGTATCTCAACCCTAAATATGCCTTTCCGAGCCAGGAGGATGTTGTCAACGCCTGTGCTCGGATGTGTGTGAGCTTGAATGAAAACAAACCTGGTCATCACGATATTTGGAAACGCGGTAAGGCGAATGGAGAAGATCTCGATGAGAAGGATAATTCCGGCAACAATGCCAAAGCCAGTGGGAATCCCAAGCCACGGTTACTTGTTGTCATTGGGACCTACAGTATTGGCAAGGAGCGGATCTGTCTAGGCATAGCCAAAGCGTTAAATTGCAAGATCTTCGCAACGGCTGCAAAACAGCGTATATGTGCCTGCCTTGAAGACCCCGAGCTATCCAGCCTGCTCACCAGCGACCCCTTGGAGGCGCAAGTTCATATGCATAGCTTAATGGAGATTCGTGTCGATACGCTCTCCGAATATCTATCCTCCTTCAAGCCCCACTTTACTCATATTGTCGGCTTTAGACCTACGGGGTGGAACTATCGGCCGCCGGCTGGTCGAATGATCGATAATCCGTCGGTTTCAACCGTTCTCCGATCTGAGTCGTGGAAGGCTCGTTTTACAGTCAATGATCTCGTTCCGCAGCGCGGTAGTAACAAGCAAAGCTCATGTTTTGGGGTGCCTTATAGTGAACATAGTTCATTCCGGGAATTGACGATGTTCTGCTGTGCCCTGAGGCTTGGAAAAGTTATACCGACCGTGAATGTGGGTAGCCGGAAGACGAGAGAAAAGATGAAGCTTTGGGTTGATAAATGGGAAGCGGAGAAACGAAAATCGGGCTTTTTTAAGCTGGAAGAGGGAGCAACTCGTTGGTGATCGGCGTCTTTAAGTTTTGGAGAGTATAGTGCCATACGGGCCGTATAAAAAGATGGAAACAGACTATAGATACTGAGGACACAATACTAATTGGATTGCACCTAATTATGAGATAATAGCAGGGGGCACGGCAAACTTTTCGCATTGATAATGTGACTTTGGCCTTGGAGATGCTCCAGGAGCCTCGATGTCTCCTTACCGTGCAATAGCCGTATCAGGGCGGTGATTATTTGCAATGACACTACGGAGACAAAAGAAGGGCTCTTCAATACAAGTGGATCCTTAGGGACGGCCATGTCCGGAATGACTACGTCCTTGGATCGATCGGGTTACACGATGCCTGTTAACGATTTGTCTTCGATTAAAAAAAAAAAAAAAAAAAAAAAAAAAAAAAAGAAGGAAAGAAAGGAGCAGAGTTTCTCATTAAGAAATCTAAAAGTACAACCAGCTCTCTCTTCCCTAGACGCTAACTAATCGTCGATCTCATATGTCTCACTGATCACTCCTGTTCAGAAAACCAATCAAGCCGAGCTGTTTTCAATTTGCTCGGTCCAGTGCTTGTTTCATGTCCACAGGCTTGGGAATGTTCTGCACATAATCCCCCGTTGCCGGGCGTGCTAGACACCTCTGCCACCAATCATTAACCATCTCCCGTTTGGTAATGAGGTCTCCATGTCCAACATCAATCAGCTTCGCAACAGCAGGAATATAGAAGATATCCGCCAGACCGAAGGTGTCGCCCGCCATGTACTCCTTGCCAGCCTTGAAGGATTGCTCGCACAGGTCCAGGTGCGACTCCAGTTGGGATTTCACCTTCGCGACAGCGGCCTCGTCCACCGGCTGGTCGAAGAGGAAGCGGTTGCCGTACGATTGTTACGGAAGCTCTTCCGCGGGAGCGTCGAAGTAGCACATCTCGAGGCACACGGCTTGTCCGAATCGCGCGAGAGCCAAGGCATCCTTGGTATCCGGGAGCAGATCTGTGAAGTTGTAGCGTGTGGCGATGTATTTCGCCATTGGGCGAGACTCGTAAAGATGGTCTCCTTCCGGGGTTGTGAGAACAGGAAATTTTCCCATCGGGTTCATGAGGAGAAAGCTGGGATGCTGCGCCAAAGGGACTCTAGTTGCTGTCTTCCACTTTTGTTTTTCCCTTATCTTTCTTTTATGGGACGGTCCGACGGAGGAGGACGGCATCCATGTCGGTTACATACCTTATGTGCACCTTTCCGGAAGTCAACATTGACATAGTCATAGTCCTTCAGGCCACCCTCAGCGGCCGTGAGCAGCACGATATCCGAGTATGGCGAGGCTATATTGCCGTAGATCTTGAGCTTGCCTGCCATGTTCCCTCGTTGCCACTTGAAGTGGTCGACTTTCTTAATCTTTTCCTTGCAGAGAGATCGGGATGGCGGATATCTGGATGTCAGGGCTGGCGAAGGGCCCCGTTAGTCTTTATGTGGCACACGCCGACACCTTTTGCGCACTCTTCTCCGTCCTGTCTCCGATCTGTAATGCAATGCACAGCCTTTTGCTATGACTCGACACTCAGTTCTCCGCTCCGTATAAACCTTCTGAAGAGGATAGCAAGGCTAGGGAAGGGAGTTGCGCAGCTTGTCTGCCATATCGACTACTCGGGGAAGATTCAGGTACCCTTCGCTTTGACTTCAATTTGCGCTCTTAGGTAGGAGTTTTTTTTTTTTTTTTTTTTTTTTTTTTTTTTATGTAGACGAGACATCGAGAGCGCGATTGCCTGAGGCGACTGCATGGTTATTGGCACTGTACTCGGCTGCGTGGTACCAGGCGGCCGCTTAGAGCATCGGGTTGAGTTGCAGCTGTGCTCGGCAACGGCCAACTGCAAGGGCTGAAGGCCGTTGAACTTTAACCTAACCTTGCACATCCTCCTTCGTGATGATATCAGTGGCTTCAGGTTGACGAAAGATACAACGACTTTGGAGTTGGTTTACATCTTGGCCGGAGATGCGCTTGATGGGATTGGACTCAAAAACTTTTTCAGTTGGGAACACTAATACACATTGTTCAGAGAGTGAAGCGGAACCGGGGATCATCGTCACCCATATTCCCCAAAATCCGCTCCTCCAGCTGCAGTCTATCATCACGTTTCCCTTGCTCTCTCAGTTTGTTTTCCCTCACCAGTCCAATCGCAAATACGATGCTCATGACTCCGCAGAAAATCATCATAGCAAGAGAAACACCGTATCCCACAAAGTATCTGGGCCGGTCCTCCATGACGAAGATATTACTCGCAATAATTCCTCCGATATTTCCAAATCCAACCTGAATTGCCAAGCCGATGGCCCGTTTATAGTGTCCCCCCAGGTTATTTGCCATCCAGACGATGGCGACGGGTTGAACAATGTATGTTCCGGTGCAAACGAAGAAAACCGCCATGTAACGGACGGAAGGTGACAGACCACCTTCTGGAGGTCCTTGGCATAGAAGGATAATATATCCGATGCTAGCGACGATGACACCAAACACAACGAATCCAAATCGGTGTCTTAGGCGGTCGGTGAGATATGACACTATCAGGGTCACGACGGCTGCGACGACCCAGATCGGGATGCTGTGAACCTGGCTGTCGATACCAGAGTACCCGAGAGAATTCACAATTGAAGGGATGAAGAGCGCAGTGGCGTAGCCCGAGACCGTGATTCCGATATAGATCATACTTCCAACATAGATCTTCCAATCGCTCATGATGCGTTTCCATGCTTCAGCATCCAGCCGATCCATGCGTGCTCCGCCACCAACGTCCTCAGAATTGCGCGCGAGCACGTACTGCTTTTCCTCCTCGGTTAAGAATTTGGCTTGCTCCGGCCAGTCAGCGATAAGGAACTTTGCTGGAACGGCGAGCACGATCGACATAAGGCCTTCCATGATGAATATCCAACGCCACCCACTATACCCTCCCAGACCCCTCATGTGGTCTAGTCCGTATGCGAGGAGACCGCCAAAGGCTCCAGCTACTAGGCCGGCGACCCAGAAGAGCGAGAACCGTTTCTGGAATTCATGGCGCTTATAGTACATGGCCATTAGATAGGCACAACCTGGGACAAAACCGGCTTCGAAGACACCGATAAAGAAGCGACAGGCAATCAGGGCACCATTGTTTTTGACGAACCCCTGGCACATCGATGCAACTCCTGAAGCGTTGGTTAGCTTGCATTCTCCGTGCTGAAAAGAGGCCAGTCAGGTACACCGTATACGCACCCCACAAGAAAGTCAAGAGACTGATCCACGTTGACGGTGTAAATTTCTTGAGCACGATGTTGCTCGGGATATCCAGCAGGATATAAGGAACAAAGAAGACTTGAACCGCAATGTTGAAATCGTTTCCCACTTGTCCAAGCTCCTTCATGATCCCCAAGACGGCAACGTTTCCCAAATTGATTCGATCTAGAAAGCCAAAGACGAAAACAACCCAGAGAGGAGCCATCAGATGCATGTCAATCTTGCGGAGTACCTTGCGCGGCGACACCGAAAGCTGGCTTGACGACCCTCCATCCCCAGATTCTACGTCTGACTTCTCCCTGTTAGCCAGCTTTGGACCGATCTTGTCCTCTGAGCTTTCGGAAGCCATTGTCAAGAAACATCAAAAGAGTGAGCGCTGTCAGAGGCAAATGGAAGCACTGAGACAATGAGAGCGGGGACAGTGAACGAGGAGGTGAAGCGGATCGGCGATGGGTGATAAAGGAAGCAGGGAAGGGAAAGCGCCCAGGACAGTGCTCTCATCTTCCGGAATTCCCAAAACTATTCCGACACTTAGACTGTCTGCTTTGCGAGTATTCGACCCTTGTGGCTTGCGGGATGGGAGCCAACTGGCCTGTTTTCCATTCGGAGGCGTAGTTCTAAATGCCACCTCCCCCTAAAAGAAAAAAACCCTCCGCAGTCATTGCATGGGGTCTTGGGAACTTGCAGATGGGAGAAAAGGGCGCTGGATCCCGCATGCCTGGTGGATTTCAAGCGGGGCCGGGAATCGAGCACGGAGTACGAGCCAGTCGAACTAGTTAATGTCCGTCAGCTTGCAGCTTGGTTTTAATTTTCCGCTTCCACCAAGAGGGCCGGCTGCGTTGGAAGCAAATGGGTCGCAGACACACCACGCGATATCAACATGAACACGCATGCAGCAGTCCCACATCCAACCCGGGAAACCATTAATTGAGCTGATCTCATTCATTAACTACTATCTTGTTCAAGTTGTTGGGAACTCGTTAACATTCGAGGGCTTGAATGGAAGCCCAGGCTGTTCGGCACTTGCTCGCGCCGAAGTGTCAGTGAGTCCTGTTTTTAATCCTTGACGGTTCAACCACTGTGGTATCGCGCCCCTTGGTTCTGCCGCAGAGGTTACCTCTGATCCATGTACCAACAGAAGGGCATGTCGGTTTCTCGCTCTCACTACTCCGCACGGCCGCTTGTGCGGGCAGGGATCGACGCCACGGCGTTTCGGGAGGTGACAGAGTTATTTTTCGTCTTAATATGGATGTGCAGCCTCCAACTCCGAGATCATGAGCCATACACGCACCTACAGGTAATTGGGTGCCATCGTGTATCTTCCTCATTTCGCTAGAGTTGTGCTCTGGGGAAGGCTTCCCGGGGGTGAGACACTGCCAGAATGCTCCCCTTTTGGGGGGGAATGGAAGGACTCGGGAACTTAGAAGCTGCTAAGAACCTGGCCAGCGCCAGCCCTGGTTGGTGGCCAGGCAATACGGGATCACAAGCGTTACACCGGGCCCTTGTCGCTCCCGTCTTGGCCCATCGAACAGTTCATCTCCATTGCTTGTCATCGGCGATCATTGGCTCATCTCCCTTTAGTAGCCGAGCAAAAAATCTTGCCCTATCTTGATCCTGTCGGACAATTCTTTTTGGCTTTGTTGGTTTTTTTTTTTTTTTTTTTTTTTTTTTTTTCTAATCTTTTCGCTAGCGAGGCATCAAGGGGGTTTTCCGCTGGGCGACGCAAAAGATGGACCATTGTTTAGGGACATCAATTTGTCGCTTACACGGTTTGGCAAATGCTTCTGTGATCAAGGTGTCCAGGGAAAAGCGACAGGGCCTTGTTTCTTGACATGCGAATTTCTCTGTGTGCCTTGCTTTCTACCCGTGAAATGCGGGATGTCCACCCTTGCATCCATATTTCACGGAAAATGCTGCTATACCCCAGGTATACGAATGGACAAGAGATGCATCTTGACTTCCCGTTGTTGGATCTCAAGCAAGGTTAAAAACGATATTTCGAAAATAGCTGATCCCTTTTTTTTCTGTCCTCCCCATGGATTGCATGGCACCCAGGGTTTCCCCCATATACAATGAGAAGGTTCTGCTCGCTCGTTCACCGCAAGCTGGCTCCGGATTCTTCGCTCCACCATGGTATATGCCAGTTGGTCCTTGCGTGAATTGGTATAATGCCGCTCTTCAGTCACTATGGAGACATTGAAGACATTTCGGATCGTTTGGCTATCCCATCGCTGGTTTTCTCAATCGTGACTCCGCTCTTCATTGTCGCAAGATTCTGGAGTCGCAGAGTCTTTGCCAAACGTTTTGGGCCTGATGATTGGGCAATTCTGGCTTCATCGGTACTGTTCTTGGCCTGTCTCTCCCCCATCCTTCTTGGATGGTTGACGAAACTCGGTCGAGGGCCTTCATTCTAATGGTTAGCATGTGCTGGCAGATATTTTCAGAGACTGTTTCGATCCAGATGATAATCAGTGAGTAATACCTGTGATTTGTTGCCTGGCTGCTTTCTGTATGGGATATGTTCTAATAGACTCGCAGTTTGCCAATGGGCTTTTGGAAAACACAAAGACGATATCAATAGAATTGACCCAGCGTTACTGGCAAAAAGTCTCAAGGTACATAATTTTTGCGCATATGAAAATCCAGTATGCAGCGCCTATTCAGCTGACCCCCGATTGCCCTTTTAGCTCTATTTCTATGCGCAAATTTTCTATAAAATTAATATAGGGTTGACCAAGATCAGCATCCTGCTCCTTTACATCAAGGTCTTCATCCAGCCGTGGTTTAGGAAAACGTGCTGGACATGTATCGGCGTTATCATTGCGTTTACCACGGGTACTGTCTTCTCAAGCATTTTCCAATGCACTCCGGTGCACTATGCATTTAACAAAACGATCCCTGGCGGTGGGAAATGCCTTAATCTTACTGCATTTTGGTATGCCAATGCTGCATTTAATATCTTGAGCGACGCCGTCATCATTGCCCTACCAATTCCAGTGATTTTCAAACTGCACTCACCTACCAAAACCAAGATTGCAGTTTCCAGCGTATTTGCTGTTGGTCTATTGTGAGCTTCCCCCCCTTTCTTCTTTTTCCTCCTCCGTACACCGAAGAGTAACAGTGAACCAGCGTCTGTATAACCTCCGTTCTTCGCTTCACCACCCTCAACGTGGCAACGTCGCATCTAGACACTCCCTGGACCAATATCGGCTCTTCCATGTGGACGGTAATTGAAACCAACCTTGGCATCATCTGCGCCTGTATGCCTACACTTTGGCGTCCATTATCACGCTTCTTCCCTTGGCTTTCGTCTCAGCTCACGAACAAATATGGGACGGGTCAAAGTATGGCGAGCCAAGGACATGCCTCGAGCAAGAGAAGAGCGAACCCTGCCAGCGCAAGGGAGGTAGCTGGGTATTGGACAAAAATTGAGTCCAGTGATGAGCAGCTGGCACGGGATTACGGGGTGTATTCTGGTGCTGAAGGTGACAGGAAGGGGGCATCGGAGGATAGCGGGCGTTTCGCGGATGAAACCGCAATCAGGAAGACCACTCAGGTCTCCGTGCGGTACTGTGAAGACGATATTCAAGATCATCCTGGACATGGCGAACTGGACATAGAGATGAGACGAGTAGGCTGATATATAAATAGACGAATTATAATTGACAAAATTGCCATATTTTAAGGCCAGCACCGTCGCGGAAACTCAATCTAATATGTAGGTCCGTTCTCTAGACGGTTATATCATGACGAACACGCGCTCTAAGCCCCACGGTTCTCTCCCAGGATGATCCATTGGCAGTTCCAGTGGGGAGGAACAGCCGAAGGCAAGGTTCAAGGGAGTAAAGATCGCGTCGATGATTGTGGACGGGAAATTCTGTCACCATTCTTGGCTGTTGCGGTGTCAAAACGGCAAACCCGGTCAGGCATAGCCGGCAGTTCGTGCAGTGCAGGCCAAGAGGATTTAGTTGAAGCGGGCTTTTGGTGAGGATCGGGAACTTCCCTCACTCAGCATTCAGGTTTGCTGCCCCTCTCGCAGTGGATCGTCGATCCGAGCGTTTGAGGACAACCAGAAGTTAGTTGCGAGCCGGTGCAATGGGGGGGGGGGGGGGTTCACAATGCCTAGTTATAAATACGACAAACCCACTTCCTTCGCGACTCGGGTTTCTCCGTTTGGCTACGGATTGCTCAATAGCCTTTATTGATTACGCTCAAAAACGGCCTTCCTTGACGTCAACCATTTTCGCCCGACCGTTCGCCCGCCTCTACGGAATATCCCCGCGCCTTTCGCCCGCCGTTCTGCACCATGGCATCAAGTGAGACCCAAGCTACCGTCGAGATAGCTGAAGCTCTGAGATCAAAGCTGGAGGGTTCTGAAGTCCTCACCCCTTCATCCCCGGGCTACGAAGATGCAATTAAGCGATGGTCTGACGCGGCGGTGAAACGAGCTGTAAGTTTGCAGTTCGAAAGAAATGGATAGCTAGTTTTATCTCAGGACTGTTTGCCTGAGGTTGATGGCTGACCAGGGAGACTCCAGGGCATGGTCATGCTCGCTACCAGTGCAGAGGATATTTCCAAAGCCGTCCGTTTCGCCCAAGAGAACAATATCGACTTGGCTATTAGAGGAGGCGGTCATTCCGTCTCGGGGACCAGTTCCAGCGATGGAGGCCTCGTTATCGACCTATCTCTCATGCGCAAGGTCACGGTCGACCCTGCAAAGAAAACAATTACGGCCCAGGGGGGAGCTCTTTGGGTGGATGTTGATACTGCGGCAGCTGCCCACAATCTCGCCATGCCAGGTGGCACCGTGAACCATACTGGCATTGGAGGCTTGACACTGGGCGGCGGATACGGCTGGCTGAGTGCTAAATATGGACTTGTGATTGACAATCTCATTTCCGCAAAGATGGTCCTCGCAGACGGGCGGATCGTAACGACATCTGCTACAGAGGAGCCGGATCTCTTTTGGGCAATCCGGGGTGCAGGGCATAACTTTGGCGTCGCTGCTGAATTCACATATCAGGGCTACGAGCAGGTAAACCAAGTTTACGCAGGTCCTCTGATTTTTACTGTCGACAAATTGGAAGGTGTTATCGAAGCATTGAATTCTACACTGCAAAATCCGGATGAAAACTCGGGTGCAGTATGTGCCATCACCAGGCCGCCAAATGCTCCCGATATCAGCTTAATTGTGATTGTATTTCACAATGGCACAGAAGAGGAAGGCAAAAAGAGATTTGAGCGTCTATTCGCCCTCAAGCCGGAAGTCATCGAAGCTAAAATGATACCATATTCTGAAGTCAACACGCTGATGAATGTAGCAGCTCAACACGGCGGTCGCAGAACCTTTAAGGGTTTATTCTTCGCCCCGCCCTTAAGCCCGGCTTTTGCCAGAAAGATAGCTAGCATGGTTTCTCAGAAACTGCGAGAAGAGACTGATATGGGCGGTTCTGTACTGGTTTTAGAATTCTTTGATATGCGAAAGATTATCCAAACGAAGCTGACCGACACCGCGTTCGCCAATCGCGGGACCACCTTGAATGGCGTTCTGAGCTTGAGATGGGAAAATCCAGCCAACGATATGAGGTACCGGCAGTGGTCTCGAGATTTGCAGATGTTGTTCAAAGAGGAACTCGACGAAACTAGGAAGAATGGGATTACATCCGGCGAGGGTGTTCCCCAATATATTAATTATGCCGAACGTAAGTTAATGGCCAGGTTTATTCAATTTTTCCCCCTTCTTTTGTGATACTTCGATCACGAAACCAGTACTGGTACTAAATGCATTTCGTAGCCGGTGATATCGTGGTTCCTAGCATATACGGAGTCAATGGCGAGAGATTACAGAAGCTCAAGGCCAGATACGATCCCGATTCCGTTTTTGGCAAAATGAACCCAATTATCCCGGCCAAATAGGCAACTTGGTTCATAGCTTAGAATCCAGCCGGCCTGAATTTTGCTAATAGTGTTCAGCTCCGTGGCTAGGATAACTCTAATGATTGGATAAATTGGTTGAATATTTTTGATATGAATTGCATTCATGTTTCCTCCTGAGAGGTGTGACCTGGAGGCACGAGAAGGAATGATTTTCTGCCGCAAGTCTTACCTCCGGAGAGGTGTTTGTTGACTTACACCTTGTCCCTTCATCCGAAGGCGGATCTTTACATGCGAATGTGGGAATCTTACCGTAGAACCACTTGCAATCTCGGAGAAGAGGACGAAGTGAGCCATATTATTCATCACGGGCATGAGCTTGATAATTTGGACACTGCAAGCGTACTGAATCAGCCCAAAAAAAAGCCATAATATCCTAAACACCATACTTCGTACGCCGGGATTCATTGTTCAATGGCATCCATCGTAACGGCTATTATCACACTTTAAACACCTTTTATGTCTTTCCCCGCAGCCCTAACCGCCATTCTCTCTGGTGTCTCACCAGCCGGGTCTTTTCACATGAAAATATGGAATCAGAGCCGCCACTGCTGGTATCGAGCACAGGGACTGCTATACCCCACAAATAATGTGAAATCCCTGTCACTTCAAAGGCGGGAGGATTTTGGGGCCGCACAGGCTCGAAATATATTCTTAGGACCAATAATGTAGCCATGGAGAATGCTGATAAGGAGGCGGTCAGCATAGCGTTTCTTGTGGCCGGCATCTCACGTCACATTGCGACGGTCTGGATCAATATGGTGATACCCGAAGGAATGGAGCTCACTTGCAATACGGGCTATATTCGACACTACCGTGCTCATAATCCATGGGAATCGAATGTGAGCTTCCCGGTTGCTTCAATGGTAGCATGGCCAAGCAAGTTGGGAGCGCACATGCTTCCGCCATCTGGAACCCGGTTGGCTGCATGAAACCCCAGGATGGCACGCTCTCCAATCCCCACTGCATTCAGCTTATCTTTGCAATGCTTTGAAGCTCGGGGTTGGTCACTTAAACCTGGGTGACACGGATCAGCCTCTGTTGTCCAAATCATGACCAGCAAAATAAGCTTCAAAGTGGATTTGTCCGGTGCTCGAAGGCTTCTATGGTCGGCAGCCAGTTGCAGTCTCTCTCGTGACGAGCCCATTTTCAAGATATGTAATTTGTCTGCTGGTCGAGATTTTTTTCTTTCCAATTCCTTCTTCCACGTGGCAGTTAACTTCGGAGAAACTAATTACTCCGTATTCCGTTGAAGGCGGCTTCATCCATTGGAACAAACTTCCACAAAAACTCACTATGCTCCAAGGAATCAGAAGGCTAGGGCCAACAAGCTTGCTGGGAACCTTGTTCATAGCTTTAACGAGTCCGAGATCGGACTTCTTTCACAGCCTCACCTCTTGGTGATAATGGACAACGTCTTTCTGGAGAGGAGGCGGGAAAATTGAAGCAACATCCATTAGCTACACTAAAAATGATATCATACAGAGAAAAGCAGCAGGCATTCAGAATCTCAGGTCATAATTTCCGAAAGGACAACAACACGCCTCCCAAACCAGCCAGAGTACCTTCCTACAGGCTCACACCCTATGCGAACTGGCGTTTTTTGATAATGATATTTGGTCCATTTTTCTGACTCGTGAAGTGGTCAACCATGTGGAGATGACCGGTGGCATCCTCGCCAACGCGATCAGCAAGCTCGATATCGAACAGGAACATCATTCGGGCGAGCGTCAACCGCATCTCCATCAGCGCCATACCCTTGCCAATGCAGCCGCGCGGGCCAATGCTGAACGGGCAGAAAGCTCTGCGCGCAAGGTCTACGTTTGCTTTCGAGGATGTCCACATTCCGTTCTCGCTCTGGCACAAGGCCCCCTCGATCCAGCGCTCTGGGATATAGGTGTGAGGCTCGCGGTAGTATTCGGGCTTGCGGTGGATAGCATAGCACGGGGTTCCGATGTCAATGCCGCCCGGGAGGTAAAGTCCATCGACCTCGATGCCACCGGGAAGCACTTCACGGGGCATAGCTCCAGGCACAGCAGGGCAAAGTCGCATAGCTTCGTCCATACACGCTCTCAGGTAGACCAGCTCGTTGAGCTTCGGTCCGGTCACAATCTCCTCCACGTCGTTGAAGGTGTCTCTGACCTCCTTCTTCAATTTCGCCAGGGCGTCTGGAGTGCGGACAAGATAGAATATGGTTGCAGCAAGACTGGTGGATGTGGTATCGCTACCGGCAATCATCAAAACGTTGCTTTCTCCCCAGAGCTCGGGAGTCGAGAGTCCACGACCGGATTCAGGGTCTTTGGCATTAAGGAGATAGTAGAAGAAATCCTTCTTGGCCTCGTGTCCAGCCTGGGTACGCTCCTTCGCACGTTGATTTGCCTCAACACGAGACTTTTGGATGAAATTCCACCGATCGTTGGTAAGTTTACGAATGAAAATCTGGTCCAAGTGCCAGTTATCCAGAGGCATCCACAAGCCGCACTATTTAAAAAAAAAAGACAAAGAAAAAGAGTCAATTCGTGCAACCAGACCTAGAGGGCCAAGGATGGAGGGTGAAATATGACATACCACGTAATGACGGTAAGCGGCTCGGTCAACAAGGCCGATGACTTCCCGTTTTCCGCGCTCGATCAACATGCCGAAGCTTTTTCCGAAACAGAGCTCACCCATAACGTCGTACGTCAGATATCCAAACCAATCGGCCATGTTCCGGACAACGAAACCCTTCTGTGTCCTTTGAGCACCGGCGTCGAGAGAAGGTTCGTCACCGGCCATGATAGCACAGAATTGGCGAATATTAACCAACATGACACCTTCCATGCCCTTCAGAGCATTGTCGGAAAATGCCTGGCTCAGAACACGTCGCTTTCTGCCGTGGATGTGCTTATCGATCACGTTGTGGGTATTGTACACACCCTTGATCGCGGGGAAAGCATTGTAGAAATCTCCCTTCTTAACCTTTTTGCCATGACCGTAGATGTCGTGCAAACCTTGGGCGCTGTTGATGGAGAGGAAATTTGGTGCAACTCGCACGTGAGGGCCGTATTTCAGATGCAATTTATACAGCCACAAATGACGGTCGCCCTTCAGGCCATGGAACAGCTGCACCCAGGGAGTGACGGATGCGAGGAACGGCCCAGGGTATTTTCGGAGTGGGTGGAAGAATTTGTTGTACACGCAGTAGCCGAAGGTCTAGCGTTGAAAGCTGGTAAGTCAAAGATGCTTGGATATATTTTCCAAAGATGCATGCAATCTCCTCGGTGTCATCTGAGTACTGCAGAAAGCAAACGTACCAGAAGAGCAGTCAGGGCGGTGAAGCCCACGCCCACGCTCAACAGAGAGAGGTGGGCGACGAGCGGCTGCAGTAGCATGGCCGTTTTGGATTCTCTTTGTCCTTCTGGGTTCGTCCTTATTCTACCGTTGACGCCGTTGAACTCTCGTCGCTCATATCAGTTTTCCCGGCCAAACGGGGATGACGTCAAGCCGCAGGAAACCGCGCAGGACGGACTCAGGCACGGGGCAGCAGCAGCAGCAGCAGCAGAGCGGCGGGCTCGAGAAGAGAACACAGAGACACCGGGCAGCAAGGGGCTGAGGGCGATAGAGACAAGGGCTTTATTAACTACCCTTTTTTTTTTTCTTTCAAGAGCAGGAATTCGTGTGCGGCTGTGGATTCCACCGAGAGCCTTTTTATCGCTGGCGGTGTTGCGCGGCTAGTTGCGGAGGCCGTGGGGGGAAGCTGACCGGCGGGAGAAAGGGTGGCTGCTGTAATGCCCCCCGGCCGGAGTGGTTTTGTCTCGCGGCGCACAGCTCGTCTGCCCCCCCCCCCCCCATGTCTGGGCGGAAGCGTGCCGTCGTGCACTCTGGCCGCCGTCCCGGGACACCAATAAAAGTCCTCGCGCTCGGATATTTTCTGCTGGCAACAGCGCACAGCGCGGCCGGGTGCAGGTTGTAGGTTCGTGCCGGTCGGGCGGCCAACTCTGCGCTTTTGCCTTTTGCTCGTCTAAAAGGCCGCCCTTGCGCGCCACCCACCCCCACATCTTCGGCTCTTATGTAATCAATGCCGTCACCAGCCGCAGCTCAATCACGTGACTAACACACGCGCATCTTCGTTTCTCCGGCCGGCGGCGACGCGACAAACTCGAAAAGTTCGAAAAAGTTCGCTGCAAGTGCGGCTGGCCCGGAACGAGTTTTGTCCAGCATCGTTGCATCTGGTTCGCTGACAGACCCTTTTCGTCTGCTCGTAACCCGGTCGTTCGTGTTACACAGCTGGGTTTATGGATGCGAGAACGCTTGCGAAGATTATGGAGTTGAACAACTGTCACCGTTGTCATATCTCCAGACGGTGCTTGGCGTGCCACAGCTTGCTCCTCGGTTTGTCCAGGGTAGCACTCTCAGTTCCGATAGCCGATTTCTCCATATCATACATACTCCGTACTGTACTCCGTACCCGCTTTATTTTTCTCAAGCCAACGATATCCAGGCTCTCTGGTTGGCTAGTGTCCCTCGGTCAAAAATAGCAATTTTTTTTTTTTTTTTTTTTCTTGTTCCTTGGCTGGAATCGACAACTTGAGCTGGAGGAACCCCCGTTCAATAGCAGTTTACTCTTATCATGAAAGCCGGCACTAGCTTGCACATGATGAGCGGTATCAGTGGTCACCGGCATTTTATCGGCTTCTTGTCTGATCAACTGTCGTGGCCTTTATATCCGCAGAGAGCTGCAAAACTGTAGACCACTCGCGGCTCATCCTCTAGAGCAATAGTACGAAGATTTAAGGCCCCAGTTTTGCTTTGTTATGCTCCCTTGGGCATGACACGTTTGTTCGGAACCTGAATCTGAGATGGAGATGTATACCTTTCACTCTCGAGCTGCCACATGCGTAAACTGGAGTTGTCTGCCTTTCTTTTGATACCTCGGGGTTTAATCCTGTGATAGCCGCTTCTCTTCATCCTCTTTCCAATGTACAAGCAGCCGTGCTTGTTGCGTGTGATCAAAATGCGGATGGGGACCCGGTGATGACCTTGGGGTGAGTCAAAGCGACGTCCTTCGATTGGAATTTTGTTGTCGAACAGAGATTTTGCGAAGTCACACAGACCGAGAAATTGATATATCAGCGAATGGCCAGCGATTGGCCTCCTGTCCATGTTCATTCCAACTAGTTTGAAAAGTCGGGTTCAAGACCTGACAATAACCCTAATTAAGTGTTAGGAAAGATTTCAGCCCAAATAATCCTTACCGGACTTTTGGATGCGTCTGATCTTCTTCGACCAGCTCAGACTCCTTAAAGGAATTGACCAAATGCAGCGTCTGGCGCTTTAAAGGAATTGGAGCCTTTCAATTCCAATATATGAAGCGGAGCTGATCATGTGCATTCTACTTGACGTGACGTATCACTGGATCCACGTGTTCGATCTGAGTCTTTTCCCTTCTGAAGATGAATTTATACTCCCACTTTGTTTCCCACTCACCCTTAGCCTCCCTTCAGTCCGATAAAGCCCCCCCAAGAAGCTCCGCAAAGCACCTTTGTCCTAGAAGAATTGAATAATGATGCCGCAAGAGTCGGTCCCGGAGCAGTTACACTGCTGAAAGATTCTGCATTGTCTCGAAACAGGGATCTACGACCACGTTCGGCTACACATGAGTCTGGTATGAGCTGACGGTAGATCACCGACGGTAGCTCGAGAAACTTTGTAAAACAGCGTTGATCGGCTGCGTCATTTGGTATACTGGCCATATATGAACTAACTCCCAGATGGTTTGCTTTTCATAGGGTACATATAGTTGACACCAAGATATGGAGGATGGTCGATGTACATGGAGTATCTTAGCATTATCATACGATGTTTATAGACCGATTGGAAACACCTCTTCTTCACAGTTTCCTGACTCTTTCAAAGCTGAACAAGTTCCTCTCTTTTTTGTCCGAGTCGCTTCTAACATAGCCAGTTCTTCCAATCGGTTCTTCTGATATATTGCAAAGCTGCGTCAATGTATTTTCGTCTCCGTGATTGGCAATAAACCGGTGGTTGTTACTCTTCAAAAGTCCCACCACATACGCCCGCAATGGAGTGCCGTCCCTGCTGTATTCAACAGTGTAGGTTTCTACGACCGCCTCTCCCTCGGCCTGGCTGTCAACGACTGGGACGTCCACGTCAGTCAAAACATCTGGAAGGGCCTTCTCGCTCGGGTAAGGCGATCCATGTTTTCGGGGCTGAGAAGAAAGAACAACGACATGTTGGTAGCTTAGCACTCCGCCATTAGCTAGGACCAATCCATGACGAGGGCGTCCAGAGGCTTGTCTGAGTTGGTGAACCATAGCCGTGATAGCCTACATATGTATTGTTAGTAAAAAAGGAAAATTATCAAGCCATGGATCTCTAAAGCATCAAATGACCTACATGCATAGAGTAATTGTTCCCAGCACCTCCAAAGGATGTTAACCCTCCAAGGAGTGTAATAGGTTTTGGTGAGTTAACAATCGGCAACCCCAAATGCTCACAGGCGAGTTTGGGAACGATAGGAAAACAGCTGTTGGATTGGTTATTTGACCCATGTATTTTTCCAGTAGAGCGCACGCATGGGTCACATACGAGTAAAAATCAAAAATATCAATATCCTCCTTTTGCAAACCTGAGAGATCCAGAGCCGTGTCTAGCGACCTAGAAATCGACGGGCTTGAATAGAAATTCGGGCGTTCCCAAACTATATCGGGTGGGTGTTATCGTTTTGCGGTCCCAACGAATTAGGTGGTCTGCATAGGAGTGACCTGGGAGGTGGTATATGTACATACAGTTGCTACTGTCGGCCGTTCCTGCACCAGCCAAAGGATATATCCACCGACTTTCAGGGACGCCGAGCTTTCGTGCAAATTCAGTGCTCGTTATAAGGCAGGCCGCGGCAAGATTGACCGTATTAAACGCGTTCATGAGAAGGGGATCTATGCTGCAAGTTAGATGTTATGCAAAGAGTATGAAAATCACAACGCACTTACATGGAGAACAGATAAGACAGTTGCGTTTGGTCACAGTTCCAATAGATTGAGGCGTCTCGGCCGGCTTGCCATAACTCCAAGCCAGAGGATTTTTCTCTGCCACTCTGGCAAAGTCGCCATATAATTCAGCTGATTCCCGGTGGTTGTCCTGTAGTGACTGGGAGCGACGAGCCCTAAATCCGTTCTCGTAAAGTGGGTATATCTGGACTGGGAGCCCGATAGAATGGATAGAGCCCAGGTCTGATCATATTAAGGTCAGCGTGGTTTTGTATTGAAACCCAGTCATAAGGCGTTCGTATACTCACTTTCCTTCAATTTCATATTCTTCACGGAAAACACGCCAGTGACAGCTTCATCCGGCTGTGTCCAACCGGGTGGAGGCATTTTCTTCTCCCGCGCGAAAGCTTCGACTTCAAAACAAGCGTAAGTTCAGCAAATCTGTCCTGGTAAAGGAAATATACCTGAGCATAATACATACGTGAGGCCAGCGCTTCGCCTCCTGTAACCAACGCAACGTTGCTTTGTCCCAGGGCAACACGACGGGCAGCTTCATCGAAGAGCTTGCAGGGAGAGTTGCCACCATTGTCGCTATAAAATTTGTGTTTTGGTTGAACCCCTAACCTCTCAGCAATTGAACCTGGTAGATCTGGATATGGCCAAGTCCATGTCCTGACAACATCCACACTGTCAATGCTCGACCTGAGTTGATTGACTGCCTGGCTTGAAACCTCAGAGTCCTTTATTGCCATTTCAACTGCTTGCAGGATAAGCTGCAGCGGCTCGGCAGCATCCTCGGTCTTTTTGGAGGCATTTTTTATATCACCGACGCCAATTACCACGGGTATTCTTCTTTGCTTCTCCATGATACAGCACTTGAGACAGATAGGGCTGAAAATTCAAGTAAAACGAACACGCCTAAGCTGACACAGAGAAAAGCTACAAATTCAATCCATTGGCGTCGTCGTTGCTGAGGGGTGTTCCTCATTTAACAGTAACCTGCTGGTGATTGCGTTAAAGAGCGGGTACGGATTGACAAGCAGCTAAACGCTACCGAGGTTGCCAAGCTAGTTGACATCTTCGGGCGCCGAAGATCAGCTTGTTCCACTGTTGGGGATTCTTTCATATTCATGCCCCAGACCACCAAGTGAATGGCGCGCGGCGTTTGCGGTCACTGCCATGATTTTAGCGACAGGTGGCGAATTTGCAGGTATATCCCCCACTGGAAATTCATCAGAGTAATCACAGCAAAAGGATGAGCAAGTTACCGTCAATCCATATGTGGGGATGCTTTGGGCAAGCTTGTCGCGCCGTTGGAATGGGTGGAGACCTGGTATAGCCTGGGGTTCTGTGAAAGCTGCAGAGCAGCTGTGGCTAGATCCTCTTGTTATTGATGCGTGGCATCGTCTCTCAGTTTGCGACAAAAAGCTTCTTCCTCTTTCTTTCTTTCTTTCTTTTTTCTTTTTCTTTTTCTTTTTTCCCCCCTCTCCCTTAAATCTGGGCCGCAGCAGGAAGAGAAACCGTGTTGACTTGTTGACAGGATGTCATTCGGAGGTGAGCTGCGCCTTTGCAATCTGGTTGGCCGTCCAAACTTGTTCGCGAGTTAGTTAACTAGTTAACCTCGGTCCAGCAAATGCGGCCAACACGGCTAAAAGACATCCAACCGCGGGGGAAGAGATCAAGCCGGCGACAAAGGGCAGCTTGCTTGGAGTTGAAGGGATAAGATGAATAACGCTAGCCAATGGACGTCCAGAGAGCAACAGCATGCGCTTTGAACTGGCCATTTCTGCTGATCCTGAATGAGGTTGTCTTTCGCCGTATGGGGTATACAGTCCATATGTGCTAATCGTTTGACTTTGATCCGCAAACCCTTTTCGTCTCAGGTTCCTGGATGAGGGGAGACCGACTCGGAAAACAATAATTGGGGATAACTATAGATTGCCAGTGTCTCAGGCGCTGGTACCTACCTGGCGCTCGTTCTCTCTCTCTCACTCTCACACACACACACACACACACACACACACACACACACACACACGCACACACACACCAAAAAATACACAATGGAGAGCAGCCTTCTTTGTAAATCTGGCATGCCGAGCGTACATGGCTGGTGAATGAGGTGCTGGTTGGAACTTATGAGCGAGACAACACTGGTGCTTGACACTTTGGAGACTGTACTAAGAAGCCAGAGTTGCCCGGATGATATGCATTTACTCGAAGGTGTCCATATTGTGATTAAGCAATTCCCGTAGTGAACACTGATTGAGAACCGGCGGCTAATCCATATCTCACTCGATCCGTAATGAAATGTTACTGGGGAGTTATTCGTTGCACCCCAGAAAAAGACATATTCCGGAGCAACATCTCGTGAAAGCGGGTTATATTGGCGTATGCTTGAGTTCCAGTTAGCCACGATACTGTCGTCTGGACGTCGCTATTCCATTTATCAGTTTGCCCCAGGCTAGTTTGAACAAACTCAGTTAAAGTCGCAGATTCTCTGCCCCGGTGGGATCATGTCTGTCAAAAAGAGTTCACCTTGCGTGCCTATTTGAATGTCATAGCTTTGGCGTAACTAACTCCGCAGTTGCCCATGCTTTTATCCGAACGAGAAAATGAAGAGAAGGATGCTCGCAAGCCTGGTCGCATGTATGTACAGGATGGAGCACATACATACAACTCTCTCATATGCAGTATTATCTATACAGAGGGTTCAAGAATGAATTCCACATCGCGGGATACGGCTTGTCGCATACGTTCGCATCCTATTGCGGCAGCATTCCGAGCACGAATCTCATCAGTAACTTAGCTGGAGAGACGGGATGAAAGAAGAGACGCCAGGAACAAATTTATAGTTGACACAATTTCTTATCAGTCGAGAATATCCGCCATGAAAGAGTTGGTCTGGCTTCCCAGATGCCAGCCGTGCCGTCACCATCGGCAAGGTTCCCCTCCCTTTCGTTGTGACACGGGGAACAGCCATATAGAATGCCTTCTGTGCTCTGGACCTAGCATTGGCACCACTTGAGCGCAGAGTGCCGTCCTCCGCATTACCTCGTTGATTCCACAGTTGTCTCGCGAGCTGCGAGATCAAAAGGTTTGCCAAAGCAAATTACTCTGATGATCTGCAGTGGTATTGGCTTGTGTGGCGTGCTAGTTCCGTCATCAATTCCTCCGTGGTTAGCCTTGCGATTGGACTGACTAACTTATCAGCCGAGATCGCCAGGCTGAGACGCGCCCATCAGAGATCGAACTCTGCCACTCTATCAAGAAATCCTCTCCGGACAACAGGAGCTGTGCGGTTGGAGCACTGGACAAAAGAAATAAAGCAGGAGTCCTAAAGTGTATTTGCCTCCCCCAGCGAAACTATTTACCTAGCTGAGCAGGTTAAGTTAGTGCTACAATGCACAAATTGTCCCCGCGATACAATGAGGACAAGCAGGAAAAGGGGGCCAATTCAGCCCATCGCAGGGTGTGCTCAAACTCAAGCGGCACAGTCGGCGCCTGGCGTCTCTTTCGATGCCGGCGAAGACCAATTTTGCTCCTCGCAGTCTTCGCCTGTGTCTGCATTTATGTTTTATTCTTGTGGATTCCGTCCGTGACCACAGGGTTCTGGCATTGGCCGTGGTTGAGAGAAAAGCACCTCGAAATTCTTCCCTCTTGGTTGCACATGGCTTTGTCGTATCTCCTTGCGAGAGCTGCACCGTCAGTAGATATATCTCAGGGAACCGTCGTCGGTACAGTCTTGACCGACAGCTCGCTCCCTCGCCCGATCGAGGCCTTTCTTGGAGTCCCATATGGTCAACCACCAGCCGGCGAGAGGAGATTCAAGCGTGCCCAACCAGTGAAGCCGTCAGTTGCGGTCATCGATGCCTCGAAATATGGCAAAAGGTATTCTAGGGCTCTGCTTCATTGTGACCGCAGCTACGTCCGTTGGCGTCGCAAGTTCTTTGCTTACTGTCGCTTGCTAGATGCCCAGCCGGCCCTCTCGGATGGACCGCAGACGATTGGGGCGAAGATTGCTTGAATTTAAACCTTTTTCGCCCAAAAGATAGGCCACATAATACCAAGTTGCCCGTTGCAGTTTACCTCCACGGCGGAGCTTTCAATGGTGGAGCCGGTACGCCACATCATTTGAGACCTCAACAGCCCAGGTTTGCTCATGAGTTCTTTTTTATAGGAAGATACCATAGTTCTGCAAACATGATATCGTGGTCGGAAGAGCCCTTTATTATAGTAAATTTCAATTACCGGTGGGTTGACTGTATATGTTCAGGGGACGACCACGAGCTAATCACACATTTGGACCGCAGACTGGGGGCTCTTGGATTCCTGCCTTCAACTATTACAGAAAAGGAAAATGCGCTGAATCTCGGTCTCCATGACCAGATTCTGTTGTTTGAGTGGGTTCAGAAGAACATTGGTGCCTTTGGTGGAGATCCTAGTCAAGTCACTTTGTTTGGACTCTCCGCTGGTGCTCATTCGGTGCGACTATGTCCTTTCTACGGGGAAATCGGGATCATCTAACACGCCTAGATCGGCCATCATGTTATGCACAAGACTAGATCGAAGCGCCTCTTCCATAGAGCAATAATCGATTCCGGCGCAACCACCGCTCGGGCCGTTTATCCCCCTAATAACCCACTACATAAAAGGCAATTCGAAGAATTCCTCTTGGAAGCTAAATGCTCCAACATTTCGGATGACAAGGTGATGCCTTGTCTCAGGAGCAAACCGGTACTTGATATTGCTCGTGCCTCGGAGAGGATATTCAACCGCTACAATCCCTCCGATCGATGGGCCTTTCAACCCGTCATCGACGGAGAAATCATCGACAAAGCACCCATCAAAAACTGGAAATCCGGGGTATGGAATAAAATCCCAATTCTCACGGGGTTCAACACAAACGAAGGTGCTCCATTTGTGCCCTCTAACATCGCAACATCAGAAGAATTCGATGATTTCTTCCGTGCCCTGATCCCACCCTTGCCCCCTTCAGACCTCAGACTACTCAACAAGATTTACCCAGATCCACTAAAAGACCCCGAATCTCCCTACGTTGAACATCGCCAGATAAACGTCGGCCCGCAATACAAACGTATAACGGCCGCTTACGGACAATTCGCATATGTCTGTCCCGTTAGACAAACGGCACACCTGGCTTCCGAGGGCCAGAGGGAACCTGTATATTTATACCACTGGGCGTTAAACAAAACTGTCAAAGGGGGCGCCAGCCACGGTGACCAGGGTGAATATGAAGTTTACGGTCGCAGCGCACGCCAGTTCTCCAAGACACAGGAGACGATAGCTGGATTTATCCACGCATATATTACGTCGTTCATCACGAAAGGTGATCCGAACCATATCAAGGGCGAGTACGCTGACAGGCCGAGGTGGGACCGATTCCGAATGAAGAGTGCAAGGAGCGTGATGGTGTTTGGGGATGGAAACGATGAGCGAGCCGGAGGAGGGCATGTTGGCGTTGCGGCTCAGATGGGCGATATTAAATGGTGTGAAGAGGAATGCAACTTTTGGTCGGACCGAAGCATTCTTACGGAATCATAATGTAATCTCGGAGGGACTGGCTCCTACTTGAGGCATGGATATTTGAAATCATCAGAGCACCATGTCTAACTGACTGTATATGTGTTATGGAATATATAAATATATGTCCATGGTAACTTGGCGACCCTTGACGTCTTTTTACGTGGTAACATAGGGTTGCGCGCATCCCACCCCCGGTTGGCTGAACTGGCGAATCAGGATTACCCCAGGGCAGGTGATTTTCTTGTCGACAGCCGAGGAGCACATTTACAATCAATATGAGTCTCTAAGCGCTTCTATGCATCATGGGCTCAGACAGAACATACAGTGGACTTCCCTCGTCACTAGGCATGGTTTTACTGCCCTCTCCCACCAGCGATATCCTGGCCGAGCCTGTACCCACCGACCTTCTCCCATTCAACCTTCTGTCTTGTTATCGGCAGTTGCCGGCGTAAGCCCTTAAACGCGCCCTCCGCAAGTCTCCCAAACGCTTCGTTCAATTCTTGCTGATGCTCTCTCTCGGCCGCGGCGATCCGTCTAACGATCGTCTCCGCCGAGGTGGACTGTATTGGAATTGAGACCGGTTTTGTGTTATTAAGGGACACATTTCCATCCTCGTAATAATGGACATCTACGTGGATTTTTCCGGTAATGGTGGTCGGCGAAGAAATGGGGACGTGGTAAATTGTCCGGTAGCGGCCGTTCCAGAAGTTGTTAGGCGAGTATTTATTAGCAACCAGGAGTATGGTCACGGACGAATCGTTATCTGTAGGGTAGACGCCGTAGGAGCAACTAACGAAATGTTCCCGGGTATGTGATGACAGGGATTTCAGGAGGGATTTGCTGCGATGCAGGCGATGTCAACTGTGCTGCCGACATGACTTGGGTGAGACGAGCTAGGGGCTGGGTCTTTTGTTTTTTTGGTTGGTTGGGGATGTTGGGGGGGGGATATACATGAGATCTGAATTTTGCGACTCGAGCGGATGAGATTTTGGAGCAGAAGCTATCTGTATTTCAGTGGCCAAAGAGTCAGAACAGGAGCATGCAACTGGAGCAAGGGGAGAGTAAAACTCGCCTGAGAAACGTGGTCGAATTCGAATGCCGTCTGGCTTTCAACGTCATAATACCGACCGTCTTCCAATCTGTTATAAGAGCTCACGATAACCTGTATTTTTTTTTTCAAATTCCAAGTTCTCAGCACATCGGATGGGTAATGGATCTCAATTGACACACAGCAATGCCCGCACCTCCTGACTGCTGCCTGCCAGCTTCGTTGTCGTCAGCTGCGTCTCGTTATATGACCGGAAAGCAGGCTCAAGGGAATTAATAATATCGGGGCCGTCGGATGTGAGAGCTTTTATATCTATGGAGCTTCGCGGTTATCTAATTGAACCGGACTAGTTCCAGCCCAAAGCCTCCAGGCGTTCGACATCAGTACTGAAAGACCTCGTACATACCTGCAACAACATCATTGAGCTATACGAAGTTAGCATGCGAGAGATGTCAGAGAGGCCGTGAATCCATGAGCATCCGGCGCCTGACGTACCTCACCAGGAGGGGCGCCCTCCACGAACGAGGAGGCGATCTCGATGTTCGAAGGCATGGTCAAAACCGACGGCGTGAAGGGGGGCAGAAGGGGGATGAGGTGAATATATAATACAAGCAGCTACCGGCGGTAAACAGTCACTCACAGTCGGACGAGCGTGATGTTTTGCTGTCCGATGGAGTCGAGTTGCGGACGGTCGCCTGTCGCCAGTTGTTGGTTGCGGGGAGGGCGATGATGGTTGCCAAGACACACCCGCATCAACAAATAGTTAAACTACTACGAGGGAACTAACAAAACTGCCTTCGCGCGAACCACGGTACTAAACTACACGAATTTATTATTTCCCTTGAAATGCTATCTAGCTCTGTACTTGATCATGAGCGTTGCTTCAGCAAATAAGGGATACAGGATACAGAGAAAGGCGCCGAGGCATCCGCCGTATACCGATCTCGCCCTGCTCACATCCTCGCCATCAGAGCCTTGATGCCTGCCCAGGTTTCCTCACCGCTGGGCTTGATCTGCGACGCTGGAAGGACAAATCCATGTCTACCTGTGTCTCGCAGCTCTGCAGCGAATCCGAGTTCGAACCCGCCGACCTCGACCGCCCAGTCGACGCTGTCTCCATTGACCTGGTAGATTGTATTGCATGTCGGCCCAACTCTAAAAGAAGTGCCATGAACCGCTCTCAGCGCCTGAGCAAAGGCTGTCGCAAGGCTGATGTGCTTCTGGTGGTTTCGTGGAAGCCTGCTGCAGTGATATCCGTAGGCTAACCGGGAGGAGGTTGTCAGGCATCTTCAACTCTCTACTGTTTGAGACGGAGGGGTACTTACGGGTCAGGAAAAGCTGGGAGTACGAGTGCCAATCCACATACATCTTGACTCCCTGGGACCGTGCAACACTCTGCATAAAGCGGGTATGTGCCTGGACCTCGGGTGAGTCGCCTGGTCTCAAGCCTTTTTCACGGCAGCGGCGGTTAGTCTCAATTCGTCACGCACGGAGCTCCTATGCAGTAATTTTGAAACAGGTACGAGTAACATGCCTCTGAATGTCTCGGCGCTGGGGTTCGACGATGATCCCCTTCCCTCCCATTGGTATGGATAATTGCGGTTCAAGTCTGTTCCAATATTGTTGTTTCTGCTGGGCTGGCGATTCTTGCGCCACAATCGGCTCCTGCTTTGGCTGTAAACGAAACCTAATTCGGCCGCATCAGTGGTTGCTCACGGATAGAATAGCGTCGAGGGGGTGTACCGTCGGGATTTGTGATCGGGAAAATGAAGAAGTCATATTTATCAAGAATACTCTTCACTGTCTCGTCGGATCGTTCTGATAACAGACTCGATGCCATGTATTCGACGACCTAGATGCAAGCTGTGAATACCTGAAGGATCGTGCGTTGCCTATCATTGCAGGGAACGGATCTTCGGGACGGGAGATCATTACCATAGTGGTGATCCATTCACGCGCGTGGATTGTTCCATGCCAAACCACGCCAGGTTTCCCCTTTCCACGGCTGCCCCAGATGTGGATACCCTGGAGCGGACGCCTCTCATAAGAGTTCCCAGCGGTGATCAGCTCCGAGTTGTCGGGGTACTGAGCTTGCAGATCCCTAAGGAACTGGAGATGGTCATTGTAACTGTGATAGCTATTGAACCAGGCATCGGTGAGGTTTCCTGCTGGGAGGATGTCAGCGAGATCGACAATTCTCCGGCATCTTCTCCGCCGATCGATTTCAATCAGGGTCCAACGTACCTTCATATGTGCTGACTACAGCTGATTCAGCGTCGATTGAAGCTCCAAGATCTTCATGCATCACCTCGACCGTCAATCCGGCAGTGGCCTCTTCGAAGGCAGAGAGCTGGCTTGGTGAAACCACGACATCTGCAGCAGATCCCGCCGTCTTTGGAAATTCCCAGGTGTCAAGCTCCAATTCCTTGATGATCCTCACAACTTGGGCGAGGTTCTGGTCCACTGTCGGAATTCGGAAGACCTTGTATCCATTATACTCCGATCCCAAGGAAGGGATGGCCGCGGCGAGGGCTGAGCCCAAAAGTGCCGAAATCGCTAAAAGTACCTTCATAGCGCAGAGGGACGATCTGGACGATCTAGACGATCCGGACTATAAACGGCAATATGCTGAGCCACACCTCAACAGCTGCCTCTTCTGCGCACCAAGTGCTTCAAAACTACTCCGTACGGGAGCATCAATTTATATGATATATCATTAGGTATTTTAGGACTTAATAGTCCTCCCCAATGTCTTGTCTTCTGTCACCTTTTGATAAGCCCAGGTGGGCGTGTTTTACCTGTAAGCGGTGTGATGCTCGTCGGCTGGGCCTAAGATTCCCGCAAACCGCCCAATATATCATGCTACGCGAGGACGATAGCCTGCCGCTTCGAATACCCGGATCCGTCGTTGCAAGGGTCATGCCTCTCAATTTCACGTATAGTTCGTCATGCAGAACGGTCAGGATAACGGCTGTGTAATATCAACTTCATTGACAGGGGATAGCGTCATGTCAATAATTGACGCCATAGTGCAACCGTCATGAGCATATTAATCACCAGGTTGGCATGAGAGCTGAAAGCGTTTTTCAGCTCGCGTAGCACCCGGTTTTATCCCCCGCGAAGAACCGTTGAGGGGAGCCCACTGCCAAGTGTGTCCACCCTTCTTACTTGATTATGTGCATTGCCCCGACTGCTACTATCAATTTAATGACGATATTGGGCCGAGAGCATCGGTAATTGGGAGCCATTGGATTTCGTCCCCGGAATGAAGGATGGCCTGCGGCGGCTGCTTCAAGGGTGGTTGCAATGGGGGGTGTTCGGCGAAGTGGGACATCTTAATGGAGGACACGGAGTATATCGTTTGATTGAACTGGACAACTTTAAGAGAAGCGAGGTCCTTGGGTTTGCTTTTTCGATCAAGATCAGCCGAACTACAGTGGGGATATGACGGTCTCCACGTGCGGCTGGGTATCTGAACCCCAGACCTATCGACCGGCCCTCTGCTTGGCAACCCCAGAGTGTCGATGATCTGCAGCCTGCCAGCGCCTTCGTGGTCCGACATCCATACTCGGCTGCGTGGGTTGATGGCGGCAAATCCAAAGGGAAGAGCCGTGTTGAAGATGAATGAGCTCCTACGGTTACATCACAACATCACCCCATGGCTACGGTCCTTTTTTCTTTCTTTTTTCTTTTTCTTTTCCATTTTTTTGTGTTTTCGGACTTTGCCGGGCCTGACGAACTCCACAGCTCTGCGGATACAAATCCTGCATTGATAGCGTGATGCTGCGCGCGTGGCGCGAGTAGTTGAGTTCTCTCAACTGCTCCTACGACGAACGATGTAACTCCCGGCAACTAGCAGCGTTGACAGCAAACTTTAGGAAAGTGGAGAGCCGATACTCCGTATGAAGACCTGAAATGAGACTCAGGCGGGGGCAAGGTCCCAATCCGTTATCAGTAGGACGTTCATCGTCAAAGACCAGCTTTTGGACGGACCCTATATTGATCAGTAGGCACGGTAGAAGGAGGCGGGTTGCTTTATTGAGAAATTAACAGCAGATTATGATGCCCGGAACATTCCACGCGTCCAAATATTTATCCTCCGAAAGGCGAAATTTCTCGAAGCCCGTCGTAGATATTCGAAAGGTACTCGACAGACAGGGAACATCTGCAACAATTCACAGGCCATGTTTCCGCCTGTATGCTTGTCCGTGTTGTTTTGTTTGAAAGCCACCTTCTGCTGGGCAGAAAATACAGAGGGAAATTATCTGGAATTGGTGTTCCTGAAACACCAGTTTGTTCTGAAACAAGGTGATGCCAGCTCTGTGGAAACCCATCTAGACCATTGTGAGTAGCCATCTTTCAAACCGCAGACGGTGATGATGAGCCAGCAAATTGATGGGAACACGGCCGAAGAAGTGCTCTCCCTAGCCGTGGATGGAATATCCCGCGCTTGATCGACGAACATCGCTCCCGTCGAGCAGAGTCTTCTGGAATAATCTCACGGCTCCCAGTGTGGTGAAGATCGCCTGATGCCCGGAATCCCTGCTCGGATGATCGACAGGCCAATTCACCACGCAGACCCGGGACTCCGTCCAAAATACGACGTTTCGGGCCAAACTTCCAGCCTCTCCACCCGCTCATATCATCCCACACAATCCCGAGGTCATGTTTGGTCTCTGCCAATGGCGCTAGTGCTTGCTCAACGTCTCGCTTGCACTGTCGGCCTATCAACGTCGCGATCTCCAGGAACATTTAACAAACTTTTGATCTGCAGGGTTTAAGGTGGCCTGTAGCAAAGAAACCCACCCCCACATGACGTTGAAGAGAAGGGCATCAGGGCAACTTCTTTATCAAAGTCCTTTTTATTTTTATTTTTATTTTTACTTTTATTTTGTCGTTTGTGTTTCTCGCCACTTCCCCGCGAATAACCATATTACCCAAGTCTCTTCATGCACCTTCGAGGAATCCGGGGTTCTGGGGTTCAGGGGATGCCAATGCAAGCCACAGACTAGACGCTTGTACTCCGTTCATCGCTATAATTAACTTCCGTATATTTTGCTAAAACGCCTTGTGTTTTGGAACGATGAGCCGAGTCGACATCCGACTCTTGCTCCTGGAGAATCTTGAACCACATCCAAATTGTTGACTTCACCTGGTCGGCGAACTCTCCAGGTCTTTCGAGCAATGACGGCCCGAAACAATCCGGGGCCCTGGTCCTTGATCTTAGTTTGAGCGATGGCACTTTGGAAGTGATCTTCATTGCGGTTGTCCCTTTTGATGAGATCTCAACTCTGGCGGGGCACCATGTGATCTCTTTCGCCCCTCTGACCGGGGTACGCTGCCATTGTTATGCTGATATTGGCTCCAACCCACCAAACAGCGTGGTTGACTCGATCGGTCATTTAATAATCAGGACTTGGTTGAGGTGGAGTCACCAGGATGGCCTCAGGTCTCGCTCCGCGTGCACGGGTGATTGGACTTTGCTACCCAGGTCCTCGATCCAGCGTGAAAGGCGTGATATCTGCACGGATCGATAATACCACCCTGGTTCTGAGGAGCGAGATGGCACAATTCCCAATCGGGTAATGTTCCAAGAGCTACCTCGGGGGCTGTTTTTGATGAGAGGGCGGCTAGCGCATGTGAACTTGTATCAAGATTGTCCATGGCCATAAAACGATATAAGGCGTCTCTTCCCTCCCCTCGACGACGGAAAAAAAAGAATCATCCAAATCCATCCGGACATCAGCAGTGATCCGTCTTTTGGTTGTTCACAATGGTTTTCCTCGGCAAGATTCTTCCACTCGCCCTGGCGGCTCTCTCCGTCAATGGAGCAGAAATCCTCTCCGCCCCCGGTGCAGAGAACATCCCCAACGGCTACATCGTCGTGATGAAGGAGGGTACCTCTACCCAGGACTTCGATGCTCACCGTGAATGGGTTGCAAGCGTTCACCACGAGCGCCTCGCCCGCCGCGGCTCTACCAACGTCGGTGGAATGCGCCACACCTACAACTTCAACCAGGGCTTCATGGGTTACGCCGGTACCTTCGATGAGGAGACAATCCAGGAGATTGCCAACCGTGACGATGTGAGTAGGCATCCAGGACTTCACCTCGGGAGCCGGTATCTTTGGTTGCTGACACATGTCCATCTAGGTTGCATACATCGAACGCGACCAGATTATGAAGGCCTCTGCCATCCAGACCCAGCGCAATGTCCCATCCTGGGGTCTTGCCCGTGTCTCCTCCCGCCAACCGGGAGGCAGAGACTACAGCTATGACTCTACCGCAGGACAGGGCGTTACTGCCTACATCATCGATACCGGTATCGATATCCGCCACACAGACTTCGGTGGCCGTGCCGTCTGGGGTACCAACACCGTTGACCGACGCAACGAGGACTGCAATGGTCACGGCACTCACGTTGCTGGCACCACTGGTGGTACCAGCTTTGGTGTCGCCAAGAGGGCGAGACTAGTCGCTGTCAAGGTCCTTGACTGCAATGGAAGCGGAAGCAACTCCGCTGTCATCGCCGGAATGCAGTGGGCCATGCAACACGCCAGCCAGAACGACCCCCGCCGGGCTGTCGCCAACATGAGTTTGGGCGGTGGCTACTCTCAGGCTACCAACCAGGCTGCCGCTGCTATCGTCCGAGCTGGAATCTTCCTTGCCGTTGCCGCTGGTAACGATAACGTAAGTCTTGACTCCAATTCACGCATGCATGGCAAAGACTGACCGACACCGTTTCTAGAGAGATGCTCGCAGCTTCTCCCCCGCCTCTGAACCAACTGTCTGCACTGCTGCCGCTTCCCACGTCCGTGATGGCAAGGCTTCCTTCTCCAACTGGGGCCAGCTCGGTATGTTGATATCCCTGTCCTGTCCCACACCTAGTGGAACAAGGCTTTTTGGCTAACAATTCCGGTTTGAATAGTCGATGTCTACGCTCCTGGCCAGGACATCATCTCCGCCAGACCCGGTGGTGGCTCTCGCAGCTTGTCCGGAACTTCCATGGCTTCTCCCCATGTTTGCGGTCTTGGTGCCTATCTCATCGGCCTTGGCCGTGGCTCTGGTGGCGGTCTCTGCGACACCATCAAGCGGATGGCTCTCCCAGTTATCAGCAACCCTGGCAGCGGTACCACCAACCGCCTCATCAACAACGGCGTCAGCCAGTAAACGCTTAATTCCTCGACGGATCCTGTGAGATTCGACCTCTCAGAGAGAAATAAAAGCCCAGGCTAAATGTTCAGGAACGATATGGCTTTTTCTTCAACCCTTGGGAGGTGGAAAATGAACAAAAACATGGAAAACATTTTACGAAATTGGCTTCGACAATTTCAAGCCTTGATGATTTTCTCTCTCTTTTGCTTGTCCATATTTAGATAATTGCTTCAAGCTGTACATATTGAATACAATTCTCTTCAAGGCACTTTCGAAAACTGTTCACACCTGAAGAAGCCTTAAATGGTTCGCTCGTCGTAGTTCAAAACAAATGGTCAAGCTCAGGCAAAGTACATAACCAAGGGAGCCTTGAGAGCTGCCCGGAGAAAATCGCTTCGACACAGCTGCGATGATGTCTGAAGAAGGTCTGCTGGACCATACCTATCAGCTTGTCAGCGAAAGCCGCGCTTTTGATTCGGCGGGACAGTTGGAATCCAAACCACGGCGTGGTACTCCGCAGCTTGCTGATCATCAATAACTGATAGTAGTTGGGTATTGAATCTATCGAAAGGCAGAGAAATATTCGCCATTGAAAAGATTCTGCGGATAAATAGTAATAGTGATAGTAGGGATAATAACTCCTTAGTTTAGTCCCCTAAGATTGCCAATAACTCCAAAAGATGAACCCACAAATAATAGTAATCCGTAGGAATCGAGATACAGCGAGAAAAAAATTGTCGCACTCCGCTTACTGTTAGTAACAAGTCCTCCTACCCCAACCTAATCAATGGTCATGTTCATGAATCCCTCGTTCGCTTCACTCATACCCTGCAAACCGACTCGCTTGACAGGCTGTGAATGTCCGCTACTTGTGCTCTGGGTCGAGGTTGGACAAATTTTGGCTTTGGACAGATGACCTGACTGACTGCTCTCTGGAAATGAAAACGCTTGGGATTGACTTGGGCTGCTCTGAGTACTGGTGCCTGGAGAGACCGCACGACGCTTAAAGGAAGCGAGGTCAAGGTCGAGGTCATCAACTCGACGCCGCTTGCTCAGTCTTTGCGAAAGATCTGTAGCCGCTTGAGACAATACGGCTTGGGGGCCGAATGGGCGTGGTTGTACAAACGAAGGTGTTGGATGGCCGGGTGGAGTTTGCATCACCGTATCTCCGACAGAATCCTTTGTTTTGTAGATAGAAGGGGGCGGCGTTTGATAGCGGTCGTCAAATGAATTCCAAAACTGTACCCCTCCAGAGTTTTCAGAAGCTTGTTGGTTAAAATCAGCCTTCGGTTGATTATGGGTTATGGTGGTATCTGGCTGATTTTCACGGGAATCCAATGGCAACGCCGAATTAATCAAAGAGGGTGATAGAGAAGGCACTGCGGTGTCACTCTCCCGCACCTGTCTAATAACTTCTGCCTCTTGCTTTGCTTCGCTCTCAATTGGAGCGCCTTCTTCCATCAGAGTTGCCTTTATTCGAGCAAAATTTTTGGTTTTCGGCTATTGCATGTTGAGTTAGCAAAAGTAAGTCTTACGTATTTCCCAAACGATGAAATACGACTTACTAATAGGTTCCCCCGTCTGGTTACTGCTCGGCGTATTACTCCGCGTCGGGCCAACTCCGGATTGGAACCTCCGGCAATAGAGCCACTAGATGAGCTGCTTACTCCCTGCTTGGTTTCGCCATCATCACTCATATCTGATAAGCGCAGGTCGTTTGTTCCGAGACTCAAGCTTTCCCGACGTGACTTGACATCAGCAATAATAGCTTCCTTAGAAAAATACCCCGACGGGATCGTTTCGATGCTCTTTATCACAGGCGGGGACCTTGGCCCTGGGCTAGGCCTAGAGCTAGTGCCGCTTGTGCTGGTTGAGCTATGTCTCGTCCGACCTCGATATCGTGCCCGCTGGAAGCTCATAAGACTGGGCTTCGTACTGGGTAGATTATGCATCCAGTCTGTCGCTGGGCTCTGAGCCACATTCGGAAAAGGTGCGCCCGATAGATTATGCGTAGACCTGGAAGGCTGGGGAGTGGAGATGGTGGGTTCTCCCCGTTCCAGTGCAAGGAGAGACCCATCATCGTCCTCATCGCTGCAACTTGAGGAATCTGAGTCCATCATATTTATGCTACTCACAGAGCTAGATATCATGTTCCTGTCACCATGCCCGGAAGCTGACCAGGTGTAGTTGTGGGAGTTGTTTGGGGAGGCAAAGCCACCATTATTCCCTGCACGGCGCTGAGGAATTGTCACACCTCTGCCACTCACAACTGGAGAAGAATCCGGAGATGCTTCGGCTAATGTTGAGTGGTGTAGATTTGTCGAAGCCCGGGAGAAATCCAGCCCCCTCGATCGTCGCGGCAACACGGAGGAAGGCGAAGTGTAAATATGGGCCGAATCGAGCTTTGGGGAGGCTGGGCCGCGACTGAAAGGACTAGAAAAGAGTCTCGGGGGTAAATTAAGGGAAAGGCCGTGTGCTGGGTTATCTTTCCTCTGCGGAGTTGCCGGAGTCCCGATGGAAGAAGCGTCATCCTTACTAGAATTAGAGGGTCGTGATGGCAGCGGCGTGCACGCACGGGAAGGAAATTCAATAGCTGCTTCGGAAGGTGCCGGCTGCTTTGTCGTGGCATCGTTCTCTAGCAAAGCGGTATGTTCTTTGGGGGTGGTGATGTTTAGATCGGTGGTTTGGGCCTGGGATTGCTCCAGCTGTGCGGTGAGTTGGCTGGATGGAGCTTCTGCTGGGACCCATGATAACGCGACCCGTGTCGTATCCATTATTCACAATCGAGGGGTATGATATGGAAATCCAACATATACAGCGGTCAATTGCGAAGGGGGACTGTCCCTACGGAGCGTTGTTCGAGGTAGGCGGGTTGTTGGGCGCGTAGAAGGGATATATAGCACTACCTGGCGCGTCAATAGTGACGCCAAAGTGAGATCACCTCTGCAAAGTTATTATGTCAATGTGTACCTACAGGACCATCAAGTCTCGAACAAAACAAGACCTTGGCCCATTCCTCGTGGTTCTTTAACGGTGACATGCTTAAATGGAAGAGGGACATGGCATTTGCACGGCGTAGCTTGACGGTGGATTGCATGACGACAGAGTCGCGAACCGGCGGTGGTGCTGTAAGCCTGTAACTAGCAAACTTAACTAACTGGTAGAGTCACGTGATCAACCCCTCATTGGGCCCGAATCATCACCATCCGGGAGACGGACAAGCTACTGATGAATGCAATTGGCCGCTTCTGTCCCTATTACAGTTTCTCTGCTACCTCACGGATCAACTCTGCTATCTTCATTTCATAGTGGCCTCTTGGGAAATCATGACCGTGACTGTGGAAAAAAAACTCTCTCACCAAGGAGGGCTCGCACAGCTTCATCAACTCTAGACCCCCATGGCGGTTGTCAACCGTCGGGCATTGTACGTGCAGTGTTGGAATATCGATTAAACTTCCTTGAACGGCTGCCTCGTATCGTGGCCCTCCCATGCGCCCGTCAGTCATGAAGAGTCTGCCATCGGCAAGTTGTCTCGTCTCCAGGGCCATTATGTTCCGCCGAAGCTCTTCGGGATCATAACCAGGGTGTCTTTCGTTCTCTTTTCGCACTCGGATATTTGATGGCCGAAGGAAGATCTCCTTCAACTCTCTCTCGGGAGCGGAGTCGTCTACGATGCCCACTCTCGCCTCCACGTCTGAAAGGCGGAATATTTCCAGCGGCGTGGCCCCGTTGATAAAGGCCGCCCAGCGCAAGATTCGTTCGTGTGGAAGTTTCCAGGGGTTTTCTCGAAAATGTCGGATCAAGAGCTGTGCTATGAGCCCAGCGCCACCTGAATACCCAATAGCACCATCAAAAGGGCCTTCATGCTGAATTAGCTTGACGACCTCCTCTTCGGTCCGCAAAATCGACTGCGGCGATGGAGGGTTAAAATAATTGTATAATGGCAACTGTGAAAAAGACGTCGTGAAAAGAGACCAATTGCCTAGTTCAATGTAAGCTACGAGAGCAGCAGCCTTAGTATTCAAGGGACCTACACATACCTTCAGTATGAGGAACGGCCCCTTGGATGAATTCAAACTCGAAGTCCGGTAAGTCGTTCCTTAGAGAAGCTGATCCTTTTATTAGAACGCAATCCATAATCCTAGTCCAGCAACTTTACCTGTCTGAAGTTTGAAAATCTGAAGAGCTTAGTTTCAGTGTGGATGTGCTCTACTGAATGAAAAGAGTACCTGCCTCATTATTGGATCCTCTGCCATGAAAACAAAGTACTTTCATTGTGTGGTCCTGGTTCCTTAGACCTATCTAACTGCCGGATATCCTGTTCAGCCAAATTGCATTATCAACCCTTTTGTTTAAGAGCTACAAAAAGCTGCAGAAAACAGTGAATAGCTCCCTTTGTGGCACTATTGCACCGGGCGGCCATCTGGTATGTATTCAGCTCTTCCGACCCGATCAGATTATCTTTTTCCTAGGTCTGTCTAACCAAACATCAGTGTAACCCACACTATATTGGAAATTCAACCATGCTGGGAGTTTCGGGTGTTTTAGTTTCACCCAGTTCGGAGCTGATGGTATCTCTCTCTCTCGATGACCCATCCTGCCACGCCGAGCCTTATTCAAACGAAGTCCCATGCCTGTGGTCTGCATTTGTTTCCTCTTTAATTGTGTTCGTTTTACATCAATTTTTTTTCCCCCCAAAGCGAGGACCTGCGCTGTAAGGACCGTACCTTTTATGGATTGCACGTACCTCCTCTGCATGCGTACCTAAAGTGCATCGGCACGTTGACCACCCCTTTGAATTCCCCCTTTATGCCGCCTGATCGGGTCCTCAGAATTAAAAATTGCCGAAATTGATGCCTCCGGCGAATGAGGCTCCCAATCTTATTGGGGGCTCACATCCAACCAGGCTGTCTCCCTCACAGCTTATTCCCCAAACCCGGGAAGTTGCGAGAACGGGATCGATTCAGAGGAATGAAGAGAACGCGACAACAGATTCCGAGGACGGGTTACATTTTAACCAGTTCCAGCTAGCAGTAGTAACATTGGCGCTATGCATATGCGCCCTTATGGTCTCCATAGACGTCATTATCGTAGGTACATACATCCTTGCCGCTGAAGCTGTTCCCCACGCTTACATAGTCTAAGCAACCGCTATTCCGAAAATTGCAGCGGAGTTCGAATCCCTTGGAGATGTTGGCTGGTATGGATCATCGTATCTATTAACCCAAACCGCTCTGCAGCCAAGCTTTGGGAAGCTTTACAGTCATTTCAGTATGAAGTGGACATTTTTGAGTGGCATCTTCATATTTGAGCTTGGCTCAGTGATCTGTGCCACTGCAATTTCGTCCATATTGCTAATTGTTGGACGAGCAATAGCGGGGATTGGTGCTGCGGCACTTTTCTCGGGAGGATTGAACATTGTTGCTGAGACAGTTCCACTGAGGAAACGCGCCCCTTATATCGCTTTACTGTCAAGCATGATGGCCGTGTCTAACATCATCGGTCCTCCTCTGGGAGGAATCATTACAAATCGCCTAGGCTGGCGGTGGTGGTATTTCCATCCGCTACGAGTTCTTCGAAAATCCTAAGCTGATTTTTCCATAGTTTTTGGGTTAATCTTCCATGTGGCGGCGCAGCTTTTGTCGTAGGCCTCATCTTCTTGAAGGAGATGGCTCCTCCATCTGCTGGCCTAAGCATCACAAACCGCCTTGTAGAGTTGGATCTGTTGGGTGCAGTCCTCCTTCTTGGTGGCATTACCTCCTTTGTTCTGGCGATAGAATGGGCGGGGAAAGTCTATCCCTGGTCTGACGCTAGGGTATGGGGCTGCATTGTGGCAGCTAGCCTCGTGCTGGCTATATTTTGTGTCCTTCAATGGCACCTTGGAGACAAAGCCACGCTTCCGCCGAGATTGTTGTTTAAGCAGAGAACTATTTTCAGTGCATCTTTTTTTTCTTGCTTCCTTGCGATGGGATTCTACATGTGAGCTTATCTATCTATTATTTCCTAAGCAATGGACTGACAGACCCCGTGTATAGTCATGTCTTCTATCTACCCATTTATTTTCAAGCTGTCAAAGGCTCTAGCCCCGAAAAGTCTGGCTTTGACGTAGTGCCCTATCAGGCCAGCAACGCGGGAACATCCCTCATTGTCGGCCTTTTGGTTGGCATGGTTGGCTGGTATGTTCCGTTTGTCTGGTTTGGCGCCCTAGCCTTCGCCATCGGCTCTAGCCTTCTCTATACGGTCGGGCCGAATTCATACACCGCCACCCTGATTGTCTATCAATTTATTACGGGGGTAGGTATGGGAGCTTCTGTGCAAATTCCATACATTGCCGCGCAGGTGGTTTCAAACAGAGACGATATTTCATCTGCTGGTGAGTATTTTGTCTTGAGCCTCCTCTCTCCCGTATAATTTACTCATTTATCGGCCTGTAGATGCGATCATGATCTTTTTCCACTCCATCGGTGGGACTCTCTCGCTCGCCATCGGCGGAAATGTGTTTACGGGTAGTCTTCAACGAATTCTTCCCGTTGAGGCACCGCTTGTCAATTCAACGGTAGTCATCAACGTAGGTCCGACAAACCTACGCATCGCCGTGCCGCCGGATCAGCTCGGAAGAGTACTAAAAGCATACACCACTTCGTTAACAACAACCTTTATATCACCTATTGTCACCAGTTCTGTTGCAATTCTTTGTTCCCTTTTATTAGAGCAACGGAGTGTAAAGGGGACGAACTTGCTGACTGGAACGAGTTCAACAAACTGAGGTCCATAAGCGACAAAATCTCTCCAACGCTCCCAGGAATTATGTGCCGTTCATTTAGGACTTGCGAGAGGAATAAATGGAACGTTATGAACTAGAACCCAATCCGCACCAATAATAGCACATGTTTGTCATACTAGGGAAGCATGGGCTGTACAACAATTTCCAGTATATTTCCGAGGATTTCATGCAACTTCAATTGCTGTGAAACTCCGCCACGCAACCCCAGAGTTAAAATGTCACCGATACCCATCCTGGTTCCCGGTCCCACATGAGAGCCAATGTGTATGCCAGCGGTTGGGGTAACTTAACATTTCAAGGTCCCAATTGTTGTGTGTCGCTACCAGCAGGGAAAAAACGAATCAGATCGGCTGGTTTGGTCGACATTTTTTAATCCCAATGCACAAAAGACCTGAAAATATCCCACCAACCCAGCGTGCATGGGCTATAGTATGTGCTGGTTATTGTACATCACTGCCCCGCCTGGAAAATTCGCACAACCGCATCCTTCAGTAAAGTACCGAAATATTGGTTACAAGCAAAACGAGAGTGTTTGAAGCACACTCAATGTGCAAGGAGTTCACAAGGAGTTCGCGTCCAATGCAATAGAGCTGTCAATTCAAGAAGCCGAATGGTTTGAATACGGAAGTATGTTGCATCCATACAGTAGCAGTATCATCCTGCTGTCAATGAGCACATTTAGGTGACCAGATGACTGGTCATGCCTCCCAATATTTGAATTTCCTTTCTCGTTCCCGCGTATCTAGCGGAATATCCAGGGAATAATAGTCTGCGGAGCTGCCTTCGAACACCATAAACCTAGCAATAACCGCTTAACTTCGGACTACGAGTCTGCCAGTTCAACAAGCATTTTATTTCTCAGTTCTATGGATTAGCGTAGAACAGTCTGGTATATCGTTGCCTACAGGGGCCTTGGAACCTCCATGCCTGTCTCCCGAGAGATATGGATTTTTTCATCATGCTATCTTCCATTGGCGGCGTGATGGGAAACCGTGGTCAGGCTAATTATGCGGCCGGAAACACCTAATAGGATGCTCTCGCCGCGCATCGGGTATATCTGGGTTTGCCAGCCACATCACTTGGTCTGGGCGTCCTGCTTTCCGTAGGTTATGTAGCCGAGAACCTCCAACAACTTCACAGCGTAAATCCTGTGGCTTCCCTGATGGATGCTATTCGTGAAGAAGATATCCACCGTATGGTCGAATATCATTCCAACCCGAAGAATTTTGCCACTAGACCCTTTCAAATAGCCTCAGGATTGACACCAGCAGCACAGTACGCGTCCAGCGGCATACTTATACCCTCGTGGATGCATTCGCCCCTTTTCTTACAACTGGCTTCAACCAGCTCCACCGCTACGGCGACGCTGCGGAGCGACGATGCCGATTCGTCATAAGCGTGGCATCAAAATTAGGATCCATAGCATCTATTGCTGAAGCCGCTTCCATTATTACCGACGCAATTCGCTCCAAGCTCTCCAAGCTCTCCAAGCTGCTGAGTATTTCTGTGGAAAGCATTGAAGGGGGGAAGAGTGTGAGCAGCAATGGCATCGACAGCCTTGTGGCATGGAGTTTCGTACGTGGCCTGCGAAGGTTATTGCTGCGGATATACCCCTTTTAGAAATGCTAGGCACGATGCCCATCGCAGGAACCGCAGGGCTGAGTATGAAGGTGGCGATGGCGAGTAAGCTAGTTCCAGAGGCTTTAAAAACAGAAGACAAAACATTGCAGTATCACTGAAGAGTTGAATAGTAGCTGGAGGCTATGTACCCAAGAGGATGGGGAAGGCATTTTATTTCGGGATCTAATGGTTTTTGGTGGTTGACTTGCACAGTTTTGCTGCGACGGCCTATTAATGACGAATTTATATAACTAGTTAACCAGTTAACTGAGGCTGAATCAATCCTAACCCAAAATTAACCGCAGCCAAACCAACAGGAGCCTTCAACAAGGACAGGGGGTGCCCCCTACCAATGTAAATTGACTCGCTGTCTACAGACAAGGTATGGAAGAAAAATATCTGAACGACCACCACCTTGCTAGAGTATATGATTAGTTTGTATCTATATCAATGTGGACCGTTAAGCTCGGCTGCTTATCTATACACGATGAAATTTCCTCTCCGATATCATCCGGTTCGTTCTGCGCTAGGGTAATGTGGCCGATTTGGATGGATTCACTGCATCTGATATTCGGCTCCAGAATATTCTGGTCGTGGGGAGTTGCATGGTTGTTCTTCATCTCCCAGACCCCGATTAACACCACTGACAGCTACGTAGCCACCGCTTGGTCTGGAATAGGGAGTATCGCAGTCAATTGACTTCAGCGATGGATAGTATCTGCGATAGGTAAAATACGCCGTAAAAAGTCCCAAAAGAGACCCGACTGTGACATCATATACGTCATGACGATAGTCCGCCAATCGCGACATCGCAATCATCAGCGCTCCCAGCAGAGGAGCCCCAGAGAAAAGGAAACGGGCTAAACCAGAGCGAGGTCGAAACACGTGCAGTTGCCCCGCAAAAAATCTATTGATCACAGGAAAAGCAATGTTATCAGTAAAATTGTTCCGGTGTTCCCGAAGAGTAGAAGTTGAGGCGCGGACATACAGCGAAAGGTACCCGAGCCCGCCAAAAGCAAAGCTGCTATGGCCACTGGGGAAGCTCCTCCAACCTTCATGTAGAATATGATGATCCGTTTCCAAGCACACGTTGAAGGAGACCAGGGTGTGAGCCGGTGTTCCCTTTTCAGGTTTACACCGGGAGATCAAATCTGGCCTCGGACGTCCCACGGCATTTTTGACGACGTCTGTCAGAAAGGAAGTGAGTATTAGAGTCGCTAAAAATCCCAATATCGTCACATGGGTGAAGTGAGAACCGGAACGCGTAACAGCTGCCCATATCCCGATTATCATCAAAGGAAGGATGCCAGCATAGATGACAGCCCACACTATGTAATGACGAAATGAGCAAAGGCACGCGACATCAATTCTCGGCTATGAACTACGCTTACCGACCGGGACTCTCTCCACGACAGCGAACGGAAACTGTATTGAGCCATTCTCCAACGAGAACATCCGGTGGAATGGCTCTACAAATATTTGGATCTACACGATAGCCCTTTTAGAAGAGAGCAACAAAAGCATAGATGGAAGGCAGGGGTACTCACGATAAACCACCCTGCGGTGATAATAGCTAAGCTAATGTAATCTGCGGCATACGAGCGGTACCAAAAGCGAGCGACGGCGCCTAAGCAGCCCGGTCTGGCAGAAATACCTGACGGTTTTCGATTCCCGTGCAGCGGAAGGTCATTCTGAGCCATTGCTCTGGAGAAGCGGATGGGGCAAGGGTAGGCGCTAAATCATGGTATAATATGGTTTATTGAGATCGGAGGATAGCCCCACGTCCATCTCTACGCGGCAAACTTGAGAAACTTTTGCCTGATCGTAGAGAGGACAAGCGGTTCAGAGCAGAATCGTGTCTCGGAGCTTCGCCCGGGCGTTTCTGGACGGGGTGTTGCGAGTGCTGACTAAGGCCGAGGTCGTCATGGCCCTCGTCGAGCGACGCGACCCACGACCACCAGCAGTAGCAGCAGCAACAGCTCCCGACACAGCTCCCCACGACAGCTCTTGGTCGGGTCACAATGGAAGAAGGGGGCCAGCAAAAAGGGATCACGGCTGCATTTCCTCCTCCACCTCCGTTTTGGAAGAAATTTACCCCTGAAAATCTAGAAAGGCTCGAGAAAGCAAAGAGAGAGGCCGAACCGCAAGCTCTGAGCCGCAAATGGAGCCCCGAAGCTCTGCATGCTCTCAAACTTGCCCCGGAGCTTCGTTATCTTGTGCCACCAGAGCTCCCGAAAGAAGGCTCATACTCCCTCTTTGGCGAGGCGCAATCGGTATAGGCTCCTGCGTTAAAGAGGTTTTGCGTCGCTAACTGCCTTCGACTAATAGCTGTCCACTCAACTACCATCGCTTGAAGAACAAGGAATTGAACAACTCTATCCGTCTAGTCTTACAAATGAAACGGCCGGCCCATCGCCAGATCACGCTTATTATCTTTTGAAAATCAGCAAATCCCTCTTACTTAACTTCCTAGAATTGGTGGGCATCCTGTCGATTAACCCCGAACAATACGAGCCAAAGATTGAAGATATTAGGAATCTGTTTATTAACGCACACCATTTACTGAATTTGTATCGGCCTCACCAATCCCGAGAGTCACTTATTACGATGATGGAAGAGCAACTAGAGCAGGCGAAGGAGGAGATCCGAGAAATGGAACAGACGAAGGAGCGCGTGGAGATATATCTCAGAGAGCTGGAAGCAGAGGGACGTAACGTATCGCCGAATGATGAGCCGGTCCAGACCCCGGAGTCAGGACCGCACAATACTAAAACACAGACATCAGAAAGCCAAGCAAATGGCGAACAAGTACTGTGGAAGCTCCTGGATAAAGTCGAAGAAAGCTGAACCTATCTCTGAGATATTCCGGCTCTCATTTTTTTTCCAGCCGTTATGGGCCGCTCTAACCCAGCCATTTGCGCCACGCAAGCCCAACAGTTTAAGTCGCTTTTGGTGGGCAAAATGAAGGTAACGAACGATTTGCGCAAATTGCCAATTTCAGTCATCGCAAAACTGATGGGTATCAAGCACCGTCAACATGACCCATCGATATCAACCGTGTACCGCCCCAGGCTCATATTTTCCCGATCCTTTCGGTATGCGCTCGCTTGGGTCACACGAATGTCGCCTCCTGGGTGAAGAGAGATTCAATCCGTCGCCGCGAGCGTCATTGCAGGCTCAAATATTCTCTATTCGATCTACCTGATTACGTACTCCATATGCATGAGAGCAATCTACACGCTCCACATATCCATATCTTTTTTTCGAGCCACGTACTCCAAACTTCCATACACTCCATACTCTATTCGTCACCTTGGGATTAGGGCAAACCCTACTGGTGATTAGTCAGCAAATTTAGTACAGTTTCGGAACCTAATTCAAATTCGAAAACCAAAAACAAACGGGACTTCATTTCTTTTCCCACTCCAACGCCAACCCGATCCCGACCATGATTGCGAAGCCAGGAAATAGGAAGGTCGGACCAGTTGAGCTGGGCACTGTCCTCCTGTGATCCATGGATGCTCAATGAGGTATGTTTCGAATTTCTCTTGCATGTCAAGTGGCTGCCGGGTACGGAGCAGTCCCCTTTCCATGATGATTGATGCTTTATCAATATGTTTCAACCCCATATGAAAGCAAACATTTGTGCTTCTTGATTTTAAATGCATCTACCTATCTGAACCTCAGTAATACCATTGCCATTCCACTTACCGAATGTCACACCTTATTGATTGCCTTAGCTAACCCGAGTTAAAGTCTGCAATAGATGTATACTATATGGAAGTCTGGAAGTTTCCCTTTACTCATGTTCGCCATGGAATACACCAATTGGGATACATATGGCTGTGAGTGGCTTTGATTTAAGGCAATATGTCGACTGGAGCTTATAATTACTCTGTATCGCAAGCTTGGGATGCTAATGAATGCATCCCATTGAAGTTTTCGGAAATAGTTCCATTTGTCTTAAATGAAGTTATTTATTATCTTGATACTTGCTTCTTTTCCATAAAACCCAGATTACAGCCGAAAACACTCGATAAATAGTGGCGATCTGGAAATAGAGTTATGTTGCTAAGGCCCTGACTTAGCCAGATCAACATGCAACTGGACCTCACAGTCGCGGTATTGCCTCTTTGCATCCTTGCGTGTCTCTTCATACTCTCTCCTCTTTTCCAGCAATCTTTTCAATCTGTTGTACAATGCAGGCATGCAGCAACTCTATCCATACTTGGTTATTGTCTCTTCTAAAGTGACAGTAAAGCGCTCTGCGTTTTAAAAGTCTCTTCATCTTGTGGGACCATTCTGCCTGTCAAAACCATCAGTCATGCCACAAGGTTATGTAAACAATGTTATAACCATGAACAAACACTAACTTTCCTGACACTGCGCTTCCTTGTTCAATACATGTGGTGCAACAAGGCATATTCCTCTGGAATTTGCATGAGATTTCTAGGTCCCTTAATGTTGGCAGGCATGCTTGCAGGAAACCCGCTCAGAAACAAAGAGAATTAACCGCGGCCACTTTGATTTATCTACCTGGGTATACTGTATCATTTGGGGGGCTGCCTAATAAGAGTTTAGCATCTCCCAAATCGGGTACTAAGGCGCATAACGCTGCTTTCACAACTATATAAACCATCCTCCTCCTGCCACTTGACCATCTTCCATCCATTGTGCCTATTTTCCTCTCTTTTCTAGCTGCTTCCTCTCACCTGTCTCTGTGTTCCCTCTTCTTGGCCCTCCACCCTCAGTTTCATGTGCAATGGCTGTGCTGCAGCTGAGCAAATTCCAGCTCTAATCTTCATTTCGGCTTTCTTGCCTCCCTGTGAGCCTTTTTCAATAGCATGGCATCCAAAATAGAATACTTTTGCTGGTCATGGCTGGTAATGATTTTCTGCCCTTGATCAATTTCCTTTTCCCATTGTCTTTTGGTGTTCAACATTGACAAGTCTCACAGGTGAATTTGTCATCTGGAGCTCTGGTTCTATTCATAGGGTGTTGCTCATCACTGATCTCTACTGCATTGTGACCTGTCATCACTTGTCCTTCCACAGGAACTGGTGGGTTGCTAACTTGCTGTTGCCTACAGCACATGCTGGTGATTGTGCTGGATGATTGTATGACTCAAATGGCTTGCCAATGGCAATAATGCCTCATTTACAGCAAATATCCAGCCTTGCTGCACCTAAGATTTCATTATGCATTATGTTTGAATAATGAAGAGTTGAACTACTGAGGGTGGGATTCAACCTGCACACTGGCTGGGGGAATTGAGCCTTGCAAGATGTACTGTGCCGCCCTTTCCAGCCAGCTGAGGTGAAACCTGGCTTTGAATGGCAGATCTAGACTGTCAGCGTGAATGCGCGGCCTCAAGGTGGGGATTTGATCTTTCTCTCTCATTTGCTGTCTGTGGTGGTTTTCCCTGTCCTGAATTGCAACATCCAGTGGGGTAAGAAGGGGTGCCGGGGCTAGCCCTAGGCCTACACGATAGACTAAGCCCTACCAGTGGCACGCCCTTCAACAGTACGTGTTTGAACGTCCTACCATGTAGTGTAGAATGTATGCCAGAGAACAAGCACCCGCCTAGCCAATAGCTAGCTGAGAAGTTGATACTGTTGCGTAGAGGATAGTATATAACTAGCTTCAACCTGTATAGATTTGTAGCTAGCTAATCTCTCAGTATCTTCAAAGAATAGAAGACTGATTGCCTGCCTCCCTTCAGAATCCAAGTAATTGACCTGTGCTATATATCTCATATATATAATATACACTTCTATCATGTTCTGTGAAGCTCTGGTGATCCGGTGGTTATTTTGTAGCTAATTTGTAACAATTGCTCATTATTAGCATATATAGATGTCAGTCTTCTCATTGTGTAAAGACGTTTCCTAATTGCTCTAGGATGCAAATTAGCTCCCTATTCCAAGTGTGTTTTAGTACTCTTGATTTTTTGTAGGAGCAACTGTTCAAAGCCACAGCATTGGCAGGCACCTGAGCATACTGCCATAACAGATTCTTCTGTTCATTTTGAGGTATTTCTTCATCGCTTTCTGGAGGAATGACGAACTCGTATTCATTGCCTAAGCCGTGTAGTATTTGGCGCGCTGATATTACGACTTGATCATCCATATTATGGCCTGGCTTTCTGGGCATACACCCCAGAATTGTACCAGCAAAGTCGACACAGACATCGGTATTGCATCACACACTTTGCGCCCGTCTGTAATGTCACTATTTCTTGCCTCTCATGGCGAGCTCCTTGGCCGGATGAGCTTCAGGCGGGCTGAGAATCCACTTAAGCCAGCCGCCAGCCCCGGCTGCTGAACGCCTAACTATATACAGAGTAACTAGTCCGTACTCCGTACTCCGTAGAGGTAAACTTTTTGTCTAGGGAGCACTCCGTAATCTGCTGCTTGATCTGGATTTTGGCTTTGCCGCCATTGTTATCTGGAAAAGTGGTCAATGCTCTGCCTTGTTTTTTTCAATCTGATAACATTACTCCGTACATTGGACAGAAAGCATAGTGCGCACCACACAGATTTCCCACATCAACACGTACATTAAGGATTGTGAATGGAGCAGGATGTAAGAGGAGAAGTTTGCTGTTCATTTATGCCATATATCCATACCTGATAACACAGAACAAGCCGCTGAAGGCTCAGTGTCAACAAAAATTTGCCAAACCCTTCTCCAGTGGCATCCCATTAGATGCTATTTTTCACCTGGGCCAGTTTCCTTGGTAGGCAGAGGCTGCTACATCACACTGCAGATGATACAATCGCACTCCTCATCACCACATCCACATCCAAAACAAGGCTTTGTAGCTCCTTTGATAGGCTTTGAGACCGTCGATGAGGCCGATGAGCCCGAAGAAGTAGGCAGGGTGTTGTCGGCAAGGATGGAAATTTGGGACTTCGCAACCATTTTGCTTGAGAAAATGGCGAGACAGAAGGTCGCGTTCTTTTCTGGCCTGCGTAGAAATAGCTATATTTATCTGGAGAAGTGTGCTTTGCGTGGTATATGGTTTGTTTCTGCCAACAGCCCGTTAGCAAGGATCTCCAAGTCCCTCCAAGACGAGCTACCTTTCCAGAGATTATCGGCACTCAGTACGAAGGTGGACGAGCCACGCGGTAGTGCATCAAAAAGGAGCCTGGGTTAGTCCTTAGGGAGTACTCCGTATCGACGCTTAAATATCCCTGAGGACAAGCTGTTGTTGTCGTCACCACGAACTAGTTAACCCCGCCATAAGCTGATTTGTTAGTTAACTAGTTAGTTAACTCTGTCGTCTTCACCGCCCGGATGGAACTTGTCCATGTCAACGAAAGAAAAGTTGCGGGTTTGTCAAATATTCTCGAGAAGCCCCAGAACTTCAGAACTGGTAAGCCATTACAACGCATTTTCATTGCTGAACTCACCACGAAAGAGGCGACACGAAACCAAAATGGCCCTTTATCGACCCAGGGATGAAAAATAATGGCACCGCCTGGAGGTACAGTTTTCAAACGAAAATGCAAAGAGTTCTATCGAGTAGTTATGTAACTAAACCTTGCATTCTGGCTCTGAGCCCCTGCTGTGATATCCTATGGCTTTCTAACCCCCCGTCGATGGTCTCAAAATGAGTATCCAACGCTTCACCGTTACCAACTGCAAGACTCTCTATCCTTAGCCAATCTCTGCCCACGCCCCGAGCATTCCCGGCCTCGACACGCAGGGGACCTTCCAACTCCCGGACTCCCTTGATCGTGAATATGTGGAATCGCTCGTCGCCATTGATATTTAGCGACTCCCATTCAGCACGCAGCAACAGCTCCTTGGTCGTTTCTTGGACAATCTTGAAATAGATTTCCTTCCGAAGACGATCGTCGTCAGGCAAGTCATGGACGCGGCGCTCATCCTGATACCCGTGATACTCCAAAAGATACCAGGTGGCTGGCCAGATCTCAAAGTCATCGGTGTTGGAGACGCAGTCAAACTAGATGTGCCTACACGTTTCCAGGCGCGCTCTCAGCATCAGGAGGTACATGTCTCGTTCTGGAGAGACAACCAAGGGGATAGTTATGTGGTCAAAATAGACTCTTCTCGCGAGGGAGTAATAATCTTCGTTCCTGGCAATCCTGATCAGTTCGATAAGATCATCCTCCAAAAACCTCTTCTCGGTTGCCCAGATGTTTATCATACCAAGAGTCTCTCTCATGTCTAGACCGATGCGCTTGCATGCTTCCCAGATCTGGACATAAGCCTCACACTCCTCGTGTGGTTAGCACATACACAGAAAGATCTATCTCAAGTCACTCTCCCTCTCTCCAGACTATCGTAACTGTCCCAGTTCCAAGAGGAACCAAGCAAGAGCATTATCAGTTTCCATTCTACTGATCTGGATGATGGTTTACAGGGTTTCTAGGTTCGCATTTTAGCCCTGATTTGAAGTGAAGCTCACTTTCCTTCCCATGTTAGAAGTGAATGAAAAAGGATGTAAATAATACTGCGACGTTGAATCTGTAGAAAGCTGTTCTTTTATCTCACGAACCAAAGGCCTTCAAGAGTGAATTATAAGAGAAATCTAGACAGATGTACTATGCACCTAAACTGCTCAGTGCTCACATCCGCTCACCTCTATCATGTCTATTCGAATCAGACACGCTGGCTCAAATCATCAAGCACTGTGAATGATTTGGCGGTAATTGTGCTCTTGAATATGCTCTTAGATGGCAACATGATCATATATGAGTAACATATATAGGCATCTTACTGTATATAGGGCTATAGTAGAAACCCATTGGGCATAGAGATGTGAGGAACTGTGATGATCCTTATTTGTTAAATCCAGTCAAAAGTTAAGACAGCGGGCACTCCAGGAGTAATTTGCAGTCCCAGAAATTTAAAACAAAAAAAAAAAAAAGAGCGTAGAGAAGCTGAAAAACATGCCCATCTGAGAAAGAGAAATAAGTACTTCTTGCTTGCACTGTGGTGTTGCTATACCGCGACCCAGTATACTGTTGTGAAAAGATATTCACTCTACTTACACTCCTGTCTGTTAGTGTTATAGTATTTGATGCAATGCAGATGGAAATTGGGCATATACTATCCATCCCGCATGAGCTATATATTTTGCTGAACGGCACTAGGCTTGTGTATGGATATAGAGGTATCAGTTTATACAGAAATTCGCAAAGGGCTAGAAGTTAATGCATAATAGGTTTTAAATATAAAACAGATGGCTATAAATGCAGATTTCTCTTTTTTTTCTCTTTTTTTTATTTCCCCACCAGACACATTGAGTGTAGGAGTGGGGTTGGGTTGGGTTGAAAATATCCTATAAGCAAGAGAAGCTAGGTAGTAACTAGTTGGAAGGTTTTCAGTGAGCATAGAATCAGATCCGTTACCTAGAAGGCTGAGGCACAGTTAATGTGTAACTGAGATGTTAGTGAGGTGTGCGAGGCATTATGCTAGAATTTGCCAGGTGGTGATCAAATTTTATTGTGCATGGTTATTCACTTGTTCAATTGACATGATATGGACAAGGGCCTGGTGAAGATGTAAGGAGTTTCTTCACCGGCCAGCCGAGAGTTGGCCATCGGGTCAGGTAACCCAGTACTGGATCCAGCCTGGATTGGTCTGACAGTTGGTTCTTATAGAACCCATTAAATGTTGGTCAGATTTGTAGGAAATTTCGTCCACTAGTAGTAGGGCTGGGGAAATAAATTCATCTACCGCGGGTCAGGTTTCCTCGGTAGCATTTAGACCGCTCTGCGGTTTATATGTGGAATGTAGGACTATAATTGGGTGATATCGGAAGCCGTCTGATAATGGAGAGGGTTGACGAGAACATAATGGAAGGTAAGTTGATGTTTGAGAGGAGGTTTAAAGGTTGGATCTATTTCACTTTTGCATCCAGCACGGGATATATCACTTCTTCAGCAGCATGAGAGAGGAGGCCGTGAAGAGAACGAATAACATGGAGAGAGAAAGAGCCGAAGCGAACAGAATACTCATTGTTAAATATATGTCATAGCAAAGCTTACCATGCCTAGCATGCAAATCAAAGCATTAGTTTCAAATATGTCATTAAAGGCATTGACATTTACAAGATCATATCAAACCGTCACTTTTTTTATTTCCAATCCGGTCCCCTGTACATGCAATTCACCGTCATTATTCATTCAAATGCCACCGAAGCCTATTCCATTTTGGTATTTCTCGGTTCTTAAGTTTGAGGAGAACCGTTCTATTTCTCAAGTTGCTCAATGAAGCTCGCTGGTCCCCCAGGTTGCATCTTGTTGAGCCACGAGACAAGTTCGATAAGTTCTGCACGACGCTCGTCTTCCACCTGGCCTGGGTCGCCCTCGAGAACGGCTTGGAAGATTGGAATCAGGCGTGCGGTGTGGCTTTGGATGATTGGATCTTGCCATTTGTCTACAACTGCGTTAGCATCAAGCTCATAGTCAAAACGGACATTCGGGGTATATACGTACATAATTGACAAATCATATGATAAATAGGGTCATTCTCATCATAATCAGTCGTGAGGGGGAGAGCATCGATCAAGGCAGGAATGGCATCTGCAAGCGGGACATGGTCTTTATGTTTTAGGATCATTCGCGCAAGACATCCCACAGCGTTGTCTGGAAGCCGGGATTCATGAATCCTTAAGCAAGGCTCTAGCTTCTCGAGTATAGCAGGATAGGCTTGAATAATTTCCTGATGAGAACTGGATTTCTCAACCAACCGTCCAACAGCATAGGTCGTATTACTTCGGGTCTGCAGATCCTCATCCGTAAGGCGACGCAAAAACAGGGTGAGGAAGGTGCCTGTGAACGGAGTGACTGCTTCGCCTAATCCGGTGATAAGATCTGCAAGAACTCCTATAGCCGTTGATCTCTCAAGAGATTCGCTGCCGGTTGCGTATTTGAGGACTGTCTTTTCGAACATGGGCCACAATCCAACAAAGTCTGGGCCGAGAGCAGTTGCAAGGCCAGAAATGACATCGAGGGCGGTATCGATAACAATCCAGTCGAATTCTGACAGCTCCTCAAGGGCCTCCTGATCTTCCTCACCCGCACCAAAGTCCTGTTGACAAGGATGTTGCTTCGTGATGATAGTGTCGACGAGTGTGACAACTCGGTCAAGGGTTGACTGGTCAGCGATAATGTACGGTCCACAGTACCGAAGATTTTCGGCCACATTGCGGTTAATATCGGCGACGGTGGCACTAGCGGTAGGTCATGTGTCAGTCATGAAAGACACAACAGATTGTATAAAGCAAATATAATAAAAGATGCCACGATAATATCAGGCTACGTTGGAAGAAATCGGTTTCACATCAATCACATAGGATGTGTCTGAGTGAGCTGGGATACGATGTGTGTCATCATAGTAGATGGGCGTAGAAACTGGAATAGCAAAAAAAGAAGGGAGCAATGATCCGTACCTGTCATCTTCCTCAGCCCACATCTTGATGGTGGCAGTCATAAGGATTTCTCCGAATTTCTTGATCTCTGGTGGAGGTTGAGCAAATGGCTTTCCAGGCTCCCATTTCTGCTTATGACCCGAGGATTCGGATACTTGCCACAGAGCAGCGTATGCACGGTGGAGAGTTGATATTGTGCTCTTACGAACACCTTCGTATGCATGATCAGCTAGGGGTAGAATGTGTTCAATGGTCTTCTCAAAGTAAGGCATGTAAGATTGACCAGTGTGAGTGATAACATCTCCAAGGACTTCAATAGCGATTTCCTTTTCAAGCGCGATTGGAGTGACGGTGCTAAAGTCTTCCCAGTCGCCATCATCATCATCTCCCTCCATGCCTTCGATCACGTCGTCATCGTCATCGGCGTCAGCAACACGGACTCTATGGCCGGCAATGGTGACTTCCTGTCCAATAAGATCTCGAGCTGCATCACCAAGGGAGACTTCTAGATCGCTGTCTTCCTGTTCTAGACAATCCAAAAGACCTTTGACGACGCCACCAAGATATGGGGTGAAATCTTCACCGTATACCTTGGACATGGCACCCCAAAATATGTACGTACTCTCCTTCAGTCTTGAATGATCAAGTCTCAAGGCTTCTTCGCTGGCGTGCATCAAAGGTTCGACATAATTCTTGTACCGTTCGGGTCCAGCAGAAGCAGACATTTCTCCCATTGCATCAGTGACACTAGCGCGGAGCTCAAGCTCTTCTTCACTGTCCTTGAGGGTCGCATACTCCTGCATGATGTGCATGGATACGTCGAAGTATGGGAGGAAAGCCTCACCGGCAGAAGAAGCAATCGAGCCAAGAGCGCTAGCAGAAAGAGCCTTGATCTTGAAGTCTGGGTGTTGGAAGAGCTTGTGCAATACAGGGACGAGTTCTCCTTGATATCGGACAATATCCTTTTCTTCTAAAGCATCAACAACTGCATCGATAGCAGCAACGCTTGCTTTGGTGATGTTGATGGTGACACCAGATTCTTCTCCCTTATATTCCTGCATAGCGCTAGCTAGGTTCTGTAGTAGCAGTGGCATCAATTGTTCATGTTGCTTGCTAACATCTTCGGTAAGGTCATCGGCAATACGAGCAACTCCATGAAGCGTGGCTTGGCGGACTTTTGGCTCAGGATCTGAAAGCATTTGTAAAACCACAGGGAAGATCTCTTTCATCTGCGTGCTGATAAAATCAGGAGCTCCTTCCACGCACATGCCCAAGGCCATGATACCAGCGCGTCGGTAATCAGGGTTCTGGTTGCTGAAGTACTGGCCTAGAGCCTTGAGAAGAGGAACAACCACCTGGCTTGGTGGAAGGAATTGTGCCATCATATCCAAAAGGCCCAGTGCAGACCGAGCGGGAGTAATTTCGTCAACATCGTCATCGGAATCACCGAGTTCGGTGGCAATTTGAAGCGACGTGAGGGTCAGCTGTTCACCAAGTTGCATACCCTGGATCTTGAGCTTTCTATATCTGAGACATTGCATGAGGAAACTAATAGCCTGAGTTCTTGTTTCCTCGGCCAGGTTGGTGTTCGCCGCCAACTGGTTCATAAATAGGACCAAATCCTTTAGATGAGGGTTCAAGAGCTGTGGTTCACATCCGAGTAACGTTTGGAAAACTTCAAATGCCTGCATAACTCTATCTTCGTCTTCCTCGTCTGTCGCATCCTTCAACACAGCAACCATGGCTGGGAAAATGTTCTGGAACGCTCGGACAGCTTGTTTATCTTCGTCTGCATCAAGGTGCATGGCAAGCTTGCTAAGAGAAAGGAGGGTGTTGATGCGAACCTCCGCACTCTCTGGATCGCGAATGGTCTTATCGAACAGCTGGAGAAGTTCGGTGAATTTGCTTTGGAATCCATCGCCTAGGGTCTCCAAGATTGTAAACAGGATGTACATCCCGACGGCACGCACTTCCTTTGAGGAGTTCGTGGCCGCTTGAAGGAGCCACCCAGGGAGATCGGCCCATTCGCCATCTTGAAGGTCAAGCTTCGCAATTGCAGAGATGACACGAGCGCCAGAATGTCGGACGAGTGGTGCCTGCTCTTCGAGAGTAGAACGAAGCAACTGTTCCCGAATCTGGGGTTTCTGTTCGCCGGGAATCTTGAGCCAGTGCTTCGAAACTAGCGACCGTGCCTCGACGGCAGCAAGCTGCTTTAGATCGGTGTTGTTGTGGGAGGTGAATATATGGATGAGGAGGAGGAGCGCTTCGGGATTATTGTAAAATTCTTTCTGTAATGTAGCCGTTGCTTCTTTGACATTTCCCTGGGTGGCTGTGAGGGCAATAAAGTTAGCCGGCAACCCCCTTTGTCCTCTCCACACTTGGAGCAACGATGAAAGCTGTTTGCAACATAGAGATACTCACGGTTCAGGACGATGTGCAGCTGCTGCAGGAATCTTTCTTGGTCCATGGTGGACAAGCTGTGCGCAGGCACTTGCGCGTTGGTAAATAATCGAACGGATGCAGTCAATGTAGTTTAGAGATATTAACTATCATAAATACATTCCTCTACCCTCTCCTGGAAAGATGATTTGCTCCAGAGAAGGATATTTTGGGGGTATCAAAGTAGAGTGTTGGAAACGGAGGACGCGACACTCAAAAAATTTTCGATGGGAACGGAAAAAAAGAAAATTTGACGGTGCGAAGTGGGGAGCCTGAGGTGACACCCAACGAACTCGTTAACTAGCGGAATCCTATCCACAGGCCGAGCACTCATTCCCTCATCCAGTAAGACAGGTACAGAGCGACGTCTACTAGATTCACCAACAGTTACACGGAAGCCGTGTGAATCTTGAATTGGAAGTGATTTTCATGGGCAGACAAAAAGCAAAATACATTTCCTCAGCGCGTACAGCGGCATCCAAACTCCTTTAAAATTTTGCGGACGCCTCATGATAACTAGACCCCAATGTCTATCGAACCAGGACTAGATCCCACCCAGAACGCTTCTAGCAAGAAACAAATCTAGATCGAGTACATAATATAGCCGAAATGGATGCAAACTACAGCGCGCCATCACTCCATGTCATAGAGGCTGTTCAATAATCATCAGAATCGTAGTCATTGTCGGGCAATAGGGAGCGGTATCTGCGCGCAGCCAGGTCCTCTTCAAGGCCGCCGTCCGACTCCGGGTTAATATATCCTGTCCAAGCGTTAATTTGCTATCATATCAATATACATAGAAGTCGGCGAGAGGCAAATGACTCACCTTCGCCTCCGAAGAAGCTAAGCGCCACTGGGAGGAAAATAAGGCCGTGAGTTGCAGCAAAGATAATCAGGGCTAGCCACACACGGAAATAATAAATTTCAAAGATTTTACTCCGTGTAAAGGCAAGTACGCAAACTCCGACAAGTTTGGTCAACGTGATGCCGCTAAAAACACTTCCGCCAACATTCACCAACGCGGCCCAAGCACGGGCCGTCCGTTGACGGAACTTACTTTGAGCCTTTTCAAGTAACGATGCTGAGGGGAACATAAAGGCTCGAGCAACATGTGCACAGAACTCGATGCCGATCCCGACACAAATGATCAGATTCACAAGTGAGACTGCGTTTAGAGAAACTCCGGCCACGGCCATTGTGCCCATGATGTCCACGATCATCATGATGACGGTGACCGTCACAACTGCTCCGGTGGCTAAAGAGCCTAAGAGAAGTGATGTCACAAGGAAGATTATGGTTATTGCAGACCCGAGCAACGTGGCTGTGAGACGCACCACCGACATGTACTGGTCAAAGAAAATATAAAATTTAGAGTAGGGGAAGACGTCGATGTCATGTCTCGAGGATATATCGTTGGCGATCCGACGAGCTGAAGCATAGGCATTAATGAAGTCCGCCTGGCTGCGCAACGGAGTATGGGAGCTCCGGAAATGGCTGGCATTAGTGGTGATGTGCTTGGAATCTATGACTAACGCGTTGCTGTACGGCGCCCTGCCGCCGAGAGGGCACGATGCAGTGGTCGGAGAGTGGATCCATTTTTTTGCATAGTGCACAAATTCTGCACCTTCTGGCATGCCGGATAAAGATATATTCCACGGCGGTTGCCTATCCTCGAAACAGATCTTCCCATCTTCAACGCAGCAATCCTTTTGCGGGTTTAACCAGTAAAAGAAGTCGTCAATCCAGCTTGCAGCAGCACCAGAGATGTATGAAACATTCGATCTTTTGGATTCTTGCTCGAGAACAAATCCCAACGAAAAATCATCGCAAGTCGAAAATCTACCGCACAGTTGTTGTTGGTGATGTCTCTCCGTCACGTTAACGCCCCTTGTCACGAAATAGACTGGTGGTCCGGTGTCGAAGTAATCATACAGGTCATTAAAGTATGAGATCAAATACGAGTCGCTAGGAATAGCGATACGTTGGTCCAAGCCGAGTTTCATGGTGGGCAGCAGCGCGAGCCCAGCTGCGAACAGACCCGAAAATACCAATAAAACTAAGCCTCTGGCCGGTTTACTCAACAGCTTCGGGGCGTAGATCCTTCGAATAAACCAATCAATGATCCCTTCTTCTCCATGATCAAACGGCTGGCTCCCCGGAATGGCGGTGACTGTTGCCTTTCGTACAGTTAGGCACGGGAAACAATCCACCCGAAGGCTCTCAACACGTCTTTGGTTAAGGCAGAGAAGCGATATAAACATCGTGACTTGTAATAGTGCATTGATGAAAACGGCACCAGCGGCATATATAGCAAAATTTTTCACAGCGGGCATCCCCACAAAGACACCCATTGCAAAGGCAATGGTTTCTGTAGCGGCCGATAAGAGAATACTAGGCCCCATCCTTCCAAGAGCCTTTGCGATCCGTTCATCAAGTTCTTCCTCGGGATGGCTTAAATTCACTCTCTCGAATTCGTGGACGATGAGGAAAATGTTATCGACACCAACTGCAAGGACGAGGAATGGTATCACTTCGGCGATAATAAGCGTCACCTTAACCCCAAGAGCCGCAAACAAGCCAACAGACGCAGAAACGGACATCAGGACAATAAGGATCCCGATAATCCCGAGTGTGAATTTGGATTGTACCAGAACATTGGCCGGATTTCTGAATAAGGATTTCCAGGTTATAGTTGTCGAGCTCAAGGCCAAAGATGCATAGACGAACATGATAACGTAACTGATAACCACGATCCTGGCATCAGTATTTGTAGACTTGTTCAACTCCTGCTCAAGACTAATTTCGGTGTTGAAAGACACTCGTAGGCCTCTCTCTGTTGCTTCTTCCTGAACCACTTGCAACACACGTTTGATACTGTCTTCCCAATCAATCGCGTTCGCTTCCTCTTTTGTTCCTTGCTCATGGTTGTTGACAACCCAAGTAACTATCAAAGCTTTTGCATCCAATACATCCCCGGTATCATCATAACCTCCGAGAATCATATTGGGGCTTAAGGGCTGTTGGAAATCAGGAAGACAGTCACGCGATCCTGGGGATTCTGTGCAATGTTTCAGTTGCTTCTGCCAATTATTGGGGTCAACATTGGCAAATGACCCTCCGAAATAGCCCGTAACGGACTGAACAACGCAAGCATTGCCAGTTGGATTGAAACAGACATCTTCTAGCGAGAGGCCATTATTCAAGGATATCATGCGCCTGACTCGATTCTCCACGTCAAACCACCAGCTTAGAGTCTCATAGCTCAACACTGAACCAGGGCCGTCATTCACAAGGAAGGCCTGCTCCGCTCGATAAAACGGTCCAAAGTTCGAATCGAAATATTGCTTTTCTCTAGCAGCTTCCGATGTTGGACTGACCCAAAGCCTGACAGGATCTTTCTCCACTGAGAAACGCAGCCAGCCTAAGCTCATGAGTCCAACGATGAGAAAGCTTGTGACAATGGTTAAGGCGGGGAACCTTGCGCAAAAACGCCCTAGACGGCTAAATACTTTATCTAGAGTGGCGTTCACCCGATAATTTCTCGTTGGACGAGTGAGTGAGCCTGCATTTTCGATTATATCGCCTTCGTCTTCCTCATCACTAGGACTTGCGTCTTGAAGCAATCTCACTCTTTCAATCTTCCGCTCACGGTGTTTTCGGAATGCGATCCGAGCTAGAATGCCCGATACTAAAAGCACAAGACCCACAGAGTAGATGACGATAACGGCAAAAGAAAAGCATGGAAGGTAGCCAACATGGCAGTAGGTTTCTGTCGCTAGGGCCGGCAGCTGGGGGCAAACGGCTGGACAGTCAACACAGGAACATCTAAACGCGCCATCGGAGTCGTTGCATGCTTTTGGAATTTCTGGCAACGCTCGCATCCCGTCATGCATGGGATTTCTCGGCTCGGTGATGAAGTTGATCTGGAATGGACTGCCCAGCAACTTTTTGTCACCCAGGAATTTCAAAAAATGGACGTAATTCTTGGCACCACCGCCAATGAAGTCCATTGCCTTCCCTCCAGAGGCGCCATTCTTAACATCCTTGCAGCTATCGTAGAAGCCGCTCTGGTATTTCTCTGACCACAAGTTATCCAGTTCGGTGACCAGCAGCTTTCCCCGAACCTCTTCTGTCTGAGTAACATTTATAAACAATGATTGGTCGGGTGAACACGTAAAAGTGCAAAAGATGTTGAAGAAATTCTCTTTGCAAGCAGGACATGATGCGATAATTCCTTGAGCGAGATTAAGGTTCTTTGACAAGGCATCAATCTGTTAAAAGTAAGGGAGATGCATGTTAGAACCCTATTGAAATGATCAGGGGGGTAGTACACTTATTACCTGCTCATCTTCGCAGCAGACCGGTCCATGCTTCCATTTATCACCACAGAGCGACACTAGCTTATCTCGTACTTTCTCCTCGGGTTCCCTGGCAAGACCATTGTCGGGACATGGCAATTCTCCTCCGAAAAATGACTTCTTCCCACAATTCCCTCGAATTGCGCACCGGCCTTCTTCGTGAAGGTCCGTGTGCCCCTGCGCGAGAACTGAACCCGTCTGAACTGCGGCCAGCCCCGCCAGGAAGAGGGAGGTGGGAGAAAAGAGCATGTCGCAGGTATGGAACCCCAATTAACAAAAATCAGCGGGTTTGCAGCGTGTTCAAGCTATTTCAAGGGATGAAGGCGGTCCCCGGGCCGCATGCGGACCGTTCTAGGAACGGAGGTGGAAGCGGGTGTAACTTTGACAGGTACGAAGCTATGGTCGTAATCGGCACATCACGGGGCACGGGGTATCGGTAGGCAAATGTAGACAAATCATAGAGAGCCAGGTCAGAGGGCAGGACAGACGGGCTGCAGGCTGGGTGAGGCCGTCCCTCTTCTTCGCCGCGAGTGGTCGGTGGACGTCGGTCGACGTGCCGGGATGGCATGCACGGCCACATGACATCAGCCTCTAGCCACCCTTCCACGGCTTCGGCAGCTCCCCACGTGATCCAATCCAAGAGTTCGCTTAGTCATATTCACGTGATTGTTGCGCTAAACCCGAAGCGCGCACGGCGCTCACGCCCATGTTTGTCGTCGCCCAAAAAAGGACGAAGCAGCACAAGGGAAATCTTGAGTGAATCTCGTGAGACCGTTTGGCCCAGTCCCTTTTGCTTGTCACCTCCTGCTGTCTCGAACCCTCTGGAGCTCTAGATCCCTCTCTTTTTCCTTCCCGCTGCTTTACTAATAGCCATCTTCCCTTTGTGCCGCTGCCTTGTGGCCGCTTCTTTCAAGTCGCATCTCGCAATCTCACTCCTGCATATTGCCCTTCCTTGTCCCCAACATATTTACCTTATAATCATTTCTGCGCTGCTCTCACGCTGTAACGTCATAAATATCTCCTCTACAGCTTCGTTTCCAAGCTTCCACTGTCGCTGCCCTGTCGCCCATCTACAATACTTGCAACTTCCATCAGTGAGATATTCCCCATGGCTTCTGTAAGTGCCCCTTGACCTGCTCCCACCTACGCTATCCACCTCTGTCTTCCTGCTCGTTCTCGCCGCGTTTGCTTCAAATTCCAAGCTTCATACCCCATATCAGCCTATGACTAACCCGCCTTTTTAAGCAGCCTCGTCCGCTCCACACCTTCAACAACCCACCACCACCTTACAGCCTTCCAAATGGTTCTACAAGCGGCCCAGCCCCAGGGGCTACTGCATTGCTTCCAAACAACGGCAGAATTATCCAGTCAGGTTCTGTCCGTATTTTATGCGTTGCAGACGTTAGAGGTACTGTGCTCCCCGCGTTTTACCCGTGCCTTAAGAATCCACACCGCAGCTTGGTTTAGGTAGTATAATAATTTTACTGACAATCCCTACCTTACCTCTGGCCAGGCAACCTAAAATCCTTGAACGAATTAGCCAAACAAGCCCGTGCAGATCACATCATCCACACAGGTGATTTTGGCTTTTATGATGACACTTCTCTCGACCGGATTGCCGACAAGTGAGATCCTTCTTTACTATCCTGCACTCACACCCGATACTTCATTTTTACACACGTCAAGTTGTCAGCAGCTGACATTTCCACTCATAGGACTTTGAAACATGTCGCCCAGTACTCGCCTCTTCTCCCAGAATCCATCAAACGCAGTATTGCTCAAGTCCCTCCGCAGCAATCCATTAAACACCGGTTCACCTCAGAGCAGCTCCTGCTTTCAGAACTCCCTCTTCTCCTAAACAAGCAGCTTACACTTGACGTCCCTGTATACACCGTTTGGGGTGCCTGCGAAGATGTCCGCGTTTTGGAAAAGTTCCGTTCGGGGGAATACAAAGTGGACAAGTTGCATATTATCGATGAAGCAAACTCCAGGTTGCTAGACGTGGGGGGCGTAAAGCTCCGCCTGCTCGGTCTTGGAGGTGCTGTGGTCATGCACAAGCTGTTTGATAATGGAGAGGGAAAGACCACCATCGCAGGTGGACAAGGAACAATGTGGACGACGCTTTTGCAGATGGGCGAGCTAGTCGATACAGCAAACCGCGTTTATGATCCGGCCGAAACCCGTATTTTCGTGACGCACGCCTCACCAGCTCGTGAAGGCATGCTTAATCAGCTTTCGGTTACCTTGAAGGCAGATTTTTCGATCTCTGCCGGCCTCCATTTCCGATACGGCAGTTCCTACAACGAATTTAGTGTTAATCCATCGCTCGACCACTACCGTGGAAAACTAGCGGCATCTAAAGCTTCCTTCAACGATGTATGGGATACAGTGCGCGGAGAGGTTGAAGCCGCCATCAACGCAAATGATGCCCAAAAGACCCTGCTCGACAATGCACTAGACATTGTTAACAAAATGCCAAGTGTTGCCAACGGTGGTAACCCCTTCGGAGGCCCAGTCACAGCCTCCAATGCGGGTGGTCAGGTTGATGAGAGCGCATTCAAAAACATGTGGAACTTTAACCTCGCAGACGCTGCCTTTGGTTACTTAGTTCTAGATATCGAAGGCGGAAGAATTGGAACGGAAATGCGTGCCCAAGGTTTTAACTTCTCACATCGGGGTGGGAAACCGGCCACGGCAGCTCCTGCGGCTCCGATCTCACAACAAACTACCACTGTTTCCCCAATGAGCGGTGGGGCAACTGGTCCTGGAGGCGCTTCTAGTTCTGCCCCCGGCCAAGCGAGACCACCACCGCAGTTTGGTCAAATGCAAGCCCAGCCGCCTCGTGGCACGGGGCCTCAGTATCAACCGCCCGTTTCTCAAGGGCAACCACCATTGCCTAAGCCCACTCCCCCCAAATCTACGGCCTCCCCTGTGCCTGTAATCCCAGCTAAAGAAAAACCCGGCACTCCTCAACCAGCTGTTCCCAATGCTCCCCCATCCGGAAACGGCGCACCTGCAAAACAGACCGTTGCCGAGCCAAATGGCACAGCCCAAGCGGACAAGCCCTCAGAGCCCGTGTCGAAGCCAACTCCGGCTCTAGAAAAGAAACCAATTAATGGGCTTTTCATCTCCAATGTTGACAATGAGGAAGCCATCCGTAAATTGTTCCCTGATGAAGATCGAGCCAAAATCCTAAAAGTCGAAAAGCTAGGTAAATTCAACCATGTTGTTTCGTTCCCTACTCTAGAAGACGCCAAGGCAGCTTTAGAGAGGCAGCCACTTGAGCACAAGAGGCCTAGCCCTCCTGGACCAAACCGCAAACCCAACGTCAAGATGTTCGAGGATAGGAGCAGTCGCCGTGACGGCCAAGGCAACGCTGGAACCTGGCAAGCAAGCAATCGCGGTAGTGCAGCAGGCGGTCAGCGTAGTGGATACCAGAGTGGAAGCGCCACTAGCGACGGTGAGGGTGGTCGAGGCCGCGGAGGATTCGGTGGACGCGGACGTGGACGTGGAAGTGATCGAGGCGGACGTGGCGGGCGGGGAGGCAGAACTGGAGGATTTGGTAAAGGACCATCAGGAGTCGGGGAGTCGAACCCGCCGACCCCGGCATCAGGCGCGACACCGACACCTTCAGGTGGTGATAAACCAACGGAGTCATGAACATCCGCCCTAGTTGGAATTGTCACGAAGCGGCCCTAACTTTTAGTGATATCCCCTTCCTCTAGTATTTGCCCCCGAGGCCTTTGATGAACTTGTATTATCCACCCGTTAAATTCCTGAGAAGATTTCTTTTTTCTTTTTCCCTTTCTTGCTTGTCCGCTATTCCATTATGTGCTTCTAGTGTGTCTTAAATACCTTTGCTTATTTCAATGACGGGTTGTGCTAGCTTTTATGGAAACTGGTTTCTTTGTTTTCTAAAAGAACTTCATTTTTTCTACCTTCCCGTCCCTCAAGCTAATCATTCTCCTAGTTTTCTTCTAATCGTGAAGGATTACGAAAAATGGGTACGACGGGCCCCCGTCTTAGATGCCTTCCGCAGAGCTATGGGTCAAGCGCCAGATGCAATGGAAGACCTTGGATGAGGTGCTTGATTGGACTGTATCTCCCAGCCCTTTTTTGGTCTGCCTGCGAAGGATTAAAAGCCACCGTTTCTTCCTTTCTTCTTATGTATTCTACATATGAGCTCCGTATGTCTGCTTTGCTTATTTTCCTTCCCAGCCCTTTTATTTTTCCTTTATTTTTCTTTTTCATTTCTTTTCATTTCTTTCTTTCTTTCTTTTTTGCCCATTCTAGGTACGGAGTAATGCATTCGGGATCAATGGGTGAGTTGAGAGCGAAGAAATCCCCTCATCCTTCCAAGACCTTTCGCGAATTGGATGATGGAGGTAATAACCAGGGGAAACAGGTCTTCGAAAGAGGAAATAGGTGAGGGAGCAGGGGCTCGAGCTAGATGACAAAAAGTGAGTGCAGATCAGTTAACCAACTCGAAAAGATCTACTCCGCACCTCTCTCTCGTGTAGTTAACTATCTCCCCTGATAAATGCAAATTCAATGTTCAGGTGATACGAACCCAGAGTAGTGAAAATCTTCCTTCAAGATCATACTATAATGAGCTACCCTTCGAACGGCAAATATCTTGACATGTCAAATGTGCCCCGGTACAAGTTGATGGAAATATAGGGAGAATCCATGATTGTGCAGTACATACATCCACATATTACAACCAATCCTACTTTGTACAGTACATACACACAAAAACATCATACAGCACATTCACTGTTATGGAAGCAAATTCCATTCATCACATCAACGTATACACAGCAAGCCTTGAGGCTCGTAAATGAAGTGAAAAAAAAAAAAAAAAAAAAAAAAAAAATCGAGCTCCGCTAGCAGACTATCAAGCGGTATAAACAAAATAAAGAGCATAATAACTAGATCTCAAAGATGGAATGTAAAATGTTCAGTGCTACAGGGCCGCGGAAAACCTGCGCATATATATATCAACGGAAGCCTAGTTACAGGGCAGGCTATCATGTTAAGACAGTGGCAAAACAAGAGGTGCAGAAGTGGGAATCTCGAGCAGACAAGACATGCGCAATTAAGAAACGAATACCATTTTTCCCATTTCATATTTTCGAATCTTCGAGGAAAGCGTACCCGAACTCTTTCATGAGAGTTTTCTTGCTCGAGTCATGATGTCCTCTACATCTTGCTTGTTCACAACAACTCCGCCTTCGGAACATCGTGCTTTGGTGCGCAATTCCGTGCATAGGCTGTCAACGTCGATTTCGCCGTTGCGGAACTTCTCCATGGACTGCAAGCGGTCCCTATAACAAACAAATCGTCAATCAACCTGCAAAGGAGGAAGAGTAATATCTCAAAGGAAAGGAGAGCTTACCATATCTTTGTACATGACAACATCTGTGACCTGTCCTCGCCGGGCACGACCTCTTCATCAGCATCCACTGACTGCTCAATCTGAGATATAAGATCAGGTTTTGGAGTTGGATTGGATCCAAGGTCGAAATTCGGGAACGAGTTGCTCAGGTCTGGAAGAGGGAATGCATCATTGAAGAAACTCCCAAACTCCTGGGACAAGACGGCGTCTTGTGGTTCGCGATAGTCATTGAAAAGGACCGGGTCAAATTGACCACCATTCTGTTGAACTAGCCAATTGAGTCCGGGAGAACTGTTGGTGTTATTTTCTGGGCTCGTCTGCTGGTTCGACGAATGCGAATTCTCCTTCTGACGTGACAAGGCTACCGGAACTGGATCTTCAGCACACCCACACGCTTCGTTGAGCTTTTCATAAAAGGATTTCTCACATTCGTCTAGGGGAACGGGACTATTGCTGGCATTTTTGGTCTTCCGTTTTGTCTCGTCCTTCGCCGTGGGGGGTGAGTTAACAGCAGGTTCAGGGGATGTGCCAATGGATGAAGACTGGGCGTGATGAGATTCGGAAGAAGTCGAAGGAGAATTCGTGTTCGATGCACGCAGAGGCCCAGATCTGTGTGATGAGTAGCTTCCCTGTCGATTAGCTTGATCGACGCCGTTCGAAGGCTTAACAGGTATGCCGTTTGCATTGTAGGAGGGGGTGTTTTGCTGAGAGGCGCCAACTCCGCGCCCGTATAAAGAGCGGAGAGCTTCATTTCGTGATCCTACCATACCTGCTGTGCCGGGCTGTGGGGACTGGCCAAAAGAACTGTGTGTTCTGAACATATCTCTATTCAAAACACCAGGGGCGCTATACTGCATTGCCGTAAGAGGAGATACCGTTGATGAAGTCGAAGGACTTTGGATTTTTGTCATGGACCCATTGTTAAACATAGCACCTGGAAGGTCGCCAAATTTGGGAAAGTCGAAGGAAAATTCCGTATTCAAACGTGACGTTTGAAGGCCATTATTGCCCGCGGCGAGACCGGAAGCCATGTAATTATTACCACTGCTGGCCCACGAAAGTCGTTTGCGGTACTCTCTAAGTTCGACTTGCAATCTTTCTATTTGAGCGCGAAGCAGGCTGTTCTCATGGTTGGCGGCTTGGGATGCCTTCTCGAGATCCTCAACTTTGGTTTCAAGGTCTTTCAGATGTTTTTCCTTACGCTCACGAAAGGCTCGCTGGGCCGCACGATTCTGGGCCTTGCGCTTCTATGAAAGAAAATCAAAACGAGGTTAATTAAAAGGTCATGTGTGGATTCAGATGTAGGGTGGCAGTACACACCGACGTCGGTTCGGAGGTTAGCGGTTTCCTTCCAGGCTTTTTGGCTACTTTTTCTTCATTTTCCTTTCTCTTTTTCCCGCTTTCCTCTTCCTCTTTCCCGTCAATACTCTTTCTTTTCTCACGCGGCTCTGCACCAGGAAGATCTCCGATCAACACCTCGCCGCTGCCAGCTTCAAAATCGGGATCGAGACTAAAATCGAGAAAAGGGCTGTCGTCCGCAAAACTCAAATTCCCTGAACCGGGGGCGACATGATCTGAAGGAGAGTTGAAGAGATCGTGGGATGACGAGCCATGTTGATGGGGCGAGTGTTGAGTTTTAACAGGCATGCCATCGAAGGTCGTTTCGGCTTGGGGTTTCATTGTCTGGTCAGGAGATGTAAGTGCAGCAAAGAGGAGATCCTGTTGATCAGGAGTAAAGAAAACGCTGCGTTGATAGAGGGAGTCGAAATCAGACATCGTTGCAGACGTGGTGTCGGAGTTTCAGCGAGTTTCTTTTCCCTCTCGTGAAATACGGACGACTAATAATATCTCGAATGCAAAGAAGAGAAAGGGACTGTACAGGAAAATTAAAGCAATGTCTCCAGGAACTTGGGTGATATAGATAGGGAGATATAAGTTCAACTGTGTAAAGGGACGAAGTAGTTTCCCGCCGACGATAGGGTCTGTCTGGGCTATGTGAATTCGTTCTGATGGGCTATCCAGGTGTAGGTCAGAAATCCCTGTCGCTCCGCGTCGCTGGTAGAGCGACCTGGTCTGTATCAACGGTTGAATTTTGGGGAGCGGATTGTTTCGGTCAGAGGAGCTGGAACGTTGGGGCAATTGGAGGGGGGAATTGGCCACCGACGTAGTTGGCGTTTTGATTGTCGCGTTCTGCGCAATTATTGCGGGGAACGGTAGTCGATGCCTGAACAGAACAAGCAGACAGCCACAGGCCGCAAACACGAAAAGATTGCTGTCGAAGACCTCTCAGCGATGTGCAACTATCGCCAGCTGGGACGAAAAAGGGTGGAGGTCTCGAAATGAAGGCGGGGTGACAGGCAGGCTGTCAAGATAAGGCCACAAGGATGCGAAGGATAGGGCGCCGTCCGATCCAAGCGAGAGCACCACTGGTGCGATAACTAGTTCATCCAGGCTGCAAAGTCCACGCCGGTCAGCTCAGGCCAGCACGGGGAGATATGGGGGAGCGGCGAGAGGAGGTCGAAGCAGACGGAAGGCCAGCAGAACCGGGACGAAGGAGTGCCAAGGCGCCAGGTCGCTTTGGGCTGAGCGCCAGCACGATGACTCAACCGCTCGTATTTACGACCGCGAGGAGCCAAAAGCGGCGCTGTGTTCTAGAACTCGGCCGCCCAGAGCCGCCTTTCTGCTGCCAGCCCTGCCGCCCGCGCTTTTCCCAATGCGAATTAGTTGCGGTGCTGCCTTTGGCCGGCGACAATCTCCTCAATAAATCCGATTTCTCCGCTTGCCGCCTGATTGCCTGGTCGTCTTTTTTTCGCCGCTCCGACCGTTCGTGCGGGCTGGAAAACGGCGGTGATGACATTCCAACCACTTTGCCTGTGTCCAGTGACCAACGAGCAGCTCCTCCAGCGCCATCCAGCGCAAACCCTGCTCGGCTGGCACTGACCCCGGTTCGACTACGGAACGTCTGCTTCCGCCCTCGCGGTGTCGGATTCTCGTGTTTCACCGGAGTAACATGTTACTTCACCCACTGTTTCAACCCAACATTGGGAGTGTTTGCGACACCGGCGCATTAGGTATATACGCAGTACCCCGTACCCAGTTCCATTCAAGACGGTGGCTGGCGATGCAGTCGAGCTCGAACTCCCACCGAGAGACCGGGATACCGAGCCTACAACCCTCTCCAGGCATGTGCATGATCTTGGAAGAACCCTTTAAACCCATTGAGATGGAAACTCTTGTTGGGAGTTGACAGCAGCCGGGACTCGCCGGATTTACCCCCTGCAGTCACAGCAGGGATAAAAAGTCTCTCCCCGGACATCTATCAGATCGAAATATGCGAGGGACCACTTCCCAACAAATGTTGGGAAGCCGGGACCCATGGAGACCGATATGAAATACTTACGTCCGTACGGAGTATATATTAAATGCAGCTGCCTTGCTCTGTACATTGGCCAGAGTTTCTAACGGTCGTGACAGGCGCGCCTCTGCTGATTATGGCTGGCAATATTGAATATCTCTTCTGTTTCTTTTCTTTTTTGTTTTTTAACCAAAAATTTTTACGTTCCTTTCGTTACAAGGTTTTGGCATTGCCCAGCTGTAAAACTGTAGCCGCAAAATACGCACATGATAAATACTGCAAAGAGAGCACATTCGTCTCAACATCCGTTCAAAACAAACCCCAACCGCCAAAAATCACCCATATCTGGCATCCTTATCTCCGCCCGCTTACAGGCTTTTGTCTCACCAGCTTCATGAGGACATATCGCCTCGTTCAATGGCGACCAATGTTCCTAGCATGCGGCAGAATTTGGGACAGATTGATGTATAGTCGAATACTTGCCTACAGCTGAGGCAATTTCGTCTCGCATGTCGTAGAGTTGGAGAGGAAATCTCCAAATATGCCCTGATGCTACCTTTCAATGGCCTTCTCTACGGAACCGTTGGCTACTATGCTAGTGACTATTTCTCAGAGACACTTGTCTCCAGACGCGCTCGACACAAAATCATCCGAAGCCTCCGTCGTCGATGCAGGAACTTATCACGTTCCCCGATATGTAGGCAGAATAAAGGACGTCTCTGAACGCCGTATATGTCGGCTCGATCGTGTTCGAATGTAATTGATCGAGTGCTGGATCTCGCTGCATCATCTCCCCTGATGTCGTGGATTTCTGCTGTGCTGCGGGCTGGACGCCACCGACGCCAAAGTGTGGATTCGCGCTGCTGATTGGCTAGATGGGGCAAGAGTTTGCAAGCAGTGCAAACTGAAGTGCACGTGTTCGTCCGCCGAGTCCACGATCGATCCAACGGCCTCATCTTCTCCACGCCTATCGTCGAACAGAATCGAACCGCATCAGGAGACAAAGGTGCTTGTGCCTTCGTTCACAGAGTCAGTTGCATCTAGCTTTGGCGAAAAATTAGTTAAAGTGCTGTCACAATGAGTACAGACGTTGCCACTTTGGAGAATGAAGTCAAGGAATTCAAGCTCCAGGTAAACTGACCTCCCCAGACTTATCAATCAGCGACTCCGCCTCCCATCTTGTGAGTTCTTCTGTAAGGCTAACGGCTGGTCTCTAGCTTGAATCTGTTCAATCAAGCTTGCAGGTAGACCCAGACAATACAGAGCTTCAGAGCCTTAAGACTGAGCTTGAAGAACTTATATCACTCACCGAACAATCCATCGCCGAACTACGACCCTCCGTTCCTGAACCTCCCAAGGGAAAGCCATCACACCCCCCCGTGAAGGAGAAATGGTCAAAGGAGAACCATCCGGCGTACCAAGCCGGTTATCGCAAACCTGCCGCAGAGACCCCTCCAGCAGAGGAGTCTCAGTCCTCGATGGTTTCGTTTTCCGTTAACGACAATGTACTCGCCAGATGGGCATCCGGAGATAACGCTTTCTATCCGGCGAGGATCACATCGATCACAGGCTCCTCCACCAATCCAATCTACATTGTCTCCTTCAAGTCATACTCCACCACCGAAACCTTAACCGCAAAAGACATTAAGCCTATCTCTAATAATGACACTCGGAAACGCAAGGCTGATGGGATATCAGGAACCCCAGGCCCGCAGTCTCTGCCGGCAAACTCCAGCGTCATATCCGCTGCCGCTGATATCAACCCTGCCTTGGCCAGCAAGGCCCGTACCGAAGGCGTTAAACCGGCTGATGGGTCACGTCCCGCGAAAGTGCCTCGAAAGGTTAAGGGAAAGAGGGATTTAGAGGCGGGAAAGGCCAAGTGGCAGGACTTTGCCAGCAAGGGTAAATTCGGAAAGGCCACAAAAAAGGAGAGCATGTTTCGTACTCCAGAAGGAATCAATGCTCGAGGTGAGTTTCGTTTCGTAATTCTGAATATTTGCGGCAACGTTGCGCGCTAACACTTGTTTTCAATATAGTTGGCTTCACTGGATCGGGCCAGCAGATGCGTAAAGACCCCACGAGAAGTCGACACGTATACCAGCAGGAAGAAGATACCTATTAGACTCCAGCGATCCTTCATTTCCTTCTTCAATGCCCGCCTAGCGTTTACCTGCACGGAATTCCAATGATGCTATACTCTTTAATCCTTACCACGAAGCGAGAAGCAAAAAAGAACCAAGGATCCATGGAGCACTGTTTTCTTTTGCTTAAGTTCCTGCAGCTAACTTCACTACCTGATTGGTGCAGGACCAGTTATCATAATACCTTCCGGAGTCCACGTCTTCCTGGAGTTCAGTTGTCGCTGGCGTTCCCATAGGCGTCTTTTTATTGGCGCGGTTTCGAGGGTAATAAATCTAGTATGAGTATTTTGTTGTCCCTCATTGCTACAATTCTTTGATTATGATAGTTCTGTTGTGCATCAGGAATCTAATATCAGACAGTGCATTGGCGGCCTCATTGTTATTATGTACCTGGAAACGGTTTGTGACCCCGTCACTCGGGTGGAGCCTCCAGGACCATCGCTGTGGCCTTCTCATGCCTCCTGGTGGCGGGTAAAAAGCTACCCAATCACCCCCTTCTAGTCTCGTCCACTGAATATCGACCAACATTCTAGATTCTCCAAATCTTCCCAACATGCGAAACCATTAAGATAGCTTACAATGTAAAAATTATGAAACGTATGGCTTTTATCGTTGCATCTACGCTGGGATATAAATCCTGCTATCAATGGGTACTCTCGGATTTGCGTCGCCCAAAACAATCTTCTGGACATGGCGTGGTCAAGAACTCCAATCCCGAAGCCCTTCCAATTCTTCACTTAGTCCAACCGTAATGGTTTCCATGAATGGCTTATACCTAATCCACATAGTCTGTTTTAATTCCTAAATAACCTAAGCCCACCCTCCTCCATATCCTCATCATCACTGGCCACTCCATTCATGCCTTCATCCTCGGATTCCTCTCCAAGCACCTCTCTAGCGCTTCTCCCCAACAATGATGCGAAAAACTCCTCTCTCGCCCTATCACCCCATGACCCTCTCTCCTCTGGCGCCATGAAATTCTGCAGCTTCTCATGGACATTGTACTTCATTTTCCTACCCTTTGACGCCTTCGTATCCACAGCGCGCTTGACCTTGTCTTTCCGCATTCCTGTAGTAGGGTGGATGGATAAACCCGTCAGTCGGGACGGAAGCTGGGAGTCGAGAATACCGGCGGAAGCGGACGAGGACATGCGTTGCTCGACAAGGTCGCGGAGGAGGGACTGGTAGAATGCGGTGTCGTTATAGATGATACTTGAAGGCGTTTGGGCCTGGATGTCCCCATTTCTCTGCGGGTGGGTGGTGTTTGCTGATGTTTCGGTGGCGATGTGGGCATCTAGAACGGCGGTGATGGTTTGATGGTCGGAATTTTTGGCGAGGAGTTTGTTTTGGTTGGACGGTAGGGCAGCACGGATGCCGCGGGCCTTGAGGGACCATTTGTCCAGCACAGCGCGGCGATGAGGGAGAAACTGAACTTCTAGATCGTTCATCCGGCTCCATATCTCCGAGGATGGTGTGTCTGGCGCGATCGGCGTTCGTTTGCGTTTTTTGGAGGACGTAGAGCTGTCTTTGAAACGAGAATCGGCAAGTGTATGGCGCAAGTCATCCAATGCGTTCCATAGAGCGAGTGCGGCCGCTTCAGCGGATTTGATTAATTCCGCATGTGTAGAGACATCCACTTCAGCGTCGGGGGGAATGCTATTGATCGAGGTAACACCCTTCTGTAGCTTTATTCGGCTGTTGAGAAGTGCGTCGAATGCGCGTCGTTGTCGTTTGACGGCAGCACCCTTCGCAGCATCAGCTTTGGCTGCTTGAGATATGGATGCGGCCACAGCTTTATGGTCAGATGCCATTAGGCGGCGCAGCTCATCCCGTTCGTCAGATACGCCCGCTGCTCGGCGAGAAGGGTTCTCCTCTTGCTCTTCATCTTCCTCATCTTCCTCCTCGTCGTCCTCCAAATCGTCGCTGTCCATTTCCTCATCCTCGTCTCCTCTTCCGTCACTTCCACCCATGCTGTCGTCATCCTTCTCATCGTCGTCATCCAAATCGTCCTCCGGTCCAGATATCTTGGAATCATCTGAATCCTCGAGGTCCTCTTCGCTATCTCCTAATCCGAACGGTCCATCTTCATTATCGCTCGCGTCCAGGGCATTTCTGCTAATCCGAGAGCCTGCATATTCGCGTCCGAGCTCGATCGGCAATGGCTTGCGGAGTTTACTCTTCCTGCACGAATCGCAGAATGTCAGTTCCAGATGTTTGAAAAGTTTGTCGGGAGATAAGCCGTACCCAACAACTTCATAGTGTTCGCGGCCAGAAATCTCTAAACCTTCTCCATCCTCAGATATTTGATCCTCATCATCGCTAGTCTGTCCGTGATCATTTTGATCTTCGGGATCAAAGTCTGCGACGGCGTTAGTTCTGCTTCAGCTGGGGGGGTTCACGGTTTGCGACGAATACCTTTTGGCGTCGGGTCATCGAGATCAGCAATCTGTTCGGCAAGCGATTTTACCTTCTTTTTAACTCCTACCATTGTAGCGCGGAATTTTTTTTTTTTTCTTTCTCGGGGGCGTCAGAACTGCTCTGTTTTATTTTCCTCCGAAATATATATATAATTTTTTTAGGGAATTTTTGGTGTTGCAAAGCTCACTCGGGAAACATTCCCTGATTGGTGCCCGTGTGGGCTTGAGGAAAGCTAGCCGAGCACCAGCGCGCCGCCGAGCTTGACGGAGCTCAAACACGAGCGTTGAACGGCCGCTGCAGATGAGATGGAAGGACTCGAGCGCGAATATCTGATAATTGTAAAGGAATGATGCGTCGGAGATTCTTTTCCACTCTCCGACAACTCCAACATGACAATCCGCTGGTAGATTTCCCCTTCCAATTGGTCCGATCCATTTTTTTCTAACGCCATCATCTTGAAAGGGCCTCCCGCGCTCCGGCACGCCGCCATCCTTCCCACGCCGTCGTGGCCTGCCTGAGAAAAGGAAGATTCGCGATGTGAACAAGGTGATAGCGGTCTCGTCTGCTAAAGGCGGGGTCGGTAAATCGACAATTGCCGGTAGGGTCCGTTTGCTGAGGAACCCTTTGCTCTACGCCGCGTTCTTCGATGGGAATAGGACCCGAATGCTAATAGTTGCATTGGCAGTGAATATTGCATTGGCGCTTGCCAGGCGTGGAATTCGCACTGGCATTCTTGACACGGATATTTTTGGGCCTTCGATACCCACGCTATTGAATCTCTCTGGAGAGCCGCGGCTTGACGATAGTGCGTTTCTCCGTATATATCTTTCTTGCGAGTGGAATGAACAGTACATTGACCAGATTTTCACAGAGAACTGCCTTGTTCCTCTCACAAATTATGGCCTCAAATCCATGTCCATGGGCTATCTTCTCCCTCCACCACCCCCAGAGTCAACAATCACCACCTCCGATCCCAACATACCGCCCATGGACACAACCCCTATCTCTTGGCGAGGACTCATGGTATCAAAAGCGATGAACCAGCTACTCCACTCCGTTTCATGGGGCCCACTGGATGTGCTCATCCTCGACTTACCTCCCGGAACGGGAGACGTGCAACTGACCATTAATCAAGAAATCGTAGTGGACGGCGCAGTGATTGTGTCTACACCACAAGATATCGCACTTAGGGACGCTGTCAGAGGTTACGGCCTTTTCGAGAAGATGAACGTGCCCGTTTTAGGTATGGTGAGGAACATGGCCTTTTTCGCCTGTCCGCATTGCGGTAAGCAGACGAGAATATTCTCTCGAGGCTCAGATCCTAAAGGAGCCCAGGAGGATACAGCTGGCCATGCTCATGATACTAGTGGCGTTGTGGCGACTTGTAAACGCCTAGGCATTGAGTTTTTGGGAGATGTTCCGCTTGATGCTAGGGTGTGTGAAGACGCTGATCGCGGTGTTCCCACCGTCGTTGCCGAAGAGAGCGATGATAGGAGCGTGCGACGGAGTGCATTCATGAGTATCGCTGAAAAGGTTGCTAGGAAGGTTGGACTGGAATGGAAATGATGGATTCGGAAACACGGTGTGCCCGAGTTTCAATAGGCTCCATCTGAACATCCTTTCTCTCCGTGCAAGAATGCTGCTTGAACGAATGATGAGTGGGTTACAGGTCGAAGTGACGCCCACCTGTCCCCCAGCGCCCTTCTTGTACTAGGTGGTTGAGGGTTTCTACGAACGCTGGAACGAACTTGTATGATATGTAAAAATAGTCAACTCCAAGCATGTAACTCCATTAGCTATATCACAACGTATTCCGATATTAATATCCAAAATATTCACGAAACTAAGGTCGATACCGAAATTTAGAAACAGATTATTCTCGAGCGACTGTATATTTAACCAATTACGGGATTCTGGCCGGAGAAATCTCTAAAACGACCTCGATAAAGCTCACTCGGCCTATCCTTAATAGCTTTAGAATCTCGTCCTCGTGTCTCCAATGCCAACTCGTTCATCTGAATAAACACTCGAATATCCGCTTTCGTCGTCTGTTTTCTCAGCATCCCCGTTGACCTCGCCTCGGGATCGCGACGCAGCGCTTATATTGCCACTGGCCGGAAATGACGGGAACGGCTCTGTCTCAGAGGGGTCTCTAGCTCTGGTGGAATTAAACTCATCTGCTAACTCTTTCCCCTGATAGTAGTATTTCGAGGACCCTCGCGCCGCCCCAAAATTGGCTTGAGTTTGGCCGCTACGATGAATAGACCCACCTGACCTTGCGGCAGCAAGTGGCGCAGGACGTCCAACATCATGGTTATACCGGCTGGAGTGATTTTGATCACTTGTCTGCACGGCGTGGCGCCTCCGACGCTTGGTGTCGTCCACTACCTCTCCACCGTTGACGGGCAAGTCATCCTCATGTGCAAGGTTAGATTTCGTGCGCGGTTTTCCTGGCTCTCGTCTACCTGAGAATGCAGATAGCGATTCACGTGGTGTTTCCCACTCGAGCGAGGATGCTGATGCCTGGACAGGAGAGACCGGTGATATCACACCTTGAGCATGACGGATAGCTTTGGTGCTGGCTTTGTCATCAGGGCGCCGGCGTTGCTGAGAGTCTCTGCGCTTGACGGACGCTGCACGAAGAGGGCTCCGGGGCGGGACATAACCTGGATGTGGGTGAAGGTCATCTATCGTCTTTGGTGGTATAGAAATGTCGGTTGCTTTCCTGTCATTGGTATCACCGTTGACTTCGCCCGCATCGTCGTTTTGGCGAGGTGAAGAGTCGGAATATTTCGACGAGGCAAGCGACGGCGCTTTACGAGATGACACTTTTTCTGAAACGTCTCTCTGGGACTCATTCGATTGCCCAACATCCGTCACTACCCTGGTTTCACTTGCGCGCCTGGGAAGAGGAGCCCGGAAACGACCAGCGTACTCCCCGCTCTCTCTGAGAACTGCTTCATCGTGTTTATTTGCAATTGAATTCCAGAAAGCCAATGCACGATTCTTCTTCGTGGGTTTTCGGATTCTCCGGATAGAAATACCCCGTCTGGCCGCTGCAGAGCTCGGTGGCGGTGTTTCACCAGGGGCGAGCTCCTCAATACCTAAGAGTAGCTCTTCTACCCGCCTCTTTAATATTTTGCGTCTCAATCTGGAATACTTATTATCCCACTCTTGCTTCGCGTTCAACCACCTCCTTACGGGGCCTACTTTAGGTTCTCCGATTTCATCAGGAGAGAGGCCGAGGGCTGGGAGGTAAGACTCATCCGGTAATGGGCGAATATTGCCATGACCATCAATCAATTGGCGGATCATGTGGTGACGAAAAGGCGGGAGGGGACCCCCAGCTTTTCCAACAGATCTGCAACCTTGCTGTTGCTGAAATAGGTTTCGCTGTTGGCCACCAGGATAATCGATATCTCCGCTCGAGGACGTAGTCCAGTCAGGAATTTCAATGCTCGATTCTTGCGCCCGGGAGAGCGCCCAAGCTCCAAATTGTGCAATTGAACGATACATATACTTTGCCGCCTGCGTAAAACTGAGAGTGGGAGCCACATGACATAGGTTCTCCCAGACCTGCAATTGCACGTATGTAGGTTTATACTTGTCGATTATCTTCCGCTCCGGGTCATGTCGGTTCAAGTACTTCTCGCTTGGAGGATAGGCAGCGGGATTAGCGGCTTTGTGAGCAAAGTAAATCTGTTCGTCCCTAAGCATCTCACCGCCGCCAGTAAGAACTAACAGCGGAGGCAAGCCGCCAAGTGACGGCTGCAGAACGGGAGACACGAGCGGGTGAGACAGCATCTCGTTAGGCGTGTACATATGAATCTGATCTTTCAGCTCTATCATCACTCCGTCCATCTGAACCGTGAGGAGATGGTCGGGGTGCGGATGCCCCCGCCCGTTCTGGAAGATAGCTGCATGGTGCTCCGGTAAGGGTTCGAGATGACCAGCTTGGGTCGTTGCGGTTGCTTCCCGGATGAAAAACTGCTCAATGGCCCGTTCGTCAACGGAAGTAGTACTATCCACCACGGGTGGTGAATTTATGGCTTGTAAGATTTTCCCCGCACATTTCGATACGACACCGATTTCGTCGGCACTCGGCGGTGGCCACGCCATGGAAGGCCGTTGCATGAAGCCGTATTTAGGCAGATAATCTTCAGTTCCAATATCATTCATACTGGGGAATGAATGGGTCAAATCGAGCCACGGGGATATCAATATTCCTCCCACAGGTAGGGGCATTTTTTGGTCGCGTAGGATTACGAGCATCCTATTTCCGGGTTAGCCAAGCCATTGAATTGCCTTGGTTATACTTACGATGCCACCATTCCGCCTCCAGACGAGTCTCCGGCGAATATGATCTCTTCGGGGCTATGGAGGGTCAAGAGGTATAGATAGGCCGCCAAACAGTCTTGTAAGCCGCAGGGAAAAGGGAATTGTGGCGCCAGACGATATCTCGCTGTTTCTGGGTGAGTAATTCGAATTCAGATGGTCAAATAAAAATTGGTAACTCACTATTAGCACGTCAGTATCAGCGTTATTCATAGTCAATGACCATAGTTAAACAACTCACCGAGCAAAAAGCCTCGCCTTGAGCTTCCTGGCATGCCTTTGCAGCTGATATCGATGCGTATCGACGCTTCCAAAGTAGTACGCTCCGCCGTGCACGTAGAGGATAATTCGCTTAGATCTTTGGCCTAAATTCCTCCTCTGGGCGTAGTCGCTTTTCATCTCGATCCATTCGGCGTATAGCGCGACATCATCCCCCCTCCACTGCCACCATGTCTTGCCTCCCACACGATCGACACCGCCGGGACCAAGTTCCGCGATGATCAAATGTCCTGCGGAAACGAGGTGCTCGGCAGGAACCACGACGTTGGATTGTTTGACCCAGTGGGGGGATGGGACACGCCGGGCGGTGAAGGCTTGGAACTCCTCGACCGTATGATGCGAGGCATAGTACATGAACCGGCGGATGATCTCCAATCCTTCATGGTAGGATAGACGATTTGCGGGCTTCTGCTTGGGTGGTTTTCCTCCGAAGACCTTGCTCCAAGGGCGTTTAGGGTCAGTTAAAAAAAAAGGGGGGGGGCCAGAGGCTGGGTTGCTGTGCGGGGGAATGGACCTACATGCAAACACCAGGTTTTCAGAACAGTAGGTGCAATGACCGAAGCAACGGTGATTGTGTTGAAGGGCATTGTCGGCGGTTTAGGACTCCCAAGGCCTCACCGTCGCAAGCATTCAGGGGGGGAGTTCGAAATTCGATCTCTTATATATAGGACGGAAATGCCGACAAATAAAACTAAACAGGAAAAATTCTGCAGGCCATCATCGTTAAGAGAGTTAAGACAACTATATACAGCCAAGACCAGCGGCTTGACAAGTAACCAGGCAAAGCGGGCATTTCTCGTCGGCGTTGCTGAAAATCGAGCTTTTGATAAGTTCGAGCCCAACGGAAGCGGTTTGGATGATGTCATGGACGTTCCATGGGAAAACACCGAGGAATGTCCGGATGGCACGCGACGAACCCTCCAAAGGCGCTGAATAGAGCAAAGGCACAATTGCACAGACCGCGCCGTGTATACCGTGACGGGGGGAGATAGAACCCCCCCGCGAGATGTCCTGGCCGTTGCGTAACTCACGAGGACGGGAAGACAATCAGGGTTTCAAAACGTCCGGAGCAGCTGTCAACGAGGGCCGCGCGTGGTCGGCCAATCAGCGCCGTCTGTGTGGGTTTTGAATATCGAAACTTTTTTTTCTTCCCGCTTCGTTCGCCTGCAGTGCTTGAGCGGAGCAACTCCACGAGATGCGCCTGGGCCATACCACCTCCTCCTCCTCCTCCTCCTCCTCCTGCTGCAACCTCCCCGGCCAAATCCCTGTGAGATCACATTCGGATACCCCATATATATATCAGTCGATTCAAAACGGAACCCAATCGCGTCGATTGTCCTCCGCACCGCCCACCACACGGCACAATGGATGTAGACCAACCCCAGTCGCAACCGCAGCTCCAACCTTCCGAACAGTCCCCTACCTCCCTCTCACCCTCCGCCCAACTCGACCTCGCCATCACTCTTATCCTGCACAACTGGCCCGTCCTCACCCTCGCCGTCCAATCCTCATGGGGCGGCCCCACCTCCTCCGAAAAGCGCGACTGGTTCTGCGCCGCCATCGCCGAACTCTTCACCGACCGTCCCGAAACCGATGCGATAGACCTTGAGGAAGTCCTGCTTCAGGTGATGAGCGACGAGTTCGATGTCGTGGTGGATGACGGGAGCGCCGCCGATATCGCGGACCGGGTCGTGGAGCTCAAAGAGGAGATCGAGAAGGGAGACCTGGCCGGAGTAAACAAGATGTGGGAGGCCTGGAAACAAAAGGAGCTCAGGGGTGGCGGAGACGGAAATGCAAGCCTTGGGCTGTTCAGAAAGGTGGAGATGCGGGATGAGGATCAGGAGACGGATGAAGACGAAGACGAAGACGACGACGAGCATGAGGACGGGGATGTGGCGATGGAGGATGCACCTGCTCCTAGGCCGCAGCGGGAGAGGACAGAGCCGGAGGTTGACGAGGACGGCTTCACAAAAGTCGTTGGGAGGAGGAAAAGATGACGCCTTGCCTTGCGGCTTTCAAACCCACTTGTTGTTGCTTTCTCTTTTTTTTTTTTTTTTTTTTTTTTTCCCTCGCTCGCACGGTCTCGCACCAGGATATCCATACCATAGACTACGGAGAATTACAGGAGTTTGGGCATATAAAAATTCTAGCAGAACTTGCAGGAGTTCCGACCGGTTGATTGGGGTTGTTCTATGCAGAGGTTCATCTCATGCGCATCTCATTTTTAAGATCTACTACTCCATACTCGGTACTTCAAAACAAATTTTTTGCCAAACAATATTTCTGAGGCAAAATTCTAATTCCCCCAATCTAGACAAACCCAGAACGGGAACAATAAATTGCAACTTAAGTAGAAGGGGTATCAGTGATCAGCTTGGTAATCATTCCAATAGCAATGGTTTGTCCCTATCGAGCAAAAGGTCAGTATGGCATTGTAACGGCATTGCGTAACGCACCAGGAGAAAAATGCATACCTGATCACGGAGGGTGAACCGTCCGAGTTGATTATAATCCTCAAATCGCTCTACGCAAACAGCGCCCGCTCCCCCAATAACCTGAAGTCGAGCAATGATGGTTTGGCCTTTACTAGCAAATGGTGGTGGCTTCTTGCTTCGTCTGCCGGTTTCTTTCTCAAGCTTGTGAAGTAGAGCCGCAAACGTAACCTCTTCAATAGCTGAGTGAATGTGCATGACGCAGTTGAAGCCGGCAGTAAGAATACTCTTCAGATCAAGGATTCTAATCTTGGCTTCAAATGACGAGACGCAATGGACTGGTCTCTTTGGGGAACACATGACGAATCCAGGCATGATGTCTTCTTCTTCGGCTCCCCGCAGGCGTGCTCGGATTTGATCACCGCAGGTAGCAGTAGTAATCTCTTCCTCGGTTTCGCCGTACAGGGCCGTGACCGTGACCTCGTCTCTATTCGGCATCAGAACACACGTGGACCCCTTCTTCAATACACCGGATTCGATTCTCCCTTCAATAACCGTTCCCATATCCTTGTATTTGGCACTGATCGGCATCATGAAAGGGGCGTTGAGTTTTCGCTCAGGCATCTTCATATTGTGGAGATAATCAAGCAGCGATGGGCCATTGTACCAAGGAGCCAAGTCCTTTGGTACAGGGGTGTTGATACCCATCGTCCTCTGCGCTGAGATGGGCATGAATTTCAAGTCATCCTTCTTGTATCCCATAGCCTCCAAGAACTTGCCAATTTTGGTTGAACATTCTTCGTAACGAGCTTTGCTCCATTCAACTGTAGGATCGTCCATCTTGTTGACTGCTACAATAAGCTTCTTCACACCAGCATTTCTGGCAAGCAATGCGTGTTCACGCGTTTGACCTCCTCGTTCAAAACCAGTCTCATATTCACCCTTGCGAGCGGAGATAACCAGAATGCCTACGTCAGCTTGGGAGGCACCGCCGATCATGTTAGGGACAAACGACTTGTGACCAGGAGCGTCAAGGATAGTATAATGACGAGTAACAGGACCATCAGCGGTGTCGCCGGAAGTCTTAAAGAAGGCACGGCCAACCTCCACAGTCTTTCCCTTTGACCGCTCCTCGTTTGTCAGATCCAAGGCCCAGGAGAGATACCAGGTCTCTCGCCCAGCGTCCTTGGCCTCCTTTTTGTACTTTTCCATCGTACGCTCATCGACCATACCTGTAGCATACAGGATACTACCACCCAGTGTGGACTTGCCGGCATCGACGTGGCCAATGAAGATTAAATTCACGTGCTCACGCTTCTCACCGTAGATTTCCTTCAATGTGGCCTCGTCAACATCGGCAGCCTGTTCTCTGGCAACAGAATCTGCATCACGGTTGGCAGCTTTGATTTCTGCCCTACTGGGGGACGACCGGCCGGAAGATGGGGTGGGAGACGTCTTTCCGGAAGCTGCAGCCTTCTTTTCAGCCTTCTTCTCTGTCTTCTCTATCGCTTTAGCGGCTGTCACTTTCGATGCTGCTTGGACGGCTGCGGGTCCGCTGCTCTTTTCATGTACAGGCTTCGGAGTGGAAGCCGGGGTTGTGGAGGTAGTAGAAGAGGTCTTTGATTTTGGTATATCACCGCCAATGGACAGGATCTTCGCTTTGGGGACCGCAGCGGTCGGGGTGGGAGTGGGAGTGCTAGATGGCTTTTGGGCTGCTGGGGTGTTGACGGCTGGGGAACTGGCTTTTCGCCGCTCAGCAATTTCGGTCGGTTGCCATTGTTTCTGCTGTTGGGCTGGATGGGCCTGCGACTGCGGCTGTTGCTGCTGCTGTTGCTGTGCATTATAACCTCCGTACTTCTGACCATAGTACTGATTGTACCCGCCTTGTTGACCATAGGGCTGGCTATACTGGCCGTAGGGCTGCTGTTGCTGATAGCCACCATATCCCTGCTGCTGGTATTGGCCATATTGTTGGTATGAACCATAGCCCTGGTATGTTTGGCCGGGCTGAAATTCAGAAGCACCAGGCTGAAAGGACGTGGCACCTGGACGGAATGAGGAGGTTTGTGGGTTGAGATTCAAACTCTGCTGGGCCTGTCTGGAGAGGTTCTCGTCCTGAGCAGCGGGGTCATCCTCCCAAGAATCGAGGTGGGACATTGTGCAAAAATGAATGAATTACAACAAAATCTGGGGTCTTCAGGGAATACAATAAACAAGATAATTAACAAGAAGCCAGGGAAACAAGGCAGGCTGGTCAGTCAATTTCTTCAGAGACACAAACTGCAGCAAACAGAGTGCCTTTGCGAGCGTCGGGTTGAGGTGGAAGGAGAAATCGTGGGGCTCAAGAAACTAACTTTGAAGGTGGATCCCCAGCTTACATAAGCATTGTCTGAAGTTGCCGTCCAACGGCTGCGGATGCTGGCCACGAACCACACTAAATTGACCTCAAATCACGTGTGACATACCCGCGCTGTTGCTTCTAACCCTTTTGGTACTAGCCTTAACGCGCGTCAAACGCGCCTAGCTAATGACGTAATCTTGGCGCGGCTGTGGCACGTGCCTGGTTGCAGCCGCCCGGCCAAAACGGCCTACATAAATGATATGGCGTCTCCAACACACCAACGGCCCCTGCAATCCCCCCGCTGGATACCTTGTCACAGCAAGCTGTTATTTCAGCGACCGTTCTCGAGGTTTAGCGATTATGCTGACTTTGATAACCCCTTGGGCCCAGTTGTCGACAGCGGGTTTCAGACGTATTTGCTCAGTATATATATGCAATGGCTGGTTTTCTCACAATGGATAAACTTCTTTTGACAGCAAGTTTTGATGGCCTTTTGCAACTTTTTACCCCCTTGAGTGCTAATAAATTGCTGTAGCTTACGGGACAGGCTATGAACTATGCCGTCAGGTATTCTGAGGACAGTTTCCCCTCCTAGCGAGTGAGGTTCTAATGTGGTGCAGGTCAGGGATCCGCGTCACGGGGCAATATGCGATCAGTCAAGTATCTAGACTGATGAAAAGATCATCGGTTAGATTAAGTAACTTTTCCTTGCGATAACAATTAGACCAACTCACTTCGAACCAGGCTATTGATGATGGTCACCGTTCTGAGCTTCAGACTCTCCAAGAGCGACTTCAAGGCAAAATCCGAGTGAGTTCCTTTCGAGGATAAATGTTTTTGTTTTCTTACTACGGATTTGTATTAACCTGTCAGATAATTTCTCCCGCTATCGATATGATCGAACTCATGTAGGTGTCAAAATGGCTTTTGGAGTGCTCTGGATATTCAGCCCTAATAAGGATTAGCGCGGCTCGGGGCAATACTTCTCTTGAATCGGCCGTGTCTCTCACGCAAGGAATCAGATGGGAAATTCAGAACCTTGGGCAGCGGCTGGCTAAAATCGCATCCACCGAAGAGTTAAGACGCAAGGGTGCCATTTCAAGTGCCCGACGGACAGAGATCAATTCGGACATAAAACTTATCATCAAGGATATCCGCAAATTGTTGGGTCGGATCGAGGATGCAGTACCGCTCATCAACCTTGCTATTACCACCTCTGGAGCAAGCTTGTCTACCACTCTTCCCGCAACCGTGTCGCCTTCCCGGCTTCTTCAAGCAAGCACTTTTCTGACCGCTGGTGACACTCAATATGCCGTTTTGTCGTCACAGGCTGTTCAAATTGGTCCCACTTTTACTCTTTCAATATACCTTCTTTTTGCAGGGCACGCTAGGCCTCATGACGAAGAGACTATTCGGAGTACGACCTGGAAAGAAGTTATTCATAAGGCACGGTTAAAATTACGCAGAGTCCCTATGGAATTACTAGATTCTCATGCATCGTTTTCAATTCCCTCTGAAGATTGGGCTGCCGATGAACGTATCAGAAGCAATTCCAAAGGTGATGAATTTGCCTATCAGATGCTTATTATTGAGGATTTAGATGACGATCGGGTTCACACATTTGAATCAGAAGAGGAAGAACCGTCCCAGTTCGAAGATGTCGCAATCGCTGGAATTAGGGAAATTATCCCGGTACATCAGATTTCGAAGATTTTCTATGCTGATACTGGCAAAATTCTGAACATCGGGAGCGAAGGTGAAGCCAATCACCCTGTCCTCCTACTGAAGCGTGATATACATGCAATCCCACCACGAAGAATGATGGGTGAAAGCGCCACAGAATATGACGAATTTGACGACGAAGGAAGTGAAGGCACTTTGGGCCATGAAGAGCACGAATCTTACCATGATACACCTGAAACTCCAGGACGATCAGATATGGCTACAGGTGAACGTTGGAGATTTCCACCTGGGCTAGACTTGGAATGGATTGCGTTTGAAGTTTACAATGAGCCTGAAGATTCCGACTCTGAGGATGAGTCATCTTCACCAGGACCTACTTCTCTCCCTCAATCTCCGAGTGGCCAGCTAAATAAGAAGCTGTCAAGTCTTCACATTGGTGATGAAAGCTCTTCTCCACACTCACAGCAACACATGACGATATCACGGTCTCCATCCGGCGTTGGGACTCTGAATACCGTTTCAAACCCCTTATTTAAAAATATCAAAACCTCACTATCCCTCCTAGAAATGCTGCTCCGTCTTACATCTCTTCAACAATTCCAACAACAATCTCATCTTTCCATCCCTGACGAACTTCTCAACTTCTTCCTTGAGGAATCTTCCACGACGGGTGCAGGCGGCGACGAGCACCATCGCCAGCGCGTTCGTGCCGAAGCACGACGGAAAGTTGGCTGGGATCCCTATGATGAAAGCCCGTTGAAACGGCGTGGGGAGGACTACCAGTATAGAGGAGGTCAAGACCAAGACTCTTGGGCCGGCAGCCCCCGCAGCTGGAGACCAAGCGCGGAGCCATATAGTCCGAGCACCACCCCACGGTCAAAGGAACATCGGACTAGCGAGGATCTTTATCATGATGGATTCCGAAAGGGCATGGATCCTACATCCAGGCAAGCGATGGCGACGCCCTCGCCCAGCGTTAAAGCTCGAAGTGAGGGCAGAAGAGCTTCTGAGATCCAGAAACCCAGAGCCAGCCGAAGAATGTTTCAAAAGGAAAGCAGTCCCCTAAGGGACTCTGCGCACAGGCTGAGTGGCGAAACCAGGGAGCGAAAGAGCAATGGCTGACGCCGAGCCATGAACAGCCGATATCTAATTTTACGCCATTGTTTGGGTTAGCATTGGGAAAATCTACGGCACGCGCACAATAGGCTATCGTAATTTGAACCGGCTGCGGCTTTGTATCCAAGTATATCAACTTATCTAATATAGATACATCAAATGCCTAGCAGTGGCCTGAGCCAGCTCAACACCCTAAGTACCGGCACAAAATTATTTGCAGGGACTGTTGGAAAGGGAAATTAGAACTAGTCTAAATCCAGGTTTGTGGGTTGATGCAGTAACACACTTCCTTGCCGCTCATAAGAGATTCCATTCGGATATTAAAGAGGGCCTGTGTGGATAGAAGCAGCTACTTGCAAACTTCGATGAGTATAAAAGTGAAATAAACAGAAAACCTGACCACAAAAACTGAGGCATTCCAAGTCAATTCATTCCCAATCCTCTTCATCACTGCTAACCTCCACTGCTTTCGCAGGAGATGTTGCAGACTTTTCCGTTTCCTTTGGGCTCCCTGGTGTCCGGCTAGTTGCACCACTAACAAGATCGTAGCTTGCATCGCTATCAGCCTGCGACTGCTGGTCATTGGAATTCCGCGACTCCAATGGCTTCAGGTTCTCATTTGACATTGATGAGGAAGTTGGTAAGGAAGACGCGCCTGGCGGCTCAGATGCCTTGTTGATTTTGACTTGTGGTGTGGTCGGAGACTCAGGCTCGGATTCAGAATCCTCGTCCCAGGCGACCTCTTCATCATCACCAGCTGTGGATGCTGTGACAAGCCTCAGTAAATATGATTTCATGGCAGCTCTTCTTGATTCTAGAGGCGACGACATACCTTGCAATAGTTCTTTTCGGCGCTTTTCTTCTGTTTCAATAACCATTCGCAAGAAGTAGTACCTTCTCCAAAAGTCTGCGTATTCCACCTTTTCTGGCACGAGGTTCTCCATCGCTCGTCTTAATTCTGGATAAGTCTCCAGATCCTTGGATATAACATCAGTTTTACTATCAATCTTGAACTCATCTTTCCATTTACCCCATTCACCACCGTCAGGATCCTTGGAAAAGCTTTCTAAGTTTGAATGGATGGCGTGTAGTTGTGCTTCGAATCTGGTCGTATGGATCACCCTTTTTCCATCCGCATCTCTGCTCTCGAATAGCACCTTGCCCGATGTATTCTGGCCGCCCTCTTCCGGGGGTGAAATAGTGACAGCATCACGCAAAAAGTTCCGAATATTATTTCCGAATCTCAGCAACGCCTCGTCGGCAGCGTCTTCTGCCCTTTCAATATCCTTCAATCGTTTCGCCGCTTCTGCGCGGAATCGAGAAATGAAGCCATCCCCATCAGCGTCTTGTGTCTCCCCTGCACCATCTCTAGCTGAGTCCTTCAATGAATCACCGGCCTTTGGAGATGTCGGCGTCGTCGAACCAACAGCTTTATCCTTATCGTCGTCACCCTCGCCACCGGCACCAAACCCACCCAACGACAGCCCTCTCGTTCGTCCTATTATCGAGTTTCTCAAATCGCTAAATCCCCTAATAGCTTCCTGACTCGCAGTGGAATATTCTTGTCTTGCTTCTTCGTAATAGCTTTCCCCTTGCCGCCGGACATTTCCCCATAGCCCGCCGAGCCGGGCGCCCCATGGGCTCGCCGAGAAAGCGTTGAAGGTTTCTTGGAATTCAGCCCCTAGATGATGCCGGCTCGAAGTCTCGGAAGGGTCAGCGTCTCCGGGTTTGGAATCTTTGTCATTCTCGGGAGATGCGAGGATTTCCTCTTGGATGTGATCGTAGGCGACGTCCATAGTTTCCGGGGGAGTGAGTTTGGAAACAGAGCGAGGATGGTCTGGACTTGGTGGGAATAGAGAGATATATAATGCAGCAGTCTCAATTAAAATATCATCGCGTTCGGACTAACAGCCTTAGGGAAGAGATACAGTGAATGATTATGGTTCAGCTTCGTTGATGGTTGTTATGGGGTTGCACATGCTTGAACCCCCGGCTCCGGAAGGGCTTTAAACTTGATGTGCACATGATCACCCTTAAGGGTTAAAATGAAATCGACACAACACCACAGAGTGCAGCCTTAGAGCACTCATTCTTGAGTATTAAAAATGAATGAGCAATGAATGTTATGTCCAAGGACAGTATGCCAGTTTTTGACTCAATGGTATCAACAGGTATAATGATGCAGGTGATGAAATATTTTCCCCATTTATCAGTCCCGGAGTTCAAGGCTTGATATTGGATTGGTACCAGCAGGCTGAGCATCATGATTTCCTCTATGACTCTCCACGAGTTCCAAGGAGTGATTGAACCTGGATGACTTGATTCTACTGAGCTCTGACGATGGCAAAGGATCTTCACCATAGAAAGACTCTCAAACACAGGGCAATCGGAAACCCAAGTATGGACATAAAAGAAGAATCCAGGACCAAAGTTTCTATGCTCCTTGCCCTACTGTTACTTATGCTCTGTGGCTTACCATTCGTGCCATATCCTCTGCGGCACGAGGCAGATATATATGTATATACAGTATTGTGCATGTTCATAGTCTTATGCCATGAGGAAAATGTACATCGTCGATATGTCTAAGGGAAGCGGGGGAAATAGCCGCTCAGATATTATGCCAGATCTATGGTCTCTTCGTAACTTCATGCTCAGCAGCTGGGCTGGATGCCCAATCTGGGGGAGTCGGTATGCTATCCATCAAGTTGTTAGGTACCAATTGACTGGCGGTAAGGACTCCTCGTGAGCTGCTCCGCCATCCAACGTCGTTAGATTCGGGTACATTCAAAGCGTTTTGGGATGATTCAACAAAAACCGTAGGCGTATGTGGCGGTGGATGTTGGGTATTATGCACTTTCATGTGGTTTGCATGCGCCTGCGATGATGCGGGGACGGGCTTTATTGATATATTATCCATAGGTCTCGGGTTATTCGGAGTAGATATATGCTGTGACTGATCTAGGATTGATTTAAGGGATGGTTCGATGGATTCGATGGCTTCGGATTGGGTTTCAATATTAGTCTGGGATACTTCCACCATGTCTTCCGGGTTTACGGTCCCCATATACTTCTCGTAGGGATAGCTCTGGTAATGTCGAGCGTAAAGGACAGAAGCATCAGACTCTGTTGCAGTATTTCGAATATTTTCCACCGATTCGGAATGTAGGTCGCGGCTGGATGGCTGGGATGATGAACCACGTGGAGCGGACTCATCCTGTTCACCAATTCGTTCGGGAAAGGTATCAAAACGGATTTCAGCATCGGATTCGTCATCATCAGTGCCGTAAACAATTTGCTGACAGGTTCTTCTAGACCTAATGGAGCCGGTTGAGGCAGGTCGTGGCGTAGTCCTTCTTGGCTGAATACTGTCTAGAAATGATTTTGACGGCATATCAGGAGATCGAATAGAAGAAAGTGGGGAGGAAGAAGCATATAGATCTCCCGTAGCGCTTATCATCTGATTCGGGGAACGTGGAGTCGGTGATTCACGCACAGTCCCGATGGGCGGCGGAAGTGAAAAGTCCCCGTGGATGAAATCGTGACTCAGGGCTTTTCTCTTAGCCGATAGAGAATCACGGGTATGATTTTCACCAGTGCGGCTAGGAGTATTATTCGCCGATCTTGACTTTAATGGCGACTGGATAACTGCATTTGTTCGCTTCACGCTGCTAAAGACGACCTCTGGGCTCTCGGGGGACTGAGATGATGGAACAACGCGCCATCTCCGCTTCTGAGGTGTGACTAATGAACCCGAGAGGGTAGTTGAGCTCCTGTTTGACGCCTGAGAAGTGCGTTTGCTGGGGGACATGAAACCTCTAGGTATACGATTCGGCGGCTCATAAATGTTGCCGCCAGCACCAGAGACAGCTCCACCGAAATTAGTCTCGTCCGGGTCTCCCGATCCTTTGGCAAAAGCATTTTCCCTGGCACAGCTCAGTTTTCTCTTTTTATGGCTCCTACCATAGGCCTGCTCAACGTCTGACACTTCCAGATCATCAGATTCCTCTTTTATAGCTTGCAGTGAAAAAGCAGATCCCTCCTGTGTCCGCATCGGGGTGCAGACAGCTTTTTTAGCTGGTGATCGGGGTCTGATATCATCATCATCAATTTCATCCCGCAAAGTGCCATAACCCATCTGAGTCAGAGTGGTGTCCGCGGGTTCGATAAATCTGGTCCTCTTGTTGCCGGGTGGCTTCTTCTGCCCGCGAGAATGCTTCTTGAGATTAGGTGTAAAGTCAGCTTCTTCGTTCTCATCTTCTTCAATATATTCCAAATCCAAGTCCTCTGATGGCTCGAAATTGGACTGCCGATTCACAAAATCGATCTGGGTAAGGGTTTTCTGGCTTTTGGTGTTGCCGCCCAGCGCCAATCTATATTGCCGTTGATATCGAGTGTTTGAGAGCTTTTTGCCCTTTGGGCGTGACAGCACCGATGGGAGTCTGGCAGATGATTTTAACCTCTTCCTCGCCATAATCACGAAGATGTCCTGAACCAGAGTCGGGGTGTCCGCGGGTCAGGGCCCGGGCAGAATCGATACACCCGGGCTCATGGTAAGCTCAGGGTCTGCCAGGGAACGCGCGATGAGATAACCAACTCGTGCGTCGACGCGACGCGTGCCTTACGTAACAGAAACAATTACATAATTCACTAAACTAGTTTAGCGCAATCCTTCGTGTCTTGGCGAAACTCAAAAGCCAGGCGGTGGAGACCATGTACCCCTCTGTATAAAATCGCCGAACGATGACTCCCGCTGCGTCAAGGGCGGCCACCATTGCTTTCTCCCTTTCTCACGCAAAAGTGCGCACCAATTGACCTCCAAGCGGCCTCTCGCACCCTTAAGCCATGGCGTCCCAACCACAATCGTCCTCCAAACCCGCTGCTGGCAAGCTATGGGGCGGCAGATTCTCCGGAGCAACTGACCCATTGATGGTGGCATACAATGAGTCCATCTACTTCGACCGTGCCTTTTACGCTCAAGATATTGCTGGGTCAATTGCCTTTGCCCGTGCGAACGTCGCCACAGGCATCCTCAGCCAAGCTGAATTCGAAGCCATCGAGAAGGGTTTGAACCAGATTCGCGGCGAGTGGGAGAATAACACTTTTGTTATCCAGCCTGGTGTCGACGAAGATATTCACACTGCAAACGAGCGCAGACTCGGCGAGATCATTGGGAAGGATATTGCGGGGAAGCTACATACGGGCAGAAGCCGAAATGACCAGGTTGCAACAGACTTGAGACTGTGGTTGAGGGACGAGTTGAAAACAATCGAGACGTATTTGGTCGACTTGATCAGCACCATTACTGATCGGGCTGAGGCTGATATTGAGTACTTGATCCCTGGATACACCCACCTTCAGCGTGGACAGCCCGTGAGATGGAGTCATTGGCTGTTGAGCTATGGAACAGCTTTCTTGAACGACCTTGAACGCGTTCGCGAAGTCATCAAGCGCGTAAACAAGAGTCCGCTGGGCTGTGGTGCACTCTCGGGAAACGCATTTAAGATTGACCGAGAAGCTATGGCTAAAGAGCTTGGTTTCGAAGGGCTAGTCATGAATAGCATGGCTGCGGTTGGCGACCGGGACTTTATCCTCGAAGCTATGCAGTGTGGATCAACCGTCATGCTCCACATCTCCCGCTGGAGTGAGGACCTTATCCTCTACAGTTCCACTGAATTCGGTTTCGTCCGACTCTCCGACGCTTACACGACCGGCAGCTCCCTCATGCCACAAAAGAAAAACAGCGATTCCCTTGAACTGCTCCGCGGTAAATGCGGCAGGCTCTTCGGTGGCATGGCGGGATTGATGATGACCATCAAGGGCATTCCATCTACATACAATAAAGATTTGCAAGAAAGCGTTGAACCTATGATTGAGCATGTTAAGACGCTCAAAGACAGTCTGCAAATTGCCAACCGTGTCCTTTTGACCATGACGACGTTCCCTGATAAAATGATCGCAGCCCTCACCCCAGATATGCTAGCTACCGATTTAGCTGAATACCTTGTCCGGAAAGGCGTCCCATTTAGAGAAACACACCATATTGCTGGCCGTGTCGTCGCATTGGGCGAAAAGGAGAACAAGCCCATTGACCAACTCACCCTGGAGCAATTGAAATCTGTTGACCAGCGCATCGGTGATGACGTTCTAGACGTGTTCAACTATGAACGGTCAGTCGAGATGAAATCTGCTATTGGCGGTACTAGCAAATCTGCAGTTCTACAGCAGATCAAGGTTATGCGCCAGTCATTAGGTAACTAAGGGATCCTGGGTTTTAGATGTCCAGGAGTAGGGAAGGATTTTTTTTTAAAAAAAAGTAACCAGCGATTTCGATGCTATGCTTTATGTTTTATAGGATCAGCCATTTTCATATGCCGATCTCAAACATATAGAACCATTCTCGGGTTATCTCTCTAATTAATCAGTATGCGTACCACGGCTTATAGGAGGCCCTAACCAAAAAGATGCTAATTCGTATACCCAACCAATGCACCCAGCTCTAAATGAAAATATGTCCAGAAACGTAGCCAAACATCTAGGCTCATTTCCTGCTTTCGCAAGCCAATAATTTATATGCTGTTTTAATAGAATACAACCAATTAATCAGAGAGTAGCCATTCCGGGTCCGCATCTTCGTCTTCCGGATCATGCGATATCATGGAGTTTTGATCGTCAATCTCACTGTCGGAGTCATTATGAACTAAGTCCGGCAACCCGGACATTTCCTCCACGCTCCCAGCGCGGTCGTGAGTGGGGGTGTATTTAGAAGGGCAGAAATGGGAGCCGTTCGCAGGACTGGCCGGGTGGGGAGTAGGTTCACCCTGTTCTTGAGTCTGCTGCGCGGCCAATGGTGGTGCTGTGTCGCCATGTGGTGCAGATGCAAACGCGGCTTGACGTCTTTCATTCGAAGGGCTTTCTCTGGGAACCACAACAAGCGTATATCGTGACGAAGACGCTACACTTGTCGATTCGAGGGGCCTTTCCACCGACGAAACCTCTGGCACGACAAGTCCACCAGTGGGAGGCTCATTGAGCCAGTCATCATGTCCCACTCCACGGGCAGTTGGTGGCTCTCCATCTTCATCATCGCCTTCTGGAAGAAAGCCACCACCATTCGCCTCATAGTCGGATTCAGATAATTCTTGCGCCTCGTCTTCCTTTTCTTCTTCTCCTTCAAACGTATATCCTTGCACACGTTCGGCAATCCTTAGCTTAATCAGTAATTGTCTCCACATGGACAAAGCTGCCATTGTCCGGCGGTCTTGCTCAGCTTGCCCTCGTTCGTCTTCTAAGCCGCTAATCACAGCTAGGAGCGCCTCGCGGTGCTCTGCTGATGCAACAATCCCATGCGTCACCGCCGTACCATGCCTTGCTCTGAACTGGAACCCTATAACGGCATCCGCGTAATCAATTCCTAATATCTTCGCAGCCCGAGCACCGTCATAGTGCTTTAAATGAAAAGCTCCTTCGGGGACCATACTCGGCACGTAAACGTCAATGTTGCCGTACGCATTTTTAGGGACACGGTCATCCACCACGGGAGGAGGCTTGTATATTTCTGTTTGAAAAATGGCATACATGGGCGTGTCCGAAGAATTCTCAGGGCCAGAATTTTCCACATCGCCATCCGCATCGGCTTTTAATTTAATTTTTGGAATCGGAACCCTCTTCAGTGGCTGTTCACCAGTCCTAATACATCGTCCTTGGCGGTACCATCCCTCGGCACTTTTAACAACATGGACATCCGATCGTCGATATACGGCTTCTAGGGCTTGATTTCTGCTATTCGTAGATGACCTGCTCAGTCCAACCTTGCCAATTTCTCTTCGAGGGTAAATAACTTCATTCCGACGGAGATCTCTCTCCAGAGCGTAAATTGGGTGGTTTTTGAAATCTTGAACATTACGAGGCATGCCCTCAGCGGCTGCTTTCGCGGTAAGTTCCCCGATTTCTAACTGATCACGGTCTTCCGGAAAAGGCTTTTCATAAAAATCCATCACGGAATGCCACCACCTTTCGCCGCCCTTAGTATATTCCACTCGAGATTTCCTCGTTTTTGAATTGAATGACTTTGTGTAGCGCTTCGTAACGTCGCGAGCGGATCCATCTTCTTCAAAAGCAATAACGTAGCTCATGGTGTTATGTCGATCGCTAGCCGGCGGCTCAAACCGTGAAGGTTTTCCAATTGTGTTTGTCACCATGGGATCTACAGCTACCCATTTTTGCATTGCTTCATTAAAGGCTTCAACCCAGAAAATAGGATATGATGACTCGGGGATACCAGGTGAAGAGGTCTCTAGAGAAAGGTGTTAATTGGCGCACGTTGCGTATGATGTTTGTAGCCCATACCTGGTATAGACTTCGCCCTTGGGCTCTTCGATGGCCCAGGCGAGAATCGTGGTTGTCCTAATCTGCGCATTCTATGTGGTGGAGTCTCTTGGGCCTTGAGAGTACCTTTACTACTTCCTTCGCTCGAAGCTCTCATGTTATCATCCGATAACACAATGTACTCTTTCATACTTTTCACAGGCAGTCCACCTTTTGCTACTCCACTAAAAGGGAGCGGTTGGAGAGAACAGACAAGTCGGGCATTCACATTCACAGCACGAAGCATGGCGCAGAACAATTGCGCCCCGAGGTCACGAGATCCTTCCATGCTTATGGCTTGTTTTCGGAAAGCATCTTTCGAAGTCAAAACTTCTTCTGTATTGAAACTGGCCTGCTTCCAGTATTAGTACACAAACTTTAGCGTAGAGACAATCGGTGACAGACAATTGAGTCAAAGGATATGTCCAGATTGTCAAGCCAGAAAGGCCTCCTCATTCCCGGAGCAGTAACTTTAAATCTTCGACGGAAGATCTCACTGGCTTGTTTCAAACCATCTGCAAAGGTAGTTGAACGACTGAACTGCGGCATATCCGCTTTCGGATTAAGGCACCGGACAGTATTTTTGGATAGCATTCCCTTAAGTTTCCTCTAGCCGTGAATCATATTAGAAGGATGAAATAGCGCAGAAAGGTTTCAGAGTACCGAATACCTGCGCTTCATCATCATTGCACCATGAATTCCGCAGCTGAACATGGCTGAGAAGACACAGCAAATGAACTTTGTGGATATCTAGGCGCCATTTTTTTTCCGCTCCAGATACAGGTTTCCGGCGTGAGGAAGCCTTTTCTTTACCATCGTCTTCGGGTTTTGTAAGAGTGATCTGTAGTCCAGCATCATCCTCTCTGCTCTCGGAAGTTGGCAGAACCGGCTCCTGTACGGGGATGGTAGTGGGCAGCTCAACATCCTCCCACTCATCCACCTCTGACTCGTCAGATGCATCTATATCGTAAACAGTCTGCGGAATCTTGTTCACTGTTTTTTCGGCATCTTGTGGTGTTTCCTGTGGTTGGGATAACGAGTCGTGCGAGATCGCAGTACGTTCTCCCACTCTCCGTCGCTTCGTGGCCCTGGCATCATGTCTCCATGGCGTTGAGTGCGCCTCTGCGAGCATATCGCGATATACTTCTGCAATGGAGTCATCTTCCGGAGCTTCGGATTCTGCCGTTCTGCTCGGCTGCCTGACTCGACGCCCCCCACTTGGCGGAACTGTTCGCTTCCTCATCCTTATTTCCTCTCAACACTCCACAAAAATGTCAAATACAAGAGCAGCTCATACCATTACCAACAGCATCGTGCCTCATCCCAGAAGGGCCGATTTCTCTGGCTTTGCGATCGGCCAAACTCGTGGCCTGAAAAGGATTGCAGCCTAGAATTCGCTGCCGCAAATCGGACGATTCAGGGCATCTCCGCTCGGCTGGGGCATGGGACTTCCGAATCAGTATGCAGAGTTATTAGTCAGGTTCCCCTGTCCAACAAAGACCTTCTGGCTGCCTCTCCCTGCAAAGATCCTCCGGACATGATCGTGACCGTCGGCGTGTTGGGCAGTTGATTGGAGTTGCCAAGCGCCAACTTATTGCTTATCTAAGCAATGCGTCATTGCCATACGTCGGGCTATTGAATTTCCGGACGCCGGTCTACCTACCTAGTGAGAGCGGATGCGGCAAAATCCGTACGTGGGACAACACTATGATGAGAATCTACGAGTTCAACGTATGCGGCATTTCAACAGCATAGTAGTCCTGTGATGGGTATTTATATGCTAAGTACAAAGAGCTCTGGATCAAAATGTGGAGCGGGGGACAATGATTGATATGAATATGAACTGGCCGCAGAGAAACCACCTTTAAAGTGCACAAGGACATTGCTATGTGCATGGGAAAAGAAATTGGATTAAAATGATATAGCTGAATGGGGCCAAGATAGAGCCGGGCAAGATATAATACCCGAAGGGAATGAAGGGATATGACCAGAGGCAGACACGTCCAGAGACACGTCCAGCAAAACAAAAATATCCATACACATATGCTCCCATTGGAGCGGGAGAGGTATCTCAATCTACAAAAGACTGAAGGAAGGGGGTGGTAATCACGAATAAATGCCCAATATAGTGAGTGGTGTGAAGCGTCGAGACGACAATGGCTCAGGATTCAACCGCAGCTTCTTTCGCAACTCCTCTATCGCTAGTGATAGACATGCTAGGCGTAACGGGGGTGTGTGGAGAAGAAGCGTCCCGGCTAATTTTGGAAAGGATGTCCACCATTCTAACAGGAAAAAGGGTATTAGATCGCAGACACAGGGAGAAGAGAGGACGATCCGATGCATACCTCACATCCTCGTCTAGCAAACTTCCGCTTTCATCTTCAAGCTGCCGCAGCCGTTCCCGAAGGCTGGCCATCTATTGAAACGAGGATAATTGGTCAATAAATATTACGAAGAGGGCCAAATGTGAACACTGCATTGCCGAATGAACGAAAGAAGGGGGACAAGCGACAAATTAATGGAGAGATGAAAAAAGAAAGGGAGACAAGACGGGGCCAGCCCACCGTTCCTTGAATAGAAGAGCCAAGGTCCTCAACCCCCTTGGGGTCAGGGACGGCGACTTCTACCGTGGGCTTAGTGGCGGTTTCATTCTTACCCTCAGTGGTAGGTTGCTCATCATCCCGCACCGCCCATTTGCTATCAGCCAAACCACCCTTGGATTTTAGAGTGTCGCCGTTGGACATCGTGGTCGAATCGTCCTTGCCCTTGGTGGCTTCGGCGAGGTCAAACTCCAGTTCCCGAATACGTCGATTGGATTTCGCTGCCGCGGTTTCCGCCTCCTGCAGCTGTTCAACCAGAGAAATGTTCTTCTCACTTAAAGCATTTATATCTTTCTCGAGATCGGCAAATTTTGCTTCAGCGCTTTGTGTCTTCGCTTCGGCCTCAGAAGTATTGGCCTTCAACTTCTCAACTTCTGCGGCCGTGCTTTCCTGGGCTTTTTTAAGTTCAGCGAGGCTTTCGTTAGCGAAAGAAAGTTCAGCTTTGGTAGCCTCCAAATCTGGCCGCAAGCCCTCGAGTTCCGAAACGGAAGACTGTGTGGATTGCAATGTGGCTTCAACCTCAGCCTTATCCTGTTGTGCCTTCGCCAACTGAGAGGTGAGGTGAGATAGCTCTTCTCGCAGGCTATCAACCACCGAGGTATCGGCAGCAGCTTCCTGGGCCTTTGAGAGCTGCTGTTGAAGTTCGCCTAGAGTGGTAGAGTGAGAGGCCTCCGCCTCTGCCAACTTCTCCTTGGATCCGGCTTCAAGCTCGTTTCTCAAATTGTTTAGCTTTTCTTCATGGGCACCAAGAAGCTCCTCGATTGCTTCCGCGTGTGCGGCTTCCAATTCATTAATCTTTTGTATATGTGACGCTTCTAGCTCTTGATTTTGTTTGCATGTAGATTCTTCAAATTCCTTTTTCAAATCGTCCATGGCACTCTTGTGGTTCTCTTCGAGGGATGTCAGCTTGGCCACCTGCTGTTCGAGGGCGGTAGAATACTCGGCCTTTAAGCCTTCAATCTGCACTGCATGTGCCGTTTCGATGTCAATCTTTGCAGTGGACAGCTCATCAAACTTCTGCTGGAGGTCCTTCAGTGCACTTTCATGGGATTGTGATAGCTCAGCTTTTAAAGTTGCAACCGCGGCGTCATGGGCAGCTGATAGATCAGATAAAGCAGCGGCATGTCTCTCCTGAGTCGATGAAAGTTCTTGGGTCGTCTCCTCCAGGGACTTTGCCACTGCTTCGGCATCAGCAGTGAGATTTTTGACCAAGGCATCGTGTTGCTCATCCTTCCCTTTACGGTCAGCTTCAGAGGCCTCAAGTTCTTTTTGGAGCGCTTCAACCCGAGCCCCCTCTGCCTCCAATTCAGCGGTAAGGGATTCAATACGAGCATTGCTGCCGGCCATTTCAGCCTCCATTGACTTAATCTTGTCTTCCAAGGATTGTATCGCGTGTTCATTGGCTTCTTTTGCTGCGGCATTACTTTCCTCTCTTAGTTGCTTAGCTTCAGCCAACGACTTTTCCGCCTCGGATAATTTGGTTTGCAAGGACTGAAGCTCATCCTCATGCGATTTCTTCAAGTCGTCAGCTTCCGTCTCCATACGTGTCTTTGTTGCATTAAGTTCGGAGATGAGATTATTTAGCTCAGTGTGAGCGGTCTCATGCTTCTGAGTCAAGCTCGCAATTTCATGTTCCCGTTCCTCTTTTAAGGTTTTCGTCTCGTTGCTGGCGTCCGCGAGCTTTTGCTCGTGTTCAGCAGTTAGACTAGCCAGTGCACAATCGTGTTCGGCTTTCAACGCCGCAACAGCGCGCTCGTGGCTGGTGTTAAGCTCAATGATTTGCTGGTCTTGCTCGCTGGACTTGGATTCATGCAACTTCTGAATGCTATCTTGAAGGCCGTCGATAACTTCACCGAGGCGCTGAATTTCGCCGTCCTTGTCAGCAAGAGACTGGGTGTTTTCGGCTGTTTCGCGCGTAGCGTCCGATTCTGTTCGTGCCAATTTCTCCTCAAGCGATGTAATTTTTTCTTCGAACGATGCTACTATTTGAGCGGACGATTCTCGAGCTTCCGCTAGCTCCTGATCCTTCGAATCTTTAAGGAGCTGGATTTCATCCTTGAGAGACTTCATGACTGCATCCTGCCCTCTTAATTCATTCTCAAGCTGTATGAGATTGTTCTGGTGAGACTCAGCAAAAGATTGCTTTTCATCCTCGGCCAGTTTCTTAGCGGCGCTTAATTCTTCAGTTCGAGCAGCAATCTCTGATTTCAAGCTTTCTATTTGGGTCGATAGTTCGCTCGCTGAAGAGCGTTCAGCGGCAAGCTCGCCTTCCAGCTTTTCGACAGATGCAGCATGGGCTGCTTTTTGTTCCTCAAGCTCTCTAATGTTCGAGTCCCCAACCTCGGCGGCAGATTTCTTGGCTTCTTCTAGCTCTGTTACATGTTGGGTAATGAGTGCTTGATGCTTGATCTCGGCTTCTTCCAATTTTGTTTGCAAACTCTTCAGTTCTTGCGAGTGAGCTTCGGCCAAACAGGTCATCTGGGCCAGATGTTCTTCTTGAGCGACACTAGCACCCTCACTGACCGATTTCTCTAAATCTGCGGCCTTGGCGAGACTCTCATCGAGGAGCTTCTGGAGTTCTGAGATCTTGTTTTCACTGGCTTCGAGCTGTGACTGTAAATGCGAAATTCTATTGCCTTCACCCTCATCGGATTCTTTCAGCCTGCTAGGTTCCAGGCCTTCTCTGAGCTTGGAGACTTCGTTGTCAATATCACTTTGAATTTCGTCACGTTTGGTTTCATCTCCAGCCTCGTCAGCAGCAATAGCCGCCAGCAGCATTGCTCTAATAGCTTCATATTCCGCAATTCGCTTCTGTAGCTCCGGTGATTTCGAGGTAAGGCTCTTCGATGGGACTTCACTAGATGGCCTTTTCTTCACTGGAGACGCTGGAGCGGCCGCACGCCGTTTAATAGCGTCAGCGCCAGAAACCGAGGCCCTACCAGTGGTTGCTGGTCGTGCGGCCCGTGCACCTGTCAATGGAACCGTCGCTGTGGACCGAGAGGTTGGCTTGGCCGGGCTCTGTGTGGATGGAGCGGTGGCCCTGGCGGCAGCCCTTGATGACGAAGTGACTGTTGGTCTACGATCCGATGTTGTCGATTTCGTAGGAGCTCTAGCAGCTGGGGTTCCGGTCAGCGACATTCTTTTAACCGTGCTAGGTTTCTTGTTCTCGTCGCCGGAGCTCGTAAAACGGCTAGTCCTTTCGTCCGCGGAGCTTCCTATGGACATGCGAGATCGATGCGAGACGCCAGTGGTAGGTGCGCCGCTCGATGGAGGTCTTCGAGAGGTGTTAATGGTGGTGGGGCGAATTGGAGGTTTATTCAGGGTACTTCCCGGAGCCGTGCGTGTTGACGCCGCTGTCGGCTTGGAAGTCCTAGTAGCGCTAGGTGCCACTGGTCGTTTGGGTCCGCTTCCTGTCATGGGTCGCTTGGAAGGCGTTCCCCTCTGCTCTGGAGAACTTGGAGTCTTGTCTTTGGCTGATTCCGCCTCCGACTTTACCTCGTGGGCGTCATTCACATTTTCCGGGGCCGGAGCGGACGTATCCCCTACTGCAGGCTCTCTAATGGGAGCCAACTCCTCAGTCGACACCATTCTTGCGTTATCGTAAGGTATAATGGTAACGGCTTGCTTCGAAAGAGCGTTCGGTATGCTACTTCGGTCAAGGGCCTTTGTTAGAGATGTGACAGCCGGCGGGGAACTATGCTTCTGTCAGCACATAATTTATCAAACCGCCGCTAAGTAGCAATTGGTGAGGTGGCTTTTAGCAAGACTGCGAGCCACTCGTGCTTGAGGAAAGCCTGGCTGATAGTCGAGTTCAAAGGCTGGTCATGCCCACACTGTTATGGACCAAGAGGAGAGAGATGAGGCAAGGGAATTTTCACAGATCCCGCCAGTAAGCTCGGCCGAAGCCTCTATCCCTAAAGACATAAAGAAAAGGCACCAAACCTACCAAGTTGGCCTGCACAGAAGAGAGCACAATGCCCGGTACCTGCAATTATATCCGTGTTTCGGAAAGATAGACCCCCTCTGCCGATGCGTTGAAAGGTCAGGGCTCGAAAAGAAGGTAAGAGAGAACGGTCAGAGTGAGGCGCTCGAAAGGACAGCTTCTGAGTGGAGACAGGAGCAGTGCCAATTCGTTCGCCGTAACGAATTGAAACGCTTCACAGGTCCAAGATAAATCGCAGGTCCGCTGAACTCAAGGGTTGGAGGGGTCCTTGAAACCGATTGGCGTGTACCCAGGGGCGAGTGCTGCGGGTTTTGTCCTTGTATCAGATCCCTGCTCGACCTCGACGCACGGAGTATGCTGGCTTCATACTTACCTCTAGGGTAGAAAGATTATTAAATATTAAATAGAACTAAGTCTCCAAGGAGGAGATGTCAAATACTGAAGAGTAAACAAACAGGCCGATAGGGGGGAACCGAACAACAACCGTGGATTGTGGTTCAGCGACGAAAAGTCAACCGTGAACCAGCGAAGGGAGAGAAAGCTTGGGGGGTCGCGAGGTTCTGCCGGCTGCAGGCGTGGCTGCCGCTGGTGTGGCACGTGACCGGAGCGGCGTCAACGGCCGCTCAACGTCCGGCTGCGAATGGAAAAGGTGATGTCGGACAATCGTCACCTCGATGCCCCATTATGGTTTACCGTTCGCTCTCAATTGTTTCAAGACTACGCAGCATGGACAGCTGACCTCTCCTGCTCAACCATGCCCATTGCTGACCCGTCAACAGCCGACGTCATTCGGTTTATTCAGTGAGGGGAAACTACTGCAGCGGGAAGAGAAAAGGAAGCGTAACTAAATTCGCTCTGCAGCGGGAGGTTGGCTTCGTGGTTCCAACAGCGTGCGTGGATTGTCCTTGTGCATGAGGTGATCTCCGAACTGGGATTGGATTGGCTTTGGGCAGCCATTCCCAAGCGAACGATGCCTCGAAAGTAGGGCGACAATCAAGCTTAGTTAGTTGGGTGGCTTACGAGAGGGTGGCATGGAAAAGCTCTCGGAGACCATCTTTGGGGAATGCACAATTTCACACATGCAGCATTCTCGTTTGTCGGTCAGCGAATGTGCCATCAATGTAATCAGACATGACAGAGGGGGCGTCTACAGTGATCGCTGACGACATACGGAGTATTCCCCGCACGATCCTAACGACTCCATCTTGATGCAGCCAGTGCGTGGAGCAGGTCTATTTTCACCTGCACCTCTACGTAACTCTTGAGTACCCCCGGACGTCCGGAAAGACAACAGCGACAAATACCGTAAACATTGGTTAGTGGGCGCGTGGCGCGGTTAAATTTTCACGGTAGCGTGGCCACCAGAACCCGCCGAAAGCGCTTATATTATGCACATAACCAGCAACTTATTGTATTCCTCCTCCGGTATACCCATACAGGATCTCATGCTCTCCTTCCAGATCACTTTTTACCTTGTTGTGTTTGAAAGACATATAATAGAAACCTAAACAGGATCCTCACGGTCTTCAGGCGATCGGGAAATTGGACAGAGGGTGGATAATCACTCGGGTTTGTGTGGTCGCACACCTCAGAGAACAATCTCAGTATCTGAACCAATTGGTCGATACCTTTGTCGGAAAGACGGCCCTCCAGAAAATGCGCCATCAAACAATTTTGAAGCAAGCCAATTGCTGCTGGAATGATGTATCCATGGATCTCGTGGACCGTCGACAGAAGGCTCTGTTCGTCCTCGAGGTTGGCAGGTTTCCTAATTTGTAACTTCATGATTCTCGCAGATATGGTTTGAAGGATTTCATTCTCTTTAGCCGTCATTTGCGAGTCATCGTCACGATCTTGCCGTACTCCCATACTCTCAGTATAGATTTCCCTCGCATCCCATATGTTCCCAAGTAGTCGGATCGAGCGGCGACTGTAAACGCCGATTCTCTTGGAATTCGCTTCCTTTATCAACTCTCTAGCTTCAGAGATGAGGGCAGACCAGTTCTTCTCTTGCTCGAACACATGGCTAGCCTCTACGAAATATTCATCGTCTCCCAGTCCGTAGTTGCTTTCAACGTCGCTAAAACTTCTGGCGCCGTCATCTAGGTTTCTCCCTAGCTCATCAACTTGTTGGATATCTTCCATTTCATCGGGGATTTCAATTGACTCAGCCTCCACCCTAGGGCTCACGCCCTGCTGGAAGTTGATTTGAAGATCGGATCGACCCTCGTTGTGCTCTTGATCTTGAGTGGAAACTTCATTTTCACTATCTCCATCTTCGTCCGATGGTTGATACGATGTATCCGGATCGCTGTAAGTGCCCCGCCGCGCCGCACTTCCGCCATCACCGTTTGTGGCTGCTCTTCTTGATTTCCTTCGGGGGATGGATTGCATAATGATGTCCTCTTCTTCTTGTTTTTCCGCTACCGAAACATCCTCAATTCCACCACCAACACGCTCGTCATCACTGCTAGCGTCACTCAAAACAAACGCTTCTCTTGGGAGCTTAGTAGGCGAGGTATCCGTTCTTCGCTTCCGCGGGGAGGATCGCAAGTAGTGGCCGCCATTACTGGTCGCAGAACGGGGATTCGTCGCGGTCGCACGCCGGCGAAGACGTCGTCTTCCACCCAGAGGGGGCGATAGCATGTCAACAGATCGCGTCGTTGAAGCCGAACTATCTTCAGGAGGTATGGAGTAAATGTCCCGTGGCTTGTTTCTCCTCGGTTGGCCGCGTCGTAAAGCTACGGTCGGGAAGCTGTGCGGTTCTCGATAGCGGGTGGTATTGTTAACACTGTTGAGGAGGTCAATGGATAACTGTGCACAAGGCTCTGCGCTGTCGGTGCTTTGACATCGTGGAGTAGCCATTCTGTTGCGCGACCCGTCAGAGTCGTCGGAATTCGCCTAGGTAAGGTCTTTGTTCCAAGGGCATGATTCATCCGAGGTTTGCGCCAGGAAGTGAAAACTCTGCTGAAAGAAACGGCGTAGAAGCGATTGTCCATCAATACTTATTTTCTATTTGTTTGTCATTACTCGACCTGCGGCGCTCCGGGCTGGGGACGAAAGTAGCCCAGGCGTTGTCTCAGTATTCCCTTACGACGCGGTCAGCTTCTAGGTCGTTAACTAGTTATTCGGGAGCGGGTCGCGTGATGCCAACCCATGGAAAGCTCCGCCCCGCCACGTTTGGGGAGCATCAAAACAGCTCCTGGGAACCAGCGCTGGTAACTCGTAACTCACTGCCATCCCAACGCTCAAAACATCGGTCACCCCATACTCGACACCAACATACCTCCAGCAATCCCTTGGGAGCATGATGGAAGACACATTTGGCGCTTCCTTCCTCCAGCCCCTGGACCCCGCAGCCCGCCATTCCTTCAAAACGCCCTCCAAACAGATCAACGACCACCAAGATGTTACGACATTCCTTAGCTCCCTTGCATACAAAGACATCATAACATTCGTCCTCCAGCTCAATCGAGCAATGGTGCCGTCTAAAGTTTTAGAGAATGGTATGCAAAAGATCCAAATGTGGCAGCTTGCGTCGGACGCTATCGAGTTCTCTGAGCCAGTCAGACGATTGCAACTTTTACTAACGAGGCTGGAGTCCATAATCGACGAAGTACCTCCGGACACGGGGCCACGGAGATTTGGGAATGTCAGCTTCCGGAAATGGTACCAGGAAATGGAAGCAAGAGCAGAAACTATAATGGACGAATGCCTACCCTCCGAAGTACTAGAGTCTGGAGGTGAAGATCCGGAAGCAGTCACAGCTAAAATGGAGTTGATGGCATATTTTACTGGAAGTTTTGGAAGTTCTCAGCGACTCGATTATGGGACAGGACATGAATTGAGCTTTGTGGCCTTTCTTGGCTGTCTTTGGAAACTGAACGCGTTCGCCAAAAGTGAACCCGGAGTGGAAGAAAGGGGCATTGTTGTTGGTGTTATTGAGCCGTAGGTGCAATTGATCCTTGACGATACATGCTACCACTGATTTTCCCCGCCCGGCCAGGTATCTCAAACTCGTCCGTCGCCTTATCACCACTTACACACTCGAACCTGCCGGGTCCCATGGGGTCTGGGGACTGGATGACCATTCATTCATCCCATACATACTTGGCTCGGCTCAATTAGCTCCAGCAATCGCACCATCCGACAGAACACCGATCGAAGGGTCTATAGATGGTGCCCCCAAAACTAGTGATGTCACCAAGCCCAGCATCGTCGAGCGAGAAAGAAGGACCAACTTGTATTTCTCGGCCATTGGGTTCATTTACGATGTGAAGAAGGGGCCATTTTGGGAACACAGCCCTATGCTGTACGATATCTCCGGAATTAAAGATGGCTGGGGCAAAATCAACAAGGTAATCCAACAGCACTTATTTGTTCTACCCAGTTGCACGTAGCTGACTCGCATCAAGGGGATGATCAAGATGTACAACGCAGAGGTTTTGTCCAAATTCCCTGTTGTTCAGCACTTTCCTTTTGGATCTCTATTTCGGTGGGAACGAGATCCGAACGCTGCTGCTCCTCTTCCTTCCCCCCATCTCTCTAGTCGTCCTCAGCCATCACAGACGATGGCCCCGCCTTTGGGTGGCTCAAGACCTGTCGCGGATGCAAGTACCCGAGCCCCTTGGGCGACAACATCATCTAGTTTTCCTCAAGGGACAGCCCAGTCGAGTCTCGGACCTACAGGGCCCGGTTATGGGGGTCTACGCAATCAAGCCATGCCACAAGATGGCTCAACACACCTTCCCCCACCGACTCAGGCTCCTTGGGCCATGAAAGCGCAGAGGAGCCGCGAAAAAGACCCTGATATAACTACCACCAAGGCGCCTTGGGCCAAGAAGTGAAGACAACTTGAAGTGAGAAAGAAAAGTTATCTGATTATTTGACATGACATTCTTGGATATATGATGATGACGTGATGATGATTCAATGAATGTGTTGTGCGAGCCTTTGATCACATATATAATGAATAATGATAGGTGGCCAAACTGCCTGCCTCTGAATATCATGAATGACACACCTGCACTGCACAGCAGCGGTTCCAAATCCAAATACACATCGCAACATTTAGAAAGTGTCGTCGAGATTATTTCCACGCAATAATACAAAAACCAGAATCCGTATATGGAATGGGTATCTCATGCGAGCCTTAAAAAGGTCTTGCCCGAAAACCAAACTCCTCCCATGCTAAATCTTATATCAAAAATGCCATTATTCCGTATCAGAACCATAATTAACCAACGCCAACCCATTCCCTCTTGGTTCATTTGGAGAAGATTCCGGAAGTGTTGTCTCGTCACCTCCATTGCTCTTCACTATCTCACTCTGGATATCGTCGGTGGCGTCATGGGTTGCGACAATCTCAGTCTCAAGGCCATTCTGGCTGCTTTTCGTCCCATTCTGTTCTTTCCTCCGCTTTCGACTTCCAGGCCGCCAGCTTTCGTCCACTTCGTCAAGAAAAGGATCCATCACTGCTTTCGTATTACCCCTTAACTCCCGCTGTAATAATGCTTTTCGCTTCGCGATCATCTTCGAAGTTTGTTTTTGAGCCGAGACCTTTTTCTTCTGCTCATGGGAACTGCTTATGGAAGATGTTTCGGAAAACGATCGTTGAAGTTCCGACTCAAATAGCGGCCTTGTCCGTGCCCGCGCTGAAAGCGCGTTGATGGCACCGGAAGGAGGCGAGCCAAAATCAACCATGGCCGCGCGGATACTATCTGCCTCAGTCTCCTCCACCAACTCAATTCCCAAACCCATCTTATCCTTGATCGCTTCGGCCTTTTCCTGCGCTGCTTCTCTTGCTTTCCTCTCAGCCCGAAATACTCGCCTAAGGTTCCTCGATTTCTCATAGGGATCCTCCCAGTCTCTGGCTTGCCTCTTTAATAATTCTTCCATTCGAGTCTGCGCAGTCATATATTTCGACTTGTCCACCACTTTCCCCTCCAGCCTAGCAAACGGATCTTCAGCATCCTTCTCTTCCCCAGGAAGTGTCACTCTTATCTCCGCAACACCATCTTCTTCGTATTCGCCCTTCCCAAGTTCGCTAGTAACCTTTCTCCGGGCACCCTCCGTAACAACATACTCGGTATTCTTGGGATCTGTCCTAATCTCGATCCACCCGCCACAGGGAGCGTGTTTCATTCGAAAACTATATATGGGCGTGGAATAGTAATTCCCGACTTTCTTTTTCTCAGCATTGAACCTCATCCCTTGCCCAATTAGCACGGAGTCCTTCGGTTGGCAAGTGGAGCACCATATGGGAAATGGCATTTCGAACCGCACGATTAAAGCGCCAGTGGTGTGCAGATGGCGAGCGCGAGACCCAAGAGGGTGTTTTCCGGCCAGCTTATTCCCCGAAAGGACGCCTTCTTGGTCGGGAGGGACATATCTGAGTGGTAGTTAATACCGCAAGTCTTCGTGAAACATAGACATCTGAAATTTGAGGCTAACCGTCCCATATCTGTGAGCAGACGTCAGGTTAGTATCATCGCGAAGGTTTTTTTTCGGGCTGGGTGGATTTTTGAACTTACTAAAGCCTTGCATTTTGGAGAAGAAGAGGCCGTCAGAGAGCGTAGCTGAATCTCACAGTAAACCCCTCGCGATTTGTCTTGCGTTCAACTTCGTAGATTGCTATGGGCTTAAGCAGGCGGAGGCGTCACCCTCATTGCTATCGTCGAAGCTTCGACTTGAGATTATGTCATTCGATGCACCAGCGGTGTGTTAGGTAATCCCACTAGCACCTCGCTCACGTGACCCACATAGATTAGACGAAACCCCCTTTAGGTAGCCTAGCGAATGACAAGCATACGAGTCCTCCATCGTCTAAGGGGACATCGCTTGTATTGAAATACGGTCAGGTGATAGTTTTGTATATACGGAGGTGCGTCTGCGTCCCAGAAGTCTTTGCCGCGCTAGTAATTAGGCTTGTACCAGAAATACATTGAGCCCCACCAAATTAGTATGGATCAGTCTGTACCTTTGATCATGGATTCATTCCTCCTCTTTTACATCCTCCCAAGTATTCATATCTCCAAAATGTAAAGCTGCTAGGGTCTCCGCAGCTTCTAATGTACTAGCTAAGCAATCCCTTCCTAGATCCTGCCGTTTTGAGATCTTTCCCTTTAAACGCTGACCTTTATACTCTCTAGGACCCTTATAACCACACTCTCTATACTCATTCCCTCCCTCAAGCTGTATAATCTCTTGAATGTGATGTGGAGTTCACTCAATCCACTGTTGAATCTTCTCTTGCAAAAGCTCATTCCAGGCTTGCAGCCAAACTTCCGTTGCAGTCTTGGTTTCGCGTGGAGCTCCACAAGAAGTTGTACGCCTTTTCATCCACATCCAAGCAGGCTCAATTGCATTTAAATCTGGTGAATTTCCTGGCCAAAGCAGCTGCTTTATTCCATGTAAACTATATAACTTTCGAAAGTTGAAGCCTTCTTCCATCTCCGCCGGATACAGGTTCGATCATAAGCCTCCAAAGTTGTTCTCCATACGCGAAGAGCTCCCCGTCGATGCCCCAAGACCACTGAAGTCTCATCTGTCCAGATAACATTCTTCCAGTCATCTAGAGTCCAATTCTTATAAGCAATAGCAAATGTCAGCCTTTTCTCTCTTATAGACTCAGTTAGACCAGGTTTCCAATTAGGTTTGACATTAATAAAGACTTGAGTGGGATATACCAGATTCAAAGGCAAGAATCTCAGTGGATTTCTCTCGGCCAGCTCTATCCTTGCGAATCGAATCCAATGTCTCAGATTCTTTGCTGAAATCTATCTCTTTAGGGCGTCCTGATCGCTTTGCATCTTCAACAAATGAAATATCAATTCGCTGGTTCTCTTGAGGCTTATAGCCGCGATCTTTGGCTCGTTTTTCAATCGCACGGAGGGTTCTAGCAGGAATTCCTAGAGCAGTAGAGACTTCATTAACTGGTATGCCCCAAGAGACTAAAGCTAGAGCTTGGATGCGAATAGCAATTGGATGAAACCGATTATTTTCAGGCATTGGAAATTATAATTGAGATGAGATTCAAGCTGGCGATTGTTTTGAAATCAGAAGGTACACGTAGGTCCGTAGTAATTTGGTTGGGGTATTGTACTTTTGATACAGCTATAATTACTAGTAGCTTGTAAAAGACCAGAACGTGACTAATCAGATCATGGTGCCGCTCGCCCCCATCAACGTCGGTCTTGAATGGCAGTTTCTAACGGTCCAATCTACGAGCTCCGACAGAATATCTCAAGATTAGCAAACGTCCTCCAAGAGCCGCAAGTTATGGAAGAGCTAACTATAGTACATCGACAAACTGATGTATTATTCTGCTCAACCAAAAGAGAGGATGTGACGAGAGCCAACGCATTCCACTTTGCCGCCGGGGTACACTTGGATCCCCCTGTCTGAGGGCTGCTACATCGCTGCGCTTAAGCAATGTTGCAATATAGATTAAACCTCCACCTTAAATGGTAAGGAGAAGTAGTGATTGCGATAGCGCATATGGACAGCAGGGACGAAAGGCGCCACGTATCCAGGTCACTCGTCACTCTAGAGACGGAGCAGATGGCAACGCTTCTCCATCATGACAGTCGAACGGTATATCCATGGTAGCCAGATCGAAGCTTGGGAATGAATCAGTTCTTGGGGCGGATATTCTTCCCTCTTCCTACGGTTGGGGTTGCCAGTGGAATTGCTTGCATCAGCACCGAAAGCACAGGTATCGAGGGATAAATTGAATAACAATAACCTACATCGGGTTTATGCAAGGAGCGATCATGAAGACATGGAGCAATCTATCACTAGATCAAGGTATGTGGATTGCACCCGAAACTTGTCTAACGTGGAGTTTCCGCTCTAAGAAACGGAGAGAGCAGATGCATAAGTATCAGACACACGTATGATTAGGTGGCAGCCGAGAGATGGCTACGAAGCAAGCATGCCATTCTTTCAGTCAGCGGAGAAAGGAGTCAAAAGTCGGATACAAAGTGGGAAAATACGGCCTCGCCGGACGGAAAGGGGAACAACATGTTGGGTTCAGGTTCTGGCAGAGAGAATTCACCTTCGCAGAGAAGCAATGGAAGCGCCAGAAAGAAGCCGTTCAAGCTTTCCTCGACGAAATGGGCGATAAGAAGGTCCGCGATCCGCTCCAGCCCCCTGTTCCTGTCGATTAAGCGCGCCGCATCACCCCCGAGCTCATTCAAGCATCTCGGCATCAACGATTTGCTAGTTAGTTCACTTTGTGGGATAATCTGACGTCATTTTTCGGGTGCTCAAGTAATAATTACATATCGTTTATGCCACTCCATTAAAGCGATTAACCAAACTATTTAATATGAATATTTACTTCCTTGGAGTGGTGGAATCATGCACTGTAACTACCCTGTAGATCTATTGAATTTTAGAAACAACAATTTCATAGAGAAAAATATTGAGGGTACATAACTACTTTGCGGCCCTAGTTGATAGCCGCACGGCCCTGGAAGTTGAAGCTGGATTTGAACTACCTCTTCTTCAGGTTCAAAATATCTATTAAAACATGAAGAGTGAACTCTGTGTGAGTGGATTGAGGAGTTATATGTAATGTAAGCAGTTCAGCCCAAGCAGAGATAAAGTATGAATTCTCAGCCTATCATTTAACTTGGTATGCGGTCAATGATTGCACTATGTAGCAGTGTGTCTAGATTATAGTACTTCGAACCTACAGCCGCATGGAGATTTGTTTCCTTTCTTCAACTAATTCAAAACATGGCAACTCTTTCCCTTCCCCGTCTCGCATACAGCTTTTAGGTCTCCAACACTTGCCCCAATCCAAAGCTTTATCCCCTTTCCAGTTGCAGGGACCTTCCAATCCTGAACCATCGTATCCCAGATACTCACATCCTTTCTTGTAATCTCCATCTTCAGGACTTCACTCTGTCCAGGTTCCAACGTAGCTGTCTTTTCGAACTGTCTGAGCTGTAATTTCGGGGTAGGATGTTCGTCACCAGTGGGAAGTTCCACGTATAATTGAGCAACGGCACGACCAGGTTTCTTTCCAGTATTAGTAGCTTTAATGGAAACCGAGAAGGCGACATCCCATAGCGCCGGGTTACCGCCTTCGGACCCACCAGCGCGAGGATCAGGTTGAGGTTTGGTTGTATAGCCTTCGGGATATGGGTATCCTGGCTTTGGCTTGATAGCCGACGGGTTGTCGAGATACGGGTAGAGATAGCGCCAGATCCTGTCAAAGTTTTTAGGCCAGGCCACTTCTGAAGCAGGTGGGATATCGTTGGAGTATGTCGGTGTCCTGCCTTTCGGTTTGCGGGCGGGAGGATACTCGCTAAGTGTAGTAACGCTCTCCAGACGCGGCTCTGTGAAATTAAATGTTGTGTACGAAAGACCATAACCAAAATGATATCGAGGAGTAATGTTTTCTTTTTGGAAATGCCGATAGTCGATGAACAGCCCTTCTGTGAAAGTGTCCTGGATTTGGCCGAAAGGTTGGTTGATAAGAGACACGCTATTCGGATAATCCGATTCTGCTTTCGGTATCGTATATGGGAGGCGGCCACTCGGACTGAAGTCTCCAAACAAGATATCAGCAACAGAATTTCCAGCTTCTTGTCCTGGAAGATGGGCAAACAGGACACTCTTGACCGAAGGAAGGTCAATCCACTTCTCCATGATAATTGGGCCGACGGTATGAACGACGACAACCACGTTTGAGAATTTCTTCGCTGCAGATTCGATAAGTTCGTCTCCGTTATGCCAGAGTTTCATCTGTGCTACTGTTCGGTCTCCTGGGTTACTTTCAACAATGATATAATTTTCGCCTGAGTCTGCGTTCACAAAGACAATGGCAACATCATCCGGTCCGGGTTGGACATTGTTAGGAAATTTGTCCGTAATGTGGAACTCTGCGTTCTTGGAGATGTTTCTGATTGCATCCTCAGGCGTGACAAGGTAAGGCAAGTTAGAAGTTCCACTCCCCCATCCCATCGTTAATACGCCTTTGTTGCAACCTTTATCGGGACAGGCATTAATACCCCTGGGGTTGGTGCCGGCATCTGTTCCGAATACTTTTATGGCGCGATTCGGGTCGAGCGGCAGCAGATTGTCCTCATTCTTCAACAAAGTAATGGACTCCCGAGCAATGACTCGAGCCAATTTGTGGTGGTCAGCCTGAACGTTAACGAACTGGTTCACAACTCCGAGGGGAGAAAATAGTGCTCCAGGGTAGAGCAGCCCTTTAGCATTTTGCGTGTAGGAGGAGAAGTTTGGCAGAGGAAAATCTTTGTCTTGCCCAAATTTGAACCAGGTTGCAACTATCCTTGTCACCTAGAAAGCAAGTTCAGCACATCTGTGAGTATAAATAACCGAAAATATGAGACCTTACCATATCATTAAGACGATCCAGAGGTACTGTCCCATTCAGAATAGAACGCGAAAGTTCCGATGCCCAAAAGCTAGTGCCTGATAAGGGTACAGAACCATCTCCAGGCATGCTCATGTCCAAACCGGCCAGGGCGGAAGAGACACCTCCAATCTGAGCATACCAGTCGGTCATAACAAAACCCTGGAAGCCGAGTTCATCCTTTAAGATGCCGTTGATAAGCTTGCTATTTTGACAGCTAGCCGATCCGTTTACCTAGCTTTGGTTAGAGGAATTGGTGGAAATGTTCAAGTTTCGGGATGCGAGGAAGGAGACTTACATCGTTGTAAGCCATCATGACAGCTCCCACTCCCGCTCTAACAGATTCAGCAAAAGGCCACAGGTAAAGTTCGTGCATCGTTCGGTCATCTATGTTCGCAGAGTACGCTCGTTGTACAATGTTAGTCATTCTATACATCTCTTGCTCGTTTCCTACTAGATGCTTGATCGTGGCGATGACACCCTTGCTCTGGACACCTTTGATCGTCTCGGCGGCAGCGATAGCTTGGAGTGAGGGATCCGACCCAAACCCTTCCCAGTTTCGTCCACCACGGGGTTTACGGCCAAGCGGTCCAACGCTGGGTCCTAGATGAACATTTGCGCCCTTTCCACGAAATTCCTCCCCCATAGCACAGCCTCGCTCATACATAAGCTTCTTGTCAAATGTAGCTCCCACCGAAATGCCTGCCGGGAAAGCAGTGTTGTGATCTGTATTTCGAAGTCCCAGCGGGCCGTCCTGCAGACAGAGTCTTGGAATTCCAAACCTAAGGGCGCTTCCAGTCTGGCCCACGCAGGGGCCCATGAAGAATCCCGTTCCAGTGGTGAGATTCACCTTTTCGGCCAAGGTCATCTTGGAAACGACGGTATGGGCTTTGGAATAAGCCTCTTCCCATTCCGGCACCCAGCCCCCCTTGGGAGCGGGATAGTACGGAGGAGAATGGAAACCATCCGGAAGCTGGGCTCGGTCGTCGAGAGCCCCTACGCCTGGCGGCGCTGCGACTGATTTGCGGGTTTGGAAGGCGAACCAATAAAGGAGTGTTGCGATCCAAATTGTGGGCGACATGATTTTAATGCAACGCAGATATTAAACATTAATAAGGGGTATAAAGGTTGAGATTCAGGTTATCTCAACGTACGCTGGAGTGCCTGGAGCTGTGTTACTCCATGACAATGGTAGAATGAGAAAGACGTTCTTTTTCGGGGAACGGGTGCAACGAGGGCATGCATACATATGTATGCGCATCTCCGGAACCTGGGGGCATTAGGGAACGGGCCGAAAAGGCGCTGATGGAATCACATGTGATTATACACATGTTGTCGATCTTTGGTTAAACCATTAGGGGGATTTTGATCAAGGGATATGTATTACAGTTGCTTTCAACAGGGTATGGGGTAGATAGGGTGTAGGGAGAAAAGGTGTGGCACGCAGTCGATTCTACCCCATGACCACGTCCTTAAAATCCATACATGGACGTTGAAAATTGGCCATATCCATCAGTATTCATAGCCCTTAAACGGAATGGTACGACGCCTGTCATAGGGGGTCCTCTCCTACGTCCACGGCCTGACCTGACCTACAGTTCTCTGTTATGCCGGGGGACGATGATCTGTGGGGATGCTTTAATAGTCACGGGGCGATGTAACTCCGCACTGGGTCCTTGCTGTGAGCCATAAGTTCGTCAGGACATGGTCAAAAAGAAGTGGATGTGGCAGCCAGACACACTAGGGATCTTGTGTGAATGGGCCATTTTGTGCCGCGCCAAGTTCGGTCGTCGAATGACCGACCCCTTGTGTGTTGTTCCCAGACCATCAAGTCAATCCCGCTCATTGGAAAAGCGCCGTTTCCAACCTTACCTAATTACACGGATCAATGAAATTCCCCTTCCCGAGAGCCGGTGGACAAGTAATATTACGTATTATCGGCACGTATTAACTATCGGCACGTATTATCGGCACGTAGTTACAGTACGGAGTATAAATACACAATTTCATCGCCCATCGCAGCCGTACGTTCAAAGCATCAAAGCTGCCGAATTCTCCAGTGCGACGTTATTCCATCTCTTATCACTAACGGCTCAAATCCTCACAACAATGCGACGCCAGCAGCGGCAACGACGCCGGCCACCATCCTACTTCCGAGAGCTAAACCCGAAGCTGCATTTGTTGTCTGGGTAGCTGGCGCGTCGGTTGCGGTCGCGGACCTAGTTTCCAACACGCTGGTTGCGCTCGCGGCGCTTGTCACACCTGGAGAATTAGTCGCTTGGCCGGGGCCTACCGTCGACATTCCGGTCTGCGCAGGCTGGGGTGAGGCAAGGGCGGCTTCCGTTGTGCTGGCCAAATTCGCGGTGCTCGTTTCGCTAGGAGTGTCCGTGGAAAAAGTCAGGAAGCTCGGGGAATACGTCTCCGTGCCCGTGTAGGCCGCACAGCCAGGAACAGTGTACTTGACCGGGGCGCGCCCACCGCCGCAATCGAGGATTTCGCACACCTCGCCGGTATCGGGCAGATACCATACTGTGACTGCTTGGCTGAACGAATTCAACGTGGTTGTGGTTGTGCAGCCTTCTAGGTTTTGCTTCGCATGCACCGAGAAGGAGCTTGCGGCTAGAGTAAGGAATCCGATAACGAGTCTGCGGGTCATTGCGCTGGGAACTGTGGGTTCCGTCTCAATTCGTAGGGAGGGATTTGAAACGAAGGGGACTTGGTAATAATAGTTGTAATGGGGAACGAGTGACAACAGTTGGCTACGATAACGAAGGACAATGGTGGGAATGAGATGGAACCAGAATCATCGCTATGGGGAGCTGGGGCAGCCAGTCTTTATATAACCGCATACTAACCCTCTTCCAAATTGTGGAGCTATTAATCAGTGCGTCAGTGATTGGTGGTATTTGCAATCCACTATGGCGAGAGGTTTCATGGTAATCTCGATTCCTCTTCGGGAGATTCGCCCCTGGCATAAGGTGGCCAACTGTTGGCCAATGTTTGGCGTTAGGGTTAGCAGTTTTGGCTCATGCTCCTTGGGCTCTGCTCGCAATATTTGTCTAGATTTCGGGCTGAACCACACATGGTTACGCTCCTCAGCTGCATTAAGCCTAACGCAGTTAGTTGGGCGCAATGGTTCGAGAACGAAGTTTATTAGAGAAAAGCTAGGCACCCGGAACTCTATCGTTCGGTTGGGCGGCAGCCCCTGATAATTACCCGGTCGTCGACGGCCTAGACGTTCGCTGGCAGCAAATGGGCGTGTTATCAGAGTCCTGGAAGATTGAAAACCTGGGTTCCCGAACCAGGCTGGGTTTCCCAACGTATAGACACCAATTCATCGGCAAATTCCTGCTCAACCTGCTATCTAATCCGCTATAAGCTGTGAACTCTGAATTTGGATTTCTCCTGTCGTTTGGCAATACGCGCCACTGGTTTTAATATCCATTCCAACATGATCATCCGGTTTTGCAAAGGAAGCGGGAACTCGTAGCTTGAAGGGGAGATTTTTGGCACTGGGATAGAGTATCCTATCGCTTGCCCATTGCACAGCATATATACGACGTAGCCTTTTTTTGAGCCCTGTGAAAATTCTCGGCTCTTGGATAACTAGTTATCTCGGGAACCGCTTTTTCTCGTCCAATACGTGCTGGAGTAACAGCATTGGATAGGAAACGGAATATGCCTTCATTAACAGCCTATAAATATGAAATTTACCCTCATTCCATGAACGCTCTATATCTAGTGTTCATAAAGTCTATATTCAGGGATCGTTTAGCCCACGTAGCGTTGATCCGCCAAATTGATGGCTGGGGAAACCGGCATTGCTGGATAAATCGCAAGCCCAAAACTCGTCGTTACTGGAAACTATTCCATAGGAAATCCCTTTCAATTTTTGAAGTATCCAGGGAAGAGCCAGGATAATTTTGTTACCGCTTCGGCGTCCATCTGACTCGGCACGGTGCTCAAGCCCATTTTGACTGTTCCTTCGAGGTGCTTTCCCCAAGCAAGATCATGGTGCTGATCTTTCGTCAGCTCGTCGAGAACAGCGCCGATGAACCGTCGAGCGTTGACGGCATTTGAATTCATGTTACCCATTACCATCTCCACCGTCACGTCTTCTTCGCAGGAATGCCAGCAATCATAGTCCGTTGACATGCAAATCATCTGGTAGGCGATCTCGGCTTCGCGAGCAAGCTTGGCTTCAGGGAGGCAGGACATGTTGATCACACTGCCACCCCAGGCGCGGTACAGATTGCTCTCTGCACGGGTGCTGAATTGTGGTCCCTCTATGGAAAAGACTGGTGTTAGTTTGTGGGGAGGGATTTGGGAGAATAGGCCACCAAGATCCATAAATAAAAGCACATACCCATGCAAATCAAAGTTCCACGATCGTGGAGCACCACACCTTCGCCCTCCAAACTATGCCCACAGGCCCTCACGATCTTCGCGAGGCCCTCGTCGAATGGGTCGGCGAAGGCTACATGCGACACGGCTCCTCCTTCGAAGAAGGTCCACGGCCTGACTCCCTTTGTTCGATCAATTACTTGATCAGGAATGACAAAATCCCTGGGTTTTATCGCCTCTTGCAGACTGCCCACGGCAGAAAAGGCAATGATACTTCTAACGCCAATGGACCTGAGGGCGGCAATATTCGCCCGGCTGGGTACTTCATGTGGTGCAAATTGATGATGGAGGCCGTGTCGACTGAGAAATGCGATTGGTATAGTTTTACCCGTTGTAGAACAGGTGTGATGGAGGACAGTGATAGGAGATGAAGGTGAGCCCCATGGCGTTGTTATGGTGAGGCTGGCTACCTGGGTGAACCCTGGGAGCTCGCGCAAGCCGGTCCCGCCGATGACACCGATGTGGACGGGGTCTGGACGAGAACATAAATATGTCAGTGGAAATTTCTCGCGCTCATCGCAGCGGGGGAAGTGAAGGAAAATAGCGGGGCGCGCGGAATATCGGTGTTTGCGGCTTTTCAAGAGGCGGAAAGAATAGTTTCCTCACCCGGATATGTATCTAGAAGTGCAGCCATTCTCCTTGCCCGTTGCCTGGGACTCTCAATCCTTTGTGGATATAAATTGACGCTGGCGGAGGTAGAGAAGCAACGGCGGAAAATTCGCATGCGGAGCAGAACGGCTTTTTGCGCGAATGGCGGGGCAAAGGGGAGGATTTGGTTGCGCTAGCGCAACGACTGTCGCCCAATCAGGAGGAGGGCTCGGAGATAAGATGATCTGATAAGAATCGACGGAGGAGAGCTGCCTCAGTAGCCCATCGGAGATCATAAGATACAGTAGCTCATTTTGGTGGAAAACAAAGGGTGGAGAGTAAATCTTTAAAGCCAAGCTTAAGGCTACAGATTATGAAACAGAAAGAGTCACGCGACAACGCCATGGTATCAATGTGGGCAGATAGGTAATACATTTGCAGAGCATCATCAATCGAAGACAACTTTTTTTCCCTGGAAATTTGCCTGGCTCTTTTTCTCTTTAGCCTTTTTTGCCGCCTCCCACGAAGGATGGAGAGGCCCCTGGTCCTGATCTCGTTTCACCACGCCCCGGGGGTTTCTAGGACGCTCGTTTTGAGTGCTGGGTTCATCATGAGTTTTAAATTGACCTCGGAACTTTCCGCCTTTCCCACGTCCCCTTCCAATATCTTCTTGAGACATAGCACCCCGGCGCAAGTCCCAACCACTATCACGATTTCTGCTTTCTGTCTGCTTGCGCACATGGTTCGCATTGGCGCCAAACTTCTTCTCCCAAAGCTTGCGCCGGGCCTGCTGGCCCATTCGGTTCTTCCTAGGCGTAATGGCAGCCGCTGCTATGTCATCTTCGGCATCAGATTCCGTCCCTGACCAATAGCCGCCCATGGTGAGAGATGGTAGGAATGTCGTTGTAGATGGTTTTTGGGTGGCTTTGGAAGACTTGGAACTTTTAACCACCGTGGCTGGTGGTGACTTTGAGTCCGTCGTTGATGGCGTTGGTGAGAGTGAAAGGTCTTCAATTGGATCGTACCGTCTCTCTTCACGTCTTTGAACCGTGTTGCCGTCGTCATCTTCGCTTTCTGACCCAGATGACGAAGCTAGGCGGTCATCAAACTGGGAGAAATCGAAATCGTTCCCTTCTTCATCCATGCTCACGTCTTCTGGGTTGACGCCAGGTGTCTCTATTCGTGGTTGTGTTTTTGGAGCTGCCATTTTAAGACTCTGTGACGACTTCTCACCGGTGGAAGGTCTATGAGTTGGTGATTTGGCATTCTCTAGGCCTAGAAGTCCTCGAATTCCATCCATTATCCCCGGAATCACAGCCTTAACAGGATTAGAACTAAATAGTCGCGCCGTGACGTTTGCTTCGGGCCCCTCCTTTTTCCCGTTAAAAACATGTTGTTTCGAGATATCTAATTGTGTAAAAACTATCGACTCGGCAATCCGCTTTGTCTTCATAAGCTGCTTGATTAGGTGCTTTCTTGATACTTCCAGCAGGTCTAGAGACTACAGACAAGGCCATTAGCTCGAGTACTCCGAGAGCGACAAAAGTCCAAGCTGCATGGATGATAACTTACCTTCAACGCCTGAACCTCCTCCGATAATCGAGATAGCAAAGCATTTTCATTCTTTGACTGTGCATGTTTTTGACGCCTTCCCAATTTTTGGCGTTCAAATCCTCGCGCAGTTTTCAGTGCGCGGTGTATTTGCTGAATTCCATGCTCGATTTTCTGCTCTAGGCGAGCTGCTCGAATAGTGAGTCTTTGTGCCTCAAGATCGATCGCCGGAGCTTCATTAGACTCTTCACGCTTGCGCTTCGGCATCTTTACGAATAACTGACGGGGTTTATGCCAGCCAAAAATCGTAGCCGCCTGCTTCATGAAGCCGTCCCAGCAGAGAAACGAGGATACTAGCATATTGGTGGCCAAGTATTAGAGAGCGAGACTTCGAGCCAAAAGTAGCTAGCCCGTCTCTCTTCCTGCGGCCTTGTTCATGGCACGTGACAGGTAAGGTAGTTCACCACTAAACGAACCACACCACTAAACAAGCCAAATTTCGCCAAATGCTCCATGCAACAAATTTATTAAATATCTCAACAACCAGATCTTTATTATTAAATAGCTATTAAATATTAAATGAATGTGTTCTTTGAAGCATAGAAATTAGTGTAGTTAGGAAAATAAACAGGTGGACAGCCTAATATTACAGCCAGAGCAAGAGATCCGGGGGATAGATAGGAAAGAATTCAAAGGAATGTCAACAGTAAATTTCTCAGCTAGAGAGCCTAATGTCTTGCTAGAGAGGCTTGTAGAGCTCTTACTTCCTCTTTTAGAAGATTGTATAGGCTCTCTGTGATGAGAATCTTTAGTAGGGGAGTTCTTCCAATAGCACTTTGAAGCCAGTGCTTGAAGTCCTGACTGCTGGCATTTAGTAGCATGTTCAACTGCCCATTTTTCCTTCTCTGCTAGTTGTAAAGTCTTCTTCTTCTCACAAGTAACATGTTGTGTTTCTCTTTCTCTAGCATATTTGATTTTTTTGGCCTCTCATTGCTCACAGGTCTTTTTACAGGCATTCTTTTATTTAATCTGTCTTTCTTCAGTATCTCTAGCAGCCTGCTTCTTTTAAAGCTCTTATTAAAGCTTTGCCTGTTATATTTGAGCAATTTTATCAGCTTTTTCAGTCTCTATTTCATCCAGATGCTTGTGTATCTTAAGAACTTTTATTGAAGACCAGAACTGTACTTGACTAGAATTATTCTTATTAAGTAGGTCTAGAGACTTGCCTTGCTTGCAGCATTACTTCTCCATCACTAGAATTGATCTTAGATACTGATTCTCATGTTCCAGTAGTTTATTATAAAGAGCAAACTGCTTACTGGCTTGAATAATTTATTCAATGCTCTGTAAATTTAGACTGTACCAGAGACATATATTCTTGGTCTCTTGTCAGAGCTGGTACATATTGCTAGAAATAGAAGATTTAACTGGCAGTATAGGGGCTTGAGCAGTTTCAAATCAGTATAGTTAATATTAAGAATCCAGAGAATTAATTCCAGTCTTTGCAAAGCTAGCAAGTATATTTTCAACTGTTAAAGCCTTCTTTCAAGTCACATTAAATAGTCTCCAGAAATTTCTTTTTGTTATTTAAATATAGCCCATTTCATGATATAGTAGTGCTTCCAGCTTGTTCAAATATGCCTTGCCCAGTGGCTTAAAGATTCTAACATCAAGAGATTGCAAACAGTAAATTGAATGTGGTGGAAGAATCATAAGAAGAATCTTTTTATGGTCAGCATATTCAATAAATTTCATATTTATATGGGAGGAATGCTCATCTAGTAGAAGCAGATATCTTTCTTAACCAGCTTGTTTCTTAGTATGCTTATTAAAAATCTATTTTAACTACTCCAGTTCATATTCATTATTGCTCCAACCATTTGTTGAAGCTGCAAAGTAGGTCTATTCACTTCCATCATAATTATCTAGCCATGTATTCTGGAGATCTTGTGATTCACTCTGGTAAATAAGAGCTGGAGGTAGTATAATTTCTTCAGTAGGGACTGAGCAGAGTAATGAGAGGAATTCCTGACTATCATTCTGGGTAGCAGTATTCTTTCCAGCTTATAGGGCTTTAATAGAGACTAATCACTTTAAGACATGGCAGGAGTCTAGAAGGAATTCTTTTTCATTAAAGTTGTAGATGTTTGAGGGCTTAAGATTATATTGATTGATTTTCTGCTCCAACTACTCTATAAGTATTAAATAGTTAGCCAGCATCAACAATCACAATCATAATTAATTAAATAAATCATCAAATTACAAGCATATAGAAGTGCTTAAAGCACTGATAGTTATCTGCTATCTGCCTGTTTTGATCAATTGCTTTAAGATAAATGCATTTGATCTTGTTATTATGCTGCTGGTGAAACTAATTAATCCAGTTGATTCCAACATTCTCTCCTGTCATCTCTTGTGCAATATTTCATAGAATCTGAGGTGTTGTAAGGATTCGCCCGCGAACCCCTTACACGGACGAACAACACCCGCGAGGGCCCAGGGCCTGGGCTCGCGAGCTGTTGGGAGTACATGTGTCCTCGCGAGGCACTAAGTCACGTGCTCGCGAGCACACATAAAAGGCCGCCACTGCGCGAACCCCTTGTTGGGAGCCAGTGGCAATCTTGTCTAGAAGTCGTACATAGCTGCCAATACCAGACCTTTTACCTCGCGTACTCTTTTCTACATACAATTCCTCCTATAGATTCATTGTCACGCCGATCCACACGTACGATCCTCACAGGTGTAATGGCAAGATCACAGCTAGAGAGCTTGTTTATATAATTCAGGAGCTCTGCCTCCTGTATATCAGAGAGCTTTTTCTTATATCAGAAGACTGCTTCATTCTGAGCAAGTTGCAAGTCTTTATGCTGTTGGTGCAGGATCTCTTGATTGACTGAGTACTTTCTTGCAGTTGCAGTATAATTTAAGATCTCTTGTGATTCAAGATCTTCAATTACAAGCCTAATTGAGGTGTTGTTGACCATGTTGTCGCATATTGAATGTTGAATGTTGGAGGAATTTGGTGGTGGAAAATTTGGCTTGTTTAGTGGTGTGGCTCGTTTAGTGGTGAACTACCTTACTCGGCGCCGCTTTTACGTGAACCTAGCATTCTGATCTCCATGGAGCTTGTCATCAAAACAATGGATCCCTAATTGCTCTGTATTAACCAGCTTTTCAAGAGCGGTTGTCGGGATTTTAAAATGCCGTCACCGCTTATGTTTTGCATTTTGGCCTTCTCTGGATGGGCATTGATATCGATGTTTTATTTTACTTATAGAAATGGCCATCTCGCTTCGTTACAGCAGATCATTGATTCCGGGATCTTGCCTGGCGGTGAACGATTGGAAGCTGCCATTACCGGTGTTTCATTATTGGATCAGATTTTGGTGTCTTTTATACCATTTTTCTATCCTATAGTGGATGGGAGCACTCCAAATTTATCACTTCACTCTGTGAACTTTGCAGGGACTCTCGCGGCCATCTGGACCTTAGTTTCTCTAGAGGCTATGAGAGCCGGGAGCAGAGGCCGTCTGATTGCAATGTGAGTGAAATCCACGTCTAGATATGATAAGCCATGGAAATAAGTCGACTGTGCCGCTTTAATTTTTGTATTAAAAGCTAACCGCAAATGTTGAAAGCCCGTCCTTCTTCGGCATAATGTGCCAACTGTGCACCTTTGGCGTAGTGATGCCCATATACGTCACACTACACCTTTTCACCTCGCCGGCAAGCTTTAATCCAAACAGAGAAAACACAGATTTCCCTTTTTTCAGAGTGAATACTTTTCTATGGAGCATATCTAATGGTTACATACTACCCACCATCCTTATGGCCTTTCCCAATATGTCAAAAGGGCTGCTGCCTTCAAAACAGCACGCGATTGCCTTTTGGCAACCCTGGCCCATATATATATCCTTAATTCAATATGTGCTAAGCAAATTCTCTATCATCTGCTCCTGTTTTGGTCCTCAGAGCAACAACATCACGTCCCGGCAAACAAAAACTCGAAATGGTTTACGCCGGATATATGCTTTCGCATTCTCTTGCGCGGCTATTCCCCACCTTGCATCCTGGACTATATCGTTGGCTGCTTGGGTGTTCCCAACACTCTTTAGTCCAAAGACTGCATCTACACTAGCCCCACGTAATGTATTTGTGAATCAATTTCCCTGGTCGTCCGCCCGTCCTGAATCGTTAGGAGTAGGAACATTATGGTTTTTACAGTGGGATCACTTGATAGGGGCTATAGTAGCGCTGGTTTGGACTGCGATACTCTATGCTGCTGCCCATATTGAATGTCGAATTCCGATCAGCGGCTTTAAGTTAATGCTGAAAGTGGCCACCTTCTGCGTTGTGGCTGGGATTGCTGGAGCCGCAGTGGAATTGATGTGGGAGAGAGACGAGCTATTACTCGATTTGCAGGATGCCAAAAGGGACAAAACCTTTAAAAGCCAATAGGCAGTCTGACCTTCGTTTGCAATGGTAGTATTGGTCCTTGGTTATGATGTATCCCATGCAACTTTGTGCTATAGATCCGTTTACCAATCACGGGATGACCGGTTGCAGGAAGCAGCTCTTAGCAAAGTCTGTACATTGTTATGTAAAAGCTAAACCTATGGAGAGCGAAGAAATAGGAAAGAATGAAAGATAAAGAGAAGCTGGTATACAATATATGTTCAATCTATTTTTTTGGCTCCTCCTTTTCCTCAGGTTTGGGAGTCGGCAGTTTGAACTATGGAAGCGAGGCACGTTAGTGATTTTCATGAGAAGTTCGAGAAGATATCCATTGGATTTACCTGGTCCGGTTTTCTATCGGTACCCTGGCCAATCTGTTCCCAGGCTGATGTTCCACCCTCGAAGTTCCGGAAAGCCTGTGTCAATTCTAGTGGCTCAACGACGATTCTCTTCTTCTCTTCATCATATCTGATTTCGGTGTAACCTGTAAGAGGAAAGTCCTTCCGCAGCGGATGTCCATCAAAGCCATAATCTGTCATGATTCTTCTAAGATCCGGGTGTCCGACGAAAAATACACCGAAAAGGTCATATACCTCCCGTTCATACCAAACCGCACCGTCGTACAACGAGGTAATGCTGGGAACGGGAGTTGCTTCATCTGCGTACGTCTTAACTCTTATCCGGGAGTTGTGGCGAACGCTAAGCAAGTTGTAGACAACTTCAAAGCGGTATTCGCGGGTTGGGAAGTCGACTGCAGTGATATCCGAAACCTGCTTATATTCTGCAGCGGTATGATCCTTCAAAAAGGAGATGACGGGGATGACGCCGGTAGGTGGAATATAAATAGTCAATTCGTCTTTCCAAACGGAGAATTGCTGGATATATTTTGGTAGGCAGGACATGAGGTATTCGCCGTAGGTGTGGAGCTCCTTTGACTTCTCCGCGTACTTGTCGGCAGGGTTCACGACGGGGCGGTTCAGAGTCTCGATAGCTAAGGAGAATTGAGAACCATCAGCAGCGCAATTCTGAGCATGTATAAAAAATAGCCACGTTGCGATTGTACTCACGGGGACGGCTCTCATCTCTGGGGTTTGGAAGCGGGCTGCCCGAGACGACTTTCGCTTCTTGCAAAGCTGGTATGCTAGAGAAAAGCCTCGCAGCCCTGGCAGGTCTAGCATAAGCCAGATGGCGACTGGCGGCCAGTCGCAGCATTGACCTTGTCGACGCCATGGTGGGATGTGCAATTGGGTGCTCAGTTCCGTCGACTGCTGGGACTTCCGCTTTACCCTTGAGGTTCCCGCTGGGCTCTTTGTGATGCCATTTGAGATTCGGCAATGAGAAATGCATGACGCTGATTGGCTGTTATTGCTTAGATAATTTTTTTCGGATTAGATAATCACACCAGTGAAACTTGCTCGCAGTGAGTGCTATGATTGGCTCCCACCCTGGAAAGCGGGCGCGGGCGAATCTGCTGAATCAGCGATGCTAAAACGAGTTAAGCTCAGTTTGTGTCTTCCTTTCTCTCCTCCACCAGACCCATCCCATCAACACTTTTGCTCGACACCGTTTGCAACATCCCTCTGTTCTTAATTCTCTTGCATTTCCTCTTCTTCCTTTGCTTCACTTATCTTCGTGGCGCCATTTTATCGCCGTAATACTTTTTTTTCCCTAGTGAATATTCATTTTCCGTGTTCATGTTCCTACGGATTCTCCAGTGTCTTTAAATACTTTGGCCAATCTTAGTCCAGCTCATTCCAACACCTAACGACAAAATGGCCTCGAGAACCCAAAATGATACCGTTATCGATGATGATGATGAGATCTGGTATGCTACTTTCCTTTCTCTGATTCGCTCACGTTTATTAATCCTGATATCGTTTGCTAATCTTGGTTTTATCACCATAGCCCTCTCTGCATTGAAGAATTTGATCTTTCGGACAAGAACTTCAAGCCATGTCCTTGCGGCTACCAAGTACGTTGCCCCGACTCCCGTAGATGGGTTACCCCCTCATCCTCCGGAATATAACTTTTAAATGGCGCCACAATGTCATACTCGCTTACTAACAGCGCCCAGATATGTCAGTTTTGCTACAACAACATCAAAACCCATAGCGAGGAGGGCCGATGTCCTAACTGCCGACGCGTTTACGACGAGAACACAATACAATACAGAGTTCCCGACGCAGATGAGTTAGTCCCATCTTTCTTCAAGATAATCGCTTCTTGGGTGCTAATGCGTGATTTGAACTAGGCTTAAGGCAGACCTGGCGTTAAAACACCGTAAGGCGGCGGCTGCAAAGAAAAAAGAACAAGAGAAGCGTGAAATCGAGGCATCTAGTCGAAAAAATCTTGCGGGAGTCCGAGTTGTCCAGAAGAACCTTGTCTATGTCATTGGACTTAATCCAACAATCAGGGACGAGAACCAGTTACTTCAGACATTGAGGGGGGATCAGTACTTTGGTCAATACGGTGAGATAGAAAAGATTGTCGTGAGCAAAGCGAAACCTGGTGGAAACCCCAATCAAGGAATCGGAGTGTACGTCACCTTTGCAAAAAAGAGCGATGCCGCATCATGCATTGCGGCCGTTGACGGCTCCGCCAATGGTGATCGAGTTCTGAGGTATGTCTCAATCCTGCGGGTGTCTTACTTGGGAGCACGCACTAAACGCTTTCAGAGCGCAATACGGGACGACAAAGTACTGCTCATCATTCCTTCGTAACGAGCAGTGTAACAACAGAAATTGCACCTTCCTGCATGAGACCGGAGAAGATAGCGATAGTTTCAGCCGCCAAGATCTGTCCTCCATGAATACGATTTCGTCGCAGCGACCTCATCCCAATTATCCCAACGTGTCGGCGAATCAGTCTCGTGCATATACACCGGGAAGTCAGTCCGGCCCATCGAGTTCCCTCTCAATGCAGCGACACACTAATAAAGATGAAGGAACACGGATGCCCGCTAACGACTCCCCTGCCCTCCCATCTTCAGCGAGCTGGGCGAATAAAGATGCCCTTGCACATCGAACAAGACGCCCTAGCGTGGCTGCGAGTTGCGGCACACCGAGCCCCAAACCGGCGACCGCAACAATCGCAACCAAACCGGAGGAGTCGAGGGCGGCCACCGAAAAGCGAACTCATCAAAATGTGGAAGAGTCGCGCCAACACACACCAACACCAGGGCCCAGCTCAAGGTTGGAGCAACGTGATTCTGTATCCCCGAGGAGACCACTGTCCGTGTCCCAAGATCGCGGCATGGTTTTGTACAATTTGGTCAAGGCGATAAACTCTCCAGAGTTCCGATTTCAGTTCTCAGCGGCTGGTCTATCGGCTGATGAGCTTGCATTTATCGAAAATCATCCGTCTCTCATCGATCCATACGGCGGCGTGAAACGTCGCGCTATGCGCGAAAAGGCTGAACAAGAAAGGGCAAAACAAGAAGTTGAGGCTAAGATGCTACTACATGCCAATCAACCCGAGGAGGAGACCCTTGAAGGTGGTAGTTCGCAGCTTGGCGGTGAACCAGAGGAGTCGCATTCTGGCCCGGGACCTGCTGGACGCAGCGGCCGTGAACAACAAGCCATTCAGCCCCCATCCCAACAAGCAACTGCCTCAAGTTCTGCTGTTGGTTCGCCTGTTTCAGCTGGCCACCAGTTCCAAAGCTTGAACGTCAATGGTCGTGCCCTTACCCCTCTCCAACAGCAGCAGCTCATGCTTTTAAAGTCAACCACTGGCCAACAGAGCGGCTTGTTAGACCAACTTCAAACTTCTTCCATTAACGGCTATGATCATAACCCGCTTTCCAGGCCCAGTGCGTTTCAAAACCAAATGCCGCCAGTGGGTGCAATATCGGGTCACGCACGACAGTCCTCTCGGTTCTCCTTTGCGAATGAATCAAACGCCAAAAATCCCAACCATAGGCTACTTAGCCAGCAGGCTGCCGTGATGCAAGCGTCGACCACCAACCCGATGGCGACTGCCAACGCACAACAACATGGGCTTAGTAGCCACTTTTTTACCAGTGGCGTTCAGGGTCCTCCTCCTGGCTTAAAAACTGCTGGAACGCCGCCTGTCAGTGGAGGGGGCATGTTCGCCCAAGGTCATGGGTTTACGAGCACAATGAATAATAACTTGGGGCTTAACGTCAAGCAAGATGGGAATGCTGATTTGATGCGTGAGCTGATGCGTGCCCGGAGTGGTACGAGTGGTGGGGGTGTTCAAACTCTCGAAGCAACCAAGCGTGAGTACATATCTCCTTTAATCCATCAACACAGCACCCCTCCTCCCCTGGCTCCCGTTTCAGGCCTTCTCAACTCGCTTTATGGTCCTCAAGCCGGGTTCTATCAAGAGCCAGGGCCACAGAAGCAGAAGAAAAGGGGGAAGAAGCATAGACACGCTAACACTTCCTCCGGCGGAGGTGGTGTAGTAGATCTTGCGGACCCGAGTATCTTGCAGGCGAGAATGCACCAAAGCAATGCAACTGCTGTTGCTGGGCAGGGGCTATACGGGAGTCAGGGTCAAGGTGGGTACAACCACTCCAACATGGTTTTTAATGGAGGGTTTGCCAGATGGTGACAATCGTTCTATGCTGCTTGACCTGCCTTATGCGTCTTCTTTCTTTTAGCGCTTTTTCTGATAAATTCTTTTATGGATCTCCTCATGCCTGCTGGACGTGTATGTTTTTCTTTTATCCCTGTCATCATGACGCAGCGTGCTTCTCACTTGTATCGGGTGTTGTTTTGATTCTTGTTTTGCCCTGCTTCATTCTTAATTTTTACGCCTGGCGGCTCTGCATATGAAACCCGATGCAAAATTTTCCGGCTGAGGCGTTGGCATGGCGTGTCTGCATCTTTGCGGTGAGGTTGGTGGAAGGCGTCAACCTTTTTTTGCGCAATATCTACTCTTCTCTGGGGTATTCCAGGTCCTTGGTGCTTTGATTTGGCATCTCGAGTTGATTTTCACAGCAACCACCGGGGCATACTCATGGGTCTGCGTGGGCAATATTCATGTACGTTAACCTCCCTGCTTGGATTTTTTTTTATCCAAGTCCGGCGATATGTCGAAAGCAATTTTCTCACATTTATTTTTTATTAGACCTTATCCCCTCTTCCTATCTCTGCAAAAGTGGATGAATTCAGCCGTAGTGATGAGCTCTGCCCATCCAATGTATCTTTCCAGCACAGCATGTAGCTATGATGAAGCTTGTTTGTTCTTCTTTGGGCGGTTGCAGCATTGGAATCGATTGCATGTTCTCTTAATTTTGACAATGTGCCGCTAACTGATTCCAATAGTGGATGAAGACTTTCCGCCGCTAGCACCTCCAAAGTCTGCGCTCGACACCCGGGCATCGTCCCGGTCCCATATTTCCGTGGAATCCCCCGTTTTTTCGAGTAGGTCTGGGACGCCAACAGTGCCCCCTGGACTGTCGTTCCCACACGGCCATCCGGCAGCAGGTCTCATCAAAGAGTCGAGTGTGCCCTCAAGCCCCTCTCCATCCAAAAACCATGCTTCCATTTCAACCGTCATTGCGCCCCCTCCTGGCTTAACCCCACCCCAAAAGGTGAGGGACACGGTTATGCCTAGGGTTGCTACTCCAATCATTCCAGAGTCCCCAACTTTAAAGCCGGATCCTGCAAGCAACCCGGCAGAAGCCTCAGCAGGCTCGCCAGAACCGGAAGCCGTCGCATCTCTCACCAAAGAAACCCAGTCCCCCGCTCCCCCTAAAGCTAACAAGCAGTCAACAGAAGCAACCTCCGCGAAGAGCGGAAAAGGACCTTCCAAAGAATCTCACAGCAAGCCAAAGCCTATTAAATTGGATATATCGTTCTCTGCGACTGGCCGAGAATCGGCTTCTCCCTCTCAGAATTCTGCGCCCTACCAGCTTTCTGCGCTCTCTACATCCATTACCAGTTCGCGACCAAATACCCCCGGAACGGTAGCTTCTCGCATATCCGAATCTCCTGCTCCCCGTCAGCCACGGGTGTTACGTGTGGTAGACACCCCCAAATCCGAAACGCCACCTCTACAATCATCTGGAGCCGCATCTGGTACCACTACAGCGGTAAAGCAACGGTCACGAAGACCTAGCATTTCTTCTGTGAGCCGTCCGGCTACGCCTGCAGAAATAAGTTCTGAATATGACCTCTACACCTCTGCTTCCGCATCTCGGGCTAACTCGCCGCCTCCCAGTAGAATTGGGTCTGCCCCAGTTCGTGCGATGTCAAAAAATCAGGCAAAAAAGCAGCGAAAACTCAAAGCTGAGCAGGCTGAAGCGAAGAAAGAAGATGAACTTACATCTACTCCCGTTGAGGACACTGTGCAGGCACCTATCCTTGGCAGAAAGCGAAAGACAAAAAAGCCATCGAAGCGAGCCACAGACAGCACAGAGGATGGACAAAGGGCTTCACCTGGAACCAATGAGGATACTCAACCAAAATCAGGTAGTACAATAGTATCCAAGCATGTGGAATCCGGAGCGAAAAGCTCACCCACCATTGAAAAGGTGGAAGAGAAAAAGGAAGCCTATGAGCCTTGGCGCCTTAACAACACTCTAGAGCAACTTATGGTTGATTCTGAAGCACTGGGTGTCCCTATCAAAGACCTGTTCCTTGAAAGGACGTCTCCACTGCCTACCATACTCGCGCAGCTTTATCAGTCGGGACAGCTGGATCTGCATGTCCACGCGCTCTTTAACCCTCCAAATCTCAATCAACGCGTGGATATGAAATGCACAGCTGAAGATTATGAATATTTGAAGCGACCAATTGAATTGACTGAAGACCACCGCAAAATGCTCCTCCGTGGTGAACCTGTTCGCATTAATGGTGGGTCAGATCTCTTGAAACATAGGTGCCTTATTACTCCAAAAGGATGCATCTTACGACATTTATCTGCTGAAGAAGAAGATCATTACTTGGACTTGGAAGACAGTCTCGCCTCTGCCATCGACTCTGGTCACGAATATCCTGCTTTCATTGTCACTGAGCCCGACACCACTAACCGTGGTGGCGGGCTGGATGCTTTATTTGCAACGCCCGAAAAGTTCAATATTCGCTGGGTCGATGACGAGGCTTCTCGAAGCGGTTTGATCACCGGAACAACGGAAGATTCAGTCATCTTGTCGCATCCGTCAACTCAAGCACCTGCCACCACCCCACCAAACGTCTTTTCTGCACTCGAAGCTGACTCCGCTCGATCTACCAGCTGGGCAATTCCCAGCAGCACGGACCCTGTTAGTGGCACCGCTCCTCCACGCTCATCGGCTACGACGAAGAGTCTCATGACCGGCTCTACTTTCGGCCTTGATCTCGAAGAGCTAATGAATGTGCCTGACCAAGAATTACGTTCCATGATTGAAGCAGCTCAACGTGAGCTTGAGTTGTCGCGTAAGGACGCGGATGTTGTGGATAAGAAGATAATGGCGCTGGTAAAGCGAAATAAGAAGTTGGTGCAGCAAGCCCTCTCTGCAGCGCTGGAGTTTGTGGCGTCCTCGGATGCCAAGACCCCGACATAATCGGGCAGCAAGTCGACGTTATCCCTTTTAATCGTATTTTTTTCTCCTTGGGTCTAGGATATTGGAGGGGCTGTGGGCGAAATTGTGTGGTTGTTCAATCCGGCATATTGTATCGATTCACTTCATGATTTTTTTTGTTTCCATCACCAGCTGATTTGCCTTGCTGCATTATTTTGTCTATGTTTTCTTTTTGCAAATTGTGATTGTGGTCTTGTTTATTAGATGTTATGGATATTCCCATCGAGCTCATGTATGTATCCATGGCACTTTCGTGGGTTGGTATTTTGTCCTATCTGGTGGTCTACTTTACATAATTGCCAGTCCGCATCTTACAGAAATGAATGGTTGCGAGAGTGCACAAAAATAGTTGAACTACAGGAGGACCCTTTTCATGTGCCCAAGCCAGAAAGATAAACTTGGGTTCTGTATTCCTCAGGATTCTGGCTTATCTTTGGCCTAATTCCAAACAAATCACCGCAGTGACTACAGAGTAGATGGTACTTATATACAAACATTCCACAGTAACTCCACCTCGAAAACATCCACCAGACACAAAAGGCAACAAAATTAACTGATCTCCTGATACTAGAAAATATGGCAAGGCAGGTGGGTTGGCTAGTAAAATCATCAAACAATATGGGTTAGATCTGCCCTGTTAGAGCTCATCAATGTGAACCATTTTGTGTCACCTATCAAAACACCAGAAGCGAGTCTAAGAACTCTATCCCAATTGGGTATTTTGGGTATCTATCAATGAGAAGTATATCATCACACAAGCCAGGAATCTCCGCAATACGCCGCTTCTGGTTCGAGAGGACGAATCGGGGACGATCTACCCGTATACAGATAGGCGAATAGGTAGCACAGCAGTCAGGAAAACAACGCATCATCACCAGGTAGTTGGTGTCTCGCCACCGATATACTTATAGGCCCTTTAATCCGCCATCGTACTCAGAAATATCATATTCGTTCGGGTATGCTTCGATGATACGTTTTAGCTCCTCCTTTTGAGCCAGGAGCTCAGGGGTCATTTGCTCATAAACATCTGTGAACAACTCCTTGATAGCCGGTTTCTGCTCGCGTTCTGCCGCGGCGAACTCCGTGAGAACATCTTTCCGTAGCTGTTCCCGTGTCTCGCGCTCCAGATCCTCATTCCAAATACCTTTGTTTTCCATCCACTTACGAAGTCGGATGATAGGATTATCACGTCGTTTCCAGTCTTCAACTTCCACGCGGGCACGGTATGCAAAGCTATCGTCGCTAGTACTATGGTGAGAGACACGGTAGCTCATAGCTTCAATAAGGATTGGTCGGTTCTCTAGGGCCATCCGGCGAGCCTCCTTGGTCACTTCACGAACGGCAAAGATATCGTTTCCGTCAACACGGATGGTGTCAATACCGTACCCAACGCCTCGACTAGCAATACCGTCACCGCGATACTGCTCTAGAGTCGGGGTAGAGATAGCGTAGCCGTTGTTTCGGCAAATAAAAACAACGGGACACGATCGTGTTGCAGCAATATTGAGAGCTGCATGGAAATCACCCTCGCTGGCTGCGCCTTCGCCGAAGTAGCAAGCTACTATTTGCTTGGGCTCATTAGGGTTTTGCAAAGCTTTGAGTTTCAGGGCATAAGCAGCACCCGAGGCGTGGGGGATCTGAGTGGCCAGGGTAGACGAGATGGTGTGCTGTTTTAAGTACATTAGCTACTCGGAACCGGGGGAGGAGAATGAAGAAGGAGTCCAAGTACCGTTTTAACATTGGATCCTCCATAGTGAACTGGCATGTTGCGACCCTTGCCATTATCATTTTTGTTTGCAAACAGTTGACTCATAAATTGCTTCAGGGTAAATCCTCGCTGCTGGAAGACTCCTGTTTCGCGATATTGTGCGAAGACTACATCATCCGGTGACAATGCTGCAGCGGATCCTACAGCAATTCCTTCTTCTCCGGCTGAAACCTATGGCCCTTGTCAGGTAATACGTCACAGCAGAATGCTCTTGAACTATGCCCATACCATATAAAAACTCAGACGGCCCTGTCTCTGGGCCTCAAACATGATCATGTCCATGATGCTGACTGCAGATCAGTCAACGGGTTAGCCGCAAAATTTTGCATGATCGGAATACGGTTGTCGGGATGAAACCTACCCTGCACCATGTTTTTGTACCATGAGATGACCTCTTCATCTGGGACATTTGGGGCTCTGCTCTTGTCTACTATCACGCCATCGGAATCCATTACTCTGTACGTGGGGATGGCGGGCTGATCTGAGGGGTTGATGAAATTGAGGTTGGTTGTGAACTTGCTGTTGATCGCACCTGGAAACCGGAGGCTGCTCATGTATGGTTAGCATTCATCCGCCATGTCTCGAACGGCTTCTTTCTTTCTTTTTTTTTTTGCCGTGGAAGGTTGGACGCACTGGTCAGAACCTGGTTTCTGCGATATCGAAGATCCCCATCTTACTCTCCCCAGCCGCGACCCAACGCTGGCCCCTCGAGAGGAGCGGAGACACTGGTGTAAGAGAGGCCGAGACATAGTTGTTATACCAGAAGAATTGAACTTGGGTCAATGGTCTCTCAACACTTCCAGAGCGAATTGCTTCTGTATGAACAAAGGACGAGAGGAGAGAGAAGTCCCTCGTCGCCGGCTCGCAGCGAAGACCCAAATAATGAAGAACAGCCGCTCAGTCTCGGCTTGCGTCGGCGGAATCGCAGCTTTCGTCGCTTCTCCGGCCGCATTACGTAAGTGTGCCGCTGCCGACCGCGTCTTATCGATACAGTCACGTGGTAAATCTGATATAAGGTTCGTTAGCGTGGTCAGATGATATCCCGGTCGGATTAACAATATTCCCAATGTAGCGCCAAGATGGATCTTCTGATGTACTCCGTACGGAGTACTCCGTAGTGGAAGGAAAAAAGGGAACGATGCTCAAACATTGGAACGAGCCTCTGGTCAAGAAGCAAACAACCCATTGAAAGACTCACCCGCGGTTTGACGATGACATCCAGATCCGTCTGGCGGAGCTTACACTGGAGCGCGAAACGCCGACCAATTCCACCCAGAACGCCCTACCACTGTTTCTCCTGTTCCATCAGAGCGCAGGCCAACGAACCCGGACAAAATGAACGGACCACCCATTTTGGGTTCGAAACAATTCCCGAATCGGCAAAGGAATCAAGAGGTACCTCCGCATCCTCCAGCTCTCTCCAGTTCGTTCTCTCTCAACATTGAACAGAAGCTAACCTCGCAATCCAGTCGGAGCTGTTTTCAGCTCTGTTGCGGCTTCTTACGATACCATGAACGATCTCATGTCCCTGGGCATCCATCGTCTCTGGAAAGATCATTTTGTTCGGTCACTCAACCCTGGAGACCAGTATGCCCGCGATGGACCTGAGAATGAGAAAGGATGGAACATTCTTGACATTGCGGGTGGAACTGGAGATATCGCATTTCGCATGCTGGACCATGCTACAAACATAAACAACGACCACTACACGCGCGTAACGGTTGCAGATATCAATCCAGATATGCTTGCAGAGGGTAAAAAACGAAGTTTGGACACTCCTTATTATAATACCGACCGTCTGTCGTTCATGCAGGCAAACGCTGAATCCATACCCTCGATTCCTGATAATTCGGTGGATCTGTACACTGTTGCTTTTGGGATTCGGAACTTCACGAATAAACAAAGTGCATTGGTGGAGGCCTTCCGAGTGCTGAAACCGGGTGGTGTCTTCGCCTGTATGGAATTTAGCAAGGTGACCGTCGGTCTCTTTGACGAACTTTACAAGCGATGGAGCTTTGGAGCTATTCCACTAATCGGCCAGGTTGTGGCCGGGGACCGGGCCAGCTACCAGTATCTGGTTGAAAGCATAGAAAGATTTCCCAGCCAGGAAGAGTTTCGGGACATGATTCAGGCCGCTGGATTCATTACACCAGGCAAAGGATATGAAAATCTTACAATGGGTATCGCCGCCATCCATAAGGGTGTGAAACCATTGAAAAAATGAAATCTTCAAGCCTACCAACATGGGTGCTGCATCTTAATTCGCGATTTTCTCCGTATCAACTACCAATTTTACATCTACATGGTGGGAATGGCCTCGTTGAGACATTGGAGGAAAGGTCCACACCCCTCACTCATACAAGACGGTGCCAGGGGACTCCCCTACAGTTCTCCCCCCTGACAAGGATTTATTTTCTTTTTTCTGGTGTAACACAAAACAATCTGTATTAATATATAAAATACTGGCGCAGAACAATTGATACGGCAGGTTTGGCTTCAAAATCATGATATCCAAGCTCGAAATGTACTACAGATCGGTGGCTTCATCTCATACCTGATGATCTCCCATCCAGTTCTCGGGAGATTTTCCAGCGTTCATGCTGAACTATAGGATCAAAGTGCTAATGAATAATACTCTCACATATAATTTCAAATTGTGTCGGCGCCCCAAATCCGGCAGTTTTGGTATTAGGCCGTTTCTGGAGCCCTCAACGCAACCCCTCCGCCCACAACCGCACCACCACAACGGCCACGCACCAACCAGCGGCCCGCTGGTCGGTACCCCTGTCACTCACTCGATCACCCATCATGGGTGAGCGTCAAAGACCACAGACCACGATTTGTGTGGTCAAGTAGGGCCAAAAGTATAAAAAGATAGAGCCGAGGAGGGGATTTCGGCCAGAAATCCTGTGTATTGTCCATCCTGCTGCTTGCTTCATTTGATGAGATTCCTTCGAATAAAAATAGAACGGAAGGAAGTTTTCACAGATATAAGTCATCACAACAGCGATGCCTGCTTCAGGCACGTCCTTTCCTTTGCTAATTGATGATTTAGTGGGCTTTGATCCTGACTTAACTACTCCTTTGTCTCGTTCGCCTCCAGATGGATTGGCCTTCTCGCTTACAACTCCTTGGTGAATGGTTCAAAGAAATTATGACTAACATGCTTGATACGCTCTGGGAGATACTGACATACAAGAGAGCCGTGGTAAAGACTCCCATTAGACCTGGCAGATATTAGGGAATCATAGCCAAATAAACAGTCCCACGCTCGGGTGCCCATTCTTATTTCTTCACTCTCTCAGGGAGTTTTTGGGCCGTCTCCGTGGACTTAAACTCTGTCTCAGGCTCTGCCTGCGGGGGATCGAGAATCCATTTCAGAACATCAAAGGCTACTTTTTTGTCGTAGTTTGCGTTGTTGAGCGTGTATATGGCCCTCAGGATCAGGTTGAGTGTTGGGTGCTTTTCCGACGGCTTGATAGTGGCTTGGACGATGCGTACTTTGCCGTGGGTAAATGTCACTATGGTAGCCTTGGGATGTTGTCAGATAAAGTGTCATAAAACAGCAAAGTAAACATACAGTTAATAAACCACCCTGGTATCTCAGCTTGGCTGTATATCGGTCTTTGTCAGGTAGCCAAACCATTTTGTTCATCTGGTGATAGAAGATTGAGGTGGTTGCCAGTAATTCACCCTTTAGGATATAGCGATCCCCTTTCTGTCCCATGTCATGTGCACATGAGTGATCCCGAACAATAAAAGTCCAGTGGTTCTGATGAGGGCAGAGGACCTGGACTCCCTTGATGCCAGTGATCATTTCAGAGTACAGCTGGCGAAATAACGGGCCATAAAGCCTAGTACAACATCAGTGAAGGAACGAATGTTGAAAACAGATGCGGCCTCCTACGCTCGAATCTTTATGTGCACTTTGTCGAGCACCTAGTGGACGGCGGTCTTGATGAAGCTGGAGAACCCCCAGTCACTCGGAAGGCCCGGAAATTTCTCTGGTGCAGTGACCCTCTCGCACTCGTGAATAGCTTTTAGGAGTTCTGGAGATGTTGTGAACAGAACCTTTTCTCCAGTGGCATCCCGACAGCGCACCTCGAGGTCCGGTGTCTTCTCCAGCCACTCAAACAAGAATGAGTATGGCGCGTAGGAGATATACAATCGAAATAGACGCCCCAAAAGCAGAGCAACCTCCTCGGGCTGAAACGGCTCTCTGCTGGATGGCATGATGTCTGCTTGTCGTCTTCCCCGCTTGATCTCTCTCAGATTTTCTCCCTTGTGCAATATACACTCCTGAAAAGTATATACACATATATATACCACTATAGGAAGGCCGTTGGTTGGCTGAGTGGTGCCGCTCGAGATTTAACCCAAAGGCGAACTTTGTCTGCAGAAAGTAACCTTAGTACCCACAAGCCCACGAATAAGTACATGGCAGCTCCACGGCGACAAAAGGCTGCTCAGGGCGTTGACAAAATCCCAGCCAACATAGCAGAGTGCCGGGACGCGATACACAAGTATGGCCTTCAACAGCGGACCCTCGAACAGCTGTGCATGGAAGTTAGCCACTCTGACAAAACCCCGGCCCACGTTCTAGTAACTCATCTCTAATTAACATTCGTGCTGGAGTTTCTCTGCCTCGACAGTTCCGAAAGAAGCACTCCTTAGCCTTAGACCCATTTGGCCTAAAAAGAAAGGTCCCAAGGACGCCGCGGCATACATTGCAGAGCTAGATTTTTTCTTTAATGAAGACCACACCAATGATGCGATAAAACTTATGGAAAGAAACCTCCTCGGGCTTGACATGCTCAAGACGCTGTCTCGGTTTATATGTGCTCCAAAGGACGCTCCCACCGCCACTCCGCCCAAGTACTTTGGCACCCTTGCTGAAGGGCTCGGCCCATTCTGCATGCTCATTAATTTGTTCAACCAGCTTGGTGGATAGATCAATCCAGGCTTCGATTGAAGAACGTCAAACGCTTGGGGCTCCCCGGGCAATCCGATTCTATGACGCCACACAGCACTCGGCACGCGCAGACCCAGCAAGTCCAACGCGTCAGACTCCTTCGGTTTTTGAAGAGCTCGACATGGTGGATATTGAAATGACAGATATCGATGATCAGCCGACATCGGATCCTCCCCCTCCTGCGATTTTGATGGCAGCACCAGGACAAGAGGAACCTCCTCGTCGAACCCCCACAGAAACTCTTGTTGCGGACTTTATAGTTACCCTACTTGGTGGTTTAGCAAGCCTTGTGCAGGGTCTCAGTCCGAGGCCCCTCTGCATGGCCAACTCCTTTGAGACAACGTATCAATTTGGCCCTCCCAGTCATCAGACCTCTCCACAACACGGCAGTATGCAGTTCCGAGCTCGTGTAGATGGGAGTATCCCATTCAGCCTGTCCGTGGCTCTGATGCCACGTGAAGCTGCGATATTTGAAGTTAAACGTGCCCCCCGCCAGGAAGGAAAGGATAGCATCCCTGTCCTGGCACAGCAGTCAATGGAGCATGCTGCATACATCTGGAAATGCCATGAAAGTGACAAAACGGTGATACTGCCCTATAATTGTACACTCTTATTCTACATGGGAAATTCTTACTGACAAGACTGTAGTGGAAGAAAAAGAATCTGACTTATCATACCTTTATGGTGGCTCAAGATCACTTGGATTTCCACATTAGCATCGGGACCTATGATAATACATATCTGGGATACATTTTCGGGCTAGGATCCCAGCCAGTTCTTCCGGCACAAGATACTAGCAAATTCCCGTTCCTCGAGATACAAGAACTGGGGCCGTTTGATATCAAAATGGAGGACGATCTTCGCACCTTTCTGCATATAATGCTTGCCTTTATTCTCTGGCAACTTGAAAAAGCGGGTGGTGATGCCGCGTTCAAAGAGGCACTTTGCTAAAGGGGATCTGCATAAGGAGTACTATTGTTTAGTTCGTCCCGGTGTCTACCTGCTTTCCTGTGCATGTTGATTAGCGTATCAATTATAACCCTTAGTAGTTTTATGTTTCAATAATGAGATCCTGTTGATGCTCTAGAAGGACCTGCCCGGCCGGCGCCAACGGAGGGAGGTGGACGGATCTTATAGGATGGGCCGGCGCGGTGACGACATTGGGCCAGGGCACGAGGGAAGCGCACGACGCTTTCCCCGAACGGGCCGCGCTAGACCTCACCGGGAGACCCTAGACCTGATCGGGGCGCGCCGACGCAAATTGAAAATATACCGGGAATTACAGATGAAACGGGGCTAAGTAGGTTTATCTTGCGACGGCTTTCTCGTTCCATGCCCAAGCGCGTACCAGAATGACGGGGGAAATGACAAGAGGTCTCGCTCCAATTTGAGTTTGCCACCATCGCATTCTGACCAAACAGCTACACGAAGCTGAGAGAGTTTTTGAGGATTCCTCACCAAGGTGGCATAATAATCGACCTGACTTTCAGGCCTTCCGGTGCAACGAAAAAGGCAAGATTAATAATTCGAGGCATCAAAGTTCCCACAGGCTGCCTAGCCGCCCAGGAATTGCATCTCCTCGGATGAGCAGGGGTGATGTGTCCCAAAAAGCATATGAACTGGCGCCCGGGACGGCTCGATTGACCATGGCACAGCCAACGGCTTCACTTGTCTCGCATTCTCGTCCTCTCTCCCTCCCACCCAAAATATCAACCATATACCGGAGCACTCTCTCTCTCTCTCTCCCCGTCGTCCGATTGCCCGGCGCAGTCAGCGAATCTCGGAGTTACCCCGCCACTGACTAAGCGGGCCCCTCCCAGATCCCGATCGGGAAGTGCCGCAGATCTTATCAATTTCCTTATCAATTTTCACGTTTTTCCGCCTCCAAAATACCCGCCTTCTCCGCCTCGACTGGCGTCCCCTCTCCACTGCCCGAGACACTTCTGTCTTTGCTTTTGCAGTCTATAGAGATCTCTTGCTATTCTTGTCCCTTTGTTTTGCCACTCGTTTCGCGCCCTTCCTTGTATTTCACTCGTCGAAGAGGCGTCGAGCCACCGTCATCTGTATCTTCATCGCTATAATCTCCTAGATTTTCGCAATTTTATCGTGCTTCCCGAGAGATGGAGCGATAGTGAGGGTGCCGTTCAACGGCCTTGACGGACATCTCACATTGTTTTCGGTCATGCAACCGCTTCTTGTGCATATTTTTCAAAAGATATTCTCTTTAGTTATTGTGGCGGCTACCGTTTGATACCATCATCTCAGCATACATTTATTTTGTTGTTTATATTCTGTTGGAACCTTTTTTTTTTTTTTTTTTTTCACCCCTTTTTGATAATATGACTTTCTCCGTTCTTGCTCGCAAACGGCGCCGACAGCTTTCGCCTCCCTCCCCTCACATCGTCTCTCGCAAGTCATCCGTGGTGATGGTTCCGGCATTGCCTATGACCCCCCCGGATCCCGATGTCGACCCAATCCCAAGTATCAACCCGACCGCGTCGGCCTTAGATACGGTAGTCCATGTGATCTCCACGGAGCGGGCAGCTTTGGCGAACTTGGAGCGGATGTATGCGACCGATCCGTTTTCTAGGGAGAGCATGGAGCGCGCAGTCGAGCAAATCGCAAAAACAATCAACGTCGGAGGGAAACTTGTCATCTGTGGAGTGGGCAAGAGCGGGAAAATTGGCGAAAAATTGGTCGCTACAATGAACAGTTTCGGCATTCAGAGCTGCTTTTTGCATCCAACGGAGGCTTTGCATGGGGATTTGGGTATGATAAAACAGGTACGCTTTCGATCATGCACACTCTTCTCATGGACGGAATGCTAACCCTATTGGTGATAACAGAACGATACTCTTCTTTTCATCACGTTTTCGGGTAAAACGTCGGAGTTATCTATGGTCCTTCCGCATATTCCACCCATGTTACCGGTGATAGCGATCACGGCACATATGCAGCCATCGTCGTGCGCTCTGCTTTCTGATTCTGATATCCGATATACAATTTTGCTCCCAGCTCCGGTACATGAGCGTGAGGAAATATCTTTCGGCTTGCCTGCACCAACAACATCGACAACTGTTGCGTTAGCGGTGGGTGATGCGCTCGCTCTTGCCGTTGCTAGAAGCCTGCACACTATCCCTGGAAGGGGTCCAGCAGAAGTTTTCAAAGAGTTCCACCCGGGAGGAGCTATTGGCGCCGCGTTTGCTTCATCTTCTTCATCCGCGTCGGAAACGCCCTCTCGAAGTTCGGCATCATCCGCCACGAGCTCACCCACACTTGTTGGGCTAAATGGTGCCCTTGACCAGCCAAATGGAATCAATACTGCCCTGCAGCAGTCTCACCAAAAGTTAATATCCGATATTGCAACTCCATTATCGTATATACCAATTATTTCGCAGCTTGAACCATCATCGTCAAATACTCGCATAGCGGACGTCCTGGCGGCGGCCGTGCGCTGTCCCAAAGCAAATTTCTGGGTCTTAATGACCACGGATTGCATAATTTCACCAACACGCCTCCGCTTTCTGGCGGGTGATCGCGATCCTGGAACTCGATTGTGTGATGTTGACGATAAAAGTCATGTCGTTGTTAAACAAAACTGGATTCGTGTCCCAAAATCATCATCCCTAGCGACTGTGCGGCAAATCCTCAATGATATCGACTCTTCAAGCAAATATGAGGGTGCTGTCGGAAAAACTGGAAAGCTACCTGGAAAAGACCGTGTAGTTGCGATCACAGGTGAAAAGTTTGAGGACGATGTGTATGGTTTCGTTGAAGAGCAGGAGGTTTGGCGCGGCGATATGTAATCACCTGGATTCCTCTTCCTTTACGGGTAACCCCTGAACAGAAAGCATCGAAATGATTGTTATGAACTTGAAGTCAGCCCCTGTCGACTTCTGCATCCAAAGAAGCATATATACTTAACCATCTATCATTCTTGAGCATAGATAAAGATGATTTCTATTATTGTTTGTTTTTCCCGTTGTGTCGTGTTGCATCAGGGCCTGTATGAATATGGGCAGTAATTACTATCAACTAGGATCATTTTCTAGCCATATAAAATGTTTGTTAATGATCTCATTGTTTGCCAGAATCTAAGTATCATTTCATACAGCAGTGGAAGATCAGCACCATGGCTTGGTTACTCTCTCCAGAGAGGTTTATCCGGGCGCCTTTCCGGGCTCGGGGTTCAAGTTTCGATACCTGTATTATTAACACGAGCCTCAGCAAAGCTCGGTGCCCGAGACAATATAGAGCTGAAACGCAGTCCAGTGGATTCATAGAGAAAGCCTGTGCGAGAGAGACATGTGCACATCCGGGGTCCTATCAACTTCTTGCAGGGTTGAGAGAAATAAACCCCCCACAGTTGAGACTCACATTAATCAAAGAGAAATAGCAGCATTACCTAGGTGCTTTAAGGTTGATGGTGGTCCATTGTTAAGAAGACGGGCCAGAGGGTGGTGGATGGAGAATTTGGGCAACAGTCCATGATCATTGTACTTACAAAAGTTCAACACCTTGATGAGCAGGGAGTAGACACCATAATTGATGGGAAGCATTTGTATGGATAAGTGCAAGAATAACGCACTTGGCACATATTGAGTAGGTGACCGGATCGCATGGGATTGTTCTCTTAGTTAGATCCATGCACAATACGTCAGATGAGGACTTTGAGGTGCATGTACCCCATATCGCCCCATTGGCTGTCATTGTAAGTCCACTGATTATTTGAAAAAAAAAAAAAAAAAAAAAAAGAAAAAAGAAAAAGAAAATAGCAAATAGGACATCGATCTTTTGGTATGTAAAAAAAAAAAGAAAAGGATTGTTTGTCTGGATTCAAAGGAATCGGAAATCCTCACAAACTTCACAAATGAGGGAGAAAAAAAAAAGAAAAAGAAAAAGAGATGAATTGTCAACCAATCTCAGCATCAGAGAATCGGATATATGAACCCCCACTATCTGCTGTCGTTAACGTTCAAAAATCTGCAGAGTGTTCTTTGTTCCGTAATGCTTGGAAGAATGACTGTAGGTGATCAGACGCGCCAGTCATCTGCAAGACGGTTATGGAGTATTTTATGGCTGGCGGACAAGTGAACGGCAAAATACAAACATGAAAGAGGGTTTAGTTCAGGTCCATTGCCGTGGTATACACCCTAATTAGCCAAGAGTCATGCAGTTGAATGGCCGAAGGCGGATGGCACAGCACCAATCGGGGCGACAGGGAAGAAGTTGGCCCAGTAGGTGGCCGAGTCGCGATTCAAATACCACAGGCATAACGATCTCAACTGCGGGAGGGAAGGCTTCGCACAGGATGGCATATAATTGCATCTATTAACAGATGCCAGAATTTGCGGAGCTGGTGCAAAGTCTTTCGAAGTACAGAATCTCGCAGTTAAGCACCAGAATCCGCAAAAAGAGAGAAATCATGCACGAATGAGCATCAACTCTTTGAAGTACAACAGACCAGGCCGCAAGAAGTCCGTTAAGGTACATCCTAGTGGCGGCGATTGTCGTTTGCCTGAGCTGCACGCAGTGAAAGACTCGGGAGCAGCGTGTGCGGGGTAGCGCAGTCAAGCTCGCAAAGCCACAGAGATCTGACCGTTGCTCTATACTTGGCCCATATCTGCGGTTCCAAAGCCAGTTAACTATGCAGAGCGCAGGCGAGGGTGCAGTGGGTGGGCTTGTGGGCGTTTCGCACGGAGACGTAACTTTTGAGCGGTATATACTCCGTACAGAGCAGTAGCACGCCTTTTCGTGCCATCTGGCATGAGCCGGGCGTCCTCATACCAACCCCCTATATAACCCATAGGTATGCCGATGCACACGCGGACTGGCGCAATATCGTCGCGTGCAGTGTCAGTTGAGGTTGACGACGGGTGTGGGCTCGTTAGTCAGCCGGTCATCGCATCCTTGCTCGTGCATCGTGATCCGCTCAAGTCCTGGCATGCAGCATCCCTAATCCCGCATTGTCATGGTCCTCAGGGATGCGACCTCTCGCAAACCCAGATCATAATGCCATTGTTCAATTCTGTGCTACGCCACCTGCGATGAGGAAGACCAGGATCTGCAAGCTCGACTGTCTTCAGGACACGTCGAATCCCAACACCATGGCTCAACATCGCCATTCGCGCCCGGCAGTGCCCTCGTCCATAGCGCGGTGGAATCGCCGGGCTCGGATGATGCATGGATAGCCATCTCCATGTAATGAGCAGGAAGCCGCTTCTTTTGTCTGATCAGATGGAGGCAGCCAAGATCCTTTGATGACCTAGTTAGTTCGCCACCAAACCCAATAGCTCTCTCGAAAGCTGCTTGCCTTGTGACATCCTCACCTCTCCCTAAACTTGCCGCGAATCGATTCGGTCCAGCTTCACTCAAGTCTGCGAGGGCCTTTCATCTGCCATAGAGCTCGTACCTTCCCACCGACTGGCCACCCTTCTTTGAATGCGAGATACGGATGATCTGCCACTAAATACGTTGATAGCCCCTTTTCGGCGCCACGTTGCAGCTGTGGAAGGAGGCCGTCCTCTGGCAGCTCTGGACACTATGCTCAACGGATAGTGTCACACGACGCGCCGTAGACAAATAACTCCTACTCGGGGAACCCGTCGTTGCTTTGTTTGAGTCTAGGACAACCGTTTAAACCCCCAGCACTCCCCTAGCACACCGAAGTGCGAGCCGTCTCCGGATCCTAGTCCTGTCCACCTTCCAACATGCCTTCCACACTACGGACCCCATCCCCTATCGCTGTCAAACCTGTCAAATGTGAAGACAATGCTCCTGACATCTATCGACTCGATCCAGACGGGGATATCACCCTAGTTTTAACCAGATACGTGACGTACGTAGATGAAGATGAGGCCATGCTTGACATCAAAACGATATCCGCAGCCAAAAGGCAAGAGGATGACCTAGTGGAAGAAGGTAAGAACTATCTAATTGCTAGCTACGGATCGCTCCGCTAACACTACACCCGTATAAAAGAGGTTGTCTTTCATGTCTCCTCCAGACACATGATTCTGGCGTCGCCTGTGTTTCGAGCAATGCTCCAGCGAAAATTCAGCGAAAGTAATACCTTACAGCTGACCGGCAGCGTGGAGATACCTCTTCCCGACGACGACCCTGACGCGATGTTGATTCTTTTGAAAATAATTCATGGGCATATGCGTAAGGTCCCGCTCAGAGTGGATCTCATAACATTGGTACAGCTCGCCATCCTCATAGATAAATACGATGTCCATGAGGTTGTGGAGCTGTTTTCCAATTTTTGGTTTGATAATTTGAAGTCCACCATCCCGGAGAAATATACCGATGACATACCGGCTTGGATATGCATCTGCTGGGTGTTCGATAGGCCAAACGAGTTCAGGAAGACGACTCGCTTAGCTCTTCGTGAAGGAAAGCAAGCCGTTCCTTCGGACGAGCTACCGATTCCACAATCAGTTGTCGGTAAGCTATCCGACATTTCCATTTGGTCCTCAGGCCGGCTATACTAACCATGTATTTAGAGGCAATCAATAGCAAAAGGCAGGAAGTTCTCCATAAGCTTGTTACCACTCTCTACGGCCATATCGATGACTACACTGAAAACGAGCATTGCAGCTTTGAATGTGACGCGCTCATGCTTGGCTCCCTCACCAAGCGTTTACGAGCTTTGAAGATCTTTCCCCATCGGCCCGACCCGCCATATGCTGGCCTATGTTTCGAAGAATTTGACTATCGGTTCCGACAGGGTATGTATTTTCCTGGCGCTCAGCGGACAAGCGCATACTATTATGAGCACTCAAAATGCGCGATTCGGTCGCTCGATACGACCCTATTGAAATGCGAAGAGAAGCTGTCGGGATTGGACATGTGTGATTACAAATGACATCACTTCTCATCTTTTCTTTTTTCTTTTTCTTTTCTTTTCTCCCTTTTTTTTTTTTTTTTTTTTTTTTTTTTTTTTTTTTTTTTGGGGCCCCTTCCTTCAAGAAGCGGGTTTGATTTAACTGCGGCGATGTTAAATTGTGTATAGCTACTGGGAAATTCTATGGACTTAACATCTTATTGGGAATACACGGCATATCCTAAATGGCTGGAGAAATGGAGTACGTTGGTAGTCTTCCTTGATCCCTTGCCGCCTGAAGTGCGCCTTCGACTGCGTTTTCAACGTATCTTTGGATCGGGCCTCAAATATCCTCCAATTCAAAAGTGACGGGATCATACACGGTACCCAGAGACCATGGTCAAATTATTATGCGCTTTGTGCAACAGAAAAAATACAGTTCTGGACTCAAATGCTGTTCGCGCCCGATTTCATGAGTTGAAACTCCCCTCTGTCAGCTTAGTGTGTTGTACCTATGTGAATAGTTATGCACCCAGCCGCATACACATTGTGAATACCGAGCGGCATATCGACTACACGAATTACCGATGCAGGCTAAAATGAGGAACAGGTCTACTCTAAACATTCGATGGGGATCATCAGCCTATAGATAGAGGTAGGATAATAGGCATGACTTCCGGCCTACTTTCGCGGCGTTGTCGCGTGATGGATTCAACCAGCGGAGCTAAAAGAAAACAAGAGAACTGAAGGAGAAATGTAGCCTGATTCCGCAACTTAAGGTAGATTATCTGCTTGTCGCGAAAGAGCAATGGTAATTGTCTCAAAATGTTCATAGCAAGTTGGTAGCGGCACTTCAGGCAAAGCTGCATGCCCCGATGCTAGCCTCGATGGACAAATCATAAACACCTTAGTTATCTGCCCTCCAAGCTCAACACCAGCTAGTTAAGGCACGAGGAAAGGAGTCAAGCATTGCCCCAAACCGTGACATATGGCCGGACTTCCTGCTCAACATCACTCCGGACGTTATGAACCTTTGTCTTCCAAAAAGCTACCTGTCTGCACTTGTTGGTTCGCTTTCAGGGAACGTCTTTGAGGGTCATACGAACAAGGGGCAGCAAAATATCTGCGGCATCCTTACCAGGGATATGCTGGCCAGCTCTTCTCAAGGGTCGTAATCTTAACTCTGTCCTCTTCATTTCCGCAGAACTGTCACCCATGAGTATAGACCGTACTCCGTACTTGGAGGGCCTATGCACTCGAGTGATACTCTCTCTGAAACCTTGGCTAGATCCTCCACCTCGGAACTACTATCATAAGATCAAAACCGACGCAGCCACTAAGGGCCGTAGCGGTGGGGGCTAAATCTTGACAGGGATGCCGGGCTTATATATCAACCCAGGAGAAAGAAGTTTTATCCCCTGATTCTTTGCTCCTGTACGGAGTACAGAGTACTCCTTCCGAAGTACGGAGTACAGTGATCGGCATCGAGGCCTCAGAGCAATATCCACCCTTGCCTTCGCAGAAGATGCCCCCTTAAATGAAGCACAAAGAACCATTCCGCGTACATGGTCTTGCTGAAACGGCCGGAATCTTGAGGATGCCAAAGAGCAGGCATTTGTATGGACATAGAATCCAGACCCTCTCTTCCCACGACGTGCCTCAAGGCTCCGGCCGAGAGCACTGGCGTATGGAAGCGTTTGCACTGTAACTGCCCGTCTTACCTGTAAGTCGGGCAACAGCTTGCCCAAGTTTAAAAGTGCCACTTCATTCCCACTACCAACAAGACGTGAAAAAGAATCCGCTGTGTCCTTACAAAATCACATTAGATAACCCAGGGGACCACATTTCCAGCACACACACTCTCTCCACATTATAAAGCAGGCAATTGGTGTTTGGCCCTGTTGACAAGAGTACATCCAGAAGCAAAGCAACTGCGAGAATGATTGACTCTAATAACCGGTCTGAATTCTATCCAAATCATACAGGGGCATGGAGACCTTGACTCCTGGGAAACACATCTCATATATGAGCGTTCCCCCGGAAGTTAAAGTTGGCTCAACAGATAATCATCAAAGAGCTGTGGACTGCATCCGGCAAACCTATGGTCGATGGAGCCTTTTCCTAGTCTTTCATTAAGTTTGTCTACCTTTCCACCCCAACTAATCAAACGCTTTTTGTGCTACGGAGTACGGGGATACTATGATCGTTTTCAGCATGCTATGGAGCACAGCTAATCAGCCTAGGCTTTGGAACTCAAGGTCATTGCTTTTTCCTTTCCTTTTTCTTTTTCTTTTTTCTTTTCTTTTCTTTTCTTTTTTTTTTTTTTTTTTGGTGGCGGGGAGGGGGCACGAGCTCGCGAAGAATTCTCATGGAAGACATCCTGGACCCGAACTTCATCCATAAAGCCCAAAGCTATGTTCCGTTTTCAGTTTGTTGGGCAATGGGCTTTACAGCGCGTCCGGCTTTTCCATTACATCTGATGCACAGAAATCAGAGAAATTTGAAAACGAACATTCTCTGAGAGCTCTCTAAAGGGGCACTTTGAACTGCTTGAGTGGAATAATATCTAGATCGACAATACAGTTCTCCGGAAGAAAAAAATTTCATTTTGTGCTTCAGGGATAGTGAAGTGTGAGAAACTGGAATATTAACCCGCTAAGCCATACGAGTTGAATTCCTGACAAAAACGGTGATTCTTGGAGGTTGACTTTTCAAGGCTTCGAAGCTTACGAGAGTCCCACTGGCGTGTTTTGTAGCTTGGAGCTTAGAATTCAGAGACCATCCAATGGCCTCTGTGCCGAGTTCTTCGCAAACAACAGCTTCAGGATCGTTTAAACACACTTCCCAAGGTGATTGGCGTTTCTGCCTAGGTGGTGTCTCCGGCCTCAGGTTGACGGCCAGCCCCATTGGCCGCCTACAGGGGACTGCTAGGGAAAGCCAAGACGCGGGCCCTTAGGTCGCTTCGGCCTCTCCTTCAGGCCGTTTATCGCTCCTGATGCTGCCTGGTGTTGCCTGACGCCATGGAGAACGGGGACACACATTCAGGCCTCTACAACATTTCTCAGCTCAAGCAGAAGCTTGAAATGACACCTGCTGGGCGCTCTCCCGGGCCATAAAAGGGCGCGTTGGCTCACTTTTTCAAGTCGAGAAACAACATCTCATCGCGTTCAATGATCGTCTCGAAGTAGTGCCTATTTCTTTCAGACTATCTGACACCTGCTTCTTGAGTTTCCAATTGAATAAACCTGCCGTCTTCCAGCTATCATGGCTGCTTCCCCTTCGGTTCTCTCCCAGACCCTCCAGTCGATTACCACCACGAAGATCGAAGAACTCGAGAAGCAACGCCAAAAGTACGAAGAAACCAAGCGTAAAATACTTGACTTGACCAGCGATGCAGGCGACAGCATCCAGAAGCGTATTTCCCGCCTACATGCTGGCGTGAAGGAACTTCAACTTCTACCTGAGGCGGAGCTGGAAAATATGGACCGCTGGCTTCATCAATCTCAGTACGATCCAACGATCCCAGAGTCCATGCTGGTTAACTTTGAGTCTGATCTTCGCTCTCGGTTGGATCGCCAGACTCGTAAACTGGATCTGGCCGATTTATATTCCCGCTTGCTTATCGAATGGATTAACTCCCCCACTTCAAGTGACGGGAACGCTGAGAGGCTCGACAGCTCTATGGTCGACGAGGACTTTGATGTCGTTCAAGATATCCAGAAGGAAAAATTGCAGCAATTACGAGAGAAGTTCGAAAAGGTGGTGTTTGAACCTCTGATGACCGATAGCGAGGATATTACCCGGTATTTAGAGACTCTCTTTTCAGGAGATGAAGGACAGGACGCTCTGAAATTGTTGCGGGAAGCTGTCAAAAATCATGGTAAACTTCTCTTTTCCGAGAAACAACCTGTGGAGAGGAAAAGCCTTAAGCAATGCATCCAGTCATTGCTGAAAAATGACCTTCTCAATGACCAGAAGCTCGCAACTCTGGGTGAATTTCTACACGATGATACTGTGCTCGATGAAATTGCGAACGTGCTAAATATGAGATACGCGAATCTGGGCAACTGGTCCTGGAATGTAGGAGGCAAAGGAATGCCGGTCCTGCCGTAAGTAATTACTACAATGATGCCTTTCCTCAGATATAAGTAATAATGTTTCTCCAGTCGGCAAAGTTTGAACGGAAAGTGGCGTGTAATGATGGATGAAGACGTGCTCCAGGCCCTGCTCACCCACTACATTGGGAACAAATGGTGTGTCTTCCTGAAGAAATCTTTGCACCGCGTCATCGAGCGGATAGCATTTTGGGCCAAAGACTGTGGAATACCAGAGGAAGATCAGGCATTGCGGAGATATTATCTCAACGAGGGCGCGCATCGTTGGACAGTCAAGAAGGGCACCGAAAAAGAGAGACACGATGTATACAAGGATCACTTTTTCTTAGCACCTATGCCTGGCCGCGAGTTCCAAGACGCTGTCGGCTACGATGATGACGGTGATAGTGACGACGATGATTATGATGAGAGTACCATCAATTTGAATGGTGATAATAATTTGTCACCAAAGGAGGTCAAACAACTTCTTTTAAGGACTCTGGCGACTGAAGTTCTTATGGGACGCGCCTTTGACGGAGAAGTCGCCGTCGTCCAAAGCGATTTCCTATGGTTTGCTACCAGCGTATCCCATAATACGATATTCGCCGTTTTACGATTTGTTGGATTTGAAGAAGAATGGATCAATTTTTTTAAAAATTTCTTAGAACCGCCTTTGGACATGTTGACCGGTGACCAAATTAGGATCCGCAAACGCGGTCTTCCGATGGCTCACATCTTCGAAAAGGTTTTTGGTGAATTGATCTTGTTTTTCATGGATGTTGCAGTCAGTCAGCAGGCAAACATTCTACTATATCGATTTCACGACGATTTATGGCTCTGCGGAAAGCCTGATAGCTGCGCCAAAGCATGGCTGACCATGGAAAATTTCGCCAAAATAATGGGGCTCGAGTTTAATAAAAGTAAAACTGGTTCAGTTTACTTGGTGGAAGAAGGTCGGACGAAGAAGCCCGAAGTGGTCAAGGTTCTACCCGAAGGACCAGTCGCTATCAACTTTTTAGTCCTTGACCCCATCACTGGAGAGTGGACTATCAATAGATCCCACGTTGAGGAGCATGTTGCTCAGCTGTCGAAACAGTTAAACGGGGCAAAAAGCGTATTGCAGTGGGTTAAAACCTGGAACAGCTGCATTGGCCGCTTTTTCAGCTATACATTTGGCGAGTACGTCATTCTCCTTCCATCCAAAGCATTGGTTTTGGAACTAACATTCAAGTTCACAGACCATCAAATTGCTTCGGGCGTAAGCACCTTGATGCCATTTTCCAAACCCACCAAGATATTCAGAGTTTTCTTTTCAATGACCAGAATGGCAATGGCAACAGTGTAGTCGAGCACCTCAAGCAGATGATCACCTCCCGATTCAACGTTTCTGATATCCCTGACGCTTTCCTATACATGCCTGAAGCCCTGGGTGGCCTGGGGCTCCACAATCCCTTTGTCCCTCTCTCTCTCGTCAGCCCTCACGTCTGTGAGGACCCAAAGTTGCTTATCCACGCCTTTCTTGAATCTGAAAGAGAAGCGTACAACAAAGCCAAGCGGGAATTTGAGAATCTTACTGAATCAGAGCGCCGGAAACGCTTCAAGAATGCCTTCCCTAGGGATGAAGACACGGGAACTCGTCATTACGCACCCGCTACCGAGGGACAAAATGAGTTCTTCTCCTTTGAGAAATATACCCAATGGCGCGAGTATACCAGTGACGCCTTGAACACGCTATATTGTCGGTTGAATACTGTGGCTTTCAAAAAGACTATAAACTTTTCCCATGCCGTGCGGCAGGAGCTGAATAAGCTCTCCGGCCCGCCGGCGAATCTGAAGGAGTTATGCCAGGGGAACATCGATGCGGAGATGGGGTGGCTAATCCAGTTCTATTCGAGTGAGTTGGAGGAGAAATGCGGCGGCCTGAGCATTGTGGATCGGTCATTCTTGCCGCTCGGGGTGCTGAAGGCGATGAGAAAGAAGAAAGTTGCATGGCAGATGGCCTTGTGAGGTTTTGTCGTCGTGGTACCTCGACGAATAAGGCCGTTAGATTGGTGAAGTGTTTCATACATTACAGCTTGGATGAAGGATGAATTTTAATTCATCAATGTCATGAAATCCTAGGTGATACAGCAGAGAAATCAATCGACTCTACCAAACCTCCGGTGATCAGCTTGACGCTGTCATAGTTTGTCGGAACAAGTCAACTCCATAAGCGTGGTCAAACTGAAATAATTCCATTCTATTTCATAGGTGTTCTCTATTCGTCAAGCAATGTCTAAGCATGCTATGTAGGTTGGTTCTTCTAAGAAGGAAAGAAAGTCAAGAACCTGATAAGGGCATTATTCTAGCTCCAGCAAAACGGCACAGCCGCATGAAGCCGGAGAAAGAAAAACGTCACAAGGGAACGCCAATCTATGCATCTTGTAATTGCTGCTCAGCAATGACTTTTGGATTGGTCTTGCCCTCGTAGATCTCCTTGGTCTTTTCCAGAATTGTGGACCAGTCCTCGAATACAGTAAACGGAATCTTTTCGCGTTCGCAGTAGGTGATCAAGTCTACGCATTGTCAGTTTTTGACGAAATCTATCAAAAGGGCACACTGCACAAATGCATACCATGTCCTTTCTTTGCAAAAAGCAAGTCCGTCTGGGAGGCAGCTGAAAGGTCAGAAACGCCATCTCCCGCATAGAGGAGAGTAGGACGCTCATCGGACGAAAGAGCGGCATATGGCTTGATCTCAAGTGATTTATCATGGCCAAAGTGACTAAGATGCCACATCATCAACCAGCCACTCTTTCAAAGGCACGAGAAAAAGGAGGAAAAAGTAGGGCCCACCTGTCATCATGATAAACGATCTCCCAGCCCCATTCCTCGTTGATGCTTTTTCCTTCTCTCGCCTTCACTTGGTTGGCGACGATCTGGATGTGATCTGGCTCCTGGCCCAAAAGCTTCACGAGTAGTGCATGGATGATGGGAACCATTCCGGAAGACAGGATGACGATGGGCACATTATGTGCTTTAGCCCAGTTGTAGAATTCGGTAAAGTAGGGATCCAGCTTCATGTTGTCGCAAAGGATGCGGATGCACTCGTCAAATGGGTTCTTGACACTGTCCAGCATTTCGCGGAAGGAGTCACTATTCTAGTAATTTAGATCCCTTTCCCATGTCCAGAAAAAAAAAAAAAAAAAAAAAAAAAAAAAAAAAAAACCGAAGGGGGCCTTGAGATGAAGGTTTGGATGCAGACATGGTGATTGTGGTGGAGATGCTGTATCTCAATACATACCGGAAAGTAATCGTGCCATCCAGAACGGCTTTATTCCCAGCCCGGCGCTTCTCTTGTCCGTAGCCAAGGTTATCGGTCTATTACGACTCCAGACATCACGGTAAGCCCGCTTTCTAGTCGCATATCACACGAGGATTGAATCCATTGAAGTCTTGATGAGTAGGAGGTGGAGATGAAGGTGCGTACCATGTAATCATTGCCTGCCAAGCACCTACATCAGTATATGTTTCTTAGGGGCAAAAAGGGAGAAAGCAAGAGTACGCAGAATGACATACTGTCTTTCAAGGTAATGGTGCCATCAAAGTCCGTAAAGAAGATAATCTTCGGGTTTGTTTGCATGGCAGGCAAGTCACTATGAGAACCCATTTTCACAATTGCTAAAGTAATTCTTCAAATTCCCTATCCAGAGTAAAGAGGGTCAGCTTGCTGTATCAATCAATGTTTCCGGGAGTTTGCGGGAGCGGACTGTTAACGTGGTTAAACCAAGTCCTAGCACCGGTGGAGAAGGGATGCATTCACAAGAGTTCCGTTAATAATAAAAAATCAAAGCACTATAGCGAACGCAATTGACCACTGTCCTGGATGACATGGGAGCGGTGTTCGTCGCCCGTCGTCCTGGTGTGCCCACCGTTCCGCTTCATGGCGGGGGAGGGGCGGCGAACAGGAAGCGGGAAAACGGGGGCGGAACCGGGGATGGAACTCACCACGAGCCAGCGAATGTAGGTTGATACTAGATCAGGAACGTGAAACCCCAACCAGCGGGCTTCAGCGGCGTTTGGTTCAGAGAATGGTCCTGCAAACCTACAACAAGGGGCAAAGACAGGGCAATTGACGCAGAAAGTGTAGGGTCTTCAGGAGATTGCTCTCAATTCCGTCACACTAAAAGAAGAGATTTACAGGCACACTGTAGGGCTTAGCTAAGCTGGTGGGTACGATGGGCTGATCGACGCGAGAAACGTAGAGCGACAGGCTGCAGAGGCAAGGGAATGGCGGAGCATTCCGGGGCACTTAGGACGAAAAGCACGGTTCTCGGTGTTGACGGCATAAATACGGAGTACGGAGTACATATTATGGGTTTATGTTCGGAAAAAAAGACGCACAGGTTGGTCCTGGAACATCCAACATGGCTCCCCGACCAGAAACGTAACGAGGAAAGGGTAATAATATTACATCTCATCTGACAGAATGCATCTCGCTGGAATGCTCAAGGAAAGGCCTTGAGCAAAACACGCATCAATTAAAAAAAGGTCAAAACCCGGCCCACGACTATCTCCACTGCTTCGCAGCGCCATTGTAGTGGTATATCATCGATCCTTGCCGCGTGCCAAATGCTGAGACTGGACCAGAACATGGCCCTCTCTAGGATTCTGTCTCTATTCCGTCTCCGACCATCCCCGTCTCCTGGCGAATCTGTACTCGACTGTAGAATGCGTGTCGCTCCCTGTCCTATATGGCGTTCAATAAAAAACGGAGATTGACTCGCGAAGATCGGACCGTCATAAATAATCTATGAATTTCTTGGCGGCTGTCATCCATAGCGTTTGAGATTATAAGACAAAGATACAGAAATTTGAAATCTGGAAAAACTCGCGAGCTCTTGTGTAATAAGCCCAGTGACGTAGTAAATAGCCAATGATCTTCTAAGGCTGGCAAGTCGATATTATCAATCAAATAACGATGGTTGTTGCTCCAGGTTTTCAATCCGAAGCCGACGTTTTCGCTTTAGATTGATACCTGGCGTCCACCTTCTCCCCTAATTTATCTTGAACGGCCGAAGATACACCTGTACCGCTATCCTCTTCGTATAAATGGTGCTCCACGATGTAGTCGATGACCGGTCCTGGAATCAGATATCGAACGCTCATTTCGCGTCTCAAAAAGAGTCGTATCTTTGTGCTGCTCACGTCATTCTGGATGAGTTGTTGGATCACATAGATATTATCCTTCCAAGGCAGTAGTCCAGCGATAGCTTCGTCGATATCGGTACCGCTGCGTTCCACGATAAAGGTCTTGATCAAACAGGTTAGAAAGCATCCAGGAACTTTCAGGGAAATGCCCTATGTAACTTACCCCATAACGGCCTAAAATATGATCCAAGTCCTCTTCGCTCCAGACTCCTGGTGTTGACATGGTGTGAATAAGGTCCGCTCCGGCTAGCAAAGCAATTCGCACTGGCCTGCGAGTGCCATCGCCAATATCGATTCCACCATGAACGGTATTTATCTCGTGGTCAAAATGATCCAAAACCTTCGCCGTTGGACTGTAATCCTTTTGCAAAGCTTCCCATGGGTCAACCATGAGCCAATTCGAGGTCTGATCCACCGCCAGTTGGCACATTGCAATCCTAAGGACGGGTGGAGGTTAGTGGTGGAAAAGGGAAAGAAAAAAAAAAAAAAAAAAAAAAAAAAAAAAAAAGAATGAAAGCAAGACCCGAAGCAAAGCTTCAGGGAACGAGGAGAGGATGGGATCCATACCGATGTCGTGCACTGGCAAGGCCGGCTTTCCGATATGCATCCGACACGGGAGACAGATAACCACCAATCAGCTCGAATTTGGTGCTAAACTTGACGTAATCGGCAGCCATCTCGAACATGCGGAGATGAAGGTATGTGATAGGAGAGAATGAACCACAAGCGACGAGGAGCAGCGGGGTCTTTCCCGGATTATCCATGACTTTCTTCAACCGATCATCGGGAAATGAGTAAGAGGACAAGCGTTCTTGTGGCGGGGTGTCGTCCACGCTATTAAACGGCCTATTGGGGTCGTCATGTTGTCCGGTCATGGTTCAGACTCGTCAGGAGAGGACGGGAGAAGGATGGGCGAGATGAGGGGGCAAAAAAAAAAAAGCGAACGTGACAAATTCGAGAATCTCAGCAGGTGGCTTGGTAGACCCGAAAGTGCTTTTAAAAAAAAAGGTGATGCTAAGATAGTATATATGACAATACCGGGTTCAGACTTGACCAGGGCTATCGCTGCATTGCCGAAGAAACGAGGTCGCGGGAGATGCGTGTGGTCACAGAACCATTGCTTGGTGAGGGGCAGGTTTAGCACGGCAGCCTGTGTACTTATGGAGTTGAGTCAAGGAATGTTCAAGTCTGCTTGATTAATGGAAGTGATCATCAGAGTCACAGAACAGTGCATAGGCGAAGTGACACTGATAAAATGCGATTAAATATGGATTGTACGGAGTCTTCCTGTCAAGCGTTTTGGGTGTGGCGGTGAGTTCGAGTTTGTGAACTTGTCGTCGCTGGGAGGCAAAGAGCAGCGGAAGTTTCGTGTCTGTCCCAGAGTTAAGAGTGAACTAACTCCATAGCCAACTAGTAGCTAAATATAGCCAACTGCCGTTATTTATCCCTAGAGACCAGTCCAAGGCGGAAGCTAATCACTCAATGCTTCTCTGAACAGCTGGATTTTAAAAGCAAAGAAGGGCAAGCCTCATTTGGTGCTACTGCAGCTTTGGCCCTGACAGGGTTGACGCATCCAGGATCCGGTTGGACAGAAACACAGGCAGGAACTGACCCTCTTACCCTATCAATCAAACCCCAGCCCTTGGGATGAAACTTGCCAGCATGAGCTGCGAAGGAAGCTTGCATGGTGCTTCAATAGTGATGGAGCTCATGACGGAAGACGGCGTCGGGATGAGGAATCGGTTGGTCGTCGGACAGGCGATGCGGGGTGTTCGGGGAAGCATCACGGGAAGTTGGATCGCCATCGTGACCGCCGGCGGTTTCTTATCTCCAGCGACAGATGCAACCGCCCGGCGATTTCAACCTACAAAAACATCTCCCAATATTTGATCTGCATCCTTGTCTAAAACCATACATTCCCGACACGAAAGGGGGGGTGTCGTCGTCAGGCTTTCATTGATTCGGTGAGGGCATGCTACGCGGTGAGATTTCCACCAGAACTAATTACTGGTCTGTAAATATCAGAAATACGCGGGGGCGAATTGAGACTCTATAAACCTATATTGGCGCAGTCCTCGAGCATGTCGGCCCGAGAACCATCTGTTAACCTCCAAAGCTGCCGAAACACAGCACAGGGGCTCCGAGCTAACCCTTTATCAACTGCTGCTCCCCTGCTGTACTTGTTGAGCTGCGTTAACAGAAAAGAAAAAACAATGGTATCGAGACTGATCCTCTTGTTGCCTTCATCGATCAGTACATTCTGTGGAAGCATTATCCGATGCATAGGATTTGCCAGCGCTACTTCGTACAAAAAAAGGGTTTGCGAAAGCAGTGTAACAAACACCACCCGAACCCGAGCCAGGCATGTTTTTCAGTACCAGCGATATATTATCACGTTATGAAGAGGGTTCATCGATCGCAATAGCCTTGATTTTAATATTGGAACCTAGAATGCCGCCTTTACTGCTATTAAGTTAAGAGTATGTGAGCCGGTGATATAGCTATTTGAGACTCCCTCAGCAGCTGCGCTTTAATGGGCTTTTATGTTGTGCGTGTTCGGTGGAAGAGAACGGAGGGAGATCGAGCAAAGTATATGAGATACTGGGCAGAGTGGCTCAGAGAATGCGAGACCACGCTTGAGAGCATTTTGCATAGAAATGGGAAACACAATAGTTGACCTAGAGAATGAATGCTGGTGTAGATGCTGAGATCGTGAAGCTGGGCTCCGCTGAGCACACAATCAAAAGGTTGGAGCAGTACGCGAGATCTGCATGGTGCACCTCCTCTCCTCTTCTCTCGTATACTCTTGTATGAGTCCTAATAGTGGCCTTATTCTAAAGAAGGGGCTCAAAATTTGATTTCGATTTGGCAAAGGCAGCTCCCCAGGCGCTTAGGCATTGGTTGCCCAGCAATGGAGCGACCTAGACAGAAAGACAACAGGGATAGAAGCTCAGAGTGCTCGAAGCGCTCCGGTGTCACCGGTGGTTGAGCGGTGCCCAGAGGCTGGCAAGGAAGAGGGCCATTGGGGCCAGCTATGGACGGAGTACTCCGTACTCGGTACCGGAAATGTGTTGAAAATAAGCGCAACTTCTCGGCAAGGCCCAAGGTACCCGGTACTGCTCCGCAAGCGCCTGGCCTGCTTGACTAAACTCCAGCCGGGCTTGGCGTGGGAAGACTAGCGCACCGCCTTCGCTCGTCATGCCGCCGATGTGAACTCACGAATATCTCATCAATCATCCTCCATCGCCCGCCCATTCTCTGAATATCTTTCTCCCATCTTCACCCACTTCAACACACTCCTTTTCTGGAATGCTGGTCCAGGCCTAACCTCCTCACCTGTCCTCTACCGTACCTGTCCCTCACTCCAAAGTGTTGTTCCAGCCTGTGACGTGGACAAATAGCCAACCTGCCATTGTTGCTTCAGTGCGTCTTCCTTCCTCCTCCCTGCGGATGGCAGGTTGACGGCGGGCACTGTGCAACACATACATATGGCCAAGCGAACTGCCTCAGCTGCCCTTGATCAATCTGGACGGCCCTCGGAGAATTCCATTGCTATAGCCCCATCTGCTCAGAACCCGACTCCTCAGGCAACTTCCCTCTCCTCCACATCTCCACCCTCTCTGAGGTAATTCCCGGCTCTGTTCTCGTTTGCTGTAGCTCTATTTCTTATTTTATCAGTCCTTCTCACATGGGATATTTCTTCACCTTTGTTTCTTCTCGACGGGGTTCTATGTCTTGCAGCTGCTCGACTCCCCTTCTTTAGACAACTTCAAGACCATTTTCCCGATTCCCACCTTTTCTCAACTACCTTTCGATTTCCCCCCACGCAAACAAAGTGATTCCTCAGGAATAACCAAAGTTCTCATGTCCCGCAGAATAACGCGTTCCGCTGCAAGGCTCGCTGCAGAAAACCCATCCACGCCTGGCGCACGTCCTGGCTCGAACCCAGCCTCCAACCCGTCCACCTCATCCCAATCTCGGAAGCGGAAAGCTTCAAATCGCCGTGAGAAAGAGTCACCTGCACCTGAACAAGAGCAAACCCCTTCGACTAGGTCGCCACCCAGGAGAGCAAAGAGGCTGAAGACAGCTGCACCGACTACAAATACCAATCAACAACCCCCCCGGTCATCAGCACCACGTCAATCCCACCGACAGGCAGCGATGTCACAAGCAGGGTATGTGTTCCGAGGATTTTATTCTTTTTTTGCCTGTACGAGTATGCACATTATGAACTGGCGGTAGATGGCACATTCTCTGCTGGCGTGGGCCAATGTTCTACAACGCAGACGCGTTTCATCCCGAGTCGTCCCTGCAGTCGATTCTGATTTCTAACCTGTCTGGTAGATCGTCTTCCCGCGAACCAGATGACATATCCAAAGGTACCCAATCCGCCTCCAAACCGAAATCATCTAGGCACAGAAAGCCGTCTCAAGGTACCGTGGGACCGTATTCGATTCTTTCACCCGATTTTGCCTACCTCTATGGCTAATAGCAGACCTTGTTTATAGACAATAATTCGCGTCAATTATCGGCTGCTCGCCACCAAAAGAGACGACAATCCAAACGTGACTCCGACACTACCATGAAAGACGCCGATGACATTCAGGATGAAGGTGCAGGAAGAAGTGGAACAGATGTGTCATCTCCAAATAGCGAAGAGCACCCACGAAATGAGTCGGATCTAAATAATGAGGACAGCGGGGACCCGTTTCGCAGTCACTTATTCGGCTCTCGAAGCCCTCTGGAGCTGCAGAGCACATTGCGAGCGCTGAGTGGGATGATGTCTGGTATTTCGACAAGATTACGGGATATCTTTGTGAATCTGAGAATGAAAGATGATCCATCCATCCAACTTATCGCTTTGCAAGAACTATCCGACCTGTTACTTGTCTCCAATGAAGATACTCTTTCTGGACAGTTTGCGGCCGATTCTTATGTGAAGGAGCTCGTTACTCTCATGGAGCCAAGTGAGACTGGCGAAGAAAACCCGGAGATTATGCTCCTTGCGTGTCGCTGCCTGGCAAATTTAATGGAGGCCATTCGAGGCTCTGTTGCAAATGTTGTCTATGGAGGAGCAGTTCCGGTGCTTTGCCGAAAACTGTTAGACATCCAATTTATTGATCTCGCAGAACAAGCACTCAGTGTAGGTTCAGTCCCTTTACTTACCGTTAACTGCATACTATTGTGGAGTGTGACAGATCAGGCTATCTTCGAATGTTCAATCACTGACTGATGCAGACGCTGGCGAAAATCTCTGTTGACTTTCCAGCTTCTATCGTACGTGAAGGCGGATTAACCGCGTGTTTGACTTACCTTGACTTCTTCCCCACCAGTACACAACGTACAGCTGTAACAACAGCTGCCAACTGTTGTCGTAATCTCCCCACGGACTCATTTCATGTGGTCAGAGACGTAATGCCCACATTACTGCATGTTCTCTCTAGTAGCGATCAGAAGGTCGTGGAGCAAGGTTGCCTTTGCGTTTGTCGCGTGGTAGAAAGTTTCAAGTACAAACCGGATAAACTGGAGGAACTTATCGAGCCGGAGATGCTCAGAGCGATTCTCCGCCTGCTTTTGCCAGGGACTACTAACTTGATTGGATCACATATTCATACTCAGTTTCTGCGTGTTCTCGGAATTGTTTGCAGATCGAGCCCTCGATTGTCAATGGAACTGCTCAAGATGGATGTCGTCGATACGCTTTATCAAATCTTGACTGGAGTGTCGCCCCCCTCTGGCGCGAGCGATGGCACTGTCAAAATAGACAGCGTTCACGTCATGCAAGCCCTAATTCATCGTCCACGGGAACAGGTTTATGAAACTCTCAATGTCATATGTGAAATGCTGCCGGGCGTTCCTGGTGAGGAATTGCTAACTAACGATCGGCTTCGCGCTGCGCTTGGTGATGATGTCCTTTCGTATTCAAGTTCGCACAAAGCAGGACAATCGACTGGAAAGCGAGTGGAATTGCTGAAACCATGCAAGGCGGAAATGAAAAGATTTTCCACGATTCTTTTACCCACATTGACAGATACGTATTCTAGCACAGTCAACCTTGCTGTTAGGCAAAAGGTACTTCTTGCACAGTTAAAAATGTTGCAACATCTGGATGTCCAGATTATCGAAGACGCGTTACGCAATGTACCATATGCTTCATTTCTCGCTGCAATCCTCTCGCAGGACGACCACGTTTCCCTTGTTGCGTTGGCTCTCCGGTGCTCAGAGCTATTATTTAAACGCCTAAAGGATATCTACCAATATCAATTCCATCGCGAGGGTGTCATTTCAGAGATTACCAGATTATCTGAGAAATTTGTACCGTCTTATGACATTGAGACCAAAGATGACAAAAGGAATCTTGCAGTCGATAACCAAGACAGCTCCGACGTTGAGGAAGATAAATCCGATGACAACGCTCGTGACGATTCCCACGAAGAGGACGAGAGCAACGACGATGAGGACTATAATGATGATTACGATGAAGAACACGATCATGATCAAGACCAGGAAGATATCTCGGAATCGGAGGGCTCTTCGTCCTCGGATGCCGGCCGACTTCGCCCTCGGCGTTTTCATAACGAAAAACTGGTGGTGGATTATGCTAAGGATTTCCTTCGGCTGTATGAGCATACCAAAGCAGCTGGGATGCATGATAAGGCGTTGGACGCTCTTCTCCATCTGAAAAGCCTCGTATCAGATATCGCTCTTTGTTACAAGCAAACCAAACCTGAAGACGGGTATTCACTCTTCCAGAAACTCTCATCGTACTTTACCCAAGATGCAGTTGAGAGTATTACAAGTGCGGAATTGCTCCACTCTGGCGTTATTCAAGTTTTACTCGATGTCATTGGCGATTTTCACAGTGAGTAATAACTGAGACTACTCTTTGACACGCCTTCCTCGCTAACTATTCTGTGCCATAGCCCCTGGAAATACCGCCAAGACCGACTTTCTTCGTGCTTTTATGGCTCAAAATGTTTCAAGCCTGAGCAGTGATACCGGGTCTACGACCCCATTTGGTGTTCTCATTCATAAGTTGCAAGATCTACTTAGCCGGACCGAGCATTTCGAAGTAATCACGGTACATCATAACTCTTATGAGAGTCGAAATATGACGTCAATGTTATCGAAGCAACTTCGTCTTCGGCTAAGTGCAGAGGACGAATCGGATATCCCTAAGGCTTACAAAAATGTCATGGTCTCAATCCATGCAATTGCCAACTTTAAGGCTCTGGATGAGTATCTACGTCCAAGGATAGCCATATCTGAACGTTCCCGAGCGTCTCGACATCGTGATCATCTCTTACCGCAACATGGTAATTCTCAATCGAAAGAACTATTAGGAGAGAGGGCAGAATCCAATGCCGGCGGAAAAGATAAACCATCATCGTCCCAACAGCCTGCATCCTCAACATCAAGTGAAACCCCACGTGCTGGGAAGGTAAATGAAAAATCAAAGACCGCTGCCGGCATGTCATCCCAACCGGCGACACCTGGTAGTCCTCGAGATCGATCTCGTCGATCAAGGCGATCGACAAGACGCCAACCTCCACCTCCACCTCCCCCGCCACCTCCGCCAGAGGATGAAAGCGATGAATCAGACGAACCTCTAGAATGTGCGGATGAACGACAGCTCAGCGATGACGATGATGATGACGAGGAAGATGATGAAGATGAAGGGCCTCTGGACGCAATAGTTGATGACTTGGAAGATGACCTTTCTGAGAACGGTGCCCCAGATCCCACAGCGGTGAACATGGAGGTTGGTTCTAGTGGTAAGGTAACCGCGCGACGAGATGACGGCACAAAGGTCGCAACGCCCTCGCAGCTGACGCCTGCTGGAAGCTCTGCATCCACATCCGCCTCTGCAGCACAGTCACTTCGAAGTTCGCTTGCCTTGGCCGGCCGTCCATTCTCATCGTATGCGGCAGCCATGGCATCAGTTCCTCAAGATTGGCATATTGAATTTAGTATCGACGGGAAACCGATCACCCACGATACAACAGTATATCGTGCCATTCATCACAATCGGAATCCCATTCCAGGTACTTTCACTGGGAATGTGTGGTCCGCCATCCACACAATTCGTTTCAAGCGTGTACAAGGACCACCTCCTGCCGAGCCATCAAAATTAACGCCGACAAAATCAACCTCACTCAGCGACCCAGATACAGAAGAATTACCAGAGTCTCTCACTGGAGCTGCGACCACTGCTTCGATTCTAAAGTTGCTTCGCGTTTTACACCGGCTGAACTCTCAGTTAGACTACATTTTGACCGAAACTAATGAACCGATTAAGGTTGTCGTAGAACCATTGTCGCAGTTCATTAACACCAAGCTCACCGCGAAGCTTAATCGCCAACTGGAGGAACCACTGATTGTCGCAAGTAGCTGCTTGCCAAACTGGAGTGAGGATCTCGCACGTCATTTCCCATTTCTCTTTCCATTTGAGACACGCCACCTGTTCTTACAGTCGACATCCTTTGGCTATGCGCGCTCCATGATGAGGTGGCAGGGTTCTCAACCCGGAGACGATAATCGCCGTGACCAACGTCGTGATGACCGTCCGTTTACTAGACTTCAGCGACAAAAGGTACGCATCTCGAGAACCAGGATTTTGGATTCCGCTATGAAGGTCATGGAGCTCTACGGCTCGTCTCCGAGCGTTCTTGAGGTTGAATATTTCGAAGAGGTTGGGACAGGTCTCGGGCCCACGCTGGAATTCTATTCTACAGTGTCTAAGGAATTTTGCAAGAAGAAGCTCAAGCTTTGGCGAGAGCAGGACTCTGCCGATGGCGAATACGTTTATAGCAAGCTCGGTCTTTTCCCAGCACCTCTTGGTCCAGAACAGTTGGCCCAGGACTCCGGAAAGAAGATCTTGAACTATTTCAAAGGCCTTGGGAAATTTGTGGCTCGGTCTATGCTCGATTCAAGAATCATCGACATTGCATTCAATCCGACTTTCTTCCAGATTGGGAACAATTTCTCAACCTTTAAGCCTTCAGTCGGTGCGATTAAAGCGGTGGACCCTGATCTAGCTAAATCACTCTTGATGGTTAAACAGTTTGCTGATGCCAAAGGTGCCATTGAAAGTAGCTTGTCCCACGCTTCGGAAGAAAAAGAACATGCGCTCAAGACGTGCGAGGTGGATGGAGCACGTATCGGAGATTTGGGATTGGACTTCACCTTACCCGGCTATCCGAATATCCACTTATTGCCTGATGGAGCAAACACCCCTGTTACTATAGAGAACGTGCACGTCTATGTTGAAAAGGTTATTGATGTCACGCTTGGGACTGGTGTACGGCCACAAATCGATGCTTTCCGGTCAGGGTTCTCACAGGTCTTTGCTTATTCCGCCCTGAAATCGTTCACGCCAAACGAGCTGGTAATGCTTTTTGGTCATGTCGAAGAAGATTGGTCTATCGAAAGTATGTTGTTACTTTTCTATGTTACTTTTCTATTGCTGGTTGGCTCCATCTTTCCGAATAACTAATTTTTCTTCCTTTTTTGTACTAGCTTTGATGGACTCGATTAAAGCGGATCATGGGTTTAATATGGATAGTCGTAGCGTGCGGAACTTGCTTGAGACTATGAGCAATTTCACTCTTCAGCAGCGCCGCGATTTCCTACAGTTTGTGACTGGAAGTCCAAAGCTTCCTATTGGAGGTCGGTTCACCCTTACTCTATGAGAGCTGTTTCCACATTTTTAGAGAACCTATCACTGACTGACGTATCAATAAAGGCTTTAAGAGTCTCACTCCCATGTTCACCGTCGTTTGCCGACCGAGTGACCCACCGTACACTTCTGATGATTATCTTCCTAGTGTGATGACTTGTGTCAACTATTTGAAACTACCTGACTACTCGAGTGCCGAAGTACTTCGGAAACAGCTTGATGTCGCGATGCACGAGGGACAAGGTGCATTCCATCTCTCCTAATTGCGGCTCTCAGACAAAATGAATAGTTATGTATCCTCCACCTTGAATCAGAATTTACATCGACCCATTCACACCGGCCTAAAGACGCAATGTTCGCAGTTACCGCTTCCGATTCTATGATGTCCCCATGCATATAACGTGTGCCCCTTTGCCATACTTGTTGCTGCGTAATTAGACAATGTTTAGCTCTTACATCTAGGTTGGTGGACGCAAAAGTCAGAGGAACGAAAAATGGGCTAGTTTGGCTTCTTATGCAAGATTTATAAATAACCTACATGGATGAAACGCTGCAGGAAGGGAATTTGGCGTTTCCCTGTGCAATATATCTCTGGACTGTATTACCCATTCAATTTGATGCGCTCGGTCTCTCATTTTTGAAGATGTATGTAATTTTGTTATATTGCATGTATGCTGCGGACAATCAGTTCGGCGCCAATTTACTATTCGACTGCTACAAAAAAATTGTCCTCAGTCATCTTGAGCTGAATGGTCTAAATGTTTTCGTGTCATTGCTTGGCCCCGGTTCTCAATAAATGGAGAAGCATTCCCCCTGATTTGTATGGAGTGCTCCGTACGGAAGCAGTGAGGTGAAAATAAAGACATCACATGACTAACCTTGATAGCGCTAGCGCCGAGTCAGTTACTAAGCTTCAAACCGGTGAACGTCGGCAGAAACGGCTTTTCGTCGTATGTGTTGGTTGATCTCTGCATCCCTATGAAGTCCACGGGAGAATTGGTCCGGGATATTCCAATGTTCAGCACCTGAGAAAACGAATTTCGTCACTTGACTTTTGTCGCCCAGTGAGGGAGCATCTTGTATTTCCATTTTTAAAACTTATTTTTATTCACTTTCAGTTTATCTGCTTAACCACTCGCTCTTCTCTAATGGGATACGCGTCTTTTTTTAAAGAAGCTGTAAGTTGCGGAGTGGCTTACCGTTCAGTTATAGGTCCGCTCACTTTATATGAACTAGTTTTCACCTTTGAAGGTCCTATTCCATTGAAACTAAACTACGCGGTGATCAACTCGCGCTTAAGCTATGGACGAATTCGCCCAGACGCGCGGCGTCGACGACCTTTTCGACGACGAGATTATCCCTGTCGCACCCTCGCAAGTCGAGGTCGAGTACACTGACGATGTTCAACCATACGATGCCGCGCAACCAGATGCCGTCTCCCCTCAGGCCCCGCAGGAGCCTACACCTGTCGATCGAAACGGCGGACAATATAATCGAAGACGTGGGAATGGCGGAGGTCGAGGACCACGCGGGGGCCTATATGTCAGAGGTGCAAAGTCGACTGCCACCGTAAATCGGCAGCAAGATGAGACCGAGAGCACGGTAAATCATGAGTCAACGAGTAATCAGTCTGATAAGGAACAAGCGCCCGCGGGAGCAACCGAACTTACTGGTGCGGATGGCGGTGACCCAAAGCAGAAGGAAGTTGTGAAGCCAAAGGTGCCTGCTGTACGCGGGGACAGGAGTGGTACTGGTGGTATCAAGAAAGTCTGTGGTCCCGTTCTTCTACTATCTCACCTCCCTGAGGAGTGAACTTGTGACACTAACGCGCACGTTTTGGTAATTAGCCTAGACTTACTGAAGGAGAACTATCGGAGCGGATGGCAGCCGTCAAGATTGCGGCAGCCAAACGCGCCGCCGCCCATGCTCGCGCAGAAGCAGACGAGGCTTCGTTTCAGCAACGCGAGCGAATTGCGGCAGAGAGACGCGCCCAAGAGCGCCAGAATCATCGTGTCATGACAAATGAGCGTGAACAAAATAGGCAAAGAAAACTCCGGGCGCAAACTGGCCGGGAATGGGATGCAGAGAAATCGCAAGATACGTTTGGAGACCGTGGAAGGGGCAGAGGTGCTTATCGCCGTGGCATGCACGGCGGTGTTGTAAGTGAGGGCCACAGAAGAGAGAATTTTACGACTTTTCAAGATGGCGAGACCGAGAAATTTGGTGACAATGGATACCGTGGACGAGGAGGCCGAGGCGCCCGTGGCGGACGGGGACGTGCATCCGGGCGTGGTCGAGGCCGTGGATGCCCGACGAGTCCCAACAACGCTGATGTTCCGCCGAATGCAGCTGCTCAGGACACAGGCGTCCAGTCGCCTCCCGCCCTCGGAGCTGACAGTGAATTCCCTGCTTTGCCCGGCAGTAATAAGGATGAGGCTCGGGCCATGTCTCTGAATACGGAGCAGCCGTCCGCTGCCGTGAGCACCGATGCTTCGATTTCTCCAACACCAATTCAGGGGTCGTGGGCTGATCATGTCGACGAACTCCACAAAGCCGAAGCAGAAGCCGAGAATAAGGCTTCTCAGTCTACCTGAGCGCCTCACCAGTTTACCGAAATTTCTTTTGTTTATTTGTTTCATTGTGGCCCCTTGTGATACACCACCGACTTTTTTTCCTTTTTTTCTTTTTCTTTTTTTTTTTTTTTTAATTATCTACATGCCTTTAAACGGATTCGTGTAAATTTCCATTTGTCACCATTGGAGGTTATTGCCTTTTTCTTTTTTCCTTGGAGGATTCACCCTTTTATTTCTTGCGTACTTTTGGGTATTTTTGCATTGGAATTGGGCGGTGGTTTTCTTTTTTTTTTTTTTTTTTTTTAATAGATTTTCAAATGGTGACCAGGCTCATAACGATTGGAGCCTCTTCAAACAAATATTAATCTTTTTTGGGACAACAAGCCTATCTTGAGGAAGATCTGAAGCTATGTTTTCTCGAAAAAGGGTATAAAAACAGTTTAAAAAGATTTTATATGTACAGATAGCCGGAATTAAAAGCGCAGAGTGTTGCGTTAAAGAGTCGCGTCCGAGTATATTGCGCAGAGCTCACGACAGTACTTATTCCACTTTGGTCTCTTTGCCACGGATTTTGTCCTTGAGCGCAACTATCTTGCTTCGAATAACTGCCTTTACCCCGGACGGGGGCGCCTCCTCCGCACCCACCAAACGGCGAACCAATAAGTTAAAGATATTCCCAAACGCGAGAGCTATTACTGTGCTCGTTAGGATAATGACATTGTACGGCATACTGAAGTCTGGAGTTGGCAGAGGGAGAAGAAGGCTAGTGGTACGAAGATAGATAAACGAAGGTGTAAGTGTATCGCTGGTGTTGTTACTATCAAGGATCCTAATCACTGCTGGAGCCACATTAAATCCCCTATTAGCGTCGGGAGGATATTCGGTATAACGTAAAATTGCCTTCTCGAACTCGTATATTAAAGTCACTGTGGATGCAGCGGGAACGGATAAAACTAACTCCAGCTGGGTTCCACGCTTTCGGTCGATTGCGGGTCGGTAGAAGATGTCTTTGATAATTTGCTTAGGAGACATCTCCTCTGATGAACCGTTCCTATGGGTAAGTGTAGTCTTCATAGTATGGAGGTATGGTTTCATGTACCAAGGGAGGCTTTCAAAATAGACAAAATCGACCGCCTTTGTGTTAGATGGATTGGTTAGAATGGATCTTAATCCGCCACGTTCTTGACCATGGCCGATCGTAGTTCTTTCAGCATGTAAAACTGGCTGTGCTAGTGGGACTTGGCGAACCGACTCCTGCGCTGGGAGGACAAGATTCAATCCAAGATTCGTGAAAAGTGTATAGCAGCGGGAAAAGCCGTCTGGGCTTTTCTGTTCGAGAGCCCCAGCGGTTGTAAGGACTTCTCGTTCCGCTGGAACCTTAAGACAGACTGTATTCGTCTCATCTTTCGAAAGGGGACAGGGCGATGGTATGGATCGGCCAAACACATCTGCCAAGCTCCATTCCTTTGTGGCGGCAGATGCCGCTGGATAGCAAGTATCTCTCGAGTGGTATAATTTAGACTGATCGCAAACCAGCTGGTCAACAGGAACGGGCCGGGGAATAGGGTTGTCTGGAACGGCAATTAGCTTTGCAGATTTGAATAATTTCGGCCGATTAACATACCTCTTGGGCGTTTCGATCTATCTATATCCAGCACCATATCTACAGACTGCTGAAACTCGACGTGGCATTGTCCATCGGTGCCGGGGCAAACAGGTCGAAAGTCAATAGACATGCTCTGCCATGCTGCGTCAAAAAGCCTATGACCGTCAAGCAAGCTCGAAATGCCTGCCTTCCCCTTGCACGGAAGCAGCTTTAGAAAAGGTGTCAGGTTCTCTGTACAAACGACTTCCCCTGGTAAAGTACCGTGGAGAAGATGCAAGTTCTGGACAGACGAATGATTGCCGCTCGGTTGAAAGGTAAGGTACGGTCGAGTCGTTCGTGTTGAGTCGATAAAGTTCAAAGAAGCGCAGAACAAACCGGAAAGCGACTGCGTCAATGTCACCCATTTGGCGAACGCCCTTAGATCCATCAGATATATATGATCCGCGTCTCAAGAGAGATTGGACGTACTCATCGTTTGTATCTGCCTCCATCCATGCCCACAGTTCAACCCCCGTGCCACCTTCTTTAAACCCCTGCGATGGGCGATCTCCCCAGTTCTCGGCATCCCATCGTCCTGTCGAGAATCGGAGGTGTAGCTCCTTTGTATTGGCGTGCTGAAGAATCTGTCCCAGAGAACGAGGAAAATATCTAAAGTTTTGTTGTTGAAATGCGGCAATGGATTCGTTGCTTCGAAAGCTGAAAGAAGCGAGCAAAGAGGAGGGCGGAAGAGGCTGGAGGACAAGCTGTTCAGAATAGTCCGAAGCAGCAAAAGCAACAGCAGCTATTAGCCATGCGGCAAGAGCGCAAACCAAATGAAAGGAAAGGAAAATCATCCCGACATTATCGCCCAACTCTGAGATAGAACGGCTATCCCAGGCTAGGGCCCAATTGTTCCATCAAAGACGGTGTTGACGCCTTACCGAGAGCTTATTGCGGTTGACAGAGGGAGTGAGGTCAGCGCGTAGAAATTACTAACCGGATACAGCTAGCCTGGACCTAATTCCGCGCGGTTCGTCTAAATTTAAGCGCCAGAGCCGCTTAGAACGCTAATCCATTTCGGGAAACGTTTGAAGGGCGAAGTCGAACATTCAGCATTCCGTCCATCCAGTACCGTGATTCAGAGAGCATCGTCCGGGTGTCGCAGCGATTGATTTTACAATACTAGCCTCCCCCTTAGATATTTCTCACCGAGATTTGCTTGGAGGATACGATTCAGCATGGCCGCCGAGCAGCGCAAGCTTCTCGAGCAGCTCATGGGAGGTGTGTGTTTGCCTTCAGCAGCTCAAAGCTTGACCACGCGATGGCCTTCGCTAACTTCTCTTTTCTACATAGCGGACCAGCTCATCGGTACTGGTGCATCTGCTCGAAACGCGCAACTATCTATTACAGACCCAAAAGTCTGCCGATCGTATCTGGTCGGCACATGCCCCCATGACCTTTTCACAAATACGAAACAAGACCTTGGACCGTGTCCCAAGGTACACAGCGAAGGTTTAAAGGCTGAGTATGAGGCAGCGTCGTCGCATGAGAAGTCGAAGTGGGGGTTTGAATACGATTACATGCGCGACATGCAAAAGTACATCGACGAGTGTAATCGGAGAATTGATTCAGCGCAACGACGGTTGGAGAAAACCCCGGATGAGATACGGCAGACAAACAACTTAGTACGATATACTCATCTTTCTGTTGTAAATCTGTTGCTCGGACTTGGAGTGCAAATGTTGACACCTGTACTATTAGCTGCGACAAATTTCAGACCTAAGCAAAACGATCAATACCGGGCTCGAAGAAACTGCCATTTTGGGCGAGCTCGGATGTGTATCGCTCGCAATCACGGAATTTCACAAGATCAGACAATCAAAACACCAGAAGGAAAGCGCTGAAAGGGAATTGAAAGCCCTTTCCGATACCTCCGGTCCCTCTGGACATCAAAAGCTTCAAGTATGCGACGTATGCGGTGCTTATCTTAGTCGTCTAGACAACGATCGCCGACTTGCAGATCATTTCTTCGGTAAAATGCATTTAGGCTACGCCAAAATGCGGGAAACATATTCCACGCTACAAAAGGAGCTCAGGGGTCCACCGCCATCGCGACACGAGGATGGGCCGTCCGGTCGTGATTCAGGTTACGAAGATGGCGGCTGGGGCCCCAGGCCAGGCGGAGGATATGGAGGAAGATCCTACCGGAGTGGCGGGGGAGGTGGTGGTTATGGCAGACGAAGAGGAGGGGGTTATGGAAGCAGGTGGTAATTTGTGGACATTCTACTTTCCACGGGACTTGCATAGCGCAGGCGTTACTGGTGTTTAACTTAATACCAACTCACAGTCTAGTATTTTTGATGTTAAAAGAGGGATTATTCAAGTTTATGGCAGGAGGTCTGTGGCTAGATCTGTTTTGAATTTGCAAGTTAGGGCTCTAGAGAATGTCGCATTCACTTGGGGTCGAAGAAAAATTGCTTGAGATCATATTGGAGAGAGATCCTACGCAATCCTGTTTCGTATTTCAATATTGCTAGGCTTTGATACTGCTGTTGTTTAGTAAACCCCATTCTGCTCATCATGATAAGAGCTGTCTGAGCAATATAACTCTATCAAGGACCACGGACACCCGTGTTTCGCTTGGCTTGATTTTGGGGGGCCGCTGAAGATATTATCCGTCGAACATTTTAATTAAACATATACATACGGGGTTGCAGGTTCGAGCAATACCTCGCTATGAGTTACAAAGTGCAGGAAGGATTCTGCAACCAAATAAAAGGCAGAACTTCAACAAGCTCAGCAAAATAATACAAATACATGTGATACAGCCTCTTTGTTCAAATTGAGACACAAGACTTAAGTCAAGTAACACACCAAAAGGGCAGAAGAAAAGTACACAACAAGAGTGAACGCCTTTGGCTGTCTTTTTTAGCGGATAATACAATGCATTCCCAGTTCCAACAAAGAATCCGCCTAAGTGCACAAATATGGGTTCGCCAGACAATAAAATGACAGGTGGACAAACAGGTAGTTCAAGAAGTATTGAAGATTATGTTATGTTCCACCATTTGTCCTTTCCATAAGTGCGTTCATTAGTTGTTCGTAGCTGTTCGCAGCAGACGGATGCCGAGATAAGATCTCTGCAATGACGTTGAATTGAGCGACATCTGCATTTGGAGCATGTCTTAAGACCTCCTCAATGGTAGGTGATGAGGCAAGCTGCTCCCCTAGAACGTAGACTGCAGCTGCTTTTCCATTGAGTACTAGCGGAGATTGAGGTTGAGAATATGGTGGCGGCGGACTATAATGTCCCTGAGACTGTGAAGGTGATCCAGAAGGTCGATCCGTGTCCTGGTAGGAAAGTGAATGTTGAGAATATCGTGCAGTTGGGGTGGCTGTTAGTGGACTAGCCACGCTAGCTGGAGGATGTTGCGGCGTGACGGCATTTGAGTGATTGTTACTTGTCTTGAGGACGAATACCACAAGCAATAGCCGTTCGGGCGTTGGGTTTTCAATAGCATTGTTCTCAAGGATCTCCATAAATTCTGGCTTTCTGCCTGAGCCTGCCTCAACAGGAACGAGATATGTGTCCTTCACAGCGGGAAGAGGATGTTTTCCCATAACACCATACCGTTTTCGTCGAACGAAGTAATCGAATAAGTTGTTGAAGCTCACGACATCATCAGGAGCATCTGGGGGTGGAATTGCCACAACTGTGATATCTACCGTGTGACTGTATCGAAGTCCACACACATAATTTGTTGCAAGTTGGATATCGATGCGGCCGTCAATTGTCAACGAAGGAGGAACTAATTGCGACCATGGGATCCTTACGCTAAGGTCAGCACCGCCAACAAATCGTGCTCCAGCGGAAAAACTGGCAACCCCATCCATCAAAACTTTTCCACGCCAGATGATGTCGGGCCCAGGGAAGTCTTTGGGTGAATATGGTGGCGACTCCGGCTCTTCGTCTTTCAGCAATTGATCGATTTCAGCATCAGCCTGAACCTTATGCGTGGATGGAGGCGGATGCTCCTGTGGGAACACTGTTGGCCCAAATTGCGGCGGGTCATGATGAGGAACAGCTCCCGGGGACTGAACGCTTGACCAGACATTTTGGATATTGAAGTCATCCGACGCAGACCGTCCAGGTCTCCCAGTGGGAATCACCTGTGTGTCAATAGGTTGCGGTTTCTGGTTCTGTTGGACAGCGTCCATAGATCCAGTTCGTCCCGTGGCTGGGCTTGCTGCACGAGGACTCATTGCTTCCCCAAGGGTATCACGTCGAGCAGGGGCAGTCGAGAAGACAGACTCAGTTCCGACAAACTGGGGATCAGATTCCACAAATTCTTCGCCCTTGTGGGTCCGTCTGATGCGTGGACCCGTCTCTTGGATGATGATATGCTGTCGTTCCGCCTCGCGCTTGATTTCGTCGTCTCTCTGTCGTAGCTCCTCACTGGCCATGTCTTGCGTGCTCATTTTGGAGAAGGCATCAGGAGTAATACGACCTACAAGCAGACTATCACGTAATGAAGGATTCTTCCTTACATTGAACAGTATGGTCCGCATCTGCTGTCTATAGGGATCATTGGGTTCCCCTGACCCTCCACAGAGGTTTTGATACATTGCTTGTTCAATTGCGAACCCCAGGTACTCTCCTACACTCTCTTTGGTCCTTCCTTCTGGAATCGAAAACTTTCCTTGCTCCTGTGCTACTCCAGCTTGCTCAACGAAGAGCTTGATTAAGGCATTTGCAACATTTTTCCTAGCTTGGGTCAAGGTGGTTGCACCACCGGCGGTTGTCTCTGTAGGAGACTTGCTTGTCTTTGCGCCGTGAGTGGTGGGACTTCCTGCCATACTCGCCTTCCGACTCTGCGCCGGAGACTTCTTGATCTCCTGAGGATGGACAGTTGGTAGACCACTGACTGAGAGTCTCTGGAGCTTAGGTTTCGGTTCCTGGCATGTCCACGATCAGCGATTAGCTTTTGGATAAGATATTGATTTGACTTACCGGTTCGTGTTGTCCAGTATCTGCATGATCGGAATATTTTCTCTTCTGAGAGCTAGTGGTTTGCTCTTGGATCCCAGTATTTGTTGGAGGGCCATTCTGAATTTCATTAACGGCTTGAATAGGTTCCTGGGTGGGGGCTGCTGATGCACGCGGAGTTGTATCACTTGTTTCGGGTTTCACATCGCTGACTCTGCTTTTTCTTCCACGTTTGCCACCTTTCCTGCGTCTTGCTTTTCTTTCTTCGGCAGCCTGGGCTCGTTTCTGGGCAGCTTCCTCCCAAGGCTTTTCACCACGTGCCATTCTCTCTAGGAGGACTTTATGATTCTCGGGCTTGCATTGCTCACAGTAGTACTCTGCCGGCTCTTCACCCTTTGCAAAGTCAAGTCCCATGCAATCATTGTGCTGCCACGCGGAACATTTGTCGCAACAGATCATGTCACGCTCCACATCCTCTTCTTCCTCATATTCGCCACAGATGCAACGGATTATCTCGTCTTCTTCATTTTCAGGCGGTGTTGGTTCTGCAGAGGTTTGTTTCGGGGCCTTCGTCTGGGATTTCCCTTTTCGTTTCGGAGGAGGCTCGGGCATATCAAGGTTCTTATGTTGGCCTTTTGTGGCTCTGCCGGAACGTCGAGGTTCTTCTGTAGGATGGTTAGCCGGTGCAATCATTGACCACAGCGAGGGGATCAAAACAACGCGCGGAGCTCCTTATAGGGTCGTGACGCTGTATACGGATGGGATACATATGCTTACCGGCCATGGCAAATATTAAACAAATGAACTAAACAATGAGCTACGTGTGCTGAAAGATCGAAATTGCTGGAACTGTTGATTCTGGCAACCAACGAAGTTTCCTGTCTACAGGCATCGAAGGTTGCTAAATACACAAAAAGCAGGTCTGAAAGTGTGAAGGAACAGCAATCTTGTCTTAGCTAGACCAGTTTTACGTCCTTCGCGCTCCAGCTATGTTGTTTGTTTCAAGAAAAGAATTGGCTTATCCTTCTTTTTCTTCGAATTGGCCCAAATTGCGGAGAATGGAGCTTATTTCGTCGCGTGCTATGCACAGCCGGGGATGCTCCCCAACAATCAACACAAGGTGGATAAAACAATCACGTCACAACGGCAAGTATGACGGGAGATGCGCGAGTCGAATATTTTGCAAGGAGATGAAGTCGAGAAAGAAGTTGGCGATGGATGGAAGTTGTTTATAAGAGGATGGTCTCCCTTCAACCAAGAACGGCTAGAATATCACGTGAGCTCACTAATGCGTTATTAGCGGCTTGGCATATTGTCATCAAATCAATCCACTCGCTTGTAGATTATGTCAGCGATAGCTTGGATTTTAGTCAGATTGCGACGTCGGCCGCCAAGGCGCGAGCTGGGGGCAACCTTGGTTGTGGGTGAAGCTGCCGGCGAAGCTTTCTGCTGTGGAAGACTGTTTTGGATGAAATACAAGACAAAAACTGCATTCTATCTGCCAGCCACTACCTCCATCATGGCCGACGTACGTGCACTATTGCGCAATGAGCTCGCATCACGAGCGTCTGCTACCGACAGGCAGAAAAAGAAGAGAAAGCTCGAGTCCGCACCCACAGAAATACGCAAAAAGCTCAAACCGATTGACCAGACTGAGGAATCAGCAGGAGAAGAAAATGAGAAAGAGAAAGCATCGCCTACTGAAGAAACAGGCCCGTCCCCAGATATTGCGATAGTGCCAGCGGCGAACGCTGCGACAGAAAACCCCCTTCCACTGCCAGCACAAGCCACAGCTTCAACAAAACAGCAGGAGGCACCTCAAGCTATTGATGAAGACGAATGGGCAGCTTTCGAGCGTTTCGTTGCTGCACCTACCAGGATACAAGTTCCTGCCGCTGTTTTGAACTCCGGTGCCACAATATGCGCCGCACCTGTCTCAGCTGCTGAATTGGCCAAACACGAGGAGGCACAGCGTGAATCGCGGACAAAGGCTCGCGAGGCTGAATTGCAGGGCGAACAGGAAGAGGCTACACGGTCGCTTGAAGAAGAATTCGATGAGATGGAGCAACTGGACGAACGTGTTAAACGACTGAAGGAAAAACGGGAAGAAATATTGAGACGCCGACAACAAGGTTTACTGAAGGACATGGTGAACTCTGAAGGCGATTCAGTACGAGGGAATATTGAAACCCCTGGAAGCGGAAATGTATTTGAGTACGAAGAGGATGAAGACATCGATGATGATGATGATGATGATGACGATGATGATGAATGGGACAACTGGCGCTTCAAATAATGCCAATGAGACGTGATGGCACATCTGAATTTCCAATGCCCAGTTTACTAAAATTATGATACCCTTCTCCGTTAATCGCTTTGTCAAAAACCACTATGGACGTGCTGCTAGCAGGAAAATGAGTCAGGATACCAAGAAATGTATGAGAGACACTCACAGTGGCATAGTGTGTTTGATGATAGCATTATATAGTTACTCCATGCTCCCTTTCGATGCCTTGATCATGATGGATCTGCCTTAGACTTTTGCTTCAGAGTAACTGCTCTGATTGTTCTACCACTTTATTTGCTTTACCTCCCTAAAAAGTATTTAATAATTTCAGTTTTCCAATGATTCCAACTCGACTGAACGACCCCTCAACTACCTACTTCTCAACTTGACACTTCGTAGCTCTTCCGTCGCTTCACTATCTTCTGGTATATCCTCTTTTGTCGTCCCTTGCCTCGACCATGGGATGGATTTCGAATCTCCAGCAATACCCAAGGAAAAACAACCGGTTACCATACTCATTAAACGGTGAGATGATAACCCTGGCACACTTAGCTGCAAGGACAACACTCACTAAGGTCCTAATTTCTCATTATTGCGTAGCTCATCATGGAGTAGAGCCCATACATAACTTCGCCCGATATTCAAAATCCCCGAACTCAATTCTGCGTCCAACATTCACCTTCACTTCGCAACTGGGGTTCTCATCCTGGATGGCTTCAGACCTCACCTTAGGGTATAAAGAATCCGTGTCTCACGAAGAGACTATTGTCACCAGCCCAATTCCCATAAGTCAAATATCAATCCTTCAGCTACTACATACCTTGATATCCCATATTCCCTATGGCATTGCGCGTTACGGTCTTCCTCTCGGGGGCTATTACAAGGATTCTTAGTCGTAGCAAGAGAGGCAGGTTTGCGGGAGGCATCTAGTGTGCCCTCATTTAATTAGATTGCATCACATTCTCTCTGTGTCTCCAGATCCATCTCTTTCTGTCGCATCTCGGTCTGGTGGCTTTGTCTAGAGTGGAGCCAGTAGTGGGTGAACTACAGGTTGGGCACTGCTTATTGTCAATCCAAGTTAAAGGAAAAGAAGTTTAAAGTGAAGACAAGCTGCTCACAATATTTTACTGGTTTTCTCTGTTGTTTGGACATTTTTCTGTTATGGCTATGGGTTTGCGAAGTTCATTCGGACCAGAATTTTATATTATGACATGAGTGCATGGACTATGTGATGCTACACTTCACGGGCACATATGCATAGTAATTCTGGCAAAAACCTCCACGCTGATGTACCTTTTTTTTTTTTGTGGGGGGGGGGGGGGGGGTTATTGCTGGTCCGCCCTATCACCTGGAAGATAATCAGTTAAATTCTGGTTGAGGTTTAGAATTTGGTCTGTGCAACATTGCCCCATCCCTTGAAGTAATAAAATGGATAGAATACTTAAAGAGGGTATTCATACATTTTATACAAGGGTAAAAGATTCCTGCCGTGACTGTGATAATACTTGCACTCACAGGCTAAGCATAAAAATATTGTGCATATCAGGAATATGAACTTGGGCTAGATTTGACCAAATGGATCTGTTAACATTACTCTTCATCACTTATTGAGGTATTTCCTTTCCCAATCTCCTCGAGATGGCTCGTCAGACCTTCTTTGCCAACAAGCATAGCTTTTCGGAGCTCTTCATCGCCATGTCGAAGCATACCTTTACCTTGGACAAGCGCTCTCTGATGTTTCTGTTTTTCTTCCTGAACCATTGCTTTGCGGTCTGCAAGCGCCTTCTCCCGCCTTTGGCGTTCATGATGCTTCTTTAATTTCTCCTCTTTTTCCTCTACTGAGAGGTCCGTCACCTCTGGAGCATCTGGAAGAGTTGACACATAAGTCTCAATCAGAGGGTTTCGGACTTTGGATGGTAGGGAAATATAACGAATATCTGTTAAGATCGAAGAGTCAAGCGCGTCAATTGTTGACGACCGGTTTAGGTGTGTTAGTGGTATTGATTTCAAGAAAGCTGAAAAGTCGGATTTACGGGTGCTCTCCGGTAGTTTTAAGCGTGAGATGTGATCCCTATAGAGCTTTTCGCGATCTTTATCTGACATGCGATTGTCCTTCATTTCGGGTTCTTTTCTGTACTTGCGCTTGAATTCCGCCCAGAATAGTTTTGGAGTTGCATGCGCCTCGAGTAGAGCCAGGTAGCGTATACGTGGGTCCTTCTTTTCTCCCTTTTCCTTGCGCTCTTTGTGTTCCTGGATACGATCCCGGCTCCAATTGGACCATGCTTCACGCCTTGATTTCATATTTGGGAGAATAGTATATCGCGTATCGTCAATAATTCTGCCTTCCTCAATGATTTTCTCCCATGGTGTATAGGGGTTTATTCGATAATCATCTAGAAGGTCTCGGAATAGAGCAGTCGCATCTTCTTCTGTAAGCGGTAGGCCTTCTGCCCCTTCTTCCCAACCCTCTTCTCCAGGTTCACCGTACTCGCCGGGGTCAAGTCCGTAATCTTCCCCCATGGCTGCCAGCTGATAAGCGATGTCGTCTTCATTGAATTCGATTGGCTGATCGATGCCTTCCTCCGTCCTCAATCTCTTTGACCGCAATTCATCCTCCTCATCAGTGACTTCAACTTCTTCATACTCGTCGCTATACTCTTCTTCTTGTTCGTCAGCTGCAGCCTCTCTTGAACCTGTTTGTTCCTTTTCTGGCAGTGGTTCTTTTCTTCTCCTAGTATCTTCTCCTTCACTTAATTCCCCACGTTCTCGTCTTTCATTCCTTTCCCTCTCTATTCGATCATATTCCACAACTCCTTTAAGAACATGTTCTGGAAATTTCCAAAAGCTCTCGTTCGTCCCGGGATTGTGCACGAATCTGCGACCGAGTTTGGTTTTCACGAGGAACCAAGATGGACATCCAGGTATTGGGTGTTTCGATTTTGGACGGTCCTGCGGTTGTCGCTTTTCGTAACGCCGACCACTGCCCGGATCATCCTTGCGACAGGCTCCGAATCTGAATGCTCCGCCAAAAGGAACGTTGGCTGGGGAAGCACCTGGAACAGCAGCTGAGAGACCCAACGGAGGATGTTCAGGGGAGAAGACGGTGGGTTTGGTTTCTGGGGTTGGAGCAGTAGGCCTTTTATACGTTGATTGCTTGGTTTCGGCGTTGTAATAATATAGATGGCCTATTATTCTGTCAGCTTTTTGCGATATGCGTAGGAACGGGAAGCCTACCTGAAGGGGCTCTATGTTCAGTCCACCCCGGAGGGAGAGGCGGCAAAGGAGTATATGTGGATTTCAACATTGTATACCTTAATGATAAGTAGGTACTCTAGACAGTGCCCGGATGCCAACGGTCCTTTGGGGTGAATCCGCCTCCAAATTGAGAGTTAGGCCTGAAGTGCGCGTCGATGATTGGTCCAAGCTCTTAATGGACCGAACACGTTAGGTTGGTTTGCCTGGAGCTTCGCAGAAGAGCTGCAACATCAACGTCTGTTGACGACCTTTACACATCTAACATTTCTCATTCTATTCACGTTATTATTTCGTTGCTTCTTCTGTCTATTTTAACGCCAGGAGATATCTTACTAGATCAATTACTTACTGAATAGAAAGTTGCTTTAAACATGGCGAGAAGATACGACTCACGAGTAGGTTTCCTTCACGTCACCTAGACATCAACACTGCTGACTCTCAGCTTCTGATCGCTCTCTATAGACAACGATTTTCTCTCCCGAAGGGCGCCTTTACCAGGTTGAATATGCTTTGGAAGCCATTTCCCATGCGGGCACTGCCCTCGGAATTCTAGCGAAAGACGGGATTGTCCTCGCCGCGGAGCGCAAGGTAACCAGCAAGCTTTTGGAACAGGACACATCAGCGGAGAAGCTTTACATATTGAACGAGTAGGACTGTCTATCTCTTGGTTAGTAACATTTACTGAAGTTATATGCAGCAACATGATATGTGCCGTTGCCGGAATGACTGCCGACGCGAACATTCTGATCAATTACGCCCGCCAGGCTGCCCAGAGATACCTTTTGACATACAACGAAGAAATCCCCTGCGAACAATTGGTCCGGAGATTATGTGATCTCAAACAGGGTTATACACAACACGGTGGACTCCGTCCATTTGGTGTTTCGTTCATTTACGCTGGATATGATTCCCTCGGCCAATTCCAGCTCTTCCAGAGCAACCCCAGCGGAAACTATGGTGGATGGAAGGCGACGAGTGTTGGTGCGAATAATGCTAGCGCCCAAAGCTTACTAAAACAAGATTACAAGGACGACTGTGATTTGAAGGAGGCATGTGGGATGGCCGTTAAGGTGCTGAGTAAGACCATGGATTCAACAAAGCTCAGCAGCGAGAAGAGTAAGTGCATGCCAGGCAATCAATAAAGGGCTTTGCGTTATACTAATGGTGCAACCGTTACAGTCGAAGTGGCGACTGTTGGTCGGACGAAAGATGGCAAGATCTACCATCACCTCTGGGGGGCCGATGAGATCGACGCTTTGTTGAAGGAACACGGCCTGGCCAAAGACGAAGAGCAGCAAAGTGGGTAGTTGCTGGAACAAAATAGCCACCTTGATGCTCTAGGGCGCTATAGTAACATGGATTCTGCTACGAAGTTGTCCTCCGGACGGGTTAATTCTCCTTGCCTCTCTCCAGTCAGCGCATCCTGCCAGCTTTGCTCTTCCATTTCTTGATTGGTTATCCGCACCTGGAATGTAGAGTCCGTTTATATCACTGTTTTGAAGAACTCACCTTCATCTTGGCGAGTACACCAATGACTGCTAAAAATTTGGCTGGAAGCGCCGGTGACGTGGCACGCCCTGGTGGGACTCCTCCGTGGGACTTCTGTCCATCTTTCAGAATGGATCACAGCAAAGGAGCCAGTAGCATATGTACTTCATCAACTGGCTTAGCTGAGTAGCGACAAGGCGAGCGCGATGAATCCGAGTGCAACATAACGTATTTAAGGTCATGCCACCCTTCAAATTTTGACATTTTCCTATTTGTACTTGTTTATTCTTGTGAGCCCAGTAGATCCGGTATCTTTTTCTCGTGTGATATTGATTTTAGAAAAGAAGAACTTCTGCTTCACCAATTCACTTTTCGACCACACCGTATATCAAAGACCACCGAGTTACCACTCGAAGCTGGGTGTAACATTTCGTGCCACGTGGGCGTTTCGCCAGAAGAGATTTAGACACCTACTTGGGAGAATTCATATAAGGACTTTCTGCTAGCATCGAACTACGAGATCCATCATCAACAGTATGGATTCCTTATGATACCTTCTCCTCATCAGTTCACCTCCACCTGTTCGTGGCCCTTTGAGTTTCTTGGCGAACCCAATAAAACACGTGATTATTGGCGCTAACCTTAACTATGTCAAGCGCCTCTGGTCGACGCATGCTGCTTCGTTCGCTGCGGCGGCGTACTGCTTGTCACTCGATGCTCACCTTCGAACGTCAACCCTCCAGCATCTTACCGGACCGCATCCCTCGATCGTCACTTTTAAACCCGCATCTTGAGAAATCTTTAATACCCATGGATGGTACGGATTAGACAAGCTTGTGAAGAGAGTCTTCTCCATGAGGTTCTAAACCGTCGTTGGGGGCGGACAAATCGGAGGCGCCCAAGTGCTTAACATTGGATGGAATTTGAAACAGAAACGAGCGGCGTAGCTCCCTGTCTCATTCCTGTCTGTTTTACCTTGGACCAGCGCATAAAATTCGTGTCCTCCCTTCAAAGCGGCAATTGAGTATCTGTTCACAGGGTGGAAAATCCATTGGCAGAGAATCTCTCTTGATTTGAAATGACAAAAAAACACTGAATATCGCATCTCCCTTTTTTCTACCTCAACCCAATTACCTCCCTGCACCAGCCAGCCAAATTGAAACCTGCAGGGGAAGATCTGTCGAAAATGCAAAATCTTGAACATGGCTATCCCGAAAATCTAGACGCAAGAGAATGAGAAAAGAAATGCCAATCAAAAACTATGCAACAGGGACGGAGAAAGCAAAAGTCGCCATCCGTCTAAGTTCTTCCATCTGAGGATACCCTCTTCTCCAATTATTTTCCTCCCTTGCCCAAGGTTCTCTGTTTCGTGTGTCGTTCGTATTCAAGCTGCTTGATCTCCTGTTCCAAATCTTTCACGAGGGACTGTGACTTTTCAATGGAGGCCTTCATGAGGCCGCCCTCGTCATGCCAGCGTCGTATCCGTGCGAGCTCATTGTCTCGTCTGCGATGCTTTGTCGCAATTTTCTCGCAAAGCTTGCATTGGACTTGAATAAACTCGGTATGGTTAACGAGTTTCATCCCGCAAGTTTCGCCCATTCGGTATTCATGGTTGCACTTGGCGGCGAAGCTACCCCAGGACCAGTCGCCGCAAGCAAACTTCTTTTGGTTGTAGAAGCACATGGTGTCTTAGCTCGGTTAGTCTGGCAATCCCCTTAATGCCAAATTTTGCTTCGATTCTTACCTTGTTCTGCGGATATGTTCCCTATCAAGTTTCAGATATGAGGGCTCTCTATTGGTTTAAGCGTTCGTTGATTTGGATCGATAGGCTAAGCTTCTTCGATTAAGGAGTAGGCTTCGTCGTGAAGTTTTCCAGGTTATTCGGCTTTGTTGAGGAAGGCTTGTTGCTGATTCGCAGTTTGGGGCTTATGGATTCAATGACTGGCGATGATGCCTTCTGAAACCTCTCCTCTCCATGGGATGGAGCTGGATATTTATGTTTCGTGTGACGGATATCAGGCCTTTGCGATGCCAGTTCCGGCTTCGCCTACTCCGCACAAGCTTCACATCAGGACTTCGGGTTAGGCTCATTTCCGGCTGCCACGGATGATCTGTCTACATTTTCTTCCCGTTTCATGCCCTAAGTTTGTGATCGTTCGTGCATCACCAAGTGGGGTTGTTCGCCGTCAGCCCGTTGTTGTGTGCGAGGATCTGAATTCCTGATGCAGCTTGAATCGAATTGATATCAATCTAGCGTGACTGTTCGCTGTCGTGGCTCCATCGCTTACGACCGCTCGCCCATCTTTTCCGTTGGCAAAAGTTTTCAATTAACCTTTGCCCCTACTCCGAATTGTTCACCCTAGGCTGAACGGGCCTGTCTTCGGCCTGTTATCCTAGCATTCCTTGCTTCTCCTATACGCGCGATGTTTTCCGAGGCTCACTGGAGCAAAGATCATCACAATGGCGTCCCCGACAAACTGCCCATTCGTGCCAGCTGGCTCCAATCCCTGATTTAAACCCTGCCGTGAATTATGCCTTGACATCCCATCCGGCCTGGCCACATCCGTTTCTGTTCACGAGATTTACCAAAGTACTTGCCATAGCTCTTCGGATTTAACGGCTGGCTCCACCCGTGTTTGACCTGTCCGTTCAAACCTTCATTGTGGATAGGAGTGGCCAATTACTGCCAGAAAGCAGCATTGAAAGCGAGCTTTCTCGTCCTTGAGAACCGGCCCCTGAATTCCACCCATGTGTGACGATTATGCTGGTATCTACCCTGGTCTAGTTCACTCCACTTCTCCAGATTCAATCTGCCTCTCATGCATCTTGTCTGCGCCCTTTTTGCATGGTAAGGCTACTCGTATTTTGTCTGCTTGCATCTCGGATGAGGAACTTGGAGTGTATCGCCTCATTATGCAAGACTATTGAGAACCAGGTTTCAGACGTGGTGGATATGACGTGAACGTACCGTCCTTATTGCTTCTTCCAAACCCCATCGATGCGATTGTACACCACCATTGAGCGCATAATGATGTTTCATCATGTGTGGACACAACTTCTTCAGTAGTGGTGCATTCATCGCTCCGTCACGTCCTGTCTTCCGTTGCAATGCTGTGCCTAACCCCTTGCTTTGGCACTCAACACATCATAGTGCCATTTTCGCCGGAGTTATGTTTTAGATGGGTGATTCTACTTAGTGACGACATGGAATTAATGTCCAAGTTCCACCGCGAACGTTGCGCTATAGCTCCCCGGTATTCATGACGTGGCATCCACTGTCTGGCTGATTTGTTCAAATTCACCGTCGTGATCAAGGCTGCTAAAATGTGCGTCCTAAATTCGTCCATTTTCTGGTGATTTTGGTCAAGGCTCCGTTTTGTCTTCGCCGGAAGTCGCCGCTGGCCTCGTCTGCCTCGATGACCCACTACTATCAGGGGGTTCTGTGCGGATACAGATCGTCTTCCTTGCACAGATTTGCGACGAAATTGCTCCATTCCCATGCCAAGCTAGGTGGTCTAGATGTCCGTATATCACTGATGAAAAGGAAGAAGGCGACCAAGGAAGGAATATCCTGGAACAAGGCTATCATCAAGTAATGACCAGCTCAACTCGCTAAAACTGGCGACTTTGGTTGTGCCTAGCTCACTACCTAGTCCAACTTAAGTCAGTCTAATGCTTTCGAATTTCTTTTTCTGAGAAGTCCTGAAGGTATCGGCGGCGGGAAGTGGAAAACGCTTGTTAGAAACGAATGGACACAGCGACACCGTCATCGATATGGTAAATCCTCGATCGTATGAACGGTTTATGGTAGGGGCAAACTAAACCATCGATCGATGAAACGGTTTCTCGAACGTTGGAATCGCAATATCTCATACCTGGCTTGTATCCAGGCAGTTGGGATTAAGCTATTCGAGTGATCCAGCCAGCAAGGTTGAAGTCCACTGCTGAACGGCCAGGTATAACAAATCACAATTGCAGGAAGCTCATTTGAAGCTACCATGTGGGATCAATGATGTGCTTCAAAGCCCACAGATCCCAAGCCGACATGCATTTCCCCTATTGCATTAGGCTACGGTCGCATAATGCATCCTCGTCGATTTTTTATGCAGCCCGGGTGAGTGCCGGGGGTCCTGCTTTTTGATCTACCTTCTTAGTCCCTGTTGTGTACAACGAGAGCATGGTGATGTGACATTGTCACAAAACTTTCCCTGTACGCCTTCAAATTTCGAATGCAAAACGCCGCATTGGCCTAACCGCTCCTCTCTACCCTCCTCCGGCACCATCTCAGCCTCGTTTTGCAATTAGACCTGATTGCAAATAGCGAACTGCCATTGCGAAGTCCTTGCGAAAATAAACGGCCAAATTGCAGAGGCTAAGCCTTATTGGTGCCACATTGCCGTCCCCTTTTTGCCGCCTATTAATACCCCGCCCGTTTGCCAGGTGGCATGGGTAAAGTTGGAAGGGTCCCTTGCTTCCTCCAACGGCTCCAATAATGATGTTCAACGGGCTACGCCTGCAGGTTTACCTGTAGGCGTCCCGTCTTTGGTAGCCAACGGCCAGATTTCTTCGAGCAGATCCTGTCCTCGATCGACCTCTGGAAACAAGGTTTATTATTTGCCCGATATCAAGACCCTAACCATGGACTTAAGCGTCAAAACTTCGAATTACCGCCATCTGACCGCAAAGACATCTGTGCCGCAAAGGCAAGTTGCCTTGGAAGTCTGAAGCGATCAGCAGGGTCCCCTGGGAATGTAGGCTTTTGGTAGTCCATGCGTCATTTTGCTTCTCACTAGAACGATCATTGACGTGTCAAAGATATCCAATGTTCCAGGCTATATCATGTACCTTTTAGTGAGGCTGAAGCCTACGCGGATCCCCGTTCGTTGAATATTCCAAACTCAAGTCTTTCTGCCCAAACTGTCAAAAGATATGGAGGTCTCGAAAATCTACACCTTGTCTCTGGTGCATCTTGGCCAACTTGTTCTTTTTGGGGTTGCCTTTTTGCTTCGTCACATCATCTCATTTTGGATTAAAAGTCTAGCCGGGTTAATCCTAGACAAAGCAGTATCTGCGCCGCGAATTCATTCTCGGTCTTTGGACGCCATGTCACTCGTACTGCCACACCACATTTCTTATCTAAACGATTCCGTTTGGGCCAAGGACAAGAGTATTGGTCTGCGTCCGCCACTGATGATTGTCAAATTCTACAGGGCCTCTAGGAAGCTTTGTGTCTCAGATATCCCTTGAGGTTAAAGCTAATACGGTTCATCCCCTCGTGTGGCATTGCAATTTCCATGAGCAATGCCGCATTCCTCAGCCATCGTTCTGGATCCGAAAAGTCCAAGCACTGGTTGAGAACTGAGATCAGGTCTATTGCCGTTGCCTAGTGCACCCTTATCGTACGCCTTTTTGTTCAGATTCATTGTTGTCCAAAAGTGGAGCGACTGCCTAACTGGATACTATAATGGAGTGTGCCGTCCACTCTTCCATTCTCAGGAAGACGTGAGGGTATTATGATACACCCTGCCTCTGTTATATCTAGACTTTGATTCTCGATTTATCAGACCATCAAAAATAAATTCGCGTTTTCAATATCTGGTGGTTGTTCGGATACAGCGTACGGAGGAGGGAGTGCTCGCTGCTCCAATGACAAAACACCCTACAGTAATGGGTTAGTCCGGGCTTAGGGCTCTGTTCTTATCCCGGCCTGTCTTGACGTCATCCGGACTAATCCAGCGGGGAATTGTCCAACCCAGGGAACCCTGTTTACGTCATCTTTAGCTCTTTCCTACAACGGCAGCAGAAGCAAGCTTAAGTAGCTTCTATTGACGAGTAGTTGCCTGCAAAACCGTTTACGGAGTGCCTAACTACCCTTTAATTCTTTCTCAATGCACAATGGTCGACTGACTGAAGGCTCGTGTTTTAAACAGAAATTGTGTGTCTTGTCTAACGCATATGCAGCGCGCCAGTGCGATGCCCCGTCTCCTGCTAATACCCTCTAAAGGTTGAATAGTTACTGACTTTAAGCATTGGACAGCTTCGAAGCTACCATCCGATATAATTGTCCTCAAAATAAGTACCGTGAAAAACATCTAGAATTAAAATCATTTGAGTGATTACTCGAAGTGCTGCCATGTTCGCATTCGTTACCATCGCTAAAAGAACCGGCGCTCACACATTCAATGGCATTGGAAAAATACGAATAACTGCCCAATCGATAGCCAAGCTACCCGGCTCAGGTGCAAGTGTGAAGTTATCTACCACACCTGTCCTTTGCCGCAGCCTCTCTGGCACCTGCCAGCGAAGCACCTACGTTGACGAAAATGACCCGGATAGCCGCTACGCAATTAACACAGAACGGAGTGAATACTCAAAGTCTGGAACTGATAATGCTGTTGCGGCGCAGAGTTCTGCATGGGACATAAAAAACCAGACTCCTGAAAGCGCAAGGGAGGAGTCGGAAAAAGAGTGGGCAAGAGAAGGAAGAAGCAAGGCAAGCCCGCTGGAGGTGAGCCCTGCAAACCAAGAGGTATCACGATTCACTGACGAATCCGGGCGGGGTGCTTCAGTCATTCATGGTCCAAGCAAGAGAGTCTCGCCAAAAAAGGGCAAGAAAGTGGAACTTGCCGCACCTGAAGCGGGGAGCGATCATGAAACCACGAAGGTCTAAATGTACGGTTGCCGTAGGGAGTGAAAGCCTTATGCGCTGCTGCGACGTGATTTGTTGCTTTATTTAGTACGCCGCTCTCTGCACCAAGCCGGTGATTGGCGTTCCTAGCATATGTAAATATGTTTATTATTGTACAAATGGGAAAAAGACAAACTCTCCTATGAAGCTATGGGAAGACGATGTAATCGATAGGCCACTTGCCACACGTGAATATCGAGGCTGTTTAGGAGGCTTCTTTCCGTTCCGTCCGTCCCAGGCGAACTATATCCTTGCCGGCCAAAATTCTCACCTTTTGCTGCCCATCGGGCTCCGTGCCCTTCAAAGCCGCCAACCCTGCGCTCACAGATGCGCGCGCAACCTCTACAGCATCGTTAGACCACCAATCCTTTAACCAAGGCTTGCTAAGCCACCCGGCCGCATTCCCAATCACACCGACCATCCCCTCAATGATCCTACGTTCCTCTCTCTGTCCGGAAAGGAAACCAGGTCGAAGGATGATTGTTTTCTCAAAATTTAAATCTAGGATGCTCTTCTCAATGTCCCCCTTGAGCTTCATGTACGGTAGTTTTGAGGATGGGTCCGCTCCGGCAGAGGAGACAAGAACGTATACTTTTGTACCTGCCTCCTTTGCTGCACGGGCTAGATCGACATTGGCATCGTGCTCGAGGGCCCGTTGGGCGGCGAGAGACCCGGCAGTTGCACGGGTGGTTGCGAGAGTGGAAAAAAATATTTCTGGGGCGGGGCTTGTTGAACGGAGGTGCGAAGCCCAGGATGACGGGGGATCTGTGGAGATATACGATGCAAATTTTGATGGGTGGGATTCGATAAGGTCTTTAGTGACGGGCGTGCTGGGGGGGCGGCGGGCGAGGAAGTCGATGTGCGCAACGTTGGGGGAGGAGAGAAGGATATTGACGATGTTCGAGCCCTGTGTCAGACCGGTTAGGAAAGTTCCGCCTGGTGAATAACATCTATACACACCACAAGGCCCGTGCCTCCAACAATTGCTGTTGTTGCCATTTTGTAGACTTGTACTCCGTAATGGGTGCGCTCGAAAGTGCTGATGCTACCCCTGTTCCTCTGCGAGGGCCTACAGTTGCGTCAACATCACGACAAAACACAACTGACGTCAAGATCCGGATGACATAATGCGGGTCGAGACAGGTAGACGCTAACTACATACAGTTTAGTTCGTTACAAACTCTTTTTGGTGGCAGAGTATGACTAAGCAGAACGTGCCTCCCCAATCTGTCGAGCACGCAATTGCCATTCTCGATCAGCAAACAATTGCGTGATTTCCCCTGAGATGCCGAAAGAGGCATTTCTCACGACCGGCCATGCGACATGCGAGCAGCCGGCGCATGGGCCGTCGTCTCGCCTCGGAGTTGGAGCCGGTTCTCCAACTCTGCCCGTTCTTTTCTTTCTCTCTTTTTCCTCTCTCTCTGTCTTCACTTTTTGCCATAAGTCTCACCCCTTGCCGCTGTGTCTGCGTGTAAGGTCAAAATTTGTTTTGCTCTTTTCTCATTCTTTCTTTGTCACTCTCTTCACTCTTTTTTGCCTGGCAGGAAGAGTTTCTCGGCATTCATCGCAGTGCCAAAATGAGGTCCATTGAGCCGTCTTCAGGAGGTGCAGCTCCTGAAGCCCTCGGTCAGGAACTCGATCAGGCTCAGACTCAGTCTCAGACTCAGTCTCAGACTCAGTCTCTGGCCTTGCCGTTCGGCCGCCTGATCCCCTTCTCTTCGATTGGTGGCCCAACATATGTGACAGCGCAGACTCTGATCCAGCATGTTGCTTACACCCTATCTGACAAGCTCTTCGCCTACTCCCCGGAAACCTTCGACCTCGACATTGCCGTCAGACACTGGTCCTCCCAGTCCGAACCAAATGCAAACGGTTATCCTACAGCCGTGCAGACCATGGAAACACGACAGGGTGCTGGATCCATTGCCCTCGGGTATCTATTCTCCAAAGACTTTGATCTTAAGAAGCGCCACATCCCCCAGGCCATAGTCGCATCTTCTGCTACCTTACAGTACATGCGGCCGGCGTTGGAGCAGCTCTCCCTTCTTTACTCGGTAGCAAACCCGCTTGTTGCTCATGTTGCTGCTGCTGATTACGTCGGTGGACCTTCCGGAGGACTCGTGTCGGATTATTCCACCGCCATGGGACTGACGGAGGAGCTGGGTATGGCCCTGGTCACAAGTCAGTCGGTCCACGAGTCACAACATATGGCCCTTTTCTCGACTCTTCTCGCAACCTATCTCCCAACAATCCATATTTACGATGGGCTTCGTGTCGGCAGGGAAACGACCAGAGTGCTCGACGTTCTTGATCGATCCGGGCTCCACAACGCATACAGATCTGCTCTCGCAGGGCTCTCTGGGTCCGACCAAAAGCACCTCGACACTCATGGCAAGCTGCTGAATTTATTGAAATCTTTCAACAGAGAGCTTGGCACGGATTACGCCCCTTTTGAATATTATGGACACGCAGAGGCGACCTCTGTTCTCGTGACCTTCGGTACTGTCGAATGTTCTTTGGCTAAGCAGGTTGCTATTGCTCTATCGAAGAGCGATGCCCGTGTTGGTGTTGTAAACGTACGCATCTACCGTCCATTCGTCGAGGAGGAATTTGCTAGGGTACTACCAAAGACGACCAAGACTGTTGGTGTTCTTGGCCAGGTTCAAAACGACTTGGCCGTTCAGGAAGATGGCGTGCATGCCCCCCTTTATGAAGATGTGCTAGCCGCATTGATGTTCAGCGGCGAGATTAGTTCTCGAGTAGAATGTACCGAGATTAAATACTCACCTCGCCAGATTTGGGACAGAGGTCTCATCACTGAGGCATTCCAGAAAATTGTCGGACATCAGCTCGAGAGAGCAAGAGAAGTTGGAGCCGATGGCGTACGATTGCTTGACCCTTTGACCAAACAATATACTTTTTGGGACGTCGATGACTCCTTCTCGAGCACTGCTGCACTTGTCCTTGGCCAAGCCCTTGCGAAAGACTCGGTTTTCAATGTTTCCACCCATACCGTGTACGATAACCTGACACTGGGAGGAACCATTCGTACCGACATTCGGAAAAGTGCAAAGGTCATTGATGCTCCCTACTCCGTGGACTCTGCGGATGTCTCTTACGTTGGAAATATCAAACTTCTGTCAGAAATACAAGTTCTAAAAAGCGTCAAACCCGGTGGGCGTGTGATTGTCAATGCTCCGGGCGTCAAGGTTGATGACCTTGAAAAGAAACTACCCACAGAATTTAAAGCGGCTATTGCATCGCAAGCAATTGAGTTGTTCATTTTGGATACGTCGGACTGCCAAGATCCCAGCCTTGACCCCTTGATTTTGCAGATTGCCTTTTTGCGTATTGCGCTCCCTGATCTTGAGCTCGTTGGTGTGAAAAAACTGTCTCTTCTTCTAAACAATGAAACAGTCGTTGACAAGGCTTCCTCAATTATCGAGAGTATGCTCCGAAAGATCGAAATACCTCAGTCATGGAAGGTTGTCGGAGAAACCGCATCTGAAATCGAACAGCTCGCAACCGATATTCGAGGTACGAGCTTTGCACCATTTAACAAGGCTGAGGACGAACCATCTTCCGAACTTAACGACTGGCAGGCCGTCGCGAAGGGCCTTGCTTTCAAAGAAGCTTATGGAGCAATAAATGCGCTACGACCAGACCTGCCAACCAAAACGTATACCGTTACCGTTCAAGAAAACCGTAGGCTTACGCCTGCCACTTACAATCGAAATATCTTCCATATCGAGTTTGACCTTGGAGAGTCTGGCCTCAAGTACGATATTGGCGAAGCCCTTGGAATTCATGCTGAGAACGATCCTGAAAACGTCAGTGACTTTATCAAGTTCTACAACCTGAACGCCGACGAAATTGTTCAAGTTCCGTCCCGAGAGGACCCAGAAGCTCTGGAAAACCGGACTGTCTACCAGGCCCTCACACACAATATCGATATCTTCGGAAAACCTCCTAAGCGCTTTTATGAATCTTTGGCTGAGTTTGCAACTGATGTGAAGGAGAAAGAGCAACTAGTGAAGCTCGGAGGAGCGGATGGTGCGGAGGAATTTAAACAGAGGTCTGAAGTGGATACCGTCACCTATGCCGATATTCTTCATGAATTCCCGTCAGCTCACCCGAGCTTCCACAATCTCATTAAAATTGTTAGCCCTATGAAGCGGCGAGAATATTCAATTGCTTCTTGCCAGAAGGTCACGCCAAATTCCGTTACGTTGATGATTGTCGTTGTTGACTGGGTTGATCCGAGAGGCAGAACACGCTATGGACAGGCTTCCCACTATTTGAGCAAATTAAAACCTGGTACCACCGTCACAGTCAGTGTGAAGGCGAGCGTGATGAAACTGCCACCGAAATCCACGCAACCAATCATCATGGCTGGTCTTGGAACTGGTTTGGCTCCATTCCGCGCCTTTGTCCAGCATCGTGCCCTCGAAAAAGCCCAAGGCAAAGAGGTCGGGGCTGTCCTTTTATACATGGGTTCACGTCACCAACGAGAAGAATACTGCTATGGAGAAGAGTGGGAAGCCTACCAGGCTGCCGGAGTCATCACTTTACTTGGCAGGGCATTCTCCCGTGACCAACCCCACAAGATCTACATTCAGGATCGAATGCGTGAGACTCTACCTGAAATTACGCGGGCATATCTTGAGGAAGAAGGTGCTTTCTATCTTTGCGGTCCGACATGGCCTGTTCCTGATGTGACGAACGTTTTGGAAGAGGCCATCGCCATCCATACCAAGGCGAATGGCAAGAAGGTGGACACTAAGAAAGAGATTGAGAAGCTCAAGGACGACTTGAGATATGTTCTAGAAGTTTATTAGATAATTGTTGGGTTCGGAAAAGGGATCTGATGCGCATTCGGGAGATGGGAATAAGGCGCAGTGCGGTGCTCCGCCTGCCATCTGTTTCTCTAGGATCCATGAAAAAATAAATGATCGACTACGTTTCTACTTACTGCATTTAATACAATTTTTGTAAAGTGCAACTATATATTCAGCCTATTGACATAACCCCGAGTATTTTTATTAAATCTACTCAACCAAGCTTTAGGTAGGAAATAGTGGGTATAACTTGAAGTAAAATGGGCAATTAAGACCTTTGAAAGCACCTGAACTCCTTTCTGCTCACTTGGCATGAATGCATGTTCAAAATTCATACACAACTCCCTTCGTTTTTCCATATGCGCCACCTTTTGCCTTTTTCAATTCCAGCGCCCTCTTATAAGGAGGTGCAGTGGGTGGTTGTATTGGATCAAGGCTGACGTGGTCTGGTGGGAGCTCGTACGAGGCATCAGCATCCCAAGCGGACAAGCTCCCGCAAGCAATAAACGGTGGAATCCACCGTATATTGTCGACCTCAGTGGCTTCCGCGGTAGCTGGGACCCCAGACCTTGCACCTCCAAAAATCGGATTTTCAAAACTGGCTCTCGATTCTCCACTACTGTCTACCGGAGGTATGAATCCTTCGCAAACCACGAACGCTTCAAGGCTGCTTGCTCGGCTACTTCGGGGTTTGGCGACGGAGACTTTTTCAAAGACGGTTTTAAGCTGGGCATAAATGAGGTCGACGTCTCGCCCACGGAATATCTTCGCCACAAATTTCCCTCCAGGACGAAGAACGCCAATGGCGAGATTCAAGGCAGCGTAAAGGAGTTGGGACTGGATGTATATGTCTAAATCATGGAGGCCCGTAACATCGGGGGCACCATCGGAGAGGACGACGTCAACCGGGTGAGGGTGCGGCCTGGAGGGGGAAGGGGTGCTTGTGTTTCCATTTTCATTCTCACTGTAGAGGTCCGGATCGAGAGCTTTGAGGAGAAGCGGAATTGTAGACGGGTGGGTGATGTCTGCTTTTAGAGTCGTGATTCCATCTAGAGGAGCCATGGGCTGGAGATCTATCGCGACGATGCGGACATTCTTCCGTGGCTTAAGGATTTGCGATCCGTCTTCATCGATATCTCCCTTTTTCTGAGTCTCTTCACTGAAACTCTCTCGGCCTGTCTCTTCTTCGCATCGTCGCAAATCTCTCAATTGCTTCTTCCGCTTCTCTTCCCAAGCTCTCCGTCCAAAGCTCTCCCCTTTGATCAGCACCCGGCTAAGCACCTGGCTCCAGCTCCCCGGTGCTGCACATAAGTCCACCACACGTGTCACACTGTCCGGATCAGAGTGTGCGAAAAGGTCGAATTGTTCGTCGATCTGAATTAGCTTGAAAGCGGAGCGGGCACGCCAATTCTGCTCTTTGGCCAGACGATAATAAGCATCACGTTTGTCTTTAGAGGATTTACCCATTTCGGTGAACGTAGAATGGCCCTATCTGTGTCCCGTGGGGGGCTGCAATGGCATATAGTATTCGCTGGCGGGGATAGGTTGACCGTCCGGGCTGGAAATTTGGTGGGATGCGATAAGTTTGAGTCGGTCGCACTAAAATGAAGCTTAAATTTTTGTCGACCTTTCAAGGTGCTCCGAAAAAGACCTCCATCCAGCACCGGTCACTCGATGCCAAAGGAATAAATTCAAAATAGCGGCCGAGAAATCCCGTATCGATATGGCGCAGAAGCGCTCTCATAACCACAAAGATCACACCGCGAAAGCCATCAAGCGACGCAAGTTCAATGCCGCGACTGCCAAGAGCTCCGACGATGCTGCGCACGACATCGTGAGCGTTGACCAGTTGGATTGGAAGACAGTCACGTTGCCCGATAGGTTAGACGATGCCGAAGGATTTTACGGGCTGGAAGAAATTGAGGGTGTGGACATTCTGAGGCCGTCTGGAGGTGGGGAGATCAAGTTCAAGGTATGGATTTCCACGGAGGAATATCAGGTTGAGGTGCATATTTCTCTGACCGGTCTTAACTAGGCCTCCAAAAGTAAAATCAAAGGCATTCTTAAAAACTCAACCGATAAGTCAGGCCAACCTGCGGAAGATTGGGAAGAATGGAGCGGGTTCGGCGACGACAGCGAAGACGGGGACGGGACTACCCTTGAAGCCGAAAAGAAAGCTGAAAACCATGGAAAAGTTAACGACAGAAGAACGAAAACGAATAATTCAAATAAGGAGAAAGAGTCAAATAAACTGCCAAAGGATCGAGGTCCTCGTATTAAAACAGACAACGGTATTAAGACAGGAGTATCCTTCGCCGCACTCCAAGACGAGGTTGAGGAAGACGTTGATGTTTCCGCTTGGGATTCTCTAGATCTCAGTGCCGAACTACAAACTAGCCTTGGAAGACTCAAGTTCTCTTCTCCGACACCTATCCAGTCCGCATGTATCCCAGCCGTGCTTCAAGGTCATGATGTAATCGGGAAGGCGTCTACAGGATCTGGGAAGACTCTGGCATTTGGCATACCGATAGTTGAATATTTTTTAGGCAAATATCGGGGCGGTCGAGCTCCGACTGCATCTGAAGAGAGAGAAAGCACGAAGGAACCCATGGCGCTAATACTGTCGCCAACGAGAGAACTCGCACACCAACTCAACAAGCATCTTACCGACTTGGTGAACCATGCACCAAATACACAAGTTAGGATCGCAACGGTCACGGGTGGTTTGTCCATCTACAAGCAGCAGCGGCTACTCGCTGACGCTGATATCATCATCGCTACCCCGGGTCGGTTATGGGAAGTTGTCGGATCTATGACTGGGTTTCTGTCAAAGCTGAAAAAGATCAGATTTCTCGTCATCGACGAAGCTGATAGGTTGCTGAGTGAAGGTCATTTCAAAGAAGTGGAAGAAATACTAAACGCCATCGACAAAGTTGAGATCACTGAAGAGGCTTACGGGGAAAGGTCGGAGCGGGAGCCTGAGCCTGAGCCTGATGAAGAGAAAAAGGCGGAGCCACGCCAGACGCTGGTCTTCTCAGCAACATTCCACAAGGGCCTACAACAAAAGCTCTCGGGAAAGATCCGATATAGGAATGATGACTTGCTTGACAAAAAGGAATCCATGGAGTACCTTCTTCGAAAGCTGAATTTTAGAGAAGAACGACCGAAATTCATCGATGTTAATCCGATCTCCCAAATGGCTCAGAACTTGAAGGAAGGTTTAGTCCAATGCGCGCCTATGGATAAGGTATTCTCTTTCGCGCGATAAGAAATGCTTCCAACGGTGCTAACGATGATTTCAAACAGGATCTGCTTTTATACACCCTTCTCCTCTATCACCCCAAACATCGCACGCTAGTATTCACAAACTCTATCTCTGCTGTACGCCGCTTAACTCAATTACTTCAAAATCTTAATCTTCCTACTTTCGCGCTGCATTCATCAATGGCTCAGAAAGCCCGCCTCCGCTCCGTGGAGCGGTTTTCTTCCCTGTCATCAGACCCTTCGTCTATCCTCGTGGCCACTGATGTTGCCGCACGGGGACTTGACATTAAGGGAATCGATCTTATCGTTCATTACCACATCCCCAGAACCGCGGACACATACGTGCACCGTTCAGGTCGAACAGCACGAGCTTCGGCATCCGGAAAGTCGATCCTAATATGCGCACCGGAAGAGACTACTGGTGTCGCTAGGCTCGTTGCCAAGATCCATTCCAATAAGAAAGACTCCAGCGCCACCGAGTCTAAGATGGAGAAAAAAGTTCCTTTGCAATCTGTAGACTTGGACAGGCGTATAATCGACCGCCTTCGCCCTCGTGTCACGCTTGCCAAAAAAATTACAGAGTCTATCCTTGCGAAGGAAAAGCTATCTTCTGAGGATGATTGGCTACGTTCCGCGGCCGAAGATCTAGGTGTTGATTATGATAGCGATGAATTTGCCGAACAGCAATCCAAGGGCAAAGGCAAAGGGCGTGGTCGTGGTGGAGGTAGACAAGCACGAGAACAGAAAGCCGCTAGTCTATCTAAGGCAGAGCTTGCGGGCTTGAAGGCACAATTGAGGGAATTGGTGTCCAAGAAAGTCAACGTGGGCATTAGCGAGAAGTATTTGACGGCGGGTAGAGTTGATGTGGATGCCCTATTGAGAGGAGAAGGGAATGATGCATTTCTTGGACATGTAGAAAAGTTGTCATTTTAATGTGCTGGAAGCCGAGGACTACGCAAAGCAAACATATCCATATATCTTCTTGGTATAGGGAGAAACCAACCAGTGATCCAACAAGACCGGACGAAAATATATATTCAGTTTCAACCCCTGATCCGAGAAGATAGAACTCTTAGGATATGGTTAATTACTCGCGCCACTTTGCCCCTTCTCCCTGCAACTATCCAGATTGTCAACAATAACGTCAAACTAACCCGCCTCTTCGTCCTCCACCAAATTCTTAGCCACCTGGATGCCAATCTAAACACCCATCCAATTCGCTCTGCCTTTACCACATCATAGTCATCAAGCCCGTTGGCAGTCATCCAGGTCTGCACCCAGAAGTTGCGCGCATATCCTGGAAATGAGGCGGAATTTCGCCCGAATTCATTAATATACCAGTTTGAACAACCAGCAGAGAATACTGAACCTTGTAGCTGCTGATGAATATCGCTCACCCAGACGTTTTCGCGGGTTTCTTTCACGTCGATTATGGAGACGCGACGATCGATCAGTGGCGCAAGGATGGTACGGGCGAGATATCCAACCTGGACTTCGCAGGTGAAGAGAACGGAGTTATGGGCGGGGAATGTATTTGGCCCTGTTTGGAGGTGTTAGCTGAGAAATTCGGTGGCTAGTTGATATGATTACTGTCGCTCACCAAATAGGATACCAAAATTGGGGAAGTTATGGACTGGGAGGATCTGGTGAGTTTCTCTTAAAGCTGGCGAGGTTGGTCAATCTGGTCTATCGCACTCACCTGTTGTACCTAGAAAGGCTTGCGCGCCACGATTCTCTTCCCATTGCCTGCGCAGAGATACTCCACTGGACCCAACGATCTCCATCGGAGTTAAAAATTGCTGTACCTGAAACCCGGTTGCTAGAACGATCGCGTCAAAGTCATGTTCGACACCACTGTCGCTGATAATACCGGTTTCGGTGATTTCTTTGATCCCTTCCGGGATAACCTCGATATTTGACGCGTGCAAGGACTGGAGATAACCAGGATCAAATATACGACGCTTGCAACCTGACGAAGGCGGATCAACTCAAGTGACGAATGGATATGAGCGGGCTGATTTAGACTCACCGAGCGGAAATTTTGGGACGATGAAATCGTGATATTTTTCTGGCGCGGTAGCATGGATATACTCCTTCGCTTGTGTTTCCACACGCTCTCGCACTTTCGCTGCCGCTGGTCCAGGCATATAGGTTGAGACGAGGTTGTCACTCTCAAGGAAAAGTCGCAGTCGCTGCCATCGAAGCCAGAAAGGAATATGTTTGAAGCACCACTTCTCAAAATTCGTGAATGGACGATTCGGTCTCTCGTGATACCACTGAGGACTCCGCGCATATCTGAGACAGCGTCAATTAACTCCATTTTTTTCGCACTGGCTTCTAGTTTAACCCATACTGTTTGACACATGCTGCCTTTGACAACAGAGCAGGGACAACCTGAGCGGCGCTGCAACCGTTTCCTATGACAGCCATTTTCTTCCCTGTGTAGTCGAAGTCATGATTCCACCTCGCCGTATGAAATATCTTCCCTTGGAATTTCTCCATCCCTTTGAACTTGACATCGCGAGGAAACGAAATACCACCAACGGCAGAGACCAGTGCAGTGGCATACCGAGAGTATTCGATGTTTGTCTTGAGATCTCTCAACGTTACTTCCCATTGACCAATGTCGGAACTCCATCTTGCGCCCATGCATTCGATCCCGAAGCGCATATGGGGGCGGAGGTTGTATTTATCCACAGTGTTCTCCATGTCTGAAATATCGTGGGTCGAAGGTCAATAGAAGCTCCATGAGAGAGTCTCTTTGAATAAGTGTTCTCACATTCCAATATCTCCTTCTGGTCACATAGTTCCTTGGACCAATCGGGTTTGAGCTCGAAGCTGAACGAATAAAGGTGCGTGGGGATGTCACAACCACTTTCGCACAGTATTAGCTGCCCGCGTTTACCTTGAAAGATATAAATTTGAGAAAAAAAAAAGGAGTTTAAAGTACATACCACCCGGGGTAGTTATTGGCCCTCCATGTTCCCCCGGGCCCGTCCAGTTTTTCATAGATCTGGCGTGCAAGTTAAATAAGCAAATGGAAGACGCAGGGATTTCGTCTTGTACCTGGATTTATTGGACACACCATGAAATCATCAAATCCCATATTATGCTTCATTTCGTGGGCGATGCAGATTCCTGAGGGCCCAGCACCGATGACGATGACGGTCGGGCTCCGCCGCAGTTTGGAGACGTGTGCTTCTGCCATGTTTCCGCCTAGCTATCCGGATAAATTACTGGGCGGGAGTGCTGGTTAAAGGATAAAAGCAGAGAGTGGGCTGCGTTGAGGAGAAAGAGGAGATGGACTGGTACCGGAAGCCGGAGACCGGGATGGTCTTTATGTAGTGGAATCCCAAGTCATCGGATTTAAATTCCGTGTCTTCCCCAGTCGAGGGCTTATGCAGCCTTTCAAGCCTTCTGAAAATAGAATCCCGGTCGTAGTCAAGAGGGCTATATATTTGGCATGTTACACGCTGTTCAGCTTGAGGATATCCACCAGCCGAGGACCACCCAGGGCTGTGGATCACCAAACGGATTACCTCAGTAATTAGCAAATGAAAAGATGGATCGAGATAAACCGAGATAACGAATGAACTCTCAGCACTCAAGCGGTTTGAGTAGCGAAGAGAAGGCTTGGCCTGTGAGGATCAGCGGTCGGAATTCATATCGCGGACACCAATGCGCAAGGGAGCTTCTTCCCCGCATGAGTGTTGAGTCAATCGGTAGCAAAGCTCAGCATCAAGCCTGGCTGGAGTTTACAACTTAGAAAGAAGGGCTACGTTTTGAAGACCGAACGAAATCCGGTCAGATGCTGGTTAAAATTTTATATGACCACTGCTACCCAACTTCGCCATCTACGCAGTAGCCCACAAAATGACAGGCATGCAAGCTTGAGCGACCTGCTAAGTCTCTGAAGGAGGTGTTAATGTTTCTGTAAGAGAGGGAAATTGTTAATTGATAGCTCCTCAACAAAAACCTATGGTGACTAAAATCCTCTTGCCGCTATCACAAAGCTGGCATTTTCCTGCCCCTTCCATCAGTGTTCCAGCGATACTTTCAGCGGAGGCCAGAGTGTCGGGGATGTGATAGAAAATCTAATCGGAGAGGGAACGGCTGCTGATCTTACTGCTGGAATTGCGAATAGGATATGCTGCAAGAAGCCCTCAACGCAGTCTCTCACACGAGCAGTCCCATCTCTCCTCACAACCTTTTCTGAACCTACATCTTGTTAAAAATGTTTGCGGAAAACTCAAGGATCTGGGATGGGGCACGAGCACTTACAAATCATAACATCTTCCCCTCGCTTTTCCAAATTCTCTCATGCATGCAAAGTGGACTCCAGTGTAACACCTTCGACACTTTCGCTTTTGTTTTCGACACTGTCCCTCCCAAAGGTTTGGACTGCCTGGGCTTGGGCCTGGCTTGGCAAGAAATCCATCTTCATCGGCAGCGAAGTGGATCATAGCAAGATCGCTTTTGACATTAGTGGTGTCGGGATCAGTTGAGTTTGTTATACCGTCGCCAACAGCAGTGGTAAACGGAATTGCTTCCGGGCTCGTCGGGCTGTTGTCAGCGAAGGTCAGCGAGAATGGAGAATTTCTCCAGCGGACTGTCGCGAGAAGGAAAGTAGAGGTGGCTGTCGCTTCTTCTGAGACACAGCCCGTCGTCATGGCGCTGGTTGTAATGGGAAAAGACGAAGCGAGAGCCATCATTGAACGACCTGTGACGCAGCTTGCAAGCAACACAACGGTGGCAGGAATGGGCATTTTGGGCGGCAGTGGGTGAACGAAGCCAGACATCAAGGGTCAAGCTGCCGGGTCCTTTTTACTGTCAAGGAGTCGCGGACTTTAGCCATGTTTGATTCTTCTTCTGGCAGCGGTGTTTCCATACCGGAAGGCAGTCACTACCTGTCACCTTCGGTCGGCCGGATAAAGAGCAGTCAAGTGCAGCCTTTTAAAGGAGGGAAATGGCTGCTGAACAGAAGGAGAGATTAGACAAGGAAACGGGCATTTATCCTGCCACCACAGACTGACTGACTGACAGTTGGATGGAGTCATCTAGCAAACAGGTGAATGCTCTCTGCCATACGGTTTGGATGCTAAGCTTATTATCCAACCCTAAGCTGTGATAGCTGTTATGGGAAGAGTCGAACTAGAGCCTGAAGAGGCGTGTCTCCATAACGTGGGGTACAATGCGCTTCCCTACAACTTTTAAAAGGAGTTTCCGACCACTAACTAGTTAGTTAAGGTAGTTCACCACTAAACAAGCCACACCACTAAATGAGCCAAATTTCGCCAAATGCTCCACGCAACAAATTTATTAAATATCTCAACAACCAGATCTTTATTATTAAATAGCTATTAAATATTAAATGAATGTGTTCTTTGAAGCATAGAAATTAGTGTAGTTAGGAAAATAAACAGGTGGACAGCCTAATATTACAGCCAGAGCAAGAGATTCAGGAGATAGATAGGAAAGAATTCAAAGGAATGTCAACAGTAGATTTCTCAGCTAGAGAGTCTAATGTCTTGCTAGAGATGCTTGTAGAGCTCTTACTTCCTCTTTTGGAAGATTGTATAGACTCTCCATGATAAGACTCTTTAGTAGAGAAGTCCTTCCAACAGCACTTTAAAGCCAGCACTTGAAGCTCTGATTGCTGGCATTTATTAGCACATTCAATCACTCATTTTTTCTTCTCTGCTAGTTGTAAAGTCTTCTTCTTCTCACAAGTAATATATTGTGTCTCTCTTTGTCTAGCATGTTTGATTTTTTCAGTCTCTTATTGCTTTCAGATACTTTTTACAGGCATTCTCTCATTCAATCTACTTTTTTTTAATATCTCTAGCAGCCTGCTTCTTTTAAAGCTCTTGTTGAAGTTTTGTCTCTTATATTTGAGTAATTTTATCAGCTTTTTCAGTCTCTATTTCATTCAAGCACTCACATGTCTTAAGAACTTTTATTAGAGATCAGAACTGCACTTGACTAGAATTATCTCTATTAAGTAGATCTAGAGACTTGCCTTACTTGTGGTGTTGCTTCTTCATTACTAGAGTTAATCTTAGCTACTGATTCTCATGTTCCAGCAGTTTATTACAAAAAGCAAACTGCTCACTAGCTTGAATAACTTATTTAATACTCTGCAAATTTAGGCTGTACCAGAGATGTATACTCTTAATCTCTTGTTAAAGCTGGTGCATATTGCTAGAAATAGAAGATTTAACTAGTAGTATAGGAGCTTGAGCAGTTTTAAATTAATGTAGTTGATATTAAGAATTCAGAGAGTTAATTTCAGTCTTTACAAAGCCAGTAAGTATATTTTCAACTGTCAAAGTCTTCTTTCAAGTCATATTGAATAGTCTCCAGAAATCTCTTTTTGTCATTCAAATATAATCTATTTCTTAATATAGTAGTGCTTCCAGCTCATTGAAATATGCCTTGCCCAGCAGCTCAAAGATTCCAACATCAAGAGATTGCAAACAGTAGATTAAATGCAGCAGAAGAATTATAAGAAGAATCTTTTTACAGTTAGTGTATTTAATAAATTTCATATTTATATGAGAGAAATGACTATCTAGTAGAAGCAGATGTCTTTCTCAACTAGCTTGTTTCTTAGTATGCTGATTAAAAATCTGTTTCAACTACTTTAGTTTATATTCATTATTGCTTTAATCATTTGTTAAAGCTGTAAAGTAGACTCATTCACTTTCATTATAATTATCTAGTCATGTATTCTGGAGATCTCATAATTCACTCTGATAAATAAGAGCTGAAGATAGTGCAATTTCTTCAGCAGAGACTGAGCAGAGTAATAAGAGAAATTTCTAACTAGCATTCTGGATGACAGCATTCTTTCCAGCTTATAAGACTTCAATAGAGACTAATTACTTTGAGGCATGGCAGAAGTCTAGAAGAAATTCTTTTTCATTAAAGTTATAGATGTTTGAGAGCTCAAGATTATATTAATTAATTTTCTGCTTCAACTATTCCATAAGTAGTAGTCAAATAGTTAGCCAGCATCAATAACTGTAATTGTAAGTAATCAAATAAATCATCAAATTACAAGTATATAGAAGTACTTAAAGTACTGATAGTTATCTGCTATCTGTCTATTTTAATTAATTACTTTGAGATAAATGCATTTGATCTTGTTATTATGCCACTCACAAAATCAATTAATTTAGTTGATTTCAATATTCTCTTCTGTCATCTCTTGTACAATATTTCATAGAATCTGAGATGTAATGGCAAGGCCACAGCTAGAGAGCTTGTTTATATAATTCAGAAGCTCTGTCTCCTGTATATCAGAGAGCTTTTTCTTATATCAGGAGGCTGCTTCATTCTAAGCAAGTTGCAAGTCTTTATGCCATTAGTACAGGATCTCTTGATTAACTGAGTACTTTCTTACAGTTGCAGTGTAATTTGGAGTCTCTTACAATTCAAGATCTTCAATTGCAAGCCTAATTGAGACATTGTTGACCATGTTGTCACATATTGAATGTTGAATGTTGGAGGAATTTTGGTGGTGGAAGATTTGGCTTGTTTAGTGGTGTGGCTTGCTTAGTGGTGAACTACCTTAACTGGGCAAAGTGGTGATGTTGCCGAGACTCAGTGATCGAGGGCGAGTCCCTCCTCCAACCGTCTCTCTCGCTGACCGATAGACGACGATACGTAGGTCCGTAGCTTGGAATCATCGAGAGGGGAAGAGAATGACATATTGACAGCAGAGCGTTCCCTTTCAACTAGACCAGTGGCCTGTACTTTTGTTGCTGGGACCTGAGGCGAGTCGGGCATGATATACGTGGAGTGTAATCTGTATGATGGCATCGGGGAGCTATCAGCCACAGCGCTACGGCTGGTTAAGACAACGCCAGGAGGTTCCGTTTTCTGGAGGACTGAGACTCATCCCGATCGCGATGCCCCGTCAGCGGGTTTGTCCCATCTCGATTCTCGACGCGCCCGTTGAGCCAGTTGGAAGCCCGTCAAGAAGCAAAAAGGGGGGCTTAGTCAGCCTCTCGGCAAACAACGCGTTTCCTCGGCGGGCCGAACGACGATCGCGGCCTGTGATTTCGCGCAGGGTGAAAATCAGAGTCAGAATCTACATAATACTCTACATCCTAGGTGGAGAGCTAAATGTGTCCGTTATGCCGGTCTTTGTTTTGTGGAACGGGGACCTTGAGAGCATCAAGTACTCGACACAGCCTGTCGCTGTTGAGCTGGCTAGTTAACTACGTAGTTAACTGAGCTTGACGACACTAGATTGAGCAAAAGACAGCTTCTACAGACATTCTAACCATGTGGAGATATCTCCTTTTAGCCGCCAACTTCCCCGCATTTTCCACAATGGCTCTGCGAATCATGAGATCAAATACGAAGAGCTGAGATAAAAGCTACGGGGTGCAATGGATGTGGTTTTGCACGCTTTCTGAGGTCGTTGAGCCGACGTTGTCGATCTGCCGGCGGCATCCAAGTCCTCGATGCCGGGTTCGTGAGCTTCGCATCTCCAAACTACACCCAAAAGCTATTCCATGCCAGGCAGGGCGGAGAGGAAGGGAAAGCACATCACAACGGCCTGCGACCAGTGCCGTCGTATGAAAGTTCGCTGCGATGCTGCTTCCCCCCGGTGCTCCAACTGCCTGCGACTCAAGCACGACTGCACCTACCTGCGTGGCCCGGATAGGCGGAAGTAAGCTGCAATCATTCCGGATGGCCGCTTGATGTGTGTCTGTTGTAACAGAAGTCTCTTTTAGAGTCTCAAAGGTTGCCGCTTCCCAGCTGATAAACCGCGTCCTGCTCCTGGAAGACACCCTCCGGAAGCACAACATCCCCGTTCCCGTGCCGACCTCCACCCTCGACTGCCATGCATATCTCGTCAGGAGACAGGGTCCGTCACAGGCTCCTCCCAGTCCAGATCAGCACCCCCGTTCAACCCATCTAGGCAGCCTCGGCCACGAAATCGGGACTTACAGCCACAGATTAGACGGAAGAACGACGATACCGACCACCCAGCACCTTGGTGGCTGTATTGACGACGAGCTGGATCAGCTTTCCAAACGTCTGGGTTCTCTTCGCGTTGCCGAGGACGGCCAGCTACGGTACTACGGTGCCACTTCCAACATGCATCTCTTGAATGAGGCTCCCGGCCCTCAAGCGGACAGTGCCCCTTTTTGCGGGTACGATGCCGATACTTGTCTCGCCCAAGCTGGGGTAGGTCACACTGTCCCTCGCGAACTTGAAGACCACCTAATTGGACTGTACTTTGCTTGGGAAAACCCATTTATACATGTTGTTGATGAAGACGTTTTCCTGAACACACGTGCACGGACTTTATCCCAGAGTACCACTGACCCTAAATCACAATCACCGTACTATAATCAAGTCTTGGTCAATGCGATGTAAGTCGAAGCTACAGCCACAAATTTTTCTCTGCTCTAACAGATAGGTACAGGTGTTCAATCGGTTCCGCTTTTACAGATCGAATAATTTTGGAGCTTCCTTCTCCACTAGCCGAGTTTTTTGGGAGACGTGCTCGCGTACTTTTGGATGCCGACATGGATAGCCCATCCGTTGCCACAGTTCAAGCACTTGTCATCATGAGCGCCCATGAAGCAGCTGTGATGAGAGATGCTCGTGGCTGGCTTTATAGTGGTATGGCAATGCGGCTTGCAGTCGACCTCGCATTGCACATGGACCCCGATCCCTACGTTAAAAAGGGGACTATGGACCAGCATGATGTTGTCGCTCGTCGCGTAGCATTCTGGGGAACATTTCTCGTTGATCTTGGCTGGAGCTATTACGTTGGTAGATTGACGATGCATATCAACCTGGATGGCGTAACAGTCCCAAAGCCATCCCACAAGTCTGGTAAATCGCGGGCATGGACGCATTATACCGATGAGGCAATACAGCCATTTAATGAACCCGCACCCCGCCAGTATCCAGATACGATTGATCATGTGTTGGAGCACCAAGTGAGCCTCTACGTAATCATGGCTCAGCTGCAAAAGATATTGTGAGGCTGCGTCTCCCAATACCTTTAACGCTGTGCTCCTACTAATAGCTTGCAGTAACGATATAAAACTCCATTCCAGGGGCATTGTTAACAGTAGCACCAAAAAGGTCACAAGGGATTTGATACACTGGAGGCAATCATTACCCCCTGAGATTTCGACAGAATCGATCTTCCAGTCGAGCATCACATTGCCCCATACCCTGTTACTCCACATGCAATACCACGAGGTAATGATATTCGCAAATCACCCTTTGATTGCTGGCGCTAGCGGTGCCATGACCACAGACATTCGGGAAGGATGTGCCGAGTCGGCGCGTGCGATTGCTTTAATTCTTCAGATATACAAGCAACAATGGTCCCTACGCAGGATGAATATCCAGGGAGTACATATGATATTTTCTGCTACTCTAGTGCACTTACTTCTCTCATGCACATCAGAAGACAGCTCTACGCGTGAAGCTGCGGTCAACGATCTTAAAGTCTGCTGCGAAGCGTTAAAAGAGCTTTCTATCGCGTTCCGAAGCGCCACACGCGCCCTTGATTCTATTGCAAAGACTAAGGAAAAATGGCAAGCTTCGCTGGACAACCCAGACATGGATACTACCCTGAAGACTTATTTCCAAGTTCAACAGCCCATTTCTGACCCAAAGATATGGCAGGCCGTTGATGAGGTTATTTGCCAAGAGCAGAACATGCACCAGAGTGACCCACAACTAGATGATGTGTCATGGCTGGACGGGTGGATGGCTATGCAGGCGATGACTGCTGATCCGTTCGCCTTGGGGCTGGCCTAAGATTGGTTTTTAAAATGTTAAGATATAAGGTCGCAAGCTCCCACTTGGCTGTATTATTATACTTGCCAAAGATTTTATTTGAGTCCCTCAATTCAATGAGATTAAAGTGTTCGCAAAGAATTTAATGGTAAACGCCATCAACTGCTTAACTGCGCCTAGAAAATAAACAACAATGAAGTTTAGCCCAGCCTTAAAACACTTGGATGCCCACACTTCATAGGGACCGGGCAATCTCACTGACTTCCACCACTGTCAGACCGACGTCGAATTTCGTCAGTTGTGATGTTTAATCCCTTGCCCATCATCTTATCGGTGCCGCTCGACTTTCTAGGTGGGTTGCAAATTCTAATCGCCGAATTCCATCTCGCAACATCATCTAGCGAGGCCGGCCTTGCAGCCTCGCTGTAGGGGACAAAGTGATAGGGATTCGGCCGCGGAGCGCTGCCAAAGCACATGGTGTGTCCGTGCTCGTTCAAACGGAGAGGGTAAGTTGATGATTATGTTGAAAGTATTTTTCTTGAAGCTTGATGACTCGGTTTCTATTGTTTCTGTCTTCTCGTGCCTCTCCAAGCGTTTCGGACTTGTTGCTCGAGGGGGAGCGAGGGGTTACCGTGCTTAATCTTTGTTGAGGACGAAGGGAGGGTATTCTCTTCAACTCTTGAGTGAGTAATAGGCGTCTGTATCTTCCGTTTATTTTTAAACGGTGTTAACCTGTTGCTTTTCAAAGAAGTGGCTTACAGCTGGGGTAATGGAGCCCTGCTTTTGCCACCGCGTCCCCTTTCTCCAGGAACGAAATGCTAGAATGACTTTGCAGCAGTCCGATTTATGCTTATGAGTATCTTGTACGGCTTAAAAGGGAATGGGTGCTTTCGGATCTGCAATGCACTTCTAAGATAGGTTTAGGTACGTATATAGTCAATTGTATCCTATATCTGCAGGAGAAAATCCCCGCGGACAAGTCCGGTTCGATATCTCCGCTTTACTTATACTTCGCGGAGGGCGAGAGTTTTCAACGCGTCATATGGCTTTACGCTGCACGGAGCTAGATGTGTCTGGAATGGCAGTTTGCCACAGAAAGTTACCAGACGATGAGCTAAGAGTACGATGTACTTGAGTAGAGGAATACAACAGATGGTAAAGAAGCGGAATTTATTCGGGAGCTCGCGCATAGCCTCTCTCATTTGGTATATTGTTCAGAAATATGCTGACATGGCGTAATTTTCTCCAAAGAGATATAGCGGCAAAAGAGGGTATTCGCGACAAACCAGGCTTTCAAAATGAATAAAACGTATACCGAGTGGAAACCGTATGTAAAACGCAAGGTAAAATGCATATAGGAAACGCCAACCAAAAAGAAAAGAAGAGAAAAGAAAAGGAAAAAGAAAAAAAGGTAAAAAGATACCAAACTACGGACTACTGATAGTTAAAACGGAGGGGAACTGAGGAGTATGATCCTAAATCAGCTCAAACGTCTCGCCTGTACAGATGTATAGATTAGTCAAAATGCGTGTCTGCAAAGAGATGTGCGGGAAAAGAACACAACAGCACACTTACCAGGTTAACCCCAATTTTTCGATAGATGGAGTGGGTATTGCATTTCGGTCACCAAAAGGATTCTCATCATCGTCATCTTCTTCTTCTACTTCACTCGAAGAATCTTCACTTGCTGTTTCATAAGCAAGTTGCTTTTTGGTGGGATTAGAAGTCGAAGGTAAAGGTCCAGGAAGGCTCATCGGCCTTTGCGGTCGCGGCGGTTTGGCTGGCGGACTTAGCACCAAGCCAGCAAATCTTTCCGTGACATTCCTTTCCGGCAGCCGTCGAATATCATCAATGGAGAGATCATCCTCACTATCACTGTCGTAATCGACGCTTTTGTCAAGGACTTCAAATGCCATCAATGCATTTACAAGCTCTTCATTTGCATGGATCAGGCTACCAATGAAGTCATCACTCTCAACAAGCTGGATATATCGTAAAATTTGACGTCTCAGTTCCTTGCATCGTGAAAATTTCTCCATAACCTCAGCATTATCGCTCACGCGCTGAGTTTCACGATTAACAAGTTTAAGGACGTTTGTGAGATTAGTGCTTGCCACCGAGGCAGACGCTATTGCTTGTAAAATCTCCGGTCGCTCCTTTTCAAGGTTAAACTGTCCTCTTCGATTCTTCTTTTTATCTTTAGACTTGCCGGAGACAGCAGGGAACGGAGGCATGGATGACCTGCGAGTTGTCGGGGAGCCCAGAACCGTAGAAGGTCCCTCTCCAGCTGCTATAGCCACTGAATGACCCAGCGGTTCATTCGCAGCCTCCTCTGTTTCTTTCAGCACTTTAGACTGTTGAGGTCGAGGGCGCCTCTTCCGCGTGGGTAATTGCTTATAGAGAAGGGCTACTCTCTCCATACCAGGTGTATTTTTATAGGATATGGCCCATTGTGGGAATAGCTGTTTGCACTTCTCTCTTACCTCTGGATCCGACACTGAATCTGTGGCAGCGACTCTTAATCGTTCAAGAAGTGGCTCATCAGCGAAGCTTTTCAAAAACCTCTCACCAGCGTTTTGGATAAGGAAATCAAGTATTGTCAGAGCTCGCAGTTGGCGATGAACACTTCCGTATTTTCTTTAGATTATTTTGTGGTTAGTCTATTGGCTCCGGAGATCACGGGGCCATTCACATACAGCTTCTTTCGAAGAGCTCTACTCGCTTCCTGAGGCCCGCTGCTTTGCAGTCGAATGACTTCGATTAGGTCTACAATACCACCGGAATCATCCACGTCGTATTGCTCACTAGTGAGCCGGTCGATTTGGACAGTAATGGCTGTAAACGGCTTCTTCTATAATAGGGGGAAAGAATGATTAGAACCTTGGCGTGAATCCTCAAGTTAAATAGGATGCTCGTGGCAACCAAAGAATAAACTCGAAACTGAAGAGAAACAATCACTGCCACCAAGAGTAATCTTTGAGGCAATAACCAAGGGAGAATGAAATATATCAAATCCCACCCTATCAAAAAGAAAAAGGGACTGCGTAATGGACTTTTGTGACCTGACATGTTCCAGGGCTTTGACAAAACTTAAAAAGAGCAAAGTAGGGGGGAAGGGCGGTCCCGTACCGAAGAGGAGAACATCGTGCCTGGCAGCTATCCGTTCCTGTAACCAAGTTAGTAATTGTGCTCGAGAAATCACGGAGTATATTAGTAACACCTATTATATATCTTCGCTAAGGAGAGAGTAGGAGGGGGTTAGGAAAGTTCTAGCCGTTTGCGGTGCTATGACCCTTTCATGTTCCTGAGCCAAGCGATGGATAATGGCTCAAGGGGAGCTAAAGGAGGTCTGGAAAGGGGTTTGAAAGGAAAGGCTTAGAGGTAGCAAACGTTGGTGGGAAAAATGGTGAAACCCCCAGATGTACTGACGCCCCGATACTTTTGTACAAATATCGGGATAGCTTGGTGGAAACCGTGGGCGAGTTTCCTGGCACACAGCTATTCTGTGAACCGACCCAGCCGGAGAGCGCGCGGGGTAGACAGAGGATGCTTGGCGGATGAATTCGACACAGGTGATGCAGAGAACTGCAACTTGATATGATGGTTTTTGAGTAACATCAAGCTTCTCCAATCGTCAATTGCAGGGCTGAGCTGCCTTTCGGGATGCGCTGGTGCCGATACCTCTTAGCAATGACAAGGGACTGCGAGGTTGCGTTGGTCAGCGAGTGAGTGCAATTTGCACATGACGTCTTGAATCACGTGATTAGCGCCCAAACAAGCTCAGGTAGCGACGGAACGAGCTAGCTTCTTGCGGTTAGCCTGGTGTTGTCAGTGCCCTGAGTAGGAACTAGCCCTAATATGATTTAGTGCTGGTCCCGCCGTTGTGACATAAGCAGATCGGCCGCCGGGTTCGGCATGCTCCGTGAGCAATCGCGAGACGACCGGCCCGACTGCTCCCTGCAGAGTGACATCTGGCCTAGTGATCCTGTCTTGGAGTTGCAACCGATGAAACGCCCAAATTACCCCCAGGCAAACTTATTTAATCTCTGTAGATCCCGGGATTTCTGCTCAATCGCTTTGTCTTCCATAGTTGTCCTCATTCTGGCTCTGAGTCTTTCCGGCTGTCCCCGCATCCTCTCACCTTTGGTTACCCCGCGTTACTTATTCACTTCGTCACTTTTCCCTCGAAAGATGTCTTACCAACAGGAGCTGTTGGTGGCCCAGCTGGCGGTGCAGAGAGCCGCCATTTTGACCCAGAAGGTATTCTACGAGAAGACCAAAGGAACTCTTTCAAAAGATGATTTTTCCCCTGTGACGAAAGGAGATTTTGGCGCCCAGGCCTTGATCATCCAAGCCATTCGCGCGAACTTCCCCCAGGATGAAGTCGTGGGAGAGGAAGATGCGGACTCGCTCCGGGAGAACGACGCCTTGAGAAATGAGATGTGGAATCTCGTCAAGGACATCAAACTCACCGATGCCGAAAGCGACAAAGTTATCGGCGGACCCTTTAAGAATGAGACCGAGATGCTTGACGCCCTTGACGGCGGCAAGAGCCCTGGTGGCCCCAAAGGCAGAATATGGGCATTGGACCCCATCGATGGCACCAAGGGCTTCCTCCGAGGTGGTCAGTATGCTGTCTGCCTTGGTCTCATAGAGGATGGCGACGTCAAAGTTGGCGTTATCGGATGTCCCAACCTTCCACTCGATGACTCTGCACCCCTTTCCGCTGAGATTGGACAGTCCGGCGCCGCTGGCACGGAGACCGGAGTTCTCTTCTCTGCTGTGAAGGGACAAGGTGCCACGAGTCGCCCGCTTTCGGACGGTGCAGTGCGAGAGGGCAAAGCAATTTCGATGAGGCCGGTTACGGATATTACAAAGGCTTGCTTCTGCGAGGGAGTCGAGGCCGGTCACTCCGCCCAGGACGATAATGCCGAAGTCGCCAGACGCCTTGGGATTAACTCGCCCAGCGTGCGCTTGGACTCTCAGGCGAAGTATTGTTCAATTGCACGCGGCGCCGGCGACATTTACCTCAGATTGCCAGTTAGGGCCGACTATGAAGAGAAAATCTGGGATCACGCCGCGGGAGACTTGATTGTTCGGGAAGCTGGAGGCGAGGTCACTGATATCACCGGCAACAGACTCGACTTCACCAAGGGCAGGAAATTATCAGCGAACAGGGGTGTGGTCGCGGCCCCGAAGTCTATTTTCGAGCAGGTCATCAACGCAGTCCGCGCCGTCTATGCTGCCAAGGCATCAATTTAGAGGAAAGTGTATAGAGTTCGATCTACTTTCTAGTATTGTTACATAGCAACAGCACGCCCTTATGAAAAAAAGATACCAAAACCTATCATGTACATACAGCAAAAATAACCCAAAGATATCCCAAAAAATGCGACAATGATATCATTTGATCTTCTTCGCTTTTAATTTGATCGTTTCTCCGTTCACGAAGATACCCTTTCCCTTGTATGGTTCTGGGACTCTCCATTTTCTGATGTTTGCCGCAAATTGGGTAACTATCTCTTTATCAATTCCTTCCAGTAGAATAGTTGTCGGCTGTGGAGTACTTGCTTTGACTCCCTGTGGAATTCCCAGCTCGACTGGGTGCGCGAAGCCAACCTTTAAGGACACGAATTGCTGCCCGGAGTATTCGGGTGTGAGTGTGATGGCTGTGGGTTCTATCGACGCCCTGAAACCGACACCGACCAGCTTCAAGACGCAAATGTGGCCTTCAGAAACGCCTAGGATGTAATTTTTAAGATGTTGCCGAATTGTTCCTGCGGTCCACATTCCGATTAGCACACTCCCTGGCCCCAGTACTCAACCAGTCACATATTTAATATATACGCACCCCACATGGCTTTTTGGTGCTTATCCTCGACATTGGCTATATCAAACTTCGCCTTTCGGGTTTCTGCATCGTATTGCAGCGTAGAGAATGAAGGAATCTTCAGCGTCATTTGACCTATTTCACACCGTTATTTCGAATTCCTCTTGCAAGGTCGCAACCAGATAAAAACGAACCCAAAGGACCAGATACTTCCACAGCCATAGCAGGAGTATCCGCAGCTGTCACTCTCGTGGTCGCCCCTGATTTTGGCAAATCAATGAATTTTAAGGACACTTCTGGTGGAACTGAAATCGGCGCAGACCCGATTCGGGATTGTGTCGCTGCGGAAGTCGAGAATGTCTGCGATCGTTGGGGGAGTGAAAATGCCGGTATGAGGAAGGCAGGGAGGGAGTTGACCCGTGCAGACTCCCGAAGGAGCTGCCGGTAGCAACTTCGAGACACCGCCCAGGTCATCTTTGCGGAAACAGTATTGATGCTTGTCGCAAGTCCTGAGGACGAGCTCGCAACGCCGAATTGAATTCGATGGCGCTAAAACACTTCGGGTTAGCGCTCAATTTTATCACGTGGCAATTACATAATCAAGGGGCCTCGCGCTTTTGGGATTTGGCTGCGAGTCGCGTTCTCTGCTCGGGCAGATATCTCTCGATTGCACGACACCAGCAGGGCGACAGCACCACTCAACTACTATTCCATCACTTTTACGTTGAGGGATCTAATGCTAACCTATATCTATCGCTCTAGATGACATCTAGAAACTGTTTTCATGAATTGAATTGTCACTCTTATTAATATGATCATCTTTGTTTCTTAGGAAAGGCAACGTCTTCCTTGTCACCCAGAACCCTTTCATTTGTATTCCCCTCTTCATGAGCTTCCTACATAAAAGACCTATATGATCAAAACTGTCCTGTGCTTTAAATAGGCTTTCTCTTGCAAAGGAAACACAACTCCTTGCTAAAATTGATCATTTAATGACTTTGTATGAAAAGTCATGATATTCTCCACTAAAATGTTCACGACCAAAATCTATATACCCTTGCTCTCTTATTTTTTCTTGATATTCTTTTCTTGTACAGCTCTGGCCCTAAGATTTTCCCCCTTTGGGAGAGGTAAGATGCCGTACTTAAACCCCTCGCTCGGATCTGGCGCATAGCCTTGACGAGAATAGATCCCGCTGTGTTTCCAGTGGCACCTAAACCTGCTGTCGATTTGACTTCCCTTCTGCAACTGGAAGCCGCGGAGCGGAACGAAATCTATTCAGAGGCCGTTCGGCTACTCAATTCTATGGAGTCATCTTCGTCTTGCCATCAGCGTGCTGTGACGGACTTAGTTATATCTTGTCAGTTCCTGGAAGGCGGGCCAAACGATAATAACTGGGACTCTTCCTTTCACCTGGATCAGCTTAAGTCCTTATATGCCGCCAGGCTAGCTATGTGCGAGCTCAATGGTGCGGGTGCAGCAACCCCAGATAAATGCGTATCCATTCTTAGTCTCAAGCAAGAAGATGGCCCTGAATCGTATTCTACACAGTTCCATGCTAAAACCAGGAAGCAGCAACCAGCAATCCCTGCGCAGTTGGAATCCTGCCTCCATTCTTTAGAGTCGCGGCCGCAGTGGTGGACAAGTTACAGCAACAACCGTCAAAATGCAGCCGTTATGTGCCAGGCAGCACGCATTAATGTAGAGCGAGATGAGTTACTGAAGCACCACAAGAAACTCGCTGACATTACATTTGGCCTCGGGGCAGCCTTGAACCAGTCGTTGAATGATGCAGCGGCTGAGGCTACCAAACAGCGTTCTTTTTTGAATTCCATTAATGACTTACGTTTAAAAATAATCCGCGATATGCAAGATGCTGATGTCCTTGCTCGAAATCGATTCTCAGCTTTCGCCATTGACTTAGAGTCACAAATCCGTCGGACTGGCGCGGGTGCCAAGGAGTCCATGAGAGGTATCCTGTCTGATGCAGGGGTTCTATCTAAGGTCTGAATTCACTCTCCGGTTCTCAGTCCAACCCTTGACCCTTTAGTAGGACATCCTCTTGTCGATCAAGTCAATTCAGGACCTGAAGGATAGTATGAACGTCTATTCAGAGATGCTGAAGCAGAACTCGGAGCTCGCCGCTGCAGATCAAGAAAGGCAGAAGGCTAATTCCGAAATAACCTTAGCCACTCGGCAGTCTCTTGACGAAATCAGAAACCAGCATATAGCCATTATCGACCAAGAATTTAGTCACCTTCATTCGTCAGTTGTATGCTACACCTCCATTAACTACCTGTGAAGAGTGAGCTAACATTGTGCTAGCGATCTGTAAATGAACTAATATTTTCAATCCATCAAAAACAAGTTTCTTTAGACGAGGTATCCCTTGACACATGGACTTTAAGGATCATGTTCTAACCTTTAGAAGCGTGTGGAAAGCTTTGAAAGGGCGTTTCAACAATTCGAATCCCAAGCCTCTTTGCTTCAAGAATCGTTGATGGTGCAGATTTCAAATCAATCGCGATTCCAGGAGTCGTTTCATGCTGATCTTCGCATCGCCCAGTCTCTCCTCGCTGATGTGACGAGCTCTGCTGCAAACTTGGCGTTGAATGTTGAAAAATCTTTGCAGCGTTTCGACAAATTTTTCAATATTGGAGGGATTCTGAGCTCTCCTTCCGGGCGCGTTTGGGCCGTTGTGCTCTTGTGTATTCTGATAGTCCTCAATCCGAGAATATTTGCTACCTGTCTCCTTATTTTTGGTACGGTTCAACCTCGTCGCTAACTCAGGACTTGGCTAACTCTCTATTGGTCTAGTTACCGTGGCAGGGGTCGTTCCCGGTCGAGCCTTGAACGTTTTACGAAATTTAGAGCGATCACCTCTTCATCCGGTTAAGCTAGAATCATGCGCTCGTTTTGCGTGCTTCGTATTCGGATTGATATTTGGGGTGATATTCGTTATATCCCTCACGAAGAAAGGATATATTTCGCTCCCCGCTACCCGCATATTATTTGCTAGGATTTCTAACAGATCAGAGCGAAAATCTCTCGATCTTGCATAATCCTTGAACTTTTATAAGCATGCACTTGAGTTATCTTATATACCCTTGCAAATTTAATACCCATCAGATCAGGATCTGATTTATCGAGGGGCTAGATTTTTCAACGCTGCCGTTTCGGTCCATCGCGTGTTGCACGTTTTCCTTGACTCAACATATAGCGTCTCATTTCGATGTTTATTCTAACTTATTGAGATACTCCGTACAATACATATTATTGTGTCTACCCCACATATCATGGCGTATGAAATCTTCATTAGTATAATTAGGATAACCAAGTGTCTTCGGTTTTGGAACTTAATGGCTCAGGAGAGATGCCCACACTCTTCATTACTTCGGTATTTTGAGCATATTTCTACGGAGTACACATCGTTTATATACCCCGCATCTCAGACCGCCTTTCCTTTTCCCCATTGTTTTGTTTAATAATATGGATGCAGAGCTCTTGCTCAGTATCTGCGGGTGATCAGAAAGTAGATGGCTCCTCTCCCTCCGGTCACCATCGAGTACAAAATAAAACAATCAAAATATCGCACAAAGAATCTACTACTCTGTATCCACTTGACCCCCCTCACGCAACCAGAAATATGTCATAGCACAACACCGTTCTTGATGGTGGGATTGGGTTGTCCCTTTCTCTTTGTTCCCCAGAATGTAACATTTTAATTACCCGCGGGCGTTGAAGACAACAATGCCATTGTTAACTTGATCCTCCACATGTATGGGGAAGTCAACGGTCCGTGATCTGAGTTACTCTGCTTTTGAAGTCCGAATTGGCTTCTGCCCCAGGTGTATAAGAAGAGAAAACATCCCGCCAGTGTCCGTTTTACGATGGCGAGGCATGGGCCAAGTGTGTTAAATCACTACCAGCGCAAGAGAACCACTCCCACTCTGATATACACGACATGAAATTCTTCCCGATACTTCTCCTTGCGTCCGCGATCGCGGTGATGGGGGACCAAGCCCCTAAGGAGCTCACGGAACGAGGTTGCCTACCGGAGGGCTACGAATGTAAATTCAATTGGCATTGCTGCGCACGCCTATATTGCTTTCAGGCTGTAAGAGACCTTTCCTCCCACTAAATTGGTTCTGTCCGGAAGGGTACTCACAGGTTGTGTGGATAGGTGCGCTGGAGGAAACTAGGGCGGTTCTGCTTAAAGGATCCAGAGAGCCTCATGGTGGACTAAAAAGCGGGAGGAAGATAATCGTCTTCAATGAGAGAACACCGTTCTCTCATACTACACGTTCCCGATGGATGATCGCGTCTTTGCTATGTGGACGGTGTGAGGGTTGTTTTAGAGAGCAGATGGCGTATATAAGGGCCTACGTGACTGTAGATTAATATGATCCATTTCGTTTGATACTTTCGAGAAACGAGTTTAGGCTCTCGGTGACCGCTCCCGATAATATGGCCATCACAAGCAAACGTCACGTTTTCCGCCCGGAATCGGAGTCTTGGCAGGGTCACTCCCGCCAAAAATTTCTCGCCTGAGTGCGGCAAGCTCATCGGCGCTTCGGGCCATTCATTCACCCTCCTCGGGCTCCAGGGAATGCGCCTAACCCTCTAACCCATCGTCTCCCTTCCCTCCTTGACGATGCCACCCCTCTTCATCGCCTCCCTCGGCAATCCTCCACCAAAGTACCACAAGACCCTTCATTCCGCCGGGCACATCATCCTCCGCGCTGTTGCCGAGCACCTCTCCGCCAACTCCTTTGCTCCGTCCCCTCATCTAAAAGGCGCCTTAGCAACCGAAGCCTACCTGCCGCGCTCGCAGACCCGGCTAACATTATGGCAATCACCGACCCTCATGAACATCTCCGGCCCAACGATGGTGCGGGCCTATAAGTCGTGGTTGGCGAGAGAGGGAGCGGACCCCGTCTTACCACTCGCCGCGAACACACCCGGAAGGAAAAAGAATGCAGATCACCGACCGCCTTTGAGCCTGATATTGGTGCACGATGAATTAGAGCTGCACCCTGGGGAGCTGAGGATTCGCCGTGGGGGGGCAGAGCTCTCGGCCAGAGGACATAACGGAGTCAAGAGCGTGACTCAAAGTTTGGTAGAGGCGGGGCTTCTACCGGCATCGTCTTCGTTGACAAAGGCAAGAGGGAAAGGTGCTGCTGGCGAAGATGCTGCCTTGCCTCCGATTGTGCTCCGGGTGGGCATTGGAATCGGCCGGCCAGCGTCTCGTGATCCTGGTACAGTCGCGGATTATGTCCTGCGGGAGATGCGCCCCACTCAGTATCAGGAGACGTGTAATCTGGCTGGTCGTGTTGTAGAAATGCTGGAGGTAGAAATGGCTCGGGTGCAGTCGTGATGTTGCCTCTTTATAAGCATTATATGCAGCGACTTCGAAAGCGTGACCCCCTGGCGTTTGGGATTTTGATTACGCGATACTGGCATAGGCTGGATACTCAGGATAGATCGATCTCCAAATACCCTTTGTTGATTTACAGTGTCGCTTGCACTGACATTTTTGAGGCAATTGCAGAAGCAGTATCATCAGAGAAGTGTCTATTGTCACAGGTGGTCTGTACAAAATATGTAACGGCGTACATATACTTCTCAATCGCCTTCTCTCACACGGTGTCTCCCCTCTGGGTTTGAACGCCGGATCCAGGCTCAACATCGCAATTTCGATTGCAGCCCCATTCCATAATTAAGTTACAGTCTCGCGCTTTCTCGCTCCCTCGACTGTACCCATTGTCCGATGACGGCCACAAGCTTCTGCAGTTCTTCTTCCGAATTCCTGGCGTGAAGACAAACCCGAACCCGCTCTGTGCCTAGAGGCACAGTCGGCGACATAATCGCCCGTACCATGAGTCCCTTGTCCTGGCAGGTTTTTGCCAGGTCATGTGGGAACTTCGTCCTCAGTGAGAAGATTGGTGACGTCGGGTGATGGCTAATGTGAAGGATAATGCTGTCTGCTGGTGAAATCTCGGCAAGCTTCCTCCTGAATGACTCTATTCTTTGTTGAAGCTGGGCTTGAAGCTGCTCAGTATTTTTAATTGTCAGTAGATGGGATCACGGGCTTTCTGGAATCGTGGTTGGAATAGGGAACGTACAGGTTCTGTAGCACCTTTTTCCATGAGCTCATAAGCGGTGCGTGTTGCAACAAGACCAGGAAGTCCACTTGCACTGCTGAAAATTAGTGGGCGAGCGTAGTTTGTCAAATAATCCCTTGTCAGTGGGGAACAAAGAACAATCGCTAGAAAATCAGCTTCTTGTCTCAGCCAGCATAGATAAATTGAAAACCAGGAAGCATACCTCCATTGCTGGCTATAGATTTGCCGAATGTGTGCAGCCGAATGAACACACGATCCTCCACGCCGAGCCTCTGCACGATTCCACCTCCTCGGGGCCCAAATATGCCCGTGGAATGAGCCTCGTCAACTATCAAATGGCCGTTGCCATTAGGAAGCATCGATTCTAGCACGTCTAGGATTTCTTTTATCGGCGCAAAATCTCCCTCCATGCTATAAAGCGACTCAACAGCAACAATAACATTGCGCTTGCCAGAACGTATTGAAGAATCAAGATCTATCTCTTCTTGGAGCTTGCGCTGGAAGCTTTCAACCGAGTTATGCTTGAATGCCGTCCGTCTCCCCGCTCTTGAGAGCCGCATGCCATCATGGGTGCTTGCATGTATCAACTCATCATAGATAATCACGTCCCCACGCTGTGGAATACAAGAAAAGATTCCTACATTGGCATCATACCCGGAGTTGAACAGTCGTCCACTGGGAGCATTATGAAAACGGGCTAGAAACTCCTCCAGATCTTCGGCATAATTGGTATTCCCATCCAGCAATCTAGAACCGCTGCTGGCAATGCGATGTGAATTGGATATTCTGGCAAGATTGTCCATGTACTGCTCCCGGAAGGCGGCTGATGTAGAAAGCGATAAGAAGTCATTTGAGGAGAAGTCTGCAACATCAGGAGGAAGGACCTTCAAGGATCTGAGTCGTCCTTTGGCCTTTCTCTCTTCCAAAATTAAGCGGAAGGTCTCTAGTAGTGGGTTGTGTGTCTTCATTATGGCCAATTGAGTTGGTACCATGGAACTATGGGAAACGTGGGCCTTTATGCAAGATAAATCAAATAATAAATTCTTTCAAAATAATGACTGGCTTCCTGGCCCAGGCAGGAAGGTCTCGCAGCCTTGTATATTTAACAATGGCAATATTATGATTCCTGGCTAAAAGAGACGGAAAGCAGCAAAATGGATCGGATCAGCTAACTGCACGAGGGCGCACGGCGAATTCTCCGCAGGGATCCAGGGAAAAGAAAAAAAATTGGAAAAGCAAATTAGAACCTTGTTGGAGAAAGGAACGGGGTGTGAGAGCCTCGGGTAACCAGCCCAACACCTCTTAAATATTTAATGACCTTGAATGATATCCCGGCGATGATGCAACAACGCCAGGACGTTGCCCGCATTTATTGATTGATTGTTGGCTGGCCTGGCTGAAGCCAAAACTCCTAAGCGACGCAGCCGAAACAGGCACCCAGCGCTTGAAACTCTCACGCCCAGCCCTCCCGAAAAGGCCGAATTCGGTTGGGAGGAACTGGAGAGCGTGCAAAGCTGATTTTCAGAGCCTGAGCGAGCCCCCCACTAGCGGAATAAGGGGATTGAATGCTGTGGAGGTGGCTCTTGGCAGGAGGCCGGCGCTCATTAGCAAATAAATATTCCCGTAGATCGATCGGCGGTGATTGTTGGATTAGCTAGCGTACTAACCGCAGAAGCCTGTGCCGTTTGGTGGAAGGGCCGTCGATCTAGATACAAGACAGAGTTCGCCTGCTAACTTCTCCGTAAGAAGCTAAATATAAGGAACGAACCTTTTCACTATGGGAAGAGTGTGAAACATCACCGGCACCATCGGCATCACCATGATATCCTCGTTCGTCGGTAGCGGGCTCTGGCGCACAGCTCGTGCGTACCAGATCTACGGTGCAAACACAAACGTCGGCAAGACGGTCGTGTCGACAATTCTATGCAACGCGATCCCGTTTTACCAGCCGAAGGATAAGCTTTGGTTCCTGAAGCCAGTCTCAACAGGCGCGCTCGACGAAGCTGATGATAGGTGCGTCGCCTGATTGCCATTGTCCACGGTTTGTATCGGTACTGACGCATGGGATAAAATATAGGCACATTAGTCGGTTTGCAAGAGGAATATCAACCAAATGCCTTTATCAATTTGATGAACCAGTGAGCCCCCACCTTGCCGCGCAGTTGAAGTCGGTAAGTTGATCTCCAGGAGAGTCCCTTTGGGGTAAAGACATCCACTTAAATAGTTCACTTCTCGGCAGTGCCCTCAAGACGGAGAAATTCTTGAAGCGATATCTAGGACCTTGAATAACTGGGCTCAACAAGGACCGGGCATTGCGCTTGTCGAGACCGCTGGCGGGGTCCTCTCCCCAGGGCCCAATGGCAGTTTGCAAGCGGATTTATATCGACCGCTGCGATTACCTGTGGTCTTGATTGGTGACTCTCGATTAGGCGGAGTGTCAGCATCTATTTCAGCTTACGAGTCGCTTTCAATTCGTGGGTACGATGTTGAAGGTGTTATCTTATTTGAGGACAAGTACTACCAAAATCATGGATATCTCCGGGATTTCTTTGGCAAAAAAGGTGTCAAGCTGTATACCCTGCCTCAACCCCCTGAAAAGGAAATGGATGAAAGTGCAAGTGCCAAAAAGAAGGATGAGGAAGCAATGGCAACTTTCTACGAAAGGGCGGCCAAACATGACAGCATTGCTGAGCTTTTGGAGGAGCTCAAGGCTAAACACCAACAGCGTGTCGAGCGCTTGGAGTCTATGTCCACAAAGGCTCATGACATGATATGGTATCCATTCACACAGCATCATGGAATGACGCCAAAGAGTATTACGGTCATTGATTCGGCACACGATGATTGCTTCCAGACCTTGAAGTCTGAAGAACTCCCCACCAATGGCGCCATAAACGGTGCATCAGAATTGCTGCAACCTACTTTCGATGGCTCAGCTTCTTGGTGGACGCAGGGGCTAGGCCATGGGAATCCCGATCTGGCCCTGACATCTGCTTATGCCGCTGGTCGTTATGGTCATGTCATGTTCGCAGGAAACATCCATGAACCGGCATTGGCATTGGCAGAATTACTCCTCAAAGAGGTACAGAATCCTCGGCTGAAAAAGGTATTCTACACGGACAATGGGAGCACAGGGATGGAGGTAGCTGTCAAGATGGCATTGCGCGCGGCTGCTAGTCGATATGGCTGGGACGCAAGCCAAGAGACCGTGAGCATCCTCGGCCTCAAGGGCAGTTATCACGGCGATACAATCGGCGTGATGGATTGTTCTGAACCATCTACTTACAATAAACGAGTCGAGTGGTACAGAGGACGAGGTTATTGGTTTGATTTCCCCAAGGTACAATTGTCCAAGGGCGTATGGAGTGTTACTATTCCCGAAGAAATGAAAAAGGCCTTAGGGCCAGACGCCGACTTCTCTAGTCTGTCTGCGATTTTCAATCTTACTGCACGAAAGGACTCTGAGCTTGCCCAGCGGTATAAAGAGTATATCAAAACAACCCTCGAGAACCTGGTTGTAAAGGAAGGTGTGAAATTCGGCGCGTTGATAATTGAACCGATCATCCTCGGCGCTGGAGGAATGCTGTTCTCGTAAGTCCAACTGTATCCCCATCGTTGATTGTCCATCGAACAATTCTTCCTAACCCAGCATTACAGTGATCCCCTTTTCCAACAATGCCTCGTCCAAGTAGTCCGAGAGAACCCCCAAATTTTCTCCCAATTCTCCCCAAGCCCGCCATCGTCCCCATCAACCAACTGGTCCGGTCTCCCTATCGTCTTCGACGAAGTCTTCACCGGCATCTACCGCCTCGGCCGGCGTACCTCCGCCTCTTTCCTCCAGATCGATCCAGACATTGTCGTCAACGCCAAACTCCTCACCGGCGGACTACTACCCCTCTGCACAACCATGGCCAGCAACGAAATTTTCCAAGCTTTCGACAGCCCGCACAAACATGACGCACTGCTCCATGGACACAGCTACACTGCTAATGCGCTTGGCTGCAGCGTTGCAGTCAGCTCAATGAGATCCATGATTGGCATGGAGGAAAGCGGTTATTGGCGGGCACACGTCCAGGATTGGGAGGCACAGGGAGTGCAGCAGGCAGCAGATGCGAAAGAATCTGCCGCTGCAGGTGACCACCCGACAGTGTGGAGTTGCTGGTCGCACGACATGGTGAGAGATTTATCGTTTGCAGAGGAGGTCGAGAGTATCTTTGCACTGGGGACCGTATTGAGCATTACTTTGAAGGACAGAGAGGGTGGTGGAGGTAAGATTGAGATCCCTCCTTTTATTTTAATTTTATTTCCCCTGGTAGTTTTTACTGATTCCAAATTTACAGGGTACACATCCACAGCAGCGAGCGGGTTGCAGAAGCAGTTGATGGCTGGACACAATGGATTTACTGTACACTCTCGAGTTTTGGGCAATGTACTATATCTCATGGCGAGTGTGACATCAAAGACGGAAACGCTGTCGCGGATTGAGAAGCTCCTTCGAAGGGCTCTGCTATGAGACAAATTTTGGTTGCTGTGGGTATTAAGCGATAGATGCCGTTACGAAAATACAACCTCGCTGACTAGAGCAGTAGAAAATCAATTTTATTTTAAATATTACCGTGTACCCGTTTTAGTACATATCCCAATTGTCTTTTTTCCTTTCTTTTCTTTTCCTTTTGTGTTTTTTTTTTCTAAGCGCTTCTATACATTCGCTTCTGCCTGAATCTGGCCTTGAACCTGTTTCTCTGGGGCCACAGGGGTAGACGACGTATGAGCCGTCATCTTTCCTTTATACTGTCCTCTTTCAAAAGGTGCCATGGGGTAATATCCCCACTTATCGAATATCTTCTTATCCTCATCCCACCCGGAGCAGTCGGTAGTTAACATCTTCTCTCCTGTGAAGATCGCATTCGCACCAGCCTGGAAGCAGGTGACCTGTTGCTCTTCGGTCATGGAGATACGGCCAGCGGCCAATCTGACAATGGACATGGGCAGAACGATACGAGCCGTAGCCACGGTTCGGAGAACCTTGTCAAAAGAGATCATTTTCCGCTCGCCGAGGGGGGTGCCCTTGATAGGTACGAGCGCGTTCACGGGGAAAGACTCTGGGTGAGATGGCAATGTGGCGACGGTGTGTATCAACCCGACGCGGTCGGAGTCCTGTTCACCTAAGCCCAGAATGCCACCCGAACAGACGTTGATACCGGCATCACGGACATGCTCCAGGGTCTGCAGTCTCTCGTCATACGATCTCGTGGTGATGATGGACGGGTAGAATTCTCTCGACGTGTCAAGATTGTGATTGTAAGCGGTGAGGCCTGCGTCTTTAAGCTCCTTGGCCTGCTCGCCGTCAATCATTCCCAGAGTAACGCAAACTTCCATTCCCATAGCTCGCACTCCGGAAACCATCTCTTTGATGTTTCGTAGATTGGTTTTTCGGCCTCGCATGTCGCGCCAGGCGGCACCCATGCAGAATCGAGTGCTGCCATTCTCCTTGGCGACCCTGGCGGCCTCAAGCACGGAGTCTACGGAGCTTAGTTTTGTGGCTTTCAGCCCGGTCTTGTAGCGGGAAGATTGGGCGCAGTACGAGCAATCTTCGCTGCATCCACCGGTTTTTATGTTCATGAGAGTGCACATTTGAATGGCGGCGGGGTCATGGAAGCGACGGTGAACCGTAGCCTGTGTGGCGTAGTTGTATTAGCAATTGATTAATCAAAAATGTCAAAGCACGGTTTCAGGCTGAGATAAATTAAGCTTAACCAACATACGGAAGCATATGTCAATTCAGTCAGAGGTGCATCGTAGATCTTCTGAATCTCTTCTCGGGTCCAGTTCATCCGAGGTGCCGTGGCTGAGACCGCCTCTTGGAGGGCACTGTTTGCCCCGGCGGATGACGACGAAGCGGAGGCCACAGGAGAAATAATGGTATTCTGAACAGTGCCATAGGACCTGCGGAACAGGGTCCTAGAGACGGTCGCTCGTGGTAGGGATAGTGCGGCCATTGTGACTTGAATGGGTTTGTTGTGTTTGTGAGGGGACAAAACCAGTTGTTGAGGGCCAGCCTCGACAATAACTATTTGGACCGACTTCCCCTCAATTGTGTGTGGTTCTGGCTCTTGGTCCTCGGAATGAAGGAACGAAGGGATGACTCTACGAAAATTCCGGCGGATGGGCCCGAAGATCGCTCTTCACGCTCCGTGTGCAGGGGGTGATATGGTGGGGTAAGTTGGGGCCAAGGGGGAGGTTTGCTCGCATTTTGCACACCGGCGTTGGGACGATCAGGTCGCTGCGCGTGGGCGGCGGGCCTGCGGTGGCCTTGCCCCTGGCCAGGAGGCGCAATGACCCCCAACAAACTCTCCGGCGACGCCAATTGGGGCCATGATATTTCGGCCTGTCCCCATTGGAAGTCAACCAATAAATGTGTGCGCGTTGGCTCCGGAGAAATGCAGCTTTTGAGCTCCACAGCTTGTTTTACTTCGCTGTCTATATGCTTTACATGCTTCCCTCTTTCCTGGTGGTATGCTGGCTGCCGTTATACTGCCTATCCTCGGCGCAAACGCACTGGGTTATCTCTGGGCAGCGCTGGGGAAACTCGCTCGTGATCACCGCAGAAACTCAACCGGAAAAAAAAAAAAAAAAGAAAAAAGGAAAAACCAAAAGAAAGCGGCTAGATAGGGTAAGCCTCGGCTCAGCTGAGTCATCCTAGTTGCTTATTCAGCATGGCCGGGATGCGTCGCGCTAGGCCGTATCGGGGAGGAGTCTGACGTAATGAGAGCGTTTGCAGCGGAGCGAGACGCGGAGACACGCGGACGCTGCTGTCGACGACATTCTCATCCACGACGTGGCGGGCCTGCTCCAGAAACGAACTGCTGATGTTGGGATGGGATGCCACGACGCACAGCTTCTTTGGGTCATGGTGCAAGTCCTGATGAGATTGCGTTGCAAAGCCTTTTTCAATGCTAACTGCTCACTGTTAACTACTAGTGAACCGCTGCTATCATGTATTGCCGTCTGACCACGGAACCCTACTCCGTGTAGATATCTATCCCTCTATTGACAAGACGCATCTATATGCAAGCATCATCCCACCCTCCACACCGCCATTTTAATGCATGCAATTCCCACTCTTACTCCGGTTTCTAATTCTTCTGTTCCCTCCCTCTCAACTTCAAAAAGCCGGTTGATCCTCTTGTAGCGAACGCCCATCCGATCTGATTCGCAAGCTTGATGTCCACGCCCAGGTCTTCTGCAAATGCCCACACCACGGCCGGATTTTTCTGGAAAAGCCTGCCCACTAATACTGCATCTAGCCCTTCATTTTCCAACAGATCATTTGCCTGTTTGCCGTTCGTGATGCTCCCCACAGTGCCCACGGCGATACGGTCTCCCACGGCTTTCTTCACAGCAATGGCGAACGGCGCCTGGAATCCCGGGCCGATCTTGATCTTCTGGTCCGTATGGTTGCCGGCAGAGCTAATATCGAGGAAATCGACCCCTCCCTTTTCCGCCAGCACCTGCGCGAAACGTACCGTATCTTCCAATTTCCAGCTTGGTAAGTCTGGGCGGGATTCTTCGAGCCAATCTGTGGCAGATACCCGGAGGAACAGCGGCATATTTTCTGGCATGTTCTTGCGGGAAATATCAACGATCTCAAGGGTAAGTCGCATACGGTTTTCAAAGCTGCCACCGTATTCGTCGGTACGATTGTTCGAGACCGGCGAAAGGAAGGAGTAGAGGAGGTATCCGTGTGCATTGTGGATTTCGATATAGTCAACTCCAGCTTTTACTGCGCGTCTGACAGCAGCTCCCCAAGCCTCTTTGAACTCTTCAATGTCGGCCTTGGTCATGGCCTTTGGTTGACCCATTCGTCTGGAGTACGGGATGTCACTGGGACCTTTTATATTATCCGGCCAACCGCCTACTGCCTCCACAGCAATATCACCAGTTGCAAGGAACGGGGCCAAGGTGCTCGCTTTCCGACCTGCATGCGCAAGCTGAACTCCTACGGTCTGGTTCTGACTGTGTACAAACTCGACTAGGCGTCGCAGGGGCTCGATCTGAGAATCCTTCCATAGTCCTGAGTCCTCTGGGGAAATACGGCCTTCGGGGAGAACGGAAGTGGCTTCAAGGAGCATAAATCCCGGTCCACGAAGCGCGATACCGCCAATGTGGGCCATGTGCCAGTCTGTCAGGTGCCCGTCATCTGCAGAATATTGGCATAGAGGAGACAACTTTGAAGAGAATGTATCAGCAAATGGATGTCCATCAGTTCTGTTTTGTTGGCAATGGACAACATACCCCGATGCGATTTTGAAGTGTAACCCCCCGCAATTTCAGCGGTTGGAACAATTTGGGCGGTCTTGTCCCATCTGACTGCGGATCTGCCGCAGTACCAGCCTTAGGATTCTGATAAGAAGCAAAATAGCTTATTCCAGGGGCAGGCTCATTCCGAACGCCCTCCAAACTCTTCTCCAAAGGCATCTTGAGTGGAAAGGTTGGAGGAGCTTTCGTCGCAAAACTACGTCCAGACTAAGGAATTATCTGCCCAAACAAGCGCTGGGAGAGCTTCTGAGCGAAAAGTAATAGACTACCAATCAAGACAGATATGGAAAATGAATGTTTTTATATTCAAAGCTATCGAGGATTTAAAAGAAAAAAAAAATTGACTTGAGTTCACACGGCGAGTGCTCTGGGAAAGAAATCGTCAGCATCGAACTTGATCGAAGGATTGATTGCTAAGAAAGTCGCCATTTTCTCGGCAATTCCCTCATCGGCCCGAGCCCTTTGCTTGCAGGCGTTATTGGACAATGGATACAAAGTTAACCCGGCTGCTAATAGTTAAACCCAAACGCTGACGAAATCTTAATAATCCACCTTGTCTGCTAGTTAGTTACAAGATTTTAACGGCGTCAATTCCCCCATTTAACGGACTTGATTGAGCAGGGCAATGAAATCGAGGCCGAAGCTTGGTTGACCGTGTTATCAAGCGTTCTGTAAGGAGACCCGCTTGTCCGTTTCGATGGGTTGAATGTCGGCACGGCACACAACCCTATGGCTCAGGGATGTTTTCAAGATTTGTAAGTGGCCTAAAGACCGTACAGCGAGCGCTGATGGCTCATCGATGTTTTCAAGCCCTCTTAAAGTGACTTTAAGGCTGTAGGGTAAGACGCGATATATTGGGGTAGTGGTCATAGATTTAGGAGGCATTAAGGGAGGCAGGGTGTCGCCGACGGATTTTTAAAGGCGTGCTTCAACCTGGCTCGACCTTTGCCGTCGTCCGGCCCCCTGGCTGTCCATCATCTCTAAGGACATTTATGGGGGTTATTATATCCCTGGTAGTATGGATTGTAGGGTGTTGATAATTGTATGGACTTATAATGTTAAAATGAATCGATGATAGAGGATCTAATCTGGCATATTGGGGTCGAAGCCGAAGGTGGATTATTCAAGCGACAAATTGGACTTGTAGATGTTAATTCGCAACCCACGGTTTTCCACAAGTAGCTGTGGATTGAAGAAATGGCATATTTTGGACTTGTAGATGTTAATTCGCAACCCACGGTTTTTCACAAGCAGCTGTGGATTGAAGAAATGGTAAATTTTGGACTTGTAGATGTTAATTCGCAGCCCACGGTTTTCCACAAGCAGCTGTGGATTGAAGAAATGGTAAATTTTGAAGGAATAAGGCGTATCGAGTAGCCGTAATATGTCGGCCGTATATTATGGCCGCTATGAGGAGTGATATGGTAGATTTTGATAGAGGCTGGTATTGATTAAACAAAAAGAAAGCCTGATAGAACATAGAAGGAGTATCAACCATGCTTTGTATGCTGATACTGCTGTTGGAGAAAAAGAAAACTCAGGAGGATGGAGGGGCAGGAGGGCCCTATATATACCTGTGGGATCCTAAGATTAGGTGAGCGAGCTAAGACGAAAAGTGAATTGGGAAGCTGGTTAGTTAATAATTTGCGACGAAAGCCAGTGATGTGACGAAAGTGAAAAGAGAGTGAAGCTTCAAAGAAAACAAAGGGCCAGTCAATAGAGATGGGGCACTGATAGTGAATGCATTGAAGCAAAAGTAGAGTGAAAGTGAAGTAAATATCTGCTGACACAGCTTATACAATAATTTTTGGTGAATGATACGACGAAAACCAGTGATGCGACGAAAACAACTCTCACTGATTTAGCACTGTTGGTGAATGCCAGGGACCTTAAGTAAAAAAGTCCTTGAATACAAGGTTGTGAAAGAATCCCTGGTGTGTATAACTGTAGCCAGGTGACTGTTGCGACGAAAAGTGATTTCTTTTTTGTAGGGCCCAGACCCTTTCACTTTCAATGATATGCTCTGCTCCAGTCCAGGCCCAGTGATATCAGCCAGTTAATGAGTAGTTAGTTAACTAACATTTGTCTGTAACTGGGATGTCAGCTAATCCCCACCAAAAAAATTATCCAGTGAAGTTGCCGACAGCCGGGCACCCACGGATGTCTGCGGGCTTATTCCGTCGAGAGCGCGAACGTCTCTCCCCGCACACCAAGTTGGGCTCCACCGCCGAGGACGAGGACGGCAGACGGGCGCGCTGCTTGCACTTCTTCAGATGAACATCGTTCCGGTATCCTAGCCCGCCATTAACTGGTTAATTAACTGACTGGCTCATTCGAGAGTCTGTTGACGCCGCCATCACCACCTCCTCGACCCGTCTGCATCGACAGCCCCAACTCCCACCCTACACAGCCGAACCAACCATTCTAGCCAACAATGACGACTCCCAACTTCGAACTCTACGGCTACTTCCGCTCCTCCTGCTCCGGCCGCCTGCGCATCGCCTTCCACCTCAAATCCATCCCCTACACTCGCCACCCCGTCAACCTCCTCAAGGGCGAACAGCACTCCGACACCTACAAGTCCCTCAATCCAACCAACACCGTGCCCCTCCTCGTCGTCTCCAACATCAACAACACCGTCTCCCCATCCTCCGCCTCCTTCTCCATCGGCCAATCCCTCGCCGCACTCGAATACCTCGAAGAAGCCCTCCCCACCAACGCGCGCCCGCTCCTCCCGCCCATCTCCAACCCCGTTGCCCGCGCCCACGTCCGCACCATCTGCAACATCATCGCCTGCGACGTCCAGCCCGTCACAAACCTCAAGATCCAGAAGAAAGTCAAGGCCTTGGACGGCGACCCGACTGTGTGGTCGCGCGATCTCGCCACGCAGGGGTTCGGTGCGGTGGAGAAGTTGCTCGAGCTCAGTGCGGGGCGATTCTGCGTCGGTGACGAGATCACCTTGGCCGATGTGTGTCTAGTTCCCGCCGTGTGGGCGGCGGAGCGAGTGGGGATGGACCTGGCCCGGTTTCCTATCACCAAGAGGGTGTTTGAAGAGATGCTGAAGGAGGAGGCCGTGCAGAAGGCGCATTGGCAGAAGCAGGAGGATACCCCGGAGGATTTGAGGGCTTAAATGGGCCATCTCCTGCGTTTCTTTATTTTCTTTTACTTCCTTTATGATGACGGGGAAATTTAAAAGGGACCCCCCTCGCTCCAATTGGAATCGACGATGGATGAGTGGATTTTCTCATGTTCTATATAACGATATTTGCGCGATCAACACGAGGTCTTTTGAATCAATATGTAACGTTCCATCTTTAACCTTTTTCCCAGGATATATCATAGCATTCTACACATATCGTCAAAAAAAAAAAAAAAAAAAAAACATATACAGGAAAGTAACCCATCATGAAATCCCATTAGTTAATTGGATGAGCAGGTTCAATGACTGAGAAGCAGTCACCGAATCCGACGTAACCTCCCTCCTGGCCAGCGAATCCTCTCAGAGTGACCTCATCGCCATCCTCCAAGAACTTTCTCTCCGTTCCGTCTGCCAACTTGATGGCAACCTTTCCACCGTTGGTGTTCTCCAACAAGCTGCCGTACATGCCAGGTTCCTTTCCGGAGATGGTACCGCTACCGAGCAAGTCGCCAGTGTTCATGTTGCATCCGGTGACGGAGTGGTGAGCCAACATCTGCGAAAAGGAGTAGAGTAAGTTCTTTGCGTTGGTCTTGGCAACGACGGTTGGCTGGCCGCCCTTGTTCTTCAGCTCGAATTCCAGATCGATATCGTACGCGGTGTCCGCTCTCTTTTCACGGAGATACGGGAGGAGAGAATCACGGTTTCCTGGCTCAAGGCCCTGGGTGCGGAAAGGCTCAAGGGCATCCATGAGGACGATCCAAGGTGTGATTGTGGTTGCGAAGTTCTTAGCGTTGAACGGACCCAATGGGATGTACTCCCAGGCCTGGATGTCGCGGGCAGACCAGTCGTTCATCAAGACGACACCGAACAGGTGGTCCTCGGCCTCAGAGATGGGGATCGGGTCGCCCATCTTGTTGGGAGTGGCCACAAAGGCGGCCAGTTCGAGTTCGATGTCCAATCGCTTGCAGGGAGAGAAAACGGGCACCTTGGGATCCGCCGTAGGGTTGGCCAGGATCTGACCGTTGGGTCGGCGGACGGAAGTGCCCGACACGACCACTGACGAGGCGCGGCCGTGATAACCAACGGGGAGATGCTTGTAGTTTGGCTGCAAGGCATTATCGGGGCCACGGAAGAGCACACCGACGTTGTAGGCGTGGTTGAGACCAGCATAGAAATCGGTGTAGTCACCGATCCTCATGGGAAGATGGTTGGTGGCATCCTTCCGAGGAACAAGGGCAGTTTTCTTGAGATCTTCATTGTTCTTGAGGATCTCGGGGTGGGAGGTGTTATCCCGGAAGATCTCCTGTAAGTACTCTCTGACCTGGCGGTGTACAGGTCTGCCCAGAGCGGCAAAGTCGTTTAGCACTGGCTGGGCAAAGACATCAATGTGTGACTGCAAAGCGGGCAGCTTGGAGAAACCGCCAGCGGAGGCAAAAGTGAAGAGGTCCAGGGCATAGTCGCCAATGGCAATGGCGGGGCGTGGTGTCGCTGAGACAGCGGTGGAAATGATGCCGAACGGGATGTTTGCGAGAGAGAAAGGGGAATCCTTGGGGATGTCCAGCCAGGATTGGGATGCCATGTTGACGGTCGACGAAGATGAGAAGTGCCGGATGGTGGTTGTGACGGCGCAGGACAGATAGGAGGTGATGGAGGCAGACGACCTGCAGACGAGATGGATGCAATATAGCGACCTCGCGGCGTGGAAGAGCATGAAACGAAGCAAAAAATAGTCAACAAAAAAAAAAAGGAACAGGAGACGCCGCAGCAACAGACATGGCGGGCTGTTTTTGGTTCAAACCCCTCAATTCTCAAACTCTGATTCCACCCCGCAACTCGGCCAATGGCACGCCGTTCCGCACCTCTGCTTATGTAAGACAAACGGTTCCCAGCCAATCAGCCTTGTCCAAGCGCGGGGAAAGGTGCGGAATACGCCCGCACGGCTAGCTCCGGGATTATGTCATAATTGCGGGGAGTTTCCATGGCACTAAACCATATCTGGATTAGTGTAATTGCCCCTCCATCCAGTCCGGCGAGTTTCGATCCGGAAAGCGCGGGATTCGTCGCGATCGAGCAGAAGGCGCGGCGCATTGGCAGCGAACCTTCCCGCGCGACGAAAAGGAAAGAACTGACCCGATTGCTTGCTGGGCGTTCGGCAGCCGCAACCGCCTGTATCTGTACTCCGTATGTATGTTGCTGTACGGAGTAGCTAGTTAGCGGGCACAGTATTAATAAGATGCATTGACCTTTCCCCCCCCCCAACGCGGGAACTTCAACCTTCGTCCCAATCTCGCTTCTGCCCTTGGTTCTCTTCCCTACTCTCCCTGAGCAGCCGAGAGTCAAATCTGTAGCACCTCTTAACTCAAACACGTTTCACAATTGAGATCACTCAAACCCTGACGTGGACCTGTGATGATGCCAGTCACCAACTTTTCTACCCCGGAGAAATACACCTATCAGAACGGTTTCGCCTCCTACCACGAGTAAGTTAAGGAACGCCACACTGGATCTGGCCTGGCTAACATGTAATACAAGGACTGAGGCCATCAAGGGTGCTCTTCCCGTTGGCCAGAACTCGCCCCAGAAGCCGCCATTTGGGCTGTACGCGGAGAAGCTCTCGGGCACCGCCTTCACGGCCCCAAGACATGAGAACCAGCAGAGCTGGCTCTATCGAATTCTTCCCTCCGCCGCTCATGAACCGTTCGAGGACGTAGACCCTTCCACATACCACACTTCGCTCACAAACGATGCCTCGTCGCTCCGTCAGATTCCCAACCAGCTTCGCTGGAACCCATTCGACCTCGATGAGAATGTCGACTGGGTGCGGGGCCTGCACCTGGTAGCCGGTGCTGGTGATCCGGCCATGAAAACCGGTTTGGGTATCCTCCTTTTCGCCGCCGGCAAGGATATGGGTAAAGAGGCCTTCTACTCGGCCGATGGCGACTTTTTGATCGTTGCTCAGCACGGTGTTTTGGATATCCAGACCGAATTGGGGCGGATCCTCGTGCGACCAAATGAAATCTGCGTTATCCCTCGTGGTATCAGGTATGTTCAAGTTGCATGCCCACGTTGGTGCGACTGTAGTTGACAGGAGCCTTCAGATACCGTGTCACCCTTCCAGAAGGCCCCGTCCGTGGCTACATCTGCGAACTCTACCAGGGCCACTACCAACTACCCGAACTTGGCCCTATTGGCTCCAACTGCCTTGCGAATGCGCGTGACTTCCAGGCCCCCACCGCCTACTTCGACGACGAAGGCGAGGAGCCCACTGAATGGAAGCTAATCAGCAAGTTCAACAACAACCTCTTCTCCGCCAAACAGGACCACACTCCATTCGACGTTGTCGCATGGCATGGCAACTACTACCCATACAAATACGACCTCGGACGCTTCAACACCATTGGCTCCATCTCCTTCGACCACCCAGATCCCTCCATCTTCACCGTCCTAACCGGGCCTTCAGACCATGCTGGCACCGCCATTGCCGACTTTGTCATTTTCCCTCCCCGCTGGCTTGTTGCTGAGGATACTTTCCGCCCCCCGTGGTATCACCGCAACACCATGTCGGAGTTCATGGGCTTGATTTGCGGAGACTACGATGCCAAAGTTGGTGGTGGCTTCAGACCTGCTGGTGCCAGCTTGCACAATGTCATGAGCGCCCATGGTCCGGATGCCACGGCACACGAGGGTGCCAGCAACATGGAGCTGGTGCCGAAGAAGGTCGGTGATGGTAGCATGGCATTCATGTTTGAAAGGTTAGTCAATGAATCCACATCGATACAAGAAGTTCAAAATGATGTAGACTGACGCTTGAAAATATAGTTGCCTCATGGTTGGCGTCTCTGAGTGGGGCCTCAAGACCTGCCAGAAGGTCCAAGAGGACTACAACGATGAGAGCTGGACTCCATTGAAGAGAAATTTCAAGAACCCAGAGAAGAAATAAAATGTCACATACTACCCTGTACCACTTTGCCCTAACATTCTCTATCCCCTTTTCTGCAACCGCGAGGCCAGATTGAGCCATGAAAATCAGTCCAGGCTCTGGTTGCCAGAATATGTAACCTATTAACCTTTGATATCATGATATAATTTTTCGAGACTTCTCAGTCTGCCTTGAACCCCATTTTCGTATACTAATGCCTCAAGTCATCCAATAAACGAGCCAATAAAGATGCCTCAAATGTTTCAAGATACCGGCTTCAGTAAAGCCTTTTCTTTTTTCTTTTCTTTTCTTTTCTTTTTTTTTTTTTTTTTTTCGACTCCTGATTTCCCCGTCGGAGACTAATGTACGTGCCTGTAGCTGGTCTAGAAGTAGTTGTTCTCAGCTCATGCTATAACCACTATCGTAATCATGAGCCATGAGCCCTATGGGTACGACAAAGCCATTTTAAGGTAGGTTTCATGATTCCACATATATATAAGGTAGTTCACCACTAAGCAAGCCACACCACTAAACAAGCCAAATCTTCCACCACCAAAATTCCTCCAACATTCAACATTCAATATGTGACAATATGATCAACAACACCTCAATTAGGCTTGCAATTGAAGATCTTGAATTACAAGAGATCCCAAATTACACTGCAACTGCAAGAAAGTACTTAGTTAATCAAGAGATCCTGTGCTGACAGTATAAAGGCTTGCAACTTGCTCAGAATGAAGCAGTCTTCTAATATAAGAAAAAGCTCTCTGATATACAGGAGACAGAGCTCCTGAATTATATAAACAAGCTCTCTAGCTGCAGTCTTGTCATTACATCTCAGATTCTACAAAATATTGTACAAGAGATGACAGGAGAGAATGTTGGAATCAACTAGATTAATTAATTTTGTGAGTGACATAATAACAAGATCAAATGCATTTATCTTAAAGCAATTGATTAAAATAGACAGGTAGCAGATAACTATCAGTGCTTTAAGCACTTCTATATACTTATAATTTAATGATTTATTTGATTACTTGTGATTGCAGTTATTGATGCTGGCTAACTATTTGACTACTACTTATAGAATAGTTGAAGCAAAAAATTGATCAATATAATCTTAAGCCCTCAAACATCTATAACTTTAATGAAAAAGAATTCCTTCTAGACTTCTGCTATACCTCAAAGTGATTAGTCTCTATTGAAGCTCTATAAGCTGGAAAGAATGCTGCCACTCAGAATAATAGTTAGGAATTCCTCTTATTGCTCTGCTCAGTCTCTGCTGAAGAAATTGCACTATCTCCAGCTCTTATTTATCAGAATGAATTGTAAGATCTCCAGGATATATAACTAGATAATTATGATGGAAGTGAATGGATCTACTTTGCAGCTTCAACAAATGGTTGAAGCAATAATAAATATAGACTGAAGTAGTTGAAACAGGTTTTCAATCAGCATACTAAGGAACAAGCTGGTCAAGAAAGACATCTGCTTCTACTAGATGGCCATTTCTCCCATATAAATATGAAATTTATCAAATATACTGATCATAAAAAGATTCTTCTTATAATTCTTTCACTGCATTCAACTCATCATTTATAATCTCTTGATGTTGGAATCTTTGAGCTGCTGGGCAAGGTATATTCCAATGAGCTGAAAGCACTACTATATTAAGAAATGAACTATATTTAAATAACAAAAAGAGATTTCTGAAGATTATTTAATGTGGCTTGAAAGAAGACTTTGACAGTTAAAAATATACTTGCTGACTTTATAAAGACTGGAATTAACTCTCTGGATTCTCAATATTAACTATACTGATTTGAAACTGCTCAAGCTTCTATACTGCCAGTTAAATCTTCTATTTCTAGCAATATGCACCAGCTCTGACAAGAGATCAAGAGTATATATCTCTGGCACAGCCTAAATTTGCAGAGTATTAGATGGGTTATTCAAGCTAGTAAGCAGTTTGCTCTTTGTAATAAACTGCTGAAACATGAGAATCAGCAGCTAAGATTAACTCTAGTGATGGAGAAGTAATGCTGCAAGTGAGGCAAGTCTCTAGACCTACTTAATAAAGATAATTCTAGTCAAGTGCAGTTCTGATCTTTAATAAAAGTTCTTAAGACACACAAGCATCTGGATGAAATAAAGACTGAAAAAGCTGATAAAATTACTTAAACACAAGAGACAAAACTTCAACAAGAGCTTTAAAAGAAGCAGACTGCTAGAGATATTAAAAAAAGATGAATTGAACAGAAGAATGCCTGTAAAAAGATCTGAAAGTAATAAGAGATCAAAAAAATCAAATATACTAGGCAAAGAGAGACACAATGTGTTGCTTGTAAGAAGAAGAAGACTTTATAACTAGCAGAGAAGAAAAAATGGATGATTGAATGTGCTAATAAACACTGACAGTCAGGGCTTCAAGTGCTGGCTTCAAAGTGCCATCAGAAGGACTCCCTTACTAAAGAGCCTCATTGTGAAGAGTCTATACAATCTTTCAAAAGGGAAAGTAAGAGCTCTACAAGCATCTCTAGCAAGACATTAGACTCTCTAGCTGAGAAATCTACTGTTGACATTTCTTTGAATTCTTTCCTATCTACCCCCTGAATCTCTCACTCTGGCCATAATATTAGGCTGTCCACCCATTTATTTTCCTAACTATACTAATTTCTATGCTTTAAAGAATACATTTATTTAATATTTAATAGCTATTTAATAATAAAGATCTGGTTGTTGAGATATTTAATAAATTCATTGCGTGGAGCATTTGGCGAAATTTGGCTTGTTTAGTGGTGTGGCTTGTTTAGTGGTGAACTACCTTACTTTTTGGCACGAGTAAGAATTATTTTGCGCCACAAAAGCCCTTTCTGTCATGTGAAGACACAGGATGTAATCCATGAGTTTGACCACCCTGAACAGAGTATGGTTGGCGTCTAGGTATGTATATATTCATCGTATCAATCATTATATAGAAACAAAATACTCGGTACAAAATATGAAATAGCCGCTACGTAACATAAATAAAGGAAGAACCCTCTAGGGGTATGACATATATCAAATAAAGAGGCCAGGAAATACACCATACAATGAAATAATAATAATAGAAAAAAAAAAAGGTAAAGATAAAGGAAAAGAAACAAAAAGAGAGATAGAGAAGCAATAAAGCTACTTTGACTCCGCCCACTGCTTGATCTCGGCTTTCATCGCGTCCTTGACGATCGCGCCGCACATCTTCGCGTATGGATTCGTGTGCACTGCCATCTGCTTCGCGACCGGGTTGCCGTATCTCCCGCCAGCCTGGAAGTCATAGCTTGCCATCTCTTCTAGCCGGTCGCTGTTTGCATCGTGTAGCGTCGTGGGGAGGAGGCTGTTGCGGGCTTCTGGCTCAGTACGCGCGGCTTTGTAGAGGATGTAGGCGCGGTGGGTGTGTGCGTTTGCGAGGATGCGTGATTGGAGCGGGGAGACGGGCGATATCGGGGTGTTTGGGGTTAAGAGGGTGATGGCTTCGGCGAGGTCGGAGAAGACATGTGCGGCCGGCGTGGGTGTGGATGAAGATGAAGAGCAGGAGGTGGCGGAGGAGGCTTCTGTGGCTTCCGCGTCGATGAGCAGACGGTACGCTTGTGCACGATTCACGTAGGCAGAGGCGTATTTGGGGTAGTCCTTGATTATGTCTGAGAGTTCGGAGATGGCGGTCTTGATGGCTTCGACGGAGGGAGAGGCATCCGAGGTCTGCAGCCGACGGATCGCTTGGACTTCGCGCTCTTGGAGGGCAGGAAGGTCAGCTGTAGGGATGTGTGGGAGCGCAGGGAGCGAAGCGTCGGTCTGAGCCGCTGAAGATGCCGGGGACGGCGACGACTCCGCGTCAAAGAGGGCCTGGAGGACTTTGGAGTCGTTTGAGGAGAGGTTTGGCTTCGCAGCCCCGATTGCGAACGGTGATGGCGCCATGATTGATTGATTGATTGACTGACTGACTGACTGATTGATGGGTTTGAAGCTGGCGAGCGGTTGGTCGGCTAAAGATTGAATGCGATGTCGAGTGTTGTTCACGATAAGCAGTCCGGGGGTACTATTATTTTCAGTCAGATCCAGAACCCATCCCAGCGGGTAAAACTCCGTCCGACGGTAAGGGCACCGAAAAAAAAAATGTCCCGACAAAACCCCCCCTTTGTCCAGCGTACCTTTTTTTTCCTGAGAGCCACTGCTACCCAGGGGCGGTGCTTGTCTTTCGTCGTCCGTCGGCCGGCAGCTAAGAATAGCCAAATAGCCGGTGACGTAATGGAGTGCAGGGGAATAGACGCTTATACCCGCACCGGCAAGATCCCTGATTGGCCAGGTCCTCGAATAGCCGGAGTTACCCGACACCGCCGGCGCTATCCAAGCCGGGTCTCGAGACGAAAAAGTAAACATGAACGGAGCGTCAGGAAGAACCAGGCAGTTCGCAGTTTTCGGTGCTGGCTCTTCGTTCTGTGGGTGACACTAAATGGGGCTGCGGACCAACCTGCTGACCCTGGGGAGATATTTTAACTGTCACGGGCTTCTCCCTCCTTTCGCATCTCATTTTCTCGACGAAGCATCAGTACGACCACCGAGCTGCTGCTTCTTCATTCCCAAGCACCACGGAGAGCAAGCAAAGACCTCCCCATAAGAGACCAGAGAATCAGAAACCCCCCCCCAAAAAAAAAAAAAAAATGGCCCCAGCCGCTGACTCCCCGACGCTTCAACCCGCCCAGCCCTCTGATCTCAATCAGTATAGAGGATACGACCACGTCCACTGGTATGTCGGAAACGCTAAGCAGGCCGCTACCTACTATGTCACCCGCATGGGTTTCGAGAGAGTAGCCTATCGCGGATTGGAGACTGGCTCCAAAGCGGTGGCCTCGCATGTTGTTCGAAACGGAAACATCACCTTCATCTTGACTTCGCCCCTTCGATCCGTTGAGCAGGCTTCTCGTTTCCCCGAGGACGAGGCTCTCCTGAAGGAGATCCATGCGCATCTCGAGAGACACGGCGATGGTGTCAAGGACGTCGCCTTCGAGGTCGACTGCGTGGAGTCTGTCTTCTCGGCTGCCGTTAGGAACGGTGCTGAGGTTGTTTCCGATGTCAGAACGGTTGAAGATGAGGATGGCCAGATCAAGATGGCGACCATCCGAACTTATGGCGAGACCACTCACACCCTCATCGAAAGATCCGGCTACAGGGGCGGATTCATGCCCGGATACCGGATGGAGAGCAATGTCGACGCCACTTCCAAGTTCCTTCCAAAGGTTGTGCTTGAGAGAATAGACCACTGCGTTGGAAACCAGGACTGGGACGAGATGGAGCGAGTCTGCGACTAGTAAGCCAGTCCCTCTGGACCTGGTTTGAGCCCATGGCTAACATTTCTGTAGCTACGAGAAGATCCTCGGATTCCACCGTTTCTGGTCCGTTGATGACAAGGATATCTGCACGTAAGTAGACTGATCCGTCCCTTCTTGCGGTGAATTAACCCAGAGCTGACACCGAAAATAGTGAATTCTCTGCACTGAAGAGTATCGTCATGGCATCTCCAAATGATATCGTCAAGATGCCCATTAACGAGCCCGCCAAAGGAAAGAAACAATCCCAGATTGAAGAATATGTTGACTTCTACAATGGTGCTGGCGTTCAGCACATTGCTCTCCGAACCAACAACATCATCGATGCCATCACCAACCTCAAGGCGCGCGGCACCGAATTCATCAAGGTTCCAGAGACCTACTATGAAGATATGAAGATTCGCCTCAAGAGACAAGGCCTGGTCCTCGATGAGGACTTTGAGACCCTGAAGAGCCTGGACATCCTTATCGACTTTGACGAGAACGGGTATCTCCTGCAGCTTTTCACCAAGGTACGGAGATCTAAATTTACCCTAAAGGGGCAATTCCACATATTTCACTTCCAAACTACCTACTGACTCTGCATATAGCATCTCATGGATCGCCCAACCGTTTTCATTGAAATCATCCAACGCAACAACTTTTCCGGTTTCGGTGCGGGCAACTTCAGGGCCCTCTTCGAGGCTATTGAGCGTGAGCAGGCTCTCCGTGGCACCCTTATCTAGATCTGCAAAAGCATTATCTTGTTTCAGTAACGATGTCATGTATCTTCCTTACAGTATATTATAGCGTGTTATTTTGTATTTATTATATTCGGGATACCAATGAATAGTATTCTCTTTGAGATTGGCTGCTCTCGTGGTCGCGCGATGATCGGAAGTCCGAATCAAAATTCATCCTTGTACTCCATCGGATCGGCATGTTTCGAAGAAAAGCATGCGTACTCCGTAAGGTTGCGTCCAACTCGGCTAGAACTCTACAGTACTCCGTAGGCCCTGCTCACATGGACGACTTGCCAGCAACGAAGAGCGTAAACTGCTTTGAGTTTAGCTGTCCTTGGCATGTTTGGTTTGATGCCAAAAGGCTTGGCGCCTCCGCCACACACCTCCAGCCTCAAACTTGGCTTGTCCAGAGGCGCTGAAGCTATTAGTAAACACCAGTCGGAGTAAAGTAACACCGCTCCGCTCAACTCGGCGAGAATTGGTCCGTGCGCGAAACCCGAACACTTCAAAGCTCAAGGAAAGAGAGCGAGAGAGGACGAGAAAAAGAAAGTCAAGCAGTTTGCCCAGGGAGAGCCCGAGGCGTCACAATGGCCTTTCTCGCTTCCAATATGCCTATGTTTAGGCAGAGTTGGAGGTTCCCCCGCGAGTTCTTCACCTGTCGACAATGCCTGCAGAAACGGTCAGCTCTGCCCCGAGTTCCCCGACAATGGATCGGAACCGCTCCCCTACGGAAATCTTTTAAGCTGAATTCCATTCTCTCTCAAACTGGACGATTGCGGAATCCGAATTCTATGATAAGGTCGATATCTCAGACCGCGACCATTTCAGCAGCCGAGGCGGGTGCAGCGACCAAGTCCCGCTTTCCAAATGTTAGCTCGAAGATTGTTGCGTATTGGTTGCTTGGAAGCGCGGCCAGTGTCTTTGGTATTGTCGTTTTTGGTGGCTTAACTCGATTGACAGAGTCTGGGTATGCTTTGTTCTCTGTCGGCCAAGCCCCTTCATGAGTTAGGTCGCTAACGGTATCGTAGGCTGAGTATAACCGAGTGGAGGCCGGTAACTGGCTCCTTGCCCCCAATGAACGCGGAAGACTGGGAATCCGAGTTTGCGAAATACCGAGCGTCTCCCGAATACCAAGTCCTAAACCCCAACATGACACTTGCCGAATTCAAAAACATATATTACATGGAGTGGATTCACCGAATATGGGGCCGCGTCGTCGGCCTGTCCTTCGTTATACCAGCTATCTATTTTACCGCAACGAGGAAAGTTTCTAAACCGATGGCTCTCAGATTGGCGGGAATTGCTGGCTTGATTGGTTTCCAGGGTTTTATCGGATGGTGGATGGTCAAGTCCGGCTTGAAAGATGACCTATTCGCTCCCGGGAGCCATCCGCGTGTGAGCCAGTACAGATTGACTGCCCATTTGGGCGCAGCATTCGTATGCTATGTCGCAATGCTCTGGAATGGATTGGCAATTCTACGACAGAATCGCCTCTTAGCTGATCCGGAGAAGGGCAAGAAAATCCTTGAAACGTTGCGGGATCCGAAATTAAATGTCTTCCGACGGTCTGTTGCTGGTTTAGCTCTTCTTGTCTTCGTCACCGCTATGTCTGGAGGTCTGGTTGCTGGGTTGGATGCAGGCCTTATTTACAACGAATTCCCTACCATGGGTACCGGCCTTGCTCCGCCCAAATCAGAACTCTTCGACCCACACTACTCCAGGAAGGAAGATAGATCCGATCTCTGGTGGAGGAATATGCTCGAGAACCCTTCGTTGGTTCAATTGGATCACCGTATCCTCGCCATGACGACGTTCTCCTCCGTTATGGGCCTATGGGCATACTCGAAGTTCTCTCCAACGATGAAGCGACTGCTTCCTCACGCTGCTCGAAAAGGCGTTCATGGCGTTGTAGCATTCGCCATGGTGCAAGTCGGCCTTGGAATTAGCACCCTCCTCTATCTTGTTCCCATGCATCTTGCTTCAGCACATCAAGCGGGTAGTCTGTTCCTCTTAACATGGGTTCTCGTTCTCGGTAATAGGATCTGGCATCCTTCGCGGACAGCTCGTCTACTTCAAATGGCCACTAAAGGTCAGGGAGCTAGCATGTCCCGCGCTGCCTCTCCTCTCACCAAGAAACTCTAAAAGGGGTTGTTTCACTCCAGCCTGTGTCTCTCCTTCTCCAACTTAGGCTCTCCGATCTTTCAATCAGAGCGGGGGGTTTACGTTTTATGATCTCTCTCCACTTCATCTATGTTTTACTATATCCACTTTTTCCATTCACGTCATCCTGTGAGGGTACGAAGAGGTAGCCCATCGCCAAATTTTAATGGATTGTACTGTATATACATACCTAGATAATAGACATCCACTCATAAGAGGAATACTTTTGATAACTGGATATAAAACTCCAAATAAAGGCTATGGAGGTATTACGGAATCCAGTAATAGGGTTGTTTCGCAATCTCATATTCAACCTCGATTAAGTACAGGCAATTTCATCTTGAGGTACAACAAGTAAAGGCAGTCGTCATTTTATCGTTTGAAACAGAATGCAAACCATATGTTTTATACAGGTTTTAAGGGTCCCCATTAATCAAAAGGGGGAGCCAGTACTAAGGTGATGAAAGAAAAACAATTTTTTGCAAACAGAAATCCAACTCAGTAAACATCAGCAGAGCCAAAAAGCATTTTAGGCGAGCAAATATTAAAACAGGGTAAAGCGGGAAGAGTAGAGAGGAGATACCGAACGGCCTTGCAAGGATTAAAATTCAGTAAAACACTTCTAAGACACCCCTCACTTTCTCGACTGACAAAATAACCTCTCTCAGGAGAGTCAAAGATTCCACGGGCGTCCGTGAGCATCTTTGCGACCCCCATTGATCACGGGCCTTTCATGTGGCTCATTCAGAGGTGGAGAAGGGACGGGTGTCTGAAAAGGAGCGTAGTTGTCAGCCCACATTGGGCGCAGCTGGTTACGGGCCCAAGCAGATTCATAATCAACACATAGAGAGTTCGGAGAGCTATATCCAGCGGTCCAGCGAAGATCGGGATATCCGGCGAATGATGAAACTCGCGAAGGCCCTGGGCCACGAGTTGCATTGCCATCGCTGTGCTCCACGGTGAGATATCTAGATGCGTCGTCTCGATCATGTAAAATAGCGCTTGTTGCGTTTATGGGGTGGAAAGAAGCTTGTTGTTGATGCTGAATGCCGTGGGAGTCTTGAGCTGATTGATGCAGAAGCAAATGAAGATTTGCAGCCTCTGCAGCAGGTCTTATGTGAGGATCTTGAAAGGAGTCCGATGGGACAAAAAGTGGTGAACCGGTTTTATTCACGATAGTCATACTCCGCATTCTGGTGTGCGACGGAGCAACTTGTGTCGCTTCTTGACGGACAACCAATTCTTGTCGCCATTGCTCTCTAGCCTTTTCTTCGTTCAAAGCGCGTTGGGCAGCCATGCATAGCCAGTACATCGGATTCCTACGGTCGTCAGGGGGGATTTCTGGTGGTAATTGTTGCGGTATTGCTCCAGCAGATTTTCCTGTGCTCTCATACTCGGATTCATCATCTGTATTGACATTATCTCCATCTGCCACAACGGCACCCCTTTTGGTGCCTATTTTGTTGCTTGGGATGGTGGAAGCGCTCTTTCTCGTTGCCGTTATGCCTTTGTGAGTGGGCAGTTTGCGCCGGCTTACCTTACTTTCCCTTGCTCTGCCTTTCCCTTTGTCTTGGGACAGAACGCGCTGGGAAACACGGCGTTTACTAGAGCCATATTCTTCTTCATCTCGGATGATAGGTCTTTTACCCTTTCCAGCTACTTTGATCTTCGATCTTGATTTTAAACCACCACCATTTTCCCCGGAGATGCTGACGGTCTCATCACTATCATGTTCTGAGATACCTTTGCTCTGGGCGATGGAATCCGGCGTCTCAGGGGTGAAGACCGGCCCATTGAACTTGTGCGAAACACCATGTGTACCATCCCCGCCTCGGGCATCCCAGCATGGCGTGCAGATCTGCCATCCGCAATCGATGCAGCGTCGCAATGTAGCCTTGTTGTGTTGGTTGCAAACGTCGCATTTGGCTGTATGGATCTTGATCGTCTTGAAGATAGTATGGCGAATATCATCGTCTTCGTCGTCATCTATTTCGGAGAGAGAACTAATGGAAGAAATGCAGTCTTGAACGAGGCTCTGAGTTTCTGCTCGATTGTTAGAAGGTCCGGCTTGCTCTGCAGCTTGATCCGAACGCTTATTGTCTAGTTCCTCCAGATCTGTGCGAGTAAACGATTCTTTAACTTCAGGGAACATCATGGAAGGTGTCTTCTGACGCCAGACAGAACTTGAGTAACGTTAGCAAGGTGCCTAGATTTCCACAGCAGACAGGATAGTCAGGTCAGAGTGGTTATGGCGGCCAAGCTTAGTATCGGTGCTTGTCAAAGCGATATCAAGCATCAAAATAGGAATATATCCCCGGGGGGGGAGGAGAGATGGAAGAACTCGAGTGTCTGCCAACCTATGATTAAAATTAGAGCTTTAGAGCAATTTTTTGCTTTTGATTGACAAAGAGTATCGAATGCACCAAAGTTGAAGAAGTTCTGGTTGGCAAAGGGAAAAGACTGAGCGAAAAGCAGACAGAAAAGATGGAGGATCCCCACGGAAACAGGAGGTTGAGCAGGCAAATTTATACAAGCAAAAGTGAGTGAAGGCTTGAGGACATCACGGGGAGTACCGTGAATGGATACAATAGGGCACACCCGTAATTCACTTCTTCCTGCTCTATTGACAGTATTGGTTGACAAAGCCTCTCGTATGGAGGCGTTGCATTTCGTATTGTCTAACCTCGACTCCCCAGCAAGGACCTGAAATATGCCAAAGTGTGTCTAGAAGCTGACCATACTTAGTCAAGGGTGTTTCTGAATAACCCTTTTGAAAAAGGAGGAGCAGGTGGTATAGAGACAAGCCAAGCTGCCTGTGCAAGATAACCCAATCCACAAGCTCATCATTACAAGTACAGCAGCAGAGTAACGGGTACAAAGTAAAATACGGGAAAGGTCAAGTGAAGATGGTGTATGGTAAACATGATGGGTTGGTTTACCACAGTGAATGCAGGACAAAGCAAACAATACAGCAACCTCCAGCAGTGACTACGCAGCCACTGAAATAAAAATCCAAGGGATCTAGAAAGGCTCGCAGAGGGCATCAAGTCGAAGAATCAAAGGCCCAATATCGACGAACGAGATCAAGACTGATGGGAAAAAACAGCATACGATAGGAACCTGGCTGCTCGCAGCTGCACGAATAATGAAATGTAAGGAAAAGACCTCGATGCCTTCAGTATCGAGGTCAAAAGATATATCAGGTGAAGGGCCATGGAGATACTGCAATGCTCTTGAGGCAAGGAAACCGGTAATGCTTCTTGTTTTTGGCTGTATTTTCTTTATATCTCAGTGATCGAAAAGAACTGAATAACTTCGCCCAATATTTTGTTTGCTTCTCTTTTTCCTTTTTAGATACCTATCCCTCCAGTCATTGATGTTCGTTACCCAACAGATGCCTAAAGTAAATTTGGTAATTTCTATTCATTTATGTGCTAAATAAGAGTGAGCACAGTTCTGGTATACAGGTGTTGGGTCATAGTGAAAACTTACGGATCCCCTCTTCTGGGCTCGGCTCAATGCCAACGACCTCTGCCGCAAGAGGCTCCTTGGGTGCAGCTTTGTCATCCTTCATGAACGGAAAAGCCAGTACCTCCTTGATACTATAGTTGTCCGTCAAGAACATGACAAGACGATCGATACCCAATCCCCATCCTCCGGTTGGCGGCAGACCATACTCTAGACTAGTGCAGAAGTTCTCATCGATCAACTGCGCCTCATCGTCACCCTGGTCCTTTTGTCTGGCTTGCTCCTCGAATCGCAAACGTTGGTCGAACGGGTCGTTCAACTCCGTGTATGCATTCACAATTTCTTTCTTACAGACAAAGGCTTCGAACCGTTCGCAAAGACCGATGTGGTCACGGTGGTATTTTGCGAGTGGAGACATCATCTGGGGGTGGCCTGTGATAAAGGAGGGGTTGATACATTTCTCTTCGATGAACTCGCCAACGAGCTTGTCAAGCATACGAGCGTTGGTCTGTGGAGGAGAGCACTCGACGTTGACCTTCTTGAGAATCTTCTTGAGCCATTCGTTAGTTTCTTGAGTATGGAGCTGGTCGCCAGGTGGGAACTTTTCGCCGGTGGCTTCCTCGAGGGCCGGAATCATCTCGATACGCTTCCACGGGGCTTTCCAATTAACCTTGTACTCCTCTCCGGTTTGGGTATGGAAGACCGTTTCATATCCTCCGGTAACGTGCTTCACAAGGCCGGAAACGAGTTCTTCAGTCACGTTCATGAGATCATAGACATCAGCGTAAGCCCAGTAGAATTCGCAGGTGGTGAATTCAGGGTTGTGGGTAAGATCGATGCCTTCATTTCGAAATTGGCGACCCAATTCGTAGACACGCTCGAGACCACCAACAATCAACATCTTGAGATACAATTCAGGCGCAATACGCATGAAAAGGTTCATATCCAGCTCATTATGGTGAGTGATGAACGGCTTGGCAGTAGCACCACCAGCAATAGCGTTCATCATAGGAGTTTCAACCTCAACAAAGTCGCGCTCATCAAAATACCGCCGGATATAACTGATAATCTTCGACCTCGTAATAAAGACATTTCTAGACTTATCGTTCATGATCAGGTCCAGATACCGCTGCCGAAATCTCTGCTCCTGGTCCTTGAATCCGTAATGCTCTGAAGGAATCTGGTGCAAGCACGGCGTAAGGAGAATGACCTGCTTGGCGAAAATAGATAATTCGCCGTCATCTCGATTCTTTGGAGAGGTACGACCGGGGAATCCAATGATACCAATTATATCACCTCTCCTTAGGTGTTCGTGCTGGGCCTCAAAGGGGACATCGCTTGTTGTTTCTTGTGCTTGACAGGCAACCTGAACCTTGACGCCTTCAGCTCGAATATCGTAAAAGATCAGTTTCGCTCCAGAGGAACGCTTGGTGTAAATTCTTCCAGCAATTCGGATTTCCTTCTCTCGCAATTGCTCGCCCTTCTTGAGATACTGGTACTCCTTGAGGAACTGTCGGAGATCGTCGGTGACTTGGAATTTGTGAGGATAAGGGTTAGGATTCTTGGTCTGGCGGAGTTGGTTGATTCTTCCGCTACGAATTTCAAAGTATTGCTACACCGGACAAAGCGATAGTCAGCATTCGAAACGAAATATCCTCTTTAATAGGCCATATTTAATAGCCAGCGATTATGTTACGATCAATGGACAGCAAGGAAATGCGTACATTTGGCGTCAGTTGTGATTCCTCTTCCTCAGCGCTCTTTCTCTTGCCCGCCGATCCAACACCGGCGACAGCGGCAGCAGCAGCCTTTTCAGCTTTCTTCTTTTCCTGCTCACGCTGCTTCAAGCGCTTCTTCAGCTCCGACTTGGAGACGCGTTCTCCAGTGACTTCGTCGAGGTGAAGATTGGCGACAGCGTTCCCCGCCGCTTGGACTGCGGGGTCTTGCTCAGGCATTGTGTGCTTTGTGGAAGACGTATCTTTGCCGGACAAGCTGCAATTAGAAATTTAGTACGGAGTAAACCTAGAGAAATAAACAGGGAGAGACTGGCTCGTACTCTATAGTAATATATATTAGGAGACCACGCTGTGAGTCAGACGCTTTATCCTTGATCGCGGTTTTGTTAGTTTGAGTTCACCGACAGGGATGAAAATCAAAACTCGTCAACGCCAAGACTCGATTGCTTGGGTTCTTCCGCTGCTGTTTGTCTGCGAACCATACAAGTTCTTCAGAGAAGCCAGAGCGCCCTTGCATAGAGTAATACCACAACGCGGTGCAGCTTGAAGTACGGGAGCACATAATTCATTATCTGATTTTGGTACAGAGTACCTCAAGTAATTATGCCAAATTTACTGGGGTGCTAACCTAGAGAGCAAATATCTCACAGTCAAGCAAAATCCTCCAGCTTTCTGAGTTGTTTTCATAATCCTAAATCACTCCATGGTAACTAATTATCCTCAAAGAACCGACCCTAAGTAAAGGTGCTCAGAGGCCCCTCGGAAATACCCAATGTACCAGCGTTTTTCTCGGCAACCCTGAGCCATTCCTGAGCTTTATCCAGCTTCTCCTTCTCTTTGCGAAGCTGGACTCGGCGTCGTTGGCGTTCTTCATCTTCAGCCATGAGTTCCATGCAGCGTTCGGAAGCTGAAGAACCATTCTACTTTAGCATAGGTAGGATCATAACATAGATAAGTGCTCAACGTACCATTTTCGCCCAAGATACCTAAATTCTGCTCGATCACGTTGCGGAGTTCGTTGCGACAACGAAAGAAAAGTTTGGTGTAAGTGCCCTGGCATGTCACATCAACAAACCGGGAACCTGCAACATCGTAGTACGCTCGTGAAGCCTGATCACAGTTAGCCGCATATTTATAGAGAGTATCCTATATAGAAGCGATACCGCTGCGATCTCTATTTCCTTCATGAAACTGTCCGTACCCAAATCTGCTTGAGTGATGGTGTTTGGGTTACAAGCCTTCCCAATAGCTTCAAGTTGTGCCAAATATTCTCGCCGGCGAAGGAGGAAGCGTTTGCGAGACAGCATTTCCAGGGCCTCATCCTGAACCTTTGAGAAAGCTTCGGTTGCAAGAGTGAAAGGCTTGGAACATTCAATATTATAGTTTTCATCGGCTTGACGATAGTGCTCCCCACGTATCGCTTCAAGAAACTCGAAGATTACCGCTTTTAGAGCTGGGTAGAGTGCAGTCTGCCGATATTGTCCGAAAACATTGTCCAGTTCCTGCATCAAAACGCAAGAAACCATGTTGTACGTCTCCGACAAAAAGGTTCGCATTGGGTCCAACCAATGAGCTACGCTCAGACGATTCATAGTTTCGACAGCCTGAGGGTTTCCAAGTCCAGGTATACCGGAAGCGTAGGTATCTGCATTAATATCACGTATCTGCTGGGGAGTAAATGACCGTATCGGAGCTATCAGCCTATTATTAGCATGTATTAAAAACAACCGAATTAACCTTTCAAAAAGCAATAATATTTGTCTATACTGACCGGGCAAACCTCCAAAATACTTTTCAAAATAGCCATCTGGAGCTCCCGCGCTTGCGGGTAACCTTTCAGGCGGAGAGCTAGCTTTCAATTTTTTCGCCAAATCGGGCTCGCCACCTTTCGCAAGCTTCCGCTTCGATGGGGTTTTCCATTCCGTAATCTCACACAGGTCGTTGTCGTCCTCGGGCGTAGAAGACACGTTTCCAGGCAACTTAATCTCAATATTTTCCACAATCTTGAGTGTGGGTCGAGATCTTACAAGATATTCCTGAAAGGCGGATGCTAACTTGCTCCATTCCTTGAGGAACGGGTGTTCGGAGGAGCCACCATTCATATGAGCTTGAACGTTGTTCGTAAAGACATTTAATTTTTGGCACAAAATATATGGAACGTTCGCAGACGGTGGTGCCGGAAGTGCAGATAGTCCCTTTTCGACAAGCCTAGCACGGCTGTTGATCTGATCGATGATCCGAGGTAGACTGCTTTGTATTTGCTTGAGAAGCAGACTTGACAAGGCAGCCTGAAGCTTTCTTGTGCCAAATCTGTCGCTGTACTTTGCGAATTCTGCCGCCCATGGAGGATGGGCAAAAAAAATTTGCTCTTCCTCTCGTGCTTGAGAGTGATCCACCATCGGATCAGAGTTATTCTTAACCACAAAATATTCATGACCAAGCAAGAACTTTTCCCCACTAAGTAGTTCCTGCCATTGCTCATATCCGGCATCGATCCGGTCTGGCTTTGTCAAAACCCCAAGTGTCCTATCCCTAGCTCCGCGTACTTCTCTGATAATTCGGGCTGCACTCGAGTTCGTCGCGTCATCCGTCATAGGCATTGTCAACAAGACAATAGTATTATCAGCTTTGATATACTCTTTCGCCAAATTTTCAACCAATGGAACCAGATATTTTTCCTCGTCTACCTCGGCAACGTTGATAATGCCGGGCAAGTCATAGAAGGAGAGATTTGGAAATTTGGGCGCTGAAATATCCAAACGAACCACATTTGGTGAGAACTTCACCTGTAGATAGGTCTCTGTTTCGTGGTTTTCCTCCCGCATAAACTCTTTGTAAGACCTTCCAGGGTTAAGAGTAGCTAGTTGGGCCCACATTAATACATCCCGTAGCATAGATTTATCGGTCAGCGTGTCAAACAGAAACTCTTCAGGTTCCTGTTCAATCCATGGCCCCAGGGGATTGCGCGATGTCGGTGCTGATTTTTTCGGAAGATATATGTACTTCTTCATCAGCAACACACGACAAGTCCAAGGGGTATCGGACTCAGACAAGTTTATTTCCATGGGGCAACGAGTACAACATCCGGCGTTTCGCGGGACTTTGATCTCACTAATGCCTTCAATGAGCGAGCTTTTTCCGGTGCTCTGGTCGCCGACAACGACGATTTTTGGGAGAGGAAGCCCGCTGTTTTCGACTCCAATGTGCCTGAGGTCCTGTATTTTCTTGACCATTACTTTCATGCTCTGGGACATGATGTCAATAGATTTGTTAGTGGCCTCAAGGCCCGGGGAGTCCTCTCGCACTGTATCTGGAAGTACATTAGATGACAGCACAATACCTGGAACGGAATGGGTCGAAACCTACGGGGAGTGCTTTCACGAAGTGCCAAGTTAGACGAAGGTAACTCCATGACTGATGTCCAGGTGCGAAACTCAAAAATTTGTACGGGGAAACTCCGATAAAATTCGCAGTCCTGTGAGCAGCTAGTCGTGGTCGATCATGAAGACCAATCCAGGTGTGGGCGAGGGGTCGAGATATTGCTGGATAAGCAGTTATAGTGAATTTCCAGGATAGTCAATGCACGCTACCAACAGGAGAGCAGAGGTAATCAAGGGAACGCCGGCAGCTACAGGAAAATGTACGTCGTTTGGAGACTGACGGGGGTTTTGGAGCTGCACGTCAGGCAAAATAGAATCAAGAGAGCGACAAGATCAAAAGATCGCGCCAGGCAGCGAGTTTCGAATTTGAAAGGCCGCTGTGAGATGATACTGATCCACCCAGGCGTGGCTCAGCCAGCTCCAGACCAAAGAACCTGGAACGAAGATGACAGGGGGAAAAAAAAAAAAAAAAGGTCGGAAGACAATATATGTGTGCAGAGAAGGGAGGGGGGAAAGGAAGAAAGAAAGAAAGAAAGAAAATTGAGAGAGGAGGTAGGATGTGTTTGTTTAGGCTGTGTTATGTTTCCAGCCCGAAAAGGAACACATCAAGGAACCTGGAAATCCGGAGATTTCCGGGCATTCTTCCATCCTGCGGAGCCTGCAGCTTCATGATGTTCTTTCATGTCTGATAAGCGGTTCCATCAGGCATCAGATTCGCTCAGGGTCGGGTCCATGCAGCAAACAGAACGCGCAACCAGAGGGATACAATGACATTCACAGAAGAATTCAGAACCAGAATCATGTCAGAGTACACTAACTAAAGTAAAACCTGGTGTCTGCCAGCTGCCCACGTTTTCCATGTTGCTGGAAGAAGACAGAGGAGAATAGTAGCTGGAGCAGCGCCGGCGAGACGAGATGTCGATGGCAATGGCGGCGCTGTGAAGTTGATGGCTGCTGTCGTGTGGGCGGAACACGTGGTCCTGGCGTCATTCGTCAGCTCGCCAGGGGGTCAACTCAACAGCAGCTCCATCGCCCGCTTCAAAACAAGGGGTGGAAAACAAGTTCACTGGGACCTTCTCGCTGCTCGGCTTGTAAACTCTTCCCGTCCTGACTCTGTTGAGCTCCTTTACAGTTGAAATCGCATTGCGAATTGGTCCCAAGCCGCCCTCAACCTTCCCTCCTCTTCTATCGCGGTACGAAACAGTCGAGCCCTCTCGCTGCCAGCGCAGCCCCCACTCATCGTGCATGAACAATCAAGGACCGAGTGGAAACCAAGGTGCTAATTCATTGCGATTACAAGACAACAGGTAATTGAAGGCAAAAAATAAAAGAAAGAAAGAAAGAAAGAAAGAAAGAAAGAAAGAAAGAAAGAAAAGAAAAACCGGTCACCACTTTTTTCCGCCTCCAGATCGACTTCCATGCTGCAAGTTCCCCTTCGAGAGCGCAACACAGATATGGCTTCAACAACAAAAGCTGTCATCTTGGTGGGATAATATTCCCCTCTCTCTAAGCCCTATATATTCACAGCCACTGACAATTCAATTGGCAGGTTGGAGGACCATCCCGAGGAACCAGATTTCGACCCCTCTCTCTCGACGTGCCAAAGGTACCGTAAACAAACAATCACGCTTCCCAGGTGGTATCCTGGTTTCGTTTGGCTAATGTTTTGTGCAATGCGTCTTTTCAGCCCCTCTTCGAAGTTGCTGGCCACCCGATCATCTGGCATGCTCTAAAGGCTGTGACCAAGATTCCCGATATCCGCGAAGTTATTCTGATCGGATATTACGACGAGACTGTCTTCCGTGATTTTATCAAGGACTCTCTCAAGGAGTTCCCACAATTCAAAATTCAATACTTGAGGGAATACCGAGCATTGGGTACTGCAGGTGGCCTCTACCACTTCCGTGATGCGATCCTCAAGGGCCGCCCAGAACGATTCTTCGTCTTGAATGCAGACGTTTGCTGCTCGTTCCCGTTGGTCGAAATGCTCAAGTTGTTTGTAGAAAAGGATGCTGAGGCGGTTATCCTGGGTACTCGAGTCAGCAACGAGACGGCAACAAACTTTGGCTGCATCGTCTCTGATGCCCATACAAAGCGTGTTCTGCATTATGTCGAGAAGCCTGAGTCTCATATCTCAAACTTGATCAATTGTGGTGTCTACCTCTTTGCCACGGAATGCATCTTTCCTTCAATTAAAAGCGCGATTAAGCGTCGCACCGCCCGGCCCCGCTTGTTCTCTTACCCATCTTCTGAGCACCTGGAATCCTCCTATGGCGCCGAGCAGGATGACGAGGGCGAGAAGAGCGAGGTCCTCCGTCTTGAGCAGGATATTCTTCCCGATCTAGCAGACAGCAACCGTTTCTTCGTCCATGAAACCAAAGATTTCTGGCGTCAAATCAAGACCGCCGGCTCCGCTGTACCAGCTAATGCTCTCTACCTCCAAAAGGCTTTCCAGTCCGGATCGGAGGAGCTAGCGGCCCCATCAGCTACAATTGTCCCACCAGTTTATATTCACCCCACTGCTACCGTCGATCCAACCGCAAAACTCGGACCAAATGTCTCCGTTGGTGCTCGTGCGGTGGTTGGAGCAGGTGCACGAATTAAGGAATCCATTGTTCTTGAAGATGCCGAAATCAAACATGATGCGTGCGTTTTGTATTCGATCATTGGATGGAGCAGTCGAGTTGGGGCATGGGCACGTGTTGAAGGCACACCCATTCCAACTGGCAGCCATTCCACCTCCATTATAAAAAATGGGGTCAAGGTGCAGAGCATTACAATTCTTGGCAAGGAATGCGGTGTTGGTGATGAAGTCCGAGTGCAGAATTGCGTCTGCCTTCCTTACAAAGAGCTGAAGCGGGTATGTATCTATCATCCGCCGTTTCTCCGATTAATACCCTACAATATGCTAACTTGGGGCTATAGGACGTCGCCAATGAAGTTATTATGTAAAAAGTTCGGATTTCAATATCTGACCAAACTTATTGAATGAAGAGGGAGTAGGATACCCATATAATCCATGGCCGATTTATATACCACGTCAATAACCATTTACGTAGTACTAAGACCCAATATGAATCTTTAAGCTCATTATCTTCATTTACATTTGTTAGCAGGATATTTTTTCTTCTCTTCTTCAACACACCTGATTGGAAAGGAACCCCAACTCCGAAATGGCGCAGTCAAGTCAGGCGTCAATCTGTCCCACAGAAATAATAAATTTAACCTGCTCCGAAAGTTGACCCGATCATGTCAAACCGAGATCTCTTGACCCCCGAGGGAAGTTGGATACGAATTTGTCGCCTATTTACCATCCGGACTACTCCGTATGCACGGAGGAAGTCTTGTGTGACCCATTTAACCACCGCCGCTCGAATGAGCGGGCGTGGCACCTTTGGTTCTCGTTTCTTTTACTTTTCTTTGACCCGCAATTCCTCGAGGGAGTTTTGGCGGGGTTGGGTGTTTACCCTTCATGCATGGACGTTAGACTGAGAATACGAGCACAGATTTTCGGAACATGGACAAACGGTAGTTCGTTCCACGGTCACTACATCATTCCCCACGAAATCCCAACCCTTCGGCTTACCGACTACATCTATACGTATCAGCATAACTTTAACGTCCACAGCAGGCAAGAAGTCGTATCCAGAACGATATAGGGAATGGCAATATATTCAAATAAATTAAAATAAACCCTAAATAGTACTAGATATAGATGTAATAGCGCTGTGAAAGAGAGACCCATATATTTACTGCAAGGAATCGCAACATATACATGGATACGCTGACATTTGACATTAAAACCACGGTGACACCCAAGGCCACATCCCCCTGCACCTCGACTACTAATGAAAAGGCCATAGACACATCTCATCTTGAAACGAATCACTAAGACAACTTAGAACCATAACCAAAGCGAGTACTCTGTATCTCTGATCGAAACATACCTTGATAACCGATCTCATTGGTCACGGAGTGAAGTCTTCACAACTTCAGGCACAAAGTGTGAGTTTCAGATCGGTGCCCGCATTGCAGTCGCGGACCTGGCTTCCCGAAGGCGGAATGCCATCTGGCCAACAGATGTCCGCGCAATTGGGATCGCTTGGGTCAAGGAGGACTTTGCTGCCGGAGAACGGATCGCCAAAGACGTCAGACAGATCGTAAAAGACCCTCGGGTCGGTTAAGCTGTATGCAAAGTTGGTCTGTGGGGAGTTGTTGAAAATTCCATCGTCAACACGGGTAATCTTGATGGCAATACCGCCGCTCTGGGGATCGCGGTGAATTTTTTCGCTGTAGACGCCACCTTGCTTCAGAACATGCTTGGGACCGATGGAGCCACCAACAGACCAAAGAAAGACTGTGAATGGGCAATGGTTTTCAACAATAGCGTTGCCGGCAGAGCCTGCAAGGGCAGTTGTGGCTGCGAAGGCAGCGAGAAGGAGCGTTTTGAGATGCATTATGTATTAAAACTGGCTAAAGCTTTGCCTGTCGTGTATGAGTAGATAGAAATAGAGCGATGCTAATGTTCTTGAGGCCTGATAGGAAAAAGCAGTAGGGAAATGTGGGATTTCAGGCCATCTTTATATCTTTTGAACCGGTGATATTAACCTACTTGACATAGGATGTCTCACTTTCCTGAGTATGGCCACGGCTAGTGATTTTGAGTTTGCCTCTCAGCTCTACAGCGGAATACGATGCCTTTCCTAGCTTTGTACGGAGTACTTCGGCGGGATTCCATATCCCTCCGATTGGAGGTGAGGTTAATATCTCCGGAATGCATGTGTGCCCGCGTTGTACACTATCCAGACTCCGTAATACCAAGCAATGTAGCAGGTGTCGCTTGTCTTTGTCCTCTCTCAGGACTTCACTGAGCCCAAAGTGCGTCCTGCAAAGCAAGGCAAGGCTATATCCACAGCCAATAGATGTCGAAGAGCCTGCCGTGGAAATGATCCGAGTCCGCTGTCCTGGCTCGATTGAAAGTCTAAGCAAAGTTAAACAAAATAATATAGGATATCATAATAGCAGTTCCACCATTGAGACGAGGACCAATATTGGGAGCTCAAGAAAAAAGAGATCATTTCTCTGCGCAATTTCAGCACGAGATCGTTGCGAAGTTTGAATGATCAGATTTTTCCCTCCAGGCCTGAATGCAGTAGACAGTATCCGTGTAGTCCATCCCATTCTGGCCTGTGAACATGGAATGTGCGGCTGGGACTGTATCGGGCACTCAATGTGCCAGATGGGTGCCTGATTAGCGGCAGCGTGATCAGGTTTGAGACCTGCATATCTTATCCCGAATCAACCCAAAGCAGACTTGCCCAAGCGGAGTACTCCGCTGGGAGGACCTTGCTAGAATCGTTCATAGACCGCTCGGAGATATATCCGAGCCTGCGGAGGAAAGTGTCTGCTACCGTCGATCTCTCTCATCCGCCTATCCGGTTGATTTGATTCCATGCTGTCAAAAGATCAGGGTTCTCTAGCATCGCGCCATTGGTTGGACAGGCTGGAGCGGTCTTTGTGGGTTCGCTATCATTGTTCGCCTGATAGATCGAAAAATGTCTTAAAATACGAAGACAGCGGGAAAAAAGGTCCATGCGAGCAGTGCATCCTTGTCAAGAGAACGTGTCGTTGGTTCCCAGAGTGTCATGGCAGCGTTAGGATGTTTGTAAACTCAAGGCCCTGTTAATGGCTCAAGCAAGGTGGGCAGAGGTTGCTGGAGAGAATCGAGGTTGTGGTCCTCGATGTCAATGAGTGGTTTGTCAACACATACACGCCTCGGTGGTGAGTTTAAGCTTAGTTAAGTTACTCATCTATTCTAAAAATAGACTAACTACGGAGTACTTCGTTAACTAACTAACTAAGTTATATACTCCGTATATAACTAACTCGCTATGGCGCCGACTTCGGCCCACACGCCGCCTCGCGACACTTACCACATTATCCCCACATTTCGTTTCTGGGGTCTTAGGCAACCTCTCACGATGCAACTGTCCATGCTGCAGAGCGCATGTCCCTCCGAGAGATCGCGCCCATTGCGCTGAAAAAACATCCAAAGCAACGTGACGTCATAAGTCAGCCACATCACCGTCTTTCTACGATCTGAGGTCGTCGCGTGTTTGTGCGACATTATTCTGCATTCTCAACGTTCCACGACGATCCGATACCGTCTCTCTCCTACAGAGGGCTTCCTCCTTCCTCTCCAAAACCAGACATCCCGGTCACCGTGCTCTATACCCGTGAGTCACATCAAGGTCACGCTGCAAGATCGCTTTGCCTTGTGCCAGCCGCGGCTGATTCCTCGAACGCAGCTCTATGCCTTGAAGTTTACATGCAAGCAGGACCCACGCGATGGACCCCACTTCACATTGGAATGAAAATCAGGGTAATTCTGCGGCGAGAGAGATCCCACCCGCATACAATGTGCCATCCGCCCCATTGGCGCCGCCCCCGGACTATGACACAGCGATTGGGGTTAATCTATCAACAGAGTCGTCCGAGCATGCTATCACGAATCACGAGCCGATAACTCTTACTATTGAAGGAAAGTTCATTTACTCTTCGCTCTCAAGGCCAGAACCAGTCTACAGTCTTAGCCATGCACTAGATGGCCATGAGCTGAACCTCACTGGGGTCCTCCTGACCCGAATTGATCGCAACCCTGCTCGTCTTTCTCGTCCCGTTGTAAAGCGAGATGTATTCGCTCTTCGAGATGCACCGTCATTACATATCGGACCGGCAAAATACGAAATTGATGGGCTGCGGTATATATCAGGTAAGAAAGGATATATGAGTAGGAAAATCACCAGGAACGGACAGGGCTGGGCAGCTGGCGGGCGGGGTTTGCCTTCCTTTATACTTCGTCCCACTAGCCCCCCTGATTCTGACACCCAGCTTTACGAATGGCGAGACAAGAACAGTGATCACAATATTGGTATGGAAACACGGCGGCTTTGGGATAAAGAGAAAAAGGTGGAATTATCACCACCAAAAATAGAACTGAGGGTCGGATCCAACGTGGATAAAGAATATCTGGACTTCCTGGTAGCTGTATGGTGCATGCATAATTGGAGGGAAGCCAAGGAAATTACAAAGGAGCCCCTGACCTGGGAAGAATGTGAGTTCTTGTCATCTATTCCTCATCGAAGCAAGTGCATCTGTTTTGTGGCTGGGCCATACTCAGAGTGCTCACTATGTTTTTGGAAAACAGTTAAAGAACAAGCCAAGACCACCGCTGCTAAGAGTAAACACCGCCGATGGAACGCCAATCTGGGAGCGGTGGTATTCTAGCACACAAATATGAGCAGCTTACTCTTCCCCTGGTATATATCTTTCCGTTGGATGTTGTGTTTATGCGACGGCGTGTCAAGGGGGAGTTTGGTCGTCTAATTCTTTTTGCATATCCAAGGTATGGGTGCGGTTCGGGGTTCTGAGCTTATTCACTGAAAAATGACTTACGATCCAATGATTTATGAATACCGGAAAGTTACATGATTATATCTTTCTGTTTCCTATTTTTGACCTTGGATTCCTTATTCTTTTGCATACTTTATACCATACATTAGTGAATTTAACCCCACTTGCCCTCCTCACAAAGAATCACTTAAATGGTAGCAGATTAATACATTAAGATCATAATGTTCTATCATATAACTACATGGGCAGCAATTCAATCCTCGACTATCGCTTCACTATCCTTATACGCTCCCAATTTAAAGAGCTTCTTCGCATTCTCCCTTCCAATTGCAGCTTTCTGTCCTTTTTCTAAGCCTTTGATATTATCAAACCACGTGCAGGCGTCTTTATAGTTCTCAAACGGATAATCCGTACTGAATAGAATCCTATCCGCATTGCCAAACTCTTCGATGCAATATTTTAGAGTTGGAGTCGAGAAGTGGCCGGAAGTTGTGATCCAGATGTTTTCGCGGAAGTAGTCGCGGATGGTCTTCTCAATAGGCATACCAATCGGCTTCTTAATATCTTCGAACCAGTGGTTAATACGCCACAGATCGAAAGGAAGATGTTCTCCCAAATGACCGATGATCACCTGCAGTTTAGGATTGCGGTCGAAGACGCCATTAGACACCATTCCCATGAGGTGGAGGGACACGCCCTGTGCGAAACTAAGCGGTGGACCGACGAGCCATTTGCGGTCTGCCCAAAGGGTATCATAGACGACGCCGGTGGGCTGCTTGGGGTGGAGATAGAAGGGAACATCTAGCTCGACGCAGGTTTGCCAGAAGACATCCCACTCTGGTTTATCATAGAAGATAAGCGACTTTCCGTCTGAAGCAATCTGGTTATCGTTCACGAGGGCACCCTTGAAGCCATATTTCTCAACGCATCGTCTCAATTCAGCGGCTGCGGTGGTTGGGTCGTGCATAGAAAGGCAGGCAAAAGAGCCAAAGCGGTCTGGCTTGTCCTTGATCTGTTCATACGTCCAGTCATTCACAAATTTGGCGACCCTCAGTGCTTCGGCAGGATCGGTGATGTCCTGGATACCAGGAGCAGTATAGCTTAAGATATGGTATCCAACACCGTACTCATCGGCATACTGAAGTCGAATGTTGTTGAGATCGCAAATTTCGCGAACGTGGCGATCAGGATCTGTAGCGAAGAATCCAGCCCACCATCTTGCCTTCTCGGCAAATTCTGGGGTATTGAAGTGGTCCTCAAGAGTGATCTTTCCGAGCATTATGACGGTTTCAAGGAAGTCTCAAGAGAAAGATTCAATGGAGAGGGCGAGAATGGGTTGGGCGATGACAGATGGAGCTCAAAGACATCAAAGCGTCTTTCAGAGAATAAATACAGAGTACATATTACCCGACGGAATCAATACTGCCGACCCTACTCCATCCGCATTACCCCGCCATGTTGTGTCTCCCCGCATTTGGTGCATCGCCCCTTTGCTCCAGTTCTGCCATCAGCGGAAACCGGCGGGTGTGTGGATCCGCCATGTGGAGGAAAACGGAACTCTAATAGCGGAGCCAATCAGAGTCCAATCCGCTTCCCGGAGCTAACGCCAAGCTACCAAAGCTCTCTCTGATACATACCCGCCAATGAGAATGCATTCCGGCCCGAGTTCATCTTGGCACCCGGGAGCTAGTCGCGCCGTCGTGTTGGAGAACTGTGGGGTAGGGATGGTGGGGTTCCGGGCAGGGGAGAAATTTCGGCCGCCAGGATATCTCAGGCCATCATGATCCCAAACGGCAGAAGACGCTTCCGTCTGCCCTTTTGAACATGAGGGCTGACTGGTCATATATCTTCCTCACTGCGAAGGTTGCATCCTTCAAATCTTCATCGTCTCAACCTTGAATTCCTTCCGTCAGTCTTTTGAGAAATACTCCTTTCCGCCGCTCTTTCAACTCATACGAATAAAGCCGTTCAAAATGGTTGACAAGTTCGATCCCAACTTCACCCAAAATGTCATCAATGCCACAGGTCCAAAGACAGACCCTCGTATGCGAGAGGTGATTACCTCGCTCATCCGCCATCTCCATGACTTCGCTCGCGAGGTCGAACTTACCGTTGACGAATGGATGGCCGGTGTGAACCTAGTCAACTGGGCCGGCCAGATGAGCAACGAAAAGAGAAACGAGGGACAGCTAGTATGCGACGTTTTGGGTCTTGAATCGTATGTCTGCTCTTTCTCATTCCTGTCCGCCTCCGGGCCCCTTTTGGATACAAAATAGCTAACTTCAATACAGTCTCGTTGATGAAATTACTTTCTCTCGCGCTGCTAACGCACCTGATGCCGCTACAGCCACCGCTATTCTCGGCCCTTTCTTCAGAACCGACGCTCCTCACTATCCTAATGGCTCGAGCATTATCAAAACCCCTCCTGCCGAGGGCGGCGAGGTCACCTATATGCACGGCAGAGTCGTTGACTCTGTTACCGGAGAGCCAATTGAGGGAGTGGTGATCGATGTCTGGGAGGCATCCACCAACGGATTGTACGAGCAACAAGATCCAGAGCAGGCAGATTGCAACCTTCGAGGAAGATTCACCACAGACAAGGACGGAAAATACTCCCTCTACTGCCTAAGGCCAACCCCATACCCAATTCCTTACGACGGTAGGCTCTTCCTTGGCTCGTAATCAGCGCGCGTATGAACATTACTAACTTATCAAACGCAAAGGCCCGGCTGGAAAGATACTTCAACTCCTTGATAGACACCCAATGCGTCCAGCTCACATTCACTTGATTGTAAGTCAAATAACCACGCTACAAGTCCTAGAAAAGTGGCATTGGCTGACTTGGAATGCAGGCCCAACACAAGGACTATAAACCAATTACCACGCAGATCTTTGATAGCGAGGACAAATACCTTGCCAATGACTCCGTATTTGCTGTTAAGCACTCTCTTGTGGTTGAATTCAAGCCTCTGCAAGGAGATGACAAGGCAACCAGAGAAGTTCAGTACGACTTGAAACTCAAGAAACAAGGTTAAAAAGCAAAAATAACGAAAAAGAAAAAATAATGACAGATCTACCTTGATATTTTTGACTATCTTTCTCTTCTCTCCACTATCTTGTCATACTTCCAACGGGAAATGTTGTATATGAGTCTATGAACTGGGGTTGGTTGGTCTCCATCTGATGTACTGTACATAACTACATATCATCACCAACTACAGAACTATATTCATTCTTGGAATGTGAAAATAATCTTCCATGCCAAAATCTCAAGTCATATAGACAACCACTGAATACAAGTTCCGAGACCTTAAAATCTTTACCAAGCCAGGTTATATGGCTCTCATCCCAAGTCATGACGCTCATACGACAAAACTTCATAAAACGGACTTCGAAGGTAACGCGCACATTTAGCTTCAGACCGAAGTCAGGTAAATCTGACTCGGGAACCTTGGGTGCCCAAGGACAATTCAGCTTCAGACCACTAGGATTTCGCTCTCCATCGCACCAAGCGGGCAGCCGACTTAGGACAACCCTGGTCACCCGTTCAGTTGAGCTCGTCCGCTGCCCCAGTTTGCCCGTTACCCGGACTCCGCGTGGCCAAGTTCTCCATCATAGCTTTGGCGCATCCGACCGGATCGGAAAGTCGTTTAATTGGGCCAGCCATGAAACCAGGGGACCGCGGCTCGAAGAGCTCTAGGCACTGGACGACTTGTGGGCTCGGTGGGGGTGGGCAACTTTGAATGGAGAACCCCAGACGCATGGCGGAGGATGGGCAACAAACTCTCGCATTCTAGTTGACTCCGTAGACCCTATCCACAAGAGGAGACGCGCCCCTTCTGCCTTACAGGGAGCGCGTTCTTCGCGCGTCGATAGCGTTCTAAAAATTGGTCAACTCTGCTATGTAGCATGAAGAATTGCGAGCTTGAGCCGATCCGCATTACAAAACGTTTCATTTCTCTCAGCCGTTTGAATATGAACTCGTACTTCATATGAGGGGTGTCAGGCTAGGCGATTGGCTCTGGCTTTGTCCACGCTAGACCGGCTCTCGTGCCTTGGCTGGCCACTAGATGACATTCCTAGCAACCACCAGGGCACTTTCTGGCATTCGTGGGACCGAGCTTAGAGAGGTTGACAATTAGTGTTCGAACTTTTTCGAGATCCGGGGTTAAAGCTACCAAAGCAGGAGTTGTGGATATCCAGCGGGGAAAATTCACATATATACAAATGAGACCCCATCACTCCCCTGGAGAAGAGGGCCCGGATGGAGAACAAGCGCTCGAAACGACGCGCCAGCAATTGATACTCCCTGTCTGCATCAAAAGCGCTGCACTAGTTGGAGGTAGGAACGTGTTGATTTTTAACAATGTCGGAGAACATTTCGAAGGCGAGCATCACCTCAGGTGTTGAGGAGGATAAAGTTGAAACATATGGAGACGACCCAGCCCTTGAAGCAAAACTTCGGAGGAAATTCGATCTGATGATCCTACCTATTGTTACTGGAATATTCCTACTCGCTTTTATTGATAGGTGTGAAATATCCAAGTCCCTCTAAAAGCAGGTTGAGATACTGATCTAGCAATACAGGGCGAATGCCGGCAATGCACGAATCCTTGGTATGGCTAAGGACTTGGATCTTAGCGGATACCGGTTTAATATTGCAATGACCGGCTTCTACTGTAGCTACATCGTTCTTGAGATGTAAGCTCGAATCCTAGAAACCCATCTGGATTGACTCTAAGCAATGGGAAGACCAGCAAATATGATGTGCAAATGGTTGGGGCCCAAGATTTGGCTCTCCTTTCTTAGCTTTGGGTTCGGTATAGTTACGATGTGCACGGCGTTCATCACATCGTATGAAGGCCTTGTCGTCGGGAGAGTATTCCTTGGGGCACTTGAGTCTGGGATCATGCCTGGAATCAGCTTCACCCTCTCTCAATTGTAAGTTTTCTTTCTTCTTTCTTTCTTTCTTTCTTTCTTTCTTTCTTTCTTTTTTTTTCCCAAATTCCTTAACTGTGGGTGCTAATGTTATGCAAAGTTATCGCCGACATGAGCTTGCAACCAGGATAGGATTTTACTCCAGCGTTGCGCCTCTCAGGTAAGCACCTCCATATATGACCCCGGAAACGCATCGCGTGCTGACGTTCGCAGCGGTGCATTCGGCGGGCTCCTGGCCACTGGCCTTAATAAAGTCCCTAAATGGGGAATGGTCCATGGTTGGAGGAATATTTTCTTCTTCGAGGGCCTGCTCTCCATCATTCTCAGCGTGATATCATACACCATGTTACCGAAATCGCCGGCTACAGCATCAAGTCTTACACCGGAAGAGCGATCTTACGCCGCATGGCGCATCGCCGAAGAGAGCAGATCTCATGTTCCGCAAAAGACTTCATCGAAACACTTTAAAATGGCTGTGTTCAACATCAATGTCAATATAATGGCATTTGCTTGTACCTGCACATTCCTTACCATGACTTCACTGTCCATTTTCCTTCCATCCATTCTGAACAGCATGGGATACAGCCCTGTCCAGTCACAGCTGATGTCTGTGCCCCCATTCGCGTGGTCTGCCGCTATCTGCCTCGCCATCGCGTATATCTCTGATCGAACCAAGTCTCGTGGTCTCTGGCTTCTGACAATCATGCCCTTCACCGCCGCTGGCTTCCTGGTACTGATCCTGGCGACCAAGCCGGCCATCCTCTACTTTGCTACCTTCCTTACGCTCACTGGATCATTCACTTGTGCACCAATGCTTGTGGCTTGGGCTGTCGATAACACTGCTGGCTCCAACGTCCGTGCTGTGAGTTCCGCTTATGTGGTCAGCATTGCAAATCTCGGAGGAATCGTGGCCACATGGACATATCTGCTTCCGGATGCACCCAGGTATATTTCTGGCCATGCAATCAACTTCGGGGCAGCAGTGGTGTGCTGTGTTCTGATGACTATTGCAACAATATATCTCAGATGGCAGAACAAGCTGAAGGCAAGGGGTCACTACGACTATTTGTTAGAAGGGCTCAATGAGGAAGAGCAGGCTGCGTTGGGACATAACCATCCCAGCTACAAGTACACGCCGTAACGCCGAGCTGGAGAAAATAAGCTAAGGGATGATTGTGTTATTATGTGTGTGTACAGATCAGTTTAGAAGAAACATCATTCCTCTATTGGACTTCATAATTATTGATATAACAATAGACTAGAATAGAATGCTAACTAGTCTTTGTCTGCGCGCAGTGGGGACGTCTACAGTCAAAGCGGAGCTGTCCTACATAGCATCTTCTTTCCCCACGGGGTAACAACAGAGAGGCTTCGATCTTCCAAATGCGCTGAGAATTGCTCATGCCCCGCCACTTCCACCTCAGCCACGCGAGTCGGGTAAACGACTGCAATAGATTCACCCTGATTGGTTCGGAGATTATTTCGGGCCTTTCCGAATGCCAGGCTGGGTTCACCTTCCGATTGGTTCGGTCTGGGGAGCGTTCCGCGAGCCCGGGACGCCATTGCCGAGAAGCAACAATTTCGTCACCCGACAGCTCCGTGCCAGTTTCTATCCCCGGGTAAACGTAGTGTTACTTCGGGAGTTCGGGGGAAGGTTGGAATAACTCATCGATGGAGTTGCCGGCTTTCCATGAATTTCCCGCTTGCCTGCGGAGTTCCCCAGAAACCATCGCATAAGCCGCCCTTCAGCGCCCAGTATCGCGTTAGATGCATCCATCAATCTAGTAGCGCAAGACATTCCATAGAACAAGTTTTATCAGAATGCCTTTCAAAACAATAAACTCCAAGTCCCTCTACTACACCCTTACCCCCCCGTCCTCTACCTCCACCAGCAGCTCCAACCCACTCACCCTTCTCTTCATCCATGGTCTTGGATCTTCGTCTTCCTTCTACTTCCCTATCATCCCATACCTCTCATCCCTAGGCCATCGCTGCATCACTCTTGACACCCATGGCAGTGGAGCATCGATCTACAACGCCGAGGCCGGCAATAGCATTTCCAGCATAGCATCTGATGCAACCAGCCTTTTGGATGCATTACAAATTGAGAAGGATGTGGTGGTGCTTGGTCACAGCATGGGCGGCATCGTTGCATCCCAGCTCGCCGCTTCCGACGTGAACGGGAGAGTCAAAGCCGTCGTCTTGATCGGGCCAGTGAATCCGAATCCTGCTGCCGCAGAAGTATTTGGAAAGAGAATAAAGATCGTTGAAGAGCGTAAGTTCAAGCTCAACGCATATACTTGAACAGTTCAAAAAGATAAACAAACAGCCAAAACAAACTGTAGAGCACGCTAATTTTGTTATCTTTCCAGAGGGCATGGAAGCTATGGCTACTACAATCCCACAAGCTGCAACGGGGACGCGCTGCAGCGCACTGGTTCGTGCTTTCATTCGACAATTACTCATCGGCACGAATCCCGATGGATACAATTCCCTGTGTCGTACCATTGCAGAGGCACCAGTCCCAGATTACGCAAGTATCAAAATTCCCGTCCTGCTTTTGGCTGGCGAAGAGGACAAATCCGCTCCGCTCTCCGGATGCGAGAAGATTTTGGAAGGATATAAGAGTGAGATAAAGACTTTGAATGTGCTGAGTGGTGTTGGCCATTGGCATGTACTGGAAGCTCCGGAAGAAGTCCAGAAGGTGGTTGGCGCATTTTTGAGCGAGTTATCATAGATTGCAGTTTTAAAGAGGGCTATCAAGCCGGTGACAGGAAGCCACAAAAAATTAGGTAAATAGGATAATATAACCTATATCACATTTAAGATCGTAATCTTTCATGGCGACGTTCATTTTCTCCCTGCATTCTATAAAGAGCCGTTAGACTTCGTGACAACATCCTATCATGACCAGTACTTACCAAGAAAACCTGATAAAATCCAAGTTTTCTATCACTCCCCTCGCCTTCAAATACTGCTTTCGCGACCCAATCGGTCTCTTTCTGGCTTCCATCTTTCATGCCATATTTCACATTTCCTGCAAGCATGACCGTATTTGGACTCTCTGGAGATGTGAAGCATGTGTAGGTATGGTGTCGCGAGCATACTGCTGACCACATTCCTTGGCGAACGGTCAGAATATCTGTGAATTGGTCAGTAACCAGGTTGAACAATCACACATCCGTAGCGGTAGAGGCGCAATGCTAAGCTCATCAGGGATAGAGAAGGATGGATGAAAGTTGAACCATGTACGGTAATTACGTCATAAAAAGGGTGCTCTTACCCGCACGTCCAACGGCGACTTTGTCGCCCATGATCAATTTCGCATCTTCGGCGAAAAATGTAGGATACTTCTCATGTGCGGTACCGTCGTCCGAGGTCGCGAAAAAGGCTTTGAAGAAGTCACTAATGTCGGTCATGATGTCTATTGTTGTTTCTTGAAGTTTCGGACGGTGCTAGAAATGCAGAGCAGTCGCAAATAACAACAGACTGGAGGCGTGGTGTGAACTGCCTTTGATATTCGGTCGCGCCAAGAACCGACCATGTCGGTCCGAACATGTGGGCCTACACACCCGAGGATGGTTATCCATTGGTGGGAAATGATAGTCCGGCTCCCAGCCGGCAAGTCCACCGGTGGCTCGTGCCGCAAAATGGAAATGCCGAATGCCAGTCATTCCAGGGACACCCCTACCAGCCGGGATAATGTTGAGGGTTCTGGTGGCAGTGACATAACCTGACTCAAAATAAAGTGGCATGATTCGCACCCAAGCCCATTATCCGATCTTATGATTCATTGGGTGTTTAGTTGGTACGCCGTCTCGCTCTGGCTGACCAGGCTCAGGAAATTATCAAAGTCCAACGAGTAATCCGGGGGAGAGATTTCCGCGATAGTCAGATTGGGACTCATATGAATTGGTTCACGATTACCATTTCCAGCTTGTGTCTCAGTAGTCGCTGGGGTAGCCTGCAAAGGCTGGTCATCCCTTGACGGGCGTCGATTTACGGCGTCCATGGGTTGCATCGGGCTGGCGTGGGAGCTGGTGTGCGAACCGGCGGCATCAGTCCCCTGCAATCGAGGCTTATCGCCAAAAAAGTTGGCAAACAACGCCTGGTTTGTATTTCTCGACGATGAAGGCGCTATTCGAGAGCCCGAGTCGCCGCTAATGGTCTCATGGAACGAGGTCAGGATTTGAAGGTACCGTTGCGCCAATGGATCAGTTTCCGCAAGATAGCGATGCAAGTCCAGGGATGTCTGCATAGCGCGATTGCTATCAGTGTCCCCGTAAACATTACAGAATGCGTTGGAGAAAACTATCAAGCTCGCAGAGAAGAGCCAGTAACTGTTGCGTTGATCAGTTCAATTGCTTGCAACTAGTTTATGGCGAGAGTACTCACATGACGAAAGGATCTCGACGAGGAAGCGCCCGCTTGAGAATGGCGGACTGGACGATATCAATGCTATATAGCGAAGCTCGCACACAGGCCGCCGAGAATGAATCCGTCTGCGCGGATGGGCTTCCGGGTCCTGATTTTGTGGCCTCAGGTGACCTCATATTCTCCCCATTACCCCTTGGGAGCCTAGCTTGGTTTAAGATCTTTTGTAAAAGGAACGGTCTTGTAAGCAAAATTACCCCATGGAAATAATACAAGTTAACATGTAGCTGGGCTAGAGTTGCTCGCGGGTCTTCATTTGGGAGGGAAATATTTCGCCAATGGAGAGAAGTTGGCAAGACGTCTTTCCATTCTTGAAACTGTTTGGAAGATTTCTGGACAAACTTCACCGATATTTTCCGTTCGGCGTACACAGAGCTGAGGATTTCTCCAAGTAAGCGAGCTGCGCGCACAGACGCCCTCAGTGCAGCGGTTTCGAGGACCTCCAATTCTGACATATGTTGGTCATCGTCCGCATCATCAGTGAACAAATCTGCTGCGTCACGACTACTAATACCATTCGGTCTTCCCAGAGATGCCGACAGGTAACAGTCCAAAATGTACATGCTTCTCCAAATGTTTTTCCTAGTAGAAAAGAGGCAATTATTAACGACTTAAATTCATTAACTCTCAAGGAACCACTGGTCAAAACTAACCGCAAGCGTTGGTCTGCGGGTGTAAATGCGGTAGCAGTAGTTTTTCTATGTAATCCAAGTGCATAAGCGGATCGAACCGCCATACCTTAAATGTAGTTAGACAAACGAGCCAATGATAATGAGGAACGGGGTTATATGCAAAGGTATCTAGACATACCGAAATAAGCCCATGCTGCATTTCGCTTCGCAATAGTAAGCATAAATAGAGTGATAAGCAAAAGTGCTTGGATAGAAGTGATGTCTCCATCTTCAAATCCCGAAACAGGGTCATTGAGGTGGGCGGCATTTAGGTAAAATATTTTCGCTCGCTCCGTGAGGTCAGACCCGAGTCTTTTTAGGATCTGGCTCTCGCGAAAATTATGCGCTACCGAGCTCTGGGACATTTGCAATCCGACTGCGAACACCAAGTTTAAAAGGCAAAGCCGGGACTGCTCCACGGACAAAGGATTTGAATATATCGTAGCAACCTCATTTATGAAAGCGTCTCTATCGAGGACTTGTATAACCCCTACCGTCTAAGGGCTTGTTAGGAAATGCGTCATCAAATGTCACAGAAGCAGTAGAGCCAATCTCACGTTGGAGAAGAATGAATCAAGAAGAAATTCGGCCGCTTCTCTATCGGGAAGGACATGCGTCGGTTTCAACCCTGTGGATATCGGGAGCTCAAGGAGGCTATGCTTGTGAGGATCACTGGTGAAATCCGACACTCCGACTGTCTTCTCAACAAGCCTTCGGATCGTGTCAAGATACGATAGAGACGCCGAGTCACCAAGGTAGACTACAACAGACTTCGTTTTAGCAAAGCTTCATAATCAACAACCTGGCAGTCGTCAAGCTATACCCGGAAAATAAAGGCATTTTCGGGGCGCTCAGCGCGATTGACAGAACGTACGCAGTCTTCCTCTTCCATCCTGGAGCATCCGAGATGCTTCGCTCAGGTGTTCCTCCTCATTAGGGTCTTGAAGCGGCGCACTATAGAAAAGGCTGCTGTTTGCCTGGATAGGCGCACCTTGGGCCTCCCCATATGGTCTTGGTGTGATTGCGGGATAGCCGGAAAGAGTTCGGGAGGCGTAATGGTTTGCGGCAGCGGTTCCCACGCCTGAGGCACCCAGTGAAAAAGGCGGTAGCGGTCGTTGTTCATTCAGCGTGTGCCGTCGAGGCTCAGACGACACGCTCGCGTACAGACATGGTAATGACTTTGCGGAACACGTCGCGCACGGTTGGAGCCCATTGCACTATCCCCAAGAGTACCAGATCAGCAAAGAGTATACGGAGCGGCCGAGTCGCGAAAAGTTGGGACGAAAGCGGTGATTATGTACCTTGAGCTTCTTCCGCCGACATGACAAGCATGCGACCCTAGTTCTATGCCTGGAGGTCGATAGCATTTTCAGAGGACGTCGACAATCACGGATTCATCGCAGTCAGGGCTCTCGTTTGCTGGAAGGGCGCAGGAATGGCGTCGAGGAAGAACACACAGGATTGCAGATCCGCGTTGTTCCATTGGCTGCGACGCACAGGTTCCCCCACAGGGCAAAACACGCCAGTTAGCGCTAGTGGCACTGGCGTTTACCGGGGACGCACTCAGACCGAAACATCAAACACACACAAAGGCGGGCCCCTAACACAGTGCCACGGGAGTGTTGGCAGTCACGGCAAGATTCACATTTTGCTTTACAGGAAATAACACTCCAGGTCGCTAGAAATGCAAGTGTATATTAACCATCTATGGGAGTACTTTCGGGTCTATCTCAGATGCGAGCAAGAAGAAGTGACATATCACGTTTGAAATGTTCCAGTATCATGTTCAATATCTCCAGCATCAGCTATCGCTCAGTTTGACATCCTCATTCTTATGAAACTCCCACGCGGGCGCGTACGTGCCGTTGGGTGCACTGGCCCTTTGGAAACTGACCTCAACGCCCTCAATCTTCGCCACGGGAGTAATGACTGACACGTCGGCGTTAAAGCCATGCGAGCGCCAGGTCTCGCGATGCTGCGTAAACAGGTGTGGATGCTGCTTTTGCATAGTCTTCATAACTGTGCCAGAGATTTGGTCGACGCTGTGTTGGTGGCGCAGGGCAAAGAAACTCTCCTCTTGCCGGGATCGCAACTCGTCCTGGATTTTCTCGTCGTATTGGCCAACGCTGAATAGGAGCAGATCATATTGCATCAGCGAGGCACGGCCATGCCATGAGCCTCCTTTTGTCGCACGATGGTAAAGCCCAGTCAATGCAGCAATCGCCCCCATGGCTCCGGTACCATAATCGGAGATGGGAAACGGCGGAACAACGGGCTCATTCAATCCCATAAATTTACCCTGTGCCCAAGCTACACCACTTACCTACAGGGTCGTTAGTGAACACAGCCTAGAAACCTCTGGATGTCTCTGGGGCACTTACGCAATCCGCAATCTGCTGCCATCCCGGTCTATAAGCCCATTCTCCCTCGTATCCAAAACAGTTCTCGTTCACGTATACGTAACCCTTCCCTCGCTTGACAGCGAGTCGTGAAAGAGCTTCTGGCCCATAGCCCAACTTCTCAAACGTCCCGGGTCGGTAACCATCCAGAATAATATCCGCGTCAGCCAGCAACTCTTCAAACTTTGCCCGCCCTTCCTCGCTCTTGAGGTCAATGTCTGTGGTGCGCTTTCCCATGTTTACGTCAATTTGGAAAAATGGGACATCCGGAAGATTGGGACCCGTGACTTTCAGTACTTCAGCTCCGTATTCTGCAAGAATTCTTCCCATGACCGGGCCAGCAATGACACGGCAGAGTTCTATGACCTTGATACCCTGTAAAACACGAGGTTTCGTGCCAGCAGGGTCTGTGGGAAGAGGAACCGGTGGAGTAGTACTCTCTAAATTTTTCAACGACCACGGTGGCCGGCCAACATTGGCTTTGCCCTTTTGAAAAATATGTCAGTCGCTCTATCGAAGAAAGGGTTGCGGTTTATCGGAACCTACATGTGGTGTTGCGATGAAGTCCTCGTGTTTTAATGCAATAACTCCGGCCTGTCCGAGTTCCTTGTTCTTTTGTTCCAGCTCCTCGATGGTAAACTGCTGCACATGAGACTCGATTTCTTGTGCTATATCGTCTATTGTCTTCAAATCCGGTCTATATGGCGGCAATCCGATCATTCCCAGCGTCTTCGTCGCTTCCAACGAGCCGTGGATGTGATAGTATGCGCCGGGAGTTTTCGTCGCATAAAGGTTCGCCGACATCCGGCGGTACGGGTTAGACTGCGCCTCAAGCAAGTCGGTGTCTATTCGCGCATAACGTTGTTAGCTGGAAACAAGTGGGAAGCAGCTTAGCTTACATGCCCTTTAGCTTTGCCCTCACCCCCTCATCGTACTTTCCGAGGCCATCGATGGTGGAAACATATGCTTGGAAGAGGAAGCACGTCGCGTGCTCCAAGTTGATATCGATTTTGCGAGCACGGGTTCCATACTTCAAGTTCGCCAATGAGGCGGCGACGAGAGCTTCAATTCCCTTGAGTGCGGATGAAGTTTCGGTTTCTTTGAGCGGAATGGGGAAGTAGACAGTGTCCTTCTCTGAGGTAAACACTACATCTTTAGCGATTGCTTCAGTGTCTGATGGTAAGCAGAGTTCATCTTTCAACCCGCAGAGCAAGTCGAAGACGCGCTGCGTCTCATGCAGCGGCGAATAATCTAACAACGGCATCTTAATCAACCAAGCACTCTATGTGGTTAGGTAGGTTTGGTTCGAAGATTGATAGGATTCAGGAACTCTGAACGTTCTCCAAGTCGGAGACTTATCAGATCTACCAAAAGGAAGAAGTCCAAAGACGCCATCAGCGTGAAACTAGCCGTTAGCATTGCAACCCGGCAAAGAGTTTCGTCACACCCCGAATGTCTTTCGTTATCGTACTTCGGCCCCAAATCTCCCGCTGGACTCGCCATGACGGTTGGTGCGCATCTTAATTAGTCCGCCCCGCTTGGCAATGCTGTGGTTCCGCTCTCCGATCCGAAACCTTGAGACAAAGGCGGAAGCTAATCCTATTACAGTTTAGCTCATCCGATGAGCAAAAGCCTCCGATTGGTCAGGATTTAACTCGATGGCCTCATCCTATTGGTTCGGCCTCTCCAGGCTCTTCTCGGCCAAATGCCGACAGCCGGCATCAGGAACAAAAGGAGACATCAACGGCAGCAGTCGAAAGACGTTTCTAAACTCGAGAAGCTGTATAATCAAGGTCGGAGTCACGATAGTCTTGGAAAGCCATCTGTGCGTGGATGTTGTCCATTTATGTGTGACGGCCGTTTGTGTAACTCCAGCAATGCAAAAGAAAATATGAAGACGTTTATTTTCAATCTACCTCATTAATAATGCTTTTACTCTAGTTATATAGTGTATGGAGTACTCCGTGCGCAACGGATTCAAGGATCTCGAGGCGGAACCAGGTGCCTCGGGTTGTGGACAAGTCGTTGAAATCTGATGACAAATCCTAAGTTTCAAAGTTTCCAAATGGCCGAGACCCAAGCAGTTACGCTGCGAGTTTACTCTTGGAATGGTGTTGGTTGGAGAGAAACCCATTGACATTTGTCAACATTTCTGATACCCCTAGGGACCTTAGAATATCGTTATCCAAGTTTGCAAAGTTGGGACAGTTTCAGACGCATAACTAAATCAACGGTTTGGCTCCCATTCTTAAGTCAAAACTTACGATTGCTCGTAGCATACTGCCCATATATTCCTTCTCAAAACATCCTCTTAAAACATCCAAGGCACCTTTCTTTTACTTGCACTATTTTGCCATGGCAGCTTTTCTGCTGGCAGAGAGCGCATCATGGCACGAGGGCGAAGAGAAGATGCACAAGTTGATGCGTGTGCCATACGAAGATAACCCCACGGTTCTCAACCTCAGACCTGGTGGTGGTTATTTTGTGCAAACGTCGCCCTTGATGGCAATAGGAACACTCGATAAAGAAGGCCGCCCATGGACGACTGTGTTAGGTGGTGATCCTGGCTTTGCCGGCGAGATTGCGCCGTCGATCATCGCCGCCAGAAATACCGTTGATTTCAAATATAATCCGGTCCTAGAAGCGTTGGTTGATGGTAAAAATGATGGGGAAATAGTCAAGTTCGAGGATTCTGGGAGGTTAATGGCCGCTTTGCCTATTGATCTCGAGAATAGGAGACGAGTGAAGCTGATGGGACGAATGATTGCGGCCTGTGTGAGTAAGGGTGATCCAGATCGAAAGAAATCCGAACATACTGGGATGGCTCAGCTTGTCTTCAAGGTCACCGCCAGTCTAGGTGCGTATCGTAGGCGTGGGATAGACTGTATCAGTTGCTGACACGGAAAAAGGCAATTGCCCCAAATATATAAACAAGAAACATATTGTTCCAGCTCAGCCAGAGCCTACATTGATATCTAACTCGCCCCAGCTGCCTCAGGGTGCAATCGATCTACTTAATCGGGCAGATACTCTATTTCTATCAACAACCCATCGTCAAGAATCTATGGACACTAACATCAGGGGTGGGCCCCGCGGTTTTGTCCGAATTTTGTCAAACGAACCAAGTGGAGCTGTCCTTGTATACCCAGAGTACTCGGGAAATCGACTATATCAGTCTCTCGGGAACCTTCAGACTACACCGTGTGCCGGCTATGTCTTCCCGGATTTCGAAACTGGAAACGTACTTTATGCGACTGGAGACACGGAAATTTTCGTTGGCAAAGATGCCGCTACCCTCTTGCCTCGATCAAATCTCGTCGTTAAAATCAAATTAACAGCCGCAAGATACGTTAAAAATGGGCTCCCATTTCGTGGAATATCCGGAGATCCTTCTCCCTACAACCCATCCTTGCGATATCTTCCCATCGAGAGAGTCACGCCTGGTACACAAATACCAGAAGAAAAAGAAGTCCCAGCAAGGTTAATAAAAAAGGAAGTGATCACACCAACCATCTACCGGTTCCGCTTCCAAATAATGAATCCTTCAATTGTAGGGAAGTGGGATCCAGGGCAGTATGCTACTCTTTCTTTTAAGGATGAACTGGATATGGGGTACAGCCATATGCAGGACGATGACCCAACGAGCATCAATGATGATTATATCCGCACTTTTACAGTCTCGTCACACCCAGGCCGTAATCTATCGCAAGACGAGTTTGAAATCACAGTGCGGAAGAAGGGTAGAGTCACAAACCACCTATTCAGAGCTAACGAGCGAAGTGGAATGGAAGTTTCACTGCGCGGTTTTGATGGAAGTTTTCGGTTTGAAAGCTCTGGCGCTGCGAATAGAATCCTCCCTTGCATTGCAGGCGGAATAGGCATCACACCGATAATTGCACTGCTACATACCATCGATATTTCTCGAATCCATCTGTACTGGTCGGTAGCTGTACAGGACATTGGTATTGTACACGACACTTTTGAGCAATTCCCCGAGCTCCCAAACTCCACGGTTCTCTTCCTCACGGGCTTACAGGGAGTGGAAGCCATGCTTGGGGAAGCGGATAAAGGCATGCTAGAATCAGTGGCCAAGTCTAACGCCCGGATAGAGCATCGACGGCTGGATGTTAAAGACTTGGTTCTCGATGGAACAGAGGAGTGGTATCTTTGTGGCAGCGCTAGCCTAAGAAAGAGTGTGACGGATTGGCTTCGTGGAAAGAGGGTTATATGTGAGGATTTTGATTATTGATACGTTGATATTCTTTAAGTCCGAGAAATGACATGCTCACGACAGAGTAATCACCCTTGAGTTCAAGGAGATTGGCTTTAGCATTGGAGCCATCGGATAATTAAGCAGTAAAGTACCTTGTATATCTGGAGACGTCATTAATCACAACCATCAAGGCCGGAGTGGACGCGCCAGTCTTTCTGCCTCACCACAGCTCTCCGCTCTCCGAATTGAGATATTTACCTAGCTATATCTCCACGGCTCATTCCATCTTTTTATAATTTTGTTTTTCTCCGCCTTAGTATCTTGCATTCGGTTCAGATTCCCCGCTAATACCGGTTCGAGAAATTTTAACACCTCCTTCACCATGACTTCATATGAAGGTAGTGTTGCCTCCACTCCGTAACGGTCTTATGCGCTGCTTCTACGGAGTAGAGTGGCATCCATATTGTCTAAGCATCTGGAGAGCTAACAGGTCTTTTAATTATCTGCTCCGTAAAGTCGAACATTCGACCACTCCCGACACCAATACTCGATCCACTAGTGAATCGCGACCCAACCCACGACACCGCCGCCCCGACCTGTCGACTTTTTTTGCAACACTCAACGAAATAAGCCATGACCCATCTGAACCGCGAACACGGCCCTATGCTGTGCCTGTACCGGGCGACGTGAGCGCTGCGTTTCGTTCCCTTGCGGAGGCGCTCGATGTGATTCGGCGGGAGACAGAAAGCGGAGGCGATGCGCCGCTCCCTGTGTATGACGGGCGGGAGCCAGAGGGACTGGCAGAAGGCGCTGACGGAGGCTTAATTGGCCAGATGATAAGGACGTTGCTGCAAGATGCGGAAGCCCCTCCACGGGAAGTGGAAGGCGTTAGTGAGGTGTTTGTTGATGGTATAATACCCGGAATCTACACTTCTACAAGGACTTTATGATTAACATGAACCCGCAGCTCTGGATCGTGTTCCAGCTTCTTCGCTAAAGCCTTCTCAATCGTGTCCTATCTGCAACAACTCTTTTCTAGATGATCCGTACCCGCTTGTCGTCCGTTTGCCTTGTCATACATCGCATCTTTTCGATCTCGAATGTGTGAGACCTTGGCTCCGCTTGCGAGGCACATGTCCCCTGGATAGAGTTGATTTTGGGCAGAAAGAACGGGACAAGGAGCGAGAGAGAATAGAGAGGATGATGAAGAGAGGAACAGCCACTGAGAACGATCAAGATGAAGATTGGGATGGCATGTACGGGTAATACAGCCCGTTGTGTGAATCTGAAATAGTCCGCAAACCCTTAACATTTACAGCAATGCCTTGGGGGAGATTGTTGTTGATTCATATATTGGTACCATACCATCTATATCTCACCAGATCCTTACTTGCATACCCTTCCACGGTTTGTTCGCTCTTTTCAACTTATTCCCTACCATTTCATAGCATATACTCATGGTAAGATCCCATTGATATATACCCATATTATCACCTATTCCCGAATTATTCCTTTCCTTTGGTCAAAACTCTTATTTATTTCACAAATCTTTTCGAGTTCCATGACGTTGGACTTACCACATAAGAATATTGATGCTACGGCTGGTGCTTTCATAGTCAACCTCTAGAAGGGAGATTTGGCAAAAGGAAGAGAACCGCAGAAAGGGCAAGGGCCGTGAGGACCAGATTTCTGATGGAGATCTAGCCGCGAGAGCGTATCTCGGAGAATTGCAACGGACTCAACTCATCTTTGCAAATACACGAGTGACTCGAAGCATTGCAAAGTAGAGCCTGACGACAACCATTCTGCAAAAACACGGACGGAAAGAAGCCAGTGCAAGTCTAAGCAGTGAAATCGTGCGCCTTCTGGATGTTGTCGAGACGAGAACCGATGGGCTTCACAAAGCCATGAAGGAGAAATCGGTAATACCTTAAACAGAGACTTAAGCAAGCGGCATGATTGCATCTCGCATAACCAGAGTTTAACTCATAAACCTGGGGCTTGTAATAGCCTCCACGATTATATTTTGAGATGTATGTACCCGGGCACTCTTTGCCACATGGAGGCTTGTCTTTCCTCGGTATGGAGCAGACTCTCACCTGTATCTCCTCGTGCAAAGGTTGAACTGGCACATTGTTTCAGCTGCGGTCATGGAAATATTAAAAAAGAAAGGCCCAATTTCGAAGTCAACATAAGGGACTAGAGTCAAGAATATGGGCGCCTGAGTGAAACTAGGATGTATAGGCAATGATCCTTTTCTTACCAGAAGAGTCAGTGGTTAGTCTCGATTAGTTTAGATGTCTTTATTCCTATCCATAATAAAGCAGTTTAGCAGGCAGTGATACAAACTTAAAATCCAGTAAAGTCTTAGTGTTTGGCCTCCCTAGGAACCACGTAGCTGCACATGATAGTGGGTCTTGTTCATATTCAGATGCATGCTCTAACCACGAATATCAAAGGTCAAAAGACAAAAGATATCAGTATATCAAATACATTCAAAATCGACTCACACAGGGGGAAAAATTCCTGCCTATTATTGTCTTCTGTCGATCCCCGACGGGCCCGCAACAACAGCATTTGCGTCTTTCTTCCGGATAGACAGCTTCCCAACTTCATCGAGAACAGCCTCATAGCCACTCCTTTCCAGCAGTCCACCCTCATCCTTCATCACCTCCCGCGCCTCCAACTCCTCAACCACTCTTTGATTCTCTCTATTGCCCTCGAGCAGAAACTTCAGACACATGACGGCGTGCTCTTTAATGTAAGGATTATGCGCATCAAAACTGGTGCACGATAAAATTGTTTCGACCCCACCATACTTGCGAATCTGGTTTTGAACTTCCGGGCACTTCCAAACAAGCGAAGAAAGCACGAGAATGACAAGCTTCTTGAGGTTGCGCCATTCAAATTCAGAAGGATCTTCGTTACCCATTGGAGGAGATGGTGCTCTTGATTCAGCGCTGACGGTAGCTGCATCCGTTGGCTCGGGATCATTGGGCTCATATGGGCGTTCTACGGCGACCGGAGCGGTATTTCCGGGCTGTGCTGATTCCTTGGGTGTTTGGGGAGCTCTTGACGCAGCAGCAGTGAGGGAGCTAAGGCTTCCCTTCGGAATACTCGCCTCCAACTCCTTGATTAATGTGACCAAGTCATATACAATCTCCCATTGTACCAGAAGATTCTTCCATTCAGTGTTCTCGGTAAGAACGGCGAAGAATTCCAAGAACTGGTATACACCTTCGTACACACGTTCCATGTCCCACAAATTTAACGGGAAGTCTTCTGGAAGAGCATGGCCGGCGCGAATCTGACCTTGAAGGTAGATGAGGGCACATGTTTCCGGAATGATATTTCCACGAAAGATGGTAAAGATATAGCGGACGGTCAACACGTCAACCTTGGTAACGGGGACAGAACTCCGACCTGTTGGTGTTTCTGTGGCGGAAGTAATATTGGGAGGAGAGTATTTGGCCCTGAAAATATGCGTAAGGATCTTGATAACCACAGCTTGTGCCGGTGAGATGATGTCTTTAGCTTGGCCAAAGTCGGAATAAGCGTGAGACATTAACCCATTTTTGAGAACGGCTTCCATGATTTGCACCATCATCTTAAAGTAAAGCTCATCGTCTGGAAGGTCCCATGCCGCAATGAATATGAGAAGTTCCCTTAGGAGATTTCGACCCGTATCCTGTGCCAGCAGAATATGGCATCTAACAGCTTGCATGTTCTTGGTACCAGGCTTCTGAGGCCCCTTTGGGCCGAAACTATCCACGATACCGGCCTGGATAATCATAGGCAAGGCTTCAATTTCCGAGGGGCCAAGAACAAGTGGAATGTCAGTTAACAAACCGCGCTGCTGGTCGCCCGGTCGGCCTCGGTAATCATCGTCGTCATCTTCCTCGTCTTCATCCTCCTCGCCACTCGCGTCCGCCAATCCGTCAGTACCACGCGAATCGTCATCACCTCGCATACCACGTCTCTCTGAAGAATCATACTGGCTATCCCCTTCAACCATATCAGGAGAGGTTTCTTGCAAACGAGCCATCAGTTCGTCCTTAGCCTCCTGCAAAGTCTCGGCAGCCGACTGAGCCGAGCGAGTCATCATTCTGTCTTCAGCAGTGACAGGCGCATCGACTGCTGCGATTGCACCGTATTCATCTAAATCTGGCAAATCTGTCCAACAAGTACGTGGGTATCCGGTGGTGGCAGTTCGATCGATGCTCAGAATGGGCTTTTTGCGCGCTTCTTCCTCCTCTCTGCTGGGTCCACCTTGGCGCTCGTTCAGGTCTGCCCAACCGTCCACTTTGGCACCCAGAATCGCAGTAAGCGCGGCACGGATTTCTTTAACTCGTTCTGGGTCCTTACCCATTTGCTGAATCTCCTTCAAATTTCTCCCAAGTAGCTTCTCCATATGATCCTTGATATTTGCCAGCAACAGCATGGCAGCTTCTTCCTTAATGGTAGCTGGCTCTCGAGGGAATGTGGATATTGTTTCCAACAAGAGGTCCTCAGCAGTTTGGTCGTAAAGTGTCCTTAACGGCGGATTGACCAATCTCTCACCAGCTCTGACAATAGGAGCTACACCTTGTGCGGTAGCATGAGATTGATCTAGTGGCTCCATGTGTGTGATTATACTGGACTCCCCATTTTGGTGATAGCCAAACAAATCTAGCCATAAAACTAGTTTTCGGTGCTCATTATGCATAATGAAGTTGTGAAGAAACTGCAAGCAAGTTATCAATAATCTCTTATAGAGACTAACAACCTTCTGCCATCGTTCTTCATTTCTTGGGTTGCTCTCCCCATCATATCCTCTTGCTGTGACTCTCACACAAGTATCAATCAGCATTAAGATGCGTTGGTCGAAGCCCTTTTCGGCAGCCAAGTTCTGGGCTCTTTTCGTTGTGGCAAGCAAGTTTCGCGCGATCGTGCACAGGTCATTGAGACGTTCGATATCTTTAACCAGAGAGAAGTAATTATAAGCGATTAAATTAGCGGAAGACCCATCATAATTCGCAGTCGCAGGATTTTTCCAAGCAAAAGATTGCGACTCGAGGACAGGGATAGCTTTTGTTAATACATCCGTGAGCCCCTGCCATATCGCAGGAGAGAAACCGAGGTTTTGTCTATTGACGGAGCAGTCAGCAACGCATACAATCGAATCAAACCGGATCGGTTGAGAGAGTGATTAATCGCGGCAAATATATATATCACACCTAACATCGCTCTCTTGGTGACTCTTGTAGAGAATCTGCTTTCCCGCCAGTAACATATGCTCTAGTCTCTTATCATCAATCATCCCACGCGTCTCATAGTGGCTCAATGTCCCCGCCAGGACGACTTTCAAAAGAAGCTCTGGTGCAGTACATTTAGCCCTATCATGATTTGCTGACTGGTCTATTGCCCCTTGATTTGCTGTAGAAGCCATTATGGCTAGGTGAAGAGATAAAGATGAACAGTCCAGGTGTTAAAAGAAGCGATGGAGAGAATTGGATTGTTGGTGTTGCTCGAGTTGATTTTTGATAACTAGTTAGCGGAATGGACAATAGTTTCACCGACTGCACTCACGTCCACAACGTGGAGTAGATTTATTGAATGAGCTTTGTTATTATACAGAAAAGTTACACTACTCCATGATAGGTTCTAATGGCTTGGTCACAAGGAAATCGGATAAAAAATTTTTAAAAAAATAAAATAAAATAAAGCTTTGCGCCACGAGCAATAGATGTGATGATAGCCTATCGTACCAACAGGATTACTAGAGTGCTACTCCCTATTATGTACAAGATGCGTAATGCTTTGCTGAAGGATGGGTCACAATCCCCAAGGAATCAAACAGATTGACCCAGAGGCCGCGATCATAGATATTCACAACTTCCTTCATGCTTCGGACTCTATTCCATCTTGGATCATCCTTGGCATCGGGATTATCCGGCTGTATAATCGAGAAGCGGTCGCTTGTCAAAAGATGACCTTCCTTTGGGGGGTGTCCATCCGTAAAGACCAGTGTCTGGTCATTTTCCTTTGGCCAAGGAACTTCAGGTTCAACCATATCATCAAACAAATTTCCATAAATGCGACTATATTGTGCTTTAAAAGCAACACCGTCCGCGACATCATCGCGCCAGTCTGACCACTTAGCACTTTCGTTGGTAGTCATTCCCGCCCATATCAAGTACATATGGTAGCAAAACATTGCTACAGCTAAGGGGGTTGTCAATGCAGCTAAGAGAAACACTGAACCAACGCGGATATCATCCGCAATAGCCAGAGACCACATCTCGATATACATCGACCAGGGAATACCTTTACTCCAGTGATTTAGAGCTGACGATAGAGGCACATTTGGAGTTAGTGCCTTCCGCAAGCTATCGTCCAAGATCGTATAGCCCAAGAAGGAGCCATATCCAAGTAGAACTGACATTGAGAGCAGGAGCGCAAGAAAATAGGCATAGTTGTTTCTGCCAACGCAGTTACGTAGCCAGATACAATGATGATCATGCCGTGCGACACAAACATTGCAAAGTCCGCAATGCTTACTCCGGGCTGGTTTCAAGAAGTTGCATGTGCGGCATATGTTTCCCGGGTGAAAGATGGTTCGGTCATATGGATATAGACGCATATGCCAGGCATGGTTTTCAGGCGTGATTGACGATGTGGTATACACGCTTAAGTAAAGAAAGATGTAAGGTTGAACGACAACTATCGGCACGAAAAGACGGTGTACAGGACCGAGTCTATTCCATACGGCTGGGATAAATAATATCTCGGAGCAAACCAACAACGTTAGGAAGAAGATCTGATGTCAAGTCAATGTCAAGAAGGAATCAAGGAATGTCTTGCGAGCCGCATACTAAGACAAGCGGGTGGTTTTCGTGGAACAAGTACTGCCCAGTTTTGGTGGTGTAACGCGTGAACCGTCCTCCACAAACAATTGAGTCGAGCGATATGAATAACTTAGGGAGACGGACCCAAACAAGGCGATAGATATAACCGATCGGTGTCTTTCTGCTTGTACTCAGTTTGATAAAATCTTTAAAAGAACATGAGAAAGGCTCAACACCGGGAGTCGTACCTGAAGGCTGGGATTCTACCGAAGAGCACAAGGAATGTGAGAAGGGATATGCCTAAGATCACCAGTACAATCTCCCTAAGAAGGCCCATTTCCGGCAACAGGCAAAGGAGTGGAGGCAGCAAACACGATCAAGGCTTGCAAACTCGACGAGAATTCATCCTTCAGGCGACCTGAGGGCCGTCCGAGGATCAGTTTGAAGGACTTTGAATATCCGCATTCAACAGAGTGGCTGAGTCAGGCCGTGGTGGTTCGAGGTCAGATAAGATAGCGCACGTGATTTCCAGTCGCCACCTGGCGACTGGAAAAATGAGCTTTTCGGGCAACTGTCGGAAAACATTTATCCAATGTGACCTGTTGAACCACAGGTCACAAGCTTGAAACTGTAGATCAACCATATATTTACAATGCATGTATAAAGGGTCTGAAATGTATAGAATTTGGAATGTATGATGCACTAATTGAGGGTTTTGAATCTGATTTGGAAGCTTTTTAATTACTAGAAACTAACTAAGTATTACACAACCACCTGCATAATCTGAATTGTAATGAAGTTTTTTTTTTTTTTAAATTTTGGGAGCCTCCTCACTAGTTGAAGTCTCTGGTTTGAGGACAGGATGTAAGATCAGTGCAGAAGAATTATCAGGATGAGCCTATTCAGACTGTCTAATCATACTTTTGAGCAAATTGACTTCACTGTCTCCAGTTGGAGACAGGCCTGACACAGATATATTTGGCTGTGACTGAATGAAGGAAGAAGATGTAATTAGAGTAGGGAAGAGAGAGAAGAAGCAGATATAACAGAGAGCAGAGCAGCAGTAAATTAATCTATCTTAATTACTGATTTACAGATGATTTCTTCTGTCTTTTGCTTTTTCTGTCATCAAATATTAAAGTCAGTTTAATTCATTCTGACATTATATCAAGTATACTGACTGCAGAAGATAAATAATTAAACTTTAAGTTCTGGTGAATGTTGGTCAAGGTTCTTTCAATATTCTATATATATAACTACATTAATATAAGTTGAATGTATAATCTTCAATCAGTTCAATTTATCTTGACAGAGTGGAATGTATGCTTTATAAGCTTTTTTTGTTTAACTTAAATGAACACAAGCTTTTTCAATACTATTAAAGTAACAGCACCAACTTCAGTATTGAAGAGAGAGAGAGAAGGGAATTTATCAGTTCAGACTGACAGAGATGCTATTTTAACAAGTAATTTACTGAGACTAGCAGTCTATTCTGCCATACTGGCTTTTAATTCCTCTTGAAGTGTCACATTCTTAAGTCTGAGAAAATTATCATAATCAGACAGCAATACTGCCACTTTTTTCTGCAGTTCTGAAGAGACAGAAGCACAGACTTTTTTATCTTCTATATAATTAATGCAGATCTTTACAGTTTCTTGCTTGTAGAAACAAGACTTTTTAATGTGCACTGTATACACAAACATCAAACAGCAGCTACAGAATGTATTACTTATTATAGTAAACTCTTTTTTAACAGCTAAGAGCTTTCATCCTGGCTTCTTCTTTATGAATATTAGAGAGTGCTTGTCCTGAGCTGCTGCTAATTTATGTGTTTGTGGAGCTATTTTTTGCTATTTCTGCATATATTATTCTTTAATTTGCTGCAGTTCCTTATTTTATTCTGAAATTCACCACTTATCTTGATATTGAAATAGAGAGAGAGAGATAATGAGAAATATAATAAGCTCAAGAGAAGAAAAGAAAGAAAAGAAGAGAAGAAGAGAGAGATTTTATATAAAAAGAGATTATTATATCTAGTGTATCTGCTTGATTATTTTGGATTTTCTAATTAGAATGTGTCTATTTATACATTACTAAGTGCTAACTTATTTTACTTAGAGCTTCTACAGCTGATTACAGTAAATAATAAAGAGATATATATTAAATATAGTGAAATTCAGCTCTTGCAAGCATTGATATAACAGAGCATTGCATTGAAGTCTAGATATTAAACTCTGAAATCTATTTTGAAGCACAAACTAACAGCTAATTTTAATCTGAGAAGACATCTTTTTATGTATTCAACTAGAATCTGTGTCTCTTTTGAAACATGTAATCAGTTATGACTGGTGCAGATCTCTTTAAACAGACAGACTGATTTGTTGCAGTCTCAAAATAATTCTTTATAATATTCTGCAAAGAATTCTGATTCTTCTTGTCTGAATTGTCATTCTCTGGCTTCTGTAGAGCTTATACTGCCTGAGCTGGATGTAAATTAGGTTTTCTGGACAGTATACTAGATGTCAACTGAACTGCATCTAGAATTTCTGATAAAGTCTTAACATGAACAGTTTTTAACTTTCTTGATTAGATCTTCTGTCAGGTGAAGTTATCTGAATTAACATCTCTCAGTTCTGGTTTCTGTGTCAAGCAGTTCCAGAGCTTGAGTACAGAATTTCAGATGTAGATTAATGGGGTGGATGTGTTCTGTTTTGAACTGTTATCATCAAGATACAGCTTTATATATACTGCTAAATTTGCATACATCTCTATTGCCATAACTGTCAGAGCAGAAATCATGGCAATTAAGATTTATTATTGACTTATGTTCAAAATACCATTTTTCTTGTGGAGCTGACTTCTCAAAATTGATACACAGCTTGATTCAGTAAAAGACTTTACAGAATTGATTCTACTTGAACAATTGAACAAAATAGCTGATCAGCTTTTATTAATTGATTATTTTATAAAGTCTGAAATTGAGATTCTCAGTCAAGCTGAGTTTAATATATTTCCTGACATAATTCTACAAATGAGGTCAGTTTATATCATAACTAGAAGTTTAGAGATGTTGTTCTGATCTTCAAGCTACTCAAGATCTTACATTTCTAATCTTTACAGAGATCTAACATACATCTGAAAAGTTCACAAAAATATGAGTTGTTTCTGGCTTTCCAGTTCTCAAGACTCAGTATCTTCTGAATAGTATTGGAAATCAGATCAGTATTTAATGTTGATATATAGACTTATCATATCTGATTTTATATCTTGTGCTTCATCACTCAAACCTGCTTTTTAATCTCTGTATAATCAGAGAATGCTTCAGTTCAGGTACTTGTATTTAAACTAAATGATATCTCTTGAGTCTTTGACATGTTATGTAATTGGGTTCATGAAAAGATATAAGCTGTTCTTTTTGGTGCTGGCATACTCTGTATCTTCAATATTTTAGCTATTGGATTGCTGTTGAGAATAAATGAGAGTAAATGCTTGAATTTTGAAGGGATTTACTATTTATTATATAGTTGACTTGAAGTATATTTGACTGCTCAAGTTGCTATTCAGATCTGTATTCATATTTCTCTACATTCTAAAATTCAATGCTGCTAAGTGATTGATTTCTTTGAAATAGGCTGATTATCCAGAAGAATGCAGATCATTGCTGATCTTGCATTTTTTAGAGCTAATTACAGATCTAGATAATTGGAATATTACAGTTGGTCTGCAGCACAGTTGGCACATTTTATGACTGCTCTAACATTTAACTTTGCTATAATATGTCTGATTCCCCAATTGAACAGCAATTTTCTTTCTAATTTCTATATACTTTATCTCAAAGAAATTCTGCAGCAACTCTTACTGTTTCTGCAACTTGAAACTTAATTACTGTGGAAACTGATGTATAAATCTCAAGCAAACATGCAAGATTCAAGATACTTGAGATGTATAGAAAACTATATGTTTTGAAGAAGGTAACTTTATTTGTTATTTCCAGTCTTGCAGTTTTGAAGACACAGACAGCCTGCTCATTTATTGTGGGAATCACAAGATTGCAATTATATTTTATCTTTAGTAGAACCCAACATTCAGCCAAATAATCAAACTGAGAAGTCAGAGTTAAGTGTAAGATCTTGAATTCTCTGTCAGCCTGTATTATTCTAATCACTGTATACAAAATGCAGCAAGTCTTTCAGATGTCTCTGATGCTCTGTCTGATACTCTATCTGACACTTATTCTGAACCAGAAGATATCAGAGTGCAGAAGATTATACAAGAAGCAGTAGCAGCTCTACCCATAAGATTAGTTAATAATAATGAATTATAACAGTATAAAGAGCCTGAATCTGAATTCTGATTACAGACTATGTTACATCCAGTACATCCAGTTGGTAATAGAGATTCTGATTTTCATTCATAACTAGAGAATTTATTGGGCAACCAGTCAGCTGAGATCTACATCCTGACTATAATGAATGACCTGTTGGAGGTTCTAGTTCATGCATGTGCAGAGCCTGATGAAATGCTGAATTACTTCACACTTGCTTTAGAATTATGGTATAAAAAATTGAAAATATCTTGCCAACACTATAAGACACTGCAGAAAGTCTTACAGATTTCTGAAGACATTAATGCACTGAGATCTCTACTATTAAGGCTGAGTATATTAAAGAAGAAATGCAGAGCTCAATTTCCTATACTTTCCATCTGATGGGCATCCATACTGGCTGTTTTATTGAAAATGCCAACTCTTTCACCTGTCAAGAAGTAACTAATACAGACATCTCTCATATCTAATTTATTCTTTCAGAATTCTGTAGCTCTTTTGTCATTACTGGCAAGGTCTTCTGTATTTTGCAAGAAGATACATATTAGTATGGCTGATCTAGTTAACAATCTGACTGAATTGTGGCAATCATGAAGCTGGAGAAGCTCTATTAGATGTTTGTTGGGTGACTTTGCATGGTATTCTGATGAAACACCAGTCTTTTCTTCTGATTTTATTTGTTTCAGATGCAATAATGCTGCATGTAAGTGCACTTGAAATAAACAAGAAATTCATATTAGAAGAATTTAATTTGTGGATTGGGACTGGAGACTGATCTGCATAAAATCTGGTGAAATTGTTCTTATTATTCAGTATACTATTACTGCCAACAGTTTTGATAAAAGAATTCATTTGCTGAGATCTCTGCTTTGCCTGAATAAGCTGCTCTTACTGAAAGATCAGAAAACTCACATCATATATGAAGACAATATTCTAGCCTGACTGGATGTTTATCTTGACTACATCTTTAATAGATTGAGTAGCTACAAACCTTCAGAAATAAATGGGTTCTTTGTACAGTAAGTAATGAATACAATTTGCCACATATTATCTGTACAAGAGCTCTGACTTAGCACTCTGCTCTGGAGTGAACTGGAAATTGTAATATATGGGAGAGATATACTGATT